TTGTCTCTGAAAACAAAATTAATAATAAAAATGGTACATTTGAGAACAGAAATTTGTTAATAAATTATGGTCATATTACTAAATCATTTCTAACATTTTCAAGTTTACTGCGTGCATCTCTGTCATGAGATAAATCATTTATTTTCAAACATTCTCAATTTTTTTTTGCGATTCCAACAATTTATGGCCAATTCGTGAATATGAAAACTGGCGTTGTCATGACTTTTCCCATGAATAATATAAAATGAAATCTCTATGTACGATACGAACCTCGAGGTGTTTGCCGGGTTCATCGGGAACTGAAATCAACATTTTTGCGTCTCGTTCATCATCTCTTGCCGAAATCACGTGCAGACGATGATTCGCACTGTTTTCGCTGATTTCGATTATATAGATCTCATCAGAATACAGCGTTCAGAAACATGTTGCTACCAATTTCTGCTTATTCAGATGTTGTTTGCATGTTTTGTCTGTAAAATTTGCCTTACTATTTGTTTTATCTCCTTTTGTCTTGCATAATTTCACCGTCGCAACGCCTCGTTTCCTTTTAATTACTAGCAAATAAAAAGTAAACATTAAACCTAAACGCCATTTTGCTGGCGGCGCCAATCAATTTCAGTGTGTTTTTTTTCGCAATTCTCGTCATCGCGTCCGCATCGTAAACTTCGAAAAAATGGCGAAATTCAGAATAATGTAAATGTGCGAGAAGAGTCGGAGCAAAAGTGACTTTTTTTGCTTCGACCGTAGGAGAAACAACATATGGGACAATCAATTATCTCGTTTCGCATATTTATTGGAATTTCTTATCGTTACACTAATTCGTTTTACGCTTTCGAGTCCAGCAAAAAATTGTCGAGAGACCGAAATTCGATGAGAGTGTGCGTCATCTAAGTTAACTTTGCACCAGAGGTAAACACTGATAACATCATTTCAGTATAGTGTTATCAAGGCAAATGGCGTGAAAACAGTTTTACGAGGTTTTTATTGATTATATGTCAGCTTTTGCCCAGCATTTTTTCGATCACTTTACATATTTATTGCCGCATTTTCAATTCGTACCCTCGGTTCACTGGCCTGCATTTTTGATTTCATTTGACCTGACAGTATGCAATTATTCGCTCATATCGAAATTTGGCTAGGTTGCGCTTAATAATATCGGCTGTGTTTCGAAAATATAAAATGCCAGTAATGCGTTTTGTCGAATAACAAAGGAATAAGAGGCGGTAGAAAGATTCAAACATTGTGACGCATCATTCAACAATTTCTATACAGCATCACAAATGAAATGAGGGGCGACGGCGCCATCGATTTGGTATTTGTGTTCGAAAGTTATTGTAGTTTCGAATGTGGCCTCCTAAGTGTCTGTAATGCACGTTGAATTAAAATTCATTTCAGTTATTGCCCTCGGTTTTATTCTGCATCCATTTTTTTTTTCTGCGGCAATTAAAACCATCTGTAAGATTAGAAAGGGATCAAGTTCTCATAATGAAATAGCAGTCGATGGCATCCAGAGAATGATTGAGCTGTTTGTGAGCAATCCATACGTCAAATAGCAATTGAATACGCCTATAAAGGGACATGCATAAACAGACACAGAAGAGAGGGAACGATTTTCGGCGTTGAGTAGAGGAAACACAGCGACAGACACTCATCCTTCTTAGTCGGTTTTCGTTGCCGACGTCTTCTCCTTCTGCGTTTTCCGCCGCCATCAGTTGATTCAACACATTCATATCCTTTATTTGCATTTTGTATTATTGTCCAATACCATCATGCGATTAAGAAAAAGCGTTGTCCTCCGCCCTCTAACCCTCTATGTCTTTTGTTCTGAGTTTTTCATCACGACTGCTTCAAAACTGAATGTCTTTATTTTTTTGGTGTCGTGCCCCGCCTCTTTGCAATTGCCAACCTCGCATCATTCGATATTTCCTCAAAATGTGTCATCGAGCAACAACGTACCATTTACGCTCAGTTTTATTTCGAAATAGTTCATCTGTAAAAAATTTATTTTTTCAGTAGATATTCATACCTTTTTAACATAAAAGTCGGGAACATAAAACTTTTCGACATTTTATTTGTGACTCACAGATTTTTTTCTTTTTCATTTCATGTGCATATCATTTTAAAACCGAATAAAAAAATTCACTATGTCAAGAATACTGTGAATTTTTTTATAAAGAAAACGTTGTTCAGAACATTAATTAGAAGGATAACGGGCTGAAAAAAATTGCGCACATCTGGGTCCGGGGGAAGAGCACGAACACATAGTGCAGAGCATATTTTTCTCTCACTATTTTGAGATTTTTTACATTATTTCGAAGCGAATGAATGTATGTACAGATGTCAAACGAAACGAGGGTGTAAATATTTTGGACCGAGTGTGTTCGCAGCAATTACCAAACAGCCTCAGATGCAATTCGGAACGGTTTTATTGAGCGAGAAGTTCTTGAAAAATGCGCGAAGTGCTCATCGACAGATGAGACGGTATGTGTGTACGTGTGTGTGTGTTTATGTTCGTCAGTGTGGGACTGTGTGTGAGTGCTCCGTAAGTCTCTTGATTCTCACACCTTTATTGAATCGCAACCTTTCTCTAAGCATCTTTTTTTGCCTCGTTTGTGCCCACGTTTTATTGGGATGATTCCTGTTTGTGTTTTTAGTTGCTCTTTCATGCCCACTGTTTGTTATGTTTCACAATGACTGCCCATCAATGTTTGATTCATTTTATGAATTGTGCACGTGGAAAGGTGAAAAATCGAATGGGATCATCCCTCAACGTAGTGCGAGGGGAAACATTTTGCCGGACAGATAGGTTTTTTTTTGCTGTAGGACGTCCATCAAAAAACAGTTGAGATGAGATGCAATTGATTCATTCATCCGCTATACTTTTATTTTAAACTTGACCCCTATTTCTCTTCGTCTTTTCTTTTTATAACATTTTTATTATTTGGAAAATTTCAACCAATATTTAATAAAACTGTGTTATATTTTGAAAACGCTAAAGATATATTATTTCTATTGAAATTGATGTTTTCCACCTTTTTTTTCAATTTCTAAAGTTTTCATACATTTTCCCCCAATTTACGTTGGTGAAAATATCGCATAAGAAATCCGATTTATTGCAAAATTGACAGAAAAAAATGGCATCTATTAAAATGCACAGTGTCTCGCTTCATCAGAAATGCATGCTCTCCTCAAATTTGCCCTAAATTTTCTTCTCTCCGCCATCGATCCTCACTCCCCCCATACTTGGTTGGTTGTCGTTGGAAGAAGCCCCGATTCCTTTGCCCGACAACGACACCATTTTTTTGTTTGGTGGTGCAAGAAGCGCGACGACTCAATTCTCGTGTGAGACTCCTCGCGCAGAGCTCTCGTTTCTCTGCTCTTCAAAGCCTACTGTAGTTGTCGCGAAAGCTAGATGAGCGAATGGGCGGGGTCGAAGACGCAATTTGGAAGCTTTTACTGCTTTGCTGATAAGTGTGCACGCCCACTTTTTTTCAAGCAAATTGGGCCAATGTTGCAATAACAATTTTTCCTTAACAATTTCGCCCTTTTATTTCGGTCGTTTTTGCTTAAAAATGCTAAAATGTTGCTAATTTATACAGTAAACTTATCCGTTAACAATTTCCTTCCATTTTTTGTAGCTATTCGAACGATACACCAAATATGAGGCAATTTGCATATGCAATTGTATCTCTCTTTCTCTTTTCCTTTCTGCCATATTCGTTTCATTTCCAATCCATTTGAGAGTCAAAACATAGCGACAACCACTTGCCGCCAAACGGTAACAAAGAAAATCAATAGTTTCGCCATTATTCATCATTTCATTTGAAATACCGTCATTGAAATTGTCATCACATTTTGTGTAGGATGGTAACAAAAACATACGACCTTATGTATTTATTTTTATGTGCCGCGTATGCTGGAGTCGTGGGCGCCACAAGCAATGATGAATTGGCCAGAAATTTGTCGTTCAAGGCTCTCGCGTGCGCGCACCCACCCATTTTTCCTTTTTCTCCTCCATTTTCCTTAGCCTTCGAACACTTTCTAATGTCCTCTGTCATTTGAGCACTAAACCGCCGAAAATTATCAATCATTTTTATTCTCAATAGGGCCTTTATGAATGTCAAACAGCTTTTGCGAATTCAACTTTTGTCGGAAAACTAGATGACGGTAAAATGCGCGCCGAAGCAGGTGCGGTAGAGGTGGTAGGTGAGGGAGGGGGGGATACCGAAGGCAATGAGAACTGGTTTTTTTTGGTGAGAAAGGTTGACTTGTATGATGCATTTGTTTGTTGCCAACTTTACTACAGAAAAAAATGAAATGGATTAACATCTTTGAAATATGTAAAGTAGATTTGATGTATTGATTTGCCATCGCGTTTTAGTCCCATGTCGTGTTCCGCAAAATTGGGGACAAAGACTGACTGCTGCACAAATTGTTTGGTAAACACATGTTGTCCGACTAATGCCCGACTTTTTACAGAAACATCGCCGTTTTGTCAGGTTGAATCCCACACCGGTTTCTTTCTGCGTTCGCTTTCCCTACCCATTTTTTCCACTATTGTGCTACTTGCTTTTGACGAAACCGAACATTGTTTGAAACCTACCTAATAATACTATTATTTCTGCAATCTCTGCATTTTTCTTCCGTACATTGAAAAACGTCGTGCTTCCCCCGAATATTGTTTAGTACATCAACGCGTACGAAAACCGCAATATTCGGCGCGTCTTTGTTCCGTCTTGCTTTAAAAAATTGTTGTATGGTTAATAGATGAAAAGATAGTAATTTTCTATTTGTGTTCATAATGTGTCATTTTCCGTCGCGTTAGTTTAGTTTTTTTTTCCAAAAGTAACATTCAGAGGAGGAGAACAACAACAAAAATTAGTCACTTCTATTTCGCTTTTCCGCCCCTTTCATTTCTTCCGCCGTGCCCGGAAAGCAACAGTTCCTTCTTGGCATTTCAGTTGTGTCGATTTCATATTATTTCTTTTTTTTTTTTTAGAATGTTCGATGAAAATAGCAACGCTGCCGCTGCGACGACAGTAGCTGCTTCATCGCTTCAAGCGCCAAATGCCAACATCGTAACACAGTTGTTCAACGTTAAGGACAGCAGATGGCTTCAGGTAAATTTCAATTTCACAAATCTGTTATTTTTTCTAGAACGAATGATAACAAGAAGTGAATTAGAATATGTTTCAATTGAACTAATGGAATATATCCAATTTAATATACCGCAATGTGCGTCCCCTTACTTGATGGGTTCTGGTTGCTATAATTTAATCTTGCAGCAGTCTAATCCCATTTTTCTAATAAAATACGAGATGACTTGCTAATTCAAATATTTTTGTCGTGATTAGTTTTGAGAAATGCATTGTTTACAATTCAGGATTCCTCCGCTACTGTAATATGATCGACATGTTTGGTGGGAGAATGTCGAAAGAGAAATTTTAAATTCAATTCGCAATGAATACGAAATTTTTGGCAAAATGGGAGGGCATGAGTCAAGAATGAAAGTCGACCAATGTGTTGTGTTGGTTCTCGCGTAATTTGAGACAATATTAAGAAGATGCGCGGACAATTGACGGCTTCATAAGTCTAGTGACGGGAAGACTTAACCACGAATATTCTGTTCCCCTGGGAAAATTAAACGCGATTCGATGAAATTAGCTTCAATTTTAGTTCAACCAGTTTAAGAACGTAAAATCATTTTGAATACCACATTTAAAACAGTAAAAAAGTTAAAGATAGATCTTAATCTTAATTAATTTCAAAAAGAAATAAAAAAAAAACACGTTGATTCAAAGTTTTGATAATTCTGGTTTCCATCTGGCAATTGAAATTTTATACAGAATTGAGGAACGATGAATTAAACATTTTCTCGATTTCAGGTTGAAGTTTGCCGCGAATTTCTCAGAGGGCAATGTGCCAGATCAGATCAGGAATGCAAATTTGCTCATCCACCACCAAATGTTGATGTGCAGCAAGGACGGGTGACAGCGTGTTACGACAGTATTAAGGTGAGCACTCAAAATCCAATATTTTGCCACTCATTATGTAATGAAACCCTCTCGACATTATGATAGCATGGTAGGTGTGCGAGCGGGAATTTTATGACAGACCAGCTGTTCGCTTTTGCGTCGACGCACATGCACATGTTTTGAAATGGAAATTGTTTCCTTCCTATTATTTTTCATGAAATGAATAGCAATATGGCGTTAGGGAGACCCATTCTGTTACGTTAATATGGGTAGTTCTTCGAATTTATAAAGTAACGAGTCTCATCTAAAATGCACTAGAGAAAAAGGGATAACGTAAATCATGAATTTTGATTACAATCGTAAATTTATGAAAAATTTGACCTTTAGATGATAATTAATTTAATTGTACTATTTTAGATAAATTGGCTGACTCTAATTGCGCAAAATTTATTTTAATTTGTCCCCTAAACTGAATTTTTCACCATTCGTGGATTCTCCCGTTAAACATTGCCACAAATTTGATTTTGCATTATGTATACGACTCTTTGTTTATATAAACAAATTGCCCATCATCTCCGTCGTCGTAAATTCTATAAAAGAATCATGTTATGTTTTGGGGGTCCAATTCCTATACACACAGTTGGTCGGGGTGAAAAACGCAAAAGCCGGTGGGGAATGAAACAAAAATTGCAGAATTTTTTCATTCAGATACCCATTTTGTTATCAAAATGAATGGGACCCATCTGACGCATGTCGCATAAAACATCATATTTGAAATGGGCCATCTTGAGACATGAATGTCTAGGAATACTCAAGGGAGCCGACTGCGACTTCTTTTCTCAGCATTGTCTCCCAAATATACCAATCGTGTTTCGGTGTGAGCCCTGGGGAATTGAGAATAACACAATTAACTTAACCAATCCATCTCGTCTCACTATTTCAGAGGGACGCCTCCGTAATTACATGAAAGAAACGGACGTGTATTGCTAGAAAAAATTTTACGAACTCTAAAGTCGTCGTTGTCGTCGTTTCAAAAAAATAACGTATGAATAGGAACTTATGATGAAACGAGTTTTCATCAAACACACCCAGAATACGTTCACCCAGTAGTCTTATCTATATGAAATCTTTGAATAGCGAAAAGAAATGCGTGACGCTTTTGTGTTGCTTGATGCCATTGGCTGCAAAGTCTAGATAAAACGAGAAATAGTCGACGAAAGATTTTGTGTACATTTCAATTTGACGACGACATTTTGGACTTATGAATATTAAATTGTCATTTCAAAATTTGAAATGTCGAATTTAAACTGCTATTGCTAGTTCAATTACAATTTAAAAGCAAAAAAATGCCTGCAAAAATACGCATCTCATTTTAATGGAAATTCAAAAAAGTAGCAGAAAAAAGCGGAAAGATAGACCTAAGAGAGGAAATTACTTGCAGCCCTCCTATTGGTTCAGCAGTCTACTGTAATTAATAAGATTCAATTTGGCGCATAAACAATGCAAAACATTTTTGCAAATTTCAGGGACGGTGTACTCGCGAAAATCCAAAATGCAAATATTTGCATCCACCACAACACATCAAGGATCAGCTTCTGATAAATGGAAGAAACCATTTGGCTCTTAAAAATTTGTTGTCGGCTCAATTAAATACGGGTGGAACTCAGCCAATAGTTAATCCAATGGCAGCACAAATCGCCATGGTAAGGGCATTTTAACTTGGAAATCATTAAAAAAATACTGGAATTCTGATATGATCATGAATTCAAAGGCTACGTTAGTTTTTCAGCAGCAACAGCAGGCTGCTGCTGCAGTTAACATGATACCGAATGGCCCATTATATCCGTATTATCAAGGTCTTGTTTATAACGCACCAGTTCTCCAAGATCCTTACGCTGCCGCTGTCAACCAGGTATTTTAAGAACTTCATTAGTGTAGCTGAAATGAGTCACCTCCCTGCCGCAGAAACTGAACAAACATCAGTGCAAATCATTCAAGATTTACAAAAAAAAAATCTAAGCGCAAACAACAAATATCTAACAAAATTGCTCTGATTCTAATTTTTTTCGCAAAACTGCATGCTAGATTTATTTTGTGTCGAATATTTTTGCCAACAAAATTTATTGCCTTTATTGCTTTTTGCATTTGAAATAGAGTGCGAATTTCTGAAAATTCATCGTTATGAGAATAGTTGGTGTGGTTTTTTTTAAATTTTTGTTTTGAGTTAGTAGAAATTACTGATACAATTATTTTATCACTAAAGCACCTGATTTCAATATTTTCTAAATCACTTTGATATTGGTGGTGTTCACTCTGCTTGTTTTTTTTTGTGAAATTTTGTGAATGAATCCTATCACCTCGATCAAGCTTTTTCGAATGCTTCCTTCTGCTTTCTGTTAGTATGGAAAACTTCTGTTCAATTTTCTAATTAATTTTCCATAGAAAATTTAATAGAGGATTTTATTCGCAAAATTCAAAAAGCATGCAGAAACTGACATGCGCACAGCGTTAAATTTAATAAAATTATGCTTTTGTGATTTTAGAAGTTTTCTTTTGGAAGAAGTAAATTTTTAAAAATTAAAAGAAAATGAATAATTGCTGCTATTCCAGAAGAAAATCAACGTCAAGAATTTGTAAATAGATTCTTTTGGGATTTTATGTTTTCTTATTTCGAAGTCCTCTTTGATTTGGTTGATTCTGGCATAGTGGTATTAGAAAATTGTGTGGATGCGAAAAATTACTCTATAATGAATTCTCCCTTATCGCATGATTAGCTTGTGGCTGACAGCGCTATGTTTTAGCAGCTGCAAGCAGCCGCCTTGCTTGGAAACATTGGTGGACTTTTCACGGCACAGGCTGCTGCCGCCGCCGCCGCTGCTGCATCCTCGACGTCGTCTGTCGCGCCTTCACAACAACTTACACCGCTTCTGTCAACAATGAGCAGGAAAAGAGGGCTTGAAGATGACCCGCCAAGTGCCATCGATGCTGCTCACAATCAGCTGCAATTATTGGCTGCCGCTGCGGTATATCCTCTCTATTACTTGAAACTTCTTAATTTTATTATCGATATTGATACCTCCTCATTTTTTTCGGTTTTGAGGAAACTAACGATCCTGGCTAAACTCTGCTTGATATTTTCTTTTGACTTTTTCAGTATTGCCAATTTAATTCGTTTTATCATTCCAGTGCTTTAGTGATATGCAAGAATGTCTGTGTTATTTGTATGACCCGTTTCATTTCATTGAAGCATATCTGCTTGAAAATGTTCTGTCTCCCAGAATAATCACAAAACAATATTTTAGAGAAAATTTTCATTCAGATTTACGCCAGGATCAATAGTTTAAAAAGATACTTTTTTCAAAATTAACCATCACGAGAACTTATAGAACGATAGATTGGAGTGTTGTGTGCATGAATCGTGTGGTCTCAGTGTTTCAGACAGAATACAATTAATTATTTTGCTTTTCAAGTAACTTTAGGGCATACAAACGCTTCCAATAGACCGTGATTTTTTGTTTCAATTGGTTTATCATTTTTTTTTGAAATTGATGGTTGATTCTCGTGACGTTTCGGCCAAAATTTGTCGAAAAATTTGATACTTCAAAAATAATTTTGAAAACGATGTTTCGAAAGCCAAATTACGTTTAAAATGCATTTGTTAGGGAGGTGTTCCATGCAAACGTCCAACAATGGATAAAAATGGAACTGTTCTGTATCAGGCTGCTGCTCAACCGCCACAAAACTACAATCCCTATCTTCTGCAGTCGCTTCCGGGTTATGTACCTTCGGTAACATGTAAGTTTTTCAACAAATCTGTTAATAATTGTACATTAGCCCAACAAATTAATTAAATTAACGCAATCACTTTGCACATTTTCCCGGGGAAATCCTTTGAAATTGCTCTATGTTTTACAAGTATGCTATCCTAATTGCTTTCGATTTTCTGCTTTTTGAATACTGGGAAAACGGCTTATCGGTGAGTTGCTCCCAAAATAAAAGTGCCGATTTGTGCCATCAATATCAATTAAAATTAATTTCAAAATATTTTTCCAATGGTACAAACTATAATTTTTCTTTATTCAAGTATGTATGTAGGGTGGTATAAATTTCGTACAAGGAATTTTTTCTATTAATCGATTTTTGCTCGTCACACAATTTAAAAAATAATCAAATTATATTATGCCTCAATATTATTAATATTTAAAGAAAGTTCTGCTAAAGTTACGAACCAATATTGAAACAGGTAGCTTTTTATAAATGTTAAGAGGTGATCAACCGCAAGAATCCGTGTCCTCCAATCACCACCTTCTTAATCATTTTTTAAGTTTATGTTGAATTTTTGGTTTTGTTACATAAAAAAACTCATCATAACATTTCTCGCAGCATAATTTAATGTTTGTGTTTCTAAAAATAGCGTGGTATTTGTTTTCAGTCAGTGGTCAGCTACCGCCTCGTTACTAGGCAGACAGGTCCACGTTTTGCTGCTACTGCTGCTCCTGCTTCACAGTTTCAAACGCTCATTCAACCGCTGCCCATCAAGTTGTCGATCACGACCATATTGTAACCGCTTGTAAAACAAAAACAGCAAAACATGCTAGCTAATCTTTCTCTCGATTCTGCAATTTCATTCATCCTGTTTTCCCACACCACTTTTTGTTGTGTTCTTCACCCGCTATGCTTATTTCGTCCATCTTGTCAACTTTTTTTCCCAGTGTCTCTAATTTTTTTTCCAATTTTCAGAAGCACCCACACCCAGTCTTCGTCAATTTCTTTTTGCTTGTAGATTCTTTTTGAGTTCATCGTCATAATTGCTCCTTCATTTTAACATCGATACCCCTCCCCCTCATTAAATTCATCTAGTTATACCTTCGTTTAACCATTTTGCTGTTCTGTTTAAATGCTGAATTTTGAGCGCTAAACGTCCTCGTAATGCACTCATTAATCGCTGAATTTCAGCGTTTTAGCAATGAACACGTCTTTCGAACCATGATAGCTGTTCTCACTCTTCCAAAACACTCCGATATCTTCTATTCATCACTTAACATCATGAATTGTATCACCTGGAGTATTGTTCAAAATTATTAACAACTCTTCGTTTAGTATAAGAGACAATAATTTTGAATTCGTCCCTTAATATTTTTCGCGGTACGCGCAACGATTTCATGTGTGTGTGTTTTTGGCTCTTGTGATGCTTATTTAATCTAAAGTCCCAGATTCGAGTATTCATATTGACGAGACCATAATACCGTAAAACTATTTCTCGCCAATATGAATATATTTCAAGTCATTAAAATGACGTTAAACGTGAAATTGTAGTCAATATTATAATTCACATTTTTGCCGGTTCATTTTCATCGAAGGTTAATTTTATTGATTTTATTTTATTTTGTCTTTTTTCCAAATTTTCTTACTATAGTTTTCGTATTATTCATTTTCGTTGTGTTTCTTCATGACCCCATTTTTACTTTTTTTTGTAATTCTCTTGATTCGTGCATGTGTTCCCTGAATTTCATACATTCTCAATTGTAATCTTGCCCATTAAAAAAAATTTAATATGTTGATTTACGTTTTTTTTTCTCAATTGTATCGTTTTCTCCCAAAACGCTCTTAATAATGTATCTCCACCCGCATAGCACTAGTCTTGGAACTTTTATTTACAAGTGATGGAGTATAGATTTTTAATTGTTTGATGATTCAAGGGATTTAAAGTCCAATGGAAGTCGACTGGTTTCCCGGTTACTTTGATATTACGTTTCTCTAGATTGTATTGAGCATATTAATTATCTTCCGTCCTTCCCATTGTTCATCCTTTAATTATACACAACATTTACAAAAATACATAATGAGACATTGCTATAATTTCTCAGTTTGACTTCATAATTTGATAAATAATGATTTTCTCTTCTGTTCGGGTTTCAGATGCTTTTCTTAAATTTAAGTCGAGTAGCTTAGCGAGTAGCACGCAAAACTTTGGCAATCAGAGCTTTATTAAATTTCTCACATAATAAACTTATTTTAAAACAATATTTTATATTGAACATTGAAAATATTGAAGACGGAATCCCGTGATCGGCAGGAATCAAATCAATTTGATAAATGCAATAGAAACTGTTTGTTGGCATACAAAAAAAGAAAGGTAGAGTTGTATTGGAACGCTTTGTGAAGCAAAAAAGAAAGCAATTATTGTTTATATTCTTTTTTATTTAAAACAAGACATATATAAATAGTTTGGACGGCAAATTTGAACACGACATATTCACAAAGTTTAACAGATATATATTAAATCTGACAAAACAAAGAATAGCGGAGAAAGTCAATTTTCAATTGATAAAAATTCATTGGTACCCAATGTCGAACAAAAAAACGAGAAATTTCTTGGATGGAGCTGGAAATAACAATCCTGAAGGTCTTAAGAAAACCTGTACACCTTTATCGGACCTTTGGGTTCAATGTGCAATTGGACCCATTTATTCTTCATTTATTGCGGTACCTCAGTGCTTTTTGCTAATTAAAGACAAAGTGTTTAACCTTTTTATATACCAAAAAGGGTGTAACATTTTTGAAAGACATCTTTTCGATAATTGTGATACAGCGCAAATTCCATTTCTTTAATGATCTTTGATGACGTCTCTTTTACAACCGATCAAATAAAAAAACGTCTAAAAATTGATGAGTTGAGCGCTATCCGCGCAAAAAAAGATTGGCAAAGCAATAGATTTTGATTGTGATGCATACGTGCAAAGGTAGAACAATAACAATTCTCTTCGTATCTGGGCGTGCACTATTGGAACGTCCGGCAATTTTGAAATTGGCATCTTGCGTGTTTACCGAAATAATGGACGCCGAAATTTTCGTTTATATGTTTGATTCGCTTCTTCCTTTTTTGTATGCCCCTCATTTTTTGATTTCAAAATGCAATAAGAAACGAAAATATATGTTCGGCATTTGATCAATATGGGTTCATGTCTTTTATCGATAAGAGACGATTTTATGAAAGGTTGCTTTGGTCTCTGATTTTTTTTTCGCGCGACAAATCGTATGAACTATGTGTCTATGTGTGCGTGTCTGATTTGCTAAGAAGACAGACGGTATGCGTCTCTGCTCAGCTGCAGGCAAAAAATGCCACACCACCTGTCCATGTTCAAAAGGAACACTGCTAAATACGACAAAGAACAAAAGACAGTATATTTTTCAATCAAGGTATTCCAAAAATCGTTTCGAATTTTCTGTTTCGCATTTCCTTTAAAACAGTTTTTTTGTTTCGTTCTTTGAATCTCATCATCTCTTACCTTCATTTTTTGGATTTTCAAATAACGTTCGACGCTGCTACCCCAACGAAAACAACATGCATTGATAAAACCTCAATCATCCTATAACCATTTCTCATTTCTCTTCCTCCGGTTTCACGTTTCGTTTATTTTTTTTTTCATATTGTTTTCAAGTCAACTTGCCATCCCCCCACCCCCTATTCCTTATAAATCAATATTTCCAATCTGAATTTGGTTGTTTTGTTGACGTACTAGACAGTGCATGAAATCATTTGTCCGTTCGATTGCAATCTTTTTTCCTTGCACGTTTCGGTATGACTAATAGCATTGGGACAGCGGTAAAAGTTGAAAATTGCGCATTGAAAGGAGGCATACGGAGACATATCAAAATCGCCATCGCCGAAACGAATATTGCATGTGTATAAGTGGGTGCATTGTGTCTGTCTGAGATGGTTGCCTAAAAAATTAAAAAAAAAAACAAAATGATAATCGTTATGGCCATTTCGTCACAATTTTTCAACAAAACTGTTCATATTGAACAGCTGCATGATTTGTTTTCGTTTTTGTTGTCACTCCTTCTATGGCGAACGACCACATTCGTCATAATTGGACGATACCACTTTTTTTTCGTAAATTTCAGTCGTGTGCACTTTCAACTTCTCAATTTGCGAAATGGGTAAAAATCAAAGTAAAATCGTCAAGGTTGGTTTTTAGTCTTCTTTATTTTCGTTATTGTATTTGCATGATACAGTTGCCAGCACAGTCAAATCATATGTTGCCTGAAAAAGAAAAACAAATTAAACCTTTATTTTAAATAATTAATGCATGTATGCATGCTTATTATTTTTGTACGACAATGAGAAAAATCTTTGCAGTGTTTTCGATTAATTGACAGACAGCTAAAATTTAAGCATCTATGTATTTGTAGATATACATTTTCTCCCGCGTATACCTACAGAGAAATTTTTTTTAATGAATCTATGCAGAAATAATGTATTTTACATATATTTATTTTGATCCATTCCACATTCGTCAAAAAGGAATTATTAATGATGCCCATTGTGAAAAAAAAGAAAAAAAATCTGATTAAAAGTAATTCTTCCGCAATCTATATTAAGTTTCTAGAGTTTTATTAAAGGGATTTTAACCGTTTTTTGAGTTTTTTTTTTTTCAAAATGTGCGTAGTATTACAATTTATTTTTGTAAATTTAGGAGGTTGCCTTGCAACAAGTCGGGGGTTGCTTCAATTTTGTCGCCATGCTCCTTCCGGAACCAGAATGTCTCAATGACGAGGAGGTTGCCGAAATTGCACGTATTCCGACGGTTCCACCGACGGTAATGCACTAACAATTCATATTGATAGAATACTTTTTAATTATAGGGAATCGCCAACTTTAGCACCAACTGTTATTCAATCGCCGTTCTTCAAGCTCTTCTCTCATCGGATGCTTTTATGGAAGAAACACTCAGAAATGACTCGAAGGATGTAATTTCAATTAAACAGCCAACCTTTTTATTGAAATTAATCACAGGTGGTGGTGAAAAGAGCAAGAAAGTTCTTAGCAAACTATTGCAACAACCAGTCAAGCGTCAATATGTCGTTCATGGCAATTTCAGGATTGTTGGGTTTCACTATGGGATCACAGGAAGACGCAGTTGAATTCCATATGTAAATTATTTTAAAATATTCTCAGTAATGTCATATTTAGGAAGTTCGTGGAAAAAATGTGTCCGAATATACCTGGGTTTCCAATAAAGTTTCGCACTGACTGCTACACATGCAACACTGTCGACACCATCGAGCAGACGGTAACTAATTATTATTTATATTTCCATGATTTCGGTATTGCTATTTTCAGCTTCCTGTGATTTCGCTTTACCCGTCACAATGCGATGAGAGCTCGGTGACCCTTGAAGACCTACTCAACAGTACATTCAAAACGTTTCACAAAATCGACGGGACCTGCGCATGCGTTCGTTTGCAAAGATGTTCATCATGTTGTTCAGTATACGTTTTTATTTAGGGAGACTCTAAATATCGCTGCGAATCGGCTATCGAATTGAAGCCATTGATCGTTTTCAGCTTCATCCAGTTTCAATACCATCAACAGACAGCAAAGGGCAGCGGTAAAGCAATAATTATTAAATAAAACTATGCTCATTTTTTGACTTAGGAAAGAAGCGGTCAGGATACACTCCAATCTGGAAACGAATCACCATTCCACGTGAATTTGATGCTGAATTGCTTTTCACAGAGGTATAATTTTCACGCAAATATTCAAAACCGTTTCCACACATTTTGAAATTATTACTCTGTTTCATTGAAAATTGATAATAATTTTTTGTTTTAGCCACCGAAAGGTATGAAAGCGACTTATCGATTCGTATCTGCTGTCCTTCATCGAGGCACTACCTCGGAATCTGGGCATTATCTCGCATTAGCAACTCGCAAAACTGACGTATAAATAATGTATGGACCATTTGTATTGAATTCAATGTTTTAGTCATACTTCGTCTGCGACGATAACAACGTTGATGAAGTTTCGACATTTGAAAGCCGCTTCACTCGTCGCTATGTCCCGTATATGGCGTATTACGAGCTGGTCACCGAGACCCCAAAAGAATAGTTTGCAGCAAAATCAATTCATATATATTCGCATGGTATTCTTTAATGATTTTCTATACATTCCGTTTCATATATTTGTCTAGCAACACTCTGCTTCTTGCAATATTCCAGTAGTTGTCATTTCCTATCCACTGCCACTATTATTGTGTTTCGTATTATTGACCGGTTTAATTGATTGCTTCTTTAATATTTTAAATTCACATCTTCAGGTCACAAAGAGAACGGTTCCGTATTTTTCTACACATTATGAGTAACTTTTAATGGATTAATTTTCATATTTAATGATTTTTAACTGATTTAAATTTTATTTATTTGCCTCCTTAATAACATTTGTACAAAAGAGTACTTTTTGTGCAATTGCCCGAAGATTGAATGAATAACTCAAATAATTGAATAAATGGAAATATAGAGAATTATTAAAATTTTATTGTTTAATATAAATAAGTTTAACAGCAGATTATGCACCATTAGCAAGGCAATAAATAAAAAAGGCATCTATTATACAAAAGAGAAATATTGGAAAATTTCAGACAATAATGAGGCACCAGCATTAATAAAAACGTTAGAATTTGTATGACTTATTGAAACAAAACAAGAACCATTGAGCAGAACACGAATAAAATAAGTATCACAGCCATATTGAATGCTCATTCATTTTGCGCTCACTAGAGCGTGTTTGAAAATCATTAATTATTCCGGTGCGTTTGATTTCCCGAATGAGGAATACGAGCTTTTTGCCAATACTGATCGAGAATGGCAAATCCGTCAATTGTTGCCGAGAGATGCTTTGTTGCGATTTGCGTGAAACTTTTGGCTCCCGAGTCGTATCTGCAATGAATATTTCACATGAAAAGCCTTTTGAAAAGACTTCATACTTAAACATCATGCTCATCATTGATTCTGTACACTTTGGAGGTCCCTGGCCTGATATTTTGACAGCAGTATCGGAAACCTTAAAACTATTTCTCCAAACAAAACAGGAACATGGTGACTCACCTCGTCCCAAGTGTACAATCCTCTATACTGACATTTTTGGTCTCTGAACAAAATCAAGAAATGTTTGGAGCTTGATGCAGCCATTTGTGCAATCGTCTGTAATTTGAAAATCAAAGATTTTTTTGAAGTAAGAGAAAAAACATACAGCTTGTCTTGTTGCATTGTTCACAGCACCAGGAAATACGCTGAATTGCAAAGCATTGTTGATCAAACCTCGGTTAGATTTTGAAACTGCTTTCGCGAACAATTTATGCGCTGAAAGGACACAGTTTCTCAAAAACTAATTATTTTTTTTTTACTTACTTGGTTCTCCCAAACTGCTCACGGCAGAAATTCTCTGCTCCACTGATGATTGCCCTCGAACTCGTGGCGTACTTTGTTTCGAATCAGTTGATTCGCTCAATTGGCTCTTCGTTCTAATAAACGGTGGTTGAGAATGGCCTCTGCTGGTCGATCTAGCTGAGGAAATTTCAGCACCGAGTTCTTTCTCAGCTTTTTTGCGTTTATACTCTTCAAGAATTTTTTGACGCTGCAGTTCTTTTTCCAATTTCTTTTGCAAAGCCAATTCTTTCTTTTCCATTTCCAGTTGACGCCTTTCAGCACTTCTTTGCTCTGCCATGTCGACTTTTGATTCAATTTCTTCTTTCCTTTTCATTGTTTTTGCAATTAGCGCTGCCTTGCGAGCATTTCTTCGTTCATTTGCCTTAAGATTTTAATTTCGCTATGATTTCCATTTCGTGTATGACTCTCACGATTTTTTCAAGATTTTCGCTTGATTCTTCATCATCGACAACAACGAATGGTTGTCCAATCTCAGCAAGATGTTCATCTCCCTTTTCGTCCGAGAAACGTCCAGATTGTTCTTGTTCATTTCTATTGTTTACGCCATGACCTAAATGTGAATTTAAACCGTTGGAAAAATGAATTGGCTGCTTGCCATTATTTTGCTGGTGCAAATTAAAATCCCTGGAAGGAATTTCTTGTAATTTTCTAGTTTCGATATGGGTCGTAGTCTAAAAGTAATATCCACGTTGAAAATATGTTTCTAATTTGACATACTTCATCAGTAACATGTGGAACAACATCTTTGCTGTTTACCAAATCCAATTCGTTTTTAATAAAAGTTTCATTTTGCCATGTTCGACGTTGCATACGTTGTGGAGTTTCCTATATAACGCTTCATTGAAATCTGTTAATTGAGTACAAATGTACCTGCTTAACTGTCATTCCCCAATTAGTAAGATTGCGATTAATCTCAAGAGATGGATCGGCTTGTTGTTGCGTTGCCTGAGAATATGCATTGATGATTAATCACGAATTAGTTTCAAATCTGTTACGTCGTCGCTTTTAGAGTGCAAATGGAAAGCGTTTGGATTCAATTGTTGTGGTTCATCTAAAGGTTGCGGCTTATTCTGAGTTTGAACATATCCCATTTGATGTGGGCTCTCCATGAATGCATTTTGTGTTGCTTGGGGTGGCATTCCATTATAAGGAATTCCAGCCTTAAAACAATTTCTTGAAATCATAGTGAATACGTGTATAGTAAATATTACATGTGGATATCCTTGTGGTATTGGAATTGGCTGCATTGGATGAGGAATAAAGTATCCTTCCGGTGTGTATGTTCCAACAGGTTGCATCGGTATTTGTCCTGAATTTTACTAGTTTTAATTATAAATATATTCAACACAATCTCACCTTGTTGCATTTGCATTTGTTGGTAATATTCGGGGGGATACATTGGTTGCATAGGATAACTACCTTGATTGAGCATTCCGTTGCTTAAACTGTTCCGGAGCTAAATTCAAAAGTTCTCAATGTTTGAATGAGATTGATACCTGCGAGGGACTTGCATAATTACCCTGCTGTTGTTGTGGCATGTAGTAATCATAAGGTGATTGAGAATGTTGAACATATGATTGAGTCATTTGTCCTGCTCCTCCCATTGGCAATGTCATGTACCCTGCTCCAGAAAGTTGAGGATTACTTCCTAAACAACAATTTCAAAATGGAGTAAGAAACGTGTATGTGTCGATACCGTGAACAACACTAGGTTGTGACAGGGCCCTATTGAGACGTGATGATTGTGGACCATCTTCACCTCCTCCACCTTCCACACGTAATTCCAAAGCTCGTAGTTTAGCTTCAAAAAAGTCGAACCATTCCTCCTTTTGTGGCTCATCACTCTTTTTCAATGCAAAAAATGCCGCCTTACTTTTCTCAAGGCGGTCTGATTCGTTTGCAGATCTATTAAAAAACTCTCCAGCGTTTGGTATTAATATTATTTAATTTACGTCATCTGAGCAAGCTGTTGCTCGTGTTTTCTACGTTTTTCCTCCATTGCCAAACGAACTGACGCAGTTGCACTACCATCATAACGAGCGAGTTGCGCAGATCCAGCCTGATTTTCGAAACCTTGTCTGATCGATTGGAAATCAGTAATATTTGGATCTTGATCCATACTACGCCGTTGTAGAGATATTGAAGCTGGCCTGAGAGAAATAAATTTAAAAAAATGGTTCATTAAAATGTTACCTAGAATAAAATAAACTGTCTTGACTCATTCTGCTCATGGTTCGTGAGGGACTGTGATGTCCTTGCACGTTGTGTGAGTTCAACATTCTTGGTCGATTTCGAACATTAATGGAAGACCTTGCTGCAACGTTGGCTGCTCTCAAGTCTATCGCTGATGCTGGTACAAAACGGCGCGGTGATGGTCCAGTACGTGGTACTTCAGCTTTAATATATCGCAAAAATACTAAACCTTTGTTGACTTGCAAATATACCAATTTCTGGAGTGACAGGTGGCTCAAATTGAAGAAACAGGTCAGCAAGAAACGCATTGACGTTCATTTGCAATGAATCTCTAAGATATAGCAAATCTTCTATTTCAAAATGAAATGGATTGCTTGCAAGATGGTGATGACAGAAATGCCTGAAAATTGATGTTGAAACGATAAGATAAATCTTGAATATACTGTAGTAGCATCAAATTGTACTGACAATCCCTTGTTGTTGCAGCCTCATTAAAAGAAATATCTGAATTTTTAGAATAAAATAACAACAGTCATTAATTGGAAATTTCAACCTGATATAGGCATCTCTTGCGACCTGTACCAATATATAAGTGCACATAAGCATTGACCGTCGGAAATATCCTCATAAAGATCTTCCATTTCGGGAATCAGAAGGTCAATATCGTTGCGCTCAACGTCATCACGGACTAGAAGACAAATTTTGTTGATCCAGAATAAAAGGGCATCCACACTGTCGATTGGTTTTTCGCTGGGCTCAACACAAGTGTGCCGGCTGGAAATTATTAGATAATGCATAAAAATTTCTAACAATTTTACCTGACGGCCTCTACTACTCTACTAACAGGAACAACATCTCGAAGATGAGCCATCATTAAAGCATCGATCATTGCAAGATGAGCTGACTGGAATAATATTTTTTGAAAATAAATGATTTTGGCAAGTTTACAATGTTGAACGGGTTATTAGAAGTCAGTTGCGACTCTTCAACAGGAAGACTTCCATCTTCAATTCGATGGAGCACGTCAATTCCATAATCGGTTAATGCGGCGAGAACTGTTCCTTGAGATTTCTGAAAAATGCATAATTTCAAGTTTAACGTAATGTATGAGGATTAAAGTGAACTGTTGTTATATTTTTTCAAGCTTAACGTTTCATTGAAATTTTAAATATGTCTGAGTATGTTTTTCTGGCTCACATGTACCATTCTCATTTTAAGTAATAAAATAAAAAAGTTACCGCAGCGAGTGCTGATTCTTTGAATATTTTCGCCGCTGCTTGTGCATACAATGACCCATTGCAAAGAGCTCCGATAACCGCCTCGCTAATTCTAAAATGGCCCTGAAATTTTTATTAATGTATTTAGAATTGCAAAAAAAACTTTGAACATACTGTTTCATCGCGCACGGCACCATCTCGCAATTTATCGGGCATATCTCGTCTTTCCTCATACACACGAGCAATAAGCCATCTGATGGATGCAGCAAGTTTACCCTAAAATTGTAATATGTTTTGAAATAAATGAATATACAATTCATATGCTACGCCTGATCGCGAACGATTTCTCATTTTATATGCAACTAAAAATGCATAGCGTTGGCTTGAATGACACAAGAAAGACATCCTTCATCAAAATTCATTTCCATTGAATCGTCCAAACTTTTAAAAAACAAAAAATACCTCATTTTCATCGTAATCTTCTATTGCGAGGAGTTGAGGCAATGATATGTCCATTTTATGCCACTCCAATGTGTTTACTGCAATGAAACTACAATTAAGAAAAATTAAAAAGAAAAGCAAATAAAAAAGAAAAAGTGAACTGATATTGTGGTTTCGAAATTAGTGAAAAAAAATCAAACAAACAAAAAGAGGACAGAGAAGGGAAGGAAGGTTGACATATAATTACAATAATAAATTAAGCATATGGTGAACAGTCTAATAAAATGTTGGCGAGCGTGTGTGGTGTTGGTGTCGATGGTGTGGCCACTTTTTCGTCTATTTCCCTCCGCGTAGTGGTGGTATATGCAAAGGGTTAACAATGGGCCTTCCTATACCCAGCACCCTTCACTCTCCCAGCCTAGTCGCTCACTTGTCGGCGGCGCACGGCATTTGGTTTACGGAGAGATAGAGACGAAGCGAAATCGAGAAAAAGAAGAACAACAAGATGACTACTGACCATTTTCCAACTGCAAAACGACTAACGCAACGAAACACAGAAAAAAAAAATGAAATGCTAAGCGAATGAACACGCTCGCAAACGAAATGTGTTCAAAAATTGACCCGATTTATCAGATTAATTAATCGATTTTCTGAGAAAAGTCCTGAAAAACGAGAGACCTGCTAGTTTTCGACAAATTTTAACAGAGAGAGGACTATTGCGAAATCGATTTATATTTCGTAAAGCACATATGCTTGACGTTCTTGCTTTTGATCCAATAGAATCCAAGTATGTTTGGATACCAAGTTGGAAAAGGCTATAACATTTTCGAAAAATTCTCAAGCGCAACACATTGCTAATTGTGAGTGCCTATTTTATGCGTTCATAAAAGAAATCTAAATTACGCAAAATATTAGAAAGTAGGATTTATTGCGTTTAAGTCAGATAAAGGATTCAATGTTCTATCAGAAGCACAAATAAATTGTGATTTGCAATTTTTATTGCAAAAATTAGTTTTTCAATGGCCTTCAGAATTTAGAATCTACGAAACAGACTGTTTGACTGAACCCGCTTTTGGTAGCACGAAAGTCAAAATTGTATGCTGTTCTGATGACTTTGATAACAAAATCGCAATACGATTGAAAACAAATTACGATTCAAAAAACTGTCTTACATTTTTTATCGTGTTAATCATAAATACGAACTGGAAGATATTTCAATAAAACGATTTGTGAAGCGATGATAAGATGGTATCAACAGAAACGGAAATTGGATTGTTTTTTACCCAATAAAAAAAAGAAAAAAAAAGAAGTTACTATTTTTTTTTGAAAATTTGCTAAAGAGGTTGTATACATAAGAGAGACATAAACATTGAATTAGCTACATGAAATTAATTGATTATTACTTTTTTAATTTATTTTGAATATCTTCAACATATTCTTCAAAATACGAATCCAACACAAGTTAGAGAAATCAATGAAGGTTTTTACACCATTGGGTGCATATGTTTGCTCTAAAATTCATTCGAAAGAGGAGAAGGTAGTCGGACTCGCTAACAAAACATACTCACAATGAACACATTGTGGCAAACTTGAAGTAGCGACAAAGAAATCTTTTTTTGTCATTTTTTTCGAGAATAATTTGAAAAGCCAAAATTGGACAAGTTTGAGTGTGCAATATAAAGAACGACGGCTAATGTATGCATAGAAAGGAATCGATAAAGTTGGCAATTGCTTTAAAGTGCCAATGTATGTACATAACGATGAAAAAAAAATCTTATCTCTCGGCTCTTGATAATTATTGACGATGATGACGAGAAAGCGAAACAATAGAGTTCAAATAGTAGGAGAAGCAATAGGAAATAGTAAATAAATAGAAAGAAAATGGGCGAAACAACGATTGGTTTCAATTTTAAGTTTCATCTATCGCGCATTTTGATTTATTTGGCATTATCTTGGCACATTCATGATAAATCGACTTTAGCCGAAAATAAGAAGTATTGCTAGACTGAAGGGGTGCAACACATTCAACCATTTTGATGAATGCATTTTTCTGCAAAACTTTCGAATTAAGGCTTCGTCATTTTCTTGCCTTTAGTTGCCACAGTAAAAAGAACGTGTGGTGCTGAATAAAAGGATGAAATAAACCAGTAAATTCTAATTGAATGTAAAAAAAAATCACTTTCGAAACATGCTTCGTTGAATTGGTGGGTTTTCACTGACACAATTACGCATCACGAATTTGCCGTCTAATGTACTTTTATTGTTCTTCGATATTCGAAGTTCAATTTACAGCCAATCATAAAGCCTCACGTAATACAATAGGGCAGAAATTTTCAAATTTTAGCTGATTAACGCGAAAACGCATTCACAATTTATAACCATTTTTTTCGTTTTATTGAGATTTTTTTTCGAAAGTTGTACTGTTTATCAATATTTCACATTAAAGGAAATGTTTTTTAATGAAAAAATAATTTTCTATGCGAATAGTAATAACAACTTCCTTTTGTTAGAATGTCGATTTATAGCGTTTTAAGAGAGTTAATTTCTCAAAATGACTCCTCGTTTGTTGGGATTTGCCGTTGAACCGACGTATTTATTGCGGGGAAATATTTCAAAAAAATACATAAAATGAATAATGTGGAGAACTGGATAAATAGTTGGCTTAAACAATTAATCGGATTATCATTGGAATGAAACCGGTCGAATTGACATCAAGATTTGTAATTGATTCCGTCATCCACTACTTTCTTCAAATTCGCGACTTCTCGTCTCAAATCCCGCACTTCCTGTCGAAGATCTTTTTCCTAAAATACAAATGTTCCATGAATCAAACAATGATCCCCTTGCCTCATTGTTTTGATTTTTAGAGCAATTCGGGCAGACATTGCGGCTCGTATAATTTTGTAGGTGTTCTATCTCTTTCTCCAATTGTATACACTTAAAACATCAAAGCTATTATTTAGGGGACTCCCCAGAATCTCACTCTTGACATCATTTTATTCTTCTCATCTTGTAAAGTCTTCATGCAAGTGGTCATTGCAGCATTCTGTCGTTGGCAATTTGATAGCTGTTCCCTTAAGGCCTTTTCGCCTTTTTCGGATGCCGACAAACGACCTTTCAGACCTTCTAATTCAGTTTTCCATGCCCTTTCTTTGTCTTGATATACCTATACGAAATCGGATTTAATGATTTTGAAGGGAAAACGGTTTCCTACTTTGATAATAATTTCTTCATTTTGTTCCATTGTTGCGCGAATTTCTTGCAATTCCAATTCCTTATCTCTTATGACATTCTGAAATTTTTAACGTTAAATTTATGCTCAAAGGAAACTTAGGACTTCATAATCAATAATTCCAGAATCGCTGGGTGATGGAGTGACGTGAATTCCAGACGATGACGACGACATAGTGGCCATCAACGTTTTATTATTATTGTTATTATTACTCTAAATACCATTATATTATCGGATCAAAATTAGCTGTTAATCAAAAACCTGGTCAGACGGTGAAAGTGGGAAAGATAGGGAATTGCTGGCATTCGAACGTAATGACAAATTCATTTCCCTCATTGAATCTTTAGCTTAAAATAGAACAATACGAAAAGATTTTAAAAGTAAAACTAACGATGGTAAAGCTGTAATAGTTCGGCTAATGACGCGTTGCTTTCGTTAGAAGCACTTCTTCGAAAAGGTTCCACTCTAAGAAAAAGAATTGAGAATAAATGTTTATACACGAATTGAATGTACTTTTTAAATGAAATTTTGTTGCTGTCATTGTGATTTAATGTGTTTGGCTTGCAAGCAATTGGCCGGAATATGTTACCTTCCTAGAAACCATGAATTATTTAGATAAAAAACCAATATGAAAAACCTGCTGAGAAAATCTCGGTGATGTTACAAAGTCAACTGGCAGTTTATCTGAAAGAAAACCCACTATCATCACTATTAGAATTTAAATAAATACCGAAATTTGTTGATACTGGTTGCCATGTGCCCGACCTTCCACGTAAGCTACTATCTCGTAATGTACGATGATCCATGGCCAACCTATAAATGTCGACAATAAAATTTCCAACGAACGACCGACCGTATGGTGGAAAATGTGAAGGAATAGCCTAATAATAAAAATAAACAACACTGGGAGATTCATTTGCATATATTGCAATAGTAAACAATTGAGAAGTAGGAACATCTGTTTCTTGGAATTGGCGCACTATGGGAAACGAACACTTATAATGCATACATAAATGGAGAGGACCAATAGCCGCTTCATATTTTATCGGAAAACGTTTTCTTCAGATTTATGTCAGCGGGTTTTTATTAAAATCGACGATTATTTTTCGCTAAAATCAGATAAAATTTGCAACGCTTATAAAACAAAAGGCGATCATGAAATAAATGCGCATTATGTATATACATATATGTCTATACATATATATGTATATATATATTTACCAAACATTTCAAACGTTTAATGATAATATTGCAGAAGTATGCGTATGAAAGCGAATCGATTTATATGACATTGAAGGTCAAAAGGAGGGTGTGTTGATGATTATTCTCTTCAGTTTTCGCAGATGGATATTGTCAACGTCGCATCACTACTCTCCGAAACTTTTACATCCCTCCCATATTGGCGTTTAATTTGATTCACGAATCACTCCGCGACCTAAATAAAAACTCACATTGCGTTATTGGCAGATTTTGTGACATGAAGTGGTCGAGGAACGTCTGGCACATTCAATTGGGTCGTTCGTGGTTTAATCGTCAATCTGCCAAAAAAATATATTGATGTGGAAGGGATTTATTGCAAAATAACCGTTGGACTGGAGCAGGAGCACTATGATCTCGAGTTCGTGTTGATCCTGAATTGAGCTGTGCTTTCCATTGTTCCAAACGAATTGAAGGTGTATGCTTGGGTTTCTCTGAATTCATCACTGAACATTGCATGTGTTTTGTTTTCACAGATAAAAGTACGGTAACCGGTGAAATCGACCGAGACGAATCTTTGTAATACAACAGAAAACTGAACCGGTTGCGAATATGAATGGCTTACAATCAGTTTCCTAGATTACACTCTATTCCGAATCAAAATAACTATGGAAACAACCAAAATAGATAAATACAATTATTGATTCTCGATATTTTCACTCAATTAATTTTTGGACTATTACATTCGAACCTGTGGAAGACGAAGATTTCGATTTGCGAATGCCGGATTCTATAGTATCTCTTAATGGCGCGAATATTTCCGCGATCATCATTTCGGTTGAAAACCGATCAACCGGTCGCATCCTAATCCGTTCGTCGGTCACACTTTTCGATGTGCCTGGTACAATTGGATTCGCCCCTTGGATATAATTCCAATCGACACATTTGGTGCCCATCTGCAATTTAATGTATAAAATGACCAACCACACTCGTCTTCGACAGCTTGCGACAAAACGAATATAAGTTTTATGGTTCAATTTGGGGCAACGCCACATGCTTTATAGCGGTTCACATAAGAAAAAATTGCATTACTTTCAATTCATTTGGCTTGTCAAAAAATTATCGAAACAAGGGGTCTCCTTTACTTACCATGTTATTGTTGGGTGCGCGAACCGTTTTTTCGACTCTTTCCGTGCAGTTCACCATTGGTTGCTTCAATATAATACTCTTTTGTGTTTTCTCGCGGCAACTAAATAGAATCTTTAAGAATGAATTGATTTCACGACAACATACTATGATTTTTTCTCGATTCGAGTTTCTGCCAAACATTCGCTTGCATTTTTGTCGCGTTTTACGAACAACTTTTGAGTACTTGTTTTCTTCTTCCCACTAGAGTCATTTCTGTAAGCATTTTTTGCTTAATTTGATCATTGTATGGACAGACCTTCCATATAAATACTACATTCTCACAATGGTTTATTATATATAATTTTGTAGCACTAACACATTTGCGAAACAATTTTTGTAGTAAGCAATTACATAAAATTGTTAACACTAGTATCAATTTTTTTAATTGCAAAAAAAAATGAAAAGATTCTAAAAGTTTTCAAACATTTAGTATATAGTTCAAAAATAACTTAAGAATAAGTAAAAAAAAATTAAATGTCATTATTCGTTTAAGAAATTTTTCAAAAAAAAATATATCGTACAAAATTTTAAAAATGAATATCTATTTGTAGATTCAAAATGATTCAAGTTATTTCGGAATTAAATTTTTATGATAACAAAATTACATTTGTTTTTCGCTTTTTTCAGACTGTGTTGTGATCGAGGAGCTCCTTTCACGTGACCTGAAAGAAATAACACTATTGGATTTTAGACATTTGTCATTTTCGTTTTTCATCAACCACAACAATGAAAATGTCAAAGTATTCGATTTCATCTTGAGTTTCAACGATCGCGTGTAAATACTTTATTTAAACAGGCATACAGCACAACACAAAAAATAATAATAAAATAATAGTTACCTGGCGCGAAATATTGAGAGCGGATTTCGAATCGTTTGCATGTATCAAAACGGGTGCAAAACCCTCAAAGTTTTCCCCACAGCCACAGTCCGGCTCCTTCTTCTACGTCAAAAATGAGCAGCTGTCTTTTCACTTGAATAACTTTCAAGACGCCACTCCTCTAACATCTTTCATTGTCATTATCCTGGCTGCCGCAGTCAACTCAACACGTGTTTTTTTCCGATTGAAAATGTGTCTCGTGTTACAATAATTATGGGAAACACACCGTTCGATCAAAATTGATGGTCGAATACAAGATGAAGAACATAAGAGAAGTGAGACAATACTTTTGTAATTGAGAAAGTGCAAAAAAATAATTTATCAATTGAAAAAATTGAAATATTCAAAAGCAAATTTCACATAAATCAACCACGTGAAAAGATGATAAAATAAAAAAATATATGTATTCCAAATAGTAATCGTTCTAGTAGACAATACAGGAAATTCAATCGCCTTTTAATTCTTTGTATTTCATGTACATTTGGGCCAGAAATAAAATTTATACATAATATTAGGTTATTTGTAAGTTATTCGTAATATAGTATAACTACATAGTATGTACACTTATATTCTTTCTTTCAAGTTTAGTTTCGCGATTTTCTTTTTTTTATCTACGATTTTCGCATCAATTTTTATTAGTTTCGGTCTATCTGATATTTTCTTTACGTGAGCTCATCACTTCATTTCTCTTCTTCGTTATAGTTATGCTTCAAAATTGATAATACCTGCGAATCTCTCAAGTTTATCACAAGCAGATGACTGATTGGAGGTCTATCTGTCAAACGTTTGTCTGTGCTTAATCTTTGCACTATTTGGTTTTACACTAGGAATTGTCAACATGGTTTATTAATAATAACTAGCAATTGATCAGTTAAGCTTTTTCTGCTTCATGATCAATCGCTGCAAATGCGGATATTGTTCAATAAACTGCTTGAGACGGGCAATACGAGCTTCTCGAGAATACGAGTTAAGCCAATATGTCATAACTTCCATTTTGTTCTAAAAAACTATCATCATTGAAAATGTTTTTACACAAACCTTCAATGTAATTTTCTCTCTTGGTTGAACATCATGACCGCCACATTTAAGAATTAGTTCATAAGTGGAACTCGACATTTGGATTCGCATTGCTGTAATTGTTTTATCTCCAAGATATTTGTATTTAACACACCTTCTCCGCTGCTTTCCATAAAATTTGCTGTTATTACACTTTCTCCAAACAAACAATATCGTGGCATTTTAATTCCGACGACCCCAGTAACCACAGATCCGGTATGATTTCCAATACGAAGACGAAGCTTTTCATCAGGAGCATGGCTAACCGAAAACGATCGAATACTTTCCAGGAGTTCCAAACTTGCTCCCGCAACTTCTCCAGCATGCAAATATCCATTAAGTTCGGGTAGGCCGGAGACAAACATATAGGCATCTCCAATGGTTTCCACCTAAACATCATAGTTTTTCGGTTTGTTCCGACTTTTCAAATTGACCTTATAGCAGTCGAATTTATCAATGATCGTGTCAAAAATTGTGTAGAGGCTGTTGAGCATGTTGACAATCTGTAATCAATCACTACACTACCGGCCAATTTAATCCGCTCACTTGCAACGATGTACTTTTGCTACTCAACGATGTGAATCCAACGATGTCCGAGAAATAAATTGTGACACTCGAGAAGAACTCAGCTTCGACAGGCTTGCCATTTTTCAAGTTAGCCGCAACAGTTCTGAAAGAAAAAATGTAAAAAAGCAAGTCCGATTAAAAAATGGGGGAACACATACTTTGGCAACAGCTGCAATAACAAATTCTCGTTTCTTTTCTTTTCATCTTCAAGTTGTTCCGTTCTTTCCTTAATAACATCTTCCAGGTTGTTGCGGTATCTATCGAGTAGTTGCATGATATTATCGGCAATATTCCCTTTCCTGAATAATGATTATTTTTATTGCGAAAATTGTAAATAGAACCAACATTCCACATGATAACGGCTTCAACATTTCACGAACTTTTTTGATTGTCGGACGTGTAAATGAATCTTCATTCCAGCATCTGAAAACTAATATATTTTTTCAGCAAAATAGAGCAGAAACATACTTTTCCACCACTTGACATACTGGATGTGGCGCTTTTGTAATCAAGTGAATATCCGGCCGTGTGATTGCACCACCTTCCGGAAACTTTATTTGCTCAATGATTTCATCCGAATCAAGTAAATCGTCGCCATATGGTCCCTGTCTTCCAAAAATTTCGTACAGAACAATTGCAAAAGAATAAATATCCGCCTTCCGTAGTTCATCTTTGCTTAAATCGTATTTCACACAATACCTGCGCACAATTTCAGGAGCAGACCAAAGCTGATCTAATAAAAATAATAGCAAGAACTGATAAAAATCAAAAATACATACCATCAGCTTTCATTCGAGGTTCATCTTGCCGAATTTTTTCCATTCCAAATGAGCTCAACTTTATTCTCCAATACGCATCGACAACACAGTTCGTGCTTTTGAGGTTTCCGTGATATCCAATCTTTGAACCATCATGTAAAAATGCAAGACCCTAAATAGCGTTGATTTGTAAGTAATGGACTCGGACTAATTTTTTTTTAATTTTCAATAGTAATACCTTCATAATATCTTCAACAAACGAAATTTGGAACATTCTGTCAAGTCTCAAATCTTGATTTCTCAATAAATCCTGAAAATAGATGAAATATAAATATATTATTTTATTATTATGCTTACATTCATGCTTTTTCGTGGACCATACAAATGAATTGTAAATATAAGATCGCCTTCATTAATGAGCCCAAGAAACTTGTTCAAGTTTTCATGGGTTTCTGTCATGAGCTAAAAGAAAATGTTATACACGTGGAATACTAAAGATCTGAACATAATCGATTTCCTGTTTCATTTCACGAGTTAGCTTCAGCTGTGATTTTTTGATTTTGCGAACGGTAACAATGGCGGTGTCAAATTTGGCAAGGTGCCACTCTTCAATTTCCAACCACGATTCACGATTTATATTAGCGTTGCTCTAAAACTTCAAATTATATGCAAAATTAACGCTTGTCCAGTACTGTTTCATTTCTCATCCTTCTTTGTCTAGCAGCTCGTCGAATTCCGTGATTGTAAAATTGCAAATTAACTCCACCCGGGCCGGAATCGTCATGCACCGACTAAAATTTAGATTCGCACTGTTAAGAATGCCTTTTGGCGTACTTTGATACTCATTGCACTTTGAAACATGCTTCCCGCTCTGCTAGATCCAAAACTTGTCATATCAATAAGCTGCACCTCCTTCCGATTCACCAAGTAATAAGAAGACTCCAACCGTCTTTCATACGATATCCATCTGTATATGAAATGATCGTTTATGATATTTTTAGACATTTTACTTAATTATATAAACGATGACACCAACGAGAACAAGAATGGCGAGTGCGCAAACGCAGATTATAATAATCTCGAGTTCTGATAGGACACCTGATCAACGAACGGAATTGGGAAAATTAGAAATTTTTTCTTCTACTATTCTAAATATTTTCTAAACTTACTTAAGTCCTTTGGACAAAGCTCATCGTTGAATCCACATTTTGGTCTCGAAGAGGGAAGTTTTCCATTAATGACTCCAAGCTGGGTAAGATTCCTCCAAGCGACTTGCTGTAAACAAGACAATAACTTTTGCTATAAGAAATTGCTGATTACGTATCCTCCCTTTCCATCTGGGGATAATTTTGCCGCTATTTGCGCCCAAATGCTAATTTCTAGTGGACCTTTGTCACTGGACGGGTCTTGTGGCGACCAAACAATATATTGCCGTTGAAGGACTCTAGATGCGCTAAATTTCGCCACATAGCCGAGAAGTGCTAAATCAAAATATTATAATTAGATACGCATATAATTTTTTGTTAAACATGAGACTGCTCGACTACCCATGTAGTTGACCAAAGTTATTGCGTCTTTCAATACTTCAACTCCATGTACTGCAACTGTCTCAGAAAGCACCAATCCCAAATCATAAGCATTAGCAATTGCAGTCGTTTCAGTTTCCCAATAACTATGTGGGTCAAACTGTAACGAAACATAACAATATTAGCACGAATAGTAATTGTAATACAGGTGAATTTTCAGCAATTGCTTCAGCTTTAGTTTCACAAAGCGGCGGACAAAACGTTTTATGCGCATCGTTATTGACGCGATCCTGGAATCCGAGCCATTCGTCGCTGTAATCTGTAAAATTACAATAATTAATTTATATTCTAATTTTATTTTATTCATATGTATACCTTTTGGAAATCGGATAACATCACTGAAGTAAAGATATGACCTGTAATATTGTCTCGTCATTGGATCAGATATTCCATAATTGACGTTTTCAAAAAACGTTGATACTTTAAATTATTGATCATCATTAATTCACCGATTAAATGTTGTCTTACTTCTATTGCGATTAAAACTAAAATATAGCAAATAATCAGATTGAACTGTTCCAATAATAATCACAAAGTATCTTCCAGTTTCCAATAGACCCATGGATGACATGACATTCATGAATAGTTGTGTCGGACCCGGGTAATCCATAACAAGAACATAAACTAGAAGTATATATTTAGAAAACTAATAAAATAGGAATTTGTTTACTTCTCGTCTTCAAGTAAGAATCCATCACAACATCCACAATACTTTCGAGACCAGAAAACATCGCAGTTGTTTGAGAAGCAGAAAACCCACCCTTTTTCACATAATCTAACTAAAATATTTTTCATAATGCTTTCAAAATGGAATTTTGCTACAGTAATCGCTTCCTTCGATAGTGCATCCAATAATTGATTGTGATACGTTTTATCGTTTGACGTATCGTCTTCAAAATTGATAACAGCCACATTCGTCCAACCAAGCGACTTGGCCATTTTTGCAAAAGCGCGATACTTTGACCTGCAAGCAACGACAATGACATATTTTGTATTCTGCAAATTTATGCCCTTGGGTAGAAGCCAGCTGAGCCGCAGTTTCTGATGGCATATGAGCTTCACCAACTTCATCCTCGCAGTTCTATATACTATAAGTCTTTAAATAAGCAATCTGAATTACCAAAAGAAGAGAAGCTTTTTCGAATGCCTGTGCTAACGCAGCAACTTGTTGGCATTGGGATTCAACACCAATGACAGCCAACATTGGATCATTCGGATCCTCATTAAGAAGCATGTCGAGTACAGACCTTACAAAAACATTTTTTAGTTTTCGCATCAGATGGTTCAATCTTTATATCATAGTTCCATTGAACTTTCCCCATGACTATTTTCAGATTCAATTTTGTTCTGACATGTCCAAATTCAATTATCACGTTTCGAAAATCGCATTGTTTCTCTCAACAAGCGGCGCATGTCCTCCCTCATTTTTCATTAACTTCAAAAATCGTTTCTGCGAAGATCAATCGATCTTCAAAAAGACGCCGTTTCTCGTTCTTCTCACCGCCTTTAGACATTACCGTAATACTGTACATCGATACTAAGTGATGACGTGAATAGTCTTTTGAGATCAAAAACAGCGATATTAATTGCATTATTCAATATAAAATACGGCTGTTGAATGCAAATGACAAAACAAATCAACAAAAAAGTGACTATGTGAATATAGGGCCATTTAAAATTCTACACATACTCTGAATAATGGTCCGTTCCATTCGAAAAATTTCCCTGAACGGTGGGATCAAAAAAGTTAACTGTAACATTGGAATTGATGAAGGTTCCGTTTTTGCGAACACCGCCGCCATCAATCAAGCCTGAAAATATTTTTGAAAAACCGCAAGTGGTATTGAAACAACGGAAAAAGCTGATAATACTTTAATTGTGCGTAAGCAAACCTTATTTATAACAATTTATTTATATCTTTATCAAACGTAGATCAGAATCGCAGCGTTAATATGTAGATGTCTACAGTAATTCAAATAATACACCCAGCCTTTTAATACAATTAACTGTGAGATTTTAAAATAATATATTATGACTCGTATACAAACGAAAACTAGATTTGAAAACAAAAATTATGATGTTATTGATGGTGATTAACAGAGATCATTTCTAACTGAATTTTATTGTTTGACAATGAAAATATTTTATCCAAAAGACTATTTAAACAATGCCCTACTTTTTGTGATGAAATTTATGAAATTATAGCTATATTTAGTTCACCCATCATATCGTTTATCTTTATAATTTTACATATTATAAAAAATTGTATTATAGTTTTCTCATTTGATATTAAATGTCTGATGAGTTAATTCGACACACTCGAGGTTTTCAAAGTAACGTGATCTCCTAAATTTCCTCATTTGTTTTGTTTAAGTTCTCTTGTATCCGATTATTTGATTTAAAGATAAATTTTTATCGAAGACCATTGTTGCTTTTTTTTAATCGTCAGACAGTGTTATTTTTAGAAAAGGTCAATTCTTATCAAAAAACGAACTTACCATAATAGAAGGCTAGACCGACATATGTGTCTCTGGTACAGTACTCTTCTTCAAAGTTCACGTTGCAAGTATATCTTCCCAAAAATGTGACGTGGTCGTTTGAAACTTCATAAGCAAATATGAGAAGCAGTATGCCGATCCATAGCATAGTTCGGCAGAATGAATAAAATTTTGAAAACAAACGTAAGCCACGGGATTTCCTACTGTATTTAATTTCCGGTTTATAAGGGTAGTATCCGGAACTTCGTAATTCATTTTTAGAAACAACCAACCGGATATCGTATTTTAATACGGAAATTAATTTGAGTCATTCGTATTCAATTTGATAGCCACGCATTATGTTTTGAATTTTATTATATAAGCTTAGTATGTACAATTGCTGGATATTTAAAATGAGGAATTTGAAATTATAAATGAAACCTCGTAAAACAAAAAAAAATCTAGAAAAAGTGAACTTCTAATAGTAGAAGACTCGTAGAATTCAATACTTGGAATAACTTGGACAGGCTTGGGATTGGCATGAATGTGGACTTAAGTTCGCATTGGAAAAAGACAACGTGAAATTTATGGCTTCAGGTGAAGTTTTTGAAGGACCTCATTTGGTAATGATCTCTTCAGAATCGCATTCTCTGCTTCAAGCTTGTGGACCTTTAAAAAGTTGATATTGGCAAGCATCAGGTGTTTTCATGTCATACGTGATTTTCTAAATCGAAAATTTTGTGCCGCAATCCATCAACTTCTTCGCGGACGGCGAACATCAAATGAGTTTTAACGAGATCCTGAAACAAAGAATTCTCTCGTTGGCCGACTTATAAATATCACGTCCAATGTTTCACGTTCTTTGTTTAACTACGAATACTAGATTATTTTGATAAACGTATATTTCTATTTGAAATGATAAAATGAGATGTGAGTTTTAAAAGATACAGAAAACTTGCCATAGCTTGTTCAATTTTGCTGTCAATGTTGAGAGCTGGATGCACTGCTGGACTAGCAGCAACACTGTAAGAAGGGGATTGACGCGACGATAGTGGTGAGCAACCACGCGAGATGCCATAGCTTGGCGAATATCTTGGCACATGGTTGCATTCGATAACAGCACAGTTCCACATACTTGAGATAATACTAGATTGATTGATATTTAGTAAAATGATTACGATGAACCGCCTAGCGAGTATGGGAATGTGGGCGGTATTTGTTTGGTCGTTTTTTTTTTACAGAAATGATGTGAACAGAAAGTTTCGAACAAATATACCCACAGCCACAATTCGCCACACTGTTTTGTTTTACGACGGAATGTCTTCTTTGGAGGTGGGGCTTGGCATCGAGCCTTCGTGATCAGTCAACCCATCACCACGTGGAAAGCGGCGGAACGTCTCGACATGTGATAATGGGCATGCGAGAGGTGGAGAGATACATTTTTCTGAACATCTCGAAGACACTTATTGGTTTCGGAACAAAAATTGAACGGAAGTTCGGAACTGTTCAAATGGATTTTTAAACATGCTTAAAGATTATAATGATACGGGACATTTCCAAATCCCAAACTTTTATTTCTCTTCCTCGCCAAATTTTCGAGGGTCAAAACTGTTTCGGTCTTCGAAAAAAAAACTCGATTACTGTCTTCTTTGAATTCCATACGTATCAATTTATTTTTATGAGACCAACATGTGACAATTTTACGATGGCTTGATATGACTGACGAAAGGTTATAGTTGAGTTTGAAATCAATTTAGCCATGCGAAGAACATTTGATATGATCGCAGATTCAAATGTTGATTGTTTGAACCACTGTATTAATAGAAGGGGGAAGCGTGGGCGATTTGGATTTTACCTAATAGCAAATTCTCGTATTGGTTTTTATTATAATATTCGTTGCACTTTTAGCGCCTTAAATCGTTAGGAAGACGCCTGAATTTCGCGATTTGATAGAATTTTTAAAAATCTGAATTTTTTTCTATAATAGTCTCTAATATCGCTTGATTTGTTTTCATTTGAGAATTTAGAAATTATTGAGATGCTCTATTATTTTTTGGATTTATATTTTTAAAAATTAACTTTTCATTGCCTTAACTGGAACTGTGCTATTAAAGTTCCAAAATAGTAACCTTTTAGTTCTTCGTGTTTCGGTGTTAGTAAGAGATTTTTCTAGACCAGTCATGATATCCGTAGAAGATCCACCTGATCCTTGTTTACCGGCAGCAACTGCTAAAGCCGTGATTCAATAGCACACAATGATCTCTCACCTTGTGTGTGCGATCCATTGCTGTGTGCGTGAACACTCGTTTGCTTGACAAGTGGCTGAAACTGATTCCATGCAAAAAGATTACTAATGTGTTTGTAGGCGAATATGTCGAAGTCAATTATAATTCACGTTTTCGATTAGTCAAAGAATCAAAGTCGATAGGATGAAAGAATAAAAGATTCAAAAGCATATTCGTTTCTATTTATAGATTGATCTACGGTTGTCAAAATTCCAATTGACGATTGGGTCAATTTTTGGTCATATGACGCCATACATCCCTTCAAATTATTTTTTCATGTGTTCACGTCTCAGACGGCTCGTTTTCAAACAAAAATCACTTTGAATGAAAAGTGACGAGCGAAAAAACACTCAAAAACACCCTCGTTGACATACGCACACATGTGGTATTAATGATTTCGCGTTGTACTTACACTAAATTGTTTGAACAAACCCAACAAAAAAACAAGGAAACGGGAAACCTTTGGTGCAATGTAGACAGGTCTTGGCAGTGGAGCCGGAGGTTGTTTTTGCTGAACTACAGCAGGCATTGGATGAATGTCGGACAATGAACGGCTACTGCGATTCACAATTTCTTCTTCTTCTGTAAATAACGAAATATTAACTGCAACATCTTCAAATAACTTCATGTGAAATTTTTGTAATGTTTTGGTACGAAACGAGTAGTATTGCGAAAAATTAACAATACATTGGCATGGGAGTTTTTGTAAACATTGGTACATTTTTGGTTGTTTGAACTCAATTAAACGTTGATAGTTTAGAAATTGCTCATTACATACGTTTACAAATTGTATAGTTGAGACGGTTGATGAAATGAACATATTTACTTTAACAAAGACATTTTGTAGAGTGTCAAAGAATGCTACATACATGATATTTCACAAGTTTGTGTACCATGCTAATTTTTAAAAGAAAATCTTTAAAACACTGAGGAAAACTCTAACAAACTAGGCGCAAAATGTAGAAAGCAGTTTTTGGAGTTTCTTTCTGTAACTTATTACAATTTTAGTTTCATATAATTTTTGATGAAAAATGTTGATTTATTTGTCGAAATTTGACTAATCGGAATCAAAAAAAGGACACTTAACAGTGAAAATCTAATTTCTTGCCACTTTTGTTTTGACGATCAAGAATAGAATAATTCTTAAATAATATTTACTGGTTTCGTGAGAACGAGATGATGCTTTGCCGTCTAGATTACTAAATGCAAAATGTGAAGATTACTGGGGAGGGAGGGTTGAATAATAAAAACAAGAATATTAATTTTCACCCACTCCCAGATGAGATCACAAAAAAAACTACGCATAATTCAGTGTATCTTTTTGTTTTCTGGGAATAATTTTTTGAACACAAATATAGATATGTTATTGTTTTTTGAGCACGAAGTAAACTTTCGCTGCCAAACAATCCGATAAAATACTGAGTTCTCAAATATAATTCATTTCACATGATGAAGATCTAAAACACGTGGGAAGTGAAGATAAATCGGCTTTCACTTGTTTTCCGTTGTTTGCCTGTCAAATGACGACTATTAAATAAGAGCACGTCGTCTCGCAATAACGATCAATGTCAATAAGTCATTATTCATAAGTCCATATACGTAACTAGAACTATAAAAAATCGAACGAAAACTAGAGCCAACTAATTGGGGGAAAGCGTCCTTCCAATTCAAATGAGAAATAGAGAAAGCAGATACAACACAATCTCATTTACGTTGTGAACGCTGGTTCTTACGACTTAATGAACTCTGCTGAGAGAATTATTCTAAAAAAAGAGACCGAGAAGAAAATAACCATTATTATGTATTTATTATTGTTTGCACATTTTTTACAAACTGTTTGTAATTTTCACACATTGTTTGAAGAAAATTGTTAAAAATTTTTTGAAACGAAAAACTTGAAAATCACAGAATATGTATTATTTTTTATTTCTCTTATTAGCTGGTTTATTTTCGATAGTTTTAGCAATTTCTATGTAATTTTCACGGGGTTTATAAAAATCTAATCGAATGGCTAGATTTGGGGTTTTTGTCAAAGAATAATGTAAATCATTTCGCGTTAAAAAAAAAACGGGAAAATCGTAGTGTTGACTAAAATTTTATATTAGAGACATTGTTGATTTTATAGATACAAATATTTATATCAGAATATACAGACAACACTTGAATGACGGGTGTACAAAAAATTGAAGGCGCCTATAAATGAAATGTCATATATATTGAATGACTTACTAATTATTATTTCTATACGCATTTGCTTTATTACCCTAGTTCGAACGTATTTTTGTTTTCTTTGGATAGGAAAAATAATTTTATAATAGAGTTGAAATATTTTTAAATTTTCAGATATGAAAGTTTTCAAGTTTACAATTATTTGAAGGTAAAATCTTTTCGTTTTCTCTTAAATACATGTGTTGATTAAAATTACTTTTGGCCTTGATTTTACTATCTAAATTCCAAAAATAAAGACGTTTGTTTTTTAATTCAGTTGAACGTATTTCATTGCGCTTTCTAACGTACTCTTCAGAGCAGCAGCTGGTGTTTGATGTGTCGGCTTCGGCACTCGCGTCAAGAATGGATCTCTGTTATCATAAAAATCATGACATTGCCACCTATCTCGCTTATACCGAGTTTCCACGGGAACAACCTGTAATCACGCACTCATTTTCGATTCGATTTCCTCATTGATAAGAAAATACTCAATAGTGTCAAATTATCACAGTTATGAACAATTTTTATAAATTAGAGCCTCGATTATTGAGATAACGAAGAAAAAGTGAAAATTCAACACAATTTCAGCATACCTTAAATCTTGATCCACCGCTAGCCATTGGAATGTTGTTTTTTGGCGGATTTGGTGGATTTTTAAGAGTTGGAGTGGACGGTGTTGTGTTCGCAGAGGAGCTGTCTTGATTTCGACGCAATGGCCGAAAGTCAACGGATTTGCAAAACCTTTCTGTAGTAACACCTATAAACAAAAAATTAGTAAGTTCGAAGAGTAAATTTCTGAAATGGATCTTTTTTTCAATATATTGAAGTAAACCCGTTATGCAAATAGATCAATGTCATTCTAAAATAAGTCGTTGCTTAAACATGAACGTTTTTTTTTTGAACATTTCCTCAACACGTTTTTGTTTAATGAACACACTAAATAAAATATAGAGCCAACACGAAAAATCTCATACTGACTTTAATAGAAAATGTTACAAAAACAAATTTAATATTACATTTATTGCATTTTATATTTTTTTTTCTCACTCTTTCTCTCTCTCTCTCTCCGAAAAACTATAGCAGTCATGAAAAAAAATATATGAAGCAATTTTATACTTTTAGTGGTATTAATTTAAGTTAAATATAATATGTATTTTTTTATAAAATGCAGAAAATATAAATATATGAGAAAATGTGATGTAGTAAAAAACAAAATTAATTGGATAGTTTTGACGCCAAAACCAGTTTTATAGGCATTTCGAATCAATAAACAAATAAAGCTGGTCGTAAACGATGTTCCGTTTATCGCAAAAATCACAATATTAGTAGTTTTACTTACCCCTGATAGCAAACTTTATTTGATCAAAACGATGGTTTTATCAGTTGTTTACAAAGAAACTATGTAGCACTTGAGTGTTAGATAAAAACGCGAAATTTACCATGAAAGTGATTGCCAACACTTCTTGTAATTTGGAACTCAATACACAACTTACCTTTGAGTCTTCAGAGTTTTGGTCTAAAAATACATAGGAAATAGGATTTTTGTTTTCAAACAAACGAAATTTAAGAAAAACGGATTCACCGATTAATTAAACCCAAAGAAAACACCCATCATAAAATGTGAAATGAAACTTGCTGAAAAGAGGAATTTCATTTTGTTCTTTGAAGATCATCTCTTTTATTAAAGATATAGTAAAATATAGGCAAGCCACATAAGCCGATTGCGTTAATAATCTGTTATATCCATATATTTCTTTTCATGTTCACTTTTTATTAAAATTTAATTCGTCAAAAACGTTGAAGGTGGAAGAAAATCTTCAAACGGGCTTTCATTTTTATCTCGTATTCTTCTGTCTACATACAAACGCAATTTTGTAAAAAATTCCTAGCTATCGGCCGGGTTTGGAACTCCCGGCTCCGTAAATCTCTACGATGACAGTTAAAATACTATTGCTATCGTTTCCTTAACAATGCCCAAATTCTATTCTCGAAAAAATTGATGTTCGCAAGAAGAACATTTTAACACACAAAAAGAGTTTTTTTTTTACAACGACTAAGATAAACTAGAATATTTCAAATATTTCGAACCCCTATCCACAATTAACCTATTTTTTTTTTGGAATGTGTAGTTCAGATTTTTCTCATCTGAAGAAGACTGGCGAAAAATTTATTGCGCTCACTCTATAAGCATCTCACTCAGAGAATTTATTCTCTGTCTGTTAAGACGAATTCTCTTATCTAATGATACTTTTTGATACCATAACATTTTTTCATTCAAGCTTAACTGAGTTTAATGTTTCTCTTGGATTTAGATATGCATCCCGACGGGCAAAATTGAATTTACAACGTATCTTACCATTTAATTTTTCAGAAAAAAATTTTCAGTTGCTTAGCAAAATGACTCAATTTCAAATCTGCTAATGTGAGATTTGGTAATATTAAATAAATAATGTTATAAAGTCTTTCATAAAAGAAAAAAATTGAATACAAAAAGTATATGATTGTACATTAAGACTGATAAACCTGAAAAAAAAAAACTAAAAATGTGTACTAGTCCTAAAATTATTAAATTAATGTCATATACCTTCATTTTGAACTAGTTAGAACAGTGCTTTGCTTAATTCTTCCTGAACACACTTTAGAAAATTTAATGATTCCTTTAAGATAACGGTAAAAATAGGTCAATGAACAAAAACTTTCAACTATTCTAATCCACTATTTGACCCATTTTACCTTTATTAAATCTCTGTGAAATAATTGGTGATAACGATAACGAAACTATTCATATTTTCTTATTTCAAATTCATGAATAAACCAAAAAATAAATAAAAAAAAGGTCGAAAAATCAATCGATCTAATTTGAAGAGATGTAATTTTAGTTGTGGTATCTTGGATTTTTTTTCTCACTTGATGCAACATAGTCTCCAGCCGGAAGTGACTCGTCTGAATCGCTATCAACCCATTTTGTATCAATGATTGAGATCCCGGGCAAGTTTGATGGCCGGTTTGGCTTTTTTTGGACTTCTTCCTAAACAATTTCTCAGAATCAAATTCAATAAAACATACTTCTTCGATTATAGTTGGTGGTGTTTGAACATTGCGCAAAGATTCACCAAACATTTTCTAAAATAATTAAATGAACGAATGTTGTATAGTTGAATTGGAATAGGAAACGAGAAAAATGTGATAAAACTTGAGACATTTTTGTTTAATGTGTGCACGTTGAAATGTGTGACATTGTTCAATTGTTTAGCGTAAGAAACCTTCAGGTCATACATAAGCAGTATGCCGTTTTTTAATTGATTGAATTCGAAAAGTTTTTGCCAAGTTCAACAATTTCAAATCGAGAATATTCCACAGAAACAACAAATAAAAAACAATGGTGTGATAATGTAACGAAAAATCGAAGACGGACTGAGAGTGTGTTTTGTTGTAATCAATGAATAAAGCCAGTTTTGTTCCGACGCATAGCGCGAAGGTCAGATCGGTTTCAATTTTAAGTTTTTTTTTATCCGATTAATTTAAAATTTAGTTTTTCAATATAATCTGTAATTATGACAGAAAATGCAAGAAAAAATAATTTATTTTGACAATCGATCATATCGAGAATGTTCAAAAATAAATAGCGAATACATCATTATTCGTAGTGGGAGTATATAAATTTACAGAAATTAATTACTTGCAATTTTCTATTCGGAATAAACTAGATTTCAAAGACTAAAGGTTTTTAAAAGTGTTAGCACCGATAAGTATCTCTGTTTTTGTCGCGTGACGCAAGCAGATTCTTAAGCCCTCAGTTAAGAAGGATAAAAGAAATTACAAGAATCTAATCAAAGTGTTGTTAATGACGACTGAAACTGTTAAACCATTCTCTACTTTCGTGTTGATGTTTTGTACTCAGTAATTAACATTTTTGTTGCCTATTTGAACCACCGAAAAACGACTTTTTTTAAATTTACTCAAGCACGTTTTTAGAAATGGTAGTGCCCGGAATTATTAATATTTTTTTTATTTGCATTTTAAATTTCATAATGAAAAAAACGTTAATTAAATGACGTTAGAATCACGAGAATGTCACAAACTCAACAAGAAAATAAATCCAGCAAAAAAGGTAGGTATTCGCATGTGACGAGACCATAGAGAATGTTGCCAACCTGAAAATCGCGTGCATCTGTCGGCGGACACCGAACACATATCAGCATAATCGAGGCATGGTAGTAATCGTAATATTGAGATAAAACTTGACACCTGGATATTTTTTCTATTTAATGAACGATCAGTTAATATATGTAAGTGCTTCTGAAACAACGTCTAGAACATAAAACCATCGAATTGTAACCTGCTTAATGGACTTTCGACTCGCTCAAATTTTTTAACTCACAATCCAAAGTTCAGAGACGAAGCAGTGAATATTTTCCATTCAAATAACCTTTTACGATCCATGTTAGGCAGAGCCTACGACAAAAAATTTGATGTTTATTTTAAAATTTCAGTTTACTGTGAATTGTTCAGGAAAGCCAATGTAATATCAGGATTTATAAAAATTGTATTGTTTGTTCTAACAAACAAAATTAGAGAAATTTACTAAAACTTAAAAAAAAGAATTACATACCAGAATATAAAGAGTATGTTTTAAACCTCATATCAATTAATTTTCAATACATGTTATCAACACTTATATTTTGGTCACTTGCGTTCATGGAAGACAATGAAACTAGTAAAAAGTTTAAGTTCGCATACATAAGATATATTTTTGGTACAATTGGCGACATTTATCAACCATTTACGTGTTAATCGCATTTGTGTATTTTTTTCAATATCACTTCCGTATTTCGAGTTTTGGAAATTTTTGAGCGTGTACCACTTTATGAAGAATGTTTTCATCTATGTATTAACTAATTTATTGAAAAATTGGGAAGCGATTTACAATTTTGACGGTGATCCATATGCATCTGGTGTTTGTCTTATGCACAGCATTCAATCCATCATTTTCTTTCACTCAGTTATCTTCTTAAATTGCTCTACAAATCGACAATAATATAACTGACTAGTTAGCGAATTTAGAATTTGTTTTTAAATGTTTAAATTACTAGCAATCTTTTTTCAGATCTATTTAGTTCCGTTGTTATCGAAGCCATCCGATAATTTGTTATAATTTTTGTATTTTTCGAAACATGAAAAAAATTTCAATAAAATCCGAAATTCGTCTGAAACACAATAATTATTATATGAAAATTCAAATTGGCGCTAACCGTATATTTGCATGCTGGGTCTCGCGACCGCGGTCGAACGCGTTCAATTTGCGTCCACATCTTTTCGAAATTTTTTAGGAAGCTTGTTTTTTTCTTATTCTGTTCCATGTATTTGTAATTCTTTATTAGATTTTTCTTAATTTTAAACTGACGCTCGGAAAAAAGTTTCAATAACAAAATATGATAAATATACGAGCAATTTTTTCTTCGAACCTTGTAGGAATGTTCCTCTGCAACCTTTCTTGCCTGGTTTTTCTTATATTCTCAGTGTTTATAGTTGTTGATATTGTGATATTGATTCCATCTGTTTTGCATTTTTTCAGAATTTTTCGATCATATTCTCAAAATCCTCTTGTTTTATTGTCTGATATCGAAGAGTTTATCTATTTCAGGTTCGTTATTAGAGAAAAGAAAATGAGCGACGAAGCGGAGTTGGATATCAATGTGGATCAAATGATTGATCCCACTAAAAATGTTTTTGCCGAATGTCTTCCAGTCATTGCCGAACTCAATAATGTTATCGATTCTAGGTTATATTGGAAATATCAGATTATTTCTGTTGACAATTGTATTTCAGAGAAAAACACTTAAATTCATACAATGAAATCATTATCACTAAAATGTTTCATGAGTTTAATCTGTCGGAAAACCCGGAAGCAGCCATACAAAAGTAATTTCAAAACAATCATCGAATAATTTGAAATGTATTATTTATAGATATTTGCCATACCATCGTAAAACTTACAACATGTCTCCAGAAACATATCTTGAGTCAATACTAGAAGAATACAAACACAATCCATGGGCAAAAGCGCTGGCTAAGGAATGTACAAGAATGGACAAATTCTTCACCAAATCATCGATCATGGCATGTTTTAAGAAGTTTCTAACAGAAATAGAAAAAGCAAAGTCTGATAATGAAGATCAAGTATCCCAAGAAAGGTAAGCATTGTTAACATTTAAATATTTAATAAATTTCTAATTAATATTTTCACGTTTTATTTTTTCTGCTGATTTTTTCGTACGTCCAATTAACAGTTAGCCATAGAAAGTCAAACATTATAAAATAGATTTTCTTTTTTTATTTTTATTTACAAGGACTGATAAATAAAAAAAACGTTTTCGTCTTTTTATCACATTAATTTAAATAACTGCTGATGCATTAAAATAAAACAAATCTGGCTCCCCTTTATAGTAATTTCTTAGCCTAAAAGATGATATTATTTTAATAATAATAATTTTTCAAGATTGACGTCTGAAACGGAAGGCATTGAGCATACAAGAAAACTCTACATTGCTGAAACATTGTTGGATACCTTTGCAAAGCTTTATGAGAGTGAAGTCAAAGAACACAAATTAATGTGCGACATTCAAAAAACGAATATTGAGATTGTTCAGTCACAGCTGGACAAAATGAGGGACATGATAATGGCTCGCTATCGCGAAGTGGTACGTGACCATCGAAAAAAATTGAGAATATAGAAAAACGAAAAGCGGTATTCGAATCAAAATGGAAAAAGGCTGAAGCCAACATGATGCTTGTCATTGAAAACAACACAAAGAAGGACGATGTTGTCATCAAACTGAAGGCAAAAATTGAGGAGCTTGAAGATCTGAACGATAAATTGAAGCAGGAAATTGGCAAAATTCGCGATAACAATAAGAGTGTGAACAAACGCCTTGAAGACGAGATTCAGAAAAATAAGGTTTTAGAAGAACAACAAAAAGACCTTAATAATATGAGCCTCGAGATAATTGATCTTAAAGATCAAGTCCGTGCAAAAAACGAATTGAAGACAAAACTCTACGACTTACGCCTTGAAATGGCAGCTAAGGATCAAAGAATCAATGAACTGGAATCACAATTAAAGCTGAAACCAACAGTATTCCGATCTATTTGCAAAAATACTGCTCCTGAAAAGAAAATGAAAGTTATTTCTACTGCTACTTCGGACAATGTCGTTTGCGAAAACTTCAAAAAAGTTGAAGGCTTGTTTGCGGCTCTTTTTGAACTTGAAGAGGTCAAGAAAGTTGCCGAAAACCCCGATTTTGTTGAGAAATGGTAGCGTTTTTTTATAACATCCATAATATTAAAACTTTTCAGTCTTCGCTTTCCTCAAAATAAACATGCTGGAAATGGAGTCATACACACAACGCAATTGCCATCAGTAATATAATTAATTTCGCTTCATTTTTTGTTAATTTGGCATTTCAGACTTCCACTCCTTTGACATCGCAACCGGGAAAACAAAATGAAACTATTATGCATCGGCAAGTTTCTCCGTCTAAATGGAAAAACGTTCATCGAAAACCTCAAGGATTGGTTGAAATCGATGTATGAAACTTATGAACATATAGGTGTAGTTGGCGTGCTGGGTAGATTTACAAGCATATGGTCACATAACTCGTTTTTTGCATTTCTGGGTTCATTTCAATAATTTCGATTTTGATGATTCTATAAAAAAGGATGGAAATAATAAAAGAATTTATATGTATCATGGCCACAGAGCAGTCGCCAGGAATCGACTATATCAGAATAAGAGAACAAATCAATTATTTATTTCAGGATGACTCGTGCATTATTTGTTATGAGAAGTTGTCCACGAACAGTGTTAAGTGCGATACTTGTTATCGTCGTTTTGACAAGGATGTAAGAAAGAAATCATTTTTTAAATTTATTCGTAAGCGTTTTACAGTGTCTCGCCGAATGGCAAAAGAAAAATGCAATTTGCCCGGTTTGTAACGCGCCATTCCCGAACATCGACTCCTTCCCAACGCTTCACTAATTTTCTTTAAATTTTAATTTTTGAGTAACATTTACCGTAGTTGATTCTTGAATATAATCTTGGCTTATGTTTTAATCGAAGCGTTACAAATTTTTTTTTGGGTTTTTAACTTGGTTTAGAGATCTCTTCTTTGGGTTTCTACCTCTCTCTCTCTCTCCCTTTGATTCGAAGAAAAAATAATAAAATGTTATTGTTTGTGTTTACAACCTCAATTCATTTAATTTTATACTTTTGTTCATTTAAATATTCATTTGTGTCACCTATTCTACCCGTTATAATTGTTTTAATAATTTCCTTTTGCAACCTAATTTTGTTTAGAAAATTCAATAAATCCCAATCGCTCTTCCAAAAATTTTAGTAAATGCTGCAATCAGTGAAAATATACATAATATAAACTCGGAAACAGTCAAAATTATTTACTTGAAAGATCCTATTTTCACAAAAGCAAACTATTTCATTTTCACAAGTACTCATTTGATTCTGTTTATAACATGCTTCTTTTAGCCGAGTCTAGGCCTAATGAATACTAAAATAATTTTATTGAAATGAATGTTATTGATGAGTTGGGATATGGAAAAATACTTTTAATATTTCATTAAATTTGAGAATTTTAGTTTCCTCGGTCGAATAAAAGAAAAATGCCTTGAAACGACAAACCAGGGTTTCACTGGTTACTCTCGGCGTGATTACTTATAACCAAACCGTCAAATCGTGGAATTTCTTTTGTCGGAATATTTTATATTGGTGATTTTCAAGTCAAACCCTGATTATATTGGAACAGTTGTTTTGAAGAAAAAATTGCGATAAGCAAAAAAACGTAACTTCGTTTTTTGCTAGAACACCAAATTAATAACTAGTTTACGACACCCCTGGCAGAAATTGCAAAAAATTGTTAGAATGGCTGACACACGAATGTGAAATTTATCTCGAAATTTTTTATACATGTCGATTAAAAATGTGATAATGCAATGCAAAACAAATAATTGCCTAGTAAAAACGAAAAAATAATATACGATCATTACCAAAATGAATGACAACTTGAACACTGACAGAATTCATCGGTCAGCTGTTGATTGACACAAAAGTGTAACGATGAAAATGAGAGAATTAGCAAGATCTGCAACGGGAATAAATTTACGAAAACAATAAATTAAAGGAAAAACGATCGAGATCTAATGGAAATAAAATAAGAATTCAGTAATGAAAAATATAGCAAATGGCAGCAAAAATTGAAAAAAAATCAACGATATTAATTAAAAATTCATCATTGATTCATTTTTATATGTCTTTATGAATAATTAATCAATTTTAATGACGTTTTCCTCCAAAACCTGGTTTTCTTGTTGTTGAGGGACTATCGGATTAGACACCTCGTTGTTCTCGCTGTTAGCGTGATCAATCGCTTTAGCCTTGCGCTTTCGGGTTCGTCGAACGGGCTCTTTGAAAGCATCGATCATCTAAACAGTCTTTATTTTATATCGTTTTCTGTTTCGACTAAATGTACCGGCGGAGAGTATTTTGATTTGTAGTTGATTGGCTGAGGGCAAAAATTCTTCCGCGCGATATTCATTTTCGACAAAAGCTTATCAAATACGACATCAACCTCAGCATTAATCTTGTTCTCGAATATATGGTCCTGCAATGTTCATGATTCTCTGATGAAGAGTACGAAAGACCCAAAAAAAAAATTTTAATTCTCGGATGTTTATTTTTTATTCCACGTTTTTATTATAAATTATTTTTTACGGATCGGTCGACCCTATGTTGGCAGATTTTGGATCATCCTATCTTAGGAATGATCTGATCGTATAGATATGCTTAAATTATAATTTTCATTTGAGCTTATTTTCATGTTAAATTTTAATTTATTGTATGTCGAGTTTTCTAGGATTCAAAATCTAAAGAAGACCGTACTTCAGAATTTCTATAATACGTTTGTACGTAGATGAGGTGCTATCAATATTCAAAATTGATTTTTATTTTGATCCTTTAAAGAGAAATTACGACTAAAAACGTTGTTAACGGATTTTGCTCGTTGATTGTTTCAAAAATCAACTTTATCTTTATACAAAAAAAAAAAACATACGTATTGCGTTTCTTGAAGATTCACAGCGTGAATTTTCGTTCCCCTGGCTGCAGCAATACTCGGCCAGGAACCAACTGGATTCACCTCAAGAGATGTTCCGAGGACAACGATAAGATCACAAATCTAAATGATAATTTAACTTTATTTTGTATAAAACATATTGAAAACCTCTATAACTTGTTCACACTTTTTTAGATCATCTGGATTAATAGGAGTGATCCAGTCCAGGGTAGTATCGCGAAGGCTGAATAAAAATTAATATAAATGAACATTTGGACGGTTTAAGTTTTTATAATTTTCTCAATCTAAATAAATATGCGCTTAACGTTTTTGTTTCCCAAGATTAATCTTTTCATACTAAACATCTAAGGAAATAATGGACCACATATGAACAAAATTTTCTGCGCAATGGAATTCTGCCAGCCGAAATTTTTAAAATTTTGCATTTCGATGCAGGAAATTCTACGTGATGTTCATGTGTACATTATTTGACGAGAACTTACATTCCCCGACAAGGACGGCCATGTGGAGTTCCTTCGCATTTAAAAGTCGTCGGTTTATGTCCGACACTGGCAACTGGATCTTTGTTATAATACATTCTTCCGCATGAAATGCATTGTAAGCGAAACAGATTTCCATGAATTTCGCAGAGCAGATTCAGCGGATATCCGCTACGGTGAAAAAGTCCGTCGACGTTTTGGGAAATCATCCACCTGAATTAAGTTTTTCTCCATGTGTCTGAATAAAAATATAATCTTACTGAATGTGAGCTTGATCCTCCAGCTCCCGGAGAGCATAATGAGTGGTGGTTGGTTCGGCATTTCCAATATCGGATGGATCGGCTTTTTCGCCGTTCTTCAGCTTGGTCCACACACCGTTCGGGCCCCGAAAGTCGCTTATATTGCTTGAAGTCGAAATTCCCGCACCAACGATAAAACAGGTCTGATTCGAATCAAGAAGAGCCTCATATAATTTATCTATTTTAGCGTTCAGTGTTTCGGCGTCGTCGCGATACTTAATGCTTTTGGGTTAAAAATATTCATATGCCTTATTCTTACTTCTGGTCTACCAACTTCACCTTCAATCTCATGATGAGATAACAAATCATTATAACAAATCATGGTAACGAACTGAAATTTGTACCAATTTATGAGTAAAAAACGACTAAATTAAATGTAAATGTAAAGTGTGGAATAAAAGACAATTCCGAAAGTGACGCTACTATTACGTTAGAGCACATTTGCTGCCTACGATGATGTCTTAGTCTCAGCGTTGCCTACAAAAAAATAGTACTCAAAAGTGAGAGATTCAGAAGGCGCCGCTGTTATAACAGCAACAATGCACTCTATGTTCAAAACTGTCATAGAATAATAGAAAAATTTGGAGCCACTTTCGAAAAAACGCTTAAACGAATATTTTTTGCCGATTAAGAAAAATATGTTTCAAGTGATGCGAAAAGTAGCTTTTAATAAAAAATCATTAAGTTTTGCTAAATTTTTTAAGCACTAGTCATCATTTCGTAAAGAAATTGGCTTGTTTTAAGAAAACCTTCAAAGAACAGCGAACTGTTTCGTTGTTATATTTATTATCAGAATTGAATTTCTTCTCACGAAATACTGAAATTACGACCTACCCTTGCGATAACTGACACGTTTTGATAAATTTTTAATAGCTGAATAAAACCGACTTTGCAAGCAATACCCAATTTAAACAATAATGTAGTTTCCAATACATAATTATCTGTATTTGACGTTTTTATTGAAACAAAGTAAGAATGCAAGTATTCAACATTTTAAAGTAAGCACGTCTAAAAAAACAAAAAAAAAACTGTAAAATAGCAAATAATATGTGCGATGTTTCTTGCACACAGATATTAAACGATGAATTGTGTCAGATTTTTGCATTTTTTTATCGATTACGTTTTCATCATTCCTATTTTATAAACAAATTATTAACTACACATACGTATAACCCAAATAAATGGAATTATTCGTAAACTAAAACTATTTCTATGTTTATAATTTAACAAATTATTTAAAATTGAAAATAGCTATCAAGAGATTTCTCAAAAAAAAAAACATTTTAAAACTATTAAATGTTTTTTTATTCTGCCGTCTTCATAAGATATTGTGCAGATATTAAAACAATATTGAATGTTACTTGATTTATGCAGATAAAGCTTCCAAAATTGTAATTTTTACACATATTGCATATATTTTGTAGTTTGTATAGTATGTAGTGAGATGCGATACATATGTAGAGCGAATAAAACACGAAACTCACATAATCGCTTGTTAATCCATTGTTAGGTGGGATTTATCCGTGAAAAATATGTTTATTTCTAGTTTTCTTTTGCAAGAAACTTTCATTTTTATATATGACTTTTTCATGACCATGTAACCGGGTTTGATATTTTATTGAACTCTTCGTGCATAACATTCATGAGTACAGTTAGATGGAACACTCAATTAATTATAATCAAACGATTGGCAGCGGCCGGAAAGCGATGCGATCATTGACTGGAGAGCTCTACAAGTATTTTATATTTAGAATTAATATTGTGTTATTTAAAAATTACCCTTTTGTATAGTTGCGGCTGCGAATCAAAGAATCCCGGCATCCATCCGCGGCCGGAGATCATAAGTCCGCTACGAGGAATAGCGGCGAGCTTGTGATCCTGAGTTGCACGCTTTGAGAACCCATCGTCCGGCTGCAAACAATAAATATCAGCCTCCGCGTTCCTGTTCATCTCTACCAATGCCCTTCGCTTCAGAATCCGCAAGATTGGCACGTTTTCATATTGCTGGAAAAGCAATGACGCACTCTGGAAAATAATTTCTTGAATTTCCGAAATGAAAAGCATTGCAAAGGCTTCAATTTAAAGAAGCCATTTAATCTGACGGATTTAATTTAATTGTTTAACACCAGTAGCGTGATTTTGAAATGTCTAGTAAAATTCTCACCGGCTGGTCGTACTCGTTGACATCGTAGGCAACCGAGAATTGGGCAAGAGCAGTAGCCGCAAATATGACAACTACCAGTGATTGCATTGTTACCTTAAACGGGATTATTTTATCTTATAAATGAAACGAAAAAAAAAACGAAAAATGAATGAGAAATGAATATAGTCGACTCAGTTTTCTTATTGGAGAAAATTAAAAACGAAAATTCGACCCACTTGAATATTTAGCAAAAGAATGGCAAAAATGGGATTATTTTTTATTTAAATAGGAAATACGGAAGCCTTATAATATGACGAAAAAAGGGGAGGATCGGAAAGAGTTCGAAGTAGCGTTACGGAATATTAAGATTTTAACTAGAAATGAAAAATTTGATTCTCAACATTTGCACACATGAATCTGCTGGAAAATAAGATATGACAAAACGCGTATTATTTTCATTAGAATTTCGCTTTAACTCTTTAGGTGCCATCACAAAAACTGAGTTGTCATTTTCAGACAATGTTAGGCGAAAGATCAAACTTATCTTGCAAAAATGTTTTAGCAGAATATCAAGAGAGAATACTCCAAACGAAAATTTGTCATTCTGAAATGGTAAGGAATCATTGTGAAGTGGGCGTTTAGGCGGAAAGGGGCGGTTCCTATCCCCAATTTCGGGATCACTTTAAGACAATATTGAAACAATATATCTCAGCCCACACAATTTCGTTGCCCATACACGTATTCGTAGTGACAAGGAGCACCTAATATTCACGCACAGCCCACACGAACACATTTATCAAGTGGATTAGTTTTCAAGCGTCCCGATATTCTGTGAATAGATGGAAAACTGAATAAATTGGTGAATCGTAGGAAAATATTTGAAAAATTTGCTTAGAGTTGCTTCATGCATTAAATCAAACAAATTTCTATTTTTAACACTAGAATAGTCATCGAATATCGAATGTAAATGAGAGCTATTTTTAAATGTTAAATTTTGCTGAGTTCGATTTTTGAATAGTTTTTCATCGAAATCTTTGAATTGTAATTTCATAACTAAAATTATACAAACGTATTTCTAAATTTGAAAAACGTCAGTTTTGTCTCCCAAGAACAAAAAACATAAAGTACGTTAATTAATAATACAATGGAATTCGATCTTCTTAAAAAGGATTTTGAAGCCTGTGGTCAAATTTCTTTGAAGTTTCTAATGATCTGCATGGACTCTCATTTTCTCGCTAAAGGCTAAAGCTACTATTCAGAATACGATAAAATACCTTAGAAAATGGTTAGAATTCGTTTTTTTTAGCAGTTGTCATATGGATTTCAGAATTTTTTATCGTTTTTCTTTTTGAGAAATCTACATTGTACAATAAAGCAACTGCGCTTCAAGTTTTTCTTATGAAAACTCATGTGTAACGAATAATGTTTAATAAAACTAATTGTTTCATTTTTAATAATAAATTCAATCAAAAGAGAATAATTTTTAACATAGTGTGGAAACCTAGATAATATTATCGCCGGAAATTCTGAGCACTATTTATAAATTTAACAATCATTATATTCAACTCGAAAGTTATTTTTGCTTCCTCTTCTCACCAATTTCCGGTTAATTTGACCAAACCCTGAGATGCCCCGAGATAAATATGGCTTCGTAAATTTCAACGACGCAAGGAATATCCCTATTTTGAAGGCTTTAGTTCAATCAAGAAGCGGTGCATTTTCTTGATGTATTAGACGAAAACGAAAACACAATTTCTACAGTAACACTTAAAATGAAATATAGAATTTTTGCGCAATATGTGTTTATGAGCAGAGAATCATGAACGATCCGATTTGGTGAAAGAAAATTATAGTGTTGGAATATAGAACAATGGGAATTCCCATTCAGAAACTCATTTTTCTTAGTTGGACACCACCACCAATTTTTCAGCTGTCGAAAATCAATATCAAGTGACATCATGCAAGATCCAAGAGGAATTCATGGACCAGCAGAAATGAGTAAGATACTGATGGGGGATATGAAAAGAATGTAATGGATGAAACACGAGTTAATCTATACGATAATGACGTTTTGCAAAAAAATTAGCAAGTTAATGAAGATAGCCATACTTGTAGGTACACATGTCCAAATTATTTCCGCGTCTGCTTGAAACTCACTTTTGCAACCACACGTATTGTGAAGACACGATAAACATTCATTTCTTTAAATTAAGAAAACGCTGTGTATTAAGAAATTGTCTCATTCTTTTAGGTAAGTAATTCAAAAAGCAGATATACATATATTGAAACATACACTGAATACGATAAAATTAATGCGGATTGAATTCACATTATACACAAATGAATGAGATCGAAGAATTAGTAGCCCGGAGCAGTTCTAGGTGGCGGGCAGTGATCGCAGCCTCCTGAAATGTAATACTTTTGGGTAAATATCATGCAGAGTATGCGAGGGTGTCATTATCAAAAATTCTACCTGGTTCACCGATTTCCCCGTCGGGTCCTGGATAGCCGTTTGGTCCTGGTTTACCCTGCAGACCTGGTAGACCGTCATCTCCTGGTTCTCCGGGTGCCCCGTCTCTCCCAGGATATCCGTCAGTTCCAGGTTTTCCATCTAGACCAGGTTCGCCTGGTGTACCTGGGGGACCAGGCGGACCAACAAGGCCAGGAACAATCATCACTTTTCCAGGTTCTCCGCGGGATCCGGGTTGGCCCGGGTTTCCTGGTTGTCCGACATTTCCAGGAGACCCAAGCGTTCCCGGTGGTCCAGGTTTTCCTTTGAGTCCTGGAGCTCCAATTCTACCAGGTTGTCCAGGAGATCCTTTTGGTCCTTGAATACCAGGGCGTCCAGGTTCCGCTGGTGGACATTCGAAACACCAATCCTAAAAGTTATGCTTTAATTTATTAGAAATAATCAATAGCATACAAAGTTTGGCGCAGGAGTAGGTGGTGGACCGTCTGGACCATCCCTGCCAGGCATTCCTGGTTCTCCATCCATCCCCGGATTTCCATCAGAGCCAGGAAGGCCAGGTGGTCCTACAATTAGATTTACATTTTGATTCCTTCATAGAACATTCTACCTGGAGGTGACTGACCACAACCACAGCATGATGATTGGGTACTATAGGATGGACTTACACCGTAATCATTAGTTGGCTGAGTCCATAATCCGTAACTCGCAGATTTGTCATAACTAGATCTGTCGTATTCGTGTCTAGCTTGATAGTAACGGTCATATGATGATGAGTCATAATTTGTATAACGTTTTTCAGCCCTTCTGGCTATTCTAACGCCGCGTGCGTTCGTCATAAACTGAAATAAATAAATAATGGAAAAGTTTCAAATAAGAAATTCAATTCCGCCCACGCAACAAAGCAAAAAAGCAACTAAAAAGACCTGCGTTTTTGTTACTTCTCGCCAGAAAAGATTTGAGCGAATTTTGCAGAATTCAACCTAAATTCAATTTGTGTTAACGATGATTCATAATAAATTGTCTTAACCTGATCGATCATGGAAAATTGCATTTGTTGCATTTTATGGTAGGCCAAAGGAACGGTGACAATGCACACTAGTGTTGCCACAGTAGACATTGCTACTCCAAAAAAAGCAACTCTGAAATTTGATATCATATATTAAGTTATCTAAAACTTTGAAAAATTCTTACTTTCTCAAAGAATTTGCTTGTTTTTCCAGTTCCTTTTCATCCAACATATTGTCACACATCTATAAAAATACAAAAGTGTTGAAGACAAGCAAGGTGGATCAAAACAGCAGGATTAGCAAACTTTGAAAATATTAGCATGCCTTTTATAGCACCACTTGGCTAACCGGATAGATGAAGATTATCACAGTATGGTGCCAATGTTACAGTTTTTGACACCTAGCTTCTTGCCACATGAAAAAATAAAGCTTCTCATCTTATGAGATTTTTAAAGCGATCAAAAACCTTTAAAGTACAAATTGAGATCAAAAAAGCACAAGAGACTATTTGAATCCAATTCGTTGAAGAACCCGCTACACATCAACTTCCAAAGTGGAAAGAGTGTTACCGCTTTCTTATGGTTGGTTCAATTTATAGTCATGGATACGATGGTGAGGGTACATTTTATAACATCAATTAGAAGCGAAATTTCTTTGAATTCACTTTTCGTGGTTTCGGTTGTTTGGAAAACGGGAAATCGGAGTGCAGAAATTCTCGAATTCTTGCCTATAATTAGTGACGCAAGTTACTTACAAAATCATTACCGGTTGCACTCTTTGATCACGGTTCGATGAATCGGCCATATAATACATGGCCTTTGAAAAGCTTCGGAAGATTCATAATGAAAATTTTATTATGTACTATGTAAAAAGCCAAATAATAATGATGAACAGTATATAATCGGACAACATGAAAACCACTATATCGAATGAGGTGACGACAATTCAATTATCTGCAACACGCGTGAACTTTCAACGCAAATTGTTCCTCATTTCCACCGATTCCAGACGATTTGACCAGTGAATAGTCTCCGAAGCGATAATTGTCAACGTGCGCCTGTCAAAAACTAGACGATATTTAACAACTCCGACATTTCGTGTAGACATACACGTTTCTTATTGTTATGTAATGTTACCGGCAACAATTATTTTTTGCATCGTAAAGTATTATGGTTCATTCGGTGTTTTTTTTTGTTTATATTTAGTGACGATATTAAGAAAAAATTTTGCTGACGCAATTGGCTACTACGCATTGTTTTCCCGCTTCGAATTACGGTGTTTGTTGATATTCTGAATCGATTAGCCGATTTTCACATTTCTCATGTATTTGAATAATTCCGGTCTTTTCGCATTTTACGTAGACTACTACTTTAATCCGGAATCCATAAGTAGATTCTTTCTGATCACGTTAAAAATGAAAATGAAATTTTAATCTTAGTGTATATCAAAACCGCATTAATAATCCTGTGTTTCCGGAAATTAAAGTGTGATATTTATATTTTTAATTTGTGTTATTCGTAGTCCTACACCCACAGCCACAAAATGGATTAAGCTGTTCGACGGTGTTTTGCGGTATAATTGCTTTTGAAAGGGAAATGCGTGGTTCGAAAAATAAAAATCGTAGGAACTTGTTTCAACGAAGTTTTGTGGGGATGTTTCATCGTGCATTAAGTTTATACAGTATACAGATGGCAATTTCACCTGATATGCTCCAATTTGGGTGAATGCTGGTGGACAATTTCCGAGCGCAAGAATACAATAACCTTTGTCATTTACAATCCATCCTTTAAAAGTTCATTAATAAAAAATCACAAGAATGTGCAGATGTACCTGGAAGTCCTGGGATGCCATCTTTTCCTTGTTCGCCTTTGCTTCCTGGCAATCCAGCTGGTCCGGTATCTCCTTTAGGTCCTGGTAAGCCAATCTGTCCAGGTGGACCAATCGGTCCCATCATTCCCTGTCATTCATTAAGAATAATACAATTTGAGAAACACGATTACTTGGGGACCAGGAGCACCTGGCAATCCTCTTTCACCAATAACTCCTGGAACTCCTGGAATTCCACTGGTACCTTGTTCTCCTTTCTTGCCAGGGAATCCGGGGGAACCTGAAGAAACTAATTAAAACATATTTGGTTCGTCCACAAACCTGGTCTCCCTGGCAATCCATCCTCTCCTTTACTTCCTGGCCAACCTGGTGAACCCGGAAGTCCATTACTTCCCGGCAAGCCTTCCATTCCTTTTTCACCCTTTGCACCAGGTTGCCCAGTAGCTCCGGGTTCTCCAACCTTTCCCGGAATTCCGGTATCTCCTTTAAGACCAGGAATTCCTGCGCTTCCAGTTTCACCTTTTTGGCCTGGGAATCCCTGAAGAATATTTATTTCTAAAGTCTTTTCATAGTAAACAAACCATGGACCCTTTATCACCTTTCATTCCAGTTGGACCAATCGGTCCCATATCACCTTTCACACCGGGAATTCCCTGCATACCGTCTTTCCCTGGCATTCCTTAAAAATGTTGGTTAAATTATCAGTGTGAAAAAGAAAGGAAACCATCCAACCCAGGATCTCCCTTTTCTCCTTTTGCGCCAGGAAAACCTGGAGATCCATTTATTCCTGGCGGTCCTGGTCTTCCAAGCTCACTAACTCTGGCATTCAAATTTTTGATGTGCTACAGTTCAAATTTAAACAATTTTTGAACAATTTTTTAAAGAGTTTCTTACATCCAAAATCATTTCAATATCTGCATTGTGTTTATTAATTTCAGTCTGAATAGCAATTACAGCAGCTGTATCAAGTGCAGCACATGTCAACTTGAATGTAATAAGCAAAATAATGAGGGATATACGAGCCATCTAAAGAAAATAAAATAAGAAACGACTGGAAAATTCGAAAATAAATGAAACATGATCTGAAGAGTGTAATGAAACACAAAGCGATTCGTTGAGACTACCTGCAATGAATCAAGAGGCTCATTCTCAACAAACGGCACACGATATAATGCTAACTCATAAAATTCAAGCAATAATTAACAAAAGACACGCCGAGACCGATTGGATGTGTCGATAGAGTGTAATGCAAGTGCATTTTGAACCTGTGTCGTTTATTTTGAAGCGGATGGAGCAATTCAACGCAGGATCCTACGACTTTGACAATCATTTATCATTTGAGACATCCCCTGTTTCGAACACGGGTTCACAACGAAAAAATGAAACATTGGGCGAGGAGAAAAAGAAAACGAAAAAGCAATTGAACTCGGAAAGATACTTGCGAATTTGAGTTGATTGCTGTCTGTCATTGAAGAGATGCATGAACACATGTGGAGGTTTTGATGAAAAGCAAATCTTAAATAACGAAATTTAAAAAAATTCAAAACTTTTTTGACCTACATATGTATGATATCGGCCTTGCGTTTACATCATTGTTTAATTTAAAAATTATCGAAATGAACCTGAAAGTACTGAATACTGCTTATAATTTACCCAAAATCGCCGAAAGCTACATGTCATAGGAACTTCAATAAACATGGGTGTAACATGGATGTGGGTTTATGATTTACATGAGCAAGTAATTTTCGATTTTAAAAGCACTGTAATGCGGGAAACAAAAAAGCACATTCGATCGCCAGTTTTCCCAAGAGATTAATCTGGTGATTCTTCATTTTTGAGCTTTATATTGATGCTTGTAGTACTTTTTTATTAACACAAGATGTGCTTCACATCTGTATTTACAGAGGAAGTGTGTTTTTTTTTCTAGATTTTTCTAAAAATTGACTTCTTTTTAATATTTGAAATTGTGAATCGAATGAGCGAGATCCAAATATGTTTGCAGAAATTCTGAAGCTTTTTCCTTTGCAATTTGTGTGTAAAATTTGAGAAGTATTGCAAAAATCTTAATAAAAGTGCCATTCTGACCTTGTTGAGCAACTCTCCTGGGTCGCTAATTTTTTACTCCTTTTATTGATTTAGGGGGCATGCGTCTTTCGTTATGATCACACGTGGACAAACATACCTCATTCGACAAATCATCAGCGTAAAAAATTTTGGAACGTGGAATATAACATTCCCTTGGTTCTATTTCGAAGAAGATCCATTGCATCATATTTAGTACTTACCATGATGACATTTCTTAATCAAAAATAATGCATACGGTTCATTGATTGTGCTCGTGTAGTCAAAAATTTTCTGACCGGAATCTGATCATACTGTCAATTCCTAATTTTATTCCAATCTGTTTTAATTTTACTAAAGACATTTTCCAACTTCTTTCATTGCTCAAACATCCTATTTAGAAATATTTTGCAACCATTTTACCTTATCAACACAAAACCATTATACCAACACAAAATCAGACTACAAACCACATAGTACAGCGCCAATCACATTGTTTCTGATACGATAATACAGATAACATTTATCAATTATACTTTTTATTTCGTTTGCTCCATGATTTTGTTATTATGGCAAATTATTTAATATTATTTTCAGATGGATTTAGGGCCCATACTAAATTCCACAGGCCCTCCGGTTGCCGTCAGTTTACCAAATAATTATGTAGTCGTTCCTTGTATGTTTTTTTGGATTCTCGTTCCTGTTATAATTTATGACTGCAAAAATAGTCGTTTTGATTCATTACCGTGGTCCACATTGATGAGCTTGAAATGGGTAAAAATCATTAAAATCTAATCAAATTTATAAATTCTTGATTTCAGTTTGTCGCAAGTTTACTGATCATCGATCGATTTTTTGTATTCGTTTTGGCAGTTTGGGAAGCATTGTTTGAACACGAACCTATCAAAGCTTCTCTAATGATTTACCCATTTTTACATACTTTTACACTGGTAAAATTTTATATATTTTGTTTTATATCAATTATTAGTATTCGCAGTTGGCAATGTTGATCGCAACAAACGAAGTTCGAAAGGCAGGAATTCATTCATCAGGAGTTTTGTTTTGCACTTGGATGGCATTTGCACTTGCAGCAGTTCCCGAATTTTACCAATGGGTTGTTATTGGAAGCCAACCAGAGGTAGTTACAACTACAACATCTGAAAAAAATACATTTCTCAGCTGGTAGCTCATATCGACTTCTTCCGATATGTTGCATACCTGACATATTTTCCACTGGTCGTTGCAGAATTTGCATTACATTTTGTTTCGGATCCATTTCCAATGCCCGATTCAATAAAAGTTTGGATGATTTAATTTAATATGATAATATTTCATATCAGAACTCGAACTGTCCTGAAGAAAATGCCAATTTTTTGAGTAGACAATTTCTGTCATGGTTTACACAATTAATTTCAAAAGGAAATAAGAAAACAATAGATGTAAGTTGAGAATAGGTTCATATTGTGAAAAAAATTTGACAGATTGATGATATATTTGACTTGAGTCGGGACCTTGACCAAGATTTTGTGAACTCATTGTGGGACAAAGAATGGAAACGCGAATTGAAACGTCAGCATTTAATGAAAATTTTGTGTTGTTACCAACATTTTTAGGTGTAGAATATAAAAATATGGAAATAAAACAAAAAAGTAGCGGAAGTAAAGAAACAGAACCTCTCATTGGAAATGTTCGAAACTATGGCGCAGTGGAAGATATTGACGGTATTACTATAAACATTCACAAACCGTAGCATCTCTACTTTTAAAGATGAGTGGAAGAATAAACCTTCTGTCATTGGAACACTTTGGCGAATCGTGAAATGGGAATTCCTGGCGGGCTGTTTCATTAAGTTCATTGGAGATATGCTCAACTTTGCAAATCCGTTATTTCTCAAGTGACATTTTCAGATTTTTTTATTACAATTGCAAAAAAACGAGCACCCTTTTACTGTAGTTTATAAATATATATTTAAAAAAGTGTGTGTGATTCCTAGGCTATCTGTAGTAAGGACACGAATTTATGATTGAAATAAAAATTTCCGGGTGCTCGTTCTTTGCCGACGACAATACACTTTTTTTTTCATATTTCAGCCTTCTGATAACATATATCGAAACTCCCGGCGAACCACAATATGTCGGGATTGCATTGGCGTTCGGATTATTCATTTTTGCTGAAATTAAATCTTTTATTTTTAACAACTTTTTCGTTATAATGACGCGCGTCAGCACAAAAATACAAATTGCGCTGAGTTGTGCAATTTACAAAAAAGTAAAATTAATTCGAGTTTCTCAAATTCACAACATGATGTATTAAAGGCGCTGAGAATCTCAAATACCGTCAGAAAAAATAGAACAACTGGAGAAATGGTGAATTTGATGGCGATCGATATTGATCGATTCAGGATGATTATTCCGCAACTTCAACAGTATTGGAGTAGTCCGGTCCAGGTAATTGTATTATTTTTGAAAAATGTTAAACACTGGTTATAGATTATTCTGTGTTTGGTTCTTCTATGGCAAATTGTCGGATATTCGGTATTAGCTGGAGTTGTTGTAATGGTAATATTTAACAGAACGCATATTGAGGAGCATAGCTCCGTCTTGTAGGTTTCAATTATTCCACTGAATTTTGGACTTTCCGTCATAACTAAGCGTTGGCAATTGAAATTGATGAAATACAAAGATGAAAGAATAAAACTGGTAAATGAAGTTCTCAATGGTATAAAGGTAAAATAATATATTTTTATCTGTTGAAAAAATTATTTATTTAGGTTGTAAAACTGGTAGCTTGGGAGACAGCAATGGAAAAAAAGATAGAAGAAATTCGTGCAAAAGAATTGCATATGATCAGAAAAAGTATGCTCGTTCAAAACTTTTCGAATTGTTTGAATGTTGCAACCCCAGTTTTTGTATGTTTAATTCTAATGCAAGATCAATAATTGAAGTTTAGGTTGCAATTTTCACTTTCGCGCTATTCACAATCTCCAATCCCAATAATGTACTAACTCCAAATATTGCTTTCGTTTCAATCTCACTTTTCAATCTTCTACGAGGACCACTAATGATGGCTGCTGATTTAGTATCACAAACAGTTCAGGTATTGTGTGATTTTTCACAAATTTTGAAAGCGCCTACATAATTGAACAATATTCAGTGCATTGTTTCAAATAAGCGCATCAAATCATTTTTACTTGAAGACGAAATCGACGAAGAAGCTGTAAATAAAGAATTACGTGGTGAACGTGAGCAATTTAATAGTATTGAAATATATAAAGTATTATATGAATTATTATAGTGTATCACGACTCCGTTGAAGTTCATAATGCTAGCTTTGCCTGGGAAAAACATGGAAACAAACAATTGTCGTTTATTGATATGAAGGTTAAATCCAATGAATTAGTCAGTGTTGTTGGTTCGGTTGGAAGTGGAAAATCGAGTCTTCTTTTAGCAACTCTTGGTTTCGAAAATGAGTTATTTTTTGTCGAGCACTTTATTTTTTATAGGAGAAATGGAAAAAATCAATGGCTACGTCGGAGTTCGTGGATCGGTTGCTTATGTTTCACAACAGCCTTGGATCTTGAATCAATCTTTACGACAGAACATAATAATGCAGTCGGAATTCAATAAGGTATTAAATGGTAGTTCGAGACGACTAGAAATCTTTCACGAATATCTACAGGAAAAACGAAAAGCTATAAACTTGAGTAACTTTAGGTATTATATGATAAAATCGTTGAAGCATGTGCACTTAAAGAGGATCTAAAGCAATTACCAGATGGAGATTTGACAGAAATAGGAGAAAAGGTAAGATGCATTTATTTTTATTAATACAAATATTCATTTAGGGTGTTAATTTATCTGGCGGCCAAAAAGCAAGAATATCGTTAGCTCGAGCGGTTTATCAGAATAAAGACGTGTATTTTCTGGATGATCCATTATCCGCTGTTGATGCTCATGTCGCAAAGCATATTTTTAAAAATGTCATAGGACCAAACGGTCTTCTTTCCCATACAACTAGGTTGAAACAAGCGAATATATTACCTTAAAACTGCTAAATTACAGAGTTTTTGTTACAAATACTACATCATTTTTAAAGGAATCTGATAGAATTCTGGTTTTGAAAGGTAAGTTAGGTGCTTCTTTTAGCCTACATGACTTTATTAAGGTGGAGTTGTTCATCATTTTGACACATTTGACAATTTAATGAAAAATGATGAAGCGCGAGTTTACTTAGAGGAAGTAAACGAAGAGGAACTGGAAAAGGCCAAGGAAGGCGAGACTGAGGAAGAAATTGACTTTGACAGGTTGCATTGGTTTTTCATATATTTCAATTAATTTTGATTTAGTGATGATGAACAAAAAAGTTCAGTATCGATAATGTCAAAATCTTCATCACGAAAAAAGAAGTCAGTGGTTTCGAAGGTGCGATTATACTTCAAATATTGAATATCTGTTATATGAATTTAAGATGTCAACTAAAACCCCAAAAGCTTTAATAACAAAGGAGGAAGCTGCTTCTGGAAAAGTGAAATTCTCTATTTACATGCTCTATTTCAAATCAATGGGAATATTAAAATATGTGTTGCCTTATATCATAACAGTTTTAATCAATATGGGACTTTCCATGGGTCGAAGTCTATGGCTGTCTGCGTGGTCAGATGCAAATATCGATCCTGCAAATCCCGATAAAATTGCACTCGGAGTTCGATTGGGAATCTTCTCAGCTTTTGGATTCTCCGAAATTATTTTCCTATTCTTATCTCTCACGTTCTTGATCTTGGGAGGAATCGAAGCATCTCGAAATCTACATGGTCCTTTAGTACATAACGTGCTACGTAATCCCCTTTCCTATTTTGACGTTACCCCAACTGGAAGAATAATCAACAGGCTCGCCAAGGTTTTTGTTAAAAATGTTTTCAAGCATACGAAAATGTAATTTAGGATATAGAAATTGTTGATCTTCAATTAAGCGGCGCTTTCCGTTTTCTTTTTATTGGATTCCTAAATTTGATGCAGGTAACATTCTAAACTATTGAATTTACCACTAAGCTAATTATACTTATTCAGACCATCATAATTGTCACTTATTCAACACCAGCTTTCATTCTTGTCATTATTCCAGTGTTTTTTATTTATTATTTCATATTTGTAAGTCCGTTTTTTTTTAAGATGTGAACTATACGCTGTTATAGAGATATTCAATTAACAGCACACGTCAGTTAAGGCGAGTTGCTTCTGTAACAAAATCGCCAATTTTTTCCAACTTTTCTGAAACTCTTCTCGGTATTTCAACAATCCGTGCCTTTGATTGGAACTCGGAATTTATTCGTAGAAATGAAATCCACGTAAGGTTTTCTACAAATCGAAATTGCATGGCATAGCTTTTTCAGGTTTATAATAATGTTCGTTCGAGTTATTACTCCGCTTTTGCAACCAGATGGCTCAGTGTTCGTCTCGAATTGCTAGGAAATACTGTCATTTTAGCAGCATCGTTGTTAGCGATTTTAAGTAAAGATAGTGGTTTAACAGCAGGAATGTTGGGACTTTCCGTGTCTTACAGCTTGAATGTAATGACTTTATTTCATTATCTCTATTCATTCATTATTTTCAGATAACTTTTATGTTGAACATGTTTGTCCGTCAAATTAGCGAAGTCGAAACAAATGTTGTCGCAGTAGAACGTATTGACCAATATTCGAAGAACAAGGGAGAGGTTAAAATTAATATTTGATATAAAGCGTAAAGATAAACATTTCTAGGCTCCTTGGAGGACGCCATTCGCACTTCCGAAAAATTGGCCAACTAATGGAAGCGTTACGTTAACCTCATATTCATGTCGTTACCGCGATGAGCTTGAGCTTGTTCTAAAAAATATTGATCTAGACATTCAACCTGGCCAGAAAGTAGGTGTATGTGGTAGAACCGGAGCAGGTTAATAGTTTTTTTTTTAATTTCTTGAACAATGTGTTTATTTTCAGGAAAGTCTTCGTTGGCTCTGGCTCTGTTTCGAATTGTTGAGGCTGCGGAAGGCCGTATTCATATTGATGACATTGATACAAGGAAAATGGGATTACACGACTTACGTGAGAATCTTACTATTATCCCGCAGGAAAATGTTCTATTTGCGAACACGTTGAGGTTTAGATTCTTCTATTAATTAGATTTTTTTAAGAACTTGTTGCAGATTTAATATTGACCCACAAAACGAATACAGCGATGCACAAATCTGGAGAGCTTTAGAGCATTCTAATTTGAAGACTCATGTCGAATCTTTGCCTCTGAAACTTGAGAGTCTTGTTTCAGAAGGTGGAGACAATTTCAGGTGGATTCAAAAGTTTTTGTTATTTTCCTTATTAATGAATTTTATAGCGTTGGTCAACGACAATTGCTTTGCCTTACGCGCGCCTTGCTCAAGAAATCGAAAATCCTGGTATTAGATGAGGCTACTGCTGGAATCGATAATCGTACTGATGCTCTGGTTCAAGCTACAATAAGAAAAGAGTTTGCTGATTCTACAATTATTACAATCGCTCACAGACTGAACACAATTTTGGATTATGACAGGTAAATGTGTTAATATTTATTGCCAATAACTTACATATTTATGCTAGAATAATTGTAATGGAGAATGGAAAAATTGTCGAAGATGGAGTACCCAACGCTTTACTCAATGACAAAAATTCAAAGTTTTATTCACTAGCAAAATCTTCCAAAATTGTTTCATAATTGTTGTTTTATTTATTTCATAAATTGTTTTCATTTTTCTACAAAATCTACAATGTTGGGAGACCGGAACAACAGGAAACGTGAAATTATTGGAACAACAGGAGACTTGAAAATATTAGAACAACGACTTGAAATTATTAGAATGCCTTGTCAATGATTATGGAAGAGATTTTTTTAAATTTGAGATCATTTGTACCTAATACACAATGAAGCTTTCTTATATTTTGGTTATATTAGAGCAACGTCGAGACATTTTGCGAATTGTGCCGGCGATCGTGACGAAATGAAACATATGGCGATCGCGAAAGTTTCGTAGTTGCTGTCTCGTCAACACATTCGTATTCTGTTTGATGGAACGATGGAAACACGAAACTGCAAAATGAGTTGAGGACAGCTCCAATGTCATGAAGACGCAAGCGGAAATGACGACAGCAAATGATATAGACAATTGGATTCGTCGACGAGCTAAAATAAATAAAACAATATTTTCCACGGCTGTTGTAGGATCAGCAATTACCTCATAACCGAAAGAACGTTAAGCATCAATCTGATCCATTGCGGAAGATGAACACTACGACCGTAAATCTTTTCAATCATGAACAAAACTAAAAGAAAAATACATTTGGAATCTGAAAAATGATTTTAAAAAAACCTTGAATGGGGGTATAGCAGAGGAAATAAAGAAGCATTGAGATTATAAGCATTCGAACAACGGACCGGCGTAATTGGAGAATAGTTTTCTGTTGATTGTGGTTAGCAATGTTATGACTGCCCTCTTTTCCCCAGAGGACACGGCACATAATAGAGTAGAGAATCGTCAAAAGACACAATGGGAATGCGTACAAGACGATCAATTCGCAATATTTGAAATATGTCCTGAAAATAAAATTCAATTTTTATTGTTTTTTTTTTTCATTGAATTTTGTCAATTAAGTACTCATGAAAAAATTATCCTGTCTTCTGTTTTGTACATTAATTTGTTTTGCCTTATTTCCATTTGTAACTAGTGCATTTCTGTTCTTGTCAATTTCCGGCAACCAATTTATATATTCTAGTGCGCCTTCGGCTTACCGAGTTTTGAGGCTTAATCCTTTCCAGAAACAGAAATAGAATTTGTGAAAAACAATTCCTTGATAGATGAAATATGGAGATGCAAAACATGCGGCTACGCACCAAACACATCCAAGTACGCAAACCTGCAAAAAAAGTTTAATTAGGCATTAGGAGGTATTTTTACCGTAGTCTTAGTGGAAAATCGTTGCATTCGCATTGGCGAACAGATTGCAAGGAAACGTTCGACACCAATTGCCATCTGAATTTATAATCTTGTTAAGAAATATCAAAACATTTTTGTGCAACTTGATAAATAAATAAATATATACGTACTTGCAAAAGAACGCTGGCGTATAAGAAGTACTCTTGAAGAAAACGAAGAACGTGGCATGAAAAATTTGGCAGCAACCATCCGCGATCGAGCAAAACAAGAATTGCATCCGGTGTGCAGAATAGCAAATTGCCGAGATCCGCGATTGCAAGGTTGAGCAAAAACTGATTGATGGACGAGCTCATCAATTTTTTATCAAGCAAGATGACACAAATAATGAAGAGGTTGCCGAGGACCCCAACACAGATAATGAACATGAAGACGACTCCGAAAAACATGAAATATAGTTTCGGGTGGCAGGAGAAGCAGTCCGGAATCGTTGTCGAGACATTCGGGCTAATAGTCGAAACAAGTGTGCTCGCGTTTTTCAAAGCTTTTGATGCCAAATCGGTCATATTGGTAAGCATCGATGTTTCTGAAGCAAAGAATAGTTAAACAAAGTGTCGAAATTTGTTTTGATGACAATTTTAGTGAAACAGAATACGGCAACCCTTCAATTAAACGACCTTTACAAACAAGCTAATTCAGTGTTTAGGTATAAAATACAGCGATTCGTATAATTGTGAAAATTTTGAAAAAAAAATTGGTAAACGATTGGTTTTGAAATAGTGTCCATATAACGAATAATGAATAGTAGGCGGTAGCTAAAAAATCACATCAAATGAATAAATAATGGCAGTGATGCCAAATAACGCAACATTTGACGAATATAGCAAAATCCCAGCCAATTGAATTGAGGGCGTATTATCAAAGATGAATAATTTATGAATAATGGCAATACGCTAAATCTTTCAAGTTTATTTTTAGAAATTCCGGGTTCCTCTGATACGACATCAATATACATACATATGTAGATCAAAACATTTGGTCACGCAATTTTTTGAAAGTGTTTCGTCGGAATAATTGAAATTCCATTTATGGTCTTTCAGCTTGCAAAATGTTTTATTTTTGATATTCAACTTCTCATCCAAAAATTATTTGGTGAAATTTCTAAACACATTTACTGATTTATAAAAGCATTGGAGTCCAGTACATGCACAAAATAGTTCTAGTAGTATTTGTACTATAATCGAAATATTCGTCCCATTATATCTCGTCAATTCGAATTTTATTGAACGTTCAACTGATTTTTCTAGGCAACAAGTGAAAGTATCAGACTATAGGACAGAGTTTTGGATATAATTTTTTTAAGATGTCAAAATTAAAAAAGAAAGTGTTAGTGTGAATAGAATAAGAAGATTACAAACTTGCTTTTATGATGTATTTTTGATCTATGGTTTCTACCTATCGAATGTTGCAAGAGCAGAAAGATCTCCAATGTTATAAACACCAACTTGTTTGAAAAAAAAATATAAAATTTCTAAACATAATACTGGAACCAAACTGCATGTTTTTTTTGCATTGAAGTGATTTCCGGATCAAATTATTTCAACTCGTTGAACGAAGCATGTACAAATTTAAAACATTCTTAAAGATTGGAAAAAATTGATTGAAAAGGATTTCACATCTTTAGAAGTCACATTATTAGTTTTTATAAAAACAAAAAAGAGAAGAAATAAAGGTTGCCAACGGAATATCTGCGATTGTCATTTCTCTATGCTTATATATGTATGTATATATTTTTGTTAATATATGGAAGACTAAAGAATCTCAAAATGTTGAACCAAAAATTCCAGAATTAAAAGAGATATTGTGTACATTCATTTTGAGTAACTTCATCGTAATTTGCAGACAAAAAAACATTGCTTAACTAAACCAGAGATGTTATTGCTCGCTCGCTTTGCTGAAGAAGAACCGTTTAATTGTTGTTCGAATGCTAATTCGCTGTCATTTTAAAGACCAGAACCATTAGAGTCAATTTTTAAATGAGAAAATTCCAAAAAAAAACTTATTGTTGTAAAAATTTTGAATTCACTTTCAACAAATCACTTAATTTCTTTAATTTGTTTTGAAAATGTATTCGTGTATATATATATATATATATATATATATATATATATATATATATATTTGGAAATTTTCGGGAACAATTGAAAAAAAATATATATATATAAACTCAATTTGTCTGCATTGATATAATTCAACACATTGACAACATTCAAACTTAATTTAAATCCAAAAAATGAAGTTAACTTGGAAGAGTTCATTTTCTGACGTCTAGTCCAAAAATAAACATGTCTGCCAAACATTGAAGAACAATTTTTTTTATTAACAACTGATGATATGTTGGTTATTGTTATATGTTTTTTATAAATCATTTTTATGTACCTATAATAATTACATGCCATATTATTACGAGCCAAATATCGCAACATTTTTAGAAATCCTATTCAAAAGTGACACAATAACTTTGCCGAATGGCGGTGATCAAATAAGTGTTTTCGGGTGGAAAAGCCTATCTTCTTCCGCTTTCACGTGAAAATTCAATTTTTACGAACACTATGAAGATATAAAATAAAGTGAAAAAGACCTCAATACTTTTTAATTCGACTAGATAATCGATGCAAAAAGAAATTAAAGCAAGATTGGAAATTTTCGGGATCAATTGAAAAAAACAATGGTTTTTTTTCAAAGATTCTTCGCATTGAACTACGCATTGTGTCTCACGACTTTCTATATATTTTTTTACAATTTTAAAGAACTCTTGATTTTGGTAGTTATGTTTTGAGCACATTTAGTCGGATCATGCGGAAATCGATGTGTAAGCGGCGTTCTCCTGCATTATAAAGATATAATGTTCATTGTAAACGATTCAAGCAACTCATGGTAGAAAAGAAGGACAATTTTTCTTATAAAAGCTAGGGAAACAAAAAACATGTTGAACGATCATGTGTGAAATGATCACATTTAAACCAAAACATTCAAAACCAAACGCGAAAAAAAGAGGCAATTATGGTGTTATTTCTTCTGCCATACGAGAGGAATAATCGTGTGAGAATATGCACTAAAGAATGATAGTTTCATAAAAGAATACAAAATGAATCTGGATGGAACAAAAACATGGATTCTCCAGGCAACGCGGTCTCCGAATCGTGCATTTTGCGGCATATTCGAACAAATAAAATCGACAGGATATTCATTCGTCTTGAGCGGAAGAACTCTCGATCTATACTAATTGGGGAACACCAATAAACAAAAATAATCATATTTTCAGCAAAGACATAAGAAATTAAAAATATTTGTATGAAAACCATCATTTTTCTCTTTGAAGAAAATTAATACTTTCTTTTAATTTATCCGAACTTCTAATATTGTATATTTGGAATGGTATTCATCAAAAGGAAAAACGAAAAACTCGAGCATTTGATTTTTTATTCATTCAAGTCAAATATTTATCTTTTCAGAAATATTCGGAAGCTTAATTAGATGTTTTAAATAGTAAATAACTGTTATGTATTCAATGTAGCTCAATTTGAAATTTTTAGAAATCGCAATAAATTCAATCGGGTTCCCTCCTACTATTTTCGATCAATCAACTACAGAAGTTACTGTGACTCGCGGTCAGATGCGGTTGTGAGAAGGAAAACATTTGAAATGCTAAACTTTTTAATACGCTTAAAAAAAGTTATCATAAATATTGGCCATATTTTAATTAGGGTCCTTTAAAATATGCACATTTTTTTGAATCTCGATTTTCAAAATATTTTTTTGCGGATGGGATGCAGAAAAAAGCGAAAAGAGAATACGCAAGCAAAACAAATGCAATAATAATTTGATTTCTTAGTTTCAAAGATCGCAAACCTTTATTGAATGACCTCAATAATATATTTCACAGAAAAATATATACATACTTATTTACTTTGATACTCAGTTTAAATATAAAAAATTATGTGGAAATTGTTGATTGTGGAAAAATCGCACGACTGAGAATGTCATGGATTAATAAGATCAAATTTTTGTCGAAAGTTTCTTTTTACGAAATGAAATAATTTATTATCGCTGGCACCAACTCATTATTTTTTAAAGTTGTGCATAGTGTCTTGAGGAAATGCTCGGTGTCTGCGACTGTTGCATTTTTTCATGGAGGCGTCTCACCTTTTTTTTATCATTTTAAGCCGACAATAAAAAAACACTATAGTGTTAAGGGTTGTAAAATCCTAAACGTGTTATTGTACACCGTGGTGGTCAAGTTTGCCTAGCCGCGTGCGCGCGATGACACAATCTCTCCCATTTAACCCCACCAAAAAGGCATTTTGAGTTCTAGACAAAAATGAATTCGCAATTGGTTGCATCGCTATTCCTTAATTTATTTGTATCAGTTTGTCGTGCATCTGAGAAGTTACCCATTTGGTTACTTATTTTTGTTGTACTTGTTGTATATTATATCTATTATTGCTTCGTATGTGTCATAAAGTGGGTTTAATTACCCAAGTTTAAGGTATATCTGTACTGGAGACTTTGGATAAGAATTTGTCTCAACTATGAGCACGAAGTATAGAATTTTCTTAATTAAATTGCTGTTTTTATTATAAATTGTTAAATGTATATTTTATGAAAATAATATCGAAAATATGACTTGCAAAATTGAAATTTTCTAGTGCGAATAAAAATATTTAAATACATGAAATATTGAAAGAAATTTGTTTTAAATTCCAATTCAAAAGTGAACTTTTCAATCTCCCGTTGAGAAAAAAGTAATGGAAATTAATAGCATTCGAAGATTGAGTACAGTTAAACTACGTTTAATTTGCCAGAAAAGTTTGGTGATAGTTAGGAAAATCGAAAACAACTTTTCTGTCACTTAATAAGCAATTGCCAAACCAAAAGCGACAAGGAAATGCACCAGACATGCCTAGCAAGACTTGCGTAAATATGAAATCAGTGAGAGTAGAAATGCCAGAAAAAAACAAAATTTTATTCGCGTTCATGTTTGCATCTTTTTTTTCAGACCGAAAAATATGACAAACACGATCATAAGCGGAAATGTGGAAAGTGATTCGGCTGTCAATCTAGCTCTGTGGGAATTGTGGAATATGTAAGAAATCTGAGAATACTATTTACTTGATGTCACCCACCCGATAAAATAAAACCGAAGCGTTGTTGTTGTTACTTTGTGCAACTCTTATTGAAGTGAAGTGACCAATTCAGTCGCAACATTTGCAATTGGACTAAATGTGAGAAAATAGAGCTTTTCGCGCCTTTCATCCCAGTAAATCTGCATTTAAATGTGAAAAAAAAATCAGAAGGCTTTCAAACATTCTGGTCAATGAAACAAGGGACGAGAATGCTTTGAAAAGAGCCGAAAAAAAACAAATTTGCAAGAAATCTCCGCCCGATGAGAAGCTAGTCGAGAACTTTTATTCTTCTATTTTCTAATCCTGATTTATTAAATCTGGAAGAAATAAATAAATACTGCTATCGGTAGGCACAGCATTACGCAAACAAGTCATTTACAAATTAGGCATCTAGTGATATTCTGCTAGTAGAAATTGTGTAATCTTTATTTCTACCCAGAAAACAAAAAAATATAGCCATAAGTGACTCACGAGCTCCTAAACACACACTCAATTAGGTGTTGCATCTTTTATTTTTCGTCTAATATGGGTAATAATATGAAATATTTGACATCTGGGCAGGGTTCCATGACTGAGCATTTCGCAAATTACAAATGAGGGATTGGAAAAGGCTAAAGTTTGAAAGTATCAAAACAAATATTTATCGAAAGTTATTCAGAATTAAATGTGAAATTTTTAAATTAAAAAAAATTTGTCATTGATTAAAAGTTTGTCTTCATGTTGCAATTATTTAAAAAAAGTAGTATGAAATGTACCATAGAAACTGTAGAAAGTGAATTCAAAATGATGTCCATCTCGCAGTAAGATCAATATGGAAAACACCTTTTAATTATTATTTAGATAATGTGATTTATGTTTGAATAATTCGAAATAGAACTCCTTTAGTGGAAATAAAAAATAACGAAACGAAATGAAAGAAGGAAATATGAGTCTTTAAATATATTTATATGCAAAAAGTATTAAAAAATTAATCGAATTTCTATCAAATAAATATTTCTTAGAAAAAAGGGGATTCTTGGAAAGCTAGAAAGGACAGCGAATGATGATAGTTCTCGAATAATGGAAGATCTGCACGAATCCTTTCCGAATTTTTTTTGTATCGGCGGCCCATCCAATTCGATAAATTAAATTTTTTTGTATTCCACCAAAAAGGTTGAGCAGACGAAATAGAGCAAACAAAAAATCGCTGGTCCTAGAATATGGCACCTTGATTGAATTTTCTGTTTATCGGATGGCAATCTCGTATTTGCTCTCTCGTAACGAGCAAAGATAAATGTAGCGCAAAAAATTCGCTAATGGTAGTCCATAAACATTTAATCTAAGTGTTCGTTATTCGATTTTCCTGGTTTTCTTGGCTTATTTCTTCTCTTAAAAAAAACTATCCGTATCCTTTCGAATGCTTTTGCATAAAGTGATATTATAGACAAAAAATAAGACAGTCTCAAAACTACCCGAAATATTCCCACGTGGAAGTTTGTTATTTATTTTTTTACCAGCTGAAACCTACCGTAGGACAATATAGTTTTTTAGTCTGAGAATTAATTGAATGTGATTTACTTTCCCACAAATTTAAAATCCATGTGATGAAGGAAAAAAAAAGAAAATACTAGGAAATAAGTCGAGACAAGTTTATTATTCGAAGTCTATTCAATACAATTACCTAGCCTTCAAAAAAAAAACATTTCAATTTGTCCTTTTTACACAGCGCATACATATTTTTTCTAATTGAAAATAATGAAAAGCAAGAAAATATTTCAGAAACGTTTAATTAAAACTGAAAATAAAAAAAATCAAGCGAAGAAAGTTTTATATAGTGATGAAAAATTGCTGATGGAAAATGGAGAGAACAACTCGCGAGCTTCTATTATGTGAGTAATTACGAATAAATGTGAATCCGGAATCAGAAGTTCTCCTTTTCTGCGTTTAATAATGCATAATTACTCAATGAAAATTTATAGCGCTTTTCCTTCACAATAACGAGTGTTTTGCTGTGTTCGATATGAAAGTAGCATGATAATGAATTTGTCGTTACGTAAGAAAAAACTAAACAAGGCCAATCACAGCTATTAACAATGCATCGTGTTTCTTTCGAAAAAATGCTTAGAAGCTGCATCCTTTAGATGATGCGAATAAGAGATGACAGTGGATGTAGAAACGAAATCTGCGCAATTCATTAAATTTCGAAAAGAAAATTAAATAATTATTGTTAGTGTTCGATAAATGTACAAAAAATCAAATAAATTTCTATAATTTTACCGACTGATTATTTTCACCAATAAGAATAGATTTTCAGGAAACGAAAAAATGCTATGTTTTAAAAACTTATTTTGAGTCTCTAAACTAAATTAGTTTGATGCTATTTTGAATTTATTTTACAAATAATTTTCAAAATATTCTTTGTGTAAAGCGAACGATTGTTTTCGAAATTCGAATTTCAAATGTGCATTTTTTATTGAATACACTTTTGAAAAAATATTCTTTACATAGAAAATGAAAACAATACTTTGTTAACGCCAGAAAGCACGATTTCACGATTTCAAATATTAAATTTGAAAAACTTATAATCAGATGATTTTATTTCAATGATGTGTGTGTGTTATTATTATAAGTTTTTTTTTTCAAATGATATTTTTTTTTAACTTAAGAAAATTAATAGATTAAAACAAATACGATATTGGAAGTTAGCTAACTTGTTTATTCTAAGAAGAAAATGATGTGAAGATAAAATGTCCACTATAAACATAAGAAAAATGATGAATCGTGTATTCGTCTTAATGACACCAATTTTTAAACATGTAGATTCTAAATAAATGGAAAATAGTTGGCGAATTGAAAGTAGTGGGAGAAAAGAAATCCAATAATAATTGAAAAATGTATGCAGATCCTCATCAACACAGACAATAATACGAAAATTTATAATTTTCTAATTGGGCAACCAAATATATAATATATCAGATTATTTTCTTCATAATACAATAATCACCTTTAACTGAAAGGAAACAAACATTACGAACGATCACTTTGTTTTCGAATATATGATTTTCATCCATTTTTGTCGCTTCATGTGATTTAGCAATTTTCAATCGTGTAAATTTTTTTAATCTGGATGACGGATTAATAAAGACAACAACCGCATTGTTCTGGCGATCAATTGAAGTGTCAAACTATTGCTTATAAAGATAATAATGTTAGAAAATGGTAATATATTCATTATCAGCTAAAAACGGTAGGTGAAATCTGTCACTTCGAAAGAAAAAGGTTTAGTGACATAATATTAAAAACCGTTTCATATAAAATTTATACTGAATTCAATGTGAAAAATATAGGAGTTCAAATTTCAGGGTATATGTTTAATTTTAAACTGAACATGAAAAAACATATAACAATTTCACAAGATTTTTGAATGATTACCGAAATAACCGAACATGCTCAATTTCACTCCAATTAATATAGATTCCTAATTTATTTTTAATTAGGCGTTTCTTGTTGACGGCAAAAAACGTAACCGATGTTGTTCTTATTTGTGACGTGTGACATACTACCAAGATATATTGTATGTAAAGTTCTCCAGCACCGACAAATGCTAAAGTTACAAATAGAGTTGGAATGGACAAAAATAAAAGTTTAAGAGCTCTGATTATTACCGCTTTTTATATTCTCATGCAAATTCGCACGTTTCATGTTTCATTATTTAATTTTAGAATACGAAACCAAAATATGTTTAAAAATAACTGATTCGCCTACATATATTTTATTAATAGATGCAAATTTCTGAAAATGGTAAGATTAAGGGTGTGAAAATACTTTCAAACAATCTATGAGGAAAAAGTGCTAACTAATTAATTTTTTAATTTTCAGCGTTTGAAAACTGACTAACGAGGAAAATAATTTGAGCATTTCGCATGAGACACCCAAATTAAAAACCATTCGATTTCGCAGTGTGTTTTAATCTTATCGGAATGCAACACGTTGACAGATATATATATATATATATATACATATTGAAAAAAAGTGTCAAGTTTGGATTAAAGTGAACACACATCTCGACAAGCAATTAAATGTCACGGAGGCCGAGAAACGCCAAATACAAATTAAATGTGTGACTTTTTAGACGACTATTTTTTTCAGTGAAAAAAAATTAAAATCAGTTCTGCATTATATTGAAGCCCCGTGTCAAAAACAAAGACTTTTAAACTTATTTGTACTTTTGTCCAACAGAAGCACAAGAGCTTCTTGCATATTTTCGTCTATTTCAAACACAGCTATACTGAAATAAGCTTCATAGGGCATCACTTCTGATGTTTTTAAACGGACGATGATTTATTATCGATGCTGTCGCGAACACTAAGATTGGGTTATATCCCCCTTCAGTTTCTTGAGTTGCGAAAGATATTAATAAAATATTGGTATAAATACACTTCTTACAAATTTTCGCAAGATTTAATTACTGATAAGAATCAATAAAGAAAGAATTTGAATGAGCCACAGACGCAAACCAACCGATTCACATGCGTATTCAAGATATTTGTGAATGCAATGATTCAAAATTTATTCAGCATGTTCGAACTAACAAGAAACAAAATAACCCGTTTCCTTAGGTATATACAATTTTAAAAATTCAAACCACATTTGTAAAACGGGAAATGCTGAAGAGAAAAAACAATCTTTAAAAATAGCGCATACCTGTAAGCGAGAGGACTGAAAATGACAAGGTAATTTTGATTTTAAATATAAGAAATAAAACTAGAAAGCGAATTGAAAGAAAATATGCAAATGTCAGAACGATTTAAAGTTGATATATCGATGATTTAGAGGTCGGGCAAGATATTCATTGTCATTTTCATTGGGCAGTAGAGGGTTACGTTCCTGACTGATTTCTCGTTGGCCTCGAAATAACATCGGAGACCTAGAAACAGAGAAATGAATATTCATTAAAGATACTTCAGACAAACATAACCAAGTCCAAATAAGGAAAACAAAAGAAAAAACGTAATCACCTAGGACTTACACGTTCGTAGCCAGTGTTTAACTGAGCACTGTGGGCAGTTTCCAAATAACTAACAATGCTTGAAATAATACCGACAAGCTGAGTAAAACTTGGTCTGCTTTGGGGATCCGCCTGCCAACATTCTAGAATAGCCTCGTTATATCTAAAAAAATGTTCTATGTAAATTTTATTCAAATAATTAAATAATTACAGTTTGTCCGGGCAATATTGTGGTTTGCTCATACGATGACCTTGTTGCAAATATGTCAAAAGGTGTCCTGTTTCTATATTTGCGTATGGTATATTACCTCTAGTGAATAATTCCCAAAGTAAAACTCCATACGACCAAACATCTGTGGAGTATCCAAACTGAAAAAAGTTCTCTGTAGAATATGAATAAATTTTGCGTTTTTAGAGAATGTAATTATGTATGGCATAAATTAGTAGCACTCATATTTCCATGTATTACCAAACATAAAGTACACTCAGCGAGTAAAAAAAAATTCCAAAATTCGTGGCTCTAATAAATAAATCATTTTTAGAAATCTAGAGTCTGATATTTTTTAAGAGTCTAAAAACTCACAAGTTGATGTTCTATTTCTGGAGGCATCCATTTGATTGGAAGGTTCCGGAACATGTTATTTGGTTCGTATAAATGAGTTCCTTCATTTAAAGGTCGACAAAGTCCAAAATCAGCAATTTTCACGCTAAAGTTATCATCTAACCTATAAAAATCAAGAAAGATTTTGTAAAAATCCCTTTGGTTTACATGCAGTTTCGAGTGGCCAAATCACGATGAACAAATCCTTTCTCATGAATATGCTCCATTCCTTGAGCTATTTCAATGGCAAAACGCAACAACATTCGTAGTGTAATATGATGATCGACATCTTGAATATACGATTGCAGATCTCCATTCTGCATAAGCTCGGTGATAGCTACAGGAGCTAGAGTTTTATCATCCAATGCTATTCCAATCAACTTTAGTACATGCGGATGATTGAAATTCGTCATGATGCGTGCTGAAGACAAGTTTTTCATAAATTCGGTTAAAACAATTTTTTAAAACCTTCCTCATAAAATTCTCGAATACTTCCTTCTTTCATATATTTACAAGCTACAGCTTGTTTACGCCCATCAAGACATTTGTAAATTCCAGCATATACAACTCCGAAATTTCCGTGACCAAGCTCTCTCATCGTATCAATTTTAATATTTTTAAAATCAATTTTAATATCTTTCGGATAAGCACTAAAATCGAATTTTAATTTTTTTTTTGCTTATAATATATCACAAACCTAAATATATTGACATAATTTTCGGCTGCATGAACATTTGAAATTCTTCCAGGTAAATGCTCAAGAGCATAGTCGTTTTCTACTTTGGACAATCCGTTAGGTTTTCGTACATGAGCTTTAATTCTTGACATCCTGTTCCGCATGAAATAAACTATAAGAGCGACTACGAAAATTATGAAAATCACACTGAGCACTGCAACTGCTGCCTTCCAAGACCTGAAAAAAATTAAATGTAAACCCGTGACTCATGTTTGATTTAAACAACCTGCTACTGACACTCTCTGAACTCCTCATAACTCCCAATCCAGCAAGGTCAGTTTGTGTATCCTTATCGTCTTTATATTCGAAGGACAGCGTATAATCTTTATTAGGCCCCATGTCTCCGGTTAATGATAGTTCGTTACAATCATTCGAAACGTCATGTCCTTTTTTTATAAAGCAGTTGACTCTGTGAAATTATTATTATTGCAATATTTTCATTAATAATAGTTGAAAACCTGCTATCTTCAAAAAGATGAATGTCACATGGTGCGTCGCAGGCAATAATTCGTGGATTTTCGATTCCGGCGAATCGATTCCCATATAACGTGAAGCCTGATCCGTTTGTAAATTTCATAACCTTAATCTTAATGAAATAAGTTACGTTTTATGAGGAAAAAAGGCATACTTCGTTAACATCTGGTGGACAGAAATGAGTTAAATAAGATGAACATTGCGAACGTTCCTGTTGTGATATCACATGAAATGGTTCAGTATCCGTACACCAGGCACATTGTAACGGGTCAGACCATCCACCTTAATATTTTCATTTTTAATAAAGAAGTTAAAAACGAGCAAACCAAATTTCAAATTTTCACAACTCGAATACATATCTCGACATGTCGCAGCAAGAATTCGAATCTAAAAAAGAAAACCTAGTTATTAAATATTTTTGATGAATTGACGAAAACGTAGCAATTCAAATTTAGATTTTAAATTTCTTTTCTGTGTTTTAAAATGCACGGCAATTTTTAAATTTTTGAAAAAAATGATGATTGACTGAAAAAATTTCCATTCTTCAAATACTTTCTTGTCCATTCTTCAATATTTTTTTACATACATACATAAAGTAACAACTTTGGAGTAGCTGGATATTCTGTGTTTTTTTTAATGATATGTTTAAGTTATTTGCAATATGAATGAGACACAAGTGCACCTATGCAAAATCTCGACCCAAAGAGACGTGAGACAAAAAATAGCGATTTCCGAGCGAGTTTTTTTAATCTGCATTGTACACATACCTCTTCATTTTCAATGTATAACACTCTTATTGGAAGGATATTTGACATTTTCAAAATGGAGAATTTATCCGATTTTTGCATTGGCTTCTCATAATGAAATTGCACCAGCGAATTTTTAGCCGCTGATATCTAAACCATTTCTTTCAGAATTGAAGGAAAATTTCTTGAATACCCGAACAAGGCGAGGTGACAGGTCTTTCGATAATGTTACAAAATATGCGGGTCCATCATCCACAATGCTTGATATTCGATCAATGTGATTATTTTCTTTGATTCTTTATTTTCAAAAATAAGGTTTTCTAAATGGATTGAATGTTACCTAATAAGCAATTCGCCCATCAAAGGCCGATAGTCTTCCAGCCAACCGTACAAATAGTTTTTACCGGTTGCCATATGTAGGTCACAATTTTTCAGAACAGGACCAGCCTGAATAAAATTGGTTTCTACATTTTCACTCTCTCTAGGCCAACTCCGTTATATTTAGAGCACGTCCTTGTTGAATATGCTTGAGACATATGAGTGAAAATGAAACAATGCGGCGTCTTGTACATATGATCAATGTATTTCTGATTCATACAATTCTAAATTTATTTAAGTAATTTACCAACCAAGTACAATGACTCACTTCACTGCTTGAAAGAGAGGTTTCTTGGCAAATATTCCAATTTGAGTCGAATCGTTTTTCAATTAATGACATTTGGAATCCACATACTAGATATTCCTAAAAAGTTGAAATAAGTATATTTATAATGCTTCTGAGATGAACCCTTGATCGATCTCTTCTTAAAACAACTGTCAAATATCCTTTGTCAATATCATATTGTGCGGCCTGTGCAGTGCTATTGAGATTGTCATTGTTAAGATAATTGTCATCAGAGCCTTGAAAAATAATGCTTTTTTTCGGAAAACATCGTTCGGTTACTTTCAACATCACATGATAGAGGAATTGTCATTTTTGAAGCCAATTGCTCAGATTGATCAGAAGCACAGATTCTTAAGTACATATTTGTGTTAAATTAAAATTTAAAAAATACCTTATCATTTTGACGTATTTCACGTTTATACTAGTATCATGAAGTAGAGCCACAGGTTCATATGGTTGCAATGAAGAACCAACGTAATAAATGTAGCCATTTCTTTCAAATCCAATTAAGTTTTCGTTCTCTGTAATGAATGGGGCGTCAAGCGCCATAGTATTTGGTTGAATTATCCTGAAATCGAAATGCGCTGAATCATCTTTGTAAACAAGAATACCCATTGTCTTGCGCTTTGAATTGGAAAATCATAGCTTTTTCATTATCTGAAGTATCAATGAACGAAATTCGGAGCATCAAAAGCTCGGAGTTTTCTATTTTGACAACAACAGCGCTTTTGATCTCTTTGATTTCAGAATCCGGATCAACAATTTTTGAACAAGACGACGATTTTCCAGAATAGGTACAAAGCCTAAACGAATAGTGTTTCACGATTTCAAAAAAATAAAAACTTACCCGCATTCAACAGTGTCGCAATAGAACACTTCACTTTTTGACAATATTTTGAGTTCGAGAAATTTGCTGCGATGGACAAATCTTAAATTGACTTCCCCCACAAATTTTCCTGAAATTACTCATTATTCGAATATTGTATACGATTACTTACGAAGTTCTTCATCGGTGAAAAACTTGATTCGGGACTTTGTGCCTACTACAAAATAACCATAGCCTTTGGAAATGGCAAGAACCTACAACCGAAAATGGCTGTCAGCCTAGTTGAAAGCATTTTTACCGTATCCTGAGTTTCACTTCCAGTCAAAAACACATTATTTCTTAACCCTGTTGACGTTGATTTGATTGAACCAATTAATGACAATAAAACAAATAAAGAACTGACGATCATTGGCTGATTCCAAGCTCTTATGTGATTTATATCAGCACTTTTCATCTTTCGGTCATACTTCTGAAAATAAATTGTTAGTAGTAAAGAGCAAGACAATTAAATACTTAAAGAAAAAGATCTAGAAAACGAAGATTGATAAGAAATAATTGCAATTGATTCAGTTTGTGTTAAAAATGAGGTTTAGGGTTTTGACCATATGTAGTATGAAATGAACAGATGATTCATTATTGGAACGATCAATTGAACGTTTTGAATCAGATTGAGTCATTCGGCAAGTTGTAATTCAATTGTAAGGTGGTCCATTTCTATACTGTTTTACAAATTTGTTTTCACTCATAAAAGCAATTTCACAAAAATAGAGAATCGGTTGTCTCTCAATCTCTTCTTTTTCTCTTGAGACACCACGATCGACGCAAAATCAAACAATTGCGTGAGCGAAGATGAGAAACAAATACCTCTATTTAATAAAGTACCCATCAATGGAATTGCAAAACAATATATGTGCAGCCAATATTGTAAAAGGTCGTGAATGGAGAGTTGTTTAGATTGTCTGTTGAACCGCAGAGAGTACCGGAGCGAAACAAACCGCAAAAAATGCGGAAAAATCGGAAACGAAGAAAAGATAAGAGTGTACACTGACGTTGTAGACACAACAGAAAGCGGATGGCTGGGTTCCAACAATGAAACGAATAGACAGCGAAAAGAAATCGGTTCACTAATCGCCAGTCTCGTTTCGAATATCGATCTTGAATGACTGTTCATCAACGATCTCTTTGGAAATTGGAAGCGACTGTTATCGAACAAATGTCTTAGAGAAAAATTGAATTAAACTCGATGTGGAGGCAGTATTGGTAAAATGATTTCTCACACCGATGGGAAAACAGATCAATCATGTGAACAATCGATTTCTTGAAAAAAAGAAAAAAGACATCAGGTTCACTATAAGGTGATTAGTTTGCACAAGGTGAGAAAACTTTTCTTCACATGTAAAAAATCGATAGCTTTTTTTAACGACAGACATTTTTCTAGAGATAACAACAGTTTCCGATAGCATGTGCGGAGTTTATTGTCCAATTCATTAAATTGACGAGGCGTAACTACAAAATGAGTACTCATGAAACAATTGTTCAACTGGTGTAACAAAATTAAATTTTGAGAGTGTCCAATTGAAACTGTAGAAAGCAACTAGTCGGATGAACAGTCAAAAAGCGATTACAGCGATCGATGGAAAATACCATAAGAACTGGTCTACGCATGTATTGCGAAATGGATTTATCATTAAATCAATTGTTTTTGTTTTAGGATAAGGTTTGGAAATTAAATAGTATTTCAGGATAAAACCATTATTATTTTCAAATAAAGAGGCATGACGATATGAGTGTTAAACTGCGATATTAAAAAAAACTGTTGACTTAATCGTTTATTGAACTCGAAAACTATCTAAAATTAAAAAAAAAGAAAAATAAAGCAATTACTTTGCGAACAATTATTTTGATGCTTAATCGTAAATATATTGATAAAATATGAAAAATGTTCTCGAATATTCTGTTATTAACAATTTAACGATATGTAGAAGATTCATCAGCATTACATTTCATGTGCTTCCGAGTAAGCATTTCATTATTTTCGACGTCACATTAAAAGCATTTTTCATTCAAGACATTCTATTGAAGCATTGAATTTCGTTACGAAAAATTTAATAAAACGCCGGCTCGATAAGATTAAGATAAATTTAAAAAAACTTTATTTTTATAAAATCGTCATTTGAAAAAATTTGTGTTTCATTTTTGACGAAAAATGAATTATTTAAATACTAAACTGGTGAATATTTATACTAAAAAAAAAGTTTGCAGCAAAATAGGGAATGTTTATATTATAATTGAACTGCAGCGGACCCACGCGACTCCGTTAGTTGGGGGAAACTAATAGCGTCTTTTCGGTCCATTTTTATCCAAAGTGAAACGTTTTCTTTGTGAATTAATGAGGTGTGAAAACGAAATTTTTGAACCAAAAATTTAATGCACAACTAATATTATTGAGCGGTTTTCAAAACAGTCGAAAAATTTTCAAATTTTGGCATGGTTTTTAGGTCTTTTATTTCCTCATGACGAAATTCCTATTCTATGACGAAATAGGAGAACTCGTCTCCTCGACAAAAAATTTCTTGCATGTTTTCTTCTTAAAAGACCGCTTCTCCAATTTTGCTGACTTGAAATATACTCGACTTAGTAAAGTTTTAAAATGTTTTAAAATGTGAAAAAGCAAATGCGACGAAGAAAACACTGAGGCCAAGCGTATATAGAAAGTGGGAAAGAATTCGTTTAATGGGGGGTCAAATTTCAATTTATTTTGTTCGCTTCAGGAAAATGTGCAAACTTGAATGCGAAGGAAAATCTGACCTTTGTTGAACATGCCAACAATTTTTGTTTGAACAACTGCAATGTGTGATGTCAACGCGACAAGAGTATATTGATATCAAATGTTATAAAAATTTTTAGATCTAATGATTGATGAAACTTTCGAATTTTTATCAGTTTTTAAACTTATCACGATTTTTGATCATACATTCAAAAACGCTTAAAGGTTATCTAAGAAATACATCATCTTAACGATTTTGTGAAATATTACACAGGGGTAACCCAAACAATATTTAAAAACAAAAGTGAAAAGTGGAAATGAGAAGGAATCAAAATGAAAACTCAAAAATATTTAATTAAATAATGCTTTATTTATTTAAAAAAAAATAACAAAAATACGAACAGATTTTGTTAAATAATTAACTCTAATGTTTTTATATGAGTGTCTCATGAAGACATCTACATAATGCCATATATGATTGGTGTTTCATATGTGTTTCAATATTATTCACAGCATTGTACACTAATTAGTGTCGATTAAATGTAAGTAGTATGATTTTAAAACAAATCCTGGAATTCAAGTTCACATAATATTCATTTTGTAAATTTATTACATTAAAATGAGATTCAACTGGATGTGGATGAAATGTGATCCATAATCCATTTTCAAGCAGTTTCTACGCTTAAATAATTCAATTTTTTAAAATTATAGTTAATCAAATAACGATAAAGTTTAATCACGTTTTTTTGGTTGCTTGCAGAACTTCGATTTCAGATTATTATAAATAAAATTCGCGTTTTTTGCGGGCATATCGTAGTTTGCAAATTCGGCATTTTGATATACAATTTCGTTTACTATTCAAGCTTAGTAACCAGTTTAAATGCGTTTTTCCACATATTATTCTTAAAATTCAAATCAAACAGCGACGTGAAGAGATTAACTGCATAAACTCATTGACTATTCAAAAAAGACTCTTTACCATCAACACTTCCGATCAAACACTTTGAATCGCACCATTCAAAAACTTTTCGACTCACAAAAATATCGAACAAGTTGTACTAGCCACAACTCATTCGCTATGCTCGTGGCAAAATACGAGCCCGGAAAGAAAGGGTACGTTATTTGTTGTTTGCTTTGTTGATAGAACGGATGAATAAAATTATTTATTCTTTTTTTTTTCAAATGCAATATAATGCATTTTCACCTCTATGGCTTTTGCATTTTTTTTTTCATTGTGAACTGTTTCATTTCAATTGGAAAATATTGAAATAATTGTGTTCCGGAATGCATTTTCTCTAGATTCGTCATTTTTTGAACCAAATGCAGCAAAATTATTCTGTTACTAGAAAATATTCAAGGTATGGCTTAAAATGCTCAAAATTTTATTTGAAATTCAATTCTATCTAATAGGGAAGTAACACAAAGTTAAATTCAAGTTAAAAGGTTAAATTAGTTATGTAAAAATGAATTCGTAATAGATCCTTCAGAAAGTCCGAAATCGAAAATCAAAAATGGTGACCTCATTTCTGATTTAATAGTTTATGCTGGGTGCAAATATTTCGCAAAAATTTATACACCAGAATTATACTATGGTGTTTCATATATTATATCAGATTTAAAAATATAAATACCGATTTACTAGATTTTTCACATGAATTTGTCATGCCTCCTTCAAAAATTTGTATAAATATGTGATATCAATGAAAGTGTGTTACTCATCAATTATTTCTGGAATGGAGTTTTTATGGAAATTTTTAAAATTTGTTTGAAATATTAAGTAAGCACTATTATTCTAATCGGTTTTCTTCAATTACATTAAGTAATTTAGGAACATCTCTCATCAAATTCCTGCGTCAGTTGTAATTCACAATAATGAAAGCTCAATATCTTCGGATAAACAACTTGTCAGAAGCTCGGGAATGGGTTCGGAGAGCGATAAACCGTTATGTATGCTGTTTGTAACATTCAACGACACCCAATCGGTTAGTTTTGAATAAAAAAAATAGAAATCGCAAATATACAAACAAGCGCGTTTCGAGTGTTTTCTTAATAGGTCAAATCGTTTTCAAACGTGTCAAATACTCATTTTCATTTTTACACTTAAATCGTAAAAACGGCTCCCAATGAACCGCCTCGTATCAATCTGACAGTCATTGTTTCATACTTGAAATTTGTTCTTTCTCAACAACAATAAAAGTGACGACGGCGACTGGTATCTTCAAAAAACAATCTCTCAACAGTTTTCACAGAAACCATTGAAATCTGCCGAGAAAACATTTTGCTAAATTCCATGTCGGCAAAATGTTACCTCGTTCTCAATTACTACATAAACGTCGTAGTATTGTTATTTTTGGTTTTTCATTGTTTTGATGTCTGTTAATCCCATTTATGAACGATAAAAATTTGTTGAGTGAATACGTGCGTTATTCTGACCGTTTATGCGTTCCTCTTCGTGTGCCTTTGTATATATGCGATATTTTCGCACTAAATCGTCGTGTCGATTTCAACAACAAAGAAATCGGGACGACACCGGTCAATTACTCCTGTAGCTGAAGGTTACAGTTCCGTCTAAGAGATTCAATGAGGCAGCAATGAGTTTTTGTGGAAAGGCTCTTCACATTTCCACCGCGCAGGCATCCTGCCACTTCTCGCTTGTTGGCATTTCAAACACATGTTAACATCGTAATCCTTTACATGTAATAACTGTATAAAGAAGGAAGAAACCACTTAAAATTTGGTTTTTTAAAATAACGGCTATGTGCGTTTTAAGCTAATTGATGGGCTTCTTTTATCCGTGTCTTTTTTTATTTATTTAAGTCCGGATCGACTTTTGACGCTTGCTGTGTGTTTACTATTGACTTTCTTTTTTATTGTCAGTGACAATAAGTTTCCAACTTAAATCTTTAGATGGTTTCTCACAAAATCCTTCAGTTTCAACTTGGTTTTCAAATATTAAAAGAAACATTTTAGTTTTTTCAAAGAATTTAAATTAGATGGGAAATACCAAATTTATCACAGTATTACACCACAAGTTAACAAAAACTGTAAGAACTGAAAACGGTCAGAAACTTTTTAACATAAAATGTTCACTATTTTTATATAAACAAAATCATATGTCAAAACCACATTTATTCGAAATCCAAGTAAACAGAAAATATCTTTTCATTTTTTTAATGTTTAGTATCGTTCCAATTATTCATAACCATTGCAGTTAAAAATTCAAATATTCTATCTAACTCATCACACAAAGGTGTTCTGTTTGCCGTTTTGTAGTAAAACGCCGTATTGACAGAACTATTTTGATGCTTCAAAATCGCTATCTACAGTTAGACTAGAACATTTTTTCATCATTTCACACTTCTGTCCATTCGTCAAAACGTTTGACTAGTTTGGTCATTCGTTTTTCTTATAAGTCGAATAAACATGCTTAATACTCAAACAAAAATTCTGTTTGGTCAATCGAAGACGGCTGGTCTGAACTGAATTTCTCATTTGGATTCGCGAAACTTTTTTTTTACCAAATGGCTGAAGAATTTGAAAGCCATTTAATTCGATCCGAAGCGCAAATGCCCCTAATTTTCGAGACGAAACAATAAACAATTTCATTTCTTTGCGCTCGGGTGTCAAGAAAAAAGTCTGACAAATAGTAGGTGTGCGGATTACATTTAATCGCGCAAACAATCCAGATCGGTACTGTTCGGAAATTGCTAAACTTTTGATCATTGATTCGATTTTGTTTTGTTTCAGGAAAAAGAAGTGACAACTGCCCACGTATTCAACGTTACCAAGCCGACACTTTACCCACAAACACGCAAAACAGTATACAAAACCCAAAGAATTACCGGTAGGTCAGATTTTAGTATTACTTAAAATCCAAAAAAAACAGTTTGGTCACAGCCTTATTATGATGAAGTTCGATATTTTCAAATATAAATTCAATACATTCATACGATATAACCTGTCAATTGTTATTTCCATCATCTAGGATTATGGTTGTCCTAAAGGGTCATATAATCTTGAATGATTTATAGAAAATAGCCAGTACAATAATGCAAAAAGCGATAGATTTATCGTATTTAGTTTTACTAACCATTTGCCGCAAGTTTTAATCGTAAAAATACGAAAATATTTCAATTTGTTGTTGCTATCGAGTTATTCCAAACCCTCTTCAAGGAAATTGTTTTTTTTTTGTTTTTTTTTTAGCATGGTGCCCACAATTTATTATTCCATCTAATCAAAAAACAATTTTTTTTGCAAAACTTTTTTGTAAAAATTGTGTCAAATAAGGAAGAGCATTGTTTTTTTTTCGAAAATCATATTTTTCAAACGACATTTTCAATTTTCAAAAATTTCTAGGCTGGGAAGGTTCCTTACATTAGATTGTTTTTCCTATGAATATTCTGGTATTACTTGCAAGTAATTTGGCAAAATTTGGTAGGTCCCTAAAATCAAACTAAATATTTCTGTCGAAAATTTGATTGCACAATCGTTGGCAGTTTTACTCTTATCAACTAATAAAACTGATGAAAATGCGGAATTTCACAGCCTTCTTCGCTTTATTTGCCAAAATTTTTAGTCGGTAGATAAAATTGTTGACAGTTTGAATCGAATTCTTCCGCAATGCGTGGCATTTTTTGATAGTGCCTTAAAAAATGAAATTTTTTTGCCCATGGCGCACAGATATTTGCTGATAAATGTTAAAGTTTAAACAATTATGAATTGAAATTGCATAGCGATAGAAATTGTTGTTAAGAATTTAAGATTATACAGAAATAATAATTCTCAAAAACAAATCAACAAACGTAGAATTTACCAAAATGCTGGACGAGAAACCAATAAGTTAATTGTGTTGTAGTTTCTGCAATGGAATTTATAAATAATTGGTTATTTAACCAATTTCGCTCATATTTTTTCTATTAGTTACTACCTGAAGAGAAAGTGGAATTCGAAAGAAAAAAAGTTTCTAAATTGCTAAAAAAATTAAATGTTAAATATTTGAAGTACAAATCTTTATAAAATCGGTACAGTTTCGCAAAATGAGGTTAAAAAGTTCGTAAAACTAGATAAAATCAGTTAGCCCAACCATTTCCCCAAACAATCAAGTTCCGATTAGTCAACTACTCATTTTGGTTTTTTTTCTATAAAATCAAAGAGTATTTTATTTGATAAAGTTTGTTTTTACATATAAAAGATCTTTTCAGTTAAATCCATAATTTGTTTATTGTTATAAGAAAGTCATAACGACAACCAAAGAAACCAATTAACCACTCAAATAGATCAAAAGCGAATGGTCAACCGTTAATCGCCTTGACGTTTTTTATCGGATTTCAAGAGAAATGACCTCTTCGCTCTTTTTTTTAATGGTAAATGGAGAAGAATTAATCGAGCGCATAAGGTGTATGTTTGTTGTTCAGCTAGTCTGGTAGCTGAATTTAAAAACTGTCTATTTCATTGGCGGCGAACACATTTCTATTATGTTTTGGAGTTTGCACAAACTTTGACTCGCAATAGAAGTAGTTGATACAAAACGTCATGCTACTTCGTTTTGCTAATGAAAACGAAACGGCAAGGTTTTTGTCAAAGAGATTCGATTTCGGTAAGCGTTCATAAAGAAAAAAATTTCATATACATGTTTCTTTCTGAAAACGTTCGCCTAAATAAAAAAGTTATTGAATAAACTTGTTTCCATTCTTCAATCAAATCTCAGAAAACTTTTATTAAAAATGTCAAGCTTGGCAACTGCTGTCACAAATTTTAAAACTTTTAAATTCTTTCACGAAGTCACAATTGTGCCTAGAAAACTAACTGTTTATATTTGATGAAAAAATATGGTTCATTGGTTCGCGCATCTTCAACATTGCAAATAATCTTGAAGTGAGTTTATGTTACAATACGCTGTGAAGTTGAAAACACTGTGATTTGAATCATAAAATCGACTGCGCTGAATAGCTTATTCCTTCAGTGGCGTTTCAAATATTTTCACATTTGACTTGATGTGTCATTCGTCGGAGACTAATCCGCAACAATTTTCGAGGTGTTCAAAAAACCTGTAGGAAAACTATTCATTTCGTTTCAAATTACTCTGTTATTGTGTATTTTTCAACAATTATAATAGATGGCTTTCTTCAGGTGCTGGAAACAATTTGCCGATGTCCTTGACATCTCCGCCTTACTATGCCGATGATGAGTTTTCTGATCGTCATGGAAGCGTAGCGAATACCAAGGTTCGCATCAAATGTTTTCAATCGAATAAACATTTTATGTGTTTTTGTAGAGCTCTTCATCGCGTTCGACACCGCGTCTTTACGACAATCAAATCGTGCAAGAAGTAAGGGAGAAGGTGAAGATATTTCATCAAATCACTGTTTAGGTGTCGGTATCCTACTCGGCTCCATACACCGGATATTCGCAACCGCATGTTCCTTTAGCGCTTAACATCGGTACCAATGCAATAGATGAATATTCGCGCGTGTTTGAGGAAAATGGTTCGTTGACACAATTCAATTTATTTACACGGCAAACTTGCGAATTTTTCTGTTTGCATGCCATTTTGGGAAACTGCGAATACTCAAGTGGATTGAAAACAAATTCAAGACAAGTTTTGTAATAATCAGAAAATCAAAGTCAAATGTAAATAAATTGATTAACTTTAAAACTTTTTCAGTATTAACTTGTTAACAGTTGCAGAAAGTAATAATTTTTCTCTTTATTTTCTTACCAATTTAGCCCAACTTGTCCCAAAAACCCTAGAATACCATAAAAATGACACCTTATTACAAATATATAACAAAAAAACTTTCCATTTCGAGATTACCGAAATTTAGTGTAAACCAATGGAATGACTAATAATAGTTGTAAATGTTCCGTGCAAACACCTACACGAAATGCCCACGCTGCTCCTCAAATAGGACAACTTCTTGATTGAGCAGCTTGTATTTACGTTTCATATTTGAACGAAATTTGGTTCAAATTTCCCACACTCTAGAATCACTTTACGACTGTTCGTTTCTCGTTATAGGAAATCTTCATTCGTATATTTCTGACTACGAACCACGATCGGCTCGCTATCCGGTCACACCGGAGAAACTTGAGTCTGTCCGCCGCCATTTATCTTCAGGAAGGACTGAAACTGAATTTCCAGGTATGCTAAATTCTTTTAATTGATAATCATCATTTGAGATATGTAGTGAAAAAATACGGATACACGGAGGAAATTCCTTATTTCTCTGCCCAATCTGCAATTCAATCAGCAAGAACTACTCCAGCTCAAACCCCACGAGCTACACCAGTTATTGATAGCCGCGCAACGACCGTTCGACTTCCGAGTAGTCTTTCACACAATACTATAATCTCGGAAAGCACGACAATTGAGGAACTCACCACCATAACCACCGCCAAGTAGGTTTATGTGTTGCGACACACAAAAATAGTTAGTAGATGTAATCGACTAATATCTTATTCAAAATCTTTCTCGCTTTGTTATCCTATTTAATAAGTTTTCATTCGCGCTTTTTAGTATTCGTAAATCACGAAAGGACGAACCAATTAAATCAACCGACATGCCTACGGTAAATGCTCTAGCAGAGCAGTTTGAAGCTACAGCGAAAAAGGAAAAAATGGTTTGGGTTTAATATTTTTCATGATGAATTAACGTTAAATTTAGGATGCATTGAAATCAAGAATCAGCCCCAGCAATAATAATATTAATAATAATAACAATAATAATAAAAATAGAACTTCGCCAAACCAAAACTCGAAATCAAAAACTAGAGTCGTTGTTATAAATAAATCAAATGGTAAGTAATATTTTTCTTGTGTATACATTTCATTAAATTGCGATATCAGAATACTCCAACCAGTATACTGATCGAATTCAACCAATATTTACTCCTGCTGGATTTGTTACGACGACAATTGTTGATATTGAGCCGCCAGGATATGGAAGAAGAGCTAGAATTGAAGAATATAGAGTGAGAAAATAGGATATTGCTTAAACAATTATTATCATTGCAGATGCAAGAGGAATACCGAAGCAAGCAATTTTACGATGCCAATGAGAACTATAGACAGCAAAAGACGCCATCACAGCCAGCAAAAAGCCCACGATCTAGAGAAGAAGCTGTAGAGATTTTTGTGAGATCACAATCGAGATCTGGTGCCAATTCGAGAGCTACACACGAGAGATTTATTTCATCGGATGATACTATCTCGCAACCTTCACCAACTGTTCGCAACGTTATTGAGCAGTTTGAAACGAGAATTGAAAGCAGGCAACGCACAAGTCCAGAAAAGGAAAATATACCAAGATCGGTTTCAAGAGTATCAATGAATCAAGATGGTGAAGTACTTCCAAATGTATATTTCAATCGATGAGAGCAATATTATTTTAACTTTTTAGGAAGTGATAATCTCTCGGAGAGAAATTGAGGAAAATACTGATATGAAGTCATGGAAGACAATTCCGACAAAAGTTTCACCGCCAACGCCAACTCCTAGTGAATACACTCAGCCGAGTTTCATTCGAACATACGAAGAGGAAAGAAGTCTCAGTATCCAACATGATGGGAGACGAGCAAACAAAAGTCGCTCCGTTATTAACATCCCACCTCCAGAGACCGTTGTGATACCCAGAGCTCTATCACCTTTAATCACGAAAACAACTGATGAGGTTACATCCACTGTCATGGTTCAAGATTCCCAAACGCTAGTAACGAAAGACGTTATGCTAGAAGAAGCAAAGGAAGAAATCAGCGTTTCTGAAGCCAAAGAAGTTGTGGCTGAAGACAGTCAGTATATTATTGAATCTTCTGAACAGATCGTCAATCCATCTCGAGTTATTAATGAACCTGTACCAAATGCATCTTTCACTTCGGAGTACACAATCACTTCGAAAACAAATGCGGAGAATGATTCCAAAAATGCGGAGCAGACGGCTCAGAATACACCAAAAAATCCGGAATCGGAGTCATTTTCAACATCGACGACTGAAATTACAACAAAAGTTATTACGGAAGAAGAAATTACCAATAAGCATCGCGCTATTGTCGAAGAAGTTGTAGCAATTGAGCCTTTGCCTGTAGAAGAGCCAAAACCAAGCGAGACAGAGCCATATTCCACATTCACATCAGAATACACGTTGACATCCAGAACTGAAAACGCAGATGAATGGAACAAGGAAACTTTATCAGATGAACCCAAGAAAGAGTACGAACCAGAAGAGAAAGAGACGGTACATAAAAAAGCGGAAGGAGCAGAGGAAGCACCAACAGAAACATTCCGGCGAATCATGGAGCATGACTATCGTATCAAGGCACAAGAAGAGTACACAACGACACGAAGAAGAAGAGATTACTCACTTCCTTCATATTACAATAGGGTATGTGCATTGGCACGTAGATTAAGCATTTATCAAAAGAATTATCGTATACACTCTCTCATTTTTAATATCTTTTCGGTATTCTAAGAGATAATGGAATAGTTTAAAAGGTGTGAAGATAAGCGAAACCATTCGAAACTCCTCGAAGCAAGCCTTTTTATTGAACTTTTTTTTAAAGTGGTCTTGCTAGAATAGGTTTAATTGTAAAATTTTTAAATTTCAGCGCGGCATCGGTTTCTCACCAAGCTACTCTTCGGTATGTTTGATGAATAGGTTCTAAATGATTCTTAAAGATCTCAAGATTTTGCTTCAAGCAAAAGCTTCTGACTATTGTTGAAATTAATTAAATGAAAATTTCAGTCACCAAGAATGGAATCCTATCGTACCAGATCGGTCGAACGAAGCTACGTTTCGAATTCCAACGTCTCTCGTAATTACACTGAAAGTAAGGGTTTTAGACTATAGTTTCTTTCCGCGTTTCGTCACTCTTTTGCGCCCATTTGATAACGCTACAATAAAAACTCGCAAATTCTTTATCAGCATTTCCATAAATGGGCGGCGCTTATCAAAGTTAATAAAAGCCCCAACTAACCCACACTTTTTCATTTCGAAAGAAATATGAGCTACTTCTCAAACTCCTACTCCTATTCAGGCCGTCATATCGGCTCTGGTGCCGCATTGGCCAGTGGCATCTCTACGGCTGGTGTCATTTGCACTACTTCGATCCGCGACAATCGTGAGCGCGAGAAAAGAGAGATCGGACTTCTCAATGATCGTTTGGCCGATTACATTGAGAAGGTAACTTTTAGATATTTTTAATTTCGCAATAAACATTCTTCAGGTTCGTTTCCTCGAAGCTCAAAACCGAATCTTGACCCAAGACATTGAAACTTTGAGTAAAGGATTCCGTGGAAATGGACAAATCTCGTTCCTCTACGACTCTGAAATCAAGGTAAATAATTACGTGCAACATTTTTTTTAAATATAAATTTTCAGACTGCCAAATCTATCCTCGAAAAGTGCATTGCCGATCGTGATGTTTTCAACAGGGAAATCGTTAGTTTGACTGCTCAATGTGACGGACTCAAGGAAAAGTGGCGTGAGAGCGTCAACGTTATCAAGGGATTCCGCTCTCATCTGGATGTGGACTTAGACAAATTGGCTCAAATTGAAGCGGGAATATCTCTCTACAGAAGAAAGGTTGGAATCGTTGAGGAAGACTGCATCAGGATCAAGCGCGAAAATGATCGTATTCGATCCGACATCATGCGTGTCCGCGGAGTAAGAAAACCAACAATTTTAGTAGAAATCGTAATCTTAATGCTTTTTTAGCAAACCCACCAAGAGGTTTCGATGAAGAGCGAATATTCAATCCGCGTCCAAGACCTTCTCAACCGTGTCAACCATCTCCAAACGGAGAATAACACTAAGATCGAACAAGAGATGATTTCCATCCGACGTGACACCACTATCGAAAACCGTGACTACTTCAGACGTGAGCTTCAAGCTGCCATCAACGAGATCCGTGCCGATTACGAAGCGGTTGGAATAATGATAAGAGAAAATTTAAGCGATTATTTTTATTTTCAGATTTACCAACGCAACCGATACGAGCTGGAGGAGTGGTACAGAAAGGAACTTATCAGAGTCCAACCAATTGTTGCGTCAACCAACACCAACCAATTCCGCGAAGAAATCGTCAGCATCCGCAGCACCTTAGCATCCGTCCGACAGAGCTTGGCCGACATGGAGAGCAGAGTATGACTATTCTTCGACGACACGGATAAATTTCGATTTTCAGAACTCTCTCCTTGAGAAGCAAATCGCTGATCTCGGATTCCAGGCCAGCGAGGATGCCAAGCTCTATGAAGCACTTCTTAGCGAGAAGGATGCCGCTATTGCGAAGATGAAAGATCAATGCTCAAACTTGACAATCCAGATGGAGAAGTTGTGCGACCACGAAATCGTAAGATAAATTGAGATAGAGAAGCATATTTAATTGTGAATTTCTAGTCCCTCCGTAAGGAAATTGAGCATTACCGCCGCTTGCTTGAAGGCGCCAACGTGACGACTTATGTTGCCACGTCTACGTACCCATCAACTCGCGTCAACACCGGAACTTCACGTGTTGTTCAAACCAGCACAGTCACAAAATCAAGCAGCGCATCCAACTACTCAAATGTTCGTAGCGGATACGAAATTGGTGGTGGGGCTGGATTCTCTGGCTCACAGACCAGCCTTCACGTCGGAGGAAACATTGGCGGATCGAATATCATTGCTGGAGGAAACATCCACGAATCGTCGTCCAGCATCCACTCTGGCGGAAGAGTTACTGGCGGAACCAGTGGTTCGTACCATTACCAATCCGCTTCTTACTCATCAAACAATTAAACGATTCAATATCTTAGAACATTGAATCGTTCTCATTTTTCAGTTATTTTCGCTTTTCATGTTTTTATAGTAGTTAGCGGATTGTTGGCAATTTCATCGTGAATGATCAAAAGAAACGATATCAGAACGTGTTGTTATTCTTTTTCTCCTCAGTGTTGTTATTTTCAATACCAACCCTGTGTTAAACCAGATTGTCTTCGTTAACGACACTTCTAGATAATCGCGTCTTAGCAAGAAAAAGGAAACCAAAATTGCCCGTTCACTTACCGCAATTCTCGAATTTCATATTGTTCTGTGTCGCTTCTTTTGCTTTCATTTCATTGTATCATCCTGCCATTTTCAGTAACTATAATAAACTCATGTCAATTTGCATTTGTTCTTATTTGTACAATACACAGCAAAACAACGAAGTAGAAGGAAAACTTCGTAATAACACAATACTTGAATTCGTTTCAACATATGCCTGGTTTTGTATGAATAAGAACAAATGCAATTGATGTGAGGAGTGCGATTGTTTTACCAGATCGGGCAGAGACCAACTACTGCTAGAGAGGGTGGATTAACCATGCCGCTTAAATTATTTTGTATTATGTTTCGGATGATGCAAATCGACATGACCAACTCATTGAGACGACAGTCGTGGAGCAGTATTGATTTCTTCTCAAACTGATAATTTCCTAAGCTCTTGCTTCAATGATTTCAAATCAAAATATTTCAGTAATTAACTTCAATACAAAAATGATAAGGTCCACAATTTTAATGAAAGCTAACTGATTTAATTTTTCTAAAAGCCGTTTTCTTAGAAAAGAAATTTTAACGTTTTCTAAAGAGAAAAAATATTGTCAACGTTGGGTGACTGCGGAAAATTGACTAAATGCCAAAAAACTAAGGTTGCGGTCTTAGGGAGCAGTGTGCATTTTTAACTTATTTTTGTGCCAAGCACGTTGTCTACCACTTTAGTTTTGCTCCAAGGCCTTCACCATCTTTTTGCCATTCAGCTAATTTTCCGCACTAGCGCAACGAGGATAACACCTCTTAATACTTTCTAATTTTTGAAAAAAAAAATGCGTTATGAACAAAAATAAAAAAAAATTAAAATGTGTCTATCATTAGAATTAAAGCTAACAGAAATTCTTTACTATATAATATATTAAGACACTAGCTGAAAAGTGAAACAAAAAAATTTTCGACCGATCTGTTCAGCTGTGATTTTTCTTCATACTGTCTTGTTTTCCTCTGTTTCCATGAATGCTAAGATTGAAAACGGTGAATACCAATACGCAAATTGTCTATGTAGTAGTTTTTGAGAGGCAAAACTAAAAAAAAAAAAATAACTGTAAAAGTAACTAAAAATGTACCATGCAGATTGTAGAAAAAAAAATTTTCAAGAACACTCGCCGCACCCAGGGTTTCGATGTCTACAGTAACACAGTTAATTTTATTAAATCGCGGCCAGAAAGAAGAAATTTAATTTTATGCAGCTTTTAACGGTAATAGAAGCAATAGAGAATTAATAGAAAAACATGGATTTAAAAAAATTAAATCGCGAAAAATTGCTACTTTTAAAGCGCAGGTGATAAAATTTCATAATGATACTTTGTAATGATTTCGAAAAAAAACTAAATAAGTACCAGTAAAAAATCATTAAAAACAACTTTTAAAAAATTTACAGAAAATAGCCTAAAGCAAATCGAAAAAATAGTTTTTTTTAAATTTTCTTCCTAAAATCTGCATAGCCCCGTAATTCTTGCAGTGATTTAATAAAAACTATTAAGCTGTAGGGTTCAAAAAATCTAGCCGCGGTCGAGACTTTTTGGAGTTTTTTTTTCTGCGATCTGCGACTTTACGCTTTTTACCAGTTGTTCGAAGTCTTGTCGAAATCCACATAGTACCATAAATTATAAAACAACAATAACGATAATATGAAATTTTCAGAACCTGCAAAGAAGCCTGACAGAATTCACAACGAAACTGGTACCGATGAACATGGTCGAAAATTCCATCGCTATTACAAAGGCACCATTAGAATTACGCAAGTACAAAGAGATTTCATTGAGCTTGAGAACATCTGTGTGATTAGAAAAGTCGACGTTGGTGGATTTAGGGTAAGCTCACATCTAACAGAAGAAAAACAAAAAAATTGTTTTCAGATTGAACATACATCGTGCAATCGATTACTTGGACAGGTCACAATTGGACATTCATTGATTCTCGATCCGAAGCAGACGTTGCGAATTTACACTTCTCGTCATCCAGAACTTGAAGGCGACATCATCATGCAAATTCCTGAATTTGACGTTTCTACTGATGCGAGAACATCGTTATACAATTCATTGGAACCAGAAGAGGTACTTAAATATTTATACATGTTTCCATTACTTATTTCTCAATTACAGGAACGCGTCTATTTCGTCTACACGTCCTAAATGTCAATTCTATTGCCACCATTGTATTTTCTATATAATGGATAGTTATCGTTTTATGTGCCTTTGCATAAAATATTATCAATTGAACCGTTTTATTGACACAGAGTGAAACAAAATTTTCAGAATGAATCATGTACGCAATAATATTGTAGATTTTACATTGAATGTCACTGAGACACTTCAAATAATTGATAAGAATCTAAGATAAATGGAGCGACCAAATTTAAATCATAAAATTCCGATCAAACAGAGGGCCAAAATAGCGATGATAAGGAATAATACACCCGCCTGTTTTCATTCACTCAATCATATCATTCGTTTTGAATCAGCTCATTTAGTCTTGAGTGCTATTCTTGATTCTTAAACATTTTATTTTCGAATCTTAAATTGCATTAATACGTAATATCTTATCGCAACCAATGAAATTTTACCACAAGTTATCATTTCGCTTTTTTTGATATTTCAACTCACTTGCACTTGTCATTTTTCATTGCACTTTATCTTGACATTTATTGCGGTCTTAAGATAATTTTAACTGTGCGACATATCAAATTCCAGGAATGAGAAACCCGTTGGACCCCAATCGTCTTAATAAAAACCCTACGATCGCTCGGATTCTCAAATCAGGCGTTTCCAATGTTACGAGTGGCGGAGCATTATCCTCGTTTGGAGCGAACTGCGCCGCTTTGATTCGTGAAAATCGTGATAGAGAAAAACGGGAAATTGGTGAGCTTAATAATCGCTTGGCCAGATATATTGAGAAGGTATGATACATTTGTTTGTTACATTTTCAAGCAATTGATTAGGTCCGATTTCTCGAAGCTCAAAATCGTGTTCTTGAATCTGACATTGATTTGTTCGCGAGAGCTGCTCATATTCACAGTAATCGGATTGCCGTTTATTATGAGGCAGAAGGAAAATCTCTTCGCACATTGGTCAGTGAAAATCATGCAAAAATTATGAATGCTGAGCAAAACATTCGAAAGCTGGAGCCCGAGTTATCGTCGATTTATCGAAGGTTGAACAGCTAACACCTACTCATCGTGTTACTCATTGCTAAACTTCAGATTAAATGATGCTGTTGACGATCGTAAAAGAGGAAGAGTAGTAAAAAAGGAAAAATTAAAAGAACTGTCTTATCTTGAAGCGGAGGTACCCCAATTCGGGAATAACGTTCTAATCAGAGGAAGTTTGTAGAATACTTGGTACAAGAGACTTATCGTCGATGCGGAAGAAGAGAAGAATCGTATCAAGCAGGAAAATTCTCGGATCCGTGCTGAGATTAAGAAACGACAAAAACTCCGCGACAAAGAGAGAGCTGATGCGGCCAAATTCAGCTCAAGTCTTCAAGATTTGCTAAAACGTATCCAGGCTTCTTTAACTCAACATGAAATGGTTCGTTTTGTTCTTTCCATGACACATGAGATTTGATAACACAGTCTCCAAAATATTTCTGATAAGAGAAGTATGCATGTTATTTACCCATTGTTTCCGAGCGAAAATGGCGCATTAGTGCCATTTAAGAAAAAGATAAGATAGTGTTGCTTCAAGGGAAACAAAATAAAATTGATGAATGATAATGGAATTTTTCAGACAATTCGAGACGAAATTGGAAAAGCTCGACGTGATACAACTAATACTAATCGTGATTTCTTCCATAATGAGTTGCAAAATGCGATGAAAGATATTCGCGATCAATTTGAAAAGGTTACATTCGAGTAATTACTGTGTCACAGTGATGAATTTAAGGATTCCCGATCTGCGCGAGCAAAGTGGGAGGAATGGTATCGCAAAAAGATTACCGAGATCAGGAGTGATTCTGAACATATCTCCAAAGAGCAAATGAATGCTAGAGTAAAATGAATAGAAATATTTCAAATTAATTGCACTTTTAAACTTCAGGAAGAAACACTAAAAATTCGTTCAACATTAAATGAAATGAGAGACAAATTATCAGATGTTGAGATTCGAGTGAGAATTATATTTTTTTTACTATTTTAATGCTTCTACTTATGTTCTTATTATTTTTAGAATCAACAACTGGTTAAACGTATTGCTGATCTTCATTATCGTGAAGATGAAGATTTGCAATTATTCGAAATTGCATTGAATGAAAAAGAAGCTGCTGTACAGAGAATGCGTGAAGAATGTACCGGACTCACTGTTGAATTGGAAACACTTTGCGATAATCACATTGTAACAAAATACATATGTTTCAATATATTACAGAAGTTTTATTCCAGAATCTTACAAACGAGATTAACATGTATCGCAAATTAATTGATAACGCCGAGGGAATCCGAACCATGATAAATAGTGAGGTTGTCATCGAAGCTCCTTTGCCTGTTCGTCAAACAACTTCATACCATTCATACGGCTCGCCATATTCGTCAGGAAATTATAGTTAATCGTTTTTTTTTTAGTAAATTGATTCTTTCTAAAAGAACATGAATCATTTAGATTCTTTCTGTGATAAGTACAATTTTGGTTTTAAGATGTTTAGTTAACGCGTTTATTTTCGTTTCTTGTTGAATTACACCAATAAAGAAATATTGCAGGCCAACCGCTATCCACCATTCAATTCACAATTCCCCCTAAAACATACAAAAACAACTTTAAAGGAGATGTAAAAATTTCGGTAACGTTAAAGAACCAGCAGATTTTATATTGACTTGATGAATTAGGAGCATGATCCTGATGGTGCTTTCATAACAATTGAAAACACAAATTGGACACGTTCGTATGATCTTTCGAATTGGAAGCTTGTCCACTACGTGCATGGCGAACCTAGAGCACAATTCATATTCCCAGTGGCGACACATATTCAGCCATTAGGAAAAATAAAAGTTAGATTGAACGAACAAACACATTATCTTAACTTTAACTTTCAGATCCTCGCTCGTGGCTCCTTAAGCCTTCTAGATAGTGATATATTCACATGTACTGACGTAGCAAAATTCGAGTTCCATTCTGGAACAAAGACTGTCCTGTTGAATGATGCTGATGAGGTTCCAAAATCCAACCAGAATTCTCTTATCATTTTTTTCAGGAGGTTGCATGGTATGCTGATGAAAATTATGCTCACTAATTCTCTTTGGTTTGGAATCAATAGTCTATTTTGATCAAACTATACTAGAGAAAATCAAGTTAATTCTAGCGTGCTATATAAATCATGTGTTTCATTTATAAATTTTTGATATATTGAAAATAATAATGTAATTTTGTTTATTCAATAAAAATGTTAGCAAATGCTCTAATTTTAAAAAAAAATAAAAACGGGTTAAAAGAAAAACTATTATGGTCTTGATTAATCTCTATTGAACTTGGAACATCGAATCAACATGTTTTTATGATTTATTTGCACGATTTTGTAGATTCCTTCTTTCAAAAAAAAAGTTCAACGGTAAAATTTATTAGTCAATCCTTTTGTACCTGGGTAGGATTTTTAATAATCCTTTACTTATAGCAAATTTTGGAAATCATGTTGTCATACTAAAATTTTCATGGCACCTTCTAGACATGGGGAAAGTTAAAAAAATTTTTTTTGAACAAAAACTAAGAACAATTAAGTTAACAGAATGTTTGCATATCTTATATATCAACTGAGAAAACATTGTTTTGGCTGGCGTCCACACTACATTCTGGCCGAATCGCACATGTCTTCTTCTGTATTATGTTTTATCATTCACATTACACTTTTCATACGTTTGTTTTTCTGTTCCCATCGTTGCTTGTTTATTGTTCGACTTTGAAAATTTCTTCCAGATAATATTTTCAGTCTTCAATCGTAAAAATGGCAAAACCAGCACCACCAAAAGAAGTATGAAATGTTTCAATAATTCGATATTTCCTTAAAAAATCTATAGGGCAGACCATTGTGCAACGTTGAGCATATTGAATTTGAGTCACGTGCCAACGACATTAAAGCAGGTCTTATCGATACATTTCTAAATTTACAAAGAATCGATACCAACCTTTATCTGTGAGTGATTGTGATAAATTTACACTAGCGTAGAAATGTTATCAGCAATATGCAAATTCCAGCGCACGCCATTTGCTTAAAGGAAGACATTCATACAATGCGGTGTATGGAGGACAAGTCAGGGACCAAAAATTTGTGAAACCGAAATTTGAAATTTTAAGGTTGTTGGGCAATCACTTGCTGCCGCTGCAGCGACAGTTGAGGATGAATTCATTCCCCATTCACTTCACAGTTATTTTATAAAAACAGGTTTTTTAATGCAAAATTAGTTAAAAATTTCGAAATGCAAAAATTCAATGCAGGTAGTGTGGATAAGCCGATTTTATACATGATCGATAGAATCCGAGATGGTCGCAGTTTTTGTACTCGTATCGTAAAAGCAGTTCAAGATGGAGAAGCAATTTTCTCTTGTCAAATATCGTTTCACAAGGCATTTTTAATGGGATTAAATTAAAAACTGGTCGTTTTCTTTTCAGACTGAGCCGGACGCAATCATTCACTCAACTACCATGCCCAACGTTCCGCAACCTGAAGATCTCTTGGCATGTTAACATTTTTAATATAGCACTTTGAAAAATGATTTTAGCCCGCACGAGATGCCGCTAAAAAAGTTCTCGAAATGGATGGATTAGATAATATAACAATTAATACGATTACGAAGGCATTAAAAGAAATTCCGGAAGCTTTCGATCGTGTTTTTGATGTGAGACCAGCTTATCCAGAGAAGTATCTCTTGAAAGATGAAGCTGAGCCATCATCATCAATTTGGATCAGAGCGAGAGAAGATCTTGGTGCGTAGGTGTAAGAATGCAAAAAAAAAAATGAACATTAAACATTATAATCTCTGCAAACAAATTATGTTACAACGATAGTTAGGTTTTAGGTGATGATCACCGCCTTCATCAATGCGTTGCTGCATATTTGACCGACCTCAGTATGTTGAATACTGCAATGCGTCCACATGTCAGGTGTAGAAATAAGTTGTTAAAAAATATTATTAGATGATTTTGAAGAAAAGGATTTGTCGCTTCAATGTCATTCTCTTTGGATCATTGCGTGTGGATTCATGAGCAGAAATTTCGTGTTGACGAATGGATGCTTTATGAGACTGTCAGTTCGAAAGCAAGTATGTGTCGAACACTTAATATTTGGGCAATCAAGTCTTTCAGGGGGATCCCGCGCATTCATAGAAGGCCGTCTTTGGACTCGCGATGGCCGTCTCGTCATTTCCACGGCACAAGAAGCTTTAGTTCGAGCTCCAAAGTTTTAAATGATAGCTAATTAATCCGTATTTCCATTTAGTAGATTGATACGAATAAAGATGTAATGAATGACACATGTGCATTCTTAAACTTTGCAAAAAGTGAGGCATTCACTTGATTAATGGGAGCACTTTTTTTTGCGATCAATGACATCTTGAACGATGTTCCCGTAGTCTTTTCAGTGGATTGAAAATGCTCGCTGTGAGCATGTCGCATTGGTTTATTATTACCATTTTTCTGGCTCTAGCCAATTTCACTCAAGCAGCCAACAATCGTTTGCTGGACTGCAAACCAAAAGAGGTTTTCGTTGAAAACTTTATTAAGTATGAATGCCTGGAGGAGAACAATGTCAAAGAACTTCGAGTTATTGGTTTGTTGAAAAAATTCGTTATTTTTCATAAAGTATTGATTTGTTAGGATGCGTCCCTACTAATGATATGACTGGAGAAGTCTTGGAGTCTTGGCAAACCCACGATGAGAGATGGTTCAAATACCACTGTGTTATTGATGGTGACACGGCAACATATGCCGTGAAAAGTATTTTATTCAAAAAATCTCACATCAACAATAATTTTTCAGCTTGCCGTGATCCAGTTGGTCAAGTTCTTCCAGTCGGTAAAAGTCGCAGCTTCGATGATGAAACGTTCACGTGTTTCCTTGAGGATGGAAAAGTCAAGTTGAACCATAAAACAAGTACGCAAGACATGACTTATTACTCTAAGAAGGCTCCATATATTGAATAAATAGTTTTATGGCACGTTGTTACAGCAATTGTTGAAAATTTCAGGTGTTGGATGCTCTATAGGTGATAAAGTTTATGGAGACGGAGCCAGTTGGACAGAGAAAAAAGAGGACAAAATTGTGGTATGGTAAAAAATATTACTACAATTTTCCCTCTAGTAACATAGTTTTTTATCACCATTTGAAAAACGCAAAAGTAGTTATTTTTGCAATGAGGAAGTCGAAGATTAATGGATTAAGTGTGCTAATGATTGCAATAGGCACTATCCGACAGATGTTTCACTTTGACATTACACTTCAAAAGAAAGAAACTGATCGTATCGAAACAAATGTTCACATCAAATAACTGATCGAGTATATCACTGAATAAAATGTCTGTAGGTTGGCGGTGAGCAAAAGACTGTCGGACATGGAGTTGCATACTATTGTAGAAAATATTCGAACGGAACATTTAAAGTAGAATTCGCCGGTAAATATGATTTGAATGGGCTTAATTACAAACGTATGTACAGCTTGCCTCACTACTGAAAACACATATATCCGTCCCGAAGCTTTTGGAAAAGTCGACAACGAAATTGTTAAATGCGACATTGTTAATGGAGAATGTAAACTAAGAGAAGCCAAAATAACAGGTGGATTTATGAAATCGTATTTGCCAAAAAACAAATTTGTAGAACTTCGATGCAAAATTAATAACGCTATTTATCGACATGACGAGGAATGGTCTTCTAGTGATGGAAAAACTGCCTACATTTGCCAATATGGAATTGTCGTAAAAAAGGGTTCAAAATAATATTAAAATCAGTTAATGTGTAAACATTTATAGGATGCCTTGTTTCTGGAACTCTTATTCCCCTACATTCAGTCAAATATGTGAATGGTGAAGCCTATTACTGTTACGAAGAAACTAGACTCGTTTCATTTGGAAATATCAGTAAAATAGAGTTTAGATGAAAATTTTGACCCTTTTTTGTTTCAGAGGGATGTAAAACTGCAAACGGCGATATTCTGGAATTTGAAAAAACTATGAGAAATGGAAATCGCGTGGAAAAGTGCGGATTCAAATTTGGCGAAAATGGTGCAATTGAGTATACTTGGACACAAGTTGGTATGAAAATAGTTTCAACAGCTTATAGTAATACTTGATTGATTAGGTTGTGCATACGAAAAAGAGCAAATCACAATCAACGCAATACAACAAGTAGGAAATGAATATGTTCATTGTGCATTAAACGGCACCAACGCTTTCGTTGCGAAAGTCATGACGAGAGTAGAAGTTGAACAATGGTTGAATAAAGTTGGAAAGCAATGGTCGCACGTTTTACAAGGTATTCACTTTTAAATCTGGTTAAAACCGATCCGAAACTTACAGGAAATGAGGGAACAGGTCATGGTGTAAAGCGTGAAATACCGACCACTCCAGCTCCAACTACCAAAAAGACCCCAACAACAACTTTCGCGCCAGTCACCACACAAAAAACAAAGACGACTACTCCAAAACCAGTGTTAACGACAGTAAAACCAATCACAACACCAGCCCCAATCAAATCTTCTTGTAACGATCTTCTACACGAGTGCGAAGATCTAGAAATTTATTGTCACGATGATGAAAAACACATCGAAGATCTCAAAGAAATTATTAGGAAATCTTCGGTAAATGTGAAGAAACGTCAAAAATCTCTCGAATACCTCAATCTTATTACGTAATTAACAATTTTTTTTTCAAAAATTACAGGTTATTTAGAATGTCTTCTCATTTGGATAGCAAACATGAACACAAAGAAGATGAACAGAACTGCAAAGATTGCCGAAAATGTCATCACAAAGGTTTATATAAAAAAAAATAACTTTAAAAAATTGACGAATATTACTAGAAATTGAGAGATGCCGCTGCGAGGATCAGAAAGCTTTTTCGGTAAAGCTTGTTCGATCATTATGTCCAAAGACGTGTGAAGCATGTGGAGAAAAACGTATACTACTAATAACTGGGCTTTTAATTTTCATTTTTTTAGACACATCGGTTGCCAAAATTCTTCGTAAATCCACAGCAGAAAAGTGCCACAAATCCGAATGCTATAAATCAGAATACAATAGACATTGGTAAATTCGTTTTTTAAGTAATAAACTTCATTCAGCAAAATGCACACACAGCATATCAAAGCATCACAGATGTTAAATCTAACAGTAGTTCTCGCAAAAAAATATAATGATTAAGTTTCAGGTATGACCTTAATTTGAGATCAAATATTAAAACTCTTCGGAAGGAAAAAATGAGAAAATGATTACAATTGAGTCTCAAATACTTCTTTTTCCTCGCTAAAGAACATATTAGTCCTCGCTAAAGAACATATTTTCCCGACTGTGGAAGCGCACATGAAGCATTCCATTCTGAACATAATGTTGTTTTACAAAAAAATTAATTTAGCAACGGGGTTACCGATATTGCTTAATTACTAGAATGGTGATAATAGCGTCCAATAATGGGCTTAAAGCAAGCCATAGTTGCGTTATATAAATTACATGTCCATTTGTTATGGGCTCGGAGAGCAGTAATATAGAGCTAAGAGTTAAAAAGGCAGGAACCTAAAGGGTATTAAAATAAATATGGTACACATATATCTCTACCTGGCAAAGTAAAGGGATTAAGGCTTGAGCAAGGGTCGCGATGGCGACTTGTCTAGTCTCAAGAAGTCTTACTTGATCTCGCAAATTTTGAACAACTTCAATGTGTCTTGCTGAAAGTTCGATATTAGAAACATTGTATTATTTGATACATTTCCTACCAACTACTCTAAAAACCATATAATTCGTTGCGAAAGAAATAAAATAAGCGAAGATAGTAATAGCAGCGAATAAATAAAACATTGACTTGGCCACATCGTGATCGGCAACGCATATGATCTTAAATAAAATTAAACTCTCAAACGTTTTAAATTTTGCATTTGTTGCTCAAGTTATGCTAGATTTCCCATTTCCTTCATTTTGTAATATGAGCCTATTGTTTTCGATTCGAGTGGATAGATTCATAAATTGTACTTACGTATAAAATTGCTACTGGTAATGAGTCGAGCAATATGCAAAACAATAATGATTTGTGTCCGTCAAAAAACTGTAACTTTTCTTTTCATATCACAATTTTCTTAAATTTGAATATCTAACCGTTTTGTATAATTTCGTGTTCGATAAAGCTAAGACTCTGCTAAGAGATATTGGTACTAAGGCACATATCATGGTTCCAAATGAACCGTAAAATGCAAGAGTCATATAATATAAAAATCTGAAAAAAAAGATTATTGAATTTTATAAGTATTTTGAAAATACATACGTTATTGGAATATTATGGGTGTCATTGACATTAATGTATCCCATAAACATGAAGATAAATCCGCACACAATATCGACGACAGCCAGATTTGCTACAAATAAACTAAAAAAGAAAATTGTAATTCGCAAGGAAAATATGAAACTACCTGAAATCCCCCTTTACATGTCCAAACGAGAGTATTATAACGACAATATTTGCCAATACTCCCATTATTGCTGATATAACCACACATAATCCCACAATAGTTTCGAAATCGTTCTTAAAGAACATTTTAAGTAACAATCCCATTAGCAAGCTACCTCGAATGTATGATTTTTTTTCAAATCTTCCAAATGAAAATCGGTGTAATTCAACGTAATATCCCAATCGTTATTGAGAATAGAAGCAGCAACGTTGTTCATTCTGTAAATTGGCTGAAAAGAGTGTGGGAAAACACGAATTGATTGACGAAGAAACTACAAAAACGAGAGATTCGTGGGTGTTTCCAATATTAAAAATTGTTTTTTTTTTACAAGGGTTATGACATGTACGCTGACCGTCTTAGTGTGTCATTTTTACAGAATTTGACTTATCTCTGTCAGATAGCCTTGTTTATAGGATAATATCCCTACAACTTATTAACTGTTTAGTGACACAGAGCCACCAGAATCGAAAAACACAGTTTTAACAGATTTGTTGTTTCGGCCCACACTAATCGAGACATCTCTCGGAACGGCCGATGCAGGACGCTGCCAAAGCATCTTCGGCGCACGCGTCTCATAGTTTTCACAGTGATGCATATGCAACGTATACGCATCGCGGCCGATTTGCTGCCGACTAACATAAGCGCGCGAATTCAACTCGGCATTGAAAGAGCAAGTATGTTTTAAAAGAATTTGAATTAAACAATCACGGCTTGTTTTCGGGTCATCTAAAACACGTCGGCAAATAATTTAAAGTCGGTTTAAAATGCTCTAAACTTTTCGGACTTTTTCTCAAGTGTTCAAATAATTAAACAAACGAGTTTCTTAGAACGATCGACCTTTAACTTTTCGATGAGATTTATTGAACATTTCGTTGACTTTGATCTGTTATAGTTACCTCAATGTACTATATTCATACAAACTCATCATATGAAACTGATAAAACGTGTTGATTATAATAAAAACGATATGATCGGATCTTATTCTTATGAAAATTCAAATAATAATAATATTGAACTGCTAATCATGATTTGAATTATGTGGTCTGTGTCGTAAATAACAAGATCACTGAAAAAATTGGACCAAAAACATTTTTCGGCGAAAAATAGGAAGACAACGGTTTGATGCAATTTGTGTATTAAATTTAACTGTTCAAAATTCGTGTTTGCACTTCCAATTGACGGGTTTTTGTAAGAAACGCGGTATTGTAGTTTATTTTCGAATTCATGGTGTGTCGAATGGGGAAATCATAAAAACTCGGTAACAAAAATGAGTGTTTTGTGAGACAAAAATCAATCTACAATTTAAATGAAACCTATACTTTGATTTATCATGATGGATTGTTTTTTTTAATAGAACCGTTTCTATCAAATGATGTCAAACCCACAAGTATTGTTTAATTCCAATTTTTGCGAGAATAAACGAACATCCACTAAATTCTTGATAATGAGAAGTTTTAATAAATTTTTTGTAAAACTCTTCCAGGATCAATGGGTGTTTACTTTTTACAAGATATATCTAGCCAAGTTGTTGTTGCCCATCAACTCAACCATGACTCTAACAATGTAAGTGAATGGATGATTCAAATTGTATAACTAAGACTTATGAATCAATGAAGTTATCTAGAAAACATGGAAAAACGGATAGTTAGATTTCAGATACTTATTCAATGAAAATATCACTTCCTTTTCAACATGAAAACCGTCGAAGTTAGATGTAAAAAATGTTAATGAAAAATATGAATGTTTTGTGTTTTGGTATATTAGATGAATTAATGTTTTGTTTTTGATGCGTAGAATAGAAGCAGCAACGTTGCCATATACTAATTATATGCATGGGAATGTTATCGTAATCACGTCGACAACGTTGTCGGATAAAACGTAAAATGACTCCGATCTCAAATATCTTGTCGTGAAACATCATTCAAGTTTTGGTCAATATGAAGTATGATTGTTTTCTATACAAATATTTGCGACGTTTTTCAAACATTTTTTGAGTACTTGGATGAGGTTCATTCTAGAAAAAATAATAAAATAAGTATACAAAAAACTCTGTACATGTATCGGCATAAAATTGGCTGAATCAGAACTACCGGAAGATGAAGAATAAATAGGAAACACGTGCAAATAAACTTTTATTCCAGCATATCTATCCGTACGACGCTTACAAATTTGTTCTCTTAACAGTTGGGTTGTACTATGCTGGAATAAATTAATATTTGTAATTCAAATGTATTGCTTAAAAATAAACACCAATCACGCATAATTTTTTTGACGAAATAAACAATCTCAACGAACAACGAAAAAAGGTAATGGCGAAGAAAACACTTTGTTATAGAATTGCGACTACGTATAATTACACTAAACTTCCTTACTCTCATGGTCCGAATTTTAAAAATGGGAACTTGAAGTAAATCCAATAGGATATTGAGTGCAATGGACTAGTAGTTGCAAATCACGTGTTGAAAAAAGAAATTAACTTTAGCATGATATATAAATCAAGATATTTTTCGTGAAAAATATGCTACAAATCATATTAATGTATTAATTTATAACAATTAGATAATATTTTTAATGCTAAAGATAAACATCAAATTAAGAATATTCGAGTTTCGATATAATATTTTTTTATTCCTATACGAAAATTTTTTCTTAATATGTTTCTAGATACTGTGAAAAAATACAAAACTATTCATCAAACATTGGCTATTTTCAGATGTCAAAATTCTACAAATAATTACAATTTATTTTATTTGAAATTTATATTTAGTTTAGCTTAGTTTATTTGCAGTTGGAAGGGAATCGACAGATAAAATAAGTAGGAGAAAAAAAGATAAAATGATGAATACTTACCAACTATTGGCAAAATTGTTTTTTTTTTTTTAAAGTAAAAGTATTTTTGAACTATCTGTTTTTTTTTAACTCACAAAATTTGCATAATAAAAACAAAATGTTCAACATGTTGATTATATCTTTAAAACATTTAGCTTGAAAATCAAAACATTGAAATCTTTAAAAAAAAATATATAAATCTATTGATCTTCTTATTTTAATCTCGACGAATTTTCAAATTGACAACGAAACCGAAAAATGGGTATTTGGCATGCCGAATAATTAAAATGGTATAGTGCAGTTTTCAGACAAACACGAGAAATATGAGACGATTTGCGCAGAGAACAACACATTGTGAAATAAAATACGCTAGCTTAACTGTATGTCTGTTGAAAAAAAATTGAATCGAAGTAATATTACACCGAAAATTATTTTGAAAAAAAAAACGGGAGAAAAATTAAAAGGCGAAGAGCAAAAACAAAAACATTTGCGAATTATGAGTTTTTTTGATATTATTGTTGACGGGATATTCAAAGTCTATTAGACGGAATAAAAAACACAGTAGCCTCGGGAAATATAAAAATATCATAAAATTAATCCTATATTTTTGTGAGATATGTATAAAAATTCGTTTTTATTCTCAGAATTTGAAGGTTTTCTGTGCTCCGAATTTCAATAAAAGAAAAAATTACATGAGATTTGAAGAAACAATAAGTTTGTTTCTTCATATATTAAAAACCATCCAAATTTTAATCCAGAGCCTGAGTTTCTATAACTTCTATAAAACTTCATTTTGTTATTCACATTCATATTGTTTTAGCAAAATGTGGCATGAGTAATTCAAAGAATCAGCCAGATAGATTCGAAAAAATACATATTGGTTAAAATGATAACAGTCGCAAAAAAACGAGCATAAATTGTATAGTTAACGAGTTCTCACTGTTTAAATTCAATTTTGAATTACCGCCACGAAAAGAAAAACAGGTCATAAACACCAAGAGTGTTTTTAAAATACAACATTTAGAAGGTAGGTAGAATCTTATTTACAGCTAATGTGATGACATACGTATTTTCAAAAATAACGATCTGAACTGTTTTTATAATAACAACTCTTTGAACTTTGATTTTAAAAATGTTCAGGGGTTCAAAACAACACTAGCAAGAAACATTGAATAGCGTCTTGATAAGCATATTGAGAAATTAGCAACAAGTGAAATAAAATTACGATGAAATAGCAAACTGATTGAGCATAAAATTTGCAGGATATGATCGTTAATTGGAATCGGAATGACAACACTGATGTCGAGTGCACTTAAAGTCGTGGGAGGAAACATGTCTAGAAGAATTTTTTAAATAGTGTAGCAATACGAGAATAATTGAGATGCGAACAAATTGGAACCAGAATAAAGATGTGTCAATTTCAGAAAATTAAAATTTCATGAAATTTACATTTTTTTTTCATTTTTCACATTTTAATCATCGCCTAAAGCACACATAATTAAAGGCATTGTCTTTAATGAACAATTTTCAGAACTTTTTCAGATAAATTTTTTCTAAGCTAAGAGAAATGGGTATAGGTATTTTTAACAGATCACTTAATTGAATTTTCGTGTTGACGAAAACCATATTTACCACAAGACTCACACCTAAATATTGGGAATGTGAAATCTTGCAGGAGTGACATAATAGAAGTGCACAAACATAAAGTACCCACGCGTCGGGAGAGACAGAAAAACTATTGTCTTGAAAATATGTATGTTCGAAACATTCGTAATCAATTATAAGTTTAAAAATTAACGTATTACATCATCACATGTTGAACATTTGTTTGCGATTTTTGCTGGCATTGGCTGGATCTGGGAGAGTTTCTTCAATTTCCAATTGGACTATGTATAAATAGATTTCAAACAAATAGGCGAATATAGGATTTTGTGGGTGGTTTTGAAAATCTTAACGAATTCAATAATTTCTTTTGTTGTTGTCTCCAGTGGCAGCCAAAACGACAGTAGATCGAAAAGAAAAAATACATATTTAAAATTGAGATTTCGTTTTCCTCGAAAATAACGTTCCAACAAATTTTGTTGTGTCATATGTTCATTATTAGTCTTATGGCAAGCAAAATAGCAAGAAGCTTTTCGTTAATAATATTAACGAATTATACTATTTAAAGCAACATAAATGAAAATTATAATGTCGACAACAATGGGGACAATTTAATCAAAGAATTTGTATTTCTTTAAACTCCTAAAACTTGTATTTTGCATCGAAATAGTGTGCGAGAATTCAAGAATGTTTGCACCCGCTTTTCAATGTATGCTCAAAGGCATCGAAGGATACTTGTTTATGCTCTTGACAAAGGATACATGATTGTCGATTATGAAACGAACCTTCTTTGAAATCGATAATCAGTATAAATAAAATCAAAACAATACAGACATATGTATATACTTAGAACTGTTCTTGCAATACATTAATGAAGTGTTATTTTATAATAAAAAAAAATAATTGAGTGAAATGCATTTTTTATAAGGCCGCTTTTTTATCCTCTGAACAAAACAAATCTTCTGAAAAATTGGCAGTGAATTATGTAATAACTGCGTAACAAGTAAATACCTCCATATTCACTAGTAATTTTAAATTGTCTACAGTAACTGAATCTGTTCGTTGTTAGCACATATTGATAAAATCATTTTTTTACTATGAATAATAGTAATAATTTTGTGGTTAATGATCATCTTCGGTTAGCGGCAATCAAGATGTGCAAGTCGATTTACGGACATGTTATTGTTTTCTCGTTATATGTAAAGACCCAATGCAAATTCGAATAATATGGTTTATTTTAAAAATTTTTTTCTGTTGATTGACGAATATTTTTGTTTGCGAAAACACACGAAAATACTTGTATTGTAATTGTATTTTGTTTACCAAAAATTATAAGTTGTCAAAAAAAATTTTGCGCTGCTTGGAAATTATGCTTTTCTCGAGTTTAATTCGATAAATCTGTGATTTCGTATTTATAATTTACAAATTCCCAGAAGCAAAAAAAAATAAGCTAATCCCGCGAAAGAATAACATGAAGGAACTGAAAAATATTCTCATATAAGGAAGATTGATTTCGCATATGAGAACTTATTTTCGTATTTTGCTGCATGAATCCGAACAAAATCTTTTTTGGCGCATTGTTATGTTAGCTGAGAATTTTCGTTTGCCGCATTTCCGGACAGCATATTTAATTGGGTGACAAGAGCTATATTCCAAAATTCGGTTGTAAATGTTTGAGACCTTGGTTTTTAATGTAGTCTGGATTATAAATGCTCGAACATCCTTCAATTCCTTAATAAAACCAAATTTCTGTACATATAAACAAGGGTTAGACAGGATGATTCTCGGAAAAAATATGCGGATCTTTCAAGGAATTTAAAAAGTTCTTAGAACCATATGAAGCCAAAGTGAGAGAGAGACATAAGAGATGATGAAATTTCACAAATATTAATTGGAAAAATGCAAAAGCCTAAAACAGGAATACAAAAAAATATAAAAAACTATGATTTAACGTAATCGGTGAAATATAGGTCTTATTTAGAAATTGAAAGCAAGCGTCATTATGATATATCGTGAAAAATCATTTCAAGAGTTGAGTTGTGACGACATTAGTTTTTGTTCATCGGCATTATGATGTGTTAGTGTAAAATATGTAAAATGTAAAGCTGATAAGATCAAAGTGAGATTTTCGTAATAATATCATGAAAAAAATCATTGAATTAAAATTTCGTTGTTGGAGAGTAGATAGCCGCATTATTGCTTTCAGCAGAAAATTACAATAAATTAAAAAAATCTACTTTTATGTTGCTGAAATTACGAAGAGTACGCTAAGTACGCCATTAAACGATTCAAATGATGTAGGCCAAAGCATTTTTCGCATTTTTCTGCGAAATGTTAAAAAAAATGTTAATTCGTTTTGTTAATCCTTTAATTAAAACTGCAAAATAGTCTAAGAATACAAAAATTAATGAATTTTTCAGACACATAAAAATAACAATTTCCTGTTCCATAATATTCAACGCTCAGTAAGAAAGCAGAAGTATTTCGAGTGTACCTATAAATCACTCAACACAATGATGTACATGTGCCTTTAAGAACATTATTAACAATTCATTGGAGTGTCGCCGGAAGTGGATGATTGCAATTTTTTCTGAAAAAAAAACATTTTTCCGAGTTCAGAACACCACCATAAGGGAAAGTTTTCAGGCGGTCACTATGCTATATATTGGACAAAAATTCGCATTGTGATAGTTCTGAGTAGTCATTAATAATGTTCTAAAGAACCAGTTTGCCGTAAAATCATTCATGTCTTATACTCAAATAATCTAAATTGGTTTCGTAGTTAGAAAATATGTTGATACATCGAATTGCATCAAATATTAGTCCGTAATGAAAAAAAGTCAAGATGACGGAGAGTATTTTGTTTCAGCACTTTCTTGGCTATTGTATTCAGGAAATTTGTATGTTTTTTTTTCTAAATGGCGTTAAACAGACAATCATCCTGTGTATCAGTCTTTTATTTGCTCCAACAACATATGCATTGTCCGTTCAGGCGCGTAAAACAATGCTCTTTGGATGATTTTTGGGCAGTATTCCGGTCAACTAAATCGCCCTGCTTGTTTTGCGCAAAGACAAAAGCTGTTTGACCAACGGCGGTTCTTTTGAGTGCCATTCATTCATTGCCCCCATTATTCCTAATGAAGTTCGTCGGACATCTAATAATATTTTTGTTGGGCACGGTACAGAGTGGAACTATACAGGTAACAATTCACATGTTGCATTATGTTTCAAAGCATCACATTTAGTTTTACATTGAGCCGACACAGAAAACGAATCCCACGTTTGTCCAACAACTAGTTGAAGGAAGCTTAAGAAGGGTTAATCATGTAAATTACCTTAGTTATTCCTATATAGTCACACGCAATTTAGGGTATGAATCTGACATCTTCGGTCAGTATGGTTTACGATGGCGGGCATTATATTGTCGTAGATTCTCCATCCGCCACAGATATACATTCAAAAGAATTGATGTTAAAAGGAATTATTTCAAGAAATGTGTCTCCAGGAGAAATTCAATACGTGGTGACAACCCATGGACATCCTGATCATTTTGGTCAGGGCAATTTCTTCCCCAACGCTCGACACTTTTTTGGTAGTTACGAATACTCCGACACCAATTTTATTTCCACCGAGCTCCATACAGTATAACTTTTAATTGCTGTATTTCTATGATTACTAATGACTTAGAATGACACCATGCAACTGACAAAAAATGTGCAACTTTGGAACACACCTGGACATACCGCGCAAGATGTGACCGTCATTGTTCATAATGTACCGTGTTGTGGAATTGTTGCAGTCACTGGTATGAAATCGGCAATTGCCCTTTTTATAATAAACGTTTTCATGTGACCTTTTCTACCACGAAGAGGATGCGAACGAATCTGCTGGAATATGGTTCCAAGAAGCTTGGAATCCAATTATTGGAAAATTTAGCAGAAATAAAGTTCTCTGCTATGCCGATTATATTATACCGGGTCATGGAAAATTGTTCAAGTAAATTTACGTGATATAATATTGTTTGACATAAATAAACTGAAGAATTTCTCGAGAGATGAAGACCAATGCGGATTGCTACACGAAATACGAAAATGAGCCCATGAAACACAATGGAACAAAGGCTGAACAATTACCGATGTTCAACGCATTGACAGGTATTTCTTGGAAATCGATAATCAAATAAAATTTGATTAGATTCATCAACAAAAACCACGATAGCGACACCGACGACAACGAGCACGCCCCTGGAAACTCTTCCACTCATTAATATCACTGTAATTGTGATTTAAGGTCTCGCGTAAGCTGTTTTTAGTTTTTAGTTTGAGTCGACAACATCTTTCTCACCATTGCAAACAATCACAGAGTTTTACACTGTGGACTTAGCAGAAGGTGATCATAAACGTTGGATTTAAATGTTAATGCCTTTGTTTAGAAACACCGTCGCCGGCAGAACAATATCTGCTCAATGAATTGAAAGAAAATCCGTTGGCAAAGAAACTCCAAAAGAAATTGAGCAATGTACAAATGCCTGGTAAATAAGACATTTTCAGAATCTTAGAATCTTAATATATCGTAAAATGTAATTAAGCTGAAGTAGCTCCCTACGTTCAGCAATTTGCCAAGAGGATTTCAAAAGTTTTGGAGCCGCAAAATGACGCATTAGCTCCAGATGTTTTACCACAACTGAGAAGATGGAGGGATTCATTTGCCAAATTTTGGTACGTTTGTTTTTTTTTCAATTTAACATATTTAATTATTCACAGGAAGCAATACATGAACGCGAATTAGACAAGGACACAAGGAATTAATTTATACGTATATATATATACAACAGTATTTATTTGAAGAAAAATATTAAAAATCTTAATTCTAAATAGTGCATGTTGGGTAATCGTAAATTTATTGTGGAAACCGTTTAAAACATCATTTGCCTGTCATAGCTATCGAGAGCTGTGTTCGAGGTAGAGAGTCCTTAAAAACGATGTATTTTAAAAGTTTTAAAATTTTACCTTGAAGTGGAGGAACTATTTGTTGCTGTTGAAATTCATAATGATTCCTCACAGATTGTTGAAGGACCTGCAATAGAATATTACCGCAAATTTCGTAAAAACCCCTACCTCAAGTTGCATCCTCATTTCATCTTGGGCTGAAATCAATTTTTGCATAGACATGTGCATATCGGTGACAAGGCGTGAGACTTGTTGCGTGCTTGCCGAATTGTTCTCAGAGAACTCTCGCATCTCACTTTTAACCGATCGGAACCTTAACAAATTCTCGTGTTCGTGGTCAGGATTCGATTACTACCGGTGTATAGATCGTAAAAATTTTCTTTGGTATGTTCGAAGACGTCGGCTTCCGCCATCTCCAGCTTGAAGGCATTTGTGAATATGCCACGTGTGTTGTAAAACCTTTAGCAAGTTTGATAGTTGTGAAAACTAATACGAATCTTACTCGAGCCGCCGCATCTTTGTGTTCTCTCGATAGTTTGCTGTCATACATGAAATCATTGACATTTTTTTGTCCTTGAGAAAGAAGGATATTCCGAGAAATGACAGCGATCAAAATTGAGGAAATAACAGCTCCGACAATTCCCACGAATATTGCAATTATGCGTCCTGCATTCGTTTGTGGGACAATGTCTCCATAGCCATTCAACATAAAAGTTATAGCTTAAACACTATGATTTTTGATATCTTATTTCTCACAAAATTTACCAATAAACCATAACGAGTTGGAATAGAGAATTGCTTGTTGATTTTTTTCGGGAAATCCGTATCTAGAATTATTTTCGATAGAAATATTCCTCAACAACTTTGTCCACCTTTCACATTGTACAAACATCCATGACATAATAACACAGAATATGAAAGTGAAGGATGTCAAGAAAAGAACCGGTTGCTGATCCAAAGCAGTTTTGATCACAAACGAGAAGTTCACTTGAATTCTGTTCAACGCAGCCAGAGTTCGAGTCGAGGCATCTTGAAATTGTTTGCTGTGAAGGACCATGAAACGAGCAACGAGATAACATCGGAGAAGCATGAAGCAAGAAAGAATCACATCAACCGGTACCTAAACACCATAATTCTATTCTATTGAGACGAAATGAATACTTCGCGGTTGTAGTGTGTTTCAGCATCAGGTTTCTTATGCATTGATGATTCAATATACGACCAATTCATGTTGCCAGTACCTAATCTGATTAAAATATCTATACAACGATTTTTAACGCACCAGGAATTGGACAAATTGAGCAGCAAACAACTTCTAAAACGAATTGAACAATTCTTTCCGTCGTCAGAACAACGCGCCAATCATCAGCTCCGCAATCGACTAATTCAAGCTGCAACTGAATTTTGAAGCAAATTCTTAATTACTATAAATACCACAATATCATTAAGATGGTAAAGAGCAACATGACACACCAAAATAATTGTTGATAAGCATGTTAAAATGCGAAGAGTATTGGAAAGCCAATGATCCTACGAGTAAAAATTAAGAAGAGACAGTAAACTTTTACGAGTCACCTTGGACACATTATAGACATTCTCAGCAGTAATTTCTGATTCGAACAACATTAAAACGACGCCGAATAACGCTAATGCGACCGCTCGATCTGTGATACGAACTCTGGAACATCGGGATAATATACATTAGGGCACTAATTAAAAAATAACAACAATACCTGTTGACGATTCTTTCTGATCGAACACGGTAGGCTTGTTTGACAGCAGAGCTGTCGATTGGAACGCCATACCTCAAAATTCTAACGTTTTTTTTACTGGTTGCGTAATTTGAAATATATGGAAATTTATAAAGCAAGACTTACTTGAAAATTGCGTTTTTTTTACTGGTTGCGTAATTTGAAATATATGGAAATTTATAAAGCAAGACTTACTTGAAAATTGCGTGAGTTAAAAAATAAACGCTAACTTTGACACAGCTCATTTATTCTTATGATTTATAAATTGTAATTCACAATTTAAAACGAACAAAGATTTTCAGTTTTGATCTTGATTACCTGCTATTATTTCTTTGAAACGCAGAACTTGTATTATGGGACGTAACCGAACCATTGCTTTCGCATTGTGTCACCACCGCTAAAAGAATATCTTTGAATAATTAATTCGATTTGGCATGCCTTCTTGGTGTCGGTTTTTTGAAAAAATGAAATAATGAATTGGGTACATTCGAGGCATAAATTGGGTTAAAAATCGTTTATTTGAAACAACCTCGCACTTTTATGTGAACACTGCAACCGTGTTTCGAAACCAGATTTCGCACTTCTTTTTGATAGACACTATCATTTTATACTTACTTTTGTCCAAAGAGCAGGACGTCTCCAATAAATTCTGATTGACACTAGAACGCACGTTGTTAATACGCAACTGTGAACCAGTATCTTCCACAGTGATGACAGGACCGTGGAGAGCCGTGTTGCCGCGTGCTGAAACTATAACATTTTGTTGATATTTATTATGTGATTTGTGCATATTTCTATGAGCTGAATGCTCTCTTTGTTTCGTGACAGTTGTGAAAAACAATCACGTATTTCTTTTGAATACACTAATTTTTTCCATTTTCTGTGAAGATGTGTTTAAGAACACATTTTGTTTTTCTTTGAGAATGCATACATTTTGAAGCAAATTATACTAAACGTAATACAAATAGACAATCAGAAAAGTTTGAAATGTGGCCAAAAATCGTTTATGAATTAGGTCACGGAGCTTTGCTATACATTCTTCATCCAGCATAAATGGCTCTAACCTGAAGGAGCTGTCGGATGATGCATCCCAATTATCGAAGAAAGCAAAATATGGAATGAACTAAACCCACCTAGTTTGAATAACTCGGATTTTTGCCGAAACATGGTTTTCAAGCAAGTTTCAATACAAAAAAAAATGGGAGAAATGCTTTTTTATATTAATGATAGAGATACAACTGTTGTGTTTTTGTAGTCGCATACGTCTTTTTCTATTAAAAATATGAATAAATCATAATGGAACCTACATGAATCGAGCGATTCTCGACTGTAATCGATTCTCGTGTATGCTGGCGGCAATGTGCCCAACTTCTTACGCGCAGAAAGCATGTTTCGGAATTGTTGACGGCTCCCGTTGAGTCGAAGAAAATCAGCAGAAACCTCAAAAATGACAGAGTATTGATGCTCAAAATGAATGTCCTTTATGCATTTTTTGGAAGGCACACAAAGATTCATATAACACAAAGATCCTCGGCAAAGACAATGGTGTCGACAACAGCTTGATAAATCTTGGTTCAATTCTGAACCGGAACAACAAAAGCCTATTTTTCTTTAGGTTGCACAAAAAAATTGTGGGAACCCTCTAGATATCGAAAGAAAAGCGTGGGGATTTACCTTAACCAACGCGTTTGAATCGCTCGCGGCCAGACCCATATGTCCAGTACCGCTGCTAAAATCGAAACTTTTTCCTGTGTAGCCAGCATTATCAAAAGATGGTCGTGGAGTTCGGTAGTCTTCTTGTTCAACAGAAGGAGCTGAAGCTATTGTCGGTCCCTGCAATGTTTCTATTTTGTTAATATTTTGAGTAACATGACGAACTAGACTTCGATTTCTATAACTTCGCCGTTTGTCGCTGAGGAACCTTCTCACGAGTAATGCTTCTGCTGTTTGAGCTGAAATGCATGTTTGATTTCACTTTTAGCGATATTGATTACAACTTTCAGCAATTTGTGGTGTCTAGTTTTCTGGTTTTGATACCGATAATTTGATTGCATCTTCAAAAACGAACACAAAAAAATGAGACGTGTTTCTTTTAAAACATCTGCGCCGACTCATTTTATCGAACATTTTTCTGCTCGGAAACTCTAATAGCGGAGAAAAATTTGTATACTATGGATGCGATACTACTCTCATATACAGGGTGTCATTTAAGTTCCCGCACAACTTTGAAGACGTATATTTCTGAAACTAAAAGTCCAAATCAAACGAGACTCAAAATATTTTTTATCTATAGTATAACAAATATTTATCTATTAACTCTTTTTGATTCGGCCTCCTTTCGCAGCTATGACTTCACGGAAACGCTTCGGGTAGGATGCGACTGTGGTACGCAGGTATTCGATGGAAAGATTGTCCCATTCCGCCAGTAATGTCTTCTTCAGAGCCTCTACACTTGAATGGGGTTTTGCGTTGACCTTCTCCTGCAAGACCCCATCACGGGAAAGTCAAGCGGGTTCAGGTCTGGGGAGCAATCAGGCCATTCGGATGACTTGATGAAGTCGGGAAAATGGGTCTGGCACCACTCCTGAGTAGTTTTGGCAGTGTGGGCGGCTGCTCCGTCATGTTGAAAGACCCATTTCTGCCCACCGAAATGCGTTTGGGTCCAGGGCATCACATGCTTCTCCAAAATGTCCCGAACGTAGACTTCTTTGTTCACTTTCACCCCCTGATCCGCGAAAACCAGGGGGCACTTCCCGGTTGAGCAGATGGCAACGAAAACCATCATGCTGGCAGGATGTGAGGCTGGATGATATGTTCTTCTTTTCTCAGAAGCTTGCTGGGATGTCTGGGCAAGTACTCAATGGTTTTGTGAGTTGAATGCCGTCTCCACAGTGAACAGCTTCTCGTCGGAGAAGACAGTGACGAGGTGTTGTCCAGACCGCGTGCGAGCAAGAAGTCGTTTTGCTTTTTCGAAGCGTCTCTGCTTGCTGACGGCCGATAGAATTGCCGCTTTTTGGACACGATATGGGGTCAGTCCAAGCTTCGTTTTGACAATTTGTTCCATAGCGAAGATGCTCATTCCCATGTCTAACGCCATCTTTCTCATGCTCCTGTGGGGGTTTCGCCTGATCCTCGATTTGACGGCGTTGATCTTCTGAGGAGTGGTTACTGAGACGAGTCTTCCTTGTCTGGGACGGTGACTGGTCGTATTTAGCTCCTTGAAACGTTTGATGGTGTCGCAAACCGTTCTACGAGGCACACCGACCCGTTGAATGATGTCTCTCGAGCTCACATTTTGCTTATGAAGTTCGATAATGGAAGCGCAATGGATGTTAGCCTTCGCCATTTCTCGGAAACACATCCGAATGAGGTGAAACTTGGAAAGTAAGTAAAATATACCTTATTTAACAAAAATAAATTGTATTGGTGCACGAAAAGTGCGACAGCCAAGCTCTTCATGGCGTCAAACTTTTGTGCGGGAACTTAAATGACACCCTGTAAATGGCAAATAACTTTCAAATGTGTTGTCATAAAGTGCACGAGGGCAGAGCACAAAAACTACCAAATTTCGTGATTAACGGAACACTTGAGCCGGCTGCGAGTAATCAGATTTTCTCGAAATATAGAACTGCATTCAGCGTGTATCCACGATACAATAGAATTATTTCAGTTAACAATCTTCAAGTAGTACGAATAATAAAAGCAGAAAAGAAAAACTTTGAAAAAAAATTTTCGATAAAAAAAATATATATATATAATTTAATAAACTTACTCCCTAAAGAAGGTCTGTGCCGATTGTGAGTTGATGGTGTGTGCAAACTGTGTGGTTGCACACTACAGTAGCTAGCATCAGACGGGCACTGCAATCGAGATCCCGGCCTTTCCATGTCAACATCCGCACATGAAGTGGAAACCTCGGTCAGCGATATATCCGCCTGGAAAAATGCAGGAGTCAGTTGATGAAGAAAAAGAGCTCGACATATATGATACTCAATAGTTATGCAATAACACACCGCCTTCTTTAAGGCATTTTGATCCGAAAACAGAAAAAGAATGACGAAAGAACTGGGCAAGTGGAATAACCAATTCCATAAAAAATGAGAAACAAAGGGGGGGGGGCGTATCACCTCAGAAGAGTCATAAACTCAAAGGAAACGTGGGTATTAATAGAATCAGCTGGAATGCAATTTTGTGAACTTTATGGGAACGACAAATTTAATTATCCTAGTTGGATATTGAGCTGACATTACTCTCACACATCTTTGTTTTAAAAATTTGTGCACATTGTTACAAATTCAGTAAACGTTTAGGCAATGCAAATGAGCAGCCAAAAAAGAATTGAGAGAGCCCGCGGGCAAGATCAAATTACGATTACCTCCATTTGCATAGTTGATAAGTCCTATCCGCAAGTCCTTATGTGTTCTTGTAGGTTCTCTCGTGTCCTTTTTATTTCTCTTCAGCCAAAGAATTACGCGTGTGTGTGTACGTCCGATTTTGAAGGAAATCGAAAAAAAAAGAAACTACTTCTTCTCTTCTTAATTCTGTAATTAAGCTTAATTCGCGTGCAACTCGTTGTACGAGGAAATTGCAAAAAATACAATTCGAATTATTATTAATTTACAATAAAAACTGAAAAAAAAAATGAAATTAAATTTGTCTTCGACAATCCTTTTTCGGACGAGTAACATCAAAACCCAAATTAAACTTGGGGTGATTTTGCTTTCTGGTCAGAAAAGATTATAAATTATAAATTGGAATCGCGAAATCGTGAGAAGAATATTCCCATAGAAAGATATATATATCGATTACGCTCAACAAATTGTAAAAATGAGTTATGAATAGAACGTGTTTATCTTATAAATAATCAATCTTACAGTGATATTTTTCTGATTGCACATATAAGTTAATTAATTTTTCTTAGATCGTAGCACGCGTATTAATTATAATCCAGTTGGAATCATAGATTTTTCCATGTTTAATTTATATTTCCCGATTAATAATGAATAGTTCGCTTTTCTCCCGGTTCTATTTATCCATCGTCTAGTATTTTTCATTTTCCGACGAATTTCAAAGGAAACATACTGGAAAAAAAAAACACATGACTTCGGCAGGTGAAAAATATAAAAATGTTATTTATTAAATGGAATATAACTGAAGTTTTTCAATGAATATGGAATATTGCGGAATCGAAACAATGATTTTTTGGCTTGAAATCAGATGACTTTCTTTTTATTTAAATTGATTTATGCTTATGAAAATCCGCTCGAAATTGATAAAATTATCAGATGTTACAAAAATAAAAACAATAAATTAACGACTCATCAAAAAAAATTTGTAATGATTTATTTAAAACTAAAACAAATGGAAATGAATATCAATCGATGTCTTTTAAAAAGTAATATTTTTTGCAATAATTCCTAGTGCATTATCAAAAACAAAAACCACCAAGTAAACAATTTTGTTTAATAGATTGTTTATTTATATTTATTGATATATATAATCAGCTAGTGATGATAAGATTTATCTGAAATGCGAAGAAGAACATTCGAGAATTGAGAAGAAGGCTGAAAAAAGTGATGCCTCCTTTCTACTAATAAAAACTCACATATTTTTAACACTTTAATTGGTTAGTTCCGGTGCTTCAAGACATACATAAATAAGAAATCGCAAACCACAATGCCAGTTTTCTATTATTTTGAAGCTAGGGCAGAAGTTTCAAAGAAAATAGGTGGTAAGGTCTTTGAATGCTAGTGTTTGATTCTTTCACAAGTTTGGAAACGATTACAATAGATTTAGTGAAAAAAGTAGACTACGCAGTTATCTTCCGTTTTTGCTTATAACACATTCAATGAGTGTCTAATCATGTCGGAATAATAGCTGCATAGAAATCACAGCAAGTATTAACGTATGACATCCTTCAAGAAACGAAATTATCCAAATCTTTTTCCCCACGTCTCATTTTAAAAAATATGCGGATTTGGATTAATCACAAAACACAATCACAAGCGTGTGATATATATATTGATATTGTATCAGCAATAGGTACTGATACAATTTTCTCAGCGTACTGAATAACAAGATGAGGAAAATCAATTAAAATGCCTGAGAACACGAAAAAAAATTGAAATGAAATGTAGTCTAGAATCGTTTGGAAACGCACACCTTGAGTGGATCTAATTAATTATCGAAATAGGGATTAATATTAATATACAATTAGTATCTCTACATATTTTTGAAAATATTAGTTTAGATAAGTTCGGTTTATAACATTTTTTGTTAGTTTCTAAATGTACTGATTGTTATATATATGAATATATATATATAGAAGAAGTTAAAAAAATGAAGCTTGATCTTTTTAATATTTTATTTTAATATTTTATCATTTTCCGAACATGGTTAATCTCATTAGACTTTGATTCATTAATGGAAAACATTTTTGCAATATTTATGTTATTAAATAAATCGTGTATCTGAAAGTAATAGCGTGCTATTTATCTTTGAATAGTTTACTAACAGTACAATTGGCAATGCAAAAGAGTTCAAAAATTATTCGACACATGATTAGTGTGACATAAAATTGTGTTAGTTCAAGATTCAAACAAAGCATATTCAATCTCTCATTTTACGAAGAAACTAGGTGAAATATGTTAGAAATTGTTCGATAATGAGTGTTGACTATCGAAGTTATGGCGATGCTGATTATTTTTCAGCGTAGTTACATAAGGAAATTAATTTATCTTATATATATATATTTTTTTTTTATAATGTTTGAAAAATGTGACATGTGAAGAAAGCCGAAACGGAAAAATGGGAAAGCGATTAAAACTGAAACCGTTTGATTCGTTAGAGTGTAACAAATATGGCAAGAAACGTTCGCGAAAAAAATGAAGAAAAAATGGACAAAACACTTTATAATTATATGCTGACAGCTTCAAAAGTCCTAGAAAAAATTGCCATTTTGTGTGTACTATAAAAGACAATAATACATCTGGTTGAAGTTCTTATTCAGACATCCTATCAAAGTCTATATAAGATTTTGCATGGGTGATTTAATGATTCATAAAACGATAAAACAACACAAATAAACACAGATACCAGATGTACTAGCGGATGGAACAAAAAAATGTTGAGAAAGCGAAAAAATGGTGTTCTTCGCCACGCGTTTCTTGCGATAGTGAGAGAATGAATCTTCAATAAATTGAGACACAATAAGCTGACGACGGGTTGGAATGAAACGAATATTTCATGTCTAGATCGCTTGGCAAAAATCAGTTTTTCCGATTATTTTTCGTGGGGAAGTGATGTGAGTTCATATATGTTTATCTGCTTATTTATGTTATGAAAGTTGAAACGGAAAATCGGAAATATGAAAGTTGAAACGGAAAATCGGAAAAATATAAAACAAAGCAAGTTTTATTATTTGATAAATTATATTAATATAATCGAACTATGTTTTGCCGAAATCCAATCATGTCGAAGAAAAATTTAATAATGAAAAAATTTTCTGATATTCATATATTGCTAATTTAAGAATAATATGCGTGAGCGTTTCCTTTACATTGCATTTCTTAATCTTCCACTGAATCCAGCAAATATTATATAGACTTATATAATCTTATCACTACGTGATGAAGCAACATTCGTGGGAAATCCTTATGCGTACCGAAAGTAAATATGTGAGCATATAGTGTGAGTAAGATGATGGGGAATATTACACCCCGAAAAACAAATTATTGAGCTTTCTGGCAGCTAAAAATCCGTTTTGATTTATGCATGTCTGTTAATTTTTTCTTGATTTTTTCCTTAAAAGAAATAAACAGACTTCTTCATAGCATGAGATTGCCTCTAGGGAGATCTAATGAGAATAGAATGCATTTTTGAGAAAATAAACACAATAAAATACTAACAAAAAACAGATATAAGGACAGAAAAGAACCGGGAAAATAGGGTTAACATCTGACAAGAATACTGTTTCACTTATGGTCAAGATCTCCTAAATATACAGTTAAAAAAATAAATTTATTATTGTAATTTTTACTCTGAGTTTTCCGCTATGCAAGCTGGGCCGAAAACTATTAAAATAAGGCATGATGACCCTTTTACGGAAGACTAATCACGCTCATACCTTTACTAGTGTACAATTGGCCTATCGTGTTTAAATTAATTTTTTAACTTTAAAAGAAAAATCTCTGTAAACATTTTCTAGGCTTTTTGAGATGAATGTATTGGTTTCCAAAATAAGTTTTCAAGAATCGAAAAAAATCTCCATTCCTTCTCGAAAAGAAAAATAATTTAGGAAAATAATAAGAATTGTGGACTTTCAGACAAGATTAATAACAAAAACACGGAAAATGTGCTTTTAAAATAATTATGAAGTTGAAATTGTCAGAAAATGTCGTCAAAAACATATGTGCACGGAACCAAAACACTTAGAAATCATCTTCAAGTGCGCTCAAAGTGAAGAAAAACCCTATTATTAATTCAACGAAGGCACTACAGTGCATAAACCGTTTTCGATAATTAACGTTTAAGATAAATTATCTAAGCAATACTTATTTATGTAAACTTTTGTTAAACATGACAGAATTGATTTTCATGATGGACCATTAATGAAATCAATTCTCTAAATATATGTGGACATTTAAGAATTCGGCCGTAATGAATAAAAAAGCCAAATTGTGATATATGGATGTTGTAGAAAATTTGAACAACAAACGCAATATGCAAAATGAGTCACGAACGTTTAGCTGATTGGTAGCTTCCAGAATTGATTCCAGGTTATAGATTACAAACCGTAGAACACCTAAATTCTAGCAACAAAATGTGTTCTATATTTGGCCACGCGTGTCTAGCCATAAGTGTACGTCACAATTATAAAGCGAAAGTCGGGGGGGGGGATTTACAAGTTAGTGAATATCTAATATGATGTTGTCATTGAAAATCAAGAGGTTGTCATAGATACGGGATTTCTTGGTGGCGTCGCCAGTAATAATCACGTCAACTTTAGGTCGATGAATTTATTTAACATAAAAATGGAAATCGCGAGCTGAACAACTTCCACTGATTACTTCATTGGCAATACAAAACTCCAATATTTGTTTTGCAAACTATGAAATTCAATAGCAATAATAATGCGAATTGGCGCTATTCGTTTAAAAAAGAAAAAAATGTGGGAGAAGAAAGTGGAGTAAATCACAATATAGCCTATTTTAATCAGAGTTATTCATGATTCAGCATGATATTTAATAAAAATCTTCATTCTGCATAAATCAATGCTATTTTAGAGCATTCCTTATATTCTATTTATGGATAATAAATGCGATTCTAAGTAGACGATTACGTCAACTGTCACAATAAAAAATACTAATAACGTTATCATATTCCAGCCACTCCTAATCCGAAACCTTCATCAGGCATTAATCTTATACTCTAGTAAATCAAAGACGAATTAGCAAAACGTAACAATAATGTTTCGAGTTGTGAAATTAAAGTGGATGGTTAGGAATGATCACAAGAAGAATATGATTGATTGCCTTTGGCTTCAATATGTATATTAAACCGATAAATTGACATTTAAAAAACAGAGAAAATCACCACTCACCAGATTTACGATGTATTTGTATTTGATGTCATTCTTTAAGCACAAAATATTTTTGAGAACGATTGAGAAAATCTTGTTTTGTATGGTTTTACTAAAAAAAAAATAAACTAATCCAGAGAAGAATTTCATAATTCAAAAAAATTCAAAGTTTCCTTTAAGGTTTTGTATTTTTGAAATATTTTGAGCATGAAAGAAAAATAATTTATTTTAAGATGAGCGAATAACAAATCGTAATTGTACCTGAAGATATTGGCGAAAGCCAAAAAATAACCAAATGTAAGGTATTCTTTTCATTCCAGAAATGGAAAAGTTTATGATTATCTTACGATAGCATTCACTTAATAATGTCACACATTTGCTAGAACACGGAAGAGACTAGGTATAAACGAAATAACGCACTAATGTTTCCAAGAAAATAAAAAGAAAAACAACTAATAATATGCCTAATGATATTGGAATATGTTAATGAGTCACATGAAACAGAATTGAATATCTCAAACAAGTGTGAAATCATCAAGCCATTTTCCAACCGACTTCCAATTCTGCTGTAAACCAGAGCCAATGTGCGCAAGTTGTATATCATGATCGCAAAAGAATTTAAATTCCTTAATAATCAAATTTTGTTCGGCATTATGGTAATTTGCATGCAAGACTTGTGTATTTGGGGACCCCTTTCTTCACCCGCTACCAAAATTTTGAAACTTAATTAAAACGAAACAACCGCGTAAGGCATCAAATGTATGTATAAAGAATTACTTACCGACTTATGGAGCTAAACACTTTTTCATAATTAGCTTCTTATTTTATTTTTAATAATTAATTATGGCACCAAGAAAAGTTTTAAACTTGCTCAAACGTACTTTTAATTCTTTGAAGTTGGGCCTGTTTTCAGGATTTTTCTCCAAAATACGGTGAACGAAATCCATGAACTCTTCTGTGAAATATTCCTTTATTGTATGATTTTTGCCGTTTTCATCATATTCATAAATTCGCGCTGGAGTTAATCTGGGGCATTTAGATTGTATGGCACACATGGTTGTGCAATAATCTCCGCAATTGAAAGGATTTTCTAGCATCGCCATCTCGAAGACTGTCATTCCGACGGACCAAATGTCACTTTTAATGTCATATTTCTCATTCTGCACAAAATTACATTAAATTAGCAAAAACAAAACAATTTCAACATACAGTGAATTTTTCTGGGGCCATATAAGGCCAACTTCCAACTGCAGTCAATGCGGCAGAATTTTGCAGTGGTCCACTTATACCAAAATCACACAGTTTAAAACGACCATCTCGATCAACTAGAATATTTGACGGTTTTATATCACGATGAATTATATTCTAAAATTAAAATAATATAAATGAACATTTTTAAACGAAAAACCATGTCATATTTCAAGAAATATAACGCATTGACAACGCAGGCAATCATTCTTCCGCACACGTACTCGGGAATATAAGGCTCCTTCTCGCAATTACTTTTTCTATTTTCCGATTTTTGAATCAAATCAGAGCAACTGTACGGCAATTTTTCCATGAAAATGCTAACGCTGGTGTACTATAATTACTATTAAGCTTTGAGAAGTTTTTTCAAAGGTTACCACATCATGTCGATACTGTAGATATCCAAAATATTGAACAACGAAAGCACATTTATGGCATAATTTGATCGTTTCCAACTCTCGGAGTACTTGCTTCCAATCGTTCGGATTGGCATGTCCTGCGAGAATAATGTCCTGAAATCGAGAACTAAAAAATAATTCTGAAAGTAATAGTAGAACCTTTCTTGCAAACACAATTCCCTTGAAATTCATTTCATAGACGTTTCCACCAGATCCATATCCTAATTTCATGTTGCTATTTGAATGAAGTTCGCTGGCAGTAATGGTATAAATATTTCCTTAAAAAGGATAAAAAAGATCTACTTTATGAAAAATTAGATACTCTATAGGACATAAACTCATTCTGATTTTAATTAAAGAGATTCTTACCTGAGATATTCAATATTCCAGATTCTGATTCATCGGTTATGCTTGTCGGCAGAGGTTTTTTTTTTAGTGACAACTTCAATTCTGCAACTTTAATTTGTCAGCAGAATTTTGAAATTGGGCATACTCTTCATTCTGGATAGGAAATTGAATCCTGCATTAAAACGCATATTTCATCAACAATGTTATGTTTTAAAATGTAAATGATGGATGGTGATAACACATAAATTAAAACAGCGGAAGAAAAACTGATAAAGTCATTTATTAATGACGAATTATTATCAAGAAAGTGAATACGAGAAATTGTGCAACTGATAAAAACAACCTGTGTTTGAAACAAATTATTCTCCACAATGTCCACCGCGTATCAATCGGTTAATGATGAATAAAGTCATTTAAAGTAATGATGACTAATTGACACAAGGTGTGTTAGGAATGGGTCGATTTTCATCCGATTTTTTAGTAGATTCTAGGATTTTCTGAAACCATTCCGCTACGTCGTCAAGCGAATTGGGGAGCTGAAATAGCATTGACTGATAATGTGTTGTTCACTGCAAAAAATAACGTACCGTAGAAATTTTATAACGATCAACATTCATTGGATCGTAATCCTTGTAGAAATTGTGTTCCTAAACACCATTCTTATCTTTTGCTATAAAATAAGTGCCAACCATAAGATATTGATATTTTGGACGCTCTGTGGAATTCTTGATAAGGCATTTGTCAACAAAATCCACAAATTCTTCAGTGAAAATATCTTTTTCCTGAAAAAAGTCGACTTTTATTGTTTTTGTTTGATATCACTCCAACTTCATTTTTCAATGTCGGTGGCGGGATGTTCAAATCAGCAATGATCGTTAATGTGGTGAATTCCAAGTCATGAAGCGGAAACGGGTACTTTCCCGTTGTTAATTGAAATATTGTAACACCCAACGACCATACATCGCTTCTCTCGTCGTACGTGGAATTTTTCTGAAACAATGATCAAAAATAAAAGGAACGATTGATAAGATAACACAGTGCAATTTCCCATCGCCCAAAAATTGTTTACCTCAAATGTTAAACGTTCCGGGGCCATGTAGGGTGGACATCCTGTGTTGTTGGTATGTAATTTGGTCTCCGATAAGTAACCACTTATCCCGAAATCGCATAGTCGAAAACTTCCATCATAGTCAAGCAATATGTTGGATGGTTTGATGTCGCGATGAATTATGTTCTGAATATGGCAATGTTTCACGGCATGCGTAAAATTATAGAAATAACTGGGCATTACCAAGAAAAATAACAGTGATTTTTTTAAATATCACTATGAAGCAATTCTAACAAAATACGAAAAACGTTTTCAAATAAATACCGTTATGTATATTTACTTAGAAATTCAAAAATATAGTTTTCATAAAAGCTATAGAAAGTTTTTTTTTTCATTTCTTTGTTTTGTTAATAAATGAACAAAGCAAACATTGTGAAATAAAGAACTCACCCTTTCTAGTTTCTTTAAAATCAATTTCAAGAACAAAAATAATAGTAACATTTCAATAATTTTTTTCTTTTAATATTTCGAACTGATGAAAAACATAGCAATTAAATTTTTTTGTTATTAAAAATAATTTCAACTGTTGGAAGTATTGATAAGTTCTCATATTTGCAAATCATCTTGAGAAAGTTTCTGCACTATGGCTGAATAACAAAAAAACGCACATGTTGTTCCTTCAGATAATTGAGCGCGTTGACAATTGAAAATACAAGTCGACCAGCAACAAATTCGGGAAAAAAGTCCATTTGCGAATGATATATTCTCCGTAGAAGCTTCTCGCAGCACGTCGCCATTATTTGCATGCAAATTTTAACGGATGACTGAAACAGAAATGCGAATGGAAAAAAGTTCTGAGAACATATCTTACGTCGAACATGAAGCATCCAAAACTTTTTACGATGAATGGTGATTGCGACACACTCATTATCCTCACGTCCCGAAGAATGCGCCGCAGGGTTTCTTTGTTGTCATTCTTATACATGGTCTGCAACAAAAGAATAAGTTGAAGTGGGTTGCTTGCACAGCTCGTGGGATTATAATATTTTGTTTTCAACTATGCCCTAGAGCAATTATTTAACATGAATAACAAAATGAATAATTCACTTTTCCTGCTAAGCGATTGCTGGTTCATCACGTCTAATACGTTGTCCAATTTATGAGCTTTCAAAGATTTTTCAAAGATAGTTCATTTAAAAATGGATTATTTCAAACATCTTAAATATACCTTTATTGCTAATTTTTTATTTCGTATTTTAACACATTCCACAATTCCACAAGATCCACTTCCAAGCAATTCTAAAACGTTGATTTCACTAGGACTGACGAGTTGTTTAACTTCTAAAACAATTTATTTGCGAATAATATACAATAACATATATATTTCTTACCGTCTAATTCAATAATACCCGACTTTTTACAACTTTCGAGAAATTCGAGGTCAAGTTCATCTTTTTCAGTATCTCTTCGTGATGGTGATGGTTTCATCGACAATGGTGTAACTGAAAGAAAATAACATTAGCATAGCGGAAGATGCCGTTGAGAACTCCTCACATTTTCTTTCCATGGGACTCGTTAAATAGCCTATATTATTCGGGCGATGATGTTGAGGACTCGCATTTGTTGATGAGCTTTCTTAAAGGGCAAAAAATGACGAACAATTTTTGCATTGTTAAATAAGCACCTTTTAAACGTTGATCTGCCGAGGTAGATCTTCTTTCACGTTGCCGTAATCGGACGTCGGAGAATCCGAGCTTAAGGAATCGCCATTTTCGAATTCGACTCTCAAGATCTGTAATAAGGCAGCATTCAAATTTCATAACATCATATTTTTTTACGTTATCCATTCCATTGTTATAAATTCAGTCTTATGAGACTGAAATTTGGAATGAAATTTTACTTTTATCTAAGAATTGCAAATATGGTCATTCCGTGATTGAATAACAGCGATCGTTTATTAAGATTATTAAGATTAAGAGAATAAACAAACCTCGGAGCCTTTGTTGAAAGCAGACATTTTCCATTTATATCGCACGGCTAGAATAAGAAGAAAAGATTCAGAACGTCAATTCACTAGTGCACGGGTTCTTTTTTTCACAACTACCAATTTCGGAACCCGTTCGTCGCTACTCGAATTTTAATAAGGCGCTCTTTGCGATAATGTGGTCCGCCAGAAATCGATTCTATTATAGTGGGCGAATGAAAAAGAAGTAGGAGTAGTAGTAGAAGAATAAGAAGAGGAACCACGCGAAGAAGGCGACGCAAAAAGAGTGCCGAGAGCCCGTCGACAAAAACTGAGAGACACACACACACGCACACACACATCAACATAGATGTAAGGCCTCACTCCCCGCGACCGCGAATGCTATAAATGCACACAGACAACGTGACGACAAATGCACCAAGAGCTAGAGCAGAATTTGGACCAATTCGTCGAATTTCGCATTGGGTGGGCACATGTGCTAATCTCTGCCCATCAAAATGATGTTGAAGTTAGTGAGACTGCGCATGGCGTGCGTCAACTGTGTGCAAAACTTAGGGATTTAATTTATTTACTTATCCATACCAAAAATAAAAATAAAATAAACGTTATTACCTAAATAAGAAGAAATAAATGAATTTTATGAATATTTTACAATGCAAAAATTTGTCCTGATGGATTTATTAAGTCATATTCGTAAGGAACGCGTTCACGCAACCGATACCAAATCCCAGAAGCATAGAGCCTGAAGAGCATAGAGCCATATAACAGGAAAAAAAAAACAAAAATTAGAAATGTAGAAACAATATTTTGATTGACTTAAGATTAAATGATTTAAATAATGATAAATAAATTTTATTATCTAACTTCTGTCAAGTTTATTCTACATTGCAATAATTTAACCAAAATATAAAGTGCAATTTGGATTTCAATTTAGATATTTTAGTTTGTGCATGACAGTTACTTACTGAAAATGTGACAAAACTCTCGAAGCAAACTGATGATGCAGCTTGCAAACACATTTTAATATTGGATAAGATCAGAATTTTGTCAAACATTGCTAGATTTCCATCATCATAATTTATGTATAATTACTCAAAGATGTGTGTGTGTGTAATTACTCAAAGAAAAAAGTTACAGGACAAACATTGCAAATTATTTTAAGTATTTTCATGATTAGGTATATTAGAGTTGCACATTAACAACGCGGGGAATGATTCTCAGAACAAAAGGCGATAATTGGAAAAAAATTTGAGCTTGAGTGAATACGATTATAATGTAATAGTAAAGTGAACTGATATAACTGAAGAACTGGTTGCGAGGCAGTAGAACAAAATGAGATATTTTGGTGATATGATGATTAGAGTAAAGATTTGAATCAAGAAAGACTCTTGAATTTTTGATATGAAGTATAATGAAAGAATGAGTTTTTGATATTCAGCAAAGCATTTTATTATTACGGATGAGGCCAAAAGCAATAAACTTGGAAATAGACAATAGTTTTGTAAGGTCATTTGGAAATCAAAATAATGAATATCTGTAAATTTTCGACGCGAAAAATGACTTTCATCATGAGATTTCTAGAAATTTGATGTCACGTCTTTTGAGAAAACTGTAATAATTGATTAAGAAAAGAATAAAAAGAAAACAGTAATATGCTCTATTACCCGGCACAAATCACTGGAAAAAATATTGAGCAATAATTTGTGACTTTACTTTTTTAAATTCTGAAGTTACTTATGAGCTTAATTTGCAAAGATAATTATAAACAGAAAAGCGTGAAAAAATTTTTAAATCTGACCGTGCAGGTTTACTGGATAAAAATATAGTAATAGTAGAATCTGCATAATTTTTCTTAAAAATGGTAGAAAACACATTACATATTTCAACATTCTTGAGAACAACTGAACCGTTAGCAACTCGCTTCGGTATACCGTCACGAGATCGAAGTTTTGAGGTAAGAAATTAGAGAGTAAGCTTCAAATTTAGGGTATTTAATATAGAATTTTTATATAGATAATCGATATCTTTATTTACATAACTTCCTTACACATTAAAAATTTTATTCTAAAATAGAATGATAGTCTAAAGATATTCTAATTCTAAAATAAAAAGATAATTTATTTTCTTAAGACAGATTAGGTTTCCCTTATTGTTGACAAGTACTCGCGAAATATCCTGCTCAGTACAAAAGGTACAGCGGGTTCAAACTTTTGGTTCATGAACTAGGTCGACAGGCGAATGGTCCGAAGCTACCATTTCTCTCAATCGGGAAATATACCATATTAGAAGTGGTCCTCATGCAGGAATAAATTATATATATATATATAACATATAATAAAGAAATCATATCAATAATTTTGAAAAGTAATTAGAAAAACCAATATTGCATTGCACCAATGCCGTTTTCTTTTATTTTATCTTGAAATACTTTTTTTTTTATTTCTGAACTAATGTCATTTAAAATTTAAAACATGGTTCTTTATTTGCTCAGTGCTGAAACAAATTGTCTGAGAGTAATGTCACAACGAAAGAAATAGATGAGAAATTCGTCCATAAAATGGATGCTCATCGAACCAGTTATTACGTTAGATGCAAGATGCAAATAATTGGCACATAGTAAACTCTAGAAAAGAACAGAAACCATCTGAATTCACTAAGGGTATAAGGTATTGTATAAACACGGATACATAAATCTACTAAGAATAAAAACAAGCGATATTATTAGAAATCTGATTTTAACTGATGAAACAGTTGGTCTCATCCGAACGGAAAGAAACTTTGAAAATGCTTCATTTTGCAGACAAATTAAATTTCGAAAAAATGAACGTGGGCTAATTATGTTTTTCAAGTCCTTTCTCGTCTTCTGCATTGTACAAGCCGTATCTTTGAAGCTTCTGAGCCGTCATTTTTTTCAAATGCTCGTAAGTTATATGGTATCCTAAAAATGTTTTCATTTGTTTTATTCAGCTATTGTCGAAGACGGACGAACGTAAAAAAACAAAACAACCAAATGCCCTGTTATTATTGATATATGCGCAAAATGAATCAACATGCACTTATCAAATAAAATAGAAATAGGTTACAGCGCGAGGGCGCAAAATTTCAATTACAAGAAACCGTAAAATCGTCTGCCCTTAGAATATGTAATTTACCCATAATACGATCCAAATAATTGAACCATGGTTGAAAACATGTTAACGGTCTCAAGTGATGCATGTCATGAGCAGGGGCACCAGAATAAAACCAGAAGAATCTGTGAAGAGCAAATGGAAAATCGTAGCCAATATGCACCTATAACGTTTTGATCATGTACGCGTTTGTGATATAATGTCACCTCATAAGAAACACTCTGAGCAACAAAAAACCAGACCCAATATGTCAAGCAATGAGTCTTAAAAATCCATGGAACAGTGGTGATGAAACTTCCTACGAAAAATAGCTGGAAATTCGTATTGAAAAATTAAATAATTGCAATAAACCTCAAATGGGTGCAAATGCTGAGCAGCGGCTGCAAATGGCGATGAATACATATGATGTACGGAATGGCACCAGCGGTACAAGAATTTAACCTAATCATATAAGTAATTATACTAAATTTCATTGGATACCTTGTGGCAAATGTAGTGAAACCAGAAATATGTGAAATCAAAAGACAGGAAGAAAATTGCAATCTGAGAAAGCATTTCGAAAACCGTTGGAGCCAAAATAGGTAATTCGGTATCAGGAACCCAAACAAGTTGAACTAAAGCCATTGGATAAATCCTAAAACATTATCCCAAAAAACACGTTTTCCTCATTGTATACCAAAGCAATTGATTCCACAATTGCAGTTGCAATGACTTTTTCATCAAACTCCACGTCACCTTTCTATCTTTCTGAATTTTGTGTTTCTTGAAGAATGGAACGTCCGCAAAAAAAATATCAATGACTGAAAACCAATTATCAAATTAAATTTGCGCGGCATAATATACTTGAAAACGTTATAACCCATGTATAATCGATAGATAGTGCATAAATCGGAGGAAATAACGGAGAGCGAAGAATATGTTCATTACCGTTCTGAAAAAATACGCAATCAAAAAAACTTATAACTATTAATCTATGATTATTGAAATTTCCGATTTTTGACGAAATTTCTCGATAAACCGAAAATCAAAATAGTGTAAAATAAATAATTTTTTGCATTAGGTATATTAAAAACGCTTCAACTCACTTTAATCCACTCCCATACTGGCTGTAGAAGTCTATGGTCTCGTTCGTACTCGAGCTCGGCAGCTGTATAGTTCTGCACCGGATACCAATTGTGCAACATGCCTCAAACAATACTAAACCGCTAAAAAATAGAGTAATATGCAGCATTCGAAAAACATTCTACCGGTAAAAAATTAAGCAGACCCTAAAATACATACGGAGATTGCGGAAAAAAAAAACTAGTTTTTGTCATTTTTTAAAATCTTCTTTTATCAAAATCTGCATATACCATTACAACTGCAATAATCATATGACACAAAACAGAGACGTCAATTTTATATGGTAGCTTCCCAACGCATAAATTTGTTATCGCTCTCGCCCAATTGAACTCTGCCGATTACACAATTAGCGAAGTCCTACATTGCACGTCTAACACAGTTTCTGAAATCGCATGATTGATAAAATACTGATAAAAGTTTGGTTTTTTGCAAGTTTGCCCTGCATATAAATTTGATAAAGAATTACTGTGCTTCTGAACAAACCATAATTATTAAATCACGATTGGAATAAATTGTGGTTCTGATTAAGAAAATGAAATACGATGAGGTTTCGTGATGTAAACTAAGCAGTTTTAAATTAAAAAAAAAAACAACATCAGCAAAAACATTATTGGGAAAATGAAGGTTTTAAATTTTTAAAATTTAAGAAAATTTGAATGGAACGCCCGACAAACAAGCAGTTGAAAACTTATCGAATTTTTGAAAAAAACTGATTTTAGGTGGTTTTCTTTATCAGGATTTGTCATAAGTCGCGCAGATCATACTTGATTCATTGTTGATCACAAAGAGTAAGTAGGTGACGAGCTAAATTATAGAAAACGATTTATTCAAATCGATACATGTATAACTAGCAGTTGATGAATCGTCTTCTCTTATAATGAATAATAATAACGACATTTCGGACAACGCTGCTTATCGAGAATTCTCTCTCTCTCTTTCTTTTCGTTCGTTAATTGGAGCCATATTTTTTAAATGAAACATAATACCAATTAATTTTTTAAAAACATTAATTATATCACTTTCTATAATACTTTTATGACTCAATTCGAAATTTCGTTTGTTATTCAAGCGAAATAATGGGGTATTTCCGAAAAGTTTGATAATGTTGTCATAGCAATGGAAAATTGGATTATTCCTATGAGAAAAATAAGTAATAATGAGTAGTCACGAAATTCAACGGCCGCGTTTGGAGTTACTATAGTGATATATATGGCTTCTTTATTTTACAATTATCGATATTGAATTCAGATTTTCGTTTAAGCTTCAGCAATATTTCACTATTGCAGGAAAAACAATATAGCGCATACTACTGGCAGTTCCAAGGAAAACAGGTGAAATTTTTCGAGCAAAGGTGAAATTCTGGTACACAAAACGTTGAGAATAATAGAAATTATGGGTTCAGGAGACACAATGGGGGACAATAACCCAATGAGTTCTAACAATCTCAGCAAGAGGTTGGTTGAATAAATAAAGGTGTTTAGTGTATTCAAAGTTGTGCCTTGGAAAGAAAATGTTCAAAAATGTAAAATGTGTAAAGAGGCAGGTGCAAATGAGCGAAGGAAATCTATATAAATCTGAAGTTGGCACATATCCACACACAAACGCACACATACTTTATTGCTGCGGATTCGTGTTCCACACGTTTGTTTGCTCATTTCTTATACAAGTAAATAAACGTTTGTGTGAAATTGGAGAAATCCTTCCGATATCAAAGTCTGCCCAATTCAAGCATTTTCTCACATTTTTGTTCTAAATATTTTCTGTTTCAAACAATTGATCGGTATTGAACATTTTTATTTCGCGAAACTAGTGAATATATAGAGATTTGTGAAATTACGCGTTGGAACATTAAATGCGCGTACATTTAAATGTAGAATACGCAGACACGTTCACTTCTCTTTGCTTCTAGACACCATAGCACAAAACCAATTTTTTTTTGAATTTCAAAGCGTCGTTTGAAACCTTCAATACGTATTTTCGATTTTGTTTTGAATTGACAAATATCATGTTCTCGTTTCAATAAGTGGATGATTAATAATGCAAACGATTATTTTGTTGAAAAATGGACAAAGACCATAAGAGTGTTTGAAAAAAACGAACTAAGGCTCATTAAAATTTGAATTTCACTCTTTGTGTTAAAATAAAACCAGGTATTAGACATAATCCGAATGATTAGGTAAACATTTTAAAATCTCCAGTAATCTACACATAAAACAATAACCATGATCAAATTTCAAACTCGGCCCAAAATTAATTTTATTTACCTGAAAGTTTTTAAGATTATTAAAGAAGCTTCTAGACATTTTTTGCCATTTCTGTAATACATACCTGGATATCTAACAATGCTGACTTTTATAAATAAAATGAATAATGAGGCGTGGCATTGTAAAGAAGAAGCTTGTTTCAAAGCATTACTCATGCAGCGAGATCGAAAGGATTGTTGCATAACCACGCTATCTAAAAACTAGTTTGAATAACTCCACATATGTATGTCAATTATTGTTTTTTCAGCGTTATTGCGTGTTTGGTATCAATGTTAATCTCGCGAAACCTTTGTGTCATATGATTTTATTAAAAGAAAAAATAACGATAAACCCCCATAATTCCGATACATTGCAGCTTTTCGAAACCATGTTTCATTTTGCCAAAATGTTATCCCTCATCGTTCATATCTGTTCGCGTGCGATTTTCCAATTTTCGCAAATTTCGGTTTCTTTTTCGTGGTGTCGTTTTTTTTAGTTATCATATTAGAAAGGAATTCCTGCCAAAATCAGCGAAAGTTATCTATGTTAAAATATACTCAAACCAGTTTATTCCCAGCATTTCATCTACATACGTCACAATATTCTCATTGCAAAATACAAAAGAAATTTTGAACATGTTTATGAATCATTGTTGATTCGCCTATTTTTAGGAGAATCGCGCACAAAAAGCGACCCACTAACAAGCAGAAATTTGACCGCTGGATATTTGTTTGTCGCAATTTTGCTCTCCCACCATTCCCGCGCGCGCGCGCACACACAACACAGCTGCTGAGGTTTCCCGCGCACGTTCTGGCCTTCAATCAGCATGACCGCCACATCTTTTGAATCAAAGTACACAAGTCATTTGCGGGTTCTCCTCATTTTTGGCGCACTTTCATCATCTTGCTTCCCGCATTGTTCTTCTTATCCATAATCTTGCCACTTTTTCGTTTTTTTAATAATTTCACCTCCACAACAAACTAAATTTTATATTGCGGTTTTATTGCCGAATTTGTTCACTAATATATTCATCGAATAAAGTCTCCGAAAATATAGAATAAAACGAATTCTCTACTTTTTTCATTTTCAATATTCGATTTTTATTTTTATAAAATTGTCGAATTCTTGCTGTCAACAGTTATTACATTTTATAGTTTAAAGACTTTTGCCAATTATAATTTTTTGAAAAACGGAAATCGTTAACTAATGAAAAATGACTAGTAGAAAATAATAGTTGTTTTTTTTTATAATCCTCATATCATTCATTGATACATGTTATATCCAGAAAAAAACTGAAATCCATTCAATTCCATTTTGATCGCTACTCCTACCCTCATTACAACCCTTTGGAAATGACCTCGCATGCCAAATTCAATGCCAACCTAGTATTACTCTTTATTAACTGAGTCAACGAAATCTCTGAACTATATTTAATTACGTAAATTGTACATTTTATGTTGAATTCTACATTATTATAAAGAATCTTTGTTGAGAGCAAAACTCACATTACAACCAAATATGACGAATATTTGAAATGCCAAGATGATATGATGTTTTTCATGAGTATCCGCTCGTCTTGCCAGTTTTCGTTTTAAAAAACACAACTAAAGTCAGTTGGTTCAATTTTCAAACTTGTTTTTTGCAAACAAGTGTTTTCATTTTTATTGTCATTGTTCACATCATTTCGTCAATTAACCTTCCTCTTTTCCAATAAAACAAGATCATCCTACGTTTCTTTCAAGGTTTTTGAAATGGGCCGTAAGAAGCATAGACCAGCGCCCGCGCCGGAGATTTATCAAAGGCATTCATTTGGCCTACCGCCGGTTCCCACCGCACCACCATTATCGCCAATTCGTGGCGATAATGTTTATCCCGGGAAACTGCCACCAATGCCCGTTCCACCAATGCATTCCGCGTACCACGTCCAGCCATCAACAGCAAATCATGTACCAGATCGAATTGCTCGGTTCAATGTCGTTGAAACTGAACGTCTAGCAAAAAGGCATAATCCGCAACTGTACACTAAGAGGTTTTTTCTTTGAATACACTAAGAAACAAAAATTCTTGGCTTGAATTTTAATTTACAATCGATATCATTTCAGGAAATGCACAGACGTATTTTGTTGTTTTCTGTTTTTCTTATTCATAGTTGGATGGGGCGTTGTTGCGGCTTTTGGTGATTTTACTGCGAAATCAATCTTACATCAATAAAACTATTTTAGGAATTATGTGGGGAGACCCTCAACGGCTAATCTTTTCCACTGATTCAGAGTTTCGACGATGCGGATCAATTGTTCCAAACTACTATAACTTCAGTAATCGTCCTTTTCTTTTATACTTTGATTTGACAAAATGTATAAGTTATGCGACTGCACTCGGAGGATGCCAGACTACGCAGGTTCCACAAACCCTTGAGTCTATTTTTCTAAAATTCTCTCTTTTTCATAGATATGCGTGGAAAAGTGCCCTTCTTCGTACTATTCCTACCTGCAATTAAGGAAGGCATCGCCGCAGGAAATTCAAAAACAGGTACTTCAATGAACACACTTTTTGAACGCTCTTTGACGATCGTAATTACAGTTTTAAAAATAATTTCAGGTGCAAAATATGGTCTATTGTACTGATGATGTTGATAAAAACAGCATCAATTCATTCCAAGTACTTCAGCAACTCGTAGAAAAACAAAAATGCGTTTCCTATACGGTTAAATCGGTTCCAGGTAATTTATTCAAGCAAACTATTTGATGATTTTGGTTTTAAGTGCTACAAAGATGCTTTCCTGAAGCGATCTTTACTGCAGCTGACAAAGTCAACACAGTTTTGAATAGTAATAATTCTCTTGATTTTCTTCGATCACAGTTTGGCGACGATGGATCAATTCCTCAAGATAAAGATATTACTGGACAGAGCGGAGAGTAATAATCGAAAGAATATGATGCATTTCATCATTTTTTTTACAGAGCTATTAAGCATGTAATGGAAGAGCAGCCAATGTTCAATAAAATTGTGCACGATCTCTCCCAAACTTGGTGGCAGATTTTGGTCCTCATTATCGCTGCTGGAATTCTTGCATTTTTATGGACCGTTGTGATGAGACTTCTAGGAGCTTTCATCATTTGGCTATCAATTTTTATTGTGATTGGTGCTCTTGGAGTTGGTACCGGTTATAGTTGGCATCAGTGGAATGAGCTAAAACAATCTGGAGCAATTGATGATTACTCATTTCATCCAGCATTTGATGTTTATTTTGAAATGCCAACAACATGGCTTGTATTCGGTAATCATTTGTGATTTTATCGGATACAACTAAAAATTTGCAGCCATTGGAACGAGTGCAGTTCTTGTAGTTCTCCTTCTCATATTAATATTCATACGAAAACGTATTACTATTGCGTGCGCATTGATAGGAGAATCAAGCATGTAAGAAAAATATACTGCTGTTTTTTTCAACAAATTCTAATTTTCAGAGCTATCGGAAGTATGATGTCCACTTTACTATTTCCATTGTTTCCATTTTTACTTCATATCGGAGTGTTTGCTCTTTGGGGATCCATCGCAATATGGTTGGCGTCGTCTGGTCAGGAAATCTGTAGACTGAGAGATGCAAATGGGGCACTATACAATACCTCGCAAAAATGTGAATGCGGTTCGAAAAATCCAAGCTGTGTTTATATTGGAATCGATAAAGAAAGCGAAACTGTTTTCTGGTTGCAAGTCTACAATTTGTTTGGATTCTTCTGGTTGTCTTGCTTCGTAACAGCTCTCGGTAATAATAATAATAATAATAATAATAATAATAATAATAATAAGATATTTTGCAAAAAAAACTCTCTTTACAGGCGACATTGCTTTGGCTGGAGCATTTGCATCATACTACTGGGCTCGAGACAAACGACGAGATGTTCCAAGCTTTCCGGTTTGGCGGGCACTTAAACGAGCTCTTCGATACAATTTGGGTTCTATTGCATTTGGTTCCCTGATTATTGCGATTGTGAAAATAATTCGAGTTATGCTTGAATATATTGACAACAAGTTTGGAAAATCGGAGAACAAAGCCATTAAGACAATACTAATGTAATCATAGATTCTCGATATATCCATTTCACCGATCCAACTTGCAGGTGCCTCAAATGCTGCTTCTGGTGCCTTGAAGTTTTCTTCAAATTCCTTACTAAAAATGCTTACATTATGATTGCGATTTACGGAAAGAATTTCTTCTCATCTGCTAAGGATTCATTCCTGCTAATTACTCGCAATATTGTGCGAACTGTTGTAATCCACAAAGTAGCGGGTATTCTTTTGTTTATTGGAAAAGCCATGATTACTATTGGAATGGGTATGTGATTAGAAAAATAATTTAAGGAATTTGATCTCATTTAGGTCTTGTTAGTTTCTATTACTTTTCGGGTAAATGGGTTGTCGATGGTCTACCAAGAGTTGATGTTTACTATTACTTTGTGCCCATTATTATTGTTGTAATAGGTAATACAACCCTTATTTTCTAGTTCATCTCATTTTCTATTTTTCAGGCAGTTATTTCATGGCCGATCTCTTCTTTGACGTTTACGAAATGGCCGTTGATACAACATTTATTTGTTTCTGTACGTGTTATTTAGGTCTGATCATACAGTTGATAAGTAAATTAATTGTAGTGGAAGATAGTGAACAAAACGATGGAAGTCCTGAAAGGCCGTTCTACATGTCGCAGAAACTGCTCGATATTCTCGGGAACCGAAATGAAATTCCACTGACTTCAAAATGATCTCAAATATTCATATAGAAAAATCTCTTCAACAAATTGCTTTACTATTCATATATTATTTATTTGTTTATTCCAAACAACAACAATCCCCGTGAAAATTTTCGAATTCCGTGTTTAGAATTACTTCGAAAAAGATACGAAAAATAATTGTAGTTGTGAGTACGGTTCAAATTTATCATATTGTGATTAGTATTTACTGTTGTGAATAAATCATGTGAAATTTTTGCTTTTCCGATGTTTCTGGTTTGATGTTTCTCTCCGAGAATTGTGCATTTGAATTACTTTTTTTTCTTGCCGATGATGACTCATACGGGGGACAATATTCGTGCATATTTCCACTCGTATCAATTCGCGCAATTCAATCGTTTTTTCTTTTCTTTTGTTTTAAAACATTACTTCTTCTTATTCACTGTTTAACTTGCTTTTTCGAAGTTATTTTTTAATTTTTGTGAAAATAGATTATTTCCAACAAACTATACCCGGAAAACTGCTTACACTATTGCAGCATTACTCTGAAAAATCGCAAAAAATTACTCAAGCATTCTCTTGTTTATGTAGTCATTTTTTTATTTCTAACTAAACTGTTCAAATTACTGTCGGCCGCAAATTGAAACTAAATCTTTTGAACACTTGTTGCATCATCTATTGTTTGCAGTTTTTGTATTTGCTAATGACGTCGCGAAAAAATAAAAAAAAACACCTCGGTACGGAAAATAATGGCAGTCGTGAATCGGCAATGATTCATTTTAAAACATGTATTTTGAGCCCATTTTTTCGAATTTTTTCTTTTATATTGAATGTCAAATGTATTAAAAATTCTGGTCCCTTTCCAATCGAATGAAAAACATGCAAGTTAATTTGCGTTTCCAAAAAGCCCATCGTGCTAGCGATTCAATGTCATAAATCTAGATGGCCCATCTCTCCCCTTACGCATTTTCTATTTCTTGGATCAAATTCACTAAAAAAAATTGCATTCGTTGGTAATTCAAAAAAATTGTAAAATAATTCTTTCTTCTCCGTGACAAAATCGACACCCATTTATAGTTAGGCTATTTTCGCCGTCAAACAACGATAATTAGTTCCTATTTTCTTGCGATCCCCTTTTTGTTGCATAAAGAACGTCCTCGGAGAATTAGTTGAAAACATTTTTTGCTATATACATACAAAGACGGCATTTACTGTATTCATCTCTCATTTTCGGGAATAGAAGACGGATGAGTGCTTGTTTGAGAGCGATTGCGTGGATCCGTGGTGGTGGGTGCCGGCGATGGTCGGCGAGATTCAATGCCCATAGCGAGCCAGGTAGTGCGGAGAGACGTCGCCAGCGAATAACGAATATGCGAGACGACGAGACCGAAAACGCGCGCATACGGGTCGAGCGAGCGACCGAACAACCACTGACGAAACGAGCGAACGACTAGGCGCACACCATCACCCTCCTTTTTGTTGCAACAAACGAGGTGTCTGTGCGTGAGCGCGCTTATGTGTTTGTGTGTGTATTTGTGTGTCTCTTTCGGACAAACGTTTCGCCCCATTCAATCGATACTTTTTTCTCCTGTATGGCTGCGATTTTGTTCAGGCGCTCCCTGCTTCTTCTTCCTTTTTGCGGCCGCGTCGCGACGCTCTGTCGCGTCGAATCGGTGCTGCTGTTTCCGCTTTTCGCATGATAACAAAAGTTTCGATTACTCATCATTGAATGATTGCGTTAGAAATATTTTAGGAAATTCCTTAACGCATTTTGAATATCTTTGCATCATTGATGGTATATTATATTGTTGTATAAAATGTTCTTGCGAAATGTGTTATTTTCTTCTGATTCATAATATACATTCATAACATATACCGTTTTTTTCTTCTAAATTTTCATTTCGTTGCAGAAAATGTCTGGCTGGGACGCTTACATTCAATCGATCGTTGGCAGAAGCCCAGCTATTAAGCGCGTAGCCATTATCGGCACCGACGGTTCGGTCTGGGCAAGAACCGAGGGCGAAAATACGTTCAAGGTATGCTGTTGAGCTAACAACCCAAAATCAAATCTTTTTTAAGGCGTCTGAGGCCGAGTTAAAGAAGTTTGCGGCTCTTTTCGACAAGATCGATTCTGTGCCATCGACTGGTGCTGACTTGGAAGATGTTCACTACATCGTTCCACGCACAGAGGAGAATTTGATCTTCGGAAAAAAAGATAAGAAAGGCTTCTTCGCTTCAAAGACCAAATCTGGTAAGAAATTTCAATTGGCATGATTAGAATTAGTCTTTCATTTTCAGCAATCATCATCGCAATTTACGAGGGTGAAAACGAAGTCTCATCTGCTGTTCGTTCTGCGGTCGAGACCATCGGCCAATATCTCATCCAGACCGGCTACTAATACGATCCAAGAGCGTTGCTTGTTTCAGCTTTCGACGAGTATAAGTTCTGATTACCATAATCCAGTCTCGATATAAATTATTTTTTTCCCAAAAAATTGTTTTACTCATCCTTTTTTCGCTTATATTCGATTTTTCACTTTAATTGTTTTTTCTCAAAGTTGTGATGTGTGTCTTCATGATTTCATAAATCGTAAACACGTAACTGAAATAGAAAAATTGAAGCAAAAAAAAGCCACATTACAAAAAAAGATTATGCCTAATATAAAACAATAAACAAGAATAAATGTTGCAGACTGTTGAGGACACTTGATATAAGTGAGAAAAAGCAAAGTTGACTCAGCATATTAAAAGATCCGTTTAAAGCAAAGCGTGTTGACTCAAACACAAGTGACTTTTTAGAACAATGAAAAGCAAAAAATATATGATAATGAACGCGTAAGCAAATGCAAACTGGAGAACGATCAAAAAATAGTAAAATATGTATATTTAGCATATTGGAGTAAAGTGGCAAATTGCTGCTTGAACAATTAGAAGAAGAATGAGGAAGAATACAATCGATATGATGATGATGATAATTTTCATTTTTTGAGCTCGTTTTTTGAGCCTTCGAGCTTCTTCCACGTTTCCTCTAGCACGAGTTGCATACTCAGTCGCATTTTGCACGCTGTTCTCAATTCGATCAAGCATTTCACCCTGAAAACCATGAAAATTCATTTGATGCGCAGGAATAAATAAACCGATTGTTGTATCATGATTCCGGCCGTTTTTTTTTTCAAAACAGTAACACAATATTCCAAAAGGTCGGCGGTATTTATACCAAATGTCTAACTTACCAATAATGAAAACAAGTTTTCTTCTCAAAATAAATTAATCAATGCCGTTTGCGCTATTTTTAACGACGGTGATGTTTTGATGAAACAAAATCAATAAAATCATTGACGATAGCACAAGTTTTAAATGCAAATTTCATCGATACTTCAAGCATTTCACTTTATTTATTATTTCGGCAGAACAATATAAAGCGTTCCAAACGTTCTGTTTAAAACTAGCGCAAACTAAATTGTTTCTGTTCTTTTTTTTTTCTAATGGGTTTCGATAATTGATTAAAAAAAAACCAACAGAATTTCTTTAAGTAGTAAAAAAATTGTCCAATTTTTGTGTTTATTTAATGTTAAAATAAATGTTTTTCCACGTTTTCAGTAGGAAAATTTTACCTGGCTGACAACCAGTAGATGCAAATCGTGGAACATGTCGGCCAGCCGTCGAATTTGTTCCTCGAGCCGTTTAATTTCAGTAGCCCTCGATTTAACATCGTCATACAGTGCTTTCTTCTCACTCAATGCCAGCATAACCTATAAAACTGGTTTATACTATTCTAAACTTTTTGATATACTATTGTACCCCCTTGGTAAGATCCGATAAGTTTCCCGTATTGACGGCGTCTTCGACTTCATCATCGGTCAATTGAATATTTCTAATTTTCAGGTATTCTGTTATCTTCTTGGTGGCTTTTTCCTTATAATCATTTTGTTCTTTATTGAATTTGAGCATAATAGTTTCTAGAGATTTTGTGATACTGCGAACCTACATTAAGTCGATTTCTTTGAAAATAACATACTCTTTTGCTCACCTGCTCACATTTTGCTCTTGATATTCCGCATGTTGCAGTAGGGAGATTCTTGGTTTCTTCTTTTAATACTGGAACGACTTATATTTTTTTAACGTTTTGGTGATGAGGAATCTTACTCTCTAAACTTTTTCCGATTTGTCCAAACTTCGATATAAACACTTCCGTTCGTTGGTTGAGACTCTTCGAAAATTCTGTAAAAAATTGATTTTTTTAAGCCAAAAAACAATGTTTTATCTGTGTTTAATTAGTAAAAAACCATTTTCACACAGAAAGTGTTGGTAAAATATGAGTTTGTCGATAAAAATTCTGTTTTCTTAATTTTAAAACAAATATTAACCTGCATCGGCTCCAGGAGTCGTTAGCAATTTTCCATGAAGCTGTTTGATGTCTTCGTAATCGTCATTTAAGCTTTTCATTCCTTCTCGGATGTTGGTGCACCTTTGCAGAAACTAAGTCAGACGATTTTACAACATATAATTGATAATTTATACCATTTCGAAGTCCGCCTCAGGATCAATTAGTGGTTTAGTTACATCGTCATTTTTTGAGGGTCGCCGTCTTGGCAAACTCGCATTCTCCGAAACGCCAGCTTTCTCCTTAATAATATTTCTGTTTCATCAAAATAAAGCCAAACGACAAACCCGAAGCTCTGCTAAACGATCTCGTGGCATTTTCGTTTGCTCAAAACCCTGAAATTTCATCAAATTGAATAGAACTTAATACCAAATTGAACACAAAAAATATTCTTATCGTAGTTTACGTAATTGATATTTGGATCAACATTTATTAAGAAAAATCAAATAGACGCTTGTTAATTACGCAAAAATGTATATCTCGGATTGTGAAATGCGGGCCAATGGAGCGCGTTTTCTCTACTCGAGTTTACTCAAACAGGAAACTGATAGTAAATCGAAAACAAAGACGAGAAGAAACAATCAATTCATTCTGATAAGGTTCAGTGCTGTCGTCACGAACCTGTGTTTGCTACACACAAAATTCATATAATTGAATATTACAATAAAGAAAAAAATTTGTCACAGGTATGAAAAAAAAAACACAGTCCGGTGAATGGGTGAAAATGAAAGTAAGACAAGAGAAGTTACAATGCGAAAAGATATGTGAATAAATAAATAACGGGATTTGAGCAGCCGTTTGAATTGTCGCAATTGTGCGGGTAGCGTCACATAAGTGGCGGTGGATCGATCATTGTTGCTAATTTGTTGTGGGAGCTCTCTTGCGAATGTTTAAACATATCGCTCGTACCACTTTTTCGGCTTTGCATTAAACTTCTTCTTAAATATGTATGTTGAAAACATTACTATATTTGTAATTAAGTTACATCATCAATAAACTGGCAAAAGCACAAATGTTGTCGGCAATGCTTGGGCATATAGTTCGAAACACCATGAATCGGTCGCGACGGGAAATGAAGTCGTTTCTTAACAACGCTTTTGACGTATTCCTGACTGTAATCAAGGATCAATTGAGCGGCTTCTTTCTCAATCTAAATTCATAATTTAAGTACAATTAACTGATTCCTACAATACTTCTTCTCCAGAAAGTTCCGCCTCCAGGGCAACATTTGTTCCGAACACGCAACCACCGGTTTTTTTAATTTTCAACTGCTTAATTATCTCCGCAGTGCATTCAGCAACATTGAAACGAAGGAAATGAATCTAAAAAATGTGAAGTGAGACTTTTTTTTTCAATTTTTAGACATACCACAGTTTTATGACAACTCAATTGTCCACGGTCTTCGATTCCAATGAGAAAATGACGATTCACAATCATTGCATTGGCCTCTGCCACAGCTTCATTCAATCCGACACGAATCTAAATCAAGTGTTTCCATGGGGACTTAGCATTTAATATTTACTCTCTTGCGAACAATGGCACATACATAAATGCCAATGAACAAAATGACACCCCATATTAAACACCAAATCATTACAGGCCAGCCGCCTTGTGTTTGGTACAATAGAGTCATCGCGAGAGCAAAAATCCATAATACCATCCAAAGCGCAATAATGCGAGAGTACGCAGTAGAAAACCTGTAAATTCAAGTTTAAAAATATTATCGATGTCTAGCTTTCCTACATTTTGAATCGCGGATCACTGATTATTTTTTTCACCACATTAATGTAATCCTCTCCCGGCAGCTGCAAATAGATAGGAAAAGTTTTTCATTCAAATATTACCGCTGGGACGTCGATTGCCAAAATCGATGGCATGCTATAGGGATCATAATGTGGTGGTGTGACCCAATCACAAGTCAAATTATCTGGATACACAGTTGCCAATACTTTCCCATTTACTATAAAAAAATTTGCATTTTTTTGACTCAGAAATACTTTTACCATTATGAGGAGCCGAAATAATGCTTGGTTGTGCAGGCTTTGGTTTATTATGCTCTTTGTTGAGACTAACTGGGTCTAAATGTTTCATCAATTAAAATATAATGCAGATATATTGTCAAACCCAAAATTGCCGCTGAACCGCTAGGAGTATCCCTACAATGAAATAAAACATTTATTTCGATTAATTTCAAATCATCTCACTTAATTGAGTTTTGGTCAACAACTGGTTTTACATCTTTGATATCAACAACTTCCTTTTCTTCGGCTGATTTTGGTGGTTGCCCTTCTTCGTCGGCAACGCTCAATCTGCTCAGAGAAATTTGATCAAAAGTTTCCCAACCTAAATACTCTTACATATATTAGGTAAAAACAAGCATTCGGAAAATATAATTATTTATTTTATTTTAGTTTAATCACCACCTTTATGAGGTGGTGATTTTATATAAATATAAATTATTTGTTTTTATGAGATGACAGTTTTCAAAAATGTTACTAATTTAGTATATATTCTTGGCTTCAGTATAGCATTTTCTTATTCAAAACATGACCGTCGTGTGTTGTATGTGTTAACAAGCGTGGTCAAAACGACCCCATAAATATGCAATGAAAAACAAATATTTTTAAGAAAAACTTGTTCTCAACAGAAACAATGTGAGCTGCCCCCTTGTAATGTTCCCAAAAGAAATTAAGAATTTAAACTTCCATATTATGATAACTTGAGGTTTTTTTTTGTTCCTTCCAAGTTCATTGGGTTGTTATATTAAGTTTCCGAGAACAACGGCTAATAGAATTTGCCGTTGTAAAACGCTGTAGCTTCTCAGGATTACTATCTTTAATTACAAATTGTTTTCAATTTGGCGTTATTTTAATGAATAGAATTACTCATGAAATTTAATAAATTTTTCAAGAATTCGAATTTTCGAAAACACATTAATTTAATTGAAATGTTGTTTTTCTCGCCTATTCACGTGATTTTCAATGCTTATTTTTCACATAAATAATGCTCGTTTGTTTGCTCTGATTGAACCTTGATTTTGTTGGTCCAAAAAATGTAACTCGTTAATTATCGAGTGCAAACGTATACCTTTTCGGACTTCTCCTTCGGTTGTCATACCGCCTAAGGCTGAAATTAACAGGTTTAAAATTGATGACAAATTCGGCATGAAAGGATAACATATAAAAGTTCTGGAGTGTTTACAATAAAAAGAAAGGCGAAAAAAGCAAGAAAAATATATTCTCACGGCATTTCTATGCAACTTAATAGGAAAATACATCAAGGAACAGCATAGTAGGAATTAAAATTTTAATCTATTGCCGAAATCGCGCCACTGCGGATGGCGAATCTAATGTAGAGTTGGACGAAACAATATACATGTCGCTTTTCCGGATTCGGATTTTCAAGCAATGTTGCTTAAAGTTGCAATGCCCGTGTGGAGTACTTCATAAAATTCTGCGCCTCGCGACCATTTCTGGCTTTTTTCTATTTGTCGCAGTCGCGCGACCTCAAACATAACCCCAAATGTGTTCAGAATTTAACTACACTACGCACGGTGAAACTACTAGAAATTAAGAAAAATGATACTAATAACAATAGTGGTACATGAACAGAGAGGTGCGCAAGTGCGTCATGTTTTTGCTTGAAGGCGCATCGATATTTCTCTGGTGCTCTCCTGGGAAACAATCATGTTTCGGGCGTTACCATCCAACCGCTGTTCTATTTTTGTCAGTGTCTCTCGCACTCCGCAGTTTGATGAACGTTTATGATTGTTTGATCGGTGACGAGTCTGCCTTGGAACAAAAACAATATCCTCGGTTTATATCCAACTGTTCGAATTTGTGTCATTCGTATAACTTGCCCGACAGTCTTGAGTGCAAATTGAAGATATAATGAATAGGTGACACAACGCTAGGGAATAACTACGAAGAAACGCCCGCAAAACTGCTTTGTTATGTGTGTATCATCCAAAATTATCGGAAATTAACAATGATGCCATTTCATGGAAACGAGTGTGTTATTTTTGTTCAATGCCTGAATCAGCTTAATTACGAATATGATTGGTTGAAAATGACGAAAAGACGAACAATGCCAACTTTAACAAGTTTCGGTTGCAAAATCAAGTATTTGAACGTCATATTTGATGACGGAGCGATATTTGTTGCATTAGTATAGTTGCTACACAACGAATGAAGTTTACATCAAAGAAATGGTTTTTTTCCTTAAAAGCTTTCCTAGTTTCAAGTTAAATTCACGAAAAGAAGAGGAAAATCTATTAAATACATTGCTGCCTGTGTGCAGATTACATGTTCTTACATATTAGCTTGATTAAAGCAAACTTTCATGGCTTTTAAATCATTTGTTGAACTTCAAAAAACTCCAAATAAACTAATTTCAATCTGTCGAATTCACACATAATTTTTACGTATTGAATTCGGATGCTTCTTTTCTTGGGAATACCAAGACTACAAATATGTAGTTTATCAGTCTACAACTGTGTTTTCTTTCTGTTTGCGCAATATTAAAAAAAAAAAGAATTTAACGAAAATGTTTAAAGAAATAGAAGAACAGAATAAAAACATGAGGGGTAGTTACTAAACGAAAAAGATAACTGGAGGACAAATTACGTAAGCTATAATGTTTTTAATAAAAATAAATAGTTTGAAAACCATCTGAATGAATCGTCGACAAATTAATTGTATAACAACCAATAAAACACAATTACTCTGATTTAAATCTAAATATAATATATTTCATGCCGTTCAAATCATGAATATAATGGAAAACGCACTACTGGGCGCATGGTTATTTGTATAGAGTTGATTGATTTGAAACCGGAAACAAATAATGACCCTATAGTATACTTACATACTTACTGGTGTATACGAACCTACTATTATTATAAGACGAAGAAATTTATAATTTTTTTGCCAAGTGCATATTCATATTTTTTTCAGTATTTCTAGAAGGCAAAGAAAACAATTAAGACAATAAACAAGCGATTTATGACATAACTTAAAAGAAATGAAAAATATTATTATTCATATATATAAAATTTTTGTGTTATAAGCCATGCAAAAGCAAAAAACAATTTCATGGTATGTGGTGAGTAATAAAAGTTAATTAAAAGTATGAATCGTTTAAAATATAAACGTTATTAGTCATCATATTTTTTTGAAATTAATCAAGCAAATAATTTTAAAATCAGATTCAAATTTAACTTTTCAATATATTAATGAAAAATTTAAAAAAAATGAACACTACTATATTAGGGAAAGTTCACCCCTCCCATAAATAACAATATGACGAGCAATTTTTTTTCAAAAGAATAAGGATCATCGTAAGATTATAAAAAAATTATTTACACTATCCGTAATATATATATATATGACTATATATATACATGTGTATATATACATTAATGATGGAAAATTCCTTTATATCGAAAAATTTGATATTTCTTCTTCAAGTATTCTTCATACGTTTTAGCAGGCTCCACGTAATCCCACACCTCAAAATCGGATAATATATAAATTATAAAACAAACCGAAAAAATAATTACTTTTTTGGAGATTATTTCCGGATTTTCCATTTCTGGATAAAAAATTATATAGTCGACAACCATTGGTTTTGGCAAATTCGCCACTGAAAATATAATATTTGTTTTCAGAGAGAGAAACTTACACTCGTAATCGAAATCTGCAACTTGAATATGTTGGCATATTACTGCTTGAAAAATAGTAAATGCTAGAAGAAGGTTTGAATGCATTTTCTGTGGTCTGTTGAGACTTGAGATATCTCGAGGAAAGTGGTGAAGAAGCGGATCACGTTCATGCTATTGTTCTCATTTGATAACGCAGGTTCAAAAGTTGATTTTAATTTCACACGCAAACCATGTTTTGGGAAAGATAAAACGGTGATTAAGTGTGATGTTGGAGAGTAATAAAAAATTATTAAAATTATTATAATTTTGTTCGATCCTCATTTGGCAATCCGATTCCTAGTGGATCCATTGGACTCAGATTTTGGGCATAGTTGAAAGAAGTGTCTTCATTATCTAAAGAAAATTTTGTTGTGTATAAATAATAATTAATAATCATACCAAAGTGAATATTTCCAGACAGTGGATATCTGTATGCAATATCCTTTGCAATTGGGATTGGAACGTCAATCTCACCCTCAAATCCGTCTTCAATTTCATAGTTGGTTTCAAGCTGGAAAATTAGTTTTTTTGTTTTATTTTATCTTTTCTAAACATACTCCAACAGATATTCCCGACTGATATGGATTGCACATTGGTGGTTTGCATGACATTTGGTTGTATTCCTTAGGAAGAACACCAATAGGAAGTTTTGGATGAATCTCTGAATATCGCTATTACTTCAACGTTTTTTTCATTGAATACTTTTATTCCAGTGAAGTGATGGATCAGATATAAGCCTGACAATTTGATTTTTTGTCAATCCCATCATATTTACGGGAGTGTTGACGTAGCCAAACTTGACCCACTCTTCCTGTAAAAACACATTGCCTCTAAAACAGACTATATTCATACTTGTGCACGTTCGATGTAATGTCCCCCAAGATTCAAGAAATTGTTCCAGTATGGAACCGGAATTAATATATCACCTCCAACTTGTCGGCCATGAGATGTATCATAAGTGAATGAACCGTGGTATTGATTTGTCATTGGCATTAATGGCCAATAATCACCGAACGATGTTCTTCCAGGTAACGGATTGTAACCACCTGCAATGATCAATTGCATACATATTTTAATTAAAATTGCACCCGGTAATTGCACAATATCTCCGAGTTTGACATCCTTAGTTTTCCTATTTCGTTCATTAGTAAGTTTTGTTTTTTCTGCTTCAGGAGCCCGTCGAAATTCGTTGTCTTTCTGAAAATGAAGAGTCTAAACTATATAATTGCAGAAGAATAAACTTTATAAGAATCTGCTAAAAATTTATAAAATCCAAGGTCATCATCTTTCAGATCGGCTTGTGAAAATTTGACAAAATATATAAACAGAATACATTGGGAAGCGTTCAAGACACCGTTTAGTTTCATGTCAGTTGCATCAATGAACTCCAATCTCGTTGTCTCTCGAGAACCGAATGATAGCTTTACGGGGGAAAAGCCGCTCTTGTTATCAACCGATATAGGTCGCAAACGAAATCATTGACCAAGAATAATAGTTCTAGACAAGCGGGAAATATTTCAAGTTTTATTTCACTGGTCTCATTACGCTTAATTATAATAATAATATTAATATTAAAAATAATAATAGTAGTAATAAAAATAATAATAAAAATAATTTATTTTTATTTTACGATTCGCGATTTCATTCAAATTGCGGCAGCGCAAGTTTGACGTCGATTCCCATCAGGAAGCAAGCAACTGTTGATTGAGCCATCCTTCGTTGTAGAATAGCTTTTCCAAATGCTGACAAATATGATTCTTTCGACGAACGAGGTTCCATATCCATAAGATAAACAGTAATAAACATCGATATCTAAAAAGTAAATAAATACATACAAAATTATGTATCTGTCAAACTAACAGGTCTCTTCTCTAAAATATTGTTTTGGATTTCTGGCGGAATGTAATCTTTGACATCATCAATTTCCGGGGTGCACATTTCTGTTTCGATGTCATAAAGTCCTGGAGGCATTTCTTCACATCTATAACACAAAATCTTGCTTTAAATTGAGATTATTAAATGCGAAAGGCATACTTGCAATCATCATCAATCGACTTGTGTTCATTTTTTGAATTCTTGCTCGCTGTGATCTTTGTTTGCGATTTTAACTGTTTGCAGAAATCACAAAACACGCTGAAATAATCGTTGAATCAACCAGAAATTTTTTTTCTTGCCAAGATCCTTCCAATTTCGCACATGGGCACTGATTAACTTTCTCATCAATCTTCTTCGAACATGGCAATGCTGGATTATTAGGATCTGGAGTTCCGCCAATTCTCATTTCCACTTCAGCAATCAGGTTCTTTGTAGGTCTTGTAATTTCGACACCTGGATTAATAAAAATCAGACCAATTGGCTACATAATCGTTTTTCGAAAACCTTCAGCCTTGATTTTAATGCATCCTGGTATAACTGGATTGCGAGGGGTCAGTTGAACTTTGTCGGGATTTAAACGAATACTTGGCCTGTACTTATTGATGTCAATTCCTTTTCGCGAAAGATACACTGGAACGGCATTCATTTTAAAAATGTAAGATGACTCAAACAAAAACTGGAATATCTGTTATACGTTCTTATTAATCACCACAGGATTTGTTTTCAATTGTCAATAGACCTGCTTTTTGATGTGTAACATGAAAAACTATAATTGAGAACAAAATTACACGATCGTGCTATTAATTGTCCAACGAACAGGTTTTTCATGCTAAATTTTCGTGAATTATTATCGAAAAATCAATCATTTTGATTGCGAATATGCGATAATTGATTAAAAAATGATTGTTTGATCATCAAAAATATCGTTAAAATGATTATTTAAACGTCATCATTGAAATATATTTTGTAATACTTAATGATAAAATAATCCGTCCTAAACCTTTTTGCAGCTGATATTGTTTTAACTGACTAAATTTCAAAAAAAAAAAAAACCCTTAATTTTAGGCACAAAGTTTGGGAAAGAAACATACCAGGAGAACAAGCTCCAGACACTCGTATATCGACTTCAGCTTTTTCTTGTCCATATACATAATTAGCAACAAAACATATACATAATAGAGAGTAAACCCGCATTTTAGGGAGAAAGTGTCGATTGAGTGTGGATATATGTATGAAGCCTCGAGTCGTTTGATATTCAGTCCGTCTGCCACCGTCTCCTCCCCTTCAGTTTTCTCTGTTCTCTCGGACGAATCGTTCGCGTAAGAATCGCGCACTCACCGCATCGTATCGCCAGTCCGCACACAAACTACCATCCGTTTCACTTTTCGTTATCTTTTTCTTTCTGTTATCCGCATCCGACAATGATATCTTTACCATTGGGGTCCGTGGTCTACATTATACACCACATCTTCAAACTCTGATCAAGTTATGTAATAAATTAATAACAAGATTTGGATAATTAAAAACACAAATTTTTGAAAATAATGAGGGAGGGATTTGAAAATTAAAGACCCAAAAAATATTTAAGCTCGTCGTGAATTTGTTTTCGATTTTGTTCTAAATCCTTCGGTTCTCCTTCATATTCTGGATACATATCTGAGCAGTGAGCAGCTCCTAGAATATTACCAAAAGCAAAAATAAATTCAAAAAAATCTCAAGATTACCTAAAATTTTCAAAGCGGTCATGTGGTTTTTTGGATCAGAATTTGAGCTTCCAAGCACGTGCCATGGATCGAACAAACCGTTGGGAAGAACAACATTTGTTGCGCTGTACCCCTCATTGCCACCATATTTGTCAAATGTGTTCAAATTTCGATCCCGAATATATTTGATATCAACATCTTCACCAAACATCTCTGTGCACATATCAATAAAATAACTAAAATATAAAATATTTAAATAGATTTACGAACGGAATATAAAATTACTTCAGCGGTACTGTCTGCTGGAAAATGTTGCGTCCCTGATCAGTAGTTTGCAATACGCCTAATTCATTACAACAAAGCCACATCCATCCACGATTTGCAGCTATTTCGCCAGGTTCGGTACTGTTGTCATCAAATTCGGGATCCTTCAGAACTTTCATCATATCATCGTAAGAGTTTTGGAACGTTCCCACTGGATCTCCATTCATTTCATTGATCTGAACGTTTATATTCTTTGCATTCAAACAATAAGTTGTTTTACCCAATTCACAACGTTATTAACTCTAGTAATAACATCTGGAACCGTGTTATTATTCATATGTTCGCACAGATTTTTTACGTTCAGACCATTTTTTGTGGCATCATTCTAAAATTTATCATTATGAGATAAAACACGACTTAATCGTACTCTGCCGTCATATGTGTATTGGACAACACCTTGGAAGAAACTATACAGATTGGCAAAGAAATTGTCAATATCATGTTGGGAATATTTGTTGGCAACAAACTTCGGAGTTAGGCTGAAAAAAAAACTAATTCCCAAACTTTGTTTCTTATTACTGACTTGAAATAAGTGTTAAGCTTCATTGTTCCTTCAGTAGAAAGACTGAGTTGTTGCATTTGATAAAACGCATCGTTCACATTTTTCCAGCAATCTTGGCTTGTTTCATTTAAAACCCGTTCGACAACTTGAGCGTATTCTAAAATACATTTAAATGATAAAATTTGAATTATTTATTGATTTACGGAAAAAATCAAGAGTCCAGAGGAGAGGCGCACTGCTAGCAATAGCTCCCACAGTATCGCCTGGAAATTTGGCTCTGAACAGAGCTGACAACGTTCCTGGATATGAGCCACCAAATGTAACCCATTTCGGGTTTACAAAATTATATTTAATGTTCATTGCTTTAATGAATTCATGAATGTCATGAAGAGCATTATCCATTGTGCAAACTTTGATTCCAGGATAGGAAAGATCTCTTTAAAAAATATATTGAAATTCCAAATACTATTTTTTTTTACAACCGGTAAGGTCTACTTTGCCCAAAACATCGATGTTCAAGTTGAAAAACGTCTGCTCCAAATTCGTTTGCCCATTTCAAATATTGATAATTCGGATTGGTGGCCCACACATCCGTAGCTGGAGATTCGCCTTGGATCATGAGGAATATGATATTTCTCTTTTTTGTAAAATTCGGATTGTACCAGTATCTCTGAAAATATTCCGAATAAAAAGGGTGACAAGCTATGAATTTTTACCTGATTATAAACAGCTTGATTTCTATTATCAAAATGATCGACTTTTTGAGAAATTACACTTTTAGTGACGTTAGTAGTAGCATAATTGAAAGTGGGGCTGCGGTCGCCATGTCTATATATACCTTTCAGCAATTTTATTCTGTTTTGTTATTACCGCACAAATCCTGAAGCTGTGGGGCGTCCGAGAAGGTATGGCGGGAGATGAGGATGACGTGCGCAATTGCCTCTCCATGTTAATATCAATACTGTTAAAATCCCGAACAGTTTCATAACTGAAGAACCAAATGAAGTGTTAAACAAAGATGTTTATCAGCTGAAGCGTTTATCATAAAAATTGTGAAACCGATAGACGATAAGGCATCATACTGGATTATAAGCCCTGTAAACCGTAAAAATGATGATATGACGATTGACTCTTGAAATTGTTAAATTGTTTCAAAAAGTATATGAAAATATCAACTTGGATTGAAAATTCGTGAAGTTTTCGAAAATAAAGTTATGCACGGCCAAATAATTATTCTACGTCAATTAGATAAACTTGTTCCGCAGAAGTAATGTGCTCCCCTTCAACACGACATATGTTTTTCTTTCAGGTTTTATTGTTTAAACGGCTCATTGGTTGTGTATACCAATTGCACTGATCTCAACTCATATTAAATAAACGCAAAATAACAACTTTAATGTATTCGAAGAAAAAATAACAAAACTGATTCACATTATATACGAAGATGTTTCTCAGATATTTCGAACTAATAATACCTTTTATTTCTAATTTTCGAAACTTTATAAGAACGCTGAATCATTAATGCTGCTTTCCATATTTTTTTCACTCAATTCGTATTGCTGCATTTCAATAAGTTGTACGGGATGAGGCAATTTGCATAGGTGATTGCCGAATGTTTTCAACGACTTTTCGGTTCTATTTGTTTCAGTAATGCACATCAAACGATTAGTTTTCTTTTTTATTTTTTCTATTTACTAATACACAAACAAAACATTGAAAAAGAACTCCGCAAACTTGAGGTGTCGTTAAAAATTCGTACGCTTTATTAATTATATGTCGTAATATGGCTATATATAATTGAAAAACAACGAAGAAACACTCAAGTGAGAGGAAAGTTTTTTTTTTAGTTTATTTTAAAATACGTGGATTTTGTGTTGCAGACGTTTTTTGTACTATTATTTGTTTAAAAATAAATAAATTAATTAATATATATATATATATATTTGCGAGAATTAATAAATTGCGTCAAATATTGCAAGTCTGCATCTCATAACAGCCCACAAGTGCAATAATTTTGGCTCTTACCATTTTTTTCTAAAATTTTTATTATTCGAAGATTTCAACTTTTAGCCTTCTATCGTTTAAGTTGAATAATTGCAGATCACCATATTCACTGACTGTTCCTTGAATAATTGAAATAACATAAAGAGAACATAAGAAAATAAGACAAAGTCTTTGTAAGGTAATGCTGCAAAAATTCGTGTCTTATTAGCTTCATAGCTTTTGCCGCTAGCATTACAATACAATCATTAGGCATAATTCTAATTTTACGCATTTCAAACATATTACAAATAACATATAATTCTAAATGAATTTTTGAGAAATTCTCTGAGCTTCGTGTAATTGTTTTTAAATATATATTTTAAACCTTTCCGTTCATTCAAGGAGAAAAAATATTTTAAACCTTTCCATTCATTCAACTAATTCCGTTCTCGCTTTGGCAACAACCAATAGCACGCTATTTTTGAAAGACTAACGGTGAAGAGGTCGATGATGAATGCTCGTCCGTTCTGGCCACATTTTCAAAATCGGTTCTTTATCGTTGTTTGTTTTTTTTTCTAGGTCCAACGCAACTTGTGATATGTCAAATTCAGCTTGTGATATCTAGTTTAAAAAAAATCCGCGTAGTTTATTTTTACTATTATTTGTCAAAATAATGTATCACTTTTGTAATTCACGATTAATTATCAATCGTTTTGTTTTTAGACTCTAGTTTGATCGAAAACAACCTTTCAGTTTAATTGTTCTTTTTGGAGCACTTTTTTTTAAACATAAAATGTATATGTTTTATTTTTTTTTGTTTCTAATTGGCTGGACGTTCAGAATTATAAGGAATATAGTTCAATTACAAGAAACGATGTTCCCTTATGCATTTCTTTTGACTAATTTCTATTGTGCCGCCTTGTTTTCGTTTATCAGTTGAAAATACTTATTTGCGAGACGTAAAATGAAATTTCTGCTAAATTTTGAAGCGCATTTTCAATTTTGTTATTCATATTTATTGGCTTTTCAGGTTTTCATATAATTTCTATCTCTTTTTCTTTTTCAAAAAATCTCATCATGAATATTTTCTTTAACTTTCAGATGCCTAAAGGACGGAAAATCAGACTGCGTTTTGCGCACAGTAGCGACTCAGATAGTAAGTTACATATTACAACTAAAATCCTTATTTATTTTTACTTCTAATAGTGTCGTTGAAAAAATATCTCCGAATAGTCAAGTCTCATAGCAACTAAAATCAAATTGAAATTGAAATGGAGAAAAAAAGAATATTTCCTATAACATAAAAAGCGCACCATATTATAAATTGTATTTTTCTATAATAATGACTTGGCAACCAAAATAAAAATGGGCCGAGAACGATTATTGTTGCGATCGAAAAAAATTACATTCGTGGCAAAAAAAACATCTTTGTCTTTATTTTTGCTGGCGAGCAATATTTTTATTTTTTTTGTAATGTTTATTTTATTAAAAAACACAACTTTAAAATAGCGACTAAAAATTTTTTGAAAAAAGTAATTTTCGAAAACATTAAAAAAGTAAAGACCATATTTTTCTCGATTTTACTAGTTACAAACAAAACTAGATAGTTTACGATAAAACATTGCGATAAGCCAGCTCTAGGATTTTCCTGAGATTTGAAAAATGCGGTTAATATATAATCATTGTCACCCGTTTTGAACGGAACATTAGTTATTTTTCATTCTAGGGCTTAAAAATTTTTGAATTTAATGAAGTTAGAAGCACAAGGATTCTAGCAAATTCGATGTGAAAAAATCCTGACTATATACGAAAAAGAAAATGTATTTAAACAACATTATTTAAGCTTTTAGATATATATTTTAAGACCTTTTTAAAGTCTAGATCTGTTAGAAGCTGTTATGATATTTTAAATGGTGACTTTAAACTTTTACATTTTTTATTTGGTTGCCTTTTTTGAATTGCAGAAATGTAGATAACATGATATTTTTTTCAATCAGTGTTGATGGGTATTATTTTTTTTCCATGCGTCTTCATGATTGATTTAATCCGAATCGAAACGTTCGAACACATGAAAAGCCAAATAAATGTTTACGAATTTTTATTCAAACATTTTTGACGAATGCTAAATTCTTTAATAAACAAGATATTTTTATTTACTAACATGGATTAGTTAAGAATTCAGGAATGAAAATTTGTTTATTTCACGTTTTTTCTATTTATTGGTTTTTTGAATATTAAAAGCTATTTGTTGAGAGAATTTCATTGAGCACTTCTTTTGTCTAATCATTTTGTTGAGCAATTATAATGTAATAAATTTTGTAACCAAGAACTGCACTATATTAATTGATGTTTAATAGCCATAAAACCTTACATTTTATAGAAATCTGGGATGAAAAATATATAAAATATCCCATTGTTCCACATCATCCGGATTGAGCTGAACGTTTTATCTATTATATTCAACTTTAAACTAAAGTGAAAAGCCTATGGAAAGTGATGAATCTGCTGATATTTTTTCTTCATTCACACTTTTGAGTGATCACTCATGTTACAACAGTTTTGAAATGTTTTCGGCCGTCAATTATTATTGCCACGTCTTAGTCGCAAAACATACAAATACAATGAATTATAAATTTAAGACTTCTTGCCACCGTCATTCTTATACATTTTTAACGTACACAAGTTGTGAGGGTCGCAATGAAGAAAAAAAAAAACAATTGTAGTGATTTCGTGCGTTTTTTGTGGTTGTTGTTGTTGTTCTGCCTCGTATACCCCAATTTTCTATGTTTTATGAGCTATGTTCAATGCATAATAATTTTAGTCATCATGTTCGATTTTTTCCGAGACCTTTTCTACCAATTGCATGATCGTAAATATATGTACAACACATTTGTGCAATAAATTCGCATTAAATTATTTTGCTTTCGACAATCTATTCCTAATAAGTCCGTGCATACATATATAACCCCAAGAGACCTAACCAAACTTATAATAAGACGAGATGTTCACAAACTGCGCTTTTGAGCAAACCAAATTTGTTTGCGATACCTCACTAAATTGTCAAATTTAATGCGCACCATGACAAAATAATATATCTTAATATATAAAAAATATTATTAGTTAAATAAAACAAATATTAAGTAATTTCATACTTCACCAAAAAAAATCAGAGCATATCCACAAGTTTACATTTAGAAAAACTTCATGAAATTTAACAATTTTTCATATACTTTAATCGGAAAAAAATGAAATAAAAACATTCAATTATCTTCATTATCTCTACAGAAAGTTTTGCTTCATCTTTGCTTACATTTTTACATTTTTTTTGCAGCGGTTGAAATTCACATTTTTCAGTAAAATCATAAAAAAGAAGAGCAGGTCAATTTAATTTCGATTGAAACACAGAAAAAAATTATTAAATGCTTCACAGCCTCTGAAACTATAAATCAGTTCAATAATGGATATACTCACATTAGCTAATAGTAGCATCTCTTTCGATTTGTTTTCAGTACATTTATAATTAATAGATCTTGTTTACTTTTTGAAAACCACGATTAATCTTTAAAAATGCTTCAATTGTTTACTTTAATGTAAATTCCTGCTTCGATTGGCCGACCAAACTAATTCTACAAGATTTTGATACAATTTATTCTCCAACGTATTGGAAGCGAAATTGAGCGGAATAACATTGCGATCTTCTTTGGAGCTTGCGGCGTGTACGAGAGAGACGTTACAAATTACATTCGGACGATTCTCAGTGAGTAAAGTCCAGTTAAAATGATTATTTGAAAGGAAGCGGAATCCGCCAGAAAAAAATTCCACTGTTTTCGTTCATGTTATATTTGCCACTCTTTGATTTCTTTCATCATTTTTTATTTGTAAATTTATTGTCATCTCATTGTATCGGATTTCATGCTGCTCTGGATATACTCAATCATCGCTCTATAACTTCTTTGTTCTCTGCCACAAACAAATCACGAAATACAGCAAAAATAAAAAAAAATATAGGAAAATAGTAATACAAATAGCAACTAGCAATAGGCAGTCTCATTTTTGCACTCTAAAAATTGCATATTTTGGACGATACTGGTTTTTTTTAATTGAGCCACTAACGTAAGCTTTTTTTTTCAAAAAACATAACTTAAAAATATTGACAGAAGACGTGTTTTTTTCTCAAGAATGCTTGCTCATACTGTTACAACATTAAAAAAAACATTCGAAAAAAATTGTCAAAAGAAAGATATGAATTTCGTTTTTATTTAGAACTATAATATATCTCTTGAACGATATGAATGTATATTTTTGAAATATATGTAGGAGTCCTCATATTTTTTTCTGGAAATTCATTTAAAAAGTTTTACTAAAATCCATCATTTTCTTTTTTTCTGATAAAATTCTTTACTATCAATGCTAAATCATAACCATTGAATATGTGAGTTATTTATTCTCAGAAACGTGCAACCTTCAAAAGAAGTTTTACTTTTAGTTGTTATTATTTACACATTGATTTGCGCAAATTTGTGACATCCATTATATTTTCGAAACAAGAAATAAAAGTTCAAGTATAAATTCAATTTTGATGACATCCTTGAAAAAAATTGAATAGAGCTTTTGAACTACGACAAAATCTCGTGATTCTTGTTTAAATATGCCGAGCAACAGGTAATGATTTAATGTTTTTGTTATTTTCTAAGTGTTGAATTTTTATGGTAACTAATTTAAAAATTAATCCGAGCAAACATATTTTTGCAATTTTACTTTCGATCTTTCACTTTTACTGGTCCATTTGAATTCCCGAAACCAAAACGAGCTTTCTTTTATGCGTCCATCGGCTTATCTGAACCCAGCATCAGCTCATTTTTCATAAGAATAGCAAGAAATGTGTTCAGCACACCGTTTGAAGCATCGAGCAAGTAGTATTTGAAGAAGAAAGGCAAACTAATTAAACGAAATAAATCAAAATCGACATTGAAATGGGTGTTTAAATGGTGCGCTGAGAAAATCAAATATTGGGGAAGGATAAGAAATTTCACGGTTTGATGGCCTCAACAGGAAATTTAATTTTCCACTCGTGGTTACACTAGAGGCTTGAAATATAGGGTTTTTGCACTCTTTGACTTTTATGAGATTATGAAACCTATTCTTATTTTTCTTCACACCTCCAACATTTCTTCTAGAACATTTCTCACACTAATGAGTTAATTTCCGACGCTTACAAACTAAAGCATATGCTGAGCAGAAGATTAATTATGTTTAACGATTGTTCTTCCTTTTTGGTTAGGTTTTGGGCGAAAGAGTGTTTTCGAAATAAACTACTCTCACCATGATAAACCCATCATATCATTGTTCGCAAAGGAATGTCTTATAGAAATCACGATATCTATTTAACTCCGAAAAATACATTTGAGCTTCTCCTAAATTACGATAACCTCATTCGCGTTCGATTCATTCAACTTTTTTCTACTGATTATTTTTTTGATGTGTCTTTCTCGACAAAATTTATATCTATCAAATTTCGATTTTGAATAACGAGGTTCGTGCGGTTTTAGAACATATTTGCTTGATATGCAAAGTAGATTGTGGATTTATTCGCGTGTTTACCGAAGCTCCGAAAAAAGATTTTTGTGCCCACTATAGCATTCAAATGTCAAGTTCTTGATTTGTAGGTTATTCCAAAGACTCGTAGAAAAACATTGCATATAAGGCTATATAGAATTTTTTTTAAAGATCTCAAGTAAATCACTTCCAAAGGAACTTATTCGTCAAATAGTAACTTCGAATAGCTTAATTTTGTAAAAGTGAACTCTCATAGCAAAACATTATAGTGAATTTCGTGTTGTCTCATTTTCATTTTACGAGCGTTTATTGAACTTTGAGATCATATTACATGTTCTGTAGATATTTTCTACTATTTTTAAGCAATTCACAATTTGTATTAGTTTCATGAAAAAATGGGTTCCGTGTTTTTCTTTCTGAAAAATTTTGCCTGCTTGTTTTTTGCTTATTAGCACAGAATATAGTCATCATTTATTTTTCGCTTATATCCTCCATCTGTCCATCATCTGTTTTTTTCAAAAGATAGAAAATATTTCAATTTTTCATATTCGGCAATTTATTTTTCGACAAAACACATATAATTGTATGTGTATGTGCTCGCAAGCAATTCTCGACGGCATTTCTTTTAATTGAAATGAACAATATCGTGCCAGTAGCCGAATTGCGATTTTTCATATTAAACACACGCATACATATGTGTATATAGGGTTAGTTCCTTGGGTTAGTTCATCGCCTCGAGAGTTATACAACCAGACCACGCCCAATCGACAAAACGCGCACATCCACAACGAAAAAACTAAAAAAGGAGGAAGGCGGTGACGACCGCTGCCAAAAAAGGACACTTGTTCTCTGGAAATTATTTTCTATTCTCATTCATATTACTAATACCTATTTACTATCTCCCGACATTATACAAAATCAGTTAGAAACGACACAATGGAGAAGGAGAAACGCGATGATTCCGGGGTGGCAGTGGCGAGCCAAAGCAGTAATCGGCGGGCCTCAAGTACTCGAATCTCATTTTCCGATCAAATAGGTACATAAACAGCCTTCTTTAACATTATGCTTGCATAAAATTGAAATGGACTAGACACTTCACTGTTTTTTTTTTCTCTTTTTTTCATCATTTTGTTCTTGTATTTCTTCTTTGTTGAATGTGGAAACGGTTCTAAATGCCCGGAAATGGTTTACAAATTAATCATGAGCCACGATAACAGAGGCAAAGCATTTTACAACTTTGTCATTTCGGCTTCGTTAGCAAGACTTCATAGATCATCTTATTCTAACCAGAAACGTTACCGTAAGTAAAAAATTAGGTGCGTTTGAATTTTTAAATTATTATAAATTATTCCATTGCTCAAAATAAATACAGTCAAAAATGAATTTTTAGACCGGAAAATTTTATAGTCATTGGAATGTTGGTGAAGTAAACGGATAATTAGTGATTATTGCGTAACTAAAACCTCTCATAAAAATAATGACAAAAACGTAAACACGAATGGATAACACGTGTGAAAATCAAGTAAAATCTTCCTTTCTTTCGACTTTTCTATGCCCTCCTCACTAAATATTTGTTCTTCAGAATTGTTTCGTCATTCTTCATTCCATGCATTAATTAACATGCCAGAAACTATCATAAGCGAATCATTGTTGAACGTTTCAACATGCCTCATATAATATGCAAATACTAACTCACAGAAGTGTTGAGAAGCGATGTTTTGGAGGCATTCTTCGTCAGAAATAAAGTTAAATGTGGGAATTCAAATGAAGACATAAAATCAAAGGAGGTAAAGATTTATCGAAAAATATATTAATGTGCTTGAATATGTTATGAAAACTGATGGTGAGGTTTTTTTTAGCTATACGTAAATAGGTGTATTTCGTGATATAAACACCTTAAAACCATCGGTATCAACAAAATTAACGCTGCTCAAATTTTTTCGTGGTGAAATTTCGTAAAAATTTATTTCATATAGTTTCCATAGTATTTTTGCGCAGAGAAAATCCCATTCCGTAGCAATGTTAAAGATTTTGAACAAATTGCTTCTTATTCCTCGTTGTTGGTTTCCTCAACGACCGCTGTTTTTTCTTGTTATAATTGTTTCACCTATCGTTTTCCTTGTTGTTTATACCCAAAAAACATTTTTAGTTTTTGACAATACTCACATGTGCAGAAAATGTCTTGTATGGATTTCTATGCTATGTTAAAATTAATAATTTAAAATATCCTTCGCAGTATTACTTATATACAAAATCGAAAACGCCTTATAGTATTATTTCTTATTCCTCGTTTTAAATATTCAAGAGTTGAACAAAAGTCTTGGCCGGAAATATCTCGCTGAAAAAATAAGTCAGGGAATATTCTATTGTTTCAAGACTCATTGAAAGCAAAGGTGACGAGTTCATTGTTTTTTTTTCTTTTCTCTACTCTCAATTTCAAATATTTTGGAACCTCATCACATTTGTATCGCCTGTCATTTCTTGATTTATCTCATATGGTTTTTCATTCTAGATGGAATTTCTCGAGGTTCGGCAAGGATCATTACGTGAGTTCTACTTTTTGGAAAGGCCATTTTTAACAGACCAGAACCAAATTCTGAAGTAAATAAGTACCCGATTCTTCATTGCCGCTGTCATGTTTCACTATATGGCCTCGCCGGAAGATAGAAGCTTCTACGAACTATGACAAGTCCATATGGCTTAGCTAATACTACCGTGTAACCCCGTCATTTCGGCTGGTTTACACGTTTTCGATTCGCATTTTTCATCATTTTTTTTCCAAAAAGTTATTCTAATCACTTCAGTATGTGTGTTTGTGTTCCCAGCGAATATGTTTACTAACACAAACGCACACACACACACACACACACTAATTGGCTAAGCCAATAATATTATTCTCAAATAGAAGAGCATCAGATCAGTTTTCACTCTTCTGAGTAATTAATATTGGTTTCAGACGGAGGGGAATCTGGTGATTCATCGTCAAACGAAAGCGAGCGGTTAATGGAGTCCGATGAAGAAGGGAATATTCAAATACCAATTCAGCAGCCACGTGGTCGAATGGGAAGAAGGTTAGTTAGGGACATGTTTTTAAACAAATTTTTATTTCCAAACTCTAAACAAAAATAGACCAACGATGCCAGCTTAAATCTGCAAAATGGTCATAAATCTGTTCCGAGACAGAAGATTTTTCTCTTCAGCCAAAAAGGAAACGGGTTGCTTGTGTGAGCAAACGCAGAATTACTTTTTTTTAATACCAAAAGACCCAAAATCGGAAACCGTCAGTTTGCCGATTAAAATTTGAAGATTACATTTAATAAGTATGAACAAATTTATGTATGTTTGCATTCTCAACAACTTACTTTAAAATAATTGATGAGTGTATTATGCCATTTATAATTTGATACCTTGAGTCGATTTTGATTTTTCGATTCCATCATTTCTGAGTATTCAGAAAACACTTTCGAAAATATTCATTTCTTATAAAATCTCATTAAGTGAGAAAAGTAATTCATAACAAGAACAAGAAGATAAATCGCAATCAATATTTTCCAATTCCCTCAACGTCAATCCCTTTTATGAGTTACTCAAATTCTTTCCTGGCGAAGGCTGCTTTTTTTTGTGAAGAAAGGTTAGAAAATGATGGGACCATCATGGGACCATCAGAAGTTGCAGCTTCTCAAAATTTGCCGCTGGGTACTAGAGTTGTACGCATAAATCCTTTGATGTCAAAATGGTTGTCGAAGTCACTGAACGAATGTATAATCCAGTAGAAAAGCGGGTTTCCAACAACACTGACAAACTCATTCATCAAAAAACCTTTGGAACTATGTATGTACATCAAATCAAATCCTACAAATCTTTCCAAAAGCACCATGTCTAAAATTAGATTTGCAGTCCTCTTCGGCATTATATACATATTTAAAACCGAACGAACTCAATAATTGCAAATTGGGTTTCGGTAGTCCCGAGGGTTTATATCGAGTATATCTGATGACGTCCTAATACACATAGCGGTCATTAGCTTTTTACGTATCTATGAATTTACGTTTGGGGGAGATGCAATCTAGTGGCTTAAATGGAAAAAGAGGAGAAGAAAAGCGTTTCAAAGGCGGAACAATAAATTTGCAAAGCAGGAAGAACCAAATTTTATAGGTTTACCCTGAACCCACTCATTTTCGCCAAAGAGGAACGCGAGGCGAGAAGGCAATCATTGGCTCAGCTCAAGCTCAGTTATTATCCTAAGCATATGAATCGTAAGCTTCTACCTTCAATATTAATATTTTCAATTTCTAATTTTAGCGGAGCATTATGATGCCGGTTTGGGTTTTTGTGGTTGGCTACTCATGGGGCTTTCATGGATTATGGTGATTTCAACATTTCCAGTGTCAATTTACTTTTGTATGAAAGTAATCTGAAAACAGCAAACAATTTATAGCTAATAGTTTAAATTACTAAGGTGGTGCAAGAATATGAACGAGCTGTGATATTCCGATTAGGACGACTTATTGGTGGTGGAGCTAAAGGACCAGGTTAGCTTTATAGTCAATTTGCTCATATATTGTGTTCACTGTTTAGGAATTTTCTTTGTTCTTCCATGCATTGAATCCTATACTAAAGTCGACTTGAGAACTGTTTCCTTCAGTGTCCCGCCGCAAGAGGTTTCCTTAAACGCAATTGCATCAACAAAACTTTTTTTCTAGATTTTGACAAAGGATTCCGTTACAACTTCTGTAGATGCTGTTATTTATTACCGTGTTTGTAATGCTACCGTTAGTGTTGCCAATGTTGAAAATGCCCATCATTCGACCAGGTTCAAAAGTTGTATGATTGTACTTTCAAACCAGGCGAAATTACAGATTGCTTGCACAAACAACTTTGCGAAATATGCTCGGAACTCGCAGTCTTTCTGAAATTTTATCTGACAGAGAAGCCCTTGCCGCTTCAATGCAAACAATTCTTGACGAAGCCACTGAAAGCTGGGGAATCAAAGTAGAGAGAGTTGAAATGTTTGATGTTTGATGAGACAGCGATGAAATTTCCATTTTTAGCAAAGATGTTCGTCTACCAATACAATTACAGAGAGCAATGGCCGCTGAAGCAGAAGCTACCAGAGAGGCTAGAGCTAAGGTAACACAACAATAAAAACGTGAAAAAGGGCAGAAATGAAAACAATATTTAAAAGAAAAAAAAAACGCTTTTATGCAATCATTATATTAAATATATTTGAAATCTTAGCGCACAAAATCAAATAACTTATTGTAGTAAGATTGAACATCTTAAAATAAACGACGTTCGATTACGACCCTAATTGCCTAATTATTTTGTAGGTGATTGCCGCTGAAGGAGAACAAAAAGCATCGCGATCTTTGCGTGAAGCCGCCACTGTAATTGCACAATCGCCAGCTGCTCTTCAATTACGTTATCTTCAGACGCTTAATAGCGTTGCGTAAGTCTTTGATTGATTTCAGAGTGCCTTCAAAATCAATTTCAGCGCTGAGAAAAACTCGACTATTATATTCCCGTTGCCAATGGAACTTGTGCGACATCTTATTAACTGATCCAACCACGCTGTTAAATAGAAAGTTGCTACGAGTTGATATCAGTTTTCTCCATTGTTGCATTTATTATTGCATTTAACAGTGGATCATTTATCAATTGTTCAAAGCATTCTTGAAGGTTTTGTGAAAATAAATATAAGAACAAATAGTTAAAATATTCACCATAATTTCAATAAGTCACATTCTTTCAAAATAAAAAAAAGCATCAATTTTTACCGAAAACATCTCCCTTATATCTTATTATGTATACAACACTGTTTTTCGATTGTCATTTTAATAGTCGCAAGATGTGGTTTATTATAATCTTTCAGACTTATCTTAAAAGCTTATTTTCTATCGATATTATTTTTATTATCTATTGCTATTATGCCGTATTGCGTTTATGAATAATTAATTTTTTTAAATCTAGTATTCACGCGATAAATCGTCGTAGATTAAATTTTTTGAATGTCTGTTCGAAAAAAGAAGAAACATTTTTAATTTCAACAGATTTTGTAGAAATTTATTAAAACGCTAATTTGATATATTTTTATTTTTCATTATGAATTAAAGAAATTAAATCAAACTTTTAAGATTTATTGATTGAAATGTGGCATTATTAATTTAATATCAAAACTATTTTTGATTTTGCTTAAACAATTATATCACGAGAACGCCGAATTATACAATTATTTTTGCAATAAATATGCATCCAAAAGTTTTATTTAATTAATATCTTTCGTTATTTTTCAACAATGCAACTTTTAAAGCGAATATTTCGTGAAGTCCGTTCCATAATGCATACTGCTCGCGAATCGCATCCATACTTTTCATTGAATCGTTTTTTGATTTCAATGATTCTTCTTCGGCTTCAATATCGCGAACAGAAGCCTGCAATAAATGGTAAGATATCACACTAGAGAAATGAGAAAAAAATCTCATTTCAGCAATGCTCATTTCAAATGTAGTGTTGTTTGAGAGTGCTTGATCTTCTAATAAGATTCGCTGACGTCAATTATTTGTTTGTAGAGTGGCTTTAATAGTATAAAATAACCTCTAACTCTTCGAGATTGTTGCCATATTGCTGGATATTATTGAGCTCGGATAAATATTCCGCTAATTCATCCTTTCGTTTTATCAAATTTTCAGAATTTTGCTTATGCTTGTTCTCCATTTCCGTGACATTCTGTAATGAAATATTGATATATTACAAACAACACGTATTCTTTACTCTAACAAGATTTGAATACATTTCCTCTCGTTCTTCTTCTTTCCGTTGCTTTCGCTGTTTCATTTCCTCCAATTCAGCTGTCAACATCTGAAGAAGTCATAAAATCGACAAATTAGCCGATTTTAATTAAACATTATACCTGGCTTTTACTTTTTATTACGTCACGTGTTGACCGGTAGTCAGAAATAACATTCTTTCGGTTTTCCAAAGCTGACATCATTTCTCGCAACTCAGTTTTCAACTTCTATTTAAATGAAAAAATGTATATGAAGGAATCAGCCAAAAAGAACACAAAAGAAAACAAGTCCATATTTCTTACATCGGCATCGTTTGTACTCGGAGCAGCGGTTCTTGGTCTTTCATGTGCCAGCGGAACATGGAGAACTTCAACAACTTCCCCTCCAAGGTTTTCCTTAAAAAAAGGCTTTTGCTTTTTTTAACACCTTTTAGTTGCATTCGAATAATTTTTTATTAAAATTATGGCAGTTTAATAGGTCTGTGATGGGACCATCAGCAGTTATGGCAGTTTAATAGGGGGAATTGTCTACGAAATGATATGTTTTAACACGAATATTTGTTAGATAAATATATACATATTCTGCTAGGTAGTCCGACGACAACTTCATGCGTGTCGATCTACGGTGTCGCCTACATTTTTGAATCTCAATATTATTATTTTTGGTAGCTAATAGTACTAACGCGGTCTTTTAAAGTGTTAAAACAACAAAAAGATCCAATTACAACAGAATATTTCAAGTAATTGACATTCCGTTTTTTTTCTGAATGAAAACAAATTAAATGGAATGCCTCACACTTCGAATTTTTTGAATTTTTTAATTAACATGGCATTAAAAAGCTTCTTTGGATTTGATTTATGGATGCTACACATTTTGTATAAATTATTACATTATTCCAATTTTGCTCAGCTTTATGACAATTTCCAAGTGCTAATAAAATTCACTTACAATATTTGTTCGTAGTTCCTCATAGGCTTCAGTAAGTATCTCCACTGTTCGTTTGAGTATTGTCCTCTCTGATTGAAGATCATTCAGCTCTTTTTTCTTTCTTTTGTGCTCCTCATTTCTTGCACGGAAACGGTCCAAATATTTTTTGTACTACAAAACCGTCCGATCAATAACAATATTCAAATATTCACTAGCCTGCACTGTTGACAAAACTTCGCCTCCCAACTCATTCTGCAGCCTACTCTTTTTGGTGTCAATCTCTGCTTCCAGTTTCGAGAGATCGTGCCTTTAATTTAAAAAAAAATGTTGAAACGGTAGCTTTTAATTTCCCAAATAGAAACCGAAAGGAAATAAAATTGCAGCATAGATTATATCGGCATCACAAAAAAATTCATTTCATTTTGCTGCCAACAGAAAAGTTATTTGTGACCAAACGGAAATTGAGTTCGTTTTTTTTTCTTATTTAATCGAAGGGTGAGAATCTACTTCTCTCAGGTTTCAAGGAAATATAAAAAACCGAACCTCGCATCTTGCAGCTTTTGAACTGCGGTTTCCTTTTTTCTTTCAAGTGCATTCACTTGATGACGAAACACACTGAAATCCTTTTAATTTTTGCACGTTTTTTGCAATTTCCAAACCTCATGTTGTCATCAACATCCTCTTCAATTTGATCGCGCTCCTCCTCAAGCGTTTTGATTCGTTTTGAAATTTCTTCAACCTGCAAAAATATATTTGTTAATATTATGCATGTAGAAATTGTTAAATTTCATGATAACATATTTTTCAAATATTCGTTTACAGAAAAAAAACTATTAACCTTTTACTACATTTGCTGAATGTATCAGACCAAATTTACCGGAATTGCTTTGCTCATTTTTTACTTTCTCAAATTCAAATTGAGGAGAAGAAGAGTTTTCCCACTCAGCTTATTTCGCCTTTTTTTGTCTTTTTTCGTCTTATTTTTCTCTACATTACAAATCGGACAATCACCTGTTCTTGGAGTTTATCAATATCCTCTTGTCGGATTGCTGCAGTTCTCGCCATCTCTGTCAGTTCTTTCAGTCTTTTTTCCCGATCTTCAATGTCCTCGACTAGTTTTTCATTCACCAAATAGTTGTTGGTTGCAACTTCGTCCTAAAATTTTATGCTTTGTGAGTAAGTATAAAAAATGTGCGACACTTGTGAATGCGTTTTATAGGACTTGTCATTTGCGTTTTGGTTTTTCATTGAAAAACAATCATACAGAATTGAAAACTATAAATTATCTTTTACAACAACTCTTTGAATATACCCAGGCATTCAATATTTTAATTTTGATATTTTTTTTGCAAATTCATACTTCAAGTTTCTCCATAACGCTGGTTTGATCGATTGTTTCATCAGCTGAACGCAATTCCTCTAGCATCGCTTGGAGACGATTGATTCTATTGTCCGCGGCAATAATCTGGAACATTTAATACCAATTTTCGCAAGATAAGTTCAAACCTTCTGCCTTTCCTGGTGTTTTTGATGGGCATACTCGGAAACCCGATCGCGTTGCGCTCGTAGCTCAGAAGCCACTTCCATATGTCTATAACTCAAAAATTAAATTTAGAATCATTATTAGATGTAACCTATCAAAGTATGGGATATTCTGAACTTTCTTCTCTAATTTTTCAATTTTTCGTATAAGAAGCTGTTTCTCTTTTTCCATTGATTTCAAATCTTCTTTTATATCCTCAAGCATTAAAACATCTGCTTGAACTTCTTTGTTCTCCGCGTGAACTTCCTGTGTGCAAAATTTTCATTAATTTGAAATTAGCATTGCAAACTTTGAATTCATTTTGAAGCGTTTGAATTTCATTTTGCAGCTCGGCAGTGTCGTAGTCGTGCACTTCGCTCGGAACTTCAGTCTACAAAAAAATTGTAAGCAAAAAATAATAAAATAATATGACCTTCATCAAAAATTTTGCCAAATATGCTCGCTCCTTTAATGCCTCGGAATTCTCAAACAGAAACACTAGAAGAGGGTACATGCTGCTCTTCGAACCTTCTACAACCCCCACACGCCATTCTTCTCTGCAAAAAATGCGAATATTTTTCCGTTCTTACATGATTTGCATTTGCCGATTTCATTCTAACGAGTACTCACAGTTCTTCTGGATCAGTAGGAGGCCGATAGCGAAGAATTCGTAGAAGATTGAGAATGCGGATAGCTGTGTCTTCAGCAGGTTCTCTTCGGATGTCAATTTTGTCTGTTTGGAAGATCCAACTGCAAATTGTGTGTGTGTTTTTTTTTTTCAATTTTTTTCGGAAGGGGTTTCATTGTTTATTTTGAGTTCTCATATTATAAAAACAAGTATAATCTCATCTGAATCAAGCACAATATAAAACTATTTATATTCTGAAAATAGGATTAATCACGCATGATACAAAAGGTTTTTTTTCACTCATTGTTTTAATCAAAACTTGTAAAAACGTATTTAAATTCATAAATATTGATTAAAAGAGAGTACATTTTACATTTACGTGCTTCACCCACTAAAAGTGTACAAATTAACAAGATTTTTATACGAGCTAAAATATTTTCATTTGTCTATGCACATGCTCACAAACGAAAAAAAAAACATTTTTTGCTTAACATTTTTTTGTTTCAAAAAATAGCTTTCTAACAATTGACACAAAACCTCCAAAATTGTTCCAAAAAATAAAAGAATAAAAGAAATACATGTTTTTTAAACGAAATTTATTCACGGCTTTATATTGGGTCGAAGCTGTAGATTTTTTTATTATATACCTGAGCACATCGCTGAGAATTTGAATAAGTTGATTTGCAGGAAGTTGATCAAATTGAAGTGGTGTTAAGTTAAGATTGAACGGTTCGTTTTTTAAAAAATGCAAAATGAATGACTGAATGTCGTTTGGCATCTTGAGTTGGAATGAATGAATACTCCCGTCTTCTTTGGTTTGTTTAGTTACCATGGTAACTAGGAATACATAAACGTCATTCCGTGCCCGATATTGCAAAAAAACATTTCCTTCCACTAAATTTTCCCAGAGTGAACAGTGTCTAGACATGTGTATTTATCTTGTTAAGTACAATAAATGCGTTTTCTTTTCCAATCATTGGTTGTTTTCTGGCCGCTGTTGCTGTTGGTCCCCCCACAGCACTATCATCAAATGCGTCAGTGTCCTTCTCCCTTTACGCGTTTTATGTCTATGTTATAACACCCACGTCGTTTACATTAAAAACCCGGTTTATCGAGCAATTATTTATTTTTCTTTATTCTCTAGTAAATATTATGAGTTTTAGATTCATTAAAATATTATTGGGATGATGCGACATCGTTCAACATGTTGGAACGTCACAGAAGAAGGTGAACGCTTGTTTCGGATGCATAAATATGAAAAAGGTTGGACAATTATTATTTCACATATTTAATTATTAATTTTTCAGGAATCGATCTTTTGAAGAAAGCCTTAGAAGTAGGCACTGATGACTTCTCTTTGTTATCAGCAATTTATTGCCAACTAGGAAATGCTCATATTATGCTCAAGGATTATGAAAATGCATTAAAATATCATACATATGATATGCTAGTCGAAAAGTAATCTGCTTTTCTTAGAAAATGTTATCCAGTCAATAACATTTTCAGGCTGGTCGGAAATAAAGGTGGAGAAGCAAAATCGTGTGCAAATCTAGGAAACGTGTTTAAAATGAAAGGCGCTTATAACGACGCTCTCACGTTTACATTCAAACAGCTGGAATTGTCTGAACAGCTTGGAAATATGGTAAGTGTTAATATTATTGTTGATATTATTGCTTGTCTTTCAAAATTCAGCAAATGAAAGGACGAGCGTGCTATAATGTTGCAACAATTTTTGTTGAACGGGGACGTTATTTGATGCTTGAAAGCACGGAACAGCAAGATCCCGAAAAGGAAATTGAAGCTCGATCGGATTTCGAAAACGCTATTAAGTACTACAAGTACGTTTTTTTTTCAGTCGAAACAGTTCAACCTGTAATCTTAGTGTTATTATTAAAGCAATTTCCAGGGTTGTGTTTTTTATTAACCGTCATTTTTGTTACCGTAGTCGAATTAAAATTGAGTCAGTGGGATTTAGGAGCATATAATGCTCGCATTAACAAAATTTCCAGGATGTGGAGAAATAGTTTATATTGACATCATAACAAAGATTCTTACGAAAGTGGATGGGGGGGGGGAGCTTGCCTATGTTAATATCCAAAAAAAATAGCGAGAGGTCTTGGTGCGCGGTGTGCGCCTTTAATCGAATTTTATAGATATCCTGTAGATCAGCACTTTTAGTTTTGCGCTAAGACCACTAACATCGTATTTTTTTTTTAGAATTTAGCCAATTTTCCGCAGTAGCGCGACGCCGTAAAAAAATATATATATGAAACTACGTTGGCAGAGAGATGTTCCTGCTCTCAAGATTAGCTATTCTAGAGTTTTAGTGGATTGTTACATTGATATTAAAAATTGAAATACCCGCTTTGCATCCTTGCAGTATAAATTTGGAGTATGCTCTATCGGTCAACGATTGCTACACAATGGGTCGCTGTTATGGAAGCTTAGGCAATGTTTATTATTGTCTCGCAGATTACGACGAAGCAATTAAGTATCACACTTTGGTAAGAGTTTGTCATTTCTTAAGAAGACGTAACGCTATAAATTTTTTATTAACACGTTATGTTTCCAATCAATTTGTGTGTTCACCGGTAATGCATACAAATTGTAAACCAACAATTAGTAACCTATAATTTGTCAGCAAAATCTGCGCTGAATATGATTTTTCCGTCTCCATGCACAATATCGTTGTCTTTCTTACGCAAAAACCAATCATATACACCAATTCTAATCCCAAACAAAGACAAGCATCGGGTTTTCATTCGATTTTTTTGAATATGAAATCCTGCTTTAAATCCATTGCAGTCATTTACATACACATATCCATTTACGATAGACATAAAGCACTTTAATCCAATTCTCGGCCGTCTAAATAGTCGTTTGATACGTGTACCCTTTCTACAGATTTACTTCATAAATCACAGCGAAATAATGATACACTTTCCATAATTCAAGACTTTTGATTCCCGATAGTGCTTGCTCAATTTTTGTGAAAAATATCCGACAAACGAAGTTCATTGGAAAATGACTGAATCGTTAATTTTTCTCTTTACGGCGTTTTTTTGTTGAAAATTTGTGGCTAATATTTTTCTCTTGTGAAATTCGTCATTGGAGCGTTCTCTTGAAAAAAAAACTAGCCCTACTGCACTTCAGTTAAGTCCTCCCGAAAAGGAAGATTAGATATGAGGGTTGTCCAACGGTGCTTCTTATTCCTATCATTTCAGCGTCTTGACTTGGCCCGACAGTTCGGAGTTAGAGATTGCACACGCCGTGCGCACGCTAATCTTGCAAATTGTTACGCTCTGAAATCAAATATGCAGGCTGCTATTCAACATTATAAGTACGTCTTATCCAATTTAGTTTTCTTTTTCAACGTTTATTTCTAGAAGCGCCTACAGAGTTGCTTATGAATTAGGCAATGACGCTGAAGAAGCGCAAATGGCCTACTCCCTCGCCAATTCATTGTACATTGATAAAGAAATTCCGGAAGGTGATAATATAAATCAAGCGAAAGAACTCGTTACCACTACAAACTAACTTACAGCCATTTCATATTTCTTCCGTCATCTCGATATCGCCAGAAAACTCAACGACAAGCCAGGCCAAATGCGCTCGTATTTCTCGTTGGCATTATGCTTCCAGTCACTCAAGGATCTCCGAAAATCGCTTTATTTCTTGATTCTCTCAAAACGATTCGCCTTGCAGGTCAGGCTTGTTTGTTTCATGCAGAAATAATTACATTACTTCCGCATTTCTTGAATAATTCCCTAACCGTTCATGATGGCAGTGGAATTAGGTTTTCCAATTAATTGTGGATTTGCTCTAATCACGTTCAATCGTTGTTTTTTTCATCTCCACCCCCACGACAGCCAATTTATTTTGAAACGATGTCGTTTCAGCTCGGTGACACTTCTATTATTTCGGACATCGACAATTTGCTGAAGGAAATCCTTGAAGCTGGAAAATCATCGGTCCTCTTAGAAGATTGTGAGGTGAGTGAAGAGAAGACTTACTGGGACAAGTTTTAATTAACAACGCAATTGTCTCATAAAACTTGAAGAAAAAAAATAAGGTGAATAAATGCAAAAATGGATATTTCGCTTCAGCTGAGCAAAATAGTTTTTTTTGCCGAAATTTGATAGCACTTTTTTGTAGCTTAATTTTTTCTGGCTTTGAGAATTCATGTTATCCGAATTTCACCTGTTTATTAATTTCATGTTCACCCCTTGTCCAAATAGTTCTCATAATGTGCGCATGGGAAAATAATTCAGTGCGAAAAAAAATGTACATATTAGTCAACTCTTGGGATTGTTCGATTCTACACGTAGCTATGGGCACAATTTATGGATGTTCATTAGTCTTAGAGGACTCATAGAAAAGGGGGTTTTCCGAGAGAATAATCGTAGTTTTTCTTTTAATCCCAGTTATTAAAGATAGAATAGTTTTACTAGAAGCTCGAACCCATTGACAAGGTTCGTATGATTTTCGGAACGATAATTTTTACCTTCGGTTTATAAGTTATAGCGGAACTCACACTTTCAATAGAAGACCTGAACAAATTTTTTAAACGTATTTTCGCTTAGGTATGCTTTTAATGGTATAGCGACTTTCGGGCAAAGTACCATTTTTCAAAATATTGATCTATTGAAGCGACATGAATAACTTAGTTCATTTGTATCAAATTTAAAAGACGTGGGTTTTCTTTCTTTCTCTTCCTCAAAATTTCCAACATCAATGCTTTCCTATTTTTCATTCAGTTTTTATTGTTCCAAGCCCATTTTTCAGCTTCTCGTCGATCCATCGGCCGATCCTTTGGGACCACAAGTAGAGCACAGTGAAACATTCCTGGCGTTTTTCAAAAAACGCAGCCTAAACGACAAATCGAGAGCTCCAAAAGTAGGTTTCCATAATCTGACATGCGTGTTATTATTCGACACAAGAAAAGGAAGTAGTCTTTTCATTTCAAAAAACGCAAAAGAATTGTTCATTTTTTTCTAATCAGAGATAGAATCGAATTGCGTGACATGCGTTTCCAATTAGACCAACATCTATTGTGTTTTTCTTTCAATAATAAGAACAGTTGCCATTTTTCTCAGTTATCTACCATCACTTGTTTAGTGCGCTCTTGAGAAAACCAAGCAATCGGTTCTCAAACCAACTCTCAACATGTTCTATAAAGACCAGGTGATATTTGTCATAGGTTATTAAGTAATCCCATTAATAATATCGTGTGAGAGATTATTGTGTCAGTGTGGGGTGGTAAGACGTACATATCATATTTCAGGGCACACAGGAAGCCCTCCAAGAGGAGCGCCACGAAAAGGAGGAATTCCTTGATATGCTCCAAAGAGTTCAATCTAAAAGAATGAATGACCAAAGAGCCGATATTTCTGTACTTGGTACCTGCAGCGGCAAGATCCGTCAACGCGACACGGAGCCCGACAATTCATCAACTGGTGGGTTTTTTTTCCCACACTTGGATATATTATCCTTGTTTGAATAGCACGGCACGCTAATGCGAATCAGTTTTTCAACGCTAGACTTCATTTCGAAAATTGAACGCATTTTTCTCGTCCAAAGGTCTCTTTTTCGTAAATTGCAATGAAAACAAAGCGCGGTAGCCCGACCGCGAGCTGGTTTCTCTTTCCGACCCGCTGTCTCTGTTTTTGCAGAAATGTATATAAATTGACTTCAATTACCAATTGAGAACCCTTATTATTGCCACTTGCAATGATATTCTCCACCACCTTTTTTTATTCAAAACGACATCAATATTCGTTCAACAAGTGTAAAATTTTAAACGAATGTCATTCAAGTGTCATTGCTCATCAAATACATAACCGCATTCGTTTTTTTTGTCTATTCATTTTTTTGAATAAATTAAATGGTGTACAACGCAAAATTAATAATATGCCACTACTGAGGCAGAAAGAACAACGCGAAACGTCTGTTTTTTCAAGATTTTCTCTCGTTTTTGCGTGAATCGAGAAATACGATTCGGAGAGCGAAGAGCATTTAGAGATTTTGTTCTTTCTGAGCATGATTAATTTGATAGAAATCAAAAAATATGAAGCGGAAAATTCAATAAGATTCAAGTTGAGTGTTGTCCAGCATTTCTCTCCGTCGTGTTTTTCTAACGACACTCAGCTTTTCTTCGCCTCCTCTTGTTAACCATCTTGACCTCATTCTTTTCGAAGACGTTTGCTAGCAGTTATTTCATTTTAACAAATGTTTAGATGGCTCAGAAGTTCTAATTGATCTTCTGTTAAATGCTCAAGCAAGAAGAATGGACGATCAACGTGCTCCATTCCTACCAGGTCTTAATGAAAATGGTCAGCTCATTTTACGTCGAATGAACTCGTAAGCATATTTCACAAAAATTTTAGTAACCGACAATGTATTTTTTAGGAATCCGGTTGAGGAGCTTGACAGCAATCTCATTGATTGGCTGATGAGAGTTCAGAGTCAGCGACTTGATGAGCAGAGAAGTGAGCTTCCGGAAAAAGTCCGTGAAGGTAAGCAAGTCTGTATTTCAAACTTCTCTTTATTCCTAATAAATAGATGAGGAGCGTAGAAATTCGCGAATCCAAAAGGAAATCGCAGAAGACGTGACTGACATTGTTCTGAGAATGCAAGCTGGACGACTTGAAGACCAGCGTGCGCATCTTCCGGCTTCTCCGTCGTCATCTTCATCTAATCATTAACCGAAACATTACCTAACATTTATTTTTCTGCTTTAAAATGCTCTGCTTCTCATATCTAATATTCCATCCTTTTTCTAGTGATTTCAACGGTGTTGTTTTCCTACGAATTAACAAAACCTATCTTTGTTTGCGTTCCAATTTATTGTTTCTTCCCTATTTTCATCCAATAACTAAATCTTTACTGAAAATTATGCTTATTGTGCTGTGAATATTGATTGCCCAGTAAAAGCCGCTGAATTGTCACCCTCTCAATTAAGAAATCTAGCCAAACACTCCATTCTGTCAACAAGACGAACAAAGCTTCTTTTGAATGAATTTTTTAACACCTGAAGTGTAATTAATTTAATCGTGTTTTAGAGGACAGAGAGCTGACGGAATATGAAAAACGTTAGAGTCTCATTCATATATATGTTTTTTCATTTTTCACCAAAAGAAGAACAAATGTTGGAATACATCTTTTCGTGTATATGACATTTTAACAAATGTTCGATTCTCATAAAAAAATCGCCTAAATTAATGCAGGACTAAAACGCTTTATTTAAATTTTGACGCACAACAAATTGTAATAATGTATATAGCACAATATAATTAAATACCCGATTATATTATTCAATTGGTCGATCGGCACAGGTAATGCATCCTCCTTCGTCGTTCAAATGTCGTCGTTGAACCTATGAAAAAGTAAAATTTTTCAAAAAAAAATGTGAATGACATTACGTTCAATATTTACTTTCTTTATTTGTTCCATTGAAACGTTTTATCTTAAAAGCTTAAACTTTCTATTCACGATATTTTTGGATTATTTTTCTATTGATTTAATAAATACAATCAAAATCAATTCGCAGTATGTTAAGTTCGAGTGAGAATGAATAGTTTTAATATAATATGAACATAACTGTACAGAACCTCGAATTTTGTAATTTTTCTCTGTACAAACCTCTTCACAGCAATCTGTGTGCGCCGTGTGTCCACAGGCGTATACATGATACTTTCCTCCACGTTTTTGCTCGGCGTTATTCACTTCCATTCTATAAATAAAATGAAATATGCACTCTACTGTAAAATTCAATTTCCTACCCGCAGCATGAGCACGCAGTCTTTTGCGTCACAAACACTGCGCTATTCGCAACATCGAGAAAGCCTTTGATGAGAATTTCTGAGTCAGAAAGCATTGAAAGATAGCATCCTTCACGGATTTCTAGCTGATTGGAGACATCCAGAAGTACTTTTGAAAGTGCATCCCCAATTCCAGGAGTATCAGTATCAACTGGCATCTACAAAAGATACACTAGCAAAAACGTGTGCAAATAATGTTTCAATTACTTTTTCAAGAACTATAATTGGATCTAAGCAAGATGATGCTTCAACAAGCAGCTTCGATAAGAAGCCAACGTGGGCAGGCGTTTCCACAACAACTTTCACCATATGAAGCCACAAATCCTTATCATCCTGATCTGAAAACAAATGAAATCACTAGTTAGCATGAAATAATTTATTGTTACCTTTACAATAGTCAATTACTTTGTCTATACTATCATAAGATTTAACCATAAGTTGTACGGCATCGAATTGATTTCCACCGCGAGCCAACAGGTAAATCGTTTCTTCGACATAGTTCTTCGATTGGCATACTTTTAAGGCTTTGTTCAGATGATAATGCTCATTTCGTTTGAAGAATGGTAGCAGCTTTTTGCGATCGTATTCCGCATAAAGTTGAACAATTTTATCAGCATATTCATTTCCTGAATTCATATCATTGCACAAAGCAGCTCGCTAGTATTCGAACCTTCATTACGAGCAATCAACTTAGAAAGATAAGCCATTTGAAGTTTTGGCTGTCTCGCAATTTTATCCATGACAAACGCAGCCGGAACACTGTCAGCGTTGTCAAGAAGAAGTCGCAATGCTAGATCAGAATTAATTGCCATCAAATCGGATATTTGATCTTTAACCTTAACAAACATTTCAAAAGTTGCAAATAATGAACAACGTACCAAATCAAACAGTTGATACTTTTCGATGACTGGGAAAATTTGACTATCTCGGCAAGAAATATAGATTTTCAAGGCATTTTCATATTTTCTCACGTATAAATACAAATAAGCCAGACTCTGAAATTTAAGAGTTAAATTCAAGAGGTTACCTTCAATGAGAATCACCCACTTCCATTAATATTCTTTCGTCTTCGGCCCCTTTATCTTCAAGTTCTGATACTTCCTTGATTCGATATTGTGTTCTCACAATGATATACCCTGTTCGGTATAAATCAGGGTTCCATGTTTGAATCAATTTGCGAAATAGTTTTACATCGTTATACAAAGCGGACTGGAGAACGCATTCATAGTTTTCCGGCTCAAGTTGCGGAGATACGGTTGGTAGAACTTCGGCAAGAAGAGTGCATAATCTCATTGTTTCAAATAAGTTGACAGCCCATTGCCATTCTTCTTTCGACTCACCGCACACCTTAACATACGAAATTGTCTTTATTGTTGACATTTGTTACCAAAGGTAAACGTGCTGCAGCAGCTTTTGGCCGATCACTCTTCAAAAATCCTTCAACAACTTTTCTTCCAACCAATTTGACACTGAAATCTGTCGATTCCAATTCTTTTGGCTAAAACTCAAGTAGATAGAGAAATATTTCGCTTATTTCTTTACGTTCTGCCGCGCCATTTCAAGAGCTTGATCCCATAAATGATATTTCAGCCGCCATCTTACACCATCGATTGCTCCATATGGTGCAACGACGATGATATCCCTCAAGGTTATGAGAAAATAAGCGTGCAGCGAAGGAATTCCTGCCATATGCACATTACACGGCAAAGCATTTGGCAATGAAATGCTGAAAATCTCAAGAAATAATGGAAAAGACGGAAAAATAAACTAACTTATCTAGGGTGTCTTCAGACTGCAATTCATATTCTTTGTATCCTAATGGCCGAAGAACTATTGTTTTTAAAACAGTTGAGACATTACTTTCTAATGCTGTGAGTGTTGTGCATGCAGAATACACCGACTAAATATCAACAATTAAGGAAAACCCTTTGAAATTTCGATACCGCTGCATCGTCGAGTTCATCTCCAGCGATTTCCAAACCCGTGATGAAAATTTCAAAGACACTTGTCGAACGATTATGTGTATATGTCACTCCTGATACAAACAACGGCACATGGAAGCAGTTGTGAACTTCGCCTCGTCGATCGCCCTGAAAAATATTGATTCTAACTGTTCTTGAATAATACCTACCGTTTCAGTAATAACAATTTTAAGTGTTGTAATCGTATCAGCCCATCCGACAAGGAGCATCTTATTCGGAAGCCATGCGTGTCTTGGAGGAGAACGTGCGGAACGCACTCGATCAATATCATGTGAAGGCTGAACACTAGTGAGATGTTTTAACGTTTTCCTGAATATTGAATGTTTGTATTTTGTTAGAAAACTCAGCAAACCTATCGTAAATTTGTGTGCCCATGTCGTTGGTAAACGCAATATAATCGTTCTCCCAAGAGCAACAAGTAATAAAGCCATCACGTTCAGCCCCAGAAAAAACGTTTGTCGTTTTATAAAACAATTTCTTTTCATATAGAACTAATCGCCTTTCTCCTAATATAAAACTGTGGTATTGACTTCTGACAAAATCGGGCTCAATTGCTATTGATCGTGGCATATAATTGATATTGATTGTCTGGAAATCGACATTTTCCACGAAAACAATAAAGGGAAAACTCACACAACACAGACCACTTGATCCGATTCCAGAGATAACTACTTTTCCATCATTTGCGCAGCTGATGATGTATGATCCAGTTTTATCAATCTTCAGTTTCGAAACTGGACAGCGATGAGGTTTCATAATCTGAAATTTAATAAAATCTAATGCTGATAAACTATTTGGGACACTACCGGAACATTTTCGAAATCAGCGAATCCTTGATGATCCATTACGTAGATTTTGCCAGATTGTGTTCCAATAGCAATAAATTTTTCATGTACATCTACGGCCGAGAATAATTCATTGTTATACAACTGAAAAATAAGTTTATGTTCGAAATGTTAACATAAAGTACTTGTTTTGCAGCAGTTCCATCCATTCGTTCGTATTTAAACCTTGGTTCCAATGGAGCCTAAGATATTGATATTAGATGTTATATAGCTATATTCTTACGTCTTCGCTATTTGCCTCTGACAAAGTTTCATCGAATACATCGTCGTCTCCATATGCCGGTGATATTGGTAAGGTTCCATCGGTTTCCATTTAATCTAAACCTAATTCATTTTATTTTAGGAATATTTAAACTAACTAGAAATTAAAGTACGCTGTATGGATGCAAACGATGTTGAAATAAATAAGAACAGAACATTTTTGAAAAAAATTATTAGGCCAAAAATATCAAAAACACTAAAGAATATGTATAAAGAAAACATTTTTGGTTATGTATTGGATTAAAAAAAATTAAATCAAAAGACCAGACAATTGAAAATTTTACCTGTACAATAAACTAGATGAGCAAGTAGGAATACTTTGAAAAAATAAAAGAACCGTTCTGATCAAACATTGAAGATAATACAACAAAAATGCAATACTCAATACAAACAAGGCATTTGTTAAACAAGACTCAGGTCAGAAAGGGACTGATAAGAATCAATATTCTTATATGATCTCATCAAGATTTTTGATTGAAGAGAAATGGGCCTCTCAGATCAATTTCTGATAATTTAAAAAATCGACACAAATTTTGTCACAGATTTTTTATGAATCCTAATCACTGGATCTCTTGCAAAATTTGTGAAATGTCTTGTAATAAGTGAGATGACGCAATACAAAAACGAAATAGAGTTTTTGAGAATTTACATGCAATCTTTTTCAATGAATGACCTAAAATACTATTGACAAGAATAAATGAAAGAATATGACCTTTCCAAAAGGGATTTTTAAAAGAGGAAAATCAAAAATTGAATTGTGAATATAATCAACAGAGCAATTGGTTTAAATGAATTGCTTGATTCGTAAAATCTTATTTTTAGGATACACTTTGAAATGCGTAACTAATTTTCGAATGACAAAGGCAAATCCAAATCCGAATTCACAAAAAGGCTCGAAACGCTTTGAATGTTTTCAACTGGTCGATCATATAGAGGCATCTTCTTCCTTAAATTTGAACCCGAAAATGTGCTATACAGAACATTACTCACATCCCGCTGATTACATGAAACCATTCGGTGAGGACTGACAAGGTTTTGTCAGTAACGTGAGTTGGAATCCCGCAGTCCACTCGAAGTTGTCCAATATTTCTTTCGAGGCATTGCATGGCTTCGATGAATTGATCGCGATCGATACGCTTTCTCCAATTGTATAATGGAAGGCTTAAAGTTATTATCACATCAACTTTTTCTTAATACGTCATTACTTACACAATGTTATCGTTTATTGGATTAATTATTTTTGAGTACGATGATGAGGCAATAAGCGGATATCGCATTTCATAATCCAAAATTTCCGCAATCACCATCAAAGCATGGACTAGACAGCCGAATGCAGCTTGAGTTTCAAGTTCATTGTGCCCTGCAAGTATGTACATTCACAATTAAAAAAAACGTTTAATCGGGTTTTGAAGAATTGCCAGATATACCGTATATTATATTTTGCAAGTTTCCTCATTTCAAGTATGTACGATTGTGATTTCAAATTGATGAACTAAGAATATCTTTGTGTATTTATGGCTCTAATTAAAAGATTCAAAGACCGGCCTGATTGTCGCAGAAAGTAATTTATTTCGTTACACAGCAAAACAAGCGTAGTTTGTATTTTAATTAGTTTAATAAATACTTACCTATTACACAGTTGGAATGAGGCAAGTGCAAATTTCGAATCGTATCAACAAGCACGCATCTGCAATCCTTTCGTTCAACTCGCGCTTTTCGCAATGCTGGACCACCATCAATCTAAATATTATAATGATAGAAGTAGCGCAAATACATGTGCAACCTCGATTTTGAAAATATCAAACACTTCTCGAATTAGGCTAACTTTTCTGACTGCAAATAAACGACAATGAACGAATAATGCTTTCTTGATTCGCTCATTTTCTTCGAGAAGAGTTGCACTTTTGATACCAGCACTGTCAGCTTTGTTATTTATTTTTTCTAGGTCTTGTTTCTAAAATTTTAATTTTCTAATGCATTTCTACCATAACACACCTTTTTCTCAAGTTTCTCATCTACCTCATAGAGCATTCGTCGTTTCGAATTGAGCATTTTTTGTAATATCTCCAGTTTGCGCTTCAATTTTATAATATTCAAACGCTTTTCCTCAATTTTGACTTCCTAAATTCGTGATGGTATTCTAATTAGATTTAAGCTACTACCAAATTGCACACTTGAATATTCTCATAGAGTGGCGCGTCTTCCTCAAATAAGGCATTCAATTGCTCCACTTGATTACTACGCGTTTTGCACGCTTCGATAACTCCTCGCAATCTGTTTAATTGTATTTGAAAATATTATAATTTTCAATAGTTTACCTTGTCCACGAAGTTTCGTCAAATGTTGCAATTGTTGTAGAAATCATGGTAATACCCTGCAAAATTAATTAAGATAAACCGTATATAAACTAATAATAGCCGCAAAAGTATACGAATACTGTTTTTTTACGCTAAAAGGCGGGCAATGCGAAACATCGTTGTGAAATATCGAAATATTAATAAATGTTATCATTAGTCATCGCCCCACTGCCACTATTAATTCATTCAAGTAAACATATTGAAATCTTCAACTTTTTTTGAAACAAATGAATGGAAACACAATTTTGTAAGTAATTTTTATTAAATAATTGAGACACTTATGCTTATTACCGTTCACAGGAGTTTTTTTCTTAAATGAGCAAGAAAATATTTTGCAAATATCACCCGTCCCGAAATGGAACATATACAGTTTGAGATCGTTGTAATACAAAAAATCATTCAAAAGACTAGAATTAAACGCGTTTGTCGTGTTCCTCTTTCAATTGCTTTTTCAGACTCTCAAGTCTTTCCTCAAATAATTCCAATGCATATGTGTATAGCTCCCAATCCAGCTTGTTCACATTTTGAATATATGAAAACTGAGCTTTACTTAGTACGGTATCGTTCGATTTGCTTTTCCCCCATACTGACATCTTTCGTGTAAATCTGCAAGATTTGGTTGTTGTAAGGTTTGTTATCAAAACATTTGGGTAGTTTCGAAATACTTCTAACATTAATTTCCCACTGTAAACCAGCCAATTAAGCTTACTTCATTCCAAATGTATTTTCGAACAAAAACTGACTATCATCCATTCTCTCCTTTAGTCCGAAAAACGCCATGTTTCTGCAATAATCATTTTTTCCCTACTGTTTTATTTTGTGATATCGAAGATTGCTATTGTGAAAACACATATCGTTTGTGCTCTTCGCTGCTTTATTGATAACGTTTGTTCTTATTTGAAACTTTTCCGTTTCCATATGTCTCAAAATTGTTTTATTTATTGACACCAACTTGTGAGAATTTGTTTAATATGAAAAGGCTACACGACAAACAACATTGTTTTCCTAGTGCTGCTTCTTTCGAGATTGTTAGTGTTGCTTGTTTCTATGTTGAATTTTCGTTTTTTTTTTTTTCATATGATACCTCAAATTTTCTTTGGCACTGGTCAACATGATTCGATCCTGCTCATATGATGGACTTTTCAAATGTTCGTAGCAATTCACCAGCGTTAGATTGGCAAGCATGCGTGTTTGTCTGGAAATCGAGAAATTATAACTGGCACATTCTGTGGGAAATAAGAGCGGTAAAATAGAAAATGTTTTCTTTGAAAAACTAAGGCTTGGTTGTGATCTGAATGTTTACGCCTGACTGAATTGTGTCCGTCACAAACCTGTTGAATGCAAGATTATACGGGCATGAAATGAATTCTTCGAGTGTGACTCCTTCCCAGCCCATTCGTGGATCAAAACAAGATGGCAAATCGTTCAGCGATGTCGGTTTTCCATTGCACACATGCCTGGAATAATAAAACCCATTTTTTAATATTCAACAGTCTTTTTTTCACTTTGATGATATCCATGTTGCTCCTCTTTGAACATGTCGAAACTCGCTAATAAACCGATCGGTTGGGTTTCGCAGAAATGTTGTGTAGAAGTAACGTCGAGACTTTTTATAACCGGCTTGTCGGTCGAGAACTCTCTCAACACAATTATTAACTACAAGTTCAGTGAAATCAGCATGAAGACCACACACCCAACCGGTCGAGTACCGCGAAAACAGCCAAGTCTGAAAAGCATATTAATAAATGCGAGAAAGTGAAACGAGATGTCATTTTTGCCACTCGAAGTATTCACCTCGTTTCGTTCATTTCTCGCGCAATTGCACCGTTTTTTATGCGCCATACAAACACAAGGCAAATGGTTTTGATATCGCACGAGAAACTTTTCAAATGTCGTTCCTGCGGTTTTTTGAATATGCACGAAAACTATTACATGATCTGCTGAGGCATTAAATCTGAAATAACTGAACTTTAATCACATTACAACAAAATTATATTACATTATTCTAGGTGTTGCCGTTATCATTGACGAATAATCGTTAATATCTTCATCGTTATTTTCCTCAAAATCCTTGACTGAGTTTCGAAAACCTATATAGCAATACACAATGGAAGCAGTCAGTAGCAAAGAAATGAACAGGAATAAATTTCTAGAGAATAACCAGCGATATTTCCGTATAAATCGACATCCCGGAATTTTCATTTCATCTGCAAAACACCAAATATGTTTTGTTTCCCGCGAATTTGTTTACAAGACGGCAAAGAAAAGAATCACTAATCCTACTACTTAAACGTTTAAAAACACATGGAATATGCAAAATGAGGAGGAAAATAGCGATTTGAATTTGGATGGCACATGGTGCGTGCGTCTTTTAAGAGTAGGTAATTGCGCTCTATCGCACCTCTCTTCCATCTCTTCGCAATGTTCACCTATGAGAGCAAATTTCGAGTTCCTCTTCATTCTTTCATTTAATCATTTTCGTTGTGTTTACTTATGTCTTTATCGTTACGTTTCTCACTGAAATTCGAGTAAATTGGATGTAAAATTGAATACTTGCAGAAGCGGGTTATCCATAATGGACAGAAGGTGGAATAAATTCAAATATCAATTTGGAGGGTAATTGAATTTATAAAAATTGCGAGAGAATTGATTTTCTAGGGGTATTACCAAGCGCATGGACGACGTAGATCTTCGTATGCTGCAGAATATCGAAAATCGGAACAGTAAAGTAAGAAAAAAAAATTACGAATTGCCATTGCATTATGAATTACTGCTAATCGATACATTATGAACGTATCAATCATAATAATTTGTTACAAACAATACATTTTTTGTTTATCATAAATATTCGAAGCGATAAACAACATATTAAAAAATAATTTCAGATTGTAGCTGCAATAAATAGCTTTCGAAAAGAAATTGGTAACTGCCTTCATTCAGGACAAAAAGACGAGAATTTCGACAAGAGAAAGGTTGAAATTACAAAATTATCTAAGTTGAATGTTTTTTTCAGAAAAAAGTTGATCTGTTCTCCCTCATCCCCATTCTTAAAGACTATTCAGTTGAGCTTGACTATCTTCAGTCTACATGTCTCTACGAGATCTTTTCAAAGTCTGCACAGCTTTTTCACAATCTGGCAGAGCTTCAAGTATGCGATTGCATTTTTTTAAATGAAAAACTAACCATAAAACTCAGGTGAGAAGTGATATTCGCGTTGAGCAAATCTGCGATGAAATTCATGGCTATTCCGAAATCGAGAAAACTTATCAAAAAACACGAGAGAAAGTCAACAAGCTTATTCTTGGTTATTTTTAGAATTAAATGTTTAGTTCAACTTCTTATTTTTGTAGATTACGATATCGCCTCTAAGGCTTTCGAAAAAGAAAAATCTCAAATTCATCAAGAACAGTTGGATGCGGCATATGCAAAGATGGAGAACGGAAAGGATCAAATGATCACAGATGCATTGTTGTTTTCATGCCGCGAGCAGGATATTACGAGAGTAATTTGCCTTATTCAATACCAATTCAAATACACAAATTTTAGAACGTTGTTGAATATTTTAAAGAGAAGAAGCGCTTTCATGAGGAAGCGTTGACTCTTCTCGATTCAGTCATCCCAATCTTTATGGACACAGTTGGTAATTTCAGAGCAGTGGATAAAATAAATCACGTGAAATATTTTCAGCTCAAGCTAGACCATCTCCAATTTTTGGTGTAGACTTGGATGCCCACTTAGAAAAATACCAATGCCGCATTTCGTATGTCATCGAGAAGTCATGCACTCTTCTCCGCCAAATAGGGTTTGAGGAAAAGGGAATATTCCGCGTCAATGGAAATAACTACAAAGTACGCCGTATCAAAGCCGCATTTGATTCTGGACAGTATGAAGCCGATGAGAACAATTATATCCAGGATCCGTTCTCTGTCGCTTCGGTTCTCAAAAGCTATCTTCGCGAACTTCCAAACCCTCTTTTAACCAACGAATTATATGATAAATGGACCGAGGTTGCAAAGTAAGATAGCATATAAAGAAACTATCGATTCAATAATTGAACAAATTCAGGATAAAAAACGAGGAAGAGAAAATTGTTGCTATCGAGAATACTTTGAAATTATTGCCACCAACTTACCGAGACAATCTTGAATACCTAATGCATTTCCTTTATGATCTTCTCCTCAATGAACAGAAAACATCGTATGCCTTTTCTGTGCCCAACACTTTAGATTGTTTAAATTTAGAATGTCAGCATCAAATCTCGCAATTGTGATGGCTCCAAATTTGATGAGCATGCAATTGAGTGGTTGCAACTCAGCCGCTACGACTATCGTTGAATCGTTGATCACAAACGCGCCAAGATTCTTCTGCTTCGAGCCACAAGTGTTGCGCGAGAATTCGGTGGATAAGCCTAGAAATGATCTGGCAGAATTCTCCACCTCTTCTCCAGCTTTTACAAGAAATATTAAAAGTGCTATCAGCCCTCGTTCAGCGCGACCGAAGGATAAGGCGCCGCCTCCGCCACCCACTGGCGCTTTACAGGAGACTTCAAGTTTATTTTTTTTTCTTTTTGTGATATTTATGACTAGTTTTAGGTGATATGTCAATTGATTTGATTGACTTCGGAAATCGCAGCGTTCGCGCACAATCAGCTTCGGATTGTGATGAGTGGAGTGATGAGAGTGTTCCTTCATCTCAAAACAATTCTCTTACGAGAAGCATGACCGAGAAGCGTCCAAATCGTCCACCGCCACCGGTATTTTCATAGAACAAATGTGATATACACAATATTTTAAGTCGCTTCGCAATCCTTCTGATATTTTGCAAAGCCGCCCGATGAGTTATCAAATAGCAGTGTCACACGCAGAGAGAACAAAACAGGAAGCCCCAGAAGAGAGTGGAACAATGCCGAAAGAAATTGAAGTCCCACCTGGCGATGCTAATATCGCAGTAAGAAAGGAAATTGAAATTCCGCTGTCGGATGCACCACCGACGGCTCCAGAGAGAAAGCGAATGAGCTTCATTGGAAAACAGAACGTCACAACTCCAAAGCCAACGTCCACAATTGTTATCAGTGCTCCGATTAATTCGCAGACCCCCTCGGGAGCATTGAGTACGCAAACAGAGAAGAATATTGGCCGCGCAAGTGTGAGGGATGCCGGAAATAACAGGTCACTCAAACATTTTCTGCCGAACTGGATTTTTCCGAAATTTTAAAAAATGTGTAAATTGCTTAGCTGTTCATCTTTTTAGGATTCCTTCTCTTATCTTCATCCAAAGTGGTGATCCTATAGGGATAGGTTATGCAGTAGAAAATAGTAATTTTAAAATTTTCTATTACAACCCATCATTAAGCAAAACCAAAGCCAATTAATATAGACAAGATTAGTTGCCCTCGTAGTGTTGGATTATTAATCAAATATTGATCATTTTGATTAAAAAATTCCTTGATTATTTTTCGAAGCAAAAATCAATTTTTTTTAGAACGTTGGTCAGTCTTGACGGCGAACCGGTTAACAAACCGAAACCGCCATTGCCTGCAAAACCTAAGGATTTGCTCGACAAGGAAACCTCCCGTCTCTAAAATTTTTCGACTTGTATATAAAATGCATGCCTTATAGAGCTGTCTAGAAGCATTTGGTTTTTAACACAAAGCATTTTATCGTTTTATTTACCGTTTGTGTTTAAGGCTTCGTTTCACTTCAAAAAATTCAATAGTTGTGTAAAAATAATTTTCGAACATGTTTTAAAAGTAAACGAGTGTGAAGCTGCCCTGTGGAATATTTGATTGTTTTACTCATTTTTATAACTTCACCACAATCATTTTGGTTCCATTTTTTCCGAACACAATTTGAATCACTAATTTTTTGATTTAAACTTATTATTTGAATCTCATCAAGTCAATTCGTTGTTCAGCCATTTGATCCGGTAGTCAATAAAATTAGTCAGTTATGTTTCACTAACACTTTACCGATATGTTATTTGCCGAATTTCATGACAATTTTTCATTATTGTTTTTATTCTGAATAAATAAGTGTGAAACTGATCGAAAATTAACAATTTGAAATATTATCAGAATTATTCTTTGAATGCGCGTCCGGATGGCTTGATGTGATACGATATTTCCCAAGTCTGGTCTTCTGTCATCCGGTCTTTGAACTCGTTGAAGAATTGAATGATTGTATCATTTTTGGTGATATCATAGTTCCTGAAAAAATATAAATTCAGGAATTTTTGTTTAATTCGTTCCAACCATTTTTTGAGTTTGCGAATGCTGTCGAGAATGGCGTATTGGTTCCAACGTTTGAGGAAGTTTACAATATTGCTCTTTCCTTGACAATAATCAGCTGGAATCATATTTGGATTACCACAATGAACGAATGTCAAATCTTGAAGAATAATTCCCCTGAATTAATATAATAAATATCAGTTATTTTAAGGTAAACTTACATATATGGAATACATGGAGGTTTGCAGCTTTGGAGAAGAGCTCTATAGCTTTTATTGGATTGCGAAGTATCCAATACGGCTTGATGTTCCTAAACCATATATTAAATGTTTACAGAAAAACTGCAACGTGTCCTGCCTTGATGCCTTCCTTCACCGGTTTGTTCCATTCAAGTCTAGAAAGTGGAGTTGACAGAACTGCACTGAGCAGTGCTAAGTAAGAATTTAAATTGCCCATTTCACGAAGATGCTTCATTATTTTAATGAATTTCATCATGTACTTCTCTCTTTCCTTGTAACTACTCTGGGAAATTATCAACGTTCGGGCCCAGAATGAGAGCTGAAAACTAAAAGTTGGAAGAAAATTGAACTTTTTTTTGCATACATTATTGAATTGTTGTGTAAATGCTGAAAGATTTGGGCATTTCTGAACATTTTGGTCTTCTGCCCACCACAGAAGCTCGGCTGTCTGGAATAAATTCAAATGCCAAATTTAACCTTTGAGATGTGCTACCTCGATGCGATGATAAAGTTGGGAATCGATCCATGTTAATTGTGAAGCAATGTCAGCAGATTTAAAGTCAAAGAGATCGTGAGGTCTGAACAAAAATTATAAAAATAATAGATAATGCTTTCATTAAGATACTTTTTGGGACGGGAGATATTTGTTGCTAAAACGGAATGAATGTCCAAAGGCTCTTTTATTCTATCCAACAGTCGCTCCCTGAAACAAAAATGATTTTTCGTTTCTTTTTAATTCGCAATTTTTCTATTACGAATACACGTTTGTGTATCACGTGCTATCGAAATTGAAAGCGATATCGTCTTCCACATCGTTAATCACGATTATTAAGAGTTTCTTCATTATTTATTACACCGTTCCGTGGTACTATTCTTTTTCCTTTTCAGCTTACCTCAAAATGCGAGCGTGAATAAAGTTGCCATCAAGAATCAAACGATAGACAAATGAAGTGATCGATGTGATTAATGAGGAATTGAGTTCATAATACGCAATTTCGTCAATTATTCTGACAATCACTGAGAATGTATTTTTAGCTGCCGATATCGACACTTCATCATTTGCCATACACATAAAGATATAACTGAAATACGGTTTAGAAATTGATTGTTCAATTAATTGAGCTACCGTTTGATGAGTTTGTTTAAGATATCGATAGTGGGGATTATTGTACGAAAAGTGACTAGAAACGCTTCTTGATACAGTAAAGAAGATCTAGATGCTTGGGTGGCGTAAACAATAAGCGCGTCGCGTGGACCACCGCGAACTTCCTGTGCTTTTCCATCTTTCTCGCGAAAAATCACGTAGTCGGCGCTATCCATCTCAACAAGAAGGTCGCGTTCTGGCTCATTGAGCTCTTCCTCTTGCCAGTCAATCGCTTCCAATTTATCCTAAATCACATTTGATCATGTCAATCCCGGGTGTTTAATTGCCTACTTCTTCAATGCGGTCTTCAGCCCATCTTTGAGGGGGTCTAAGAGATGCAAAATCAGCTTGGCTAAGTAACTCCGCAAGAAGATCGAGATCGAGGGTAGCTGATGTTCCTGGATATATATATATATATATATATATATATATATATTGTTTACAGTCAAACATCAGTATATTATTTATAAAATTATAAAATTTTTTTCTAAAACATAAACATTACCGGGAGCTAACTGCAGATAATATAATACAGGGTTTTCATAACACATTGCATTCGATATTAATCAAAATGCATTGAACGTTTAAATAATAATAAGCCGTAACTTCTTATCAAACATTTGATTTGTCGCCGAAAACGCCAGCCAAAAAAGGTTGAAGAAGACCTTTTAATCAGAACTGGATTGATCTTCGTTTAACTAATAACAACGCCAGTTTTATTGTTGGCGCTCATGTTCATTGCAAAGCGCGACAAATTTGCATTTTTTTCTGTATCGTATTCTCGTGTCGCTTGCAATAGTTTAGAGGTTGGGAAATGTGTATACAATAGATTTTCTTTTCTTCAATAATGCTATGAACGAATAGAAACAACGTAACTTCCATTTTCGCTTTGTTCAGATAACTGAAAACAATAAGAAATGCTGTTGAAATTTCGTTATACACCAAAATATTTCGAATTTAGCTGTTCGGCTCAAAGAAATGCCCCGAATTTGAAAAGATTTAAACAACATCCCATTAGTGCTAGGTTGCCAAGCGTTTAATGGTGTATTCCAAGAAATTCCGAAAAAATTCTTACAAGGGAAGTCATTTTACCTCCCGTCTTAGGATTTTTTGTAATTTTGCACACGTAAACTAGAAGATATTTTGAGTGTGCTCACAAAATTCCAGCCTGCACTGGGGGGTTACAAGCGAGTTATGGCCGTCTGAAAATTCAAGGTGTTTTTCCATTGTCAGCAACCATTTGGGCAAGGGGTTACGCATACGCCTCTTGGGGCCCCAATTTGGCATCCAGGTGAAGTGAAGTGGTATGTGTGCGGGGCAGTGACTTTATGATGAAGGTTCGCACCAGGGCTGTGCGGCAATGGAATTGCCGAAATTGCCGAAATTGCCGATTTTTCAAATTGCCGAATTGCCGAAGAGAACGTTCGATCGGCAAATTGCCGAATTGCCGGATTGCCGAAATTTTGATTTTCGGCAATTTGCCGAATTGCCGATTTGCCGAAATTTTGATTTTCGGCAATTTGATATAAAAAAAATCGGCGAAACCAAAATCAATGTCCATTGAATAATTTGGGATACCGTGAAAATTCGGTATTTATATTTCGAATTATCGTTGAAAACATTTAATAACCGAAATTTTTATTTAATAGCCGAAATTTTTATTTTCGGCAAATTGCCGAATTGCCGAATTGCCGAAATTTTTATTTTCGGCAATTTGCCGAATTGCCGAATTGCCGAAATTTCCGATTGCCGCACAGCCCTGGTTCGCACCCGGCTCACGCATTTTTGCTTTTTTTCTTTTTGCCACAGAAAATTCCGCTGCAAATTGGTTTCAAACGCATAATTTCATGTAAAAGTGTCGTTTCAACATTATTTATTATTTTTTTTGCATTTTACAGTTTTTCGTTTTTTTCAAAAATTTCCTGAACTCTATTATTTTCCACTTTATTGTTTGGTTCTTGGAGTGGATGGAAAGGAATGGATGGACTGCAAGGACACAAATACAACTCCAACCTTTCGAAGGTTCTATTCCAACTGGATATACGGGATTCGCGAAATCACTCGATGTTGGAGTGTTCGGAGGGTCCAAAAAAGTTATCAAATCCATCGGAGAATACGCCCACTTTTGGCAACCTTCATTCAAGGTCCACTAGCGAAAGTCGATTCTTTTGGTAAAAACCAGTAATGAAAATGTTATAACATTATTTTCTTACACATTCTTTATGTCGTGTACAGGAAATTGTGTTCTCCGAAATTTCAAGATTGGATCAAGCATAGTTGGGCTGCGAGTGGATATAATGTTTCACGGCCTCCACCATTCCTCACTCCAGCGCAGAAACTCTTTCCGAGAGATGTTGCCAGAGAATGCCAAACGCCAGAATGTAGCAATATATTGATATAACTCATTCATTCGTTTTTTGTATTTTGAGAAAATCTTTTGTTTCGAACTCATGATTATTAACAATCACATGAACTGTTGGTTGCCTGGCCCGCTGCTGACCTGGTGTTGCAAAATAAACTCCGAAAAAGAGTAAATTGTTAAATATGTTAAAAAATGAAATTATGCGTTTGAACGATCAGAAGTGAGTTTTTCGACATCCAATTCGACATCCACTCCAAGAACCAAACAATAAAGTGGAAAATAATAGAGTTCAGGAAATTTTTGAAAAAAACGAAAAACTGTAAAATGCAAAAAAAAAATAAATAATGTTGAAACGACACTTTTACATGAAATTATGCGTTTGAAACCAATTTGCAGCGGAATTTTCTGTGGCAGCCGGGTGCGAACCTTCATCATAAAGTCACTGCCCCGCACACATACCACTTCACTTCACCTGGATGCCAAATTGGGGCTTCAAGAGGCGTATGCGTAACCCCTTGCCCAAATGGTTGCTGACAATGGAAAAACACCTTGAATTTTCAGACGGCCATAACTCGCCTGTAACCCCCCAGTGCAGGCTGGAATTTTGTGAGCACACTCAAAATATCTTCTAGTTTACGTGTGCAAAATTACAAAAAATCCTAAGACGGGAGGTAAAATGACTTCCCTTGTTAGTGAAAAATTTGCAATATTTTTTAGTTTATAAAACGGATAAGTTCATACACTCAAAGATTTTGTGTATTAACATTGGTTGATGAACTTACTATCTATCTGAATTAGCTCAACAATATATCTAAACAGGTCACTTTTAGACATGTCGAGAGAACAGCTCAAAGAATAAATCGAGCATAAATAACCAAAAATGGTGTAAAAGAAATGACTATTTCCAATATAAAAACACATTAACATTAATGACCTACCAGCAGTGCTGAATTCAAACTGTATTCTTTTCTTAAACTGCTCTTCATGGTTCCTATAAAGCACATTAAGCAGGGTTTATGATGATCAAAGAAACCTCAAATTGTTATTGAGTCGAACGTAGGATGTTATTGTGGTTCCTTTTAAATACTCATTTTCGTTGTTCTTTTTATCGTCGCCGAACATCTGTAGGGAACAATAATTGCCAAAAAAGATAGTGCAATTCTCACCATCATATACTCGACGACGTGCATTCGAGGTGGTGTCGCGACTTGTGATTCCTGAGGAAGTGCACTTTTCACAATCGTACTCTCTTCATAACTTCCTTCGCCTTTTCGATCCACCAAAGTTTTGCCCTGAAAATGAAAAAGAAGTGAAAACTAAACAAAAACGCAACATCTGAGATTGTAAAACATGGCGTGTGAAGAACATGAAACCCGCAAATGCAGCGATGTTCATAAATGCTTCATTGCATAAACTAGGCAATGAAGGATAAAGTGTTACAAAACATTTTATTTGGATAAAAGTAAGCAAATGTCCATTTAATTTTCTTCATCTAAATATTTTTGAAAGAATGTACGTCCTTTTTTCAAGAGACCACTTGAATAATAATCTTGAAAACTCTTAGGCGATGCAAAAAATCTCGTGATTTTTCAGTGACGATGATTTCCCATGAATATAAACAAAACGACGAATTGCGAATTTTCTACTTTCGTGCTTTTGCTATCAAATAAAACTGAAATTGGTATGATAAATGTATCATCATACTTAAAAATTATAATTCGAGATGTTGCGGTAATTAAAAAAAAATATATATACATATTTTTAACTTACTTGATAGCTGTCGACTTGTTTTGCGAATAAGTTACTCTTATCTAATTTTGAAGCTTCGTGTTCAGCCAATAATCTACCATCCCGTTCCTTTTTCTCGGAAACCTTTTGCGAGATTTCACTGGTTCTTTCGATAGTCTTTGACTTCGAAGATTGCCCGGGCGCGCAACTTTCCATATTTTCCCCTTCAACCTCTTTGTCTTTAAGCATTAATCGAAATCTGAAAAGTGAATTAAAAGAAAACAAAAACAAGAAAAAAGGCACTTTTCGAAAGGGTCAATCTTTGATTGCATTTCGAATCTTGTATTCTCTTCTTCTTCGTCTTCATCGAATCCTCGTTTTGTATTTAGGAACGAACGACTTACTTCCGGCATATTCGCACTTTTCGTAGAAATCGTTACCTTAAATACAAATTTGTGTTGTTTTTAAAAATAAAAACAAAAAAAAAAAAAGAAATTACAAGACCGAAAATGAGGAAAACTAGTTGTAACATTTTCATTTCTTATTTCAACTCACTTCGCTTAATTCTGTTTTTGATGATTTGCCACAATCTAAATGACCTTTTGTAAAATTAATTGCCATTCAAAGATTTACAAAGTATTATAGTTAGCGACTATAATGTAAGTGTAATAGAACAGGTTCATATGAATATTGCAAACGTACTGCATATTTGCATAGGGAAATTAAAGTCTTACGTGTTTCGTTGTCTGTTTCACATTCACAGTTTTTGTTTTCTTCATTCTGATTTCACTTCCATCTGGTAATTTAACTATTTCTTCCTCGTAAACCTAAATCTCGCTAAATACGAAAATATCAACGAAAATGATGGAAACCTTTTGGCCATGTTGCTCAGCTCTTTCCTCTTCCTTCTGTTTGGTAGTAACTCCGGAATCGTCGTCAGAATCATCTCCAAGATCTGGAAATTTTGGGCAAAAACTTGGAACACGCCTGAATGAAAAATTTGTTTGATGTAAATTTCTAACTAATTTATAATACTTCAAATTCAATTGACTGAGCAAATGATCAATATTCTCTTCCTCGTTTACATTGTTTTCCACATTATTCGAAACAAATTCCTCGTTTTGATTATTGTTTTTCGGGGTTTTCTGAATGTTTTGTGCTTCGGTTTTTGGATGTTTGGAGCAAATCTAGAATACGCGAAATTTACAATATCTTTAATAAAATCCAAACAAACCAAATGTGTTGTGTTGAGAGAGTTTTTAATCAGGCAAGAATCAACTTCCTCTTTAAGGAAACATTTTTTGTCGATGAGTTTAATTGTGGAAATGACAGCTCGCTAATAATGGAATTAGATGAAAAATTGAAAATCACGAAATTAGTCAACTTACTTTAACTTCTGGATTATTTGTATTGCAATTTTTCGATATTGCTTCCAACAAGGCAGCAGTAGTGTCTAAATAAATCCATTTAAGAAACGTGAAAAAGTAGCATAAACTGGATACTTACTCAAAATCAAATTTGAATTATTTGAAGAGAGTACATTATCCAAGTAGCGTATTGATATGTCAATGTCTTTTGACATCCTGAATCATGTTCAATAGAGGTTTATATGGGAAAATGGAAATGAGGGCTGGCGGTAAGATGTTTCGTGCATATCAAATGAGGTAGAACGATGATACAACTATTTGAAAATGCTAAACAATGAGTTTATTTTGGAGTTTTATCAATGAAGTATTAGTCAATGCTAATCGAGGACAATAAACGTAGCGGATCCCATCCAGCTTTGAATTTTTTTATGCTAAATGTGTGTAATAATGTAATTCAGTTCAGATGGCGATGAACGTTTTTTTGTTATCTTCTCGTCGCAAAATTGTTCCAGATGAATCGTGTAGCATAAAATTGATACGAAAAACGATTCACGGGGCAAAATAAAGAAAACAACGTGTTGTCTTGCTGAATGATTTAGCTAATTCAAAAACGGTGTGCACTTCATAATGTATTTTTGTGTTTTTCTTTTGAATTCTGAAAAAGACGAGAAACCATCGGACAAGAATGATGAAAAACACACTAATTCGTGGAATTTTCGCAATGGAATGGAATGAAGAGCAGGAATGTCAACAGAAGATTGCAAAGTCAAATGATTCGGCACGTTTATTCAATTGCAGTGTTTCCTATTGGATTTGACAGCACACACTCAGACGATGCATAATATTTGAACTAAATTAGTACAAAAAAGCAGACAAAATAAAGTAGTGAAGTGTATTGACGGTGCAACAGTTTTCAAAGGCTTATTGCTTTGCATTTCTAGGTTGCTGCATCTCCGCGCAGGCCGTACTGTTTTTCAATTTTCTTTCCGTTGCGGCTAAACTATTTGCTAACACTTTTTGCCTCGTCGCTTTGCTTCTACAATGTTGACTTTCCACCTTTAGTGTCATCCAGTTTGTTACCTTAAATTATTTTCATAATTCAGTTATATTTCATGAACGTAACTCATTTCGCGCATTGTTGATGCCTTCATTTTATATATATATATATATATTCTATAATTTTTGTAATATCTGCCCAGGAGAACAGTTCAACAATAAAATGACAATTTTTGAATAAAATTTGTTGCAAAAAATTATTTCGAAAAGCAAATAACGTAATTTTAATTTTCTATTGGTTAATTATTTTCAAATTGGAAATAGATTTATCGTTTGTCGTAAAGGACACTTAGGGTTAGTTTACTGGTAACGTGAACAAATTTATTGAATTTCTGTGCAATTGAATCAAACTCAAAATAATTTAAAAAAAACATTAATATACGAATGAAATTCACAAAAAAATTGTTGATAAAACTTTTTATAATACAGTAGAATTTATCAGAAAAATTGTTTGGAGAGAATGCGAAGACTTGGTGACTCACTTTGACTTACCCGTTGAACTATTGTTTTAGAACATACCAAAAAATGAGGGAAAAGAATTGTAAAAGAAATAATTAATATTTCACGAAATATTACGAAAAAGAAATATGTAAATTTTGAATAAATGTGACTTGAAATATAAATGTACATGGCAAAAATTCGCTTATTTGAGGATTGATACCTTATCGGAAAACCTCGAAGTGCTAAAATGATCGCGATATTTGAAAAGAAAATAGAGGAAATGTAAATATGCTGGTATTTGAAAAATGATTCAAATGGTTATGAGCAAACACAAATAGATAGATTTTCCAATGATAAGCTTGGAAGCCAAACGGTTGTCACTTTAATGGTTCTTTCATTGTTGGGATAAACATAGATGCACAATTTGCGTTATATGCTTCAATGCTCACATGACATCAAATGAAAACTATTGAGAAAGTCCTTTTAGAAAGCAAATGGAGCGAAGAAAAAATAATGTGGAATACCAAAGGACCACATTAATTCTTCCATTAACAATGTGGAAACCAAAATTGAGACAATTGACTCAGATTCTTAAAACAAAACCGCCTTTTCTAGAGTCCATCACGTTGCACGCAATTTTTCATATTTGTTTAACAACTCTCTGGAGGATTATCATTCTAAAAGAGTGGATGACAAGATACAAGTTGAGGTGTTTGTATAAGTTGTTTTTTCATTCTGTGGGTGTACAAGCAAAACACAATGAGTGACTCAAGTGTCAGAAAAAAGGAGAGATTAAGCTTTGACTGATATACTAAATTTTGTTAATATTTTTATTTGCACGTTTTACGCATTTTCAGAAAGAGGGAAAGAGAGAGAGGAAAAGATTGCGCCAGAATGAAACAAGCAAGATCCAATTGTTAGATGAAAAACCGTTGTCTGATTTCAACCAATACATCTATTAAAAAATTGAACAACCAATTTCATTCACGAAAAAAAAGATATTTAGAAATTTTCTGCAAATTATTTTAGTTTAAATTGATACCGAATCCTAAGTCTATTAATTTATTGTCTTTTCAATAATTGGTTGAAATTGGACGCAGTTTGAAATTTGATGCGAAAATTTAGAAATCAGACACTTTGTTTTTGCTTAAAGCACTCGGTTGAAACTACCTCAGTCGAATAGAAAATTTCGGCAAAAATAAGCAATTATTCTTGAGTGGAATAATAAAAAAACACTACGATAGAACACTTTCTATGAATAAAAAATAAACGTGACTCTTGGACGAACACAACCCTTGCAGTATGACGTTCTGAAAGTGAGTCAAACATGCGACGAAAATAAGAGAAAAGAAATAAGAACACACCGGTGTCTAATATACCATGCGTATATAATAAAATCAAATGTATATATAATAAAATCAAATGTGCACAATCATTTTGCATTGAAACTTATTGAACCTAGTTTTACTATAGTGTTGAATAAAAACCAAAAAAGTTGTTGAAGTCAAACATTTTCAACTCTCAGAACATGTAATATATCTTTTTTGGCAACCGAGTGAAATGTTGTTTTCATGTTGAAAACTCGTATTGCTATATATATATATGCTATTGGGCTGTGAAGAAGCTCTCCAAAGTTTCCTAATTTAATATTTGCAATGACCTAAGGTAAACAATGAATCGTCTAGACCACAATGTGAGCTGTCATTTGAAAAGCAAAAAGAAAACAGTTTTGTAGAAAAAAGTCGCAATTAGGAGATTAACGTTTTACCAAAACGTAGGAATTTTACAGATTCAATAAAGAAAAGCAAAATAAAAATTTATTGAACAGTCAAATAAATGTGGCACAGTTGATGAATCTTGTCATGTCAAAGCACTGTGTTTATTTATTATGAGACTTCAATTATGATTTATTCATGTGCAAAGTCTAAATATCAAAATTTCAATAATTACCGGTAAAAAATTGAATAATCGATTCATAGTACCTTGTAAGAGATGGGACTTGGTAAGTTAGAAGAAGCTTGGAGAATTTATCATCATCGTCGGTCGAGTTATTTTCGGTGCTATTGTTGTGTACTCCACAATGCTCCATGTACTTCTCTCGAGCGCGCTGTATTGCCGTTCGGGTCATTGTGTCGTCGCCACTTGAATTTTGCTGCCTGCCCGTTGACTTTCCTTTCTTCGTCGATTCACACATTTTAGTCGCTGCGTTAATGATGGTTTGTTGTGCATTTGGCGAATTCAGGATCCAGTAGAAAATAAGACAGAGAATAATGAATCCGACGACAAATGGATGATGGACCGTTATATAGAAAGCCGTGAATAGCCCGCACAATATGACGAATTCGCTGCTTTCCACCATTATTTCAAAGTGGCAGCTTACTACCCTTTGTACCAATGAAGTGAAACTGAAGATGAGTAGAAAACGTCAGTTGCTCGTTGCTTTAAAAATGATAGCAGTTTAGACGGATAAAAAACCGACATGTGAACACGCTCGGCATTGACTTTTTTACAAATCCACAATATTTTGATCTTTTGTCGTGCTCTGTAGCCGAAAAAAACATTTGCATTTTATTGAGAAAAGAACCAACAAAAAATTGAAGAATTAAGTCCAATTATTGCACATTGGCTGAAATCATAAAATACGAGCCTCTGACAATGAGGCTACTTACAATGGCATTGTAGGTCACAATCGTTCAAAACAACTTTTCCGCTCTGCCTTGCGTACTCGCAGCCCCACCACGAGCTCTCCCTATTACAAAGAGAATGATCGAAAACATTGGTAAAACAACCAACAAACTCATCGAGATACCTGTAACCAATTGTCCCTTGGATTAATTATGGCAGTCGACTCACAAGCAATGATTGCGTGAGCCAATTATCAAGTTGTTACGAAATTGATTGCGGCATTCCGTGATCTGCGGCTGACGAGTTTTGAATATTTCTGACATGCACAAGTCATTATTCGAGAACCCATCGAATCCAGCTCCACAAGCAAACCCAAATTGTTTATACATTGAAGCTACATTAATAGCGTCGCTGAAAGAGAATTAGTAATCTTCGTATTCATTGTTCTGTGTTACGTGATATGTAGATCCATTTGAACATGAAATCCAACACTTGTGCAGTCTTTTCTGGCATCCCCAAGACATTCGTAATACTTGTTGAAAGAACTAGAGCAAAATTATGTATGTGAATATGGGTTTTTGAACGAACTCGCAGACTTTGAATAAACCATCAATTCCATTAGCATACATTGCTTCAATTTCTTCGCGATGACATTCTGGTTCATATGCCAATAAACCTTTAAAAATTGGTTTCGATTCGCTCAAACAGCTTCTCACCATTGCAGTTTTGAAGACCCAGGTCATTTTTCAATTGCGTTCCACAGCATTTCAGCAATTCGGGATTACACTTTGTTGAGTTTGATATGTCACATCCCGTAGCTAATTGAAAACCAACTAAATTGAAAACCGACTTTGGGTGATTATATTTCAGCATAAAAAACCTACCAATTGCAAGAAATGAATAAATAGATGCAAATTTCAGCATTATTTGAAAGAGAGTGACGATGTAACGATTATTTTCAATGTCATTTTTCGACGTTATCAAATTGAATTGATTATAATTAATCCGCCAACGTTAAAGCTGATTATGGTGATTTACTGATGTTCAACGCAATTACAAACGTAGTCCGTGAAATTAATGAAGATAACACTCTACGGATATAATTCTTTGGAACAGTGTCTAAAATCAAATAATCTCTAAATCCTCCTTCACATTAACCATTTCCGAAATATGAAAAAAAAAACATGATTTAAGACATCAATATATAAGTTTTTATTGTTTTAACTGTCACGAAAAAATTAAAATGAAATTATATCATTGTTTTGTCATTTAAATAATTCCTCCGGTATATGGTACTGAAAATGATTGCAATTATTTAATGAAAATTGATGTTTGAACTTACAAACACATCGAATTGGGCATTGCGGGAAGCGAGTGAAGACGTTAACACGGGCATATTCGCACGCCCAGAATTGCGCGTCATTCGATTTTTCACCGCAGTTTTTTTTGACGCGGCTTTCCATGCATATCAAATACTTGTTTCCAAGCCTAAAAATCAACAATTTGTGCAATATAACAGTTTAATTCGTACGTGCAAGCTTCATCATTAGCAACGTCACTTCCAACTTCAAAGTTTTCTCGACATTCATTCAGAATTGCACCACTTTCTCCTTTCCATGATTCACTCAAGCAATTCTCATTCGAAAGGTAAACTGAAATATTTGCTCGAATTTTTATAGTTAGAGCAGAATTGTTGATATCAATTTTATTACAAATTTTACGAGTTTTCATGCTAATGTATCATGAGTGTGACCATGGCTCATAAAAAAGTTTCATGACGGAATGTCTGATTTTGATCAGAATTTGGTGACATCAGACACATTCACATTTTTCAACATTGGGGTGACGGTATAAATAAACTCGTTACTTTGAAGTCCGGCGCCGCACACAAAATGCATTTGATTAAATAGTCCAACGAACTGATAGGCGTTCAAAGTTGTCGCCGAAACTGAGACAAAATGAACTGGAGTCATACATAACTGATATTGATTTCCCATGCAAGTCTTAAACTCGCGAAATGCTCTAAATTTGCGAAAACATGGAAGTGAATGATAATAGATGTAAAGTACCTACACACTTTACGAATTCCATCAGGACCCTGATTCTGGTAGAAAGTTTCCACCTAAAATTGTCAGTTTTTTTTTACTATTTTCTTGTCGAATTTTTTCGAATAATTGTCATTCAGTTTAGGATTACCAATTAAATTTTGAATTTTTCTTAAATTATAACACATCATTTAAGAATGTCATGCAGAATTTGTGTTTATATAGTTATAAAGGTGAATCACATCATACAACGATGATCGCATTACTGATAAGCAAATGATTTAATTGCCCCGGCCCCACCCAATGAATAATACCTCTTTACGGAAAATGTCCGGATGGTACCATGGTTGATTATCTGAGATTCCGAGAGCTTTATTCAAATCGGTTTGGCATTCGAAATACGTTGTTGAGTCACATTCGACGGCAGCCATCGCGGCATCTAAAAATGTTGCAATTTCTTTGAAACATTATTTGTCGATAAGAAAAACCTGCGAATGTGATTAGAATGCATATGATAGGTAGGAACTTTCCTCGAAACATTTCCACTGAAAATGGGTTTTAGATAAATAATACATAAATATATAACTAAAAAAGGTAATATTAGGAATGTTGTAATCCTTCGAATACACTACAATTAAAATGACGAAATGTTCATTTTATAATAAAAACAAAACTCAGAATAATATAACGTTTCAGTAGGTCGTGCTATACAATCTCGTGGACTGAAAATAAGTGTGTTAGTCAATGTTGGAACTGTAACAAAACTTACAGACGCAGAAGATTTGGGTACATTGCGAGTTGAGCAATTGAGTTCCAACTCTTTCATAGTTGCAACCAAAGAAAGCAACCTCTGGAGACTTGCAAGCATTCCAGAAAACATTGCGATAACAGTTAGCTGCTATGTCAACGTAATCGCAAGGTTGAGATGGATCAACAGCTAAGTTGGCATCGAAGTCATTGTCGCAATCGCGAAGAGCAGCGGTTTGATTATTAAAAACTGTCGAGGTGCAATCCTCGTTGTTGGCAATAACTAAATTACAAGTTTAATTTTTTTGAATCTATTTTGTTTCACTTGTGAATCCAGCGCCGCAAACGAAGTCTAGCTGATTCCAAATTTTCACGTATCCATTAGCCTGTTTTCTATCATAGCGCACATTGTTGTTGCTAGAAAATAATTATAAATTTCATATTGAAATTTTTAGCATTTCTTACTTAGTGACAGTAAGAAGACCAAATGGATTCTGTACGCAAGAAAACAAATTATTATCAGTGCTGAAAATCACTTATTAAAGGCTTTCTAACGCATTTTATTGCAACTGACAAACAGTTCTTGAATTCTTTGAAAGCTTCACAAGTTTTCAGAAGACCGAGGGCCTTCTCATCGGAAAACGATTTTTCAACGGCAACTCGAAGTTTGTCATATGTTGCAACACCCAATGAATCTAAATAGATCTCGCTCAAAGCAGAACTTTATCGATGAACATGCCGTCCAAGTTCAGATCTTTGTTAAATTGTGCTTGACAGGTTGCAAGTTGTTGTCCGTCACATGATGAAAGTCGAAGATCTTGAGCAACGCCCACTCCTGTAATTTTTTGAAACGTTTTCGAACAGCGTTTTTGGTTTTTTTCACGTCACGATTAGCCATGTGGCAATTCCCTTATCACACTTGATAATTTTTAATTAGGCGGTAGACGCCTTTGGTGTTAGGAACTAAAAAGTATCATAATATAAAAAATGTCTTGAAACATGCATTAAACAAGGATGTGAGGCAATTCGATTTAAGTAGTAACTAACAAGATAACCAAAAGTGAATTACTACTTCTAAATCATTGCTATTCTGAAATATTAGAACGATGTAAAACTGTTCACAATAATTTAAACGAGCTGGGGTCGATCTGTATATGTCTCTGCTATTTATAGTAATCATCAAAAAATACAGAATGGATGACTTTTAATTGCCAAATCGCATCGCGAAATTAGGTTTTCAAAATTTGAAAATGTAAAAAAATATCACCAGAAACAGAACGTAGCCCAAAAATATTGCATATAGTCTTGAAACAACTGAACAGCTACACATTTCTAACAAAACAGTTACACATGCTACCGCTTAATCAAATTATGACTTTCGTTCGATGTTTGAACTATTTTTATCATTAACATGTTATTAATTATTCATTACGTTGTAATATATTTCTAAACTAAATTTTGTGAAAGGGACAAGCTGAATTGACTTACCAACAATAATAGCAATCCCCACAAAGTAATTGTATGAGCGCATTTCGAGGGAAAAGGCGTAGTGCAAAATCAAGATGCTCTTATCTTTCTTCGTCTCTGGCACAGTGCATGGCCCGTTTATGGGTTTGCCAACATTTAAAGCGTAATTTTCGTCCAAAGCGTATATGTCAGCGAGAGTAACGCAGTGTTGATTTTATCGTTCTCTTCGTTTATTATGCAATTTAAACCAATCAAATTCGGTTATCATGATCACTCCCTAAATGATCGCGCCAACAATTTTTTTTACGAGGATCCAATGGGTTTGGTTTTGAAAGTTTTTATTGCGAGAGAATGAAAGACAACTCTATATTTCTTCAAGAGTCATGGTAAACATATCACATACTTTGGAAATAAGAAAGAGGTCATATATTGTAATCTGTAGGAGTCTGAGAAATTATTACGCTATAAATAATTAAATATGAGATCAAATTTGGAATTGGCAATTAGTTACTGAACCGCACTTGGAGTGTTCACATATATTCCTGTTGAGCAATATTCCATGACGTTTTGAACTTGAGCGCAAGTGGCCTGGAACAATGAATATTCTTCCAACATTTAAGTGTAATTTTATATCTCAATCAAAATGCAATGAAGACAACAAAACAAGAAAATTCACTAGGAATGCAATTAAAAGCGAACGGGGATTGTCATATTCCTGACAATGTCTGCAACATTAAAATAAGACAATTTCATTTAAACCCTAAGATATCTGAAATTTCAGTACCCAAATACACACCAGCTAAAAAAACGAAGTTGCATTGGTTGTTACCTGAGGGTGAAATCCTTTAATCAACGAGCAATTATTTTTTGCGAAAGTAACGACATCCTTGATTCCAAATGATTTCGAAATCGATGTGACGTAGGTGCAAACTTTGTCTAATTGCTCTTTGCTTGGATTACTTACAGGGTTTCCCTTAATAATAATTTTGTCAAAACAAAATCAAGAGCGAAATTATTACGAATTGTGTTGTGGCTGCTGAAATTGTTTCAACTGGGCTCGAGTCTATTGATGATTCAATATTCCGTTTTTGGCCGAGTTTGATGCTGATTTTCCGTGGAGCTGCCGGAGTTGTGGGCTCAATTTGGATTCGTCTAGCAGTCAACATTGCTTCGTTATGACGTCTATAATTGTTTTCTTTTTCAAATAATATTAATTACAATTATACTTGTACCAATCCTCGTAATAATTGCGATAATATTCACGAACAGCAGCTTCATCATTAGAGTCAATGAATTCTGGTAATACCGCAAAACTTTTGTCATCAGCATCCGGTGTCTTGCTAAGAACAGAATTTGTAAGAAAGTGATGATAATCAGTTTAAATTTACTCGGCAAGTGGTAATTGGGAATTTATATTCGGTTCTTCATTCCATCCTCCCAAATAAGATTCTTCTTGCTTGATCGGCTGAGATGGAGGCAAAGTGAAAAGCAATTTTTGAGTTTTAGGAGTTGCTGTTGTTGTCAACTTTGGTTGCTGCTTTTCAATCACAGGTGCAACAGTCTGAAGAATTTATTTCATTGAGAGATTGATGATTTATTCACCTTAGCAGGTTCAGGTGTGGATGGTGTTGTAACAACCTCAGGAATCGTCACGAGTTCTACTTCCTGCAACCAATTAGTCTTAAGATATTCCATAATTATTTAATTTATACGTCATTATCAACTATATGAGGGTCCCTAGAACTTTCAAGTCACTTATTAACGTCATTAAAAAGTAAATGAATGCGGCCAGATGTATGAATTTCAAACCACAGATGTTTGCAATAAACTTTCGTCATTCACAAATTATATACTGAATTGCTATAGCAAAAGATGTAATCGCATAAATAGCATAATTTAGGTGTTAAACTCGTATAAATCTGGAACAAGTATACTAGTGTAAACTAGCTTTTTCACATGTAAGAAAAAAACTTTTTTTTCCGTAACAGACTTTTCGAATTTGGAAACCTACTTCGAACATCTCTGGTACAGCTGACAATTGAAAATTCTTTATATGAGCAGATGTTGTCGTTGGCAGTGGGGTAGTAGTAGTCGTCGTCGTTGTAGAAGTGGATGTAGTAGTCTTTTTTGACTTCCTGTGCTTTCGATGTTTTCTTTTTCTCAGCTTTTTTGGATGTGTTGTTGTCATTTCTTGCTCGGTTGTATTACTAGCTAATACTTCGATCAATCGGCTGAATAATCAATAATTATTCTACCATTATCTCAAATTTCACACCTTTCTTCAATCTTCGTTTCTACTCCTCTTTCAATTGTGTAGTTAAGTCCATAACTTGATGGGTTGAAAGGTTGAGTTGTGGTTTCCACATAGTTATCACTTCTCGGTTTAGTTGTAATTTCAATTGAGTACACTTTTTCCTTTTGGGCAATAGGGATGTTTGGCTTCTCAATCATTCCTTCTTCGGTTTCTTTCGAAGCAGCAGAAACGAAAACTGGTTTTGTGGGTAATTCTGTAATGAAATGTTTACTAAACCCACAAACCAAATATTACAACCTCGCAGTCGTTCAAATCTAGAAGATCTATAAAATCCATTATGTCTTGGATGCTTCCATCGGATTTTTGGTGGATCAGGTTGGCTTTGAAAAGGCATCGATATCTCATTGGTCATTATACTTGTTGTCGCCTATAACAGAAAAAATTGTGAAAATTAACAATGTTTGAACAAACCAAAACAAATCCTTGAATACATGCTAGCAAGAGAATATTGGGTATCCACATGAATTATATATCATATAAGTTTAACCTTGCCTAAAAATTAAAAAAAATAATGGATCAGCATACAACTCGAGGGAAAATTAATAAAGAAAAACGAAAGCAAGAACTCTATGAGTGTCTTCGGTGATCGCAGATCTCCACCTCTTCCTCCTCATCACTCCTGAGGAAACAAGATCACATTGGCAGTTTTTTTTCTATTTCACTCCCTTGTGAGATTGAGAGTACAGCCCCGACGAAGAACCGGATACCATATCGCCACAGTGCAATACGTAAGCACAAACCCAAGCACAGATATGCGTGGAGAAAAAAAGACGATTGTCCCCTCTCCATAAAAGCAGAAGTCTTTTCCTGGAAAACTTGCTGTTGCGCCACCATTGACAACAGGAGGCGGTATGTGTCTTATGTGTGTGTGTGTCATCCGATGAGGCAAAGAACTGGATTTTTCTTCATTTTTTGCGCATTGCCTTTTTTGCCGTTGATGATTGGCTTTTCGGCAGACAATATCTTGATATTAATGTTGAAAATCATCTCAGTAAATTTTGCCAATTATTCTGGATTCGAAATGAAAAAAAAAATGACAAACAGCTATTATTAGGTGCTAATTAAATGGGGAACTGACATTAGGAATTTTTCTAAAAAAAAAACATGTTCGAAACACGATTGATTGATAAGAATAAAAAATGAAACATCACATCTCGTTACGTGATTTATATCTGGAAAATCATTCAATACACAATACCTTTTTCTATGAGCCTTGTTGAAATTGTTCTTCAGCACAAGCTACAATTTTTGATATGTTTTCACTATGATTGTCGCAGAATAAATCTCACCATAGAAAAATACACAATAGCAATGAAGACCGGATGCGATGGGTTTTTTTATTCTGTATTCTACAGTGACGACCTTGCATTTCTTATGCATTAATTGCTTATATCTTGTTAAAAAAATGTTTTATTCCTGTCTATTAGCGTATCTCGCTTTTGCAATTTCTATTTTGATGGATTGTAACTTTAAAAAAATCACCTTTCAAAATGTGAACATAAACATTTATTCACGTTAAAGCTTCAGTAGCATTTTCACTCGTATTTGAGGGCAATGAAAATTAAACATAGTGATAAAGTTAGTTATATTCGATCGTTAAACCCGTACCGAATGGGGCAGAGTGACTGGAACAAAACATTGACATAATTATTTGACCGTGAAGCTAGACTAGCTTCTAAATAATTATACAACCAAAAATTTGAAAAAAATTATATCAAGCGGGCTATACAAATGCAATGTTATTTAGATTGTCTTGCATTCCAAGATTCATTGTCACAGCCGAAGCTCGTTTTTTTAAAAATTCGACACTTGCAGAATTATCGGAAATATATTGATGAGTGCAAATTGCAATGACATTGATCTATAATATGAAAATCAAGACCATCCGCGAATACGCTTGATTACCTCTTCTTTCACTGTCATTCGCAAGCAACTTCCGAAGTGTTCCGTAAGCGTTTCAAACAGCTAAATTTTTACTATTGTACAGGGTACATCGGTAAATAAAGATTACTTTCATGGAATTGTCTGTTTCGTTATCATTATAAGAGAGCATATTGATTACGAGAACTCCTGCAAAATTGAGTCGTTGAGCAAAATGAAAGCGATAATACCATTATCTGTCATAATAGATGAAAGCTTGGATATAATGTGAGGTTCTCTGAAAATCTTGGCTGGACACGGAAATTCGTTTGAAGAATCGCAAGCGTCAAGTATCACAACATCGAACTTTTCGTCTGAAATTAAAATTTGAAGGAATATTTGTAATTTTTAACAAGTTACTTTTCTTCGCGGTCTTTTCAATGAACTTCGCTCCATCTGAAATCACAGTTTTCCGTTGCTTATCATCAACAACATCGAACCATTTTTTCGATAGTTTCACTACAACCGGATCGATTTCAAGTGCAGTTATTTTCATCTAAACAGTAACGATTAATCAGTTTTGCAATTGAAAAAAGTTGTACATTTGGGTTCAATTCATGTAAGAACATATCAAGACTTCCGCCACCGAGACCAATTTCTAGTACACTTTTGTCATTGTTATCTTCGTGAACCAACGAAAGAGTTGAAACAATAAAAGGTGCACAAACTAAAGCGGACACCTGCAATTCAACCTATTTTCCAATTTTTCTTGCAAATTTGAACATACATATTGCGCTCGAATTGTTTTATGATCCACTTTCCATATTCTTGTATCAGAGTTTTCAAAAGTTTTCTCTATAAATCTTCAGTAAAAACTAAGTAAAATTTCAAAATATACCTTTTTGAGGAGGAACAAGTCGTACCACAGTGTCACTGTCTGTTTCAAAGCCCTTGACAAACATATGACGTTCAACTATTTCGCCATTTTCCGTATCTAACTTTTTATCCATTACCACATAACAAACATCTGTAACCGATGAGCATTCTTGAGCAATTTTTGAGTATTTGTAGTCGACTCTGCAAAAATTTACTATTATTTGATATCGTTTCATTTTATTAGAAGTAAGTGTATATATGATTTCGTTATATTTATATAGTTTCATCTCTATTTTTCCCACATTTTTAAATGTTATCGGAAAACCACTGTTATATTATCTTTTCGCTCTCAATATCTTGGATATTTGCGTCACGAAAAAAATATTGCAACTTTGTTATTTTCTGTAAAGCTATCCATCAGTTTTATATGTATATATATATATATATATATTCGTTATTTTTCAAACAAAAAACACTGTTGATTTTATGCAGACGTAAAGCTTTTAAGCATACTAACCTTTCCAGAACTAAATTGTCATCTTGCACTTGTCCATAATTTTCGTCAATAAGAACTGACGGCGGTAGAATGAATATATACTGCAAAAATCTATAAAACATATATATTTGCAATTAAAATACCATTAGTACATAAATTGTTATGCAAAAAGTAAGTATTAACAGAAACAATAACCCTTTTGACGATGCAGCACGTGAGAAACTGAAAGTACGTTTTCTGAAAGCATTTGGTGAAACAGTTAACAAAATTTTGAAACCTTTTCATCGTAAATTCTTCAGGCATTGTGTATAATAAACCTTGTGGCATTATATAAATTCTGTTTACATGTCCCTCACACGTATCTGCAAGTGGTTTACTTCCGTTTTGTGATTTTGAATAGACAATGCGAATACGAGAGGAAGAAAACTAAAAATGACGCGCATTGGTGTTAAGATTAGCACACGAGTAGGATATGTGGTCAGTTAGTCCCTCGGCCAGCGGCCGCCACTATTTGTGTCTCAAGCGAGTTGGGTTATAGAGTTCATCGCTAGTCGTTGCTAATCGTTGCGTTCTACGTTGGTACATTTTTTTCACTACGTCGTACTATTGATTTTCATTTTTGCTAATCCGATACGCGGTGTTTCGAAAACATATTTCGAGTTTTGCGAAATTAAAAAATATAACTCTATTTTATTTAATTGTTTTGTCTAAAAAACAATTTAAATAAAAACATGTAACGTATTCTTCACCATTAAACATTTTGTTAGTTTTTTTTGTCAAACATCAATACGAATTTTTCGTTTGAACTGAAATATTTTAATTATTGCAGAAATGAGGGATCCTGATAAAGAGCGGAGGATGCCGTTATGTGATTCTGTTGGCGTTTTAAAACTTGAATGGAGCGATGAAGATGATGCAAATCCGATAGTTTTACACGAAATACATTCAAAATATGTTGAGCCGGTCTCAATAAAATCATTTTCGAAATTTGCGCGCCCTCGAGGATGGTTCAATCAATCTATAGCTTCGCCTTCAGAATTTTTCTACCAATTGACGACTTCGGAAAGCGGAAATCGCAAAATTGCTTACATTTTATCAGTAAGTTTCGAAAAAATAATGATTTCAAATGTCAAATTATATGTATATAATTTTTGATATCTATTCACTTTCTAAACAATATTTACAGCATTTAAAGTTTCAGACGTGAATAGAATCAGAAATTAATATTTTCAGACGTGGGAAGAATCAGATGAAAACTCTCATCTTAATGCTGTTTCATTATTAGTGTTCTCAAGGGTTTATCATCCGCAAGCGTTTAAAGAAATTCTACTCGAACTTTCGCAGCTAATTAGAAATCCGGATTTGAAAGCAGCTTCTGAAATGCTGCATTTATTAACAGAACAGTTGATAGATGAAGGGTAAGTCATCGTGTTTTAAGAGTCTTTGAATAAAAGTTTACAGATCAGTTGTGGACATACGAACAAAGTCATTAAATTTGCAATTACTACTCGACTTGCCTCCTCTTGTTCCCGCAACTGGAACAGATGTTTTGATGCTTTTCAAATTTTTAGGTTTGATTCATACTTCAAGTTGAAAAAAAAAGCAATACGTTGCAGGGTTTCGAAGCGTTATAAAAGTGATAAATGCTCTGTTATGCGACTGTCGCATTGTTCTCACTAGTTCATCATTGATGAGATTGTCGAGGGCTCAAAATGCTATTCTTGCACTACTTTATCCGTTTTCATATTTGTAAGGCGCATAAGTATCAATTATAATTTTTATAAAAATTAGGCATTCGTGCGTCACAATTCTGCCAAGTGCTTTAGCTGAAGTGCTTCAATCCCCAACGCCGTTTCTGATTGGAGTTTTGAAGGATCATTTTGTGGTATAGTGTTATTTTTACATTGCAAATCATAATTTATTTTAAGGATTTTGGCGATGAAAACATTGTAATTCATCTTGATGACGAGGAAATAGTTATCCCAGAGAGCGTGGATTTGCACCAGTACGAATCAATATTCTCAAAGCGACTGGAAGATCGACTTCGAAAGGTAAGAATACCATGATATCGGTAATTTTTCAATAACCCGTTGTAGGTACTCTATTCGACAAGCAGTCAAGAAGACCTCGCCATAGCTCGGCAAGAAGAAATTGTTCGCGATGACCAGAAAATTGTATACAAAATCATTGTTTTCCATTTAAAATTTAAAATATTTAGGATAAACAGCTTCGATCATGCTTTATACTTTATTTCGCCGAGATTCTCTATGGATATCAGTATTTTATTTTATATACAAGAACTTCAGGAAATTTTGAATCAAGTAATCCGTCATCTTTGTCGTTTCATTTTGGAGCATTTCGAGGGTTCAGGTAGAATTTTTTTTTAAAAAGAGCCACGCTTATCACTAATCTTTAGACGAATGGATGATCTCATGACGAGCATGATTTTAAAAAGTGCCTACTTTCATTCTTTCATATCTGCTCGCGCAATTCCTCGAAAAAAACACGATCTGTTCGATGAAGTGTCTTGTTGGAGCGAACTCGACCAATTAATTTACCAGAAGGCGTTTTACCATTTCGAAGACATTGAATTGATTAACAAAATTGCGGTTGCTCTAGATAAAAAGGTAATAGAAATTGTGTGTTGAACCATATGTTAATGGGCTTTAGGAGCGCTATATGTCCAATTGCTCGTCTCGAAAATATGAAACTTTCAGCAAAATTTTTTTGAATGGAGACAACTTGGTATGCTGTATATTGCAATAAATAACATTACCAGTTTTCAGAGCAATGTATTCACAAAAACGATTATTTGTTCGGTGAATCCAGTGTCATTGAATAATGCGGCACTGCAAGTGAAACTACCGGCTGTTTCGGAGCATGTTAAATATCACAACGCAAAGTTTGAGCTTCATTCGCATAGGATTGAGGTGGAATAACCGTTTGGTACTAATTCAATTACACTTCATAATTTTTAGGTTCTTCGAGACTGTGTAGAAAATATTTTTTCGAATGAAACGAAATTTGGAAACAAATCTCTCAAGGCGGTCGAGATGTCACTGAAGTTTCCTCCGCTGAGAATTGAATTGTGCCGAATTCTCAATAAAAAGGCAAATCATTCACTGTTAACACCAAAGCAATTCGAAGAAATTTCGAATCTATTGAATGCTGCGTTAGACGGGGAAAATGAAAATGACGAGAATGGCGTTGTGCGGTCTATTATGTATTTGTCAACCAACTTCAGCAAGGTAGAACAAATCAATTTCACAACATTTAATTTAATTTCAATTACAGAAATTATCTCAAGGTGTTCAACAATACATGTATACAACAATACAGAATCATAAAGTGTGGAAGAATGTCATGTACTGGGCATCTTGTTTTTACTATGAGGTTCATGAAATGTTATTTTCCGATATGCTGAAGAAAGACCGCAAATTGGTTTGAAAACATAATCTAATATTAAAAACAAAACATTTTCAAGACCGAAAGTCTTTGGTGTCATACAGTTCGTCCATGTGCCATGGAAATGATTGATTTAAACATGTCGAATCAAGAAGAATGGGTTCGCCAAGAAAACGAAATGATACAAGCCCAATCAAAACACTTCGCAAATATTATGATTTGCCTGCAAATCCCGTTAACTGAAGCATTTTTCGATGATGAGCATTCAAAAACTGATGCATTGAAAGTATGACGACAACACATGTTGAAAAAAACGAACAAGTACTTCTAGGAAAAATCGAAATGGATTAAAACTACTTTTGAATCAATGTTGTCGTTAACCGGAAGGCCAAATACTTTGACGTTTGATCAGATTGAATGTTTCGTGGAAGCACACATTGAAACAATGCGCGATTTGTACGTCGAACTCTGCGCTGTTGAAAAAACGCTCCAGGTGAGATTAAAATAAGAAATATGAACAAGCAGAGTTTTTTTGTAGAAAAACAGCTTCTATCCATTCCTGATCAATAAGAACGAATTTTTAATATACGATCCAGTCAATTGTTATTCCTTGTTGTCAAATCCTGACGGAGCCAGTACTAAAATGATTCTTGATGGCGTTTTTCCTGCTGAAGGGAGCATGTTTCTCACCAACTATAGAATCATTTTCAAAGGAAAATCAATCGGTTCTCCAGGAATTAAGAATATGGTAGTACAATCTCTACCACTTTATTCATTAGAATCGTGCAAACGAGCAACAAGCAGGAAAATTATACCAAAGGAACTGAAGGTGATCAACATCATTTAGGACACCTTTTTTATAATTTTGTAGGATATCGCAATTGAAAATGTGCTCTGCATTCGATCATATTCATCACCAACGATAATGTTAGCTTTTGATGACGTTGAGGTGAATGGATTGAAGTTTGATCAACTCGTTGAAGAAATAGAAACGTGCTCTCACAACTCACTTACAACAATCACTTCAAGAAAGGTTACAAAAACAGATTCACATGGATTCCATAAGTTTGGAACCTTGAATGCCATTCGAAAACTAGAAGGCCTTACCAAGAAACGATCGACAGATTCCCATCGGATGAGAAGTCTGTCGTCTCATCGAGGTTCCATTAATATTGCTTTCGACAAGCCAGGTAAAACACAAATCGTGTTTTTTAATTAATGTATTTTTAGAAGAATTGAATCACATGAAGCAGAATGCGCTACTAAGATACGCTATAATCGATTATCTACGCCTAGGACTAAACCGAAAGCCCATGATAAGAATATCAAATGCGAACAGCGACTACACCCTTTGTCCGACATATCCTGCTAATATCATAGTTCCAAGTGAAACAAATGAAACAGAGCTTTCAAAAGTTGCCAAGGTGCGTATTGTAGTTAAATGTTTGTGAAGAAATCGCTGAGATCGCTGGATTTATTGGAAAGTAATGAAGACTCCTTTCTAGGGATTTGTGGAACATCGTCTTCCAGTAGTTACATGGATGCACAAGAATGGAGCCTTGTTGGTCCGAGCTAGCTCATTCTGCAATCAAGATGTTGTGAAAAAGTTGAAGACGCGAGTTGGAAATTATAGAAAACACGGAAATAAATTGTCAACGGCAATGAATGGCAGTCAACAGACATTGACATCCAAAACAAGTAGCACCGACGATAATTCCTCAAATATTGTTACTGGAAATGAAATTCGAAGCTCGGAAGTTCAAATGAACTACTTCGTGAAGCTGGTTCAGTCGTCACCACATGGTTCATTAAGCACATCAGCTCGCAACAACACTTTGAAAAGTAGAGAAATGATAAATGAATCAAACACGTTTTAATTTTATACATTTAGCAATGAGCAGTGATGAACGTCAAGTAACCGTCAAAATGATGTACGTGTTAGTTGAAAAGGGACAACATATAAAAGTACACATGACGAATTATTCTTTTGTTATATGATTCTGCTTCCAGTTCCCTATTGACAGTGATGTTGAACCAATTGTCGTTAAAAGTGTGAAAGAATCGGAAATACGACGATCATTAAGTAAGGTCCGACAGTTTTTCAACAAAGAACAAAGCAAAGTCAACTACTTCAGCTTGTGGTCAGAGACAAATTGGCCCCAATGTGTAAGAACAATAAATGCAAAAAATTAATTTGACTTTTTTTTAAACTTCAGCTATCACGATTGATTGAAATCTCAAATGGTGTTGCTGCTCTTTTGAATGTTTGTGCTTCATCAGTTGCTCTATGTTTGGACTGTGGAAAGGAATCTACTACTATAATAATGTCTCTGACACAAATTCTGTGTGATCCATACTACAGGACATTCGACGGATTTCAAGTAGATAAATATTGTGAACAGCATACATAACTCATGATCATTTAGACTTTGATAGAAAAAGAATGGCTTGCATTCGGACATGACTTTTCGAATGCTAAGGATGGTTTTTCGTCGTCATTCATCTGCTTTTTGGATTGTGTTCATCAAGTGCGTAAATCGATATAATTATATAATTTTGATAATTACCTCGACACAGATTTTGAGACAATATTCTTTTTCGTTCGAATTTTCGCAGTTCTACTTGAATTTTTTGGCGTTCCATTCAATGTCCGGCTTTTTTTGCACATTTCTAGCTGATTGTGAGGAAAAACGCCTTCATGGGGACAACTTCGAGAATTCTTACTCGAGTGAACTACAGAAATCACATATTTGGACATATATCAATGTAATGTTTGAAACATTTTTTTTATTTATTTAATAGTGTCGAATGTTTTCGTTAAATATAGATAATAATTGTTATTAATATTAACTTTTTTTCAGGAAAAGCGCGATTCATTTTGTTTATTTGTAAATGATTCATACAACAAGAAAGGTCTTAAAGTAATCTGTCCGTCAGCTTGTTTGGCGCAACTGGTTATCTGGAACTTTTTCTGCGAAAAAAACTACCAATATGGATCGCCATACGACATTGGTATGTAATCGAATTAAACCATTTCCTAACCATAAAAATTTTTAGACGCAGCCGTTCTTGAAAACATTTCTAGCGAATCAGACAATGATGAGAGCGTGCCAGAATTTCGCAAACCAACATTTGTCACAAAGAATCAAAACATCATCAATGAGAAGTTCAAAACAGATGTCTTCATGAATTTACTTCAGCGCGAGGCTATTTTTAAACTGTTGTGTGCACCAGCAGATAAAAATTCTCAGCAGACCGTATCTCAGAATGGGACATTGTAGGGTAGAATTCAGTTTATAGGGTGTAGTGTAAAATTTAGAAAATCTCGGCATGAGCTGGTTGCTTTCAAGGGAACAACAAGAATTGAAATATGTTTCAATTGCAAAAATGGAATTACGAAATGGACAGGAGGTATCTTTAAATATTTTCAATTTTGTAAAATGACAATTCCCTCATTCAGCGGTACAATGCAAAAAATGCTTAGTTTTTGTGCATGAGCACTGTGTTGGAAAAGAAATAATCGTTGATGGAATTTCACATGTTCTCGAGAAGCGTCAAATGGAACCAGTCAAACTTCCACAAGAAGCTCTTACTTTTAGTTCAAAAAGTCACTTAATATCACATATTGTCGGTTTCAAACGACTTTAAGAATGCTCAGTCTTAATTCTCGTCTCAATAGGCAAATGTCGTTTGAATTCGACAACTTTTAAAACAACATTTTCAATATATTTTACAGATGAATCAAAAGAGAGCTCAAGCGATACCTTCATGCGAGAAGGAAACTCTCCAACTTTGTTCAATCAAATGCCTCCATTGTGTTCAGGATATTTAAGCAAACGCGGAGCCAAACTGAAATTATGGGTCCCGAGATTCTTTGTGATATATCCAAATCTTCCAAAAGTGTGTTTTATAATTTGAACAAATTTAGTTTTTATTTTAGATTTATTATTACGAAGACATCGAGCAGTGGAAAAATACTGAAAAGAATTCTGGTGTCATCGATTTGGTGGACTTTACCGGATTTGTTATTGAACAAACGGGAAGACGCGCCATTTTAGAGGTAATATATAATAAACGAAAGTTGGAAATTTTTTCTGGTTCCAGATTCAAACCCGTGGTAAAAACTACAAACTTCTTTCCGAAAATATTACGGAAGCCACTCGTTGGAAGGAATGTATCGAACAAGTCATAAAAGAATAGGACACGTTTCAATTTTTTATTCATTTTATTTTGTGGAAAATAGCGTTAGTTTATTTGAAGTATTTAACTTTAGATTTATCATTTTTCTGTACTTATTTCATACTTCTTTGTCCTATGTTATTTTGCGACCGGTTATTTTTGTCTGTGCCCAGTTTAATGCATTTATTGAGTCATTATTAGTTTTCCGTGCATTTAACACCATTCAACATTTCTAGTCTTGCAATATTATACAAAGATTTGCCTAGCTCAACTTGTATTTGCCATATATTTACATACTTTATCCTGTCTATTACTAGAATTTTGATTTAACGGGTAATTCATCAATTACATAAAACTCTGCTTGGATTCTGAAGATATATGTGTAAAATAAAACAATATGATGATTTGTCTGGATTTTATTTTTTTTTTCTTGACGTGATGCTTCTAGTAAAATAATTGTAATGAACAAATCTAGCTTTTCGTCGTCCATAATGGTCGGATCAATCTGAAATCCACTAGTTTCGCTAAAAAATTAATACAAACGTTCTATAAAAATACAAAGCCAATAGAAAAATGTGGAAAAAATTTAATACAAATTTTGTAACATTTATTGAAGAATGTTTCAAATCACAAATACAAGCCGTCTTATCAATAGGTCAATTGTGTATGTTTATTCAGACAATTAATCACTTCGCCACTGCAAAAACCCATCTTCTCTTTATGAAAAGTAATAATTAATCGTTCTTTCGTTAGTGACTATTTCCGGTCGATAAGACATTGACACAATTCTTCGGCGTCTTTTTCACATATTGATCGTTTTCAAATTATTTTGAAATTATTTTGAAACGTAGAATATATAATTAAGTCATTAGTACAAAGATGCCAGATGATACTCAGGCAACAAACATTTTCTTTTGGATGAAAACCGCGACAGTTGTAACAGTGGTGAAAACGAATTATTTCAGTTTCTTCTAGAGTTCTCTTTGACGTCAGCCGAATACATTTTACAAATTTTATTCAGTGAATATATAAGAACAAGCCAATATTGCTTATTTGAAAATTACAATAAAATGTTAATACGAACATAATTTGGGACTGGTATCAACAATCCAATGAAATTGTGAATGTGTCGGAAGATATCTTCATAGGAGAGTTGATTAATGTAGTTGACATGAGATTAAAAAACATATATATCTACGTTTTAAAATAAATGAATTATAAGTATTTGGTATAGAAAAAAGAGAGACAGCAATGAATTTCTAATTCATCCGATGAAAAAAATGACTAAAATACTACAGGAAGATTTTTTGTTGATTATACACGAAAATAACGACAAGATTTTTTGGGTTTTTCAAACATGGATTATTAAACGATTAACACATAGTTAAGAATTACATGAGATAAAAATATAGGTTTCAAATTATCAAAATCTGGTTGTGAAATAGTTGAGTAATCTCAAATTTGGGGAAATTTTTTAATCTGATTGCAATTGAAGAATAATCTTAGCAAAAACCTTAATCCTGTTGGTTGAAATAGGTAAAGGTGAAAAATCTAATCATATCCTTCAAAAAATCATCATAACGTTTCACGGATCACGAGGTAACGCTAGTTACGTGTATGACGAAAATTAGTGATTTGGTGAACAGCGGGTTTTGTTTGAGAAAATTTAGTTGCATTATTTCATGTTGCGGTTTATTTTGTTTGTGAAGCTGAACTTTCGGCTTGTGATGTGCACTCATCATTATCGTCATGTTCAAACAAATTACAATCGTCCTGCAAAAATTCACTTTCTATTCAAATTGTCTCGTTTTTAGGCACCTCGGTTGTGGTTCCACCATAGTTACTCTCTTCATCAAAATGTTGTGGAGTCTCTCCAGCACGGCTGCTATTTCCGGTTGTATCCGTTCCGCTTTTGCTATCGCTATCTTTAATGTTGAGATCAGCTAGCTGCGAATACAAACTGCTTCTGTTGTCAGCTCTAGTTTGTGGTCTCTTCCAGTATGTACTACCGGTTGGAGTTTTCACGAAAACCTGTGAAAACAAACCGTAATTTCAAATTTCAACTTCTGGATTACTAACGCGAACATCAATTTTACGCTCATTAACCACATGACGACCATTGTTGTGAGCAAGGCATTTGTCGGCAGACTCTTTCTCTTCATAAATAACAAAACCAAGGCCACGTGGATGACCAAGAATTTCTACCTGCAAAGAATCGCATTTTTCGATCTCTACCTGAAAAGACCAGCGTGGGTGAGGCATACACAAACAAGCGGGTTAGAGATGTTTCTTACCTGATCCAATGTGCCAAAAGTTTCGAAATAAATGCGCAAAGCGTCAACAGAGTGGACGCCAGCAACAATTCCTGCAAATGGTCCCCAAATCAATAAAAATGTTACATCAATGTTGCACAATTACCGCTTAGGAGCAGCTTACAACCAGGTGCGGGATCGTTATCGAAGAATGGTGGCGGAATCATCGACAACATCTGTTCGCGCGGAATAGCTCGTTTTGAATCAACCTGAAAAATCAATATTATAAAACGCGGATTTATGTTTTAATTCAATTACAGTCTTGCCGCCTATCACGTGCGGCCGATCGTTCATGGCAGCATCGGCGCTAAAAATGGAAGCGAAAGTGACAAATCCAAATCCACGAGAGTGCTTTGTGTTTGGATCGCGGATCACAATTGCGTCAATGACCGGACCCCATTGAGCGAAATAGTTTCCAAGTTGCTCGTCAGTGGTGTCGTGGCTGAGACCACCAATAAAAAGCTTGCGAAGCTGTGGGGGGCTATCATGGTATGGCATTGGGCTCATTCCGACCTGCTAAAAAATATCAATTAATTTCTAAAAATTGCTAAATAGGTTTTACTACATCATCGAAAACCAGGTCGATTACTTTTTCCTTAAAAATATTTAATTTTACAAAAATATCAATGCGATAATGTTGAAACAGAGAGATAATCGTTCTTTCCTCTCACCAAAAAAACATAATCACTTTAAAGCGTTGGTTGGCATTGGCAAAGAACTGCCGTTTTCTAACGATAATCGTAAAAATGAAACGATAGCGAAAAGAGAGCGAGAGAAAAGGGCATACCGCTTGTACGTCGTAACGAATATATTTTGGAAAGACGCTGCACATGACGGTGATGATGTATTAAAGAAATAATGAGCGCACGAGTGGCACTGTACGGACCATGTGTTCCCTCCCGTCTCTCGCGAATAAGCCCACCCCCTTTACAATTCTCGCCATATCCAGCAAACCTGCGTGCTCTGTTTCTCACTTCTCTCACCGATTGATATATATATATATATATGTGCCAAACCATCGCGTCGTCACGCACGTAAACTTACTCGCAACATTTGATGTAATTCCAATGGGTGAATCATTGGTGGATAACCATTGACAGCCCATGGAGCTGGAACAGTTCTATTCATCATGCCATATGGCATGACACCCGCTTGGATCATTTCTGCAAGCTCTGAAATCAAATAATCATTGAAAATTCATTATCAATAAGAATTACCTGGTGGGTAGATTGGACCGTACATTTTGTTATCACCGATAATCGTTCTTGATGGTTTTCTGATAAGAAACTACAAGAAATGTTACAAAATTAGAAAAAGGATAACGAAAAGTATATCACGGTAAGAATTACCATTGTAAAAACCAAAAAAGGCATCTTTTGAATAATCACATCGTTGTAATAAATAAATAATAGTATGAAAATGCAGAACATCGAGAAATTTCAATAACACGATAAAAAACATTTAAGTTCAACAGATGAATAAGATTTTACAATTTCAATTTAACGAGTTAGCGCAATCCGTGTTTTTCATGTTAGAGCATCAGTCCTCTTCTGAAAATAAATAAATTTATTATGGAAGGAAAGATATGTGAGAATGAAATGTATTTTTAAAAAATGATGCAGGCATTTTCTCTCATCACTTGGTATGAAATGGTTAATTGAGAAAAATGACTCACTAAGGGGACGCTTCCGAGATCCCATTGAGATATTAATGCTGTGTGTACGAGGATTATTTCCAACTCGGATGCTCATTAAACTTGGAACATTTTTGGTTGGAGTTGAAGTCGCCGTTGTGAAAGGTGAAGTGGTTTTCTAAATCAATCGAAATATAATAATTCATATTTGGTTTCGAATCTTACTTGTACTTGAGAAACTTGAGCTTTCAACGCGTTAGTGAGAATACTACTCAAATTTTTCGAAATTTCAGAGTTTGACACAAAATCCGGGGCTAAAAATTAATGGTATATTTCGATATTCAATTTTGATCGTCATACGTGGCAAAAACGTTTTCGACATGAGTGGAACGGGTTCAGACTTCGGCTTTGGTTTCGGTGTTTCAGTAGCTACGGGCGGCGGCTTCGAAAAGTCGGGCACAGCTGGCGGCGCTAAACTCATTAACGGCACAGGCTTCGGCGAACGGCGTGGCTCCTCACTCGTCGATGGATTGGTTATTGTTACCGTAACCGCTGATTTAATAGGCGGCGGAGGAACATTCATTGTAGGCAAGAACGGCGGCGGAGCTAAGAAGAACCGAAATTAGTATAAGTAAATAAACTGCGTCTTTTGCGCACATTCGTGACGTTCGATTCAAAAATTTCAGTCCCACATCCTTCCTAACATTCGCATAGTCTTTTACCGCAACACCGCGGAATCTTGATGGGAGATGTAATAGAAATATAGAGCGCGGCAACTTTTGTTTCCTATCGGCGCGGTATTTTTCCTAGCTGCGCTCTGTTCGCATGACACCTATGCGACACAAACGATGGTAAAGTGCGAAAATAGATAGGCGCAATTTGAAATAAGCAATTGAAGGACAGGAACGTCAACCTACCAAGTTGGAAATTTGGCGGTGGTTGTTGCATGAGAGTAGCAAGGCCGCTAGGCGGTGGAAATGGCATGCCCGGTTGACCCGGCAATCCAGGTGGTGGCGGGGGGAATCTAAAAGAGCAATTGTTGACGTGTTGGCCTGACACCTCATTCGAAACTCACTTTCCCAACATCGGCGGGGGAATAAAGCCGAAGCCAAATGGTGGTGGAGGCAACGCAGGAATGCCATTATTCGAAGCATCTGCAGAAAAAAGTTTAAGTTAGTCAGTGCAGTTTTTTTGAGAGCTAAATGGGCTTATATACGCACTTTCGGTGGCTATGAAAACCGAATTTCTCTCAAAAACGAGAACGTTCTGCATGTGCTTCGGCAAATCTCCATGAATTTTTTTAATGTGCTCAATTTCCTCTTTGATCATCTCTTTTAGCTCTCTGTTAAAAAAAATAAAATTGTCCAATTGTTTGCGAATATTATATAGAGATTACTCGTGCAATATTTCTCGTTTTGATTGAATATTCTCCACACATTGACTGAGCTCGTTGATCTCTTTGATGCAGATTCGGAGGTCTTCATCATTAATTAGGGCACCCTGAAACAAATTAAATGAACTGTTTAAAAAAAGAAAAGAGGGTCAGAATTGGTGGAAGAGAACAAATATCGAGAAAACTGTCAATGAGAGAAATTTGGAAAAAAAGAGAAGTAACTAAAAGAAACATATAACTAAAGTAAACGATATTGGACTGCTCAAAAACAGATTAGTTTGCCTCTGCGGGGCGCATCAGCAACGTGCAAACGGTAGAAAAGAAAATGAGGAAGGTGAAGGCCAATAAGAAGAGAGTAGAATTTGTTCTCGCAACTTGCACTATTTTTGCTGATGCCTCTTGACTTCTCGCAGAGATGGGCGAACAAGCAAGTGCGAGAGGACAGTAATCAGAAGCGAAACGCAATATCAAGAAACATTCTGTCGGTGGAACCCAATTCAAAACGCCTACCGGGTGTGTTGTGATATATTCTTGGCAGTTTTCTTTACACTTATATGTTATGGCATATTGGAACAATAGACACCCTAAAAACTGGGATTGTTGCGCTTAGATTTTTTGGAGAAAAGCTGACCGGAACTAAAAACTGAAGCTAAAAATTCTCGATTAAAGCTTTTCAACTCACTTTAAGACAAATAAACTTTTGAATATTTAATATATCTCTTGAACTTTTAAGGGTTTAATGCCTAATATACTCGTTTTAATATTAACGGAAATAGGTTCTAGAGTGATTTATTGGCCTTAAAAAAATTTGCACAGGCACATTAATTTGTTTAGATTGTGCTGACGTGCCGAATAAATCATCAGAAAGAATTGGTTCTCGTTTATAGAAGTTTGACGAAACAGTCGATGCGATAGTGATTTGTTTCCCGACTTAATTGATATGATACTCAATGTTGCACTTCGAAAACCGGTTTTCTAGGCAATATAGACTTTCATTTTTGGTCAGGATTTCTTATATGGGACTATCTTAACAACACCTACACCTGGGAGATCATTGATAGTTCGATTCTGAAGTCCGGTAGTGCGATAGTGTTCATTGACAGGTAAACTGTTTATAACAAAAAAGCAGACAAAGAAAATTTGCGATGTTTAGATAGTAAATTTGTGTCAATGAAATACGAAAGTATTGTGGCGTAATTGCACTTTGAACTACATTGAGAACACAAGAATACTCAACGAAAGATTTTCAAAACTAAAAAAAAAGCCATTTGCAGAAGGCGACGTGCATAGTGCCTTGCGAGCTCAATAAGAGTTTTCCTTCAGAATTTTGTGTGCGCCTCATTTACACTGACGTTTTTCGCAATGAAGGAAAAGCGCTGTAAAAAACGTTGACAAGTGATGGGTGAGCACAGAGAGACGAATCAAATGTGAGTAGCAGATTGTTATTGACTAAGTATTTTTAGAAAACTCGAGAAAAGAACAAACCTGGTTCTCTCCTATTTGAATTAGTTGGCGGCATCGATTCAGAAGAGCTGGAGGATTGTTGCTCAAATTCTTTTTGGATTCACGTTTCTTATCGCCATTTTGATAACGCCGTGGAGTGTCCTGAACATCTCGCGACGACGAGTGCCTGCAAATGTCGCGTTGCCATTATTTAACATATGATATTGTAATCGAAAACAAAAAACCAAATTTCACGGCTGCAAAATGGTAGAAGCTATAAATTTTACCTGATGGGTGAAGTCGATGGTGTTCGCTTGTTATGCTTGGCAGATGGTGATCTTGAGCGCGATCTGAAATAAATGAAATCAACTGTTTTGTAACGTCATGACAATACACCATGATGCAAACAGCGCACAAAACGTGTTCATGAAATCTAAGATGAGAAAACTCTACCGGAGAAGTGACAAGATGAAGTTACGCCAAAGAAAAACGGACAATGAGCGAAACTACCTCTAAGAGGTTCATCTCAGCTGAGGGAGCATCCTCGGCAAAAACGGGTCGCACAGACCCAGCGACAAACTACACAACCAGTGAAATAGCAAATAGCCGAAGAGCTCCATACGCAAGAGCAAACCTCACAGGAGGCGAGAATTGATATGAACCAGGGCACACAATTTTACAAATTATTCATTATTGAAAACGTATGATTGCTTCCTTGACATGAATCTATTAAGAGAATGTCATTTAAACGTTGTTGACATAACTGACTAATTGTAAAAACATGAATATGAATCTTGACAAAAAAATGACTAACGGCAAGTTTTTATTTTTTATGTTGCTTTGAATTTGGGAAACGGAAATACTTATTTCGAAAGAAAATTCTTACGCTTTGGATCAGTTGATTATACTCTGTGTTCTTATCGCAAGATAAGGTTACTCGACATGTTTAATTTCTACAGTGAGAATATTATTATCATTGCACTTGAGCGTTCCAAATAAGAACTGCTGTAAACATTGCATTCAAATACAGAGCAATACGAAATGCTACCGTAATTTTTTCTTAAAAAATCGCGTTGAGCTATTTTTTGTTTTGTGAGTGTGTGACAATGGAATATGAAAAATGTGTTTGTTTTTAGCAATGCGCAAAAATATACATAGCCACTTTCTCTTTCTATTTTTGAACAAATAAAAACATTTGTTACAATGAACCGGGGTGAATTGAAATCAACTAGTTAACGCTCGCTTTAAATTCCATCAGTACCTTCAAAAAATGTGTCCCGCGACGCTTGTTGATTTTATTCTCATTAAAAGATGACATCAATCAAATGGAAAGTCGTCGATTTTTCAAGGACGCAACGAATGCGATTCGATTGAGCGCTGTGATTCGCGCTCAACGTTTCATGTTTGAACTGAACTTTGGAAAAAATTTCAACTATACTACGTCTGTCACCAATGTTCAAATATCAGATTCAATCGACTTATCATAAAGCGAATATAAAAGAAAAAGGTAGAATATTTATCCGGCGTTTCGCACATATGTTTTTGCGTTGCATTCCCTTTACTTTAAATGCATATGCATACATGTAAGCAAGAAAAAATAGCGAGCAAAAACTTTGCTGAAATAATTGTTTACAACGAAAAACGCTCAAGAAGCGAACGGGATCTGACATTTGGGGTCGATGCGGACCAACACAAAAAATGTGGCTGGAGCCAACAATTGTCGTGTTTGACTGATTAATGATATTTGCGTGTGACGCAATGTATCATTCATTGAAAACTTGAGGAGACTATTGATAAACTGATCACAGATTGTTTCTATTTTGTTACATGCAATTGAGACATCTATTGCAGCGATATGAAATGGGGGCGCATCATTTTACCAAGGTTATTATTATTGCATGGAAAGAGATTAATTGGAAAATAATCAATGTTTTGAATCTATCGCTGAATGAAAACATAGGAAATTCGCGTTAGTAAAATCGCATCAAAGTATTAATATCATCATTATAATTTGTTAAATTTCGGTTCCAAAACCCACTAATAGCAGCAGAAAGTTTGAAAGAAAAATTTCACAAATAGTCCAACAAATTGTATAAATCAGATTTACATAATTTTCCAACGCGCAAAACTTTTGAAAGAGTGCATAAAAGGAAAAAAAAGAATTTTCGTTTGCATGAAGTTCCCGCGGATGCTTTATAAATCAAAAGAACTGAAAAGGTTCCAGGAAATGAAATTCGTTGCCTCTATATTTTCTCTGTTACACCGGAGAAAAAACCAATACTTTTCATATGCGAGCCATTTTAAATTTACTCAGCACTACCTTATTGAATCAATCCCTTTTAGCAGTGAAATTCGCATTCGTTTTAATAATGATTCAATAATATAAAAACGACAAACAGCGCAGAAAAGTTACACATGACGAAATTTTCAAACTAAGAGTAGTACTTTATAAAAACGCCATGAATGAATATGAGAAAGTAACGGACTGTCTCTAGACATGACGTGAATCACCAACATTGCGTTGTGCATCGTTAAATAGAAACTGCTCATATTTTGAAAAGAAAGCGTGGGAGAATAATTTGAAATTTCCATATGTAACAAGACATTTGCAAATACAAACTTCTTTTGTTAGCCGAAAAGACGTTGAAATTTCGATTGAAGAAACACAATTTGTTGCAGTTGTTTTCAGATTTGGACTAACACAAAAATATCTTGTTTTTCTGGCTACATTTTGGAACGAAAATCGCTGAACGTTTTATTGCGTTTTTATGGATTCTCGTTAAAATATCCACTGCGCTCTCATATTGAATGAATAATGCAGCAAAAAAACGCCAAATGCCAGAAAGATCGTTGATACGTCTTTCAAAGCGAGGGTAGTGTAAATGAACTTGTAATCGAATACGTGCACTAAGATATGATGGTAATCTGACACCCGCTCTATCGGTGCAGAGATGTATTTGATCTGAATATAGTTTGCCGCAAACAGTTATTGAAAAAAACTCAACTCGGAATATATGTTTTTGCGACTTGCCTCGGTTAACGGCTAAACTTTTGATTTATTACTCATTTGGTCGCGAATTGATTTAGATTAATTTACGCTCAACGTGTATCAAGGACATGCGTAACTTGAAACTAGATTGAGGATCACCGAGGAATGTTTTGCAAAAAAAATATTTTCAACGATGTCGTTGTATCGTATTGTTTAAACAAACCATGCAGCAACTAATAAGTGCGTGTTGGTCGAGAGAAAAGCGACGTCTTCAATGTGGGTCGATTGACGAAGTAACTACACATTTGCGACGGAAAAACATCTCTGATTGACACACGCACAAGAATTTCTTGAAAAAGTCTTGCACGGCCTCAATCCTTTTTTCAAAAGTCATGTGAGCCTTGGAATGCTTTGCAAGCTGTTTTTATGCATTATAAGAAGCTTCAATAATTCAGAACACAACTGGTCCTCATCCATTTTTATGTGAATTGCTCAACCGTTTGACACCAGAGCCTTCCAGTAAACAAACACCAAAATAATATTTTTTAAATTTGGCCTTCTGATGATGCAATAATTTCGAGTAGTTCCGAAAATTGAATTTGTCGTTTTTTTCCGAACATTTCTTCATCACTCGTGCACTTTCGGAGATACGACAATTGAATTAAAACGAAAGAGATGTACGCTTAGAAAGTGCGGAAAGTCACGTATCACTTGAAAGAATAATATTGTCTAAACGACTGATAGGCGGCGGGATCATCAAATTCATGAAAGCAAATATTTCTTGGCGATACTTGAAGCTTAAAAAATGAGACGACAAATTAAAGAACGTAAAGATATACAACTAATACACCCAAGATACACCTAATATTTATTTCTATTCTAGATATGATGTATATTTGCTCACGCTAATGAAAATTTTTTAATAAAAATTAATAGCCTGTTTATTAAGACTCTAAAACGCGTTAAATCCACGAAATATTTTTTTTTCCCAAAAACTGTTTTAAAGTAGAAATCTATGCATATTTGCTTGAAATTTTGATGAAAACTCAGAACGACCAATTAAAAAAACTTTTCTTTAATAATTGAAAATTTGAAGAAAAAATTACAGTTTTTTTTAACTTCAAACAGATTGCAAAACCCTGTTTAAAGTGAAGTGTTACAAAAAGCGGAAAAAGGAAACGTGTTTTGTTTACATTACGAACGGTGAAAAAAAAATCATAATTCACCAAAAGTCATATATTTGAAATATAATTATACGTTCAATGCAACTGCACATTTGCTAAAGCTTGCTTTTCACGAGCACTGCCAAGCAACACAGAAAGTAGGGAAACTCATGTCGATATACATATTTTAAACGAGGGAATGATGAATAACGGAAAGAGAATTTTATCAAAGGATTAAATCCTACTAATCATTGAAAACACATACCTTTTCTTGTGTTTGTGCGACTTGTGCTTCTTCTCCTTCTTTTCTTTTTCACGCTTATACTCCCTTTTAGACTTTTCCTGTTTTGGTTCCTAAACATTCAAAAACATTTTAAAATAATCGTTTTTCAAGAAATGTCAAACAAATAAATTTATTGTTCTTTATGTGAATTTTTTTTATTGAATGAAATAAATTAAAATGTTTAACTTTAATTTTTCAAACTGATAAATGCATATCAATTTTTATTAAGGATAAATGCGTATTAATTTTTTTGGGTTACTAATTTTTAAAAAGCCCTAAATCATTTCATTTTTTTTAAGTTATCGTATAAAACGCAGAATTTGTTCACATTCAAAGATAAAACATCACTTTCGCACAGTATGATTCGTTTAATAATCAAATGAATATTATCGATTTTTCGGCATTCAGCCTATCTTATATTTCTCCCGCAATTATTATCGATTTATCCTGCAGTCTGCCTAACTGTGATTTCTTGATTTAAAAAATTATACAAACTTCTTTCACCTCGATGTTAGATTCAGTCAGGAAATTCTGCGAACCGTAACTTTCAGAAGGAATCGGATCCGGAGAAGCAGGAGCTTCCGATTTAATCGTATCGGAAAGGTTTGTAAATGATACCTGCACAAAAATATTGCTTGAATTAAATGTAAAATAGCTTACATCCGCAATTTCACCTTCCGAATCAATAGTTTCTTGTTTGACAAGACTTGTATCTTCTGACACAATTTCTCCGTTTTCTTCAGGCTCTTCTCTGGAATCAATAAGTTGAACAAAATTATCAAAACTTCTTTCTTACGATTGGATTTGATCGCAAACATTAGCTGTCGAAGCTTCCTCGTCTTGATTCGGCCGATCCATATTCAGGAGTCGTCAACTACAGGCAAAAAATGATAAAGTGAGATAAAACTCGTTGAAAACAGCGGGTGAGAGTGGTCTCAGCACGCTACCCTTTGCTGTCCAATTGAGCAGACTTGCAGCGTGGGGAGAGACGTCAGCAGCGTCAACGGGTGTTGTGTTCGATGAGTGATGTACTGCTAGTATTGCTTAATCGCTAACACCAACAATGTCACAGAATTAAAAATTTCATTTCTATTTTAAAATTTTTTAAACAAAAAAGGCAATTTGATGTATTTTGGGAAAGCAACTTAATGAAAATGAAAAAAATACGATCAATTGATTGTGAACAATATATTGTCAATTAGAAAATTCGAACGTCGCTATCTTAGCTCAGAACATTCTGGGTATTAACATCACATGTGTTTTTCGAAATCACTGATCTTCAAGATGTTAAACCATTGACCACAACAGTTTCGTAATAAATTGCGTAAGCCTGAGTAACAATTATTTTTAATAAAGAAAATAGATATAATAAAAAGGAAAACATACATATGAAAATAAAGACGATGTTTTTTTCTGAAAACTATTAACGTCTGAAAAAAATTAAAGAAATTTAAAAAAAACGATAATTATTTATATATATATATATATATATATATATATATATATATATATATATATATATATATATATATATATATATATATATATATATATATAAATGTAAATGTTTACATTGCAAGCGAAACATAAAATCGATAAATATGATTGAAAATTGAATAAAATTTCTTGGCATAGGTGTGAACTATACTGGCACACAAATTGGCGCACGACGACTGAGATGGGACAGAATTATAATATGTTCTTCAGCTACTGTCTTTTATGGACGTTCTAGCTATTTTGTATTTTAGCATATCTTAGAATTTATTAATTAGGCTGACCAAAGAAATTCGGAAAATGTCGCAATAATCTAGAAAAAAAGAAACGTTCCTGTGAAAATAACAATAAACAGTCACATGAGGCGAGACCACGACGAAAGTACCACCGTAAATCCACAAATATACAGCAGTAGTTGAATGCCATGTATATATTCAGTGCGGTGCATAAAGCCACCTCCGAATACGAATGACAAAATTTTCAAAATTTCAGACCAAAGAGTACCAAAATCTAATTCAGAATGTAAAAAGACAAATTTTTACCAATTTTAATGTTGAAATCTTTAAAAGTACAGCACCAATGTTGTCTATTTTGTATTTTTCATAGAAATATTTTTTCTATATTTGAATATTTGTATCACCTATTTGAAAAGCGGCGTGGGGGATTGCACGAGGTTTCCGTGTAATTTCAAATTCTTTCATTCTTCGGTCAAAAACTTGCATTAAGTTTTTTAAGGATTCAATTCGATTTGGTGAGACAAGAAAATAGATATCTGAATTCTCGTCTTTCATCGATGGTTCCCCAGAATAGAATTCGCTGGAATATAACCCGCATAAACCTCTGTTAATAAGTCTCTGTTGGCAATACAGCGCAATTGCGATGCTTCCATTTCGAAGTTAAATTTATTGTAAAAATTAATTAATGGCACAAAAATAATTTCTAAAAGGTGAGTTGGCGTTGAAACACAAAAAATTAGAAGGAACCTTTAAATACTGGATGATAATATAGTCGACGTCCGGCGACTGCTGTACGCGGGTAGATTTACGGGAATGCGTCTTTCGAAATGGTCTCGCAAGGACCAACAGGTTATTTCAATTTTTATGGACCGGTTCGATAATTTTTAAATCAAACGACATTAGAAGTTTCAAGAAATGCTAAACTCATCAAAAAAAATGAATCAGTTCACGTAAAAACAGCCAAATAAGCATTCACGCGTGGCGAGACCTTTTCAAGGCGCATGCGCGCAAATCTACCCGCGTACAGCAGTCGCCGGACGCCGACTATACATTTATAATTAAAGCTAAATCATGTTTAGCATATACGAAATATTGCAGAAGGGCCAAATCAAAAAATGGAATGTCGGATGGCGAGGTTTATTTCGAACGACTAAAAATAATCTCTTATTTTTTGATATATTTTGACCTGATCTTGTTTTTTTACTTTAAGATTTTAGTTAGTTTGTTCTCTATTAACAAGCGGGTTTTATTATTGCGAGTTCTATTACGTAAAATCACCTTTTAAGCAATGACGGAGATTTCCGCCTTGGATTTCAATATTTCATTGGTTGCGTGTTCGTTTAATTAACACCGTCAACGCCTTTCTTTATGGTATCGACTTTATTTTCAACGAGGCAAAACTTTTTTGCAAAATATATTGCACGTTTATATATGAAGAAGGAAAGAATTGATTTAAACAACATAACCGCACGCTACAAGTTGTGAGTTTATTCCACCGTCAGAAACAAGGTCCGCAAAAAAAGTTTTTTTTTATTACTATGAGAGGCCACTCTTTCCCCTGAAAAAATTAATTGCGTTATTTTTTAGATGTTTCCGTTGTTTAAGAGTGCAAATATGTATTTTTGAAGCAGTGATGAAATTTTTTTAAATGTTGGCGGGTTATTTTTTTTATATTGGCGGGTTATTTTTTTTTAAATATTGGCGGGTTACAAATGTACATTTCCAACAGTAATCAAAGGAAAAATAATTTGGGAAATGTCGGAAAAAAAGAAATGTCAAAAATAAACAAAATTTCAATGAATTATTTTATCGAAAAACAAAAACTTCAAGTTTAACGCATCACATTTGAAATAAAAATTTATTTAAATATATAAATGGTAATGAATTTTGAAAGCATTTACGATATTGTGAATGATTTAATAATTGGGATAAATCGCATATTTCGTTAAAATTTCCGACTTCTTTTCTGAAAATATAAAAATCGAAAAATTGGAACAAAGTTTGATATAATTTTTTAATCTAACACAGATTTAACACACAACAAATTTGTGCAGGTCAATTTGACAGTAATATTTAAGTAAGTTTCGCAGTTTTAGATATTTTTTTTTTGATAAGACTCTGCGTACCAAAAAACTTCGTCCAATGATTTTAAATAAGAGAATTATAAGTCAGGAACGCATCGAAACAATAGCATCCAACCAGATATTTCAGATGTTACTAGCAGCAGTTTGCGAATTTTCCTGATATTGATTTAATTTGCAGTTGTTCATGATAGATACTTTTTTGTTCCTTTTAAGTTGTCGCATGAAAAATACTTTCGAATTATTTTTATTTCATATATTAATGAATTCTTTCTTTTATTTATTGAAATATAATATTAACTGCAGTATTATCCATTTTCGAAAAAAATTATTTAATGATTTAAAAAAATTTTAGTGATAAGAAAGTGAAAAAAAAATTATTTTTTTTTGAGAAACATAAACAAATTATAGAAGAAATTGTGATATTCTAAAATTACTCATTCAAATCGTAACCGAAAATTTTTAAAATAAATGTTTATCTAACATTCCCTCATCCTCAAGATCAATTTTGTGATGCTATGTCGAAGTTTCTCAAATTTCAAACACCTTTAGATTTTGTTGATCAGAAAACAACACTTGTCCACCTCCACGTTTCTTCGTAATAAAAACATTTTCAACAAAGATCGCGTCTAAAATATTAAAAACCAGTGATAAGGACATTCAATTTATTGTTTAGAAGATACATTAAAATACGGTTCAGTAGCAAAAAAGGATCGAAATATCAGATTGCAATAGAATGTTGCATTATGAAAAGGAATGTAATTATGGCTATTGTGTGGAATAAAAACAAATTGCACTGATATCTCTAAAGTTTCCACAAAAAATGAAAATCTAAGCGTTACAAATCATAAACGGGGACCATTAAACCGAATAGTCACCAAAGACATCAACACGCTTTAATAAATTGGCGTAGTTCTCTGCAAAACTGTTTCTATGCCGATCTAGCTAACAAGCAACTAATCATTAATTAAAATTATCAAAATTAAAAGAATATTGAAAGGTTTCATAAGTTAGGGGGTGCGAATACATTACAATATACAACTCAATTGTGATAAAGATATACTAATTATAACATCAAGAATTATAAAAAAGTCAATTAGTTAAATAACAATACGATTAATAAGTAAAACGACAATAAGGCATCAATAAGATATATTACTTAAGAGATTAAAACTTAATCAAATGAGCAGTTCATGGAATCATGATTTTGAATCATTTGGTCAAACCAGTCCATGTTTTGCTAAAAAAAACCAAATTATTCTCACTGTCATACTAAATTTTAATGCTTACCTGGTTACTCATGCTACTATTTCCTGGATAGAGGGTATCTTGATTGTTTTTCTGAATAAATAAAAAAATATTCCATTAAAAATAAAATTTTGAAAATTACCATACGGCTGTTTGGACTCTGCGGATCATATTGTCCCTGATTATCGATATTTCTATTGGCAGTATCCAACCAGTCGTCACCAAGAATCGTGGCAAGTTCATCGCTATCCAAGTTGATTTTGATGTCGTCATCTGAACAATATTCTATTTGAACTTTGAACAATGTAGCATCACAATGAATTATATTCTTACTTTCTGACATGTTCGCCACCATTTCGTCAATATTCGGATACGGTTCCTAAAAATTCGTATAATTAAAATATCAAATTAGAAAAAATGATATACCGTATCAAAGAAGTTGATATCCAACTCATGTCTTTGATGCGGATTTTGGGGCATAAGCGGAGAGGTGGTTTCTATTGGCATCTTCATTTCAATATATCCGTTTTGTTGATACATCGTGACTGAATTGCTCATACATTCGGTTTGCATATTTCTCTCTGCTTGGAAATGAAAACTCTCGTTCATAACAACAGGCTTCTTTTGAACAGTTTGATGATTATCCGTTGCTGGATTATGTTTGGGCAATGGCATTGAATTATCAGCAACATTTCCATGACGCTCTTTATTGTAATGATGATGCTGCTGATAATGATGGTGAATTTGATGATGATGGCTTCTGCTTTCTTTCTTTCCGAAATTCTTCAAGCTTGAACGGGATGCGTCCTCAATTACAGTTTTAAATATCTCCTCCATGTCGACATCTTCGCGTGATTTTTTATCTGTTGGCGATGGAACATCCTTGGTAGATGAGACATTCGTATTTGATAAAACTTTTTCAGTATTCCCAGAATTGTTGCTAACAACATGGTTGCTGTTGGCGTTCTGATGATTCAAGTTGAGATCTGGCGAAATATTAGATAGCTGCTCTGGGCTTAAACTGCATTGAGTATTGGCAGGGCTATCGCATATCGTTTGAGGCGTTGTGAAGTTTATTCTATTGTCCGGTGCCATGTTTGAGCTGAGAGTGACGATTTGCACAGAACTCTGGTTGGAGCTTTGATTGCTATTGTCTGTTGAATCAATCTGGTTGCCATGCTTAGAAGGATATCCAGAATTTTGGTTGGAAGTGTTGTTGGCACTGCCAGCAAGAACGTAAGAAGAAGTTACGTCTGTGCCGCGATTTGAAACAGAAGTCGAGTTGATATTTTTTGTGTGATGAATGATTTCAATATCATCATTTTGACTCTGATTCGCTTGAAGATTGTTGAGATTTGCCTTCAAATGATTTCCAACGTTTTGAGTGAATCTGTCATTGGGATTCGCTCCGACAATTTTTTCCATGTTGACGTTTGAATTCTGGTTCACGAGCTGGTTAGCATTTATACCATTCTTGGTATCCATGTTGGAATTGGTGTTTGAAGTGAGATCTTGTCCGAGGTTTAAAGCATTGACAGTCGTGATTTGAGATGGAGGCTTCAACATGTTGTTTGCAATGGAAGTGATGGTAGAGTTGATATTGGAATTGGTATTGGTATTGAGATTCGCAGAGACGTTTGGATTAAAATTGGAATTGATATTTGCGTTGCAATTGGAGTTTGCATTTGAATTGTAGCTGGCGTTGCTTTGGATCATAGTGGAAGTGATGTTAGAGCTCATTGAAGTGTTGTTCACATTCATGATGACATTTGATGTCATATTTGAACTTCTATTCGCTCGCGCTATTGAATTTATTGCTGCATTTCCAGCTGAGTTTTTCTTCGTCAATTTTGCCGGCGGAGCATCAGATTTTTGCTCGTTATCTTTTCTTTTTTGACTACCAGATTTGTTTGAAGTGACATTAGAGTTTCCAATTCGTTGTCCTGACACAATGATTGAGCTGTGCAATTTTCTTTTCTGCTGATTATCACGTTCCATACGGTATTTGTGAAGAAGTGACACAATCAACAATGCGGTCCTGGCATCCTGTTTGATCAAACGCACAATATCTTCAACCGCTGTTCCCACGTGAAGCTCTTCCACTAATCTGGTCTCAGTTTTATGAAGGCGATTGTGTTCGTCGACAATTTGCTAAAACTTGAAAACTGCTATTCAAATCACTAGACCAACAAACCGAAAGCTGTGTTTGTTGCGCTTTGTGAGTCAAAAATTGCTGAATGTGCTGCTTATTCATATTGTGAATCTCAGGCGTGTTTACTGCGCTTTGCTGCTCCAATGTCTGTTTGTTCTGGTCCTGACGAATTTTCTGCTGCAAATACTATTATTCAATTAAAAACCCATTTCTTCTGTGAACAGACACTTACCTGTTGCTTTTTCGCAGCTAAAATCAACTCTTGTTGATCTTTCAAAATTTTCTGATTGCTCGCCAAAAGTTTCATGACATTAGCTATTTGCTGCTGTTGATCACGAAGCATTTCTTCATGAATTTGCAACGTATCTGGGGAGAGTCTGAAAATGTGAGATTAATTATCAAAACCAATTAGAAACGTACAAATTTTGAGTGTCGTTTGAATCAAGTAGTGGGGCACCTGATGTTTCGTCGATTGCGCTAATTTCGCCATTGAAACTCATATGTTCAACTCCGGGCATGTTGGGCGATTTGCCCGCTTGATCACCCGCGCATGGACTGTCTTGAAGCCTGAAATTCGCCTGAATCAGTATATAAATGGAATAGAAACTAGATACATGGTCTTCTGTGGGATGATTTGATATGTCGTATTATTATTAGCACTAGAGTTAGTAATATTGGCGTTAGTGGTGACTGAAGTCTCGTTTTGAAAAGTCTTGTACTGAGAAGCCGTAGATTTATAAGTAATTGACTGTTCACAATTCTTTTCTGTAAGAAGGTATTTTACTTTTTTTTCCAAATATTTCTAATTATTTACGTGGCAATATTCCGAGGTTTCCACAAGAATTCTGCTGGTTCTGCTGAGTTTCATCTCCCACAACGTCTGTAACAATTTTATATTTACCAAACATTCCAGCAGTTACTCTTACGAATTATCGGTCTCTGGTTGGCGATACCAGAAGTTTGAGTGTCGAAAATTGGCTCCTCAACAGAAAAATCTGTGTTATTCACAACAGTGAACTGCAATAAACTCTTTCATTTTTCGCAAATAACGCAAATTATGACACACCTGTCCGCCAGAACCCAATTGAGAGAATCGGAATATATTATCCGTTTTCTGAATGAATTGCGACGGCGGAGGACCAGCTACTGCTCCATAATTCATTGGTTGTTGCGCGGTCGAATTGCTGCAACAATTGTTTTCAGTATTGCTATAATTTCCAGTCGGGAGTTTTCCAGATAATACAGAAGACCATCAATAGCAAAAAAGTAATAATTCTTCGAGTATCTTTTATTTATAAGCTCATAAAAAAGCTAGTAGGATTTACTCAAGTACCATTTACCAAAATAAAAAGCTCTTGCATAGCAGCAATATACCTTTAAATAATTGATTTCTTAATGTAAATTGTTTTAATTCGAAAAACTTCAAGTGTAGAGCATCCTATTTTAAGCAGAAAGTGCTTTGAATATGAAAAATGGTAGTGAATTTTTAAAACACTTACGGTGTCGTGAATGTTTTATTATCCGGAGTAGTTGGCATAGTTCCTTGAATGCTTGTCGGATATTGCACAGTTGCCATTCCAAGTACTTTTCCATTGCTGTCAACTAACTGAAAACCAGATTTCCCTCATTTTTGTCCCCATTGTATTATGTATCATAGCTACTATTTCACTTCAAATCCGTAGTCCCAGTGACAAACAAGACGTTTCCTATCACTAAAAGATGCTCAAGCAAGGTTCTGAACGAGCATCTGTTGATTGTTTGTTTGATAAAATTGGAGAAAACATGGGAAAAGATAGAGCGTGCAGAGCAAGTAAAAAGTATTCAAGAACTGTCATCAATAACTCGGTGGCGTGCATTTTTTTTAGAGCATCCGACGTGTTTATTGCAAGACTTCGACGAGGTTTGATATATTACTAGGCAGTAGGATGTTTACTTCTCGTTCATATTGGAGACCTTTTTGTGATTGCATTAAATAAATAATTTAATGAGATCCCATTCCTCCTCAATCATTCTGAGCTCATCAATAATTTTGCAGAATAAGATGAATTGGCCGACTAGATTAGAAAGTTTAAAGTAATTGCTGGAGAGGATTTGATTGCAGCAAATTCAAATACCTGGACAATCTTCGGATTCGGATTCGAAGTGGATTGCATTTGAATTTTGATCGGCTCGTTGACTGTTTGCTTTAAGTAGTTGCTGATCGCATTACTAGAACTGAAAATGATAGTGTCTGTTTCAAAATTTTCGACTACTACACACAAATGTGACAAGCGATTGGGCAAATGCGCTTCTCAGTATTCAAAGATCAATAAACAAGTGCTCACCTCATCGAAGACAACGACTTTTCCAAGGCGTCATGGATCGGTGAATGTGTATCAAGTGTATCTATACTCGTAGTAGATGAACTGACAAAAAATTCGTCGGCAGATGTTGTTGTACTGCTGGCATCAAATGTTTCAAATGAGATTTGAGAGGCCGCACGGGCGTCCATGATTTCCTGTTGGTAAGGACGGAGACGTTCGATAAGCTGAGGTTTGGCACCTAAATATGGAAGTCTTATTATTATTTAAATAAAAGTATTAAAGTTCTGAAAAAAATTTGGAAGCAATCTTAATTTCTTTCTAAACTTCAAAATTAGCCAACATTCTTCAAACAAAATGAATGATATTTTTTATTGTCACCTCGCGGGAAAGTGGGAAATCTTTTCAAAAATGGAGAAGTGAAGTACATAGCACTTATCGGGTATCACGTTTCATAAGTGTGCTACCAACGAACGCTTCTCATCAAAAAATTAGAAAAGAAACGAACTATGCCTAATGTACATTTTTTTTTCATTTGTTCCGTTAGTATTATGCTTATAAAATATTCGTAGATTCGAAACCATCCGAGTTGCTTAAACACGCAAGAAAAAAAAAACAATGCAATTAAATTAAATGAAAAGAAATAATTACTTCAAATCTATTGAGAAATTCATGATAACATTTTAGTAAGGGAAAATACGGGTGAATATTGAACAAACATTTGAGCACTTGAAGATTGAAAGAAAAAGTGGCGCCGAAAACTATATAGCAGGCTTCAAAAATCAAAGAAAGCGAGCAAAAATCAAACCTGATACTGGTAGGCTGCGCAGTTTGCATTGATGCTTCAATTCTTGCACCTTTAAATCAGACAGCAATCTACCAGTTGTCGTTGTGTTTTGAAGATGGAGTTGCTGTTGCTGATGAAGTGTTTGGGGCTGGACCTGCTGCGGCGGTGACCTCTGAATTCGTTGGAGCTCGATGACCTCATTACACGTCGAATTGATCGATGACTCCTACAAAATCTCGCAAATGGGATTCTCGACGCGCGTCATTGTTTTGAATAGCTTTTCGCCCACCTGTCATAAAGTGGGCGAAAGAAAAATGCTCAAAAATTCCATAGTGTTCCTACTGTTTTATGTGATTTTCTTTTTGAAATCTCGTTCCTACCTGCTCGTTAAAGATGCGACCGCACGATGGATCAATCGTTGACGGCTGATTTCGTTCAACATATGATACAACTTTGTATGCAGTCGTATATGAGTGTGTCTGCGGTTGTGATTGTGCCGTTTGTGTTACAACAGTCTGTTGAAGCTGTTGTTGCTGTTGCGGTTGTGGCGGTTGCTCCGTTTGTTGTTGTTGTTGTTGATTCTGAGATTCTTGTGGTACGGTTTGCTGTTTATTTTGTTGATGCTGTGGTTGCTGAAATTAACGTGAATTTACGTCAAAAAACAAACAGTATGAAACTTTTTGGCTAAAGTCTTTCAAGAGCCTCGCACTTGATTGTTGGTCGAAATGCAGGGCACGTTCGGGATTCGAAATTTTTGAAAAAAAAAAATTAAAAAGACGTACCTGGCAATAATTGGTAGAAATTGGTTCAATTTCGTAGCATGTTTTGGTCGGCCCACTTGGAATGGCTGTAGTTGTTGCTTGGTTCAACACATCCATGTTCTCTGAAATCCAGAAATATAAAGTAATAAGTTGGAAAGACTTTTTGCGGTGGAAAATAAACAGAGCAAACGAAGAAATTATGAAAAGAAGGAAATAACCTCAGTATCATGAGAAACTGAAAAGACAAGGGATTTGCTCGAATCTTTGATCAGCAGCCGTCGTTTTCCAATGGCATTTTTATTGGCTGGAGGAGAGGCAACTAGGAGAGCTGGAGCTCCCGCACGCACTGATCCCGTGCCAATGTTTTCTCTCCCGCTTTTTATTTTCGTCTTCCCTTTCATCATCTTCTTTCTTTTTTCTTCTTCTTCTTCTTCATCTCATTTTCCATCTTCATTTTCATTCTCATCACCTCAATTTTTCGTCACCCAAAAATACTTCCTGGAGAGTTCGTATTCGGATAAGAAATATATCCGTGAACGAGGTGATTGTCGTCACATTCAAAAACCATCATGAAAATGGAGGCGAGCTTTGGATGAGTTTTATAGTTAGCAATTAAATATGCACAATGTCCTCATTGTAACAAGTAGCTAAAAGAAATTCAGAATTTCACATGCATTTTCAGACGTCATATTAATGTTAACCTTCAATATTCCTTGGGGACTTTTGTTTTATGAGTTGTGTAATCGAAAATGAGCGAATTTCTCTGATGAACTTTTTTCTGGTCGCATGCATAGCTAAGAAGACTTAAAAATGGTGCAAAGGGTTTTTTTTTAAAAGGTGAGACGAAATTCCAGAAAACCGGATAAATTTATGAATTTTAGTACACAAAAATTGGAAAAAAAATTGATAAATTATCAAGCGTTTCTTATCAGTCCTCTCGAATGGCTCTTATATTAGGATGTGTAAACAGAGCAAAGGATACAAACTGATAAACTTCATAATTCAATGTTTTCAAAAAATCACGCATTGTTACAGTTGAATGGATTGGAACAATGCGCTATACATACTGCTGATCAGAAGTAAGTTAGACAAAATTAAAATTGTGACAATATTATACTAAGCCGTTTCAATAAAAATTGCATAAAAACATCGACGTTATTGATTATAAAATCCAATTGCGTTAATAGCTTATGTGTACCAGTGAACAAACGCAAAAAACCAATTATGTGATGCGAGGATGGATGAGCTTTGACTTCTAAACACATAAAGAATGGAAACGATTTAAAATTTGTATTTTAATATTAAAATTGTCATATGAGATTTGTGTGCATTTGAGTAAATGTATACATTTCTTAACACCAAATTAATTTCGCATTGCGCAAACTTGCACTCCAAGCATAAAACGAGAAGAAAGCTAGAGTTTACTGCCAACTTGATAGTGGTCATTTACGAATGCATATTTACTCGAAGGAGAACTTTTCGCACGATTTACGATTATTAAACAGATGTGAGGCGTGGTTTCGGGTAAAAAAAAACAATAGAGAATTATATTTGAATAACAACCGTAAGTTACACAAATCAATCAACCGATTGTTAATTTATTTACGATATCATGAAGCAAAGTGTTAAAAATTTGAAATAAACACTTTCTGTATCGAATTTCCATCGTGCAACGGCATTGTATTGATTTTAGTAAATTATTGCATGTTCAACTCGGAAATTAGAAATTAAGCATGAAATATTGTCGTTTGCAACAGTTGTAAGAAGATTTCTGTGAAAATATATAAATAATTTTGCACCAATTATTCTCAATTTGGATAATTCGACTGATACTTAATTGAAAATTTGCTTTCTATTTTTATATATTTTTTTATAAATAAAAAGTAGTTAATGATTACTTATCGTTTTGCGTATAGAATAAATTCCATTCAACTACCTAAATACCTTCGAAGGAAAAGCGCACACCAAATAGGCATGCCGAAAGGAACAATGGGATAAAACAATGAAAGGACCTAGAGTTCCATTGCAGTTGCAATTTTTTATATGAACGTTCAAACGCTTTGGTACGGAGTGTGTGGAATTGAAATATTAAGAAGATCGCTCGGCAACGCAACAAACAACAGATATCGAAATCCCGAACCCACTCAACAGGAAAACAGCTGTCAGCATTCCAAGACAGAGATTTTAGATTGATCGAAAAAACAACAAAAAAGCAATTGTTAAGCTTTATACCAATTGTGAACGGCGGAAGCAATAATATATATGCAAAACGGATGCTCTTAAAAGAATGTAGTTAGAAACTCGAAGTATAAAAAACCATGTGGACCATTCAACATTGAAATGTTTCAAACTTTTCGGAAAAATGAAATGGCAGTCTATATGCCTCCCACACACAATATGGCAAGCAGATAGAAAAAGTAAAAAGAAGAACATCTGTGCTTCCAATTAAATTTATGTATGAATGTCATGAAGGAAACATTTGCGTCGGTTGTGATGCATTGGTTGTGGGATTTTGGTGACTAGCCCAACCTACGTAATCACAACCAACAAAATATTGCTGCCTGGCACACACGCATATACATACATAAATATGAAAAAGGTTATCAACGTTGGGAACAAACCATCGAATGACCTTTGCATATTCGTATATGCAATGATAAGACTAAAAAAAGCTGAATCCATTAATTTTATCACGCCCTAAATACCTACCAATTATTCTCAATAAAACATTTTTTCTCGGCTAACAGGGGTTCCACGAGGGCGAAAATTTGAACGCCCGCCCACTGCCTCCCGTTGGCAAACACGTTCATTTCATGCACAAAAAAAGAAAATAATCAGAAGTTACTTATCCTTGGTATAGAGTCTCATTTTTTTTGTATTCGTGAATTGAATGTGTTCGCCAACAGGCGGCAGGGGGCAGACGGCGGTCGCTCTCGCATTACCACCGGCCCGCGTGGAAACCCTATTGGCTGTGCGCACTGAAAAAGTAAACGTAATTGTATTTCCCAACATTAATTATTGAATTTCTAACATGGGATTCAATCATGCTCAAGATTTGGAAATATCGAATAACACAGAAGAGCGGAAATAATTGTGTATAAGACCCACAGTTCCATTTGAAGCATCAAATTAACAAATTTTAAGTATTGAGAAAAAAGTGTAAAGTGAAGAAATCTAGGAAAAACTGCCACTTGGGAACAAATCCGCACCTTTGATGCTATCTTCTATTTTTTTTCATAGGTTGTAGCGGCTCCGAATGCTGCTGTCACTATAGGAAGAGAATGAGAACTTTTCGTAGGCACGTTTGTTTCAAAGACAGATCCAACCCAATTTCTCCAAATTAGCACCTTTCTGCGAAACTTAATTAGAAGGCTTTTGAGGAAATATACACCCTTAAGGAAAAAAGAGGTTGAGAGGACAGCAGTATTAATAAACAGTTAATAAAAATCGTATTAAGTTCAATGAAAAAACTACATCGAACATGATGATTAATAGAGAATAAATTTTTTATATTTATATCAATCGATAATAAATTTATTTTTAAAAAATTGAGGAAGGCGAAAAGAAGAAAATGTAAGAAATGGTCTAACATTGCAAAACACCATCCAATGCGCAAGCAAGCAGTAGTTTTGAGTTTTTGCAGAGCGAACCAACGATGAATCAGCCGCAAGATGGGATGGCAGCAAACGCGTTGTAAATAGCGTGTGAATTAGTTTTTGCAGCAGTTTAAAACAATAAAAACTGCTTACGAAATATCATTAATATTTATCATTATTGTTCAAAACTAATATTTTCGAATTCGGTGGGAGTATTTTTTAGAAAATTTTGCATGAAAAAAATCGAAGGAAAAATGCAGAATGTTTTTAAATGTGGTAGGTAATCCTCCAGCAACAGCATTTAAGCCCCACACATTCTCAAAAAAAGCACTTAAAATGAGAAATGGAGAAGAAGCTGGAAAATCTTTATGGTTAATCTTTCGCTACACTTAATATACGTCGGAAAGATTAATAAATCTCTGAAAGACACACATGTGCAGGGCATTCCGTTTATCGTAAAAAATTAGGAGCGAACGCGGGATTTCTCGCGATTTTTACGATCAGTTAATGTGCCCCGTTTCTCGAAAATAATGAGAAACACTTGGATAATAAGTCGAATTTGTCATAGAAATTACTCAAATTGTTGTAAAAAAGTACATGAAGTAATATTTTAAATTTGTTAAATTCAATTCATCCTGTTAATAATATTGCTGTTTAGATCATTTAAGAAATAAACTCAAGGAGCAGTTTCAAAATAGCTTTTTTTTTGCAGTTTTAATATTAAATGTTTATTTCACTGGTACTATTGAGTTTTTTTTTTTCAAATCTGCAAAATACCATAGAAAACCGAACAATTTTCATTCCCCAAGTGATATTGAATTCTCTTTTATAATAGTCACTTTTGAGATAAGTTACCGATAACATCAAAACGACAATAAAAAGTGTCTGACAAGGGAAATTTGTTCGTCTATCGGTTAGGAATTATTGCCTATTTTTGCACAAGAATAGTTCGTGAAATTGAATATCACAATGGATTTAAGCAAAAAAGAAACGAGATGAATTATTGAATACAAAAGGTAAATTGTTGCGAAAACCAAGCTTTTGAATTTAAACAAACGAATGTGGAACAATATCAATAATTGAATAGCTTTTATATGATAAAATTTTAAATCTAAAAATAAATTGGAAATAACTTAAATTAAAACGCTACATATGGTTTTGATCTTGTCGTATATGATTGAAAGCGATCTTTTACTAATGAAAAGTAATCATTGTTATTTTCGAAGAAAACTTAAATCTAGAAGTATCGAATATTTAAAAAAAAAATCGTTACATTCTCTTGAAATTTGGACTCTTACGCAATTCGAATCTCTTTCCCTCGCACCGAGAAACGTTCAATGAAATCTAAAAATTGCTGTTTCTATTAATAAAATATCTGTTTGTAGGATGAAATTATTAATAATTTCCGCAGCCATTTTGTCAATATAAAATCAGATCTGAGTAATATAATGTTACGAAATGTTTTATTACACGTATCAAGTAATTTTCGAAAATGAATATATGACAGACGAATTGGCTTGTGATTAAAGCTTTGGTGTTATAGTCTTGTATTCATTTTTAATTAGATATAATGTGAAATTATTTGAACAATAAATCAGTTTTCAATGGCGCTTTCAACAAATTTTGAATTCGGCTAGGAATCAATTAATAAAAATAAATAAAATTATCAAAAATGGTTTTTATCATAATAATTTTTCCAAATTCATCCGTTTTTGACAAAATGTATACTCTTGATTGAAGAGTCATCGATATCTGTCGTTATTCGATCAATTTCTTTGCGAACATTTTTTGCTCTAGCGGGCTCCACTTAATCATCAAAAAGTACATTTCTGCAGTGGCTCAAAAATAGTTTAATAGGTTTCGGCATTCTTTTATATTGCACAAATAGCGTTGGGAAAACGGAGGAAATTGTCCTCATAGTAATTTAACGTCGATGGATAGTCGGGCCAACCTTACACATCAAATGTAGTGCTCGTCGACATTTGATAGCATCACTTTTTGCTTCATACTAGCTGCTCTGACTTTTCGAAAACCCAATTCATGTTCAAGTTACCGATTTTAGTATTCTTGGCGTTTCTACATTTCCTCAGCGCAGGTATATAATTATTGACATTTCGATTTATTATAATTGGTTGGCGCGTTATTTCGAGAAAATTTCAGTTGATGTTGAAGTTGTGATTAATCCGGCTGCAACTTCTCTCCAAAAGCCGAGCGGACATCAGCTATCGCTTGTGTGCTCAGTAAAGGGAGATTTCAATGAAAGACCTGGACTGATGTGGAAAAAGCATGGTGGCTTGGAAAAGTTAATTTTTTAAACGTGATTTTTACGCAATACGAAAATTTTAGAACTGGTCATGTAACCGTTCAACGCTTAGATGACCGGACCATGAGCTTGCTAATCCGAAATTCGAGCAGTGATGACAGTGGTGTCTATATCTGTCAGGTACAAGTTGACGGGAAAACGGCAGCGAAAAAGATTGATGTTGTTTTCTTCGGTAGCACACATTGCGAGCATTCGGATTACAAAATCAACGTGTTTCAGAAGATCTTAAGTTTGTTGAGAATGAGACTCATTTTGGGGAAATCCTTGCAACCGCTTCAGTCAACTTGTCATGTGAAGTATCTTTTGAAAAACGAAAATTTTAAGAATAAGTAAAGTCTTTCAGGTTACTGCCAAAAACCATCATCTTTCAACACTCTGGACACGTCATGGAAAACAAATTTCGGAAGGTGTGACAATTCATTCAATTAAACCAAAATCATTTTTATCAATAGAAAATAATCTATAATTAAAATTTTCAAATAATTTTTCCGCTTTTGAAAATTTTTAAAATTATGGAAGAAACTGAGTTAATTGCATTTATTTTCAGGGGGAAAATATAAGTTTTATAAGAATCGCGCAATTTTCGAGCTTAAAGACTACCAACCTGATCAAGATGCCGGCCAGTATACGTGCGAAGTAAGAAGATAGCAATAATCAACTTTTAGGTTTTGGGGGCGATTCTGTCATTTTGCGATGGCAGCAGCAAATGTTGAACACTTGCTGTGTTTTTTTTATATAATCGTTCCTTCTTCTGCTCATTAATCTTTCACACGGAAACCAGATCCGCTCTGAGGGCAAAGCGGTGTTGATTTACGAGTTCGTGATTTTTATTGCAGGTAACGGACAGTGTTGGTACTACTGCAAATCGTAAATTCTCGCTTGGAACACACTCACAGGAGAAAACCGTATTCTGTCAAAAGATGTGCACCGACGTATGCTCCAGTATGTACGACAATATGAAGAGAAATGCGTTTTAAGATGACAATTAAATTAATATATAATAAACTTTCATTAATTCTATTTGAAATTCCATCTAAAATCAATTTAACAGGCATTACTATAACGGGTGAAAATCAGAACAGATCTCTCAAATACTGGAATTGGTCGACTAGAACGAGTCAATTTGAATTTTTTTCATATTTTGAATGGTTTATGTCTATTCGCCATAAAGTGGAACTGTAAACTGGTCGTAGTATATTTTTCAAAGAGAAGTTCGAGAACTCACGGTGACTTGCTCTAATCTGCTTTACAATTCAATAACATCAACCGAAGCTGGTAGTCACTCGATCGTTTAATGTTTTACCATTATTGACGTATTATAGCAAAGGGAGCTTTTTTAAAAATAAGACAATAATTTGCTTTAAAGTTACAAGAAAACATTTTATTTAAAACGTTAGAAATTTCCGGTTGAATGTATTTGTGTTTGTAGGTAAAAGTGTACTTAAAATGATAAGTAGTGACATAAATCTCCAAACCGCGCTAATCTCCTCATAACTCAAATAAATAGAAAGAATCTCAAATGAGGTTCCAAACCATGCTCCTCAAAAAATTTTGCGATTTGTTGTCCATTCTGAGTGTCTAAAACGTGAAACAGCAAATCAGCTGTTGGATATTTTTCGAGCAGCATTTTGGAGAATTCGCGAAGTGCTGTAAACGCGATTTCCTCATTTCTCGCATAAAGTGGAGCAATTTTGTAGAGGTTTGCATCTGAAAGTAATGGGAATAGTTTTTGAATTGGACACATTATAATTTAAAATAAGTATTCAATTGAAGGAGCACCAACCTTCATTTGAAGTCCTAACCACTTCTACGTGTGCTGCAATTCTATTGCCGCTATCATAGAGATACATTCCTTGAGTAAAAGGAAGTTCACGATACACACGTAAGAAATCTTTTCTCTGTCGCCCAGTAACGAACTGAATCTTTCGTCGTTTCTTTGATATATATGAAAAAAAAACCACAAAAACCTTATCGAAGTTTTCTTGATCCAGATCAATTTTGCATCCATTTGTAGTGAACCTTGGTTTATAACCCTTAGATTTTAATATGAAATCGAATAAACATGTTGATGTAGTTCATTACGTCAACTCCTTTCGATTGGATAGCTTTATAAAAATCAGCAACGCTCCAACGATAGTTGATGAGTTTTGGCCCGAAAACTGGTGTCGTACTCGCGCGATACTTATCGACCATATTCGGAACTATCATAATTACGAACATTAATTAATGCTCAATTAATACGATTACCTGCTCTCAATACAATTACACTACTTTTAGGCATTAGTGAAACTGCTTGATTCCAAATTTTCAAGCCTACACCTTTTCCACGATAGTTCGGAGCCATAATAAAGAATCCGATGAAACTAATATTATCGTATTCGTTCCAAATAACAGCTCCAATGAAACTTTCATCTGTATAAAGATGAAATGTGAATGTATTAATAGATTTGCATTACCTTGTTTCGTAACGGCGAAGACGCTTCGAGTAGATTTCAACGACGGAGTCAATTGCGTCACAGAGTTGTCATCTGACGTCCATCCTTCCGTGTCAACGAGACATTTCCAGGTTTTCCAAAGCGCGCTGGTTGGTTCAGGATTTTGAAAAACGTCGAAATCAATACCCATTCTCTAGAATTAATGAATTGGTCTTTTTTTGAAACGCAATAAACTCGAAAGTAGAAAGGAAAATGTAAAAAATTTGATTGGCGCCAAAACGGGGCTTGCTCACATATTCTATTTTTACATCGAACATTTATTTTATTTTTTTGGTTTTTGATCTTGCTTCATTGCTATTTGTAATTTTAAAGATAAGAAACGATTAATACTGAACAAAACGAGTGGCAGAGAGCGAAAATGAGTGCAATCACCGAGATGAATATATCACAGAAAAATAAAAATTTTCATGGCATTTTCCTTGTTTAATTGTTACACTTAACTCGGTATCAACAGTTTTAAGACCACATTCATGTAGGTTTCACAAAAGCATTTTAATCGATATCCAAAAGTTTTAGCAATAGAATTGTGTTATGGTTGAGAAAAAAAATGTCGCGGAGAATTCATATCAAATCTATTTAAAACAAAGGTATCAGCGATATGGAGCTGGCAAGTGATAAGGCTATTTAATTGTTTAATTGTTAGATTATATCTTTTCCTATAGATAATAAGAAATTCATTGCAATGATAAAATAATCTTTTACAATTGTTATTGTAAATATTGAGAGAAATCATTATCCGAAAGACAAGGGAACCATAAAAATGTTTTCTTAATTTGAGCGCTAGACAATGAGTGTGCAATATTGCGTCGTATTAAATGTATTTCCGCATCTGTTTGAATCAAGAGAAGCGCGGGGGATGCGATAACAATTGCAGATTATCGATGCCAATGAACAATTTGCGATCTTAAAAACGAAGAAGAATTTAATAAAAATGAATTGCACAAAACCTTAGATATATTGCAATAGCGACACCGTGACATCAAAGAATAAATTTTATTAAAGCATAACTAATGTAAGATGTAATGGATGTGTCAAATAGTTAATTAGTTCGTACTATGCTTGATGAATAAATCACATCGAAACATGAGAGCTCGTATCCTTCTGAGCACAACTTATTGTAATTCAAGCGTTCTTGTGAGACCTTCATTATAAATATATTCTTTCCACATAATTTATAACACGTCTAGTTAGAAATTTTCATTCATTGAAACTTTCTGGCCAAATTGAAAAATGTGACCAATTGCTGCTTTTTCGTGCTAACCACTTAAGAAAGTACTTTCAAGTTGTCTTTTTTGTTTATGTATTTCAATGAATTTCCATGTCTCTCCTTTTTCGTTCATCTTCTTTTTCTTCAATATGATTTAAATTCAAAAAAAACGAGAACCATTTCTTTCTTTTTTCACTTTCTTCAAAAAGAATGTTACATGAAATGACAGAGATTTTGAACGAAATGCTCGTCACAACATTGCAGACCGCTAAAGAACGATAAGAAGAAGACAGCGACGACGACGTCTCCGGCAAAGGCGACGGCGACAACAATGGGGCGGTGCTTCAGTTCGAGCTCGGTTCGCCGGAGGGCATTTCATGCGTTGTGTAGCGAATATTGATGCGTGTGGCAAGGAGCTGTGAACCCGACCAACGCTACACTCTTCAAAAATTATGAATATCACTTATTCGTAACGAATGTTATATTATAATTATATGGTATGTTTCAACTTTACAATTTTATTGAACATCATTTATTCTTCTCACCATTGAATCAGATATGTCCATGCCGTCTTCCGTTTTTGCGCTTCTGTTTGAAAAGATTCCATTTTTCTACAAGTCTTATCTATCAAAAATACGTTACATGGAATATTGTCGCTCTCAAATATTGGACATGTTCCATCATTTATCTTGTCGTAATCCCAAGAGAATCTCGGTTGCGCCAATGAAGAAATATGGAACGAAGGCGACATAAAACGTTTCCTCATTAGAAAAAATGTCCCCTAATTCAATCGGCATTCTTAAAAAGAAGCAATCACTTTATTCTTCTAGGTAATCCAGATGTGTTCTGAATGAATGGACATGCTTTCAACAATTTTCCTTCTCTTATACGCTGTAAGGGAATGGCCCACAAATGCACTACCATCAGAAATCAGCCCAACGGTGGCCTATTTGTTGGAAAGAGGGTAGAAGAAAAGAACATGCTCATGAAATATTAATTCTTCGCAGATGTGCCAATGACACCGAAATCATTGACCACTTATTGTTTGACAACGCCGCTTACTACAATAAGCATAGGCTGCCTTCGCCGCAAGTTGACGTTCGAATTGAAATGTGGGTGCAGGAAGTTACATCAGTCTCCGAGCTCACACAGGATTTCGAAATTGGTTTGCACTATCACACATCAAAAATAATTTGTATTTAAAGATTTATATATGAACGAGTATTGGACAGACCCTGGATTAGCCTATGACATTCTCAACCCATGCCAAGTAAAATGTTTGAACGCATATTTCAAAACATGAAACCACTTTAGGGAAATCTATCTTTTGATTGGGCAGTTATGCAAAATATCTGGACGCCCAATACATGTTTCATAAATTCGAAAAAGGCTCAACTTCATAGTTCGCCCTTTACGAATGTATTCTTAATGGTTTTTCCAAATGGTAAGTAAAATGCTTAATGAACTAATTACCACAAAATGTTTCATTCCTGAATTAAAAAAAGACGTATGAATTTTTTTTATAAAAGCAATTTTTTTATAAAAGCAATTTCACGTTTTTTTTGGAAAATTTGGTTAAATTCATTGCTGTACTTTTGGAAATGTTTTCCCAAGATGAAACCAGAGAACTTGATTGCCCTGTTCCCAAATAACGCTAATTCGACGCTCATTTAATTTTGTTCGCCACTCAATCGAGCTGCACTTTTTTTTGCTGATGATATCCATCGTAGCAGCATGCGAGCATCCGGGTTCGAACTCGTTAAGAGCGTTGATTTGACTTGCCGACTCGTTTATGCAAAATTCCAACATCTTGAAAGCTTTGCACGTCGAATAGCAGTTTCACATATAAATTGAATTTATTTTGCCAAATTTGCATAATGTTGACGGCTGAATATTTCTTCGGCATTTTTAACAAAGTCATCCCCGCCATGTAATATTATAATATGCAAATATACACAGGTGATACTTGAAACTGAACGGATGTAAGCGCATTTTCGGAAGGAAATCCATTTTTCAAAAGTATTCAGTTTCTTTCTTCTTAGGTTCGGTATGGTCGAATTGGCGCATAAAAAGTACGGGCCCTTGTTTGATGGATTTAACAAAATTTCCGATGGACAACATTGAGTGCACGCTGACATTTGAGTCATTCAACTACAACAAAGTGAATTTGTGCAAAAAAAGAATAATCTAATTCTTCCCGGTTTCCAGGACGAAGTTTTCATGACGTGGGGAGATCCTCCAATCACGATTTTCAAAGCTATTGAGCTTCCTGATTTCACTATGACGAATTTTTCCACTTCAAAGAAGTTTCAAGTAATGAAATCGTTTCCATAAAACTAACATATATTGTCAAAATATTTTTATGCTTTCTCGAAACCAAAAAAAACAGTTTGCTAAAATTTCTTCTCTATATTTCATAATCCAAGTCTTTAGCAGTCACTTTTCAAATGTTCTAAATCATAAAATTTTATGATCTCCACACGTGTTAATTTTTTTTTAGTTGTATGCAGCTGGCTATTGGAGTGAACTCACTGTCAATTTTTTGTTTCGTCGTCGCTCTGGTTGGTATTTATTACAAGGTGAAAAACATTCATATCGACACATCAATTATATAAATTTGCAGGTTATATTCCAACGTATATGACTGTTTTCATTTCATGGATTCCATTTTATCTCGGCCCGAAAGCAATTCCTGCTAGGACAATGATAGGTTTGTTCCGGTTTTTAGTTGAAATCAAGAATCATCATTCGTAGTTTTTTCGTTTATTTTTCACCACCCACGAAATTTTTCAACGTGCGCCTCACAACTGATGAGTAATTGAGTTTCGTGCTGCTGATCCGATTTATTCGTACCCTGTGTCACACTCTCCACCCTTTATGGTGTCTTTTCTGAGCAATGCAAAGAGCTTGAGATTTTTGGAAATCGGTGCCATCAGAATGAATTAAACTTTTTACTAGTTGCCCATGTTTGACTTCTGAACGAAAGATAACATTTCAAAATGTGCAAATAATAGAAAGCTACATCTAACAACTATTCCAATGGAGCTGCCAAAGAGCTAGAAATCAATTAAGCGATTCACTTTTCGCAAAATAATTCCAGCGTAATGAAAAAAGCATTGAAAGGCATTACGGCAGTCAATTGTTTTTGCACAGATTAACGAGAATTTTCAACTTCAGTGTTGGTTGCAAAAAAATTCAAAGGGAAACGCACAATTTTTTGAATCTTCTCTCGTTTTTTTTTCAAATAGCTTGTTTTCGTTGCGGGTCTCTTAGAATTTTTCGTCGGCAAACTTTTTTTTCTCAAACAGAAATTCTATTTTGAAATGGGTATTACTAATGAAATTTTTGAATTTAAAAACACTAATTGTTTATTCATGAGGCAAAAATTAGGAAAAACGCCAATTTTTTTAAAACTAGATTATTATTATTATTTTTTTAATGTTATACAACGTATTTCAGGAGTAAATGCTCTTCTTGCACTGACTTTTCAATTCGGTAATATTATTCGAAATCTTCCTCGAGTTTCCTATGTGAAAGCAATTGATGTTTGGATGCTTAGGTAAATAATGAATTTCAAAATGAACTAAGAAGATATTACATGTTCATAATTCATTTCAGCGGTATTTGTTTTGTGTTTGCATCGCTCGTTGAACTTGCTACTATTGGATTCCTTATGCGGAATGAGGGAAAACCTCCTGCTGGCAACAATAATAGTAGACAATTTAAAAAGTGCGTTTTTGAGAGCTTCTCGTAACCAAAAATGTGTTTCAGATGGAACTTGAACAATAGCATGAAGGGCGACATGATACTTCGAAAATCAAAAAATATACATTATTGCGAACGCCTCGATAATTTCTCGCGTTTAATGTTCCCTGTCTCCTTTACTATTTATAATTTTATTTATTGGTGTGTCTATATGAAATCCGCTCTCGAAGGAAATCCTTAGATATATTCTTATTACTGATATTATTGATATTTTTTATTCTAATCATCATTATATTTATTGTTGAGACCATATTTATTTTCTTTCCTATTTTTTCAACATATGTCAATTGAACCAAACTTTTGAAGCAATATCATTTGGGCGAAAGCATACAGAGCCTTGATTCAATTGAAATAATTAATTATTTCATTTGATTTATCATTCTTTGGCAGCTGTAATGCCCTCGTTCATTGAAAATCATATCTTCAATGTTTAATTTGAGAATTTATATTTTATTGAACTTTTCTAATAATTTTTCATTAATATTTTCTTTTTAACGAGTAAATAAAATGAACTTCTACAGTTATCTTTTCGAAGTTTGCATTCAAGTCGTTTTTATTTGACCTACACTTAAATATTTAAATTATGATGTTTAATTTAGGATTACAGTATGATGGATTAATACTCTTTAATACGTTAAGGATTATAATTCTTTGAATATGTCAATATGATGACGTATATGTGCTATAAAGAACATTCAATAATTACACACAAGTCAAATGAATATCAAAAACTTTTTTTTTCAATTTTATGATAATATTTCAATGTTAACCCAGCTAAAACTCGATAATGTATTTGAAGCAAGAACTTATCGAGTTGCTATGAAATATGATACCCAAACCTTCTTTCGGTAAATATATTTTTTTATTCTGAAAAAAAGTTTATATACATGTACTGCTTAAATTAAATTATTAAAAATGGTCTTTCTATTAACTTAACAAAAAGTGTAATTGTATTTTTTTTTGAAAAATATTTATTCGAAATGATATCAATAAAAACTGGATCAAGAGAAAACGAGAATAGTCGAGTAGAAAGGGTTTAAAGTCGACGTTGGACAGCGATGACATGTTTGCAGTTGGGACATATATGGTGAACATCCTGAAAAAAAACTGTTTCAAAAATAACGGAGATCATTTACCTTGCAAGCATCAATTAGAAATGGCATGCAACAGCAAATCCAGAATCTTTAAATTTCTGATTGTATAATTTTAGCATTATAAAACCAACCCGAAGCAAAACATTGCGCAGCAAATTAGAAACGTCATGGAGTCGCTGATATGTTTCACAATAGTAACAACCTAAATAAAAACCTTAAAGTTTCAATCTTAACGCTTTTTAGACATCACGATTGCAGTGGGAACAATAGATTTGGGTAGGCCCATAACCCACATGAAATCGTTGAACAACGACAGTTGTAGTTGCGGTAGTTTGAGAAGGAGCTGAAAAATACAAGACAGTTACTCATTGAAAATATAAATTTTCATGTTTCAAAATTATTTAATTGATTAGCATATTCGACCTACCTAACGGATAATAATTTTGACTAATTGGAGGCTGCCCAGCAGATTGAAATGATGGATTGTATGGCGGATTGAAAATATCGTTCTGTGGCGGAACTGATGGATAGAGTGTCGCTTCTAGAATGACAAAGTTGAAATAGATTTACACACATTAATCGAACGTTCATAAGCCGGTGGCGATGGCTCCATATTGAATTCTATTGGAAGTTTGAAATCTGCAATGAAACGAACTCAATCGTGCATGAAATTCCTAATAACCTCAGCCACGCGCCTATAAGGAAACGACGAAAAATGGCCAAAGGAATGCAGGTAGGCTAGCTCACAGAGAAGAAAAGGCACCATGATTACTTCCATAAATGAGAGCTGCGAGAAAAATATCTGTGAAGCTTCCTGCGCAATGATTTCATACAGGATAAACTGAAAACACCGAAAAAAAGAAAAATTTGAATCTCTTATTGAACACAAATGTTGAAAATCAATACAACGAAAAGTTTATTTTATGAATAGGAATGCGCGAGACCCGTTAAACATTTAAAAAATCAGATTTCAATCACAAACTAACAAATTACCACTTTGCAAATAATTGTGAATAGTTGAGGTTTGACTTATACAGTGGTGAATATAATCTCGTAATATATGTTAAAGTGTAAAAGACAATGTACTGGCAAAAATAAATTAATAAACAAAATAAAGGTTAAAACTGAGGTGGTGGCATATTTCCAGGACCGCCAAACGGCTGCTGTCCATAACTTTGAGGTGGTTGTTGTTGCATTCTGCAAAACAATAAATATTTCAAATTACCGTTAATTTATTCACCTTGGATCATTCTGGAAATAGTGACCAGGCTGCTGATGTGCTTGTGGTCCGTTATTTACAACACCTATAATTCCAGGGTTTCCTTGTGGCATAGATCCCATGGACGCCGCGGCATAAGCTGGAGCAGGGCCTGAGCCTATTCCCATTTGAGGTCCTCCTCGCATCATTCCAGGTTGTTGCATAGGTAGTGTGGATTGGTTAGGATGCATTCGTTGATGCTGGTAATCCATTGGGGGGTTAGTGCTCATTGATGGCATTGCGTTAGCGACACTAGACATAGCACCCATTCCCATTCGATTTCCTTGATTCATGGCGCCGGGCATAAAACCAGAACCACCAGGGCCCATTGGAGGTTTTACTGAGCTACCATGAACAGCTGGAACTTGTGCAGTGCTCATATGAATTGGCGGTGGACCCATTCTTGGTGCTGCATTCAAGTTAGCTTGTGAAGCATTACCAATCCCCATGCCAGCTGGGTTTGATGGTGCTTTAGCTGAAGACCGAAATTGTTTATGGTAATCACATGGTTTCATTTTACCTCCTTGAAGAATATTTCGATTGCTTGATAAACCACTTTGTTCCATAGATTGATTCAAAATGTTATTCGGATTACTCGAAGATGTAATTGAGGTATTACTTGATGCAGAACTAAATTCAGATCCAAATCCAGAACCTAAACCAACAAAATTTTTTCAAAACATATATTAATTCATTCAGCAAACCGAAGCGACCAAATGGAGGAGGATTAGCTGCTTGTGACGAAGGATTTTGTGTTCCTTGTCCGAACGGCATCATTCCTGGTTTCATTGAGGATTGTCCTAATGTCGGATTGGGTGCTACATTGGCAGATTGATTGAATTGTGGATGTTGAGGTTGAGTGTGTTGAGGTGGATTTAAGTTGGGTCCCGGACGCATGAAACCTGCTTGATTTTGACCGGAATGAGTTGATGACGGTTGCATTGGAGGTGGTTGACCCATAACATTTGAAGATGACATTCCGAATAAACCTTGACTGCCAATAGGCATATTTGGATGCGTTTGCTGTTGCGGTAATCCAGAACCCATGTTTGGCATATTGGAAGATGTTGAACTCGTTGGGAAAATTCGATCTACAATGATAGGTATTTGATGTTTTAATCGTTAATCATGCAACTGACTTGACATTTCACAAGGTGCAAATTGTCCCATATTGTTTCGATTTTGATATGTACTTGGATTGTGTGAATTGCTTAATGACGGTTCGCCAAAACGCGGTTGTGATACATTTCCGGGATTTTGTGCGCTAAACAGTGGGGGAGCCGGTTTACCCATTGATGACTTGTTTGGAAGTGGCGGAGGAATTCGCTGCATCGAGCTTCCTGAAATTGTTTATAATAGTAAAATTAAATCTTGACTGAGAACGTACCCATCGGTTGCGGCTGATTTGGCTGTGGAGGTTGCAGAATCGGATGACTAGCTTGTTGTTGTTGTTTTTGTTGTTGCTGTAGTTGTAGCTGCTGCTGTTGCTGGTGAAGCTGTTGTTGTTGCTGCATTTGCTGATGCTGAATTTGCTGTTGCTGCTGTTTTTGTTGTTGAAGCTGTAGTTGTTGCATCTGTTGCATCTGTTGCTGTTTTTGTTGTTGTTGTTGCTGTTGTAGTTGCTGTTTTTGTTGCTGTTGTTGCTGCTGAATTTGTTTCACTTGTTGCTGCTGATGGAAAAGCTGTTGCTGTTTGAAATTCATTTCGTCGTGTTCCCTTGCGTATTGTCTCATGATTTCTTCTTGGGCTTCCAACCGGCGTTTCATATCTTCTTTAGAATTATAGCCTGTAGCCCGCTCATCCTTTTCAGATTGTTGCTGAGCCTGTTTTTGAGCTACTTGTTGAGCTTGTTGCGCTTGCTGCTGTGCATTGTTTAGAGCTTGTTGTTGACCCTGTTGATGTGCAAGTTGTTGAGCTTTCTGCTGTGCCAGTTGCGCTTGTTGCTGAGCTTGTTGCTGAGCTTGCTGCTGCGCTTGTTGCTGGGCTTGCTGCTGAGCTTGTTGCTGCGCTTGTTGCTGCGCTTGTTGCTGGGCTTGCTGCTGAGCTTTTTGCTGAGCTTGTTGCTGGGCTTGTTGTTGAGCTTGTTTCTGTTTCTCTTGTTGCAACTGTTGCTGCTGTTGTAGTTGGCGCTGATGCTGCTCCTGTTGCATCTGTTGTTGCTGCTGGAACATATTTTGCTGGCTGCGATTCAGCGGAGGCTGCTGAGAATTTTGTCCATGTGATCCTTGCTGTTGTGGTTGGTTGTGAATTCCAGTTGATTGCGAAATAGGTGGAGGCTGTCCGAAGCTAGCAGCTAGAGAGCTCATCGAGCTGAGCGAATTGAATTGATCGGTTGACGACTGAAGCTGCCGTCCGAACGAAGTCTGAGTTGTCTGCTGTTGTTGTTGCGGTACCGGATGTTGTTGCTGTGCATTGTGTTTTTCTTGCTGATTTTGCTGTTGTTGTGGATGTTGACCAAGTGAAACTTGTTGACTTGGTGCTCCAGAAGGTTGTTGCCCAAATGGATGTAGTCCAGATTGTTGTTGCCCTTGTTGCCGGTGACCAAGCGGTTGAACACCAGGTTGTTGTTGTTGCTCAGTTGGCTGATGTCCTATTAAATGTTGACCGGGAAGGGGCTGGCCAGGAAGTTTCTGCCCAGGTAGTTGTTGTCCAGATAGATGATTTCCAGGCATCTGATTTCCAGGCTGTGGCTTACCAGGTTGTTGACCAGTTAGATGTTGTCCGGGTGGATATTGACCGATCGGATGTTGTCCGGGCTGTTGATATAAAAATGAACTTCCAGGTTGGTGCTGTCCAGGATGTTGATGCCCAAATGGATGTTGGCCAAACTGATTTTGTGACTGTTGTTGCTGTCCAGAATGTTGTTGTCCTGGCTGTTGCTGCTCTGTTGGCTGTTTTCCAAACGAATGTTGTACTGGCTGTTGCGGCGTTGTTTGCTGCTGTGCTGGATGCTGCTGTCCGAGATGTTGTTGACCTGAGTATTGTTGTCCCGGATTGTGCTGAGTTGAATATTGATGTCCTGGGTATCGCTGTTCTGGATGTTGCTGGCCAGAGGGTTGTTGGCCAGGGAATTGCTGTCCAGGATGCTGTTGACCTGACGCTTGCTGACTAGACTGTTGTTGTCCAAACGGATATTGGGCGAACTGATTTTGCGGAGGTTGTTGTTTCCCTGGATGCTGCTGTTCATGAAGTTGCTTTCCTGATTGTCCAAGCTGTTGTGACGATTGTTGTTGTTGTCCAGGCAAGTACTGTTGAACACCCTGCTGTTGACCTGGTTGCTGTTGTCCAGGCGGATGTTGTCCTGGTTGCTGCGGGACAGTAGGCTGCTGTTCTGAGGGTTGCTGTCCAAATTGTCTAAGTTGATGTGATGGATGCTGTTGTGCCGGCATTTGCTGTCCCGTTTGCTGCTGTTGACTATGTTGCATCATTTGCTGATGTTGTGTTGGCATCACTTGTTGCATTAACTGCGGTGGTTCTTGAAGCTGATCAGATTTTTGAGGTGGTTGTACAGGTTGCTTTTGTAGTTGAGGGGGCTGTGCCGAATTTACATCCGAACTGTTTCCTTGATTGCCTCCAAGAGATCCAAAATTTGCTTGTTGAGGTGCATTCAATGCTGCTGAAATGTACGAAAAAATTAATATTGACTAATACGATATTACGTTTTCGTTGATTAAATGAATCATTTCCTTGATTGCTAGTATATGGTGGCGGTCTCATATGACTATGAATCGGCAACGGAGGAGGAATCGGAGGTAATCTTTTTGGCGGCTGCGATTGTTGGTGGCTCCCAGTAGCGGAGGTCGCTGGTGGAATTTGTTGAGAAGGTTGCAAAGGTGCTCCACCCGTGCCGGTAGCATTGGCAGCGGCAGCGGCAGCGGCAGCCGCTGCAGCAGCTGTAGTATTTTTCTTTTCTTGTTTGCGATTAAGCAAATTTCGAATATTTGCTTTTGTCTCGTCACTGGATCCAGTACTCATCGGAGGTTGATTTGACTGAAAGTACTAATAAACGTAATGAATATTATAGAAGTTCATACAGAAGACGGATACGTCGATCCAGACCATGATCCTTGAGCAGCATCTGTACGCGAAGGCCTCTGAAATTATGAATTGACGCTATTTTGAAAATCAGATTTGGACATACTCTCTTAGCGCGATTTCCTCCTCTATTTGAAGCTGATCGTTTTGTTCCACGTCCTCTCTTTGATGGCGATTCGCTGATTGGAGCAGATCTTTCTATTGGTGGCGGAATTTCGGTAATATCAGGAGTCGAATATTCATTAATTGGTAATGTTGGTGCAATAGAGCTTGCAGTATTCATTGAAATTTTCGATTTGAATTCCGATTCTTCTTTCGTGGCCGGCGATTTTTCAATCTTTTTGTCATCTTCTTTGACTTTTTCTTTTTCACTGGTCTCCGAAGCTTTCTTTTCAGCAGATTGATTTTTAGGAGACTTCTCTCCATCTCCCTCCTTCTTGTCAGTCTTTTTATTAGCTTTCTTGTCAGGGGTCTTTTCGTTTTTCTTCTCATCAGATTCCTTCTAAATGAAACAATAACGTGTTGCAAAAAAATAATATTACCTCTCCATCCTTATTATCTTTACCCGTATCTTCGCTGTCATTTGTTTCTTTGTCTTTGGCGCCTTTATCATCTTTATTGCTTTTGGAGTCTTTTTCATCCTTCGACTCTTTTTCTTCTTTAGAATCTTTCTCATCTTTGGATTCCTTCTCGTCTTTTGCATCTTCAGAATCTTTTTCATCTTTGGAATCCTTGGAATCTTTCGATTCTTTATTGTCCTTCGATTCTTTTGCATCCTTTCCTTCTCCTGGTTGCTCAATTTCGCCGGTGATTTCGATTGCTGGAGGTTGCAGATAAAGGTCATCTTGCATGTTTTCCAACATGAAAAGACTTGGTCTCGGAAAATCGAGAACATGATTATGAGCTGCGATAATCTTAAACTGTTTTGGAAGTGGAACAGCGATTCGATCTAACTTGGTTGCCTAAAATAAAAATATGTTGTATTCAAATTAAAAGCTTTATTGTACCTGGAACCATTGATAACGCCATCCACCCTTTGCATTTCCTTCTGTCATGTATCCTGCCGTAAGGTCATATGCAGAGATTTTAACCTTGTCAACAGGAATGTAAGCATAACGGCCATGGCGAATACCAAGGGGAGGTTGATACATACGATGAAACTGAAATATGAAAATGATATATTCAAAAATTTAAAATTTTTCATACTCTTGGGGGTGGTTGGTTGATTCCGAACGGTTCCACAATCACAATGTCCATTGCAGCTTTCGGAATTGGTAAAAATGTAAGAATGGTTCTTTGATCTGCTGGTATTCTTGCATCAGCTAATTCTTTTTTCAATTTCTTAATGATGGAAGAGTATTGTGGCCATCTGAATTTCACTTGATCTCCCTCGCTGGGGATTTGGCTTGATGTATTTGGATCCGTAAGTGTCCAGAGCATAATAGTCGAAAGCATATCGAAACAGGTATCGTATACAACTCTGAACATATATATTTGGTTAGTGTTAAAAAGATAAGGGAACTCACTTTTCTTTATCCGGGCTAACAATTCCATGAAGCATCATTTGATACAAAATATGGCTCCAGGGTTCGCATTGACCTGGTTTGCAAATTTCATGGAAAATGTGTCCAACCATGGACAATCGCAACAGAATGCATTCGCGTTCAGCACCGCTATGTTCATCGATTTCAAGTAACTTTCCAGGCGTTTCTCTACACCGATTGATACTGCACTGCATTTGATTGTGAATCGAATTGATAAAAACGTCTTTGTTTAGCTGACTCTTTTCCGCTTTCAAGCACGACAAAATCAGATTGATAAATGGCAATTGTGAAAGAAGCCAAGCACTGAAATTATACATTTATTTTATATACACCAATTACTAAACCTTTGATTCATCCGCTCAATAGATGGATCAGACGCTGTATCAAGCATTGCAGCCGCTTCTTTCAAGAATTTTCCGGAAACGGAACCATTTTGGAAATTGGCGTACTGAGCTGGAATGTTGTGGGGCTTGGGGCAAATTCTAACGAGCGGCGCAATCAACCAGTACTTTGTAATATCGCTGAATCGGAAGTCAAAGTTGGACTGCAATAAAATTATTTTTAAATCGTTTTCTTTTAATGTAATATATATTCTAACCAATGAGAGATCGTAGGATTCACGATAGGCATTGATGAACAAATCACGACAGCATTTGCCTATTTCACTCATCAATGCGTCAGCAGCAATTGCTCCTTGCTGAGCATGACGCTGTCCACCATCCGGCGAAATTTCTTTGATCATCAACGTCAGATCAAAAATTGTGGCACGGAAGTTCCAAAGGTTCATGACAGAAAACAATTTATCAATGAGCGCCTTCTTCGAATTTCCATTTGCAACAGCAAGTTCTTGTACGATTTTTCTTTCGCTTTTCCTGCGCAGCCCAAGTCTCAGCAATTGCTGTCCCAAACAGTTTTGCTTGAGCTTGTCGTGGTTGAAAGCCTCCATGTTATTTGATTGCACAATCCGATACATTTTAAAAGTAACCCATTCTTGCTCACAAATTGCTTGTTGTACAATTCTGACGATATTATAAAGATATTCTTTTTTGTACATTGTATGCTCAACTTCATCAGGAAGGACCAAGCTGCAATTATATTTTTCATATCGAAAGAGAGTTACAACACTCACTCTAAATCCTTATATCTCGCTCGCAATGTGTCATTCAACAACCCAACTTGGCTAATGATTGGGAATAAAATTCGATCCATTTCAAACCATTGAACAATCAGAATCGAATTTTCATCAGCATTGTTGTCAATCAGCTTTTGCTTATCGTAAAATCCACGATAGTGAGGAGCAACTACAATTACATTAAACTTGTATAAATTTTGTATTGAATTATAAGTACATTCAAACGGATCATCTTTATTGCAGCACAGCTTACACACAATAAGCAGGCCGAGAGTAACTCCAGGCTCAAAATCAGGCTCAGTTCTTCCAGGCTCTGAAATATTATCGAAATGCAACTATGAGCATGTTTCACTTACTGCTTCGTCCTTCTTTTTTGAACATCATTCCCACAACGCTGGTGAGCATTTCTGAAGCAAGTTTTGGGGTGTTGAAAGAATATTTTCCAGCGAGAAGCATAATAAATGTAGACAACGCATAGTGACAAGAGCAATCCGTAATCTGCAAAATAAATAGTTATAATAAAATGTTTGGATTGTTGACGCTTACGTCAATTTCATTTCCAAGTTCGGAAAATTGATGATCTCGACTGATACTCAAGAAGCAAAGTCCTTTTATCGCACCAATCCAGTAATCAGCCAAGCCTGGGATTTGTGCAGTGATATGACTACAGAACGTTGCCATCTCACTGATTCGGTCAAAATCTCGCTCGCATTTCTGTAAATGTAAAATATTGATACCATTCTTTTAACGTTGAATTTGTAATACCTTAGCAGCAATGAGAGAATTTATCACAAACGAATATCGGTTCGAGTAGACATCAAATGAATAGAGACGCTTTTTGTACTCATGATATGAGAAGAAGCGTAGCATAGTATTGCGATTTTCAAGAATATCGCGAAAGAACAAAGCGTTATATCGACGATATTCCAATTTTTCTTGAGTTCCGAGGTTGTGAATCTTTTTCAAATCACTTTTCCTGCTTATCATTTCCGTTTCCGGCTGAAAACATTGTTATTGGAAGCAACACATTTGTAAAAAGCTCACTTCTAATTTTAAAAGCACATGCTTTGCGTGAACACAAAACACGGCGATCATTCTTCCCCAACAAGTCATTGGAAAGTTTCTGAGTCTCAACATGTCTTTTACAATAGAGTACATACTGAAAAATAATAGAGATGAATGTCGAGAATAAATGCAAATTGCTTACATATTCACAATTTCGGGAGCATTGTCATAAAGCACGAATCTTTGCCAGTGTTTCATTATATATGTCACAAATACGAAACCCATTTGAGACGCAATACTTCCAGGAATGCAATCAGCCGCCAAATCATTTATGCGTTTTTCAACTCCGTTTAGTAAAGGTACCATCTGAATTATCGTAATGTTTTATTTGAAATTTGGTTTTATGAAAACAAATTCATAATATTTCTTTTAAAAAGCAATACCTGTTCGATCATTTCGAAGATGCCCGTAACATCTTGACAAGTTTCATACATTTTTAACAGAATATCGAGACCTTCGCCGGTTGGTAACCGTTGGGAAGCTCCACGATTAAAATCAACAATCATTTCCATGAATGTCTCAGCACACCATCCAGTTATCACCATTTGATCATAAAACGTTTGACATCTAAATTATAAAATTGATTGAAAAAAACAACCGCAATTTTGTTATTAAAATATATTGATAAATTTAAAAAAATAATCTTGGAAAACACTGTAAAACTAAATGGTTTTTCAAAGCAATTCACTGTTTTTCATTGACGTCTGACTCTCTCAATATTAAATGCGTTTCTTGAGTTTCACTGAGTATTAAATGATAGCGTTTAAATCATTTGGCGCGCGCGACTCTTCTATTGTTTCGAAGCTCACTATTTCTCTAAGCATATCTGTGTTTCGTGCTATTTTTATGTGAATATGCAGGCAACGCATTAGAACACGCAACCGTTTTTGCGAAAACTGAATCATCTTGCACCTGGCGTCTTGTCTATTTGTTTAGAGGTTCCAATGCTATTTTTTACACAAAAGTTTTTTTAATAATTTTTTTCATTTCTTTATTGTTCTTTCATATTCATAATTACCTGAATTTGAACATCATATCATTCAGTTGTTGAGTATCCAGTCTTCTCGGTGACCAGACCGTGTCCATTTTTGAGGAAAACTCCACATAAATTTTCTTCTGCCAGATTTTGAATATGTCAAAAGCAATTTTTCTCAGATCTTCCAAATGATCATTGCATGCATCACCCAACCCGTATAAAACATGAAATCTTTGGGTTGCTTCATCTTGGAACGCTTCTTCTTGCGGTAAAGGAATCTAAGATTCAACATTTTTTATTAAGGAATTTGTTTATGTTGTAAATTACCTGAATAACAAGCTTCTCGTACATATCAATCTTGCGGCTCTGATATAGCCTGCGGAAATATTTCTCCGATGTGAAATAAACCAACTTTTTGTTCACAGGTTGCTTCTAAACAGTTTAATCGTGATTTTGTAAACTGATTCATTCCTTACAGCGTCACGCTCCTTCATTTTCTTTTTCAAGATTGACACCTTTTCTTTCTTCATTCTTTTCATGATAGGTTGCGTATGATCATAATAACCGGTTTTAATCAAATATTTAATAAATCTGAAAATTATAAAAATTATTTTAATAAATAAGCAAACAAAATTACGCGTCGTGATCAAAAACTCCAACCCGTATAAGCTCGAGAATCAAATGAATACATGCCTCAAATTTCATGAGAAACTTTGGTTGGCCGTTCTGAAACTTATAATTAGTGACTGAAGAAAACAAACGCAAATTTACTTGCGGTCCATCGTAATACATAAAGTTAATCATAACATCTTGTATCCTCCATTCTCCGATGGTATCAGTTTTGGCCATATCACATCCTGCGCGAAAGATTTTAGCAACCAATGTTGGTCGATATGATCCTTCTCGTTCTTCCGTGATTGCCCAAAGCATCATCAATTTTATTCTAAAATGTTTAAATTTAACGTGAGCGTTAGGTAATGGATAAATATAAACCTTATAAGAACTTCTTCGTTGTAAGCGCTACTTTGGAACGTGAATAAACTTTCCGCAGCTTCAGCAATAGAATTAGTATCGTATAAATCAACGTCATCCAATATGCTGACAACATCTACACATGTTTCAACGACTCTGCCAAATTTTAATTGTTCCATCGTATTGAAACTCCAGCGCTCCTGAACAGCTTGGCTTCTACGCATGATCTCGATGTTGCGAAGTTTAACAATCTCGACGAATCTCTCAGACCCTGAATTGAGTATTCTCTTGATTGTTTTTTTTCTGTTAAACCTGGAGGCATTGGAAGATTGTATATTGGACATGGTAAGAAATCCAACGGCGAACCACAAAGCTGACGAATTATTAGTGGTTTCTTCTCATCGGTTATCTGAAGTTGTAATGTAATTTAGAAAATTAATTCAATTTTATTACCACGAATTTGTTCCAAACCAATGAGCCTGGTGACTCAATTGCAATCGTTTGAAGCATCGCTGTCATCAAGTAAACACTTGTCGAATACATGCCACATTCTTCCAATCCACGATATCCTCTAAAAGTTACCAGCGGCTTGAATGTTTTTTTCTGTTTATCTTCTTCATCATCTAAAATTCCAGCAGTAAGGTTGATCGGCACTTTTGCATTATCATTCGCAGCTGTTTCGATACCACGTTCTCCATCTTTGGCTTTCTCTTCCTCATCTGGAGCTTTCAACGGATTATCAGTTTCCATTTTTAGATCGTTTTCAGCAGTTGTAGACTCTTTGTCAGAAATTTTATCGTCTTCAGACTTTCCCGTCATTTTTGCTTCTTCTGATTTTCCTTCTTTTTTCATGATATCGTCAGACTTGTTCTTTTCTTCAGCCTCGCACTTCCCTTTTACTTCGATCTTCCCATCGCCTTCGTTTTTCTCATTATTCTCCATTTTCTCATTGTTTTCTTCCGTTTTCGATGGGCCCTCAGCAGTTTCGTTGGAGTCTTCAGGTTTGTTCGTATCTTCGTTATTCTCAATTATTGGTGGTGGCGAATCTGAGTCATCCCTCATCGAGGTAGTGTCCACTTCCATTTCCTCGCCATCCTTTGCTGATAATGGTGGTGTTCCATCAATGTCCATTTTATCCTCATCATCCGTGGCAGAATCCATTGTAGCATCTTTTTCAGACTCGCTGTCCACGTCCATTTTCTCGGATGAACACTGTTTTTCATCTAATTCTGGTTTTGATTCCAAAACAGGTGGATCAAAAACGATTTTGTCAGGTGGCAATAACTTTGGAGGCTCCATCTCGTAATCCATTTGCATCGGAACATATGGAAGTGAATATTGTGGCATAACTGGTGGTTGATAAGGCGCAGGGTTGAATACGTGAGCATAGCGTAGTTCGTAATCATCAGAGTACATGACCAACTCGAGTTCTGAGATGGCCTGCAAATCATTTGCATCAATATCAACATCGAGTTCCGAATCCGAATCGGCATCAATATTGGTATCGATGTCATCATCTCCATCAGCATGGGTAGTAGCATCTGCATCGATGATTGATTCAACATCGGCGACGGCAACTTCAGCATCAGCAGCATCTATATCCGCAACGGCAACAGCCCCATCTGTGGCACATTCTCCAACATCTTCAAGATCAACAATTTCGACGGCGCTCGCGGCGGTCTCATCGCACGCACCATCCGCAACTCCTTCGGAAACACCATCGCCATCTTCGAGATTCGTATCATCAATAATATCATCAAGGAGAACTTCAATATCAGTGTCTTCTTCTTCTTCGTCGTCGTCTGCCTCGTTTTCATCAGCTCTGTCATCAGCTTTTTTGTTTTCTTCAGCATCATCCTCAGGTTCAGAATCACTCATATATTCAGTTCCGAATTTAATTTCACGTTTAATCTTTCTCGAATGTTTCTTCTGATGTTTTCGTTCACACAACTCCTCGTTTTCCTCTTCATCTTCATCTAAACTTTCTTCCTCCTCTTCATCACTGACTTCTTCACTATCAGAATAGTCGTAATCACTGTCCCTATTATCGACATATTTCTCCGTTTCAGGATCAAACATTATCGGTTTCGGTTGTTGGTATTCCTTTGCATTTTGTAGCAATTTGAGAATCTCATCTTCATTTTCTTCGTCAGGGGTTTTGGTACTGAAAATGTAATTTCAGTTTGTTTTCGACATTCGAATTACTTACTCTGAGACAATTCTCCTGTAATATCGCATAAATCTCTTGCATTCTTCCGAATAATCATGGAGATAGCGCAACTTCATTGCGATTATATGTGCCGTTCTCCGTGCAAGAACCAAACTCTGGTTAATATGGTACGAAAATTTCACGAGATAATTCATAAACAATCTGAAAATGTTAACTTTTCGCGAATGTTGTGATTGAAAATAATTTACTTCAGAAGCACGGGTTCCTCTTGACTCTTCTTATTTAGAAACAATTCCGAAAAAATATCGCACAGTTCATTAAGGAATTCTTGTTTTTCCAGCATTCCCTCCTGTAGCAATGATTTTTTCGAAATGAATGATTATTCCAATACTTACATCAAACATTAATTTAAATAGCACAGATGCATATTCCCATTTTTCAATGTATTCCTCTCTTTCATAAAATTCGTTACGAGACAATTTGAACAAAATGAATCGCAAATGTTTGCCACATAAATGTGCGTATTCTGAAATCGAATTTGTCTTTTAATCTGAACCATTCTTATTCAATATGAAATCGTTTTATGCGCTTTTTGTAATAAAATATCGCATTTAAATAATTTTATGACAACAAAGAAAAATCATAAATTCTGTATTCTTATTTTCTGGCTACAACTCATTTCCAATTTTTTAACTTGATATACCTAAACACGCAGAATCGCTGAGCGATTTTTTCGTTTTTCCATTGTGCATGTTGAATGATAAAACAGCTGTTATTTTGTAAAACCATATGGCTCTCGAGAACTCGATTCTAAAAATGTATTACTAGAATTTTCTGGAGATTTAACGTACTTATAATCGAATAGTTCTTGAAGAATATCCTCCTTTTTACGAATATGAGGAACCTTCCGGGCTAGCGAATTCAAGGACTTCCCTCGACTCAAATCGGCAAAAAATTGCGCACGCTCTCGGAGCTTATTGTGGGACTGCAAATAAAAACAACAATTCAATTTGACTCTTTTTCAATTCAATTACTGAATGAGTAGCAAATTGGCAAGTAATTTCTTTGTTTTTCCGTCGCTCTTTGTCCAATGTTGCATTGAATTCACCTTTCTTTTGAAGAATCTTAAACAAATTAAAATATCGAAAATCCAATAATTATTATATAATTACTGAAGCTAATAGCCTTTCGGATGCACGATGTGCTTCTGGTAGCCGACTTAATTTGTTTTCGGAAGCGTTGAATACCAATGATTGTAATTCATAAGGTGTAAGAGGTACCTTTAAATGAATCATGAAGATCTAATCTCATTGTGAAATTAATACCTGGTATCCTTTTTTGAGCCTTTCCGTTGTTACATTGTCTTCTTCTTGCCTTGGATCTTGTGGATAGGTATCGGCAGGTGGAATTCTACATACTTTTCGGAGTGGTCTTTTGTCCGGAGTTACGTTGTACCAAGATGAAATATTGATACTTTTTGTTCCGCTCATGTTAGAATGAGTCCATGAGGTAGTATGAAAATGACTAAAATAAAAGAAGAAATAAATAATGCTATAAGTCTTGGAAGATTAAGATACGAAGAGATTAGAGCGATCTGGCAATTTTTGTTGTATTGGATTGGATTGCAAAATATCAATTAAGCGTTGGTTAGTCACCGTTTCTAATAATAAGAATAAACAAAATGTGGAAAATAGTCGGTGTAAACCTATTGAACACAATTAATCGACTCGGAAATTTTTGAACAGAGAAGAGTGGCAAGTCTCTATAGAAAAAAGATATGAATTCGCAGTACTTTTCAGAAATTGGAAACATTGCGTCGCCGCACGGAGTGTGCAGAGAACAAAGAAAGACCACCCCTTTTCGAGAGACGGAGAAGAGGAGGCAAGCGTCAGGGTGATTTGGTGCGGATCTCATTTGGTGTCACGATAGCTGTGTGTGGTCCCAATCGGTTGGGAAACACAACACAATGACCCCAAGAAGCGAATATGAGCAAAATAATAGGCGAAAAGACCCAAAGACAAGTGCGACAGACATTTACTGCGCAAATCAATATGACGCATTGAAGGCAAACACGACGTAATTCTAACTTACTTTCAATATCAATTTAAATTATATCGAGTAAAATTCCACATTTGGTTTTGATTGATTGAAAAGTACTATTTGATGAAACAAAACGGAAGAATTGTAAACAAGCGATTTAAAATTGTGGTCACCTTTTTTCATAGAAACGAGAATTTTCATTCTCAAAGTCGGCGTCGTTAAAAACCCGAAAGACACGATTGATGTGAAAGATCGATTTTAAAAGGCGCTTTGGTATTCATCACGGGTATTACGATTGTGCAAAAAGTGCAAAGCGACGAATGTGGACATTGTTTCACTGGCACAAAGAAATAGAATGGGACTTTTGGATGGTGCGAATGGTATTCAAAATATACCAATTAATGTTTTGGTTGGTGGAAGGCGTTCAAAACATAGTACATGACGGCCATATACGACATTAATATTGAATTCCAAAAAAAATCGGGACAATGTGGAGACAGAGGGCAGCACATATTTTGTCCAAGAAAATAAATAATTGAATTATGTCGAAAAAATTGTCAAAATTTCGAAATGTCGTCATCATTTTTTTTGCGGTATACGGCGTAAACACGAATGCACATTATATTTATTTGGTGAACCATGATTTGGGAAAATGGTTTTTGATAAGGGTATTGATAGTGATATTAGTGAGGTCTTACAGAAATGAAAATTTTCTTTTTTTAAGAAAAAATATTCAAAATCGGGAAGTCTGGCGAGTTACCGGTGAAAAAAATTAGAAACAGTGTTTATCTGCGTAATGTCGTGGGGGGAATTTGCACAAAGCATCGAGAGGAACACTCAAAAAATGTAGGTCACAACATGTCATTACGACAACACGTCTAATTTCTCACTATTCTATTAGGGACTCGAGAAAAAATTGGAATCATTTTTGTTCAAAATCTGCGTCTCACAACATTTTCACCCAGGACTCTTAAATGGAAAAGAGAAATGTAGGGGTGTTGTGTATGCTTGCATTGCGCGAACGCATAATGAAGCGGCAAATGGCTGCCTGCATCGGGTGAAGACAATTGAAAACCGATTTTGCCTTGTGCGTGGCCTATTTTTGAAGAGAAAACTAATTTGATTACTGAATTCATGTCTTCAACAAAAATATTTATCAAGCCTCTAGTGAATAAAAAAGCAATTTCCGCCAACAAATAAAGATATTCAAAATCAATAAAAATATGAGAAGAGGAGAAATACAAACTTGAAACTTTTCAAAACAGTTTGTATCACAAAACGGCTAATATATAGTGAATACCGTGAAAACAAGAAAGTTAATCATAGGTATGAAGCAATCAAAGAATTACTAAAATAATGATAAAAAAAGTTATAATATAATTCAAAAAATATGACAAAACGACATGAATGAATTAAGTTAAAAATAATTGGCTGGTACGCGATTGTTCAAAAAATATTGCCGGAGATGAAAACGTTTTACTGCTATCTCTTTGATCTTAAAATTCGAATTTTCTTTAAATTTGGTGTTAATCATACTTCTCGTGATTGTGCCACTTGGGGAGACATTATCATATCGTGACATTTCCAAATGAAGACTTTCTCTAGAATCGCTTGACCATTCTTCCACGGGACTCGACCTTTCATGAATAGGGGTGCAATGCTCTGAAACATTTTATGACTCCATTTATCTCTTTTACGTGCGCTATGCAAATTTAAAAAATTCTTTTATTTATAAGCTTTATAAATTTATCCAAATTAATTATATTGCGTGCTGATTATATTCGAATTGTTTTCATTATGATTGCACCATGAATTTACAATCCTTTATATAATATTTTATTTACATTGCTCACCTTGCGTAGTTGTCTTAAACATGACTCTTCTTTCACGAAGATTGCCGCTATCATCCACGCTTGTTTCATCGGCATCACTTACGCTTATTGTTCTTGTGATGATGGAAGAATGCCCATTTTTTAATTCACTCGGAGTGGTTTCTTGCGAATTTGAAATTGACATGACGTCTTGTACACACTGAATTTGATTTAATCCATTAAAAAATTAATGGCGCGAATATTACATTCTGAGCACTAAGTCTTGTGCTCGTAGAGCTTCCATTAGAAAATCGAGCTCGTCTAGTTCTTGGAGATGGTGGCGGTCTTGAAGTAGGTCTCATGCTTCGGGCTCGTGCTCTGAAAATCCGCATTCCCTCCCGGAAATGATCCATTCCAGAATGCATGAATTGAATAAAACTGTCAGTTCGAGAGGATTGCAGTGTTGCATCTGTGGAGTGCGATCGCGCATTTCTATAAATACAAATATTTTTGAATTTTAATGACTATGAGAGCGATTCTATTCTTTTGCAACAGCGAAAATGAATATTTTTCGGAATTTTTTTTTCTAATTACAATCGCTCGATGTTTCTTTTAAACCTTCTCCATTTTACTTCACTTGTGGGCGAAGCACAAAGTTCACTAGCAGAGCTTTGCTGTTTTCTATTAAATTTCCAAAATCCTTCAACAGATTTTCCGCGGAAGAACCTTGGCCACTTCGATTCTGTTGTTGATCGCATATCGGACATTGTTGCCGATTTGGAAATCATCGAAAAGCTATTATCTAACGTGGTACACTGGCTTTGATCTAAAAATAATAGATAATTGATTAATTTTGCATAGTCATCCGACCATGTTCAAACTCGTATGTAAACAATTTGTCAGCATTCTCGATGAAGAAATCGCAAATCGCCGTATGAACGTTAAGCCCACTCAGCAGATGAGCATCTGCTCTGTTTAACGTTGGTGGCGCTCTGTATGGAACAATTAGTCATCGCTGTTAAAAAATAAATACCGAAATAGATTCGGAGACCAAACTATGGCCAGATTTTTTGATGTCATGTCAGTTAAAGCTTTTGATTGACATAGCCGTGAGAGATGCTCCATCAGAAACTTAGCAGTCCTGAATGCCAAATATTACGTAAATAGAAAAATAATAATTACTTATAATGAGCTTCAGGCATTGTTTCGAGGACGGCTTGAAGTTTTTCAATTTTTGGTTTGTCTTCAGCGTCTTCTTCAAAAACTTCCTAAAAATTGACTTTATATTTCCAGGTAGAAGGAAATCAGGGTATACCATTAATTTTGAATAGATTTGGTAGGTAAAAAGTGGGTTTGGTAACTGTCTGAAGTATTGCTTCAGGAGAGAAGAAACTGAGTAAATATCCCGATGACCAAATTCTTGCAAATCAGGCTCAGCGCCGCCATCGAATTTTGCCCTGTTGTTATAACGTTTATTGCCCCATTGTTACAGTAAAAACGTACCTAAGCCGTTGAATGTTTGATTGAATACCACATTGTCTGTATATACCCGTGACAATACCCTGATCTTCTATTGCAGCGCAACAGTTCTGGACAATATTCGGAACTGAATTCCAAATTATGGATATTTAAAGATAGTCGCTATAATTGCTACCTTTTCTACCGTTTCGAACAAACACTTCTGTGAGATCAACTCCGAAAATTAGCTCACGACGGCGATTGCGGAACATGCTACTCATATAGTTCCTTGTATTACGAATTGGCTAAGCGTTATAATTTTGATTCGGCAATACAGAAAATTCACCAACCTTTCGATCAGAACTGATCGGATTTGAAAGTCTTTTGTCATCTATAAGCGTCACACAATCACTTGGAAAATAGCCAATTTCAAATCCTAGTCGAGGATTATGAGCGTTTTGCGACTTTTGTCCTGATATCGTTAGTTTTGCTTTCCAATAAGTGACGTCGTTTTGACGATTTGATGTCATTTCAGTTATCGAAACAATATCACCAATCTGAAACAGAGAGAATGAGTTTTTCGACACCAATCATCAAAAATGTATTAGATATGAATAATAGATCAATTGGCTGAATGTATGTTTGTTAGGGCGATTGAAAGCGAAGGACAAGAAAGAAAATCGACAGTAGTCAGAACTGTCTGACTTTCAAATCCCACGACTAATGGGCCTGAATATGCGCACAATAAGGGTTGCACATATTATTGGGCGGCTCGCGTTTTATGGTTGCTAATTTTTATTGCATTTTATAGTATATCTCCATTCAAAAAACATTTAAATTCAAATTTTGGATATATAAGTTTGAAGGGGAATGTTCACTGGGAAAACGTTCTTCAAATATTGATGGAGTTGAAGAATGCGGTGCTTTCGATTTCACAAAATCAGTAGAGATTAACGAATGCGTAAATTTACGTGGCAATTAAATATTGCCTGCGCATACTCTAATGTAGAACAGGCAGACACGCGTACTTCTCTTTTCATCAAGACACCATAGCCAGTGTTTCTAAAAATTCGTTCAGTCGTTTGACAACGAAAATATTTATTAATTATGTACCCAAAAAAGATATTTGTACTTTTCATCGTAAAATTGAAATTACCATTACGCGATATTAATGAATTATTGATTAAAAAGTCACATCTTTAATATAAATAATCGAAACTGAAAAAAATCGACTTTTAATAGATTTGAGCTTAACAGCTTTAACATATTTTGTACTGATAATTGTGAATAATTTCAATATTCCGAACTTTGACGATGACAAAAATAGTTTTTAGTTTCTAACTACTGGTATCAAAGACAATAGCTGGTGACCTAATCTGAGAACTTTTCTTTTTTTTTTAAATAAAAATATACTAGTACCCTCAGCCGCAGATGGGAGTAATGTGTCGGCTCGAAGTCTTTAGTTACCACCGCTGCTGCAATAGCCGGTACATTTATGGATGTTTCTTCAGCTGGCTCAAAGTGTCCTCCTTTACAATCCACCTGAAAACGAATTGTGATTATTTAAATTGCAGGATTTGAGTTACTTCAAGAAACTTCAAAACCGGATAACAAGTAATTATACTTCCAGTAAGATCTGATAAGCGTTCTGTGTAGTTAATTAGAATGGTCTGAAAAAAAAATCCGATTAGAAAAATATCAAACGACCTAGCCAAAATGAACAACTTTTCATGAATCTTTAGAAGCGCTGTGTCGACATGAATACATTGGAGGGTTTTTGATTGATTCAACATGTCAGATTGCTTACATCAAACGTTTTTTTGTGAACATTGGTTTTCTTAATCGCTAACAAACTTGAGGAAATATATCGGCATGAGGTCGAAAGATGGTGCAATAAATTGAAACGTTTAGGACATGCGCAAACCAGATGCTAAAAAACGGACACACATACTCACGACGACTGCCGCGGCGCTCGGGGATTTTAGGCGCAAGCATATTGTGTTGTGAACCAAAAACTCATCATCAATCGTGTTTGTTTCAAAAGCAACAATTTGGTCAGATTTCGGCGCTGCGAAATTGATGGAAAATGCAAACCTCGAGCTGGGCTTTGTCGACATGAATGTGTGGAAACAATTCGCCCAAGTTGGAATAGCGTCTTTCGAAAACACATCGATGCAGCTGCCGGTCAAATATTGCCCATTCTTCTCGCGATCGCTCAACGAACCTAAATTTTCCATTTAATACGTGGTTGCAATACGTAAAGAAAAATTGGCCTAAAAATTGCTAAATGGAAACTGACCAGGTATTTGATTCGCTTTCAACGCAAAATTTAATGCGTTCTTCTGCGTTTTCGTTTGGATTGATGGCAATAAACTGGACTTTTATTGGACCAAGTTCAACCGATGGATAGTGAAAATGCTGGCAGTCAACAAGTCGTTGAATTTTAAGACTGCAAAATACATTAAAATTGTCAAAATAATAAAATTCTGCCCGTTTTTTAATCTATTCATTCATATTATATCAATCTTTTATAATTTTCTTGGTAATTTTCTAAACCACACCAACACTCAATTGTTCTTTCAAGCGTAAACTAAAACTCTTGATAGGAACATTTCTCTTCTCTACGTGATTTATTTTCACGATATAGTATTCATAAATTATATAGCGGCATCATTCTCATTCGTCATCAAATTTTCAATCACTTGCTCTAGGTGCCGAAGGACACCAATGTGTATGTAATGTGTGGTATTACAACATCTTTCGAGAATTGCAAGAGCCGCGGCGGCGGCGATGGGACAACGCATTTGATTCACATCGTTCTTGTCAGTATTTTATGAGATATCATGTTTTTTACAAGAGGTCAACACACAAATCGGAGATGGACGGACATACCTACGAGCTCCACGCCGTGGAAATGGACTTTTCGGTAAAAACACATCATTCTCGTCTATGTCCATGTCACATATCTATCTTCTATTCCTGCTCAAGTTCCAGTGCTCACAGTTCTCCAAACATCAATATCAATATTTTTTGATAAATGAACACTTTAATGTCAAGTCCACCTTGCGATAATTTTTTCTGAAAAAAAAAACAGTAAAGAAAACTATTTGAAAAATAAAATGAGAACAATGACAAACAAGAGAAACGACATTCTTTGAGATAAAAAATAAGAATTCCCCTGCAAACATCTGGATTTATTGAATGAGTTTTGCAAGTTATCATATGACGCGACATATGTTTTACATTGCACTCAGCACATCTTTAATGCTAAAATGAATATTATGAATTTTACAATAACAAAAACAATTCATTCAGGCATCAATGTATACATATACATGTATAACAAAAGATTTGGACTTAATATAATAGCGCTCAAGTGAACAAACACTTGAACTTCCGAAAAACGTAATATACAAAGAAGTTAATATATTTTTACAATACGAGTTACACATTTTTTCTGCATTTTGACTTTGTACATAAAAATAAATATTAGAGCAAAATTTCCCCCATTTTCCGCCAAAATATTATATGGAAATTGGGAAACTAACTACAATTTGAAATGGATAAAACCGTTCAAATATTTGCCAAATAGGACATTCCCAATTACAAAGGAATTTTTCATTCAATAACAAGAATATGATCTATCGTTGTTTGGTAGAATATGCAAAACATGAATATTGATGTAAATACAAAGAAACGCGTTATGAGTTGATGATAGTGGAGTTATGTTTCTTACGGGAGCCTGAGAATCACCGCTATCAACGTCTGTTGCTCTCGGCTCGCTGACAGCTATTGCGCTTGAACGTCGTGCTCTAGCGGTTTCGATTCAATACCACCTGACACTATCACCGCCATTGGAGGCTTCCCGACAAGCTATCTTGCTCGTCGGCCTTCCGGTCGGTCATCGCACTACTCTCCGTCATCTATCGCTACACTTTCGTCCTGTCGCAGCGGCACTTGGTGGTTCCGCCTCAGGGACATCAAGCTCTTGCGAAAATAGATTTTCGATTTACGACAATTAACGCAACCTCGACCGAGTTTTTTTTAAAGAAGAGATTAGTCTGCAAAACAAAGTGCAAACAAATGATCAATTAAAAAAGGGGACAACAAAAAATTTCATTCGTTATATCGAATTTTAAAACAGGTTTATTGGAATGATTACGCAATAGCAAATAATAATTAGGAGCAGAAAGAAGTTTTACTATGAGCTGAAATGGATATACAGAATTACGGGGAAATAGTGTCATGCCGTTCAAAGTGTTTCCGATAAGAGAGAAAAACGTATTCAAATTATACTGTCCTGTAACTCATGTTTTCAGAGAGTAATATTTTTTGTCACTCTTTTCCTTCTGGCATTAATGGAACATATTGATATTTTCTAAAAAAAAAAAAAAGGTACCTTGAACTGTGTCAGTAAGTTTGTCGCTTATAAAATAGTTATTGTAGGTTACATTGTAGAAAACATGAATATTTGTCGAAGTTTATTGCACGAAACTAAAAATTCAGAACATCATAAAATCTAATATAGATCAGCACATCAAATTTGTCACGGATTCTTTCATTCTTCTTGCATTACAAGAGTGCCGAATAACAAAACCCGCCGAATAAACACCTATACAAAAAGAGGGAGGAGTCTTCAGTTTTGATAGAAAGCAAAGTGATAAAGCAAAGCAGATGAATTGTTAATCACAGAAATATTAGAAAAGTTCCATGAGGAATGGGCGAATTGAAGAGGGTGTAGTGAATTGCAAAATCAACCACAAATATATACGTTTTACATATCAATACAGAAATAATCACAACTAACAATTCTTGAAGGACACAACAATATTTTCAAAGATCAATGAATGGACTCGATTGCAACGGATGGCTTGCGTCATGCCTTAAAATAGAAATCAAACTCTTAATATAATCACGATGTTTGCGACAGTATATGTATGAATCCCACATCATTGTGCACACGTCTTGGTCACTTGTGGAAGAAAGGAAGATGTTCTAAACGCATTTGTTTGAAACTGAATTATACAATATTTACCTTTGATAATGGAGCGGAAAATCGGAAGAACGGGGTCTCCAACGAATCAGCCCATTGGCGAGATCGAACGACTGGAGCTCCTTCGGAGGCAGTCGCTTGATCTATAAACATGGCAGCAAGATTTTTAATTGTTTTGATGGTTTGCAGTGGAGAATTCGTATCGATAGACAACGTGTCAATAGTTGTACATGGAATTTGACCAGTTCCAAATGAAACAATACAATTGAGCTGGACCATATGACTCTCGCGCTGCGACATTTGGAGGCGACGATTGTATTCATGAACTTCGCTCATTAAGTCTAACGCAGGGTTATTGGAAATAATTCCACCGTCAATGTAACGGTCCTCTGATGGTTTGAACAACACTGGAGCAGCCGTAGATCTGCGAAGAGCCATCCAAAGCGGAAGATCTAAAAATAGCGAAACGCGTTAGTGTACTCAGATTGAGCAACCTTTCGGCGTTTCCTTGTCTTTGGGATCGGGAGACTTGTAATTTCTAGCCATTTCCAATCGAACCGGGAGCTTTTCCGAATTAACAGCGCTGATCATCAATCTATAAAATTTCTTTTTCTATGACGTTCTTTTAAAACCAATTTACCTTGGATATTTAATAGCACTCACAGCTGCCATTCCAAATTCGTCTTGTATGAACTTTTCCAATTGTAACGTATCGAATGGTGGAATATATCCATCAAAAACGCGATCTTTCAAAAGAAGGTAGGTCTGCTGCATTTGACGCAAACTTTTACCTTCAAGAGAATCGTGATTCAAAAATATGAATAAGAGCAAATACCGCATGCTAATCCAGCCATTATCAATGAACCTGTTGATGTACCGGCAGCCCAGTCAAAGTATTTGAATATTGGTTCACCAAGAGCTTCTTCAATTGCAATGAGCGTCTAGATTCGAATTGCAATAAGCTAAGCTAATTATAATAACTTAAATTACTTGAATGATCACAAGTCCTCTAATGCCACCTCCATCGAAGGAGATCAGATTGATTCGAGATCGTTTGCCTTTCCTTGGAGAGCTCAGAACCTTTTTGTTATTAAGCTAAATGTTGAACATTTTAAATCTTGTTGCTTTATTTGCAGTCATTACATTTTCTGCATCTGTTAGCTCGGTCTTTTCATAATCTTCAGCAGTTCCTATAACAACCGTCTTGAGGAATTCGTCATTCTCTTCGTCACTAGTCGGTTGATCGACAGCGCGACTTCTGCATTCACTTCGACAACCTCTATATCCACGAGGGCATCTTTTTGCACCGGCAACTTTCAGAATTTTGAGCATATCATGACTAAATCAAGCATGTTCAATATAAATCCATTTTTTGCTTATACTTTTGCAAACCAGCCGCTAAATGTCTAGGCGACTCTCCTCTTTCGTTTACTTTGTTCGGATCTGCTCCAGCAGAAATAAGGAATTTAACGCACTTGAAAAAATTGAATTACCACAATACATCTCACAAAAATACTCACATCCATGTTTATCTTCTTTGCTTCAACAAGAGCTGCAGCTTTATGAAGTGCTGTGTTTCCATGAGGATCAGTAGCGTTTAAATCAGCACCATGAGCATACAAAGTTACCAAAAGCGGAAGAAGATCGGGCTAAATCATTAATACATGTCAAATATATCATATAAAACAGTCACCTTTTTAGAACTCATATAAACCAGCAACGCTGTTTCTCCAACATTATTTTTCAGATCAATATTCAAACCGAGTTCATTCTTTTTGTGGAGAAGCGCGTTTAGAGATTCCTTGTAGCATGCAACATGTATCGCACTATTTCCCAAACTATCCCTTTCGTGCACAATTTCCGGCTTAGTGGCAAGCACCACTTCAACAACACTGCAAAGAGGACAATTGCAGGGTTTTCAATTAATTTGAAACGAACCTTTGCGCATTTTTAGACAGCATTGCTAAGAACAATTCATTTCTCTCCCCTCTTCCAAATTTGGCTCCTTTTCTGATCAAAAATGTCGTCACTAAAGGTTTCGCATTGCTAACGGCTTCAGTCAATGGTGTTTGTCCTTCATTGTTACGCTCGTCAATGAAACGATGTGTATCGGCACATTTATCCCAAATTGCCTGAAATATTGAAAATGTGTATTGCTACGTATTATCGGTACATGGAATTATGTGAAATTGTCATGGTTTAAAATATTACTGAACAATAATTCGGAATTTGAGCAAAATATTGGAATTTTAATGTCTTTTTTTGTTTTGTTAAATTTTTTTCACAATTACCACTGCACAAGTAGCGCTTGAAACGTGATGCCAAACATTATTTCCAAGGGTATCGGTTTCAGTGAAAAGTTGGGGTTCCAATTCGAGAAGACGCTCCACAATTTTAATGCGATTCATGGCAACAGCCAAATGAACCGGATAACAGTTTTCCGTATTGCACAATGAACGAAGCTGGCTTAAAAAATATTGATTTACACAAATTGGAGGAAACACAGCACACTTTTTGAATGGTTCGTTTGTTGCATTCAATCGAACGATAGATTCATCCGAGAAAAAGTCTAAACGGTCTGAAGCTATGGCGAGATGTATCAATTGATAATGCGGTTTGGATCGAATTTGTGATAATAGTTCTTCAAATTTGGTTTTAGCTCCAACTTGATGAGGATCTGTAGCATCAAATTTTGAGAAAGTTGTTTTTATGCAACACTGACCTGTTGTTTCAAAAAGATAAGTCTTTTTGTCACAAAGATGTAAAAGGTCCATGATTTCTTTTTTATCGGTCGCTCGATAAAGGCTGAAGCAAACGGGTTTCTTCGTCGAATCATTGTAGTCGTTTTTTTCGTTAGTCTCATAAAATCCGAACGGAGCATATGTTAGATGGAAAAATTCGTCAACTCTATTGTCTTCGCCATCCCAAATTGCAATAAGAAACTTATCATTATCAATATCGGTGGGGATAATCTGCAAAGCAATTTCATTAAATAAGCAATCTCAGATTTTGCAAACCTTATATTGGGATAAAACCATGTATGGGAATGTACAAACTTCGTCAGATCGGCTAGCGTACCATGGCTTTTTGAGCCATTTATTTAGGATAGCAGGAACATTTCGCACAAGCGAAACAACTGTATCCAATCTGAAATGACAATTAGAAGCGATAATTAATAAATTAATCTATTATCACGTGTATGAAGTATCATTTTTCTCGGACGTTGGAGTATTCTTAGATGTTCTGAATATAGATAATATTTAAGAAATTTAATGGACATGTACTAACCGATTTATCAATTTGTCCGTCTCTCCCGGAAGTGGACTGCTATTTCCGCTTTGATCTGGAAAATGGTAGAATGCGAATATATCATATGAGAGGTGACAATAAATTTGAAGAAAAATCATGAAAATCCAAAAAAACCTTTTTGTTTGAAACTGCCCATCGCTATTGATCCCTTATCAACAAATATAAAATCTTCTGGAGCATTTGCTACGTCAATTCCAACATCGACAGAATCGGTGAAACTTTCCATGCTTTTATTATTTTCCGAACTCGACATTTCGCAAATATCCTCTGAAACGTTAATCATTTCAATGTGGACATAACATTTCTACGCTGAATCCGACATTAAAAACGAAATTTGCAGGTATATTTTAGAGGAGGTCATTTATTCACATGATTAAAACTGCGGAAATATTTGTTTACAAGAAAAATGTTAATGAATTAGCTTAGAGATAACGCAGTTTGTGCATTACTGAGAATTCGCACGAAAAGATAAACATATGCCGGTGATTTTCCGGTAATAACTTTCGTTATATTCAGTTTTATTTCTTCACACAAAGATAACAATTTTGCAAGCTCATATGTTTAATAATCAATCAACGCGTACGTTTCCTTGTTACGCAAAATTTCATATTTCAAATTTTTAAGTGTCAGCCTTCCAAAAAATTATAAAGAAATGGGCTATGGAAAACCTTTTACATAAGCAAAGAGAGGAATGAATTAGACTGCCCTCTTCCGCAGAAGATATAATTATGATAATAGGACAACATGATAGTCAACAAAGTTTCATTGAAAATTCATTTCATTCCTCTCAATGCAATATGGATTTTCAAAAAACCTAAAACAATGAATAAGATCTTAAGAAGTGAAAATCAATTTAGCCAACAATTGGAATTTTGTATTAATCAAGATTTCCTTCGAAAAACCGAATAGCCAACCCTTTCTTGCAGCCGGAAATTGTTTCATGGTTTCGCTTAATAAATTCACCTTGTTTCAAATCTGCTTCTACTTCCGCCGTGCCCAGAACATAATTCGAAAAGCTTGATGTTGGGATTTCCGGATTTGAAAACGAGCGATTCAAAACTGATCTATGTTCGGCGTTATAGTAAGGATGCATTAATTGTCCCATAGGTGATTTTGATGGGGCGATTTCTCCAAATCTACTCGTCGTTGGCTGATAAAAACAAGTTGTCGCCCCAGTCAATTGCAGAATTTGATGATCGACGTGTTTTTCGCCGTTGTGTCTAAAGGTTCAAATTGTCATCACAGATTAGAATTTGATACTTACACATGTTCTCTATTGATGGTAGCTTTCATTTCTTTTAAGGGCAATTTACAAAGTTCTTTGATTGGCTGGGTAGTTATAATGTTTTCTAGAATAGAATTATTCTTGTTTTATAGCAAAGGTCAAGCATACCGTCGCTTTCATTCAAAAACTCATTGTTATTATCAGCTCCATTTGTTTGATTGCTATGTACAAGTGGCAATACTGCCGTGCAATTGGAATTTGAGTTGCTTGTTAATCCTTGCATCTCAAAATATGTGAAATTTCGCAATAATTACAAAAATTGAATAGAAAGAGAGAATTGTGTTAAAACTATCAGCAAAATTATTCAACACAACGAAACAACCACGGAACAAGATGAAGATAAATTGATAAAAATCGTCGCATGTGACCGATTCCTCATGAAATAATCGCTCACTAGAAAATAATGCGAGGCTCTTTCAATAGAGCGTATATGCGGCATTGCGTCGCATGACATGTTAACCAAATAACGAGATGACACGTGAGAATAATGGGCTTGTCGCATTTATGATTCATCAAATGACATTGAATTATTATTTCATGTGTTGATTACAACCATATGAAGAGATAAAGATCAAAAGCGGAAAAGATATGCGAACTCATGATTGCCATGTGTAGTTTAAAATACCAATAGACTAACGAAATTAATTAGATTGAAAGTTGAAAGTCACTAAAAGCAGAGTAATTTATCTCTTCGAAATAAAGAACTTGCATTGACGCACGCGATTCCTTCCTCAGGAATGCAGTAAAAAAAAAGAAAGTAGGGCGCGATAAATCAAAAAAAAAGTACAGCCGGTAATGAAAAAATGAAATAAATTGCAGTATTTTCAAGTTTTCGTTTTCACATCTTTTTAAAGCAAAGAATTTAACATTGGATTGTTGATATTTCTTTTATAATATTAGGAGAATACATAAAGATATGATTATTTAAAAGGAATATAACACAAAACATAATTTTGGCTTGTTTGAAAATAAATGCTGGCAGGAAAGATAAAATTAAAATTGAATGTTTCAAATGACGAGAGATTTTTTTAAACAAATTACAAAAAACCAGCAATATGAGATAAGAATCGCCTGTCATTCGAATGACTAATGATTTTAAACTTTTACGATGACTGTAAAACTATATAATTAAAAAAAGGACGTTTTCGAAGATGATTTCGTTATAGTTATACAAATATTTTTTAACCTCGAAAGATGCAGTTTAGTTACAAACCCAAATGTAAATAATATTAATAAGAACTGAATGTTAAACTAAATATGAAGCATATTAATATCTCACAAAACTTGACAATTATAGTTATTTCAATGACTTAAATGAAAGCTGTTGCAACAATTTTTGAATTTTCACTTGCAAACGAATAGGAGAGGGGCGGTCACATTTAATTAAATTGTTCTCGGAAATTCTTCATGGCTTAGGATAAAAAAGTGAACCGAGCGAGGTTCAACAAAAAATAACAAAACAAAAACTAAAAGAGTTATTGCTATTAAGAATTTCTTTTAAGAAAAAAAAATATTAAAAAACTATCAACACTTGTGTGTGTAAATAATAAAAATCTTACGTTATACATATACAGTACAGGCCATAATGATGTTCGCCTAGTGTTTTTCGAGCATAACATGGCACAAACGCGGCCGATTGGGCTGAAATTTTTACCATATCTTTAAAACGCGTTGAAAATGCGTTTGATTGGTATCACATACTGCAGAAAAAATTTTTTTTCGAAAAATCACAAATTTCATAAAAATGCGGAAAATGGAAAAAATGACACAATGTGATTTGAAAGTCTCAGAAATCCGAAAACATTACAAATTTGTAGAAAACCAATTTTTAATTTATCAATACTTTATTGCGTATCCCTTGGCTTCAAAAACCGCTTGGCATCTGCGAGGCATCGAGTCCAAGAGGGAGCGGATCACTGCATCGGAATGGCACTCCATGCGGCTTCGAGTTGAGCGAACTTCTCGTCGGCGATTGATGCTCGGAGCCCTCTAACAATGCGTACCAGTTCATCTCAGAGATGTTCGATCTGATTATGGTCAGGAATCTGTGATGACCATGCAAAAACATCAACTCGGCGACGTTGGAACCAATTCTTTACATGTCCCGACATGTGCTCAGGGTAGTTGTCTTGCTGGAAAACGAATGCACATCCGATGTTTGCCAATTCCCAAGGTCTCATTGTGGTTTCCAAGATATCCTTGTACTGGTACCGAACCATGATTCCATTTACACGTCGGAGCGGTCCCATGGCGGTGTCGGAGAAGCAGCTCCAGACCCTGCAAGATGCTTCACCATTCGGAGGTGGTACTTTGGCATGAATCTGGCTCCGATAGGTCGACGAATCCACTTTATTACATCAGTTCCGAACAAGTTGAACTTTAATTCATCGCTCCAGATGTGTTTGGCCCATTCACATCGTCCCCAGTTCAGATGATCCTTGCACCATGCCACCCTCGTCATTTGTTTCTTCTCACTGATCAATGGTTTCTTCACCGGCGCCTTCCATGAAGTCCATTATCCCCCAAACGACGTCTAATTGTTCTTCTGGATGACATTGAAGTATTTGGCGTTGCCACAAGCATCTGGATATCTTCTGAAGTCCGTCTAGAATCTTTTCTTGAAGCATGGCAGATGTTCCGATCATGGAGCCTAGTGGTTTTGCGAGGTCCACTGTGTGATTTGTTGACAAAAATGCAGCCCTATAGATTAGAAATAGTCCAGAACGAATAATAAATCGTAAATTTTGTCTTAATCATTGCAAAACTTTTGGATTCCTCTTCGGGAGCACAGGAACTGCTGAGCCAGAAGGCTTCTGGATGACCCAGTCTTATGACCGTTGACGATCGGTTTTTGAACGTCCGCCGTGAAATTTTTCTTTCCAGAAGGTTGAAAAATTACTAAAAACATGTTTCAAGTTCAAATTTCAAATAAAAAAATTGTTATGGACAAAGTTTGAAAAAAATGAAAAATTGGTAAAATCGAAAAAAACAAAAAAAATTGAAAAAAAAAATTTTTTCAACATGATGCAATTTTTGTTGTTTACAAGGTTGCGCAACTGTGTTTAGCGTTTACAGTAAAAATTTCAGCCCAATCGGCCGCGTTTGTGCCAAGTTATGCTCAAAAAACACTAGGCGAACATCATTATGGCCCGTACTGTACATACATGTGCGTCATGTTTAAGGTATACATTTTTTTCAGTTTTTCTCCACAAATGTTTAGCCTCATCTCATTTTATTTCAAACATGAATTTTTCGCGAACTTCCAAAAAAAATTGTTTTGCTTTATTGTTCTTGAATCTACATTTTTTTCAAATTTGATGCTAGAATTATGTGTGTTTCAAGAAATGGCAGCAAATAAACTAATTTCGGCGTTTGAGCAAAGCTAAGTTGTAGCCAAACATGATCATGGTCTTTCTAACCGACAAATCGCTCAAGATTTGAAGCGCAGCGCAAAAGTGATCAATAAGTAAAATGATATTTAGTTAATTACGATGTTGTGCCACCTGAACTTCGGTTGATCTTGTGAGAAGCGAAGAAGTTTAATTGTGATGGCCCTGATGAGTACCGCATCTACTCTCATGATCATAGAAACCAGCCCATTCGATATTCGCGAAGAAATTTCCAAGGAAGTGCTGTCATGGTATGGCCAACAATCGGTTCGATTGGTCGTGAAAAACTGTGCTTCGTCACAAAGAAAATGAACGGTCAATAATTGGTGCTGAGCTTCTGCCCTTCTGCTGTCGACATCGTCACAGAATGATGGTGTATCAGCAGGATGGTGCCCCAATACATCGGGCTCGCGGCACTGCGCGTGGATACAAGAGTCCAGCAACAAATGATTGTCAATCACACTCTTCCAAGCGGCACGTAATCAAGGAGGACCATGCGACTATTTTTTTGTATTTTCAAAGTTTTCAATATGAGGCTATACTTTTGTGGATCGCCAAAACGCAATTTTCGGAAAATAAAGCTAATTTTGTTTAATGACTCAGTAAGTGTAAATCTATTATGGGTTACTGAAAAGAACTCATTCGAGCCCTATTTTAACAATACAAGCGTTAAAAAAACACTAGAATTTGCTAATTTAAAAAGTAAAACAAAGCCTGCTACTTTGAGATTTTGTACAAAATCATTGCATCCTGTAATGTTTTAATACTAGAAACCTGGTTGTTTTAAAGTAATTTTTTATTTGATTATGTTGCTAAAGAATACAAACATTTGGCCAAAATAAACAATTTATTATACATTGCCCGATAACAATCAACATTCACATTCACACTCAACAATTCAACATTCATTTAAAATTGTTTGATTTTGAACGGACAATTTTGAAATCTTAAATATAACGACCTCTAATGTTTTTCAAATTTCGTTGATTTATGGAACAAGTAAATAACAGGAGCTGCATAATTTGTAGACACATACTAAATCTGAAACAGTAAGAATTATCTGTGAAATTCGAAGTTTATTACTTCAAGAAAAGAACATTTGAAAAATTGAAATAGGGCATGAAGTGATCACTGCAAAAATTAAAAAAAAAAAACAAGAATTTGGAATTTACTAAAAAACAAGAATTTGGAATTTACTAAAAAGTAAAAAATAAATGAAAATTTCAACTGTTATATGTTCATTGTTTTATTCAGGAAAAGGAAAAGTAAATCTGATGTTTTTCAATCATGTATTTCTCGATCCCCCGACTATCAAGAAACTCTCGGAGACAAATTTGTTTCATTGTTGTTTTAACGTGATTGATACGCTTGTGTTTTGCTATTACGACGGAAAGAAGCAAATGAAAATATATATCCAATTGGCGATCACAGTTGACATTTAATCACAACAACCCACACAAAATGATTTCCCGCCACCAATTGATCTGGTCAATTAAACAGACATAAAAACAGAAAAAAGAAAAATGAAGTATTGCTTTTAAAATTTCTGAAACATAATATATTTGACCCCAATATGAAGAAAATTTTTGGAAAAAGTTTCAAGAAAAACCACTGCCATCCGTACGTCACATTTTTTTTCATTGAACAAGACTGATTGGTATCTGTTCATACGAGCCGACTCACTTATTCGAGCATAGCAAGTGATAAATTGCGAACATCAACCGCGTTTCTCTCCCGATGATAGATATTAACATGATTGTTTTTCTAGCTGTTAAAAACTTTGCTTCCCCTCAAAGTGCCAGCTGTCTTTGTCGGCTCGTCTAATTAGTTGACTTGTGCCACTTCATTCATTAGACACTGCATAAACCCGGTGTACAAAGTGACCTCTTCAAGCGGCAGCTCTTTGTATTTTGCAGTCAGTTGTGCAGTAAATGATGATGCTTCTTAAAACAACTTTGCACCTGTGGTCTCGGGCATGGATAAGGAACAAATTGATAAGTGGAAGTGAGAAGAGCGACAAAGTATAACTCGAAGTTTTCATGTATACCCGTGATTTATATAATTATATTATACCACGTATGAATGACATGCATCAAAACGATAATAATCTTATACTGAAATTGAGTAGGAGCTATGTTCCTGTAGGTGACACAACATACATCAAACATGCACAAGTAAGTTAACTAATTACTGTATCCTGTGAAATCAGATAACCATGACCTGCTTCTTGCAAGATGTAAGAGGAGTGTGGCACAATATTGGTTATCAACACTATCATCAAAACTTATCATTAAAAAATCATACAATACGTATTTACGAAACATGAAAATTCGTTAAAGAAACTCCCCAAACTCCCAATTAATTAAATACTCAACAATATTACGAAGATAGATTTTACAAAACGTTGAAAAATTTCATATTTCCTAAAGAAAAAATATCGGAAAAAAATTTTCAGTGAGATCGTTTTTTTGGTTTTTCTTGTGACATTTGGGTCACGTTGTTTTCACGCATTTTTGAGTGCTACCATTTACTTGAATTTTTCTAATCGTTTAAACCTCAAATTTTAATAAATAAAACCAAAAAGAAAAAAACAAATTTTTACTCATGTGTTTTCCATATCCCGATTTTTCAGAAGGCGACTGTTACGAGCTAATTGATCTTTTTGAAAGCCTAGTTTTGACCCTCTGTTCACACCACCCAAACGTGTAAATCACTGACAGAAAGAGCCATTAACAAAATCGACTCTCATTGCGATAGCACAGCGATCAGACATGTCTCATCCACGTTAAACAAACTTTAAACTGGCACTTTGATCAATTCGCCCGCTTGTCAGAACTGACTTCGAACAACCAATACGATAGCAATTAGCAAGGCTCATCTCACCAAGCATGCCAATTGTCCTTTTAACTTGCCTCCCGTCATTCGGCTGCCTCTCGGTGATACCACCCGCCATAATTTCAACCACACCGCAAAAAATTGCGGCAATGATTTGTCGTGTCAAGAATTGCTACCGTAATCCGGAATTGCGAAACTTTGCTACATCAGAAAGATTTATCAATGAGTTATATTGTTCATTATAACACTGATAGTATGAAATCTTAAATGTACTTCCTGACTAACCAAATATCAAAAATATTGACGTACAACGCTTGCAATCGTTCTACCACGGAGAATTAAAAAATTTGAAACAGATTTTGGCAAACGTAGAAAACGTTATAAGAATTTTGCTAAAAATAGTATAAGATTTGTGGATGGATATGTCGTATGGCAAAAATGAGAATTAAAATTTTACAATTAATATCGCATTGACGAAATTAGTAAATACTGAAACAACATGAATATGTGTATTTCCGTTATTTATTAGTTATCTAAATGTTAACGATGCAGTTTTTCTCTTCTCCTATCACGCTTTCAACATGCATTCTCATTTTATATCTGGTCGGAATCTCTACAATTATTCATTGGGTATATCTCTCACGAGGCAATTGAATAAAAGTTTAAACCGTTTGATGACTGTTCATAAATATTTGTAGGCTCGGGTTAACTCATAACTCTTCAACCTGCCAGGGTGACTTTTGGTGGCAACTGTTTTGCCATCCTCGCCACCTCACTCTTTCATTTATGATGTTACTTGTCCGGCCATTTTTTACACCAATTGAGTTATGCTCGTTGTTGGCGGTCATCCGCGTTTTATTGGTGGTTGTGTGAAGCAAGCGATTGCACAATAATCCGCGCATCTAATAGTCCATATGCAAAAGCGGTACGCATTGAAAAATATGTAAATGCGGGTAACCATCGGGTTATTGGGATTAGAAAAATCTCTGTCGTGTGTGCGTCCCGCAAGCACATTAAATATGCAAAACGAATTCGTTTTCCGCTTTTTTTGTAGGATTTCTACTCGCCGCGGCTTATAATCATCATTAATTATTGCCGCAAAGCCTACTCCCGCAACCCGATTTCCTAATCAATTTTCCATACGGCTGTCGAAAAAAAAAACGCATTGGCAAATGAAGAAGTGGCAATTTCCCGAAAAATCATGACTGGAGTTGACTGAACGGTTAAGGAAATTGGAAGCTTGACATGAATTAATGACTCTTGAAATGGAGAACGGAAAACGACTATAAGTTTCTAGAGGGCGAAAATCGGTCACCTCATTTACTCTTCTTCATTAAAGATCATGAGTCGTCAAAAACCAAAATGACATTTAGTAGTGAAGCCTTCAATGAGACTAGGTTTACTTTTTGTGATTTCACTATAATCACATATTCAACTGAGTTAAAACGGTTTTGAACAGAAATCTCAGTACGTTCCGATGAATGGGATATGTTAGTCGGGTTCACCGCGTGTCTTGCAACAACTGTCTTTCTTGTCAAAACACCATTAAAATTCAAAATGAGTCTCCGACCTCCAATGGCACTAATAGCTGGCGCCATCTAAATCACCAAAATGCAGCAAACTCTGCTGATCGAATGAATCATTATTTGTCCATTTTCTTTTCCGAATCCGTTCACACCGGAGATTAACCAAATCCACTTGTCTTCTTTTGTATGGCTCGCCGACAAGACATGTCTCATTATTCCCAACTTTGAGGATGTTTGGCAGCCTAATTCTTTGAAAATGAGCAAACAATTGAGATTGGAATTTCATACCAAATGAAGTTTTAATTAACGCAAAAACAATTAAGTTGTATACCAAACCTTATTCATCGTCAAAATAGAAAATGTTTTTGGCGGGATGCATTTAGCGAAAACAAAAAAAATGGTAATATTCAGATTTGGATACATGGAATTTTTATAAATATCGAAAATTTTCTTACGGAAAGTGTTCAATTATCGCAGATTGACCTTAAAAATGGAAGTATATAAGCCATAAAAAAAACCGCCAAAAAATTTATTTCAAACTTGACGATATTGGTGATCACAAAATTCATTCAAAACATTGTAAATATTTTTTGAAAAATTGGATACATTGTAATTTTTTTTAAGCGTATCGCAATCTTATAGAGATTAACCCCGCCGAAATTCAATTGATGGCTATCAATCTTGATACGCACGCAATCATCGTGTACGACTCCGCCTACTGGCTCGCGACCACCCAGAAGATTGCGGGAATACGGTAGTTAATTGTTTTCGGACGGCAGCCAACAATTGGTAGGCGGAGACTCATCGTTGGCTTGTCGCCGCTCTACTAACATTCACCTATAACACACTCACACACACGATTCTAGGTTCATCCCATCTAACCATTATTATAATTCTAATATAAGCATTCATTCAACTTGCATGTAAGTTTTCACTTTTGACTCATGCCTCCCACAAAAAGTTTGCCGTTATTCGTAATTATTTAATTATCCATCCTTAACGACCTATAGTTCCGGCAAAACTCATAAGGCTAATTAAGAAGCAGAAGCCATAAAAATAAATTAACCAATTGAGGAGCTATGTTGTTCGAGGCACACAATATCGATAATTATTCTGCGGTTTGCCTGCCCATCATAATGAGATAATTGGTTGATCATTATTGAATTATAATAACACCACTTCGCGAATTTAGTAATATACGTTGAATTTTTTTCATATACCTACTATTAATCCTGTCGTTAATCTACAAAAATGGATTACTAAAAAAAAACGCAAAGTCATGACAATTGTGTTAAACATTATCCTATCTATTAATAAACTGATAAATTTAATCTCATTATTATCCACACGTATGCAAAACAATAAAACGCTTGTATCAATTCCTTGAATGCAAATCTGCAAAATGATGTCCCAATTTTGTGTCAGCTGGCAGGTCAATCGGAATCCAAGTGGTTCCGTGTGAATCATGTTTAATTATCGCAATCATTCTCAAATAATTGGCAATAAATTGGTGGTGCAAGGTGTTAATGTCACGAGCCAAACATGGCCGGTGTCATCAGCGGCATTGCAGCTGCCCACCGCACCCTGCGCCCTACCGTATGCGTTTTTGGATTTGTTTGCTATGCAATTTAGCAGATGATCATTGTGTTGATATCCTTAATGCGTAGCGCTTCCTTTTCTTTCAAGACCTACTTCCGAACAGTATTAATTACAAAGGGATTTTAATTTCTCACTTATGGCGATAATTCTCAATCCGCCGTTTCGCTTCCTATTTTTTCCTCCCGCTTTTCCCTCGCCCATTACTACGGTAGAGCATATGTATGATGAATTTTATGAGCTCTTATAATCTAATACGCAGTAATACGCAATAAAATCTCGATTAACGCCTTCCATCATCAGTCTGATTATTGCAGGATGGTATCGAAAGAAGAGAAGCCCAAAATCTCAGCGATGTTTAGCGTTGAAAGTCTTCTTGAGTCGCCATCTAAGGATGCCAAAACAGATGTTTCCAAACAACAACCAGCGACTCCAAAGACACCCATTATGATTTCTACTATAAATCCACTGGCAAATTATCCAATGAACTTCGCCTCACCTTTAGATCCCGTAATGATCTATTTTGCTCAATCAAGGTAATGAAAAAAGCTGTGATGGCAATAATCCATCAAAACCTTCATTTAGAATTCCAATTGTAAGCTCCGACAGCTCTCCAGAATCATGCGCTTCATCGCCAATGTCAATTCAAAATCCAATTCCATGGCTCTCATCTCAACGTGAAGAATCGCCAAGTAAAACAACTCAATAATATAATTATGCTCATCATTTCGATTTTCAGCGAGCGAGGAAAAAATCCAAATGGGATTGACTAAATGCATGTTGCGCAAACACAAAAATAATAGAAAACCACGCACGCCGTTTTCGACTCAGCAATTGCTTTCATTAGAACGAAAATTTCAGCAGAAACAATATTTGTCAATTGCTGAGCGGGCGGAATTCAGCGCTTCGCTTCAACTCACAGAGACACAAGTCAAAATTTGGTTCCAGGTTAGTTTTTCGTAAGCCGATGATTATCGAAATTCAAAAACAATCGAACAAATCTTGGCGGGGAGTGGTATACGGTAAACAGAAAACGTATTGATAGATGATGGTTATCTAATGAACGAAGTGCGCGTATCGACTACATAATTATGGCGTTCGGCCATTGATTTAGAAGCGTGGAGCTGATGATACCATCTATAGTGACCTTCACACCTTTCTGTGCTAAAAGAGTTCCGCAGATTCCGCACAAGGTGGCTCGAACATATGGTGGAGAAGAGCTCTTTAAGATAATCATCATCTTCAACTCTTAAAAAGTGCCGAACAGACATACATCCATGAAATATTCCTATTAAAACCATTAAATGACTTTACGAAATCACTTCGTTATTCGATTTGACACGATTAGGTGAATTGAGACATCAAAAGAGCCCGAATCTTTTATATTCTCAAAAAGATTTAGTGTTGCCTTAAGAAAGTTACCATTGTTCCTTGTTCTCTCCACAATACCGCGCACGTCACTCAAAATATTGTTCACACTTTGCCTCGTCCGGTGTGCGCCAGGTTTTGTCACTGTCATTGAGACTCCAATTCGCCTCATATCTCATTTGACTCGATATTGTTTAATTTCTCAATCAACGCCCTCAAAATGTGACTAGGATAGGCGCCAGCTGGCTACAGTAGGCGCGCGATATCGTCAATTCCCGCATTCCGCGAGATGCCAATAAAGCAGATGATCGCTTGAATTGACCTTCGCGTAATTGGCAAACATTGCACATGGAATATTTCACTCGACACTTCTTAAGAATGTATCATTTACAATAAGGTCAGATGGTCAGTCATCAATTGTTTGCCTTGATTTGAAAGCGGAACACACAGGTTATGGGGAAGGGAACAGTAATCCTAATAATTAATTGCATATATCGGATACCATTAGCCTTCCATTCATCAGTAAATTTTCACATTTCTTTTTAATCCGACAACGCAATCCTCGAATAATAGACAACTCGCCTACGCCTACGCACCGAATAATCGATCTGTATTAACCATCACTCACATAGTTAATGGCTCATAAACCTAGGCTCAAATCGCGCAGTATGTTCGAATTGCATAACATCTGCATTCTGATTTACTACTCGACACACGATTGGGTTGGAGAATGCGAAGAAGTTTTTTTTTTCAAATCGAACTTTCATTACGCCCAGTTTTCATTCGATGTGCGGGCGAGGTGCGAAGAAAAGTTTACCTCAAAATATCTCAAGGCCGTCTTTTCTTTTATCAAATCTTCTTTCGATATGGCTAATGATATGATAAATGCGTGAGGGAAACGATTGCGTAAACCACACTGTGCCCCCCCCCGCTGTGCCAAATACGAAATTTTGGTGCTTGATCGTTTCAATTCTCTCCCTCATACAATAAAAAACTTGAGGGACCGTGCAAATTTACTGAACGAAAATAATTTTTTAGAATCGTCGAGCCAAGTCAAAACGTCTTCAGGAAGCAGAAGTGGAAAAAGTGAAGTTTGCCCAAGCTAGTGCTTTCGCTGCCGCTGTAGGAACATCACCAACAGAAGCCTCAAATTTTCTTGCGTTTTACCCACCACAATGGTGATCTTGATTCTCTCGAAATTTCATTATCCGGTTGAAACAAAATGCACTCATACATACTGTCCAACAGCCAACCATCAAACATTCCTTCAATTATCACAATGTTGTGAATTGTGTTTTACGTGTGTATGTGATCTTCCCGTCAATACAAATACATACTTGAAATTTTCATTTTGATATTTTCATTTGATAATTCATTGAATGATTTTCCATGCTATGTCATACACTCAATCCTATTTCATTTGTCTTCATTTTTTCCCGACAAAACTAAATTCCCAAATATATTTTGTTTAGAAGAAACGAATATTGTCAACATTTCGTTGTGATCTCATACCATTACGGTAGTTGTCCCGAATTTCTCTTTATTTTTTTTATTGTAGTTTCTAGAAAGGCTCTCGATTTTCTTCCCGCACCCATAATAAACCGCTCATTTAATGCGTACTCCCGCCATATTTTTTTCCCACTACATTTTATTGCTTTGGGCGATTCTCTTCAAAATAAATCACCGATCAATTAGTTGATAATTTGGGAAGTATTTATTTGATAGCCGTTTCAAACGATGCCGACAATCGGTAGAGAAAGAACTTGAATACCGAACAAAATACTCTAAGAAGAATACAGGGAATAATTATAGACAAACAATAAGGGAAACGCAAAAACAAATTTGAGATTTAGTGAACAAGTTTCGCTTTCGAATATTAGATTTTAATGCTATATATTTTGATAAATAAAGTTAAAAATTTATTTATTTTTCTTACTTTGGATAAATTCTCTGTTGTTGATCAAAGCCTTGCGTAACATTTCTTTAACAACATGCAATTTTAATATATTCTTTTATAAAACACTTAAAATGTTCAGGACTTGATAAATATTTTCATTTCATGTACATAAATTAGCATATTATGTTCTAAAAAAAAATTCTCGGTTTAACGTATTTTTTTTTAATTTTTTAAACGTGTTTTTAAAATTTTTCCAGTCATTTAGATGTATGATCTTTAAATTAATCGAAAGAAAATGCTCGTATCTGCTCTTTTCACTAAACTATCTTAATTAATTGTCGCCGTCAATAAATAATTAGGCTCCCAATGAACTTTAAGCTAACCATTTAAATACAAACACCCAATTGAAAATGAATTCACCATCGGGTGAATAGAATGGTGAATTAGGTTGTCCAACTATGATATTTCTTTCGAATGCTTTAAAATTGAACGAATTTGGGCAAAGGAAAAAGAAAACGGACAAAATCGTTTAAAACGAATTGGGATGTAATCTTATTTTTTTCTTTCGGTACGCTCACAATTTCATAATTGGAAGAAGCATTTGTTTCTTGAAAACGCTATCGTCAAAATACGAGAGTAAATTTTCAATAAAATGTCTCAAGTGTCATCGAATAAATGCTCCGCCTACAACATTTCTAGTGTTTTTCAAATTTTCATCCATTTCTTTTTGCGTAGATTTTCTTTATATTTCCAGTATTTTAAGTCCTGCAAACATTTGGATTTAAACAGTGGATTTAAACAAACCCATAGAACCAGTAAACGCAAACTTGATACTTCTGCAGTTTTGCCGGAAACACCTACAGTTATAATGTATTACGTTTTAATATTATCCAACTTAATACGTACAAAATGTTTTGGATGATTTTATCTGAAAATCTTATTTTATTTTCGAATTATCTTCTCTAAATTTGCGAACTTATATTCTTAATATATTTTTAATTTGTATTCAAGATATCATATGAAGATTGAAAGCCATCTTATTAATTTTTCATAAAATAAACGAAAGTAGCGTTTGAAAAATCGTTGATGTCTATATAAAATTGAGACAATGTCTCAAAAATGCGATAAAAATCGATATATTGTTGTTTATTTTTTATTCATACTGCATATTCTCAGTTATTTCTCATTCCAGTTTTTTCTTGAAACCATTTATGGGGCTTATTGCTTTTGGATAATTTTTTAAAAATATATTTACCAAAATCTTTAAAATACATGGTATTCCTATGCGTAGTTTATATTAAAAAATGAGAGGCGGAAAAAACAGCCAAATCTCAACATCGCCATGAGAACATTGTCGAGATTAACAAATGAGCCTGCCGTTTTCTGGGCCGATACATATTGCTTTAACCATTATTATAGAAAACTTCCTGAAAACACTGCGAATTTTTTGTGAGTTATATTTGAGCATTGCAATCTCATCTTATATTCCAATGGACTTGAAGAGCCAAGCTAGTGCAATTCTTGTTTCACTACTTTTTTGACGACATCTATGTACGCACGTTTTTGTTTTCGCTAAAAACCTTATATATAGGAAGATGCATTGAAACGATAAGTCAATAGAAAAATGAATAAATTTAATGGGCGGTTTCAAATGCGTTTCCAATCCTATATATCCTGTTTTATTTGTTCAACTCCATTGGCTTTTCGTCGTCCAATCATTTTATTTTCTTGTTCGCAACGAAGACAAAGCCCGTAAATGGTTTTTCGTAAATTATGTGCATTTCGAAGTGGAAAGTGTCAATTTCCTAGTTGTGTTCTTCCAAAGACCTTGATTTTTTCATGGTTATTTTTCAGAATTTGAAATGCGCGCTCAACTCTAAAATCTCGAGTTGGGATGATATTTTTGCTCTTTGGTTTTCTGGCACCAGCAGTGCTTCTGGCTGCACTTGGTCTATTTGCATGTCTGAAGAAATCTCCTCGAGACGATGAGAAATGTTATCAATCTCTTTATTCGAGCGAGGAAGCGATTCCGTGAGTCAACTTCATTTTAAATGGTTGTATGCATCCGAATGCTGAGCCCAAACAACTTTCAGCAGACATGAGAAACACATTTGGTTGCATTCCAAATTGTTGAGATATAGCAATCCGAAGCCAACTCCCAACATTCTTTTTTGTTTGTGATTGTTATACAACGAATGTTTCCAATTGTGAAACTCTGAAAGTTTCTAGAAGATAAAATCGGGACGACACTATTAAAGAAAATAAATTAATAGTTTGAAATATAATATATTATTATTAGTTTCATTCAAAAATTTTAAATAGAATCAGCCAGTTTTGCTGTTTGATTATTTTTAAAACATTTTTCGATTGTTTACAAAATCTGACGTTTCAAAAACCACTTTATGGGTCTGAGAAGAGCGTTTCCTATTTCAACTCTGCGAAAAATATCGAATATCTGCACCATGATGTGCATTATTACAGACGAATTCGTTCTCCAGCTTATGACCAAACTGGCGCCAATGGATATCAAGTGATTTATGAAAACCCGCACTTCGTCGACTTCAGGCCTCCTCCATACAATGAAGTAATCAGAGTTGATTGGTACGCAACAAGAATTTGATCATGGGAATATCACGCGTTTTCAGCCATAAAGATCGTCATTTGCCTCCGAATCAGCCCAAAATAATGAAAAAAATTCCGTGCTCATCAGCTCCGCTTAATTCTTATTCTATTTACTGATATGTGAAATGTGCACTTTTAAATAAATTGGTTTTTTGCAATATTAAAATACAGGATACGGCGAATCACAAACCACGATATTTCACTGAACGTCATAAAATTATATAGATAACATTATGGGTTGCATAGTTAGTCACTCATTGAAATAATTTGCTATTTTATCGATAAGCATAATCACATAGTCAACCACGATTGCGCAATATGAAATTCTCAAAATTCACAATATTTTCTATTATTGCGGCTTGTCTTTCAATTGCTATCGGGATTACGCTATGGATATCGTTCGATCCAATTTTTCAAACATTAGCAGCTGAGGTATGCAATTCGACGTTTTGTTTTTTAATATTATAATGGCTATATTTAAAGTAGTATATAATATTCCACGTTTATAGAACATAATGAATACAAATGGAAGATAAGTGAAATGAAATATTCTTTCTTTTTTTTATTACGGAGCAATTCCCTATATATATATATATATAAATCTCGTTCAGAATTTGGCATTATCTGAAAATGCGGATTTTTCGCTAAGCTATAGCGCATTCTTGTATTCCAATCCTCCAATGACAAACGTTATGAATTTTTATTTCTTCAATATCACTAACCCAGACGAATTTCTCTATAACGGAGAGAAGCCACAACTCGTAGAAGTCGGTCCATATCCATTTATGTGAGTCGTAAAAAATTTCCATTTGAATAATTATAATATTTTTTTAATTAAGAGAGTCAGAAGAGAAGAAATATTCGAAGTTCAGCGATGATGGCACGAAGATGTTTTATCAGAATTATAAAAAATACTCATTTAGCGAAGAGAGGATATCAAAATATCTTTCTTATAATGACAAGATCATGTATCCCAATTCGATTGCAGTGGTTTGTGATTAGAAAAGACAAAAATTAATACATCTTAAAATCATTAGGGTGCATTTTCCTCGGTTTTCGGAAAATCGACAAATCTTTCTCAACCAATTCAATTCGCAGTTTCCGTTGCCTTTATGCTAATTGGAGAATATTCTATAATGTAATTTTTCAAGAGAACAAGATATTTAAAAATTGATTGCAGTACTCAAAACGTCAGAGAATCGCTTTTCGACGGCTTCAATGAGCCATTACTTGACCTTCTTCACTCAGATGTAATGAACATTTTCGAATAATATATACACATTTTTTGCAGCTAGTTAATATTTTCGCAGTTTATTACTTTGGATCGAACTCAGTGCTAAAGCAGTTAGTACCACAAATGAAAACGTTTGCATATTTCAGCAATGTTAGTCAAAGCCTCCTCTGGTAAAGGATTCGTAATCGTATAAGAAAAACTGCATAATATACATAAATAACAAAAAATCGTTGTCGAATTTGGTCTCGATTGAAGAGCACTGTAGTGGTATACGATTACAACCCATTTGATTTTATTATGATACCGAATGTATTGTTTTATGCTAAATTATAATTTATTCTGAAATTATGAAATTTTACAAATATTGTTGCAGTATAATAATACGTATGACGAAAATTATTGGGTGAATACTGGTAAAAAGGACATCAACAAATTAGGAGTAATAGAAAGCTGGGCAGGACTGAAAAAGTTACCGAAAACATTTTGGCCGAGCGATTATGCAAGGCAAATTCGAGGATCTGGTGATATTATTATTCAAGCAATCATCTATTAATTGAGAGATTTACTAGATTCTGGAAGTTTGTGCAAAATGAATTTGAATGAAAAGGATGAGTTACCGTTATTCATTTCTTTCATGTGTCGATCATTTACAAGTGTATATTTGAAAAATGGAAACGTGAATGGATTTGATACAATGCTGTAATAAAAATTTTCATTTTATATTTAACTGCTTGAGATTTTTAGATTCGCAGTTCCGCCGGACGATTACGATACAACACTAGACAAAAACACCGGATTCCGATATCCAAATTTCGAACAAGCCGATTATTATCCAGACTGGCCTGGTTGTGCTGAGTATATTAATATTTTGAACATTCTCGTCATCACTTCATTTGTTTTTCAGTAAATTTTGCAACCAATGCAATGATGAATCCTGCAAATTTTGTTGCGGTAGAAACCGTATAAATAATACGTTTATTCTACCACCAGGATTATTTCCGTTAGTCTGTTATCCAGGTACAGAAATTGTAGAAAAACTTAATTTTATATCGATCTAGGTCACGTCAATTCTCCACCGTTTACTACACTGATATCACCTCCCCATTTTCTATATTCCCCGAAACAAGTTCAAACAAGCTTGTCAGTAATAAGTCCGGACTCGGAAAAACATAGACCAATTCAATTTCATCACGAGAAGGTATTTTTTCTATAAAAATTGAAAATTTTCAATTCAGGAAATGAAACGCTCTATAAACTATTTCCGGAAAAAAATGCACACTAGAATAGATCATGGTGCGACTAAACGCAAAAACAACATGTACCTTTCATTTAAAAATTGTCCTCAAAATTCGACAATTTCTTAGATATTCGAAAACATGGTGATTTCGGGGCATTTGATGCTTGATTTTCAATAATTATAATTTTTATATACGAAGAGCACGAATTTTTCATGAAAATTTCGAGTCTTTGTTTTTATAGAAATGGACTATAAATAAAATAAATTTATTTAAACCACAATTCAAATGTTTTGAATAATCATGAAGTTTTTGTAGTTCATTAATGGCCAGACGTCTATTAGAAATGCTTGCTACTGATATTTTTCCCGTTATCTCAATCTATGATAATTTTTTGCGAAAAGAACGAATGATATGGAAAATTAACAAAAGTTCAATGTTTTTTAAGCTATTTTTAGCGTTTAATAAACCATTAGATCTCAAAGTATTTTCAATGACTTTGAGAAAGAGCTCACATACCAAATTGGATTTAAAGAAAGCCTAGAAAAATTTTTTAATGAAATTATTTGTTGAATATGTTTTAATAGTAGTTGATAAATATGTTTTGAAGTAACGGTTAATAGTTTTATTTATATGGCCTTTACTCGAACTATTTTGCCTATAAATTTACTATTGACGGTAACTTTATATTTCAGCTTACTGGAACAGTGCTGAAAGCCAATGTTCGACTTCAAATTAACATTCCAATTAGCAACAATGAAGCTGCACTGTGAGTAATAAAAAAAATCATTTAATAATTCAATTATTTTTAGTCAAACGGCTCAAATACCAAATATTATAGTTCCACTGTTTTGGCAAGACTCAGAAATCATTCTACGTGATTTTGTGTACAATAAACTATGGCTGAGCGTCATAGTCATCCCAATAATAGTTCAATGTATTCAATATTTCCTTATCGTTATAGGTGTAGTTATTCTCATTGCTGTTGTATTTTACCAATGGAGATGTAAGCGAACAACATTCTGATTGTGATTGAAATTGAAGCTACTAGTTTATTTATTTGTTAAAAAATCATACTACAAAAAATATTGTCGTTTTCTATGTAATTATAATTATCAGTAAATAATTCTTTAGATTGGAGTGGCTTTGCGGGAAGCGACGTATTTCTTGATGCTCGGAATGTTGAAGATTCTGTTGATCAAGGACTGTAAACATAGAGTTAAAGTTTTAATTTCATAATGTTGGTTATACCAAAATGTGTGGGTAAGCGTCAAGTGCATCTGGGCTTCCGTAATCAATTATCTTCACAAAGCTTTCTGCGGCGAAAACATCAACCCAGGTTTCCTAAAATAGTTTTTATAGTAATTTGGATATTATTGTTAGTTAATACGCGGTCTCCACTGAACAATCCGTTGTTTCCATTTTCCAAAAGAAACTTTTCGACAAGTGGAGCAAATGTTTCAATAGCTGGGATAACAGTATCCTTGAAAATTTGGTTCTAAATAGAGACATAAATGTTGTTAATGTGCAGTGTTTGAATTCACCTTATCTTCCTTGATCATTCCCAGAATGGCTGGTGGCCATTTTCCGATTTTGTTAAGGAAACTTTGAATGACCTCAGCAATCATATCGAGTTTGGCACACTCGATTGGATTGGATCCAGCACGACCTGAAACAATTTGGAATATATTTCAATGAAAATTGATTCAGTACGAAGTTGATGTCCAATGAAACGAGCAATAGCTGTAGTCTCTCCAATTTTTACTCCGTCGATGTCAAGAACTGGAACCTGATTTAGGGGCATTTCTGAAAGCAACGATGGTCTGCATTCAGTTATACTTTTTGCTCACCAGCTTTTAATGCTGGCCATTCCTCCATTCCGATGCGTTCATCGACGAATTTGACATTGTCGAGATGGAAAAGAAGTCTGATTACTTCTCCACGTCCACGAACGTCAAAATAGTAGAATTTGTAGTTGTGGGTCATTCTGAAGAAAATTGAATGAAAATAGCTTTCATTGAAAGATCTGATCAATAATATTGGAACACAATTTATTTATTGATGTTTGACCTTCGGCAAACCGGCATCGTGTAACACGAACAAATAAGAGAGATATTCGTTGTCACGTTATTATCATTTTGCGGCATATTGGAGAGAACGCGACATGAAAATGAATCTATGGAAAGCTTGACAAACTGATATATAAAGCACGCGTTGAGCATTTATGATGACAATTTGATAATATGGCATGATAATACGTGACTGTAGTGAAACGGCAAACATTTTAAAACCGCCAAATTCCTTTTTGACTATTATATATATATTTATATATACACAGTGAACTAAGATCAAACTACATCAAAATGCTTTCGAGGATGACATTAAACGCAAAATTTTCATTTTAGAGCAAGGAAAAAGAATTGGTGTTTTATGGAATCATATTTGTCATCAGGTTATTCAATCGTTCAACTAAAACTGTTACGGAATGCATAAGTGACTGGTTTGGCAACGATTATCGTTTTTAATATACCACTCGGTAATCTTTTGAATAATGCATCATAAACAACATTCAGGCTGATGATGGAAGAATTATTTTTAAAATGGAAAAACGAAAACTGGTAACATATTTGAGGCAACGTATTGACAAAAATATGAGACTTTAAAATTACAGCAATAACACACTAAAAATGTATTAAAACTGCCGTTTTATATTATATTATATATATACTATATACAGTGCCCCACATAACTATATACCCACACCAATTTTGTTGAATAACTCGAAAACGCGGATACCTCCAGAAATAGTTTTAATTAGAAAAATATGCGCATTTTATTAGTTTCATTTTGATGAACAGTAAAGTTGTAAAAAAAAATTTAAAAAAATACAAAAATATATGGAAAAATAGAAAACAATGTCGAAAATGTTTTTACACTTTTTTCGTGATGGCGAAGTTTTTAGAATTGTTATTTTCTGCTGGATTTTGTGAATGTAACACAAATCTAATAATAATTGCGCACATTTTTGGAGGTATCAGCGTTTTCGAGTTATTCGATAAAATTATGTGGAGCACTGTATATATAGTAGGATATATAATGCCAGTTTTAATATATTTTTATGAGATTTTTAAGCACTATATATATAAACATATATATTGTTAAAAAAAAACGATGTGTGAGTCATAAAGAATTATCAACTTTATGTTTTATATTTCTAGAAAAAAGAATTGCATTAAAGAAATTGTCCTTTTAAGTCTTCTTAATTGTTCGGAAAAACGTAAACAAATGCAGTATGACATGTTGAATGATTCCCATGTGAAATTCGTTTTTTTTCTTATAATTTTCCTAAATTTCAAGGAATTTGTTCTATTGTATTATTACATAGTTTGGTCACCTAACCGATGATCTATTCAAATAAATATATTTCGCATTGTAAAACTCTAATTTTTATGATATATGATAATAAAAAGCATTGTAATATTGCATAAAATGAAGACTTAAAAAAATTTGTAATGAAAATATAAGTAATAAGTTACACCAATTCGAACTGTTTTAATTCAATTGGAAATTACCACCCAAAATAGTACGATAGTTTACAGTTACGCAAGGAGCTCAGTGTATTTTGTGACGAATTTAGATATAGTTATACCAGGCGTTTAGCGATGCAAATGCGGCGACAATTTTGCGATCTGTTGGCTGGAATTATTCCCCACAATGCAGACAACTTTATGGTCACGCGCCAGGTCGAGCTTATTGTTTGTGTCTTATAATCTATGATCAGTATTCTTTCCCGATCAGTGGGAAGGGATTTGCAAAGAACTTTTTGTGAATAGTGATGGGTTATATACCGGTGGGGTAGCCTGCTGAACATCACAGGGCCTAATCTGTGACAAGTAGGAGTAGTAGTGCTCCATTTGCCGTCTTCTCGGACGGAAACGACTTATTTCGCCTTCATCATCCTAGCGATTGGGTTGACATTGGTGATGAGTTGGTTGAGATGAGAGGCTGAATTATGTAGATGACACGGTGGAAGAAGGCGAACGCGAAGTGTTGGATACGATAGTCGTTGATAATGTATAAGTGAATGTGACCAAGTTGACTTTGACTTATATAGAAATCAGCTGTGAAAGTTCCGGAAAGCTGGCACAATTAAGATGCGAAATACATGCTGCTTCTGTGGCACGTGCTAACAAGTTATAGCCGCTTTATAGAGCGCGGTGCATTGGCACATCAATAGAGTAGTGTAAGACCGTTTTGCAAATAGGTCTCGGCTTCCAGGTTCAGTCCTGCTTCGGCGCTTTCTGTTTTTCCTTCTACCGCAAATTCTCTCTTCGTTCTGCACTCTTTTTATTGTACACAGTCTCTCAAAACGCAGACCGACAAGCCCGCCAGACGGCTTTTGTATATATTATAATTATAAAATTAATGCAAATAAATATTCATAATGCCAATAAAACGAGTATTGCGCCAAATCGGTTATGAACGACCGTTCCAAAACACTTTTCCAGCTGCGTCTGCAGGCATCATTAAACGCGGAGAATTCTGAACATAATCTAGAATATGCGTAGAATATGGTAATAACTCTTGAAAATACCTGCTTTATTTTTGCAGCAGGAGACAATTCTGATTTAGATTGCGGCGGCATCTCGTCATCTTTTTGTATTTTTGTCAATGTGCTTTTGGATTCACACGAACACATGCATTGGCCATTTATAACAGCTCCTAAAAGTGTTGTTCTAATAATTTTTCAAATTTGGCGCACCTGGAGTGTCAAAAACGAGCGGTGTTGGTTGTACTTGAACTTGCATGGTTTTTTTTGGAGCTGAGTCAAGACTACTACTTAATTCAACAACCAATGATGGAGGCTCGGGAAATCTTGATTTAATGCATTGAATTATTGCGCTTTGAATATCATTATCATAATGCTCTCGAACCCCACATAAGCATGCTCTCAAGCGAGACCGATCGTTCATTCGGCAAACTGATTGTTGCCTTATACTGAATCAAAATAGAATTTGTTAACTTTAACTAGAAATACCCTTGAATACAACTTCTTAAGGTGTAATCCCGATTATAGACGAGTTGAACATATTCATTGTTCAAGTCCAAAGTATTTCTATAGCAATTTAATTCGTCCTCATCCAGCATGCAAGCCGAAGTTATGTTGTTACTAAAAAAGTAAACAAAACGACAAAAAAATCTTGAATACCTTTTTGGATCTGCTGACGATGATGTCCTACTTATTCCACTGCCAAACAATCGTAAGCCGGACACCTGAAATTACATTTTAAATATAGTTTATTTTTATTATCGGTTACATGTGTGCCACAGACTGCATAAGTATCCAAGCTTGGTCTTGTGATTGTTAATTCAGGTAATCCCCATAACTTATCTGCTAGGTCAAATTGATATATAGCTCTTCCATACGCCGCATCCTCTGTGATTTAGTCATTTTAGCATTATGTAATACAATGTAAATACTACCATCTAATATTGCTGGTCCAAAGAATGTTCTTTTTGGAACAAACGGACTTCGAACGAAACATTGATCAAGTGCAGAGCGAAATTTCAATGATTTTTCCGTGAAAAATCTCAGCATGTCGTTATATTTGAATTTTTTTTCGGTTGAACTAGTTTGTTTTTTAGTATCACCATCGTTCGTTGTCGTTTCTGAAGATGTTGACATGTGCGTGGCTGACACAGATGCATCGAAACATTCATCGAATATTTTCTTTTCGGTGTGGCACCTACAAGGAAGTTATGAAATTGATACTCGAAAAAATAAACATACGACGGACGTTTCACGCAGGACTTGAAAGCGGCTTCTTTAAATTGTAAAATTTGCTCAGTATAGTCTGCGGCTGACTTCGCACACTGCTGTAGCAAATCAGCACAATAAAACTGACAAAATGCCTGCAAGCAGTATTGAACACGTAAATAAATGCGTTTATCTCACTAATTCGCAAATGACTAGCAGCACAAATAATGGTCGCAGCATAACACAAATGGTATTGAGAATATCGTCACGCTACGTATACATATACTTGTACAGTATTCACGGAAGCCCTTAGACCTTGTAAATCCTGTTTTCATTTTACTCAACAGTTTCAAGTGGGCAGTCGTTTCCCTTTCAATAAATGGTTTTGTTTGAAAATTCATAAAAAATTCTAGCACAAGAGTTTATGAATACAAGGTGAATAATAGATTCAATAATAGTATTTCAAATAGAAAAATCAATCAGCTGATAAAACCGTTTTTTTTATAAATATCAATATATATGTAAATTTTTCGTTAAAATTTAATTACATATTTTTTTTTGCTGATGAGAGTTTCTTAAGGCAAAAAAAAATGAAGCAGAAATGGAGGGATTCCGTTTGATTACAGGTTTTTACAATATTTAACAACATTTGGATTGATGCTCACGGCACATTGGTGTGTCCGTAAGATTGACATTTCTCTCTCGATGTAGGAATGGAATATCATATTGACCTCCTTGTTCGCTGGTGAGAATCTAAACATATTTTTATTTTTGAGCGTAATGAATTATTCAAATACTGTAGATGCCAAAGTTTTAAAGGCTTCATCAATTCCGAAATTTTCTTTAGCGGATGTGCGGAACGATCCAACAAATCCATGACTAGTCTCCAAGTCCAAAAGCTTGTCATCAGTTAGACTGTTTTCAACATCGCACTGAAATCATTACTTAAAATTTTCAATTATAGAAAGGATTAATACCTTGTTAGCCACTATAATGGCAGGAACTGGAGTACCATCCGCTAAAGTCACTTTCTCATCAAGATCGGCTTTCCAACGAAGAGCTCCTTCAATAGTTCTCTCTCTGAAACAAAATGCATTGAATTTAAAAAAAAATGAGTCTGACCTTGTTGCATCCATGACAACAATAGCGGCGTGAGCATCTTTGTAATAGACGCGGGTCATAACACCATAACGATCTTGACCTGTAATTTTTCTTTTTATGTTTTATTTAATAAAGCGTAATTGTTCGGATTGGATTTTGTAAGGTTCACATAAATTTTGATTGTTTTTATGTACACACATTTCAGGACGCATTTAACATGGTGCATACTGCTGTTTTATACTTTCAAGAGTTTCGACTTCAAATTCGGTGTGTACTATTTTTCGCTGCTCATTTTTTAGCATAAAATTCAATTTTTCATGTTAAACATTTGCCGGATAACAAGCTACTTAAAAAATGCAAATATTTGCAATTCTAGTCTCTTTCACATTTTGATCTTTATCGTAATTGCTCAGAATACTTTGTTGAGTTACATTTTCAACTCTGCGCATGTCAGAGTTGCCGAAAAGTTTGCGCAAGGTTTTTGCGATCCGTTTTTTTTGCCGTGCACCCTCCAAAGCGAGAACCGGAATTGCTGAGTTGAGTCTCGCGCTGAGGCATACTATTTCATGACTATCAGTACAATGAGAACAAGCCAGAGCCAAATTGTGCACACATACATGCACGCATACAAACAGCTATTGTGCGCAAATCACAATTACCGGAACGCGCATACCGATCAACCCCCGGCCATCCAACAGACTTTTCGATCTCCATTTTTCTCGAAAAACTGCCGTGGTATAGTTTTCTGTAAACATTGTTAAGGTGCCACATGGTTTCCAAATAATATATTTTTTTAACGTTTTTACAATATCTCTTAATTTGATTTCAAAAATTTTTAATTGCACATATACGTGTATATAGTCTGTGAAAATCAATGTAAATATTCAAAAAGAAAATAATGTTTGAATTTGCATCTAATGAGGATTTGTGAGAAAAAAAAACCAACTTTACAAGTATCTTATTCATTCTCTAAATTTTTTTTAAACATTCAGTGGTTTTTTTTATTCTTTTGGCAAGAAAAAAATTAACTTATCAATTACAAGATTGTTTATTGCAAACAATCTCGCCGATATTGTAATTTTTAAATTCAATCATATTGAAAAAAAAAGAAAATTTAACTCATTTTTAAATTTTCATGCATTGAAAATTAGTTTTATTTAGGAAAATAAAATTTAAAAAAAATATTTTTTTTATAAAATCCGTATTTTTGCTTTTAAAATTGGAACGTTCCTGAGTCTTCATTTTCAAGGTTTAAAGTATTTTTGACATTATTTTTTTCTGCAATTTGTGCGGTTTGGGTGCATTGTTTGACTTGGTTCTCGCGCTTTATTTTAGTTTCGGCATTTGTCGTGAAGCGATCGGAAAAAAAACCGGATGAATCATTTGCTCGCATTCATTTGCCGAGTTCACGACAACGTTACAGTAGAGTGTGCGCACACCGTCCGACCTGGTAGGCATACACATAGTCACTCTCTCTCGCTCACAATTTGCCGCAGAAGAACGTGCGCAAAAAAATGATTATTCTTGGGCGGCTTATCAAAATCATGTCTGACGGAGAGATTGAAAGCATGCGTGTTTGCATTTCGACTCTGAAGACACCGACGTTTTGTTGTGTTTCAAGTGGTTTTACCAGAAAATGTTTATCTCGCGGCCGGTTTTTTTTTCTTGTTTGGATTTGTTTTATAATTTCGCTCATCCTGGATTCAATTTTTAATTAAAAGCTCATCTTATATTCCGTTACATTCCAACGTAGACTAACGTCACAATGCTTGTGCACAACAAATCCTATATTTGAATAGTAAGCTGATTTTCCGGCAAAAACGAAATGAATTGTTTGATTGTTGTTTTATTGTAATCCTGATGTGTTCCAATACACACTATAGAAGCTCCAAAATAACACGAGTACTCATTATTTGTTTGCTTTTCTTTACAATTTTTTGGTCTCTGAAACAGAAGCTCGTGGATCGGGTAACATTGAAGTTTCATTATTTCACCTTGCGACCGATCAACGTCAACGCTTCGTTTGCCGTGTAGATTATACACATATAAATGGGTTTTCATTCGTTCTTTCGCCGGAAAAATCAAGTTTCCTGCTTGTTTTTTTTTTTGAATTTGGGTTTGACCCGACATCGGCCTATGTTTTGTTGCATTGTTGATATGTGTTTGCGTTTGCTCGGCGGGCTCCTGTGAGAGCTGAGCGTTGTGCTCGCAAACCCATTATTTTACGGCTGATGTGAGAAGAGGCTCTCAAGATTAACATCGGTGTTGGTGGCAAACTTGTCGGCACCTTAAACAGTTCCCAATAGTTTCCTATTTGAACTATTTTCGCACTTGCTTTTGTGATTCACTTATGTAAATCATGTAAATGCATATATGCAAATGTGAATTACTAAAATCAGGCCAACCATTCTCTATGGTTATATTATGGTTTCACTTAACTACATGACTTTTTGAACATTTGAATTGTTCCTTCATTTGCATAACGCTATTATTTCGATAAATAGAACACCCAATTGGCCGTTCCAGCACTTTTTTGAATGAAATTTAGACTCTCTTGTTTTGAATGAAATTTAGACTCTCTTTTGAATGAAATTTAGACTCAATTTTTCATCCGCCTCCATAATTTATGTCAACAAATTGCAGATCGTCTTGCAACTTGGTCGCGCAGAAATCGAAACATTGAAGCTTAACGATACTATTCGAATTTTCAATATAAGGATACTCCGAAAATGAGCGGTCGCTCCGCATACGTCTGTCAGCTACAGGTTTACATTTTTACGTGTTGATTTGGTCCAAAACTTTTTGCATTTTTTAAATTTTTATGAAACCATTAATCTACCTAAGCAACCTTATTTTCAAATGGCACAGTTCATTCTTCTGAAAGTAATCTGCAAACATCCGTATATTTGTATGCATACATTCCAAGGAACGCGTGCGTTGTGCCTTGGAAATGACAGCAATGTCGCAAGGTTATATTTGCCCAATGATTAGCGATAAACAAATGGCGTTTAGATGTGAGACGAATATTAATAAATCTTATGAATGAATACGGTACTAGGAATTGGCTTATTCAGATATGCAACACGGCAATAATTCTGGCAGGACTGCTTGCTATTGGAGTGGCTGGCAGTCAGTTCTCAAAAGTCGGACTTGACAACTACAGAAACATCGATTTAAGGCTTCTGAACTATGTTCATGTTTTGACTGGATTAATAGGTATACACTAAGATTACCCAGATTTTAATGGATGTTTTAGGATTGTACTCGCTGCTTAGGAATCATGGAAGTATAGTCACAAAATCGTTGTATTTTGTGTCATTCGTAATTGGTTTCGCAACTGCTGTGTTCTATGGATTTACTACATACAGAGTATGAAAATCATATACTTGAATGATATTATTGCATTGACTTGAGGTTGTCAAAGCAAAAGAAGCACTTGTCGAGCTTCAAAATGCGCAAGGGTTTACCGAAGAGTTTCAAAGCGAAACTTCGAATTATGCTGGAAGAATTGTCATGTCAGCGCTGATGATTGCATCTGGCACCATTGCATGCATCTTCTCTGCCTTTGCCATTTTTCTTCTTGACAAAATCATTGTTGTCACTGTTCCAGTCTATCCTATTCAATCAGTAATCTCTAAAAGGAAAACGGAAAATCACAAAAATCAATTTTAGCGTGACCAAGAGCATGCCGTAGAAAACTCGCAAAGAATTCTTGCCACTGTCGGTGTCATTAAATTCATACTTGCCTTTGGATTATTGGGACTTTGCGTATTCGTTGAATACGAGCATGAAAACGTAGAAAAATATTTTCAAAATTGAATACTAACCTACATTTCTAGGTATCCGGACTTGATAAGTATATTAAAATCGCATTGGATCATATTGGTGCTATGCTGGCAATTGTGAGTGGATTTATGGATATATGGGCGACTAGAGCTAAAAATCAACAAAATCTTAATCTTAAGGTATTACCAAAAATAGTGACTTTAAAGGTTGCGAAATTAAAGGTTGCTCTTATCCTCTCGATTGTTGCCGGAACATGGTGCATTAAGGTGATTGACAATAATGCGATGCCATTTTATAAAAACGACTTGAAATATTACTATCAAGGAAGAGCTGTTGGAGGTTCGAAAAATAATCGAAATCAAAACAATATTTTTCAAATTTAGATGCATCGATTACATCTACTGATTCGCCGCGATACATTCTTGCGGTTGCACATGGTGTTCTTTTGGGATGTTTTGGAATTGTTGTACTTCTTTGCACATTTTCCGCTGTGATTGTTGGAAATTATCTTTCATTGGATTATCATTCACTACATATGCATCCCCAAAAATCTCTGATTATCCAGAATCGGTAAAAAAAAACATAGAAGCGATTCGAATATCTTTTTTTCAGATTAATTTCTTTTGTTCAATTTTTGTGCGGATCATGCTTATTGGCACTTTGCATTCTTGGTCTTCTCGACACTTGGTGGAGAGGCGAATTTTTAGGGGCTGATCTTCTTTGGACATCAACTTTATTCTTTGTTACGGCGATTTGCTATTCATCAAACCATAAGTAAAACCAATTATCATTAAATTGGAAGGTGTTTTAAATTATATTCTTCAGTGTTATGATAACTAGCAAATTTGTGCTCAACATATGTTGTCTGGGAATTGGTGTTGAAAAAATGTGCGCAACTGTGAATTTGATTTATCAAATGTCTTCCTACCCCGCTTACACAGATCGTCAAAATACGCAAACAAAAACATTTGTTGGTCAAATTGTGCTTCATTCGTGTCAGTGCGGCGTACGTACAAACTCTTCTACCTCTGTAAGAATTTCTCTATTTTCAGGTTTATGCTCTTGGCTCATTGGTGTCTTTGGGTGGAGCAATCATTTTCGGGAGAGCAGTTACAACTCAGCCTAATCTTACTTATCGCCATTCAACTGGAATTCACAACTTATTCTCTCTTGGAATTTTGTTCTACGCCGTTGTCATTACTGGTTGTTATGTTGTCTTCGAAGTCGGAAAGTGGAGATACAACGAGGTACCGGTTGAAGTTCCCTTCTTCCGTTTGGGAAATGGACCCCTTGCTGGTGCTGCATTTGTAGTCCAGATAATGTGCATTGCATTCCCAAGTCTTCTAGCTTCCGCTTCCATTCTTAACGTCATAGTTGCTACAATCGCACTATTCACAGTTTCGTCTGCTATTACCAACACCTATTATTTGGTAAATATTGTAACTTTTGTTTATATAGAAAAAGTTGAATTTCCAGCAAAGATACCTTCAAGCTGCTGAAATTATACCAACAAGCGCTGATGAAAACACGATCTACCAGGTCGCTATCATTCTGGCTGGTTCAGCAACAATTGCTTGTGTTGTATGCACAGTCTGCGCAGTTATTTGCTCTCTTCGGTTTCAGCAGATCAAGAAATGTTAAGACAACATTTTTAATTTAGTTCTTCCTATATTCTTCATCATCGATCTTCGTCGCCAACATCAACAGTTGTGGCACCATTGGGAGCTGGTAGTGAAGCGTATGGAAGTGGAAGCCTACGTGTCGGTACACATTTAAGGCAGCCCTCAAGAATGATGGGCAGCCCGCCGGGGGTAGAAAAGCTTGATTAAAATTTTAAAACCTGGCAGAATATTGAAGTTTGTGTTATAGGTCGGCGTGCAAGCTATGGAAGAGCAGTCGGTTTATTGGAGCGCTGATGAAAATCCATTCTACTACCATACCTCTAAACGATTTTACGGAAAACCTTACCAAATTGAATCAGGGTGCATTTCAAGAAAAAAAAACTACTCTGATCAATCCTGTATTTTTTTTACAGATTCTATGGCTACGCATTAGCGACACCAGGTAGCGCAGTTAGCGCTGGCGAACCAAGCGATCCTCGCCGTGTTCAATCCAGTGCTGCTCAGACTCAGATAGGACATGTCTTCCACAACTAAACATTTTTTTCTAATATATCAAAACTCAAAATGCTCAAATCTGCCATTTATTGCCAGCAGTTCATATATTCGCAAAAAAAACGAGAACTCTGTTTTTATTTACGGTAAATTTGATTCGCACATTTACCGTAAAACAACATATGAATTCACACAGTTCAAACTTAAATTACAACCGAATACCCAGTGTGCTCGTTTTTTTTGCGTTGGAATTAACATTCATCTCCATCCCAGCTGTGCTCACACATATATATGATATTGTTTTATTTTTTTAATATTTTTTGCATGCATATCACTGACATGACCGTTTCTGCCTTTCTCAATATTCTTTCATTCACTTTTGTGTGTAAATATGAGACTCCAATGCATCACAAACAAATAAAATGTTATTATATGCAAGCTTCGAATAATTAAAAATGACGTGACAAGGAACTGACCTGAAATATCCCAAATTTGTAGATGGACGACTGTGTTCTCATCGAGTGTCAAAATCTTCAAGGCAAAGTCCACACCGATCTAAACAAAATGATAATTTCTATTAATAAAAATTCACGTTTTTATCGAAAAAAAAAACACTTATTCAATATTTTTACATTAAAAAAATGACAAAACACTTACTGTTGCTTTATAGTTGCTCGTAAACGTATTATGTACAAATCGACGAATTATCGAAGTTTTTCCAGTTCCTGGATCACCAATAATCAAAATTTTGTACGAAACAGTTTCGCTTCCCGAAGAAGTTGACATTCTGCAACAAACGCTACATAAAACACAAATGTAATCACAAAGTAAATAAGAAAATATGGAGCACAGGCTATCATGAGCACTTATGGTAAAAATGTCTTATCATTCTGATACAATAATAACAATAATGGATTGCACGGCTCACTGAGTGCTCTTGGGAACATACGAATGATAGTGTTTCGCTGTTTTTCGCTATTTTCTGCTGCGTATTTCTCTTATCAGCGCAATGATCATTCTTTGTTTCACAAAATTCATAAAGAGTTGCCGCTTCAAAGTGCAAGAAGTGCAATTTAATATGGATTATCAATGTCGAAAAATCCCCTATCAAAAATTGTAACGAAACAAATCGCAAAATATAGAGAGACTGGTAGTATCAGTGAAATCAAGAGCGCTGATAAGAAAAAAACGCTAATTCGCTTCGTTTTAAGTTTTTGTCATAGAAATCACCCACTGTTCGATTGAATAATGCCCGAAAATGCACTAAATTTCATCAATTCAATTTATTGAATTGAATTTGAATGAAATTTACAGCTTTTTATCACACGCTTAAAAAATCGACTGAATAAAATTATGCAATACTTCTAAATTTAAAAATTTTATTTTTATTAAAACAATACTGATGTATGATTCAATTAATTGAAAAAAAACTGTCATAATTTTTCATAATCTATTTTTCTTTTTTATTATTTTAAACAATGTTAATCAATCATACTGATGTTTTTTTGTGAACGACACTCCGTTTTACGCATATCCATATTTTAGCGACTATGCACCCAATAGTGTGTGCGAGACCAGCATTTTTGCGCGCGAAAATATTGTCGCATTTGGCGTTGCCTCGCAGACACCACCTGCCCCAAGTCATTTTTCTCGTTTTTTCTCGTCGCGAGCAGTTCGTCCAACTAACTCTCTTGTTTTACAGGTACTTTCACCTTCATCTGCTTTGAATGGAAGCGAATTTACTTCATAAATTATCTGGAATAGACGCCTTCTGCGGCGAACCCTACTGGGTATACCAACCAATGTCGAATCACTACCAATATGTCAATTTTACAGGATCCATGCATATGGAATGCGACATCGGTGCCAATACTTACGCAATGCTACATGCACACGACTTTGATTTGGTTGCCGACGGCGATTGTTTTCATTTTGGCACCAATTCTCACTGCTCAAATTTTTTACCGTCAGCCCAATCCAATCCCATGGAGCAAACGGATCAAAGCAAAAATTGGGATATCGTGCATTCTCATCGCCGATTCGATTTCAGTATTCGTTATTGCAATCTATGAGACATTGTTCCAAGGATTTCCGTATGCCGTTGATTTTGTCTATCCGCTAACTCTTCTTTTGGCAATGGTACGATAAATTTCAATTCAGATGTTACACGACATGTTTAGATCGTTTTATGCGCGTTCATCGTGTCATGCCGCAACTATGGAATTGTAACATCTGGTGGACTCTTCATTTCATGGCTTGTCTTCACAATCTGCGGCGTCCCTGAGCTGATGTATTGGATTGATCGGATTTTCAATGGCTTTCAGGTACGTTTAATATGTAGTCAGGGAACAGTTCTGGAAAATAATTGAAGTAAAAAAAATCTGTGATTGTGCTAAATTTCAGAGCTGGTCGTGGCTTGATATTCCTCGTTGCGCGGCATATTTCATTTGGTGGCCCTGCTGTTTGGCAGAAACTATTCTGCACTGCTATGCCGATTTTGCACCGGAATACAAACCAATTAATCAAGGACGAAATCCCAGCCCCGAACTACAATCTTCTTTCATCAATCGGCTCACTATGTGGTGGTTTAATAGTCTTTGCGCACTTGGAGTGAAGAAGCCATTGGAACTCAACGATTTGTACTCATTGAACGAAGGAGATGTTTCCGCTTCTTTAGTTCCGCACTGGTTCCGAACTTGGGATTCCGTGTGCAAAAGTTAGTTGGCGTATAATTTACTGTAACATCAAATAAATTCAGAGTATGCTGATAAGCAAGGATCGACTGCTCGGCCACATGAAGCACGTTCACGGTCACATTCTAATGATTTGACGCCATTGCTCAATGATCAAGATTCGGAAGACTATGGATCTGTTCCTATTCAAACACCTCGTACTCAAAGGCTTCCATCAATTATTTGGTGTCTCTTCCTGATGTTCAAATGGGATATTATCGTGGCTATGACTGTCAAACTGATCAGCGATATTTTACTGTTCTGCAACCCGATTCTCCTTAAAAAGCTGATCAAATTCACAGAACAAGTTGAGAGACCAATGTGGGAAGGTGTGATGATTGCATTCGTTATGTTCATCGCTTCGGAACTCTCTTCAATTCTTCTATCACACTATTTCTATTTGATGTACCGCGTTGGAACTCGAGTTCAAACGTGTTTGACAGCAGCTGTTTATCGAAAAGTGCATCTTAATAATATAACGATAATGTATTGAATGTTTTCAGACGCTCAGACTTTCAAATGCTGCTCGACGAGAGAAGACCGTGGGAGAAATCGTGAACTTGATGGCTATTGATATTGATCGTTTCCAACAAATCACGCCTCAAATCATGCAATACTGGTCGAATCCGCTCCAGATCTCTTTGGCATTGATCCTCCTCTTTAATCAACTCGGAATCTCAGTGTTTAGTGGAGTTGCCGTCATGGTCCTGCTTTTCCCTATTAACTTCGGAATCACTATGATCATCCGCAAGTGGCAGGTCGGATATTCAAAATGAATAAAAATGAAAAGAATATAGTTTTAAGGTTGACCAGATGTACTACAAAGATGAGAGAACGAAAATGGTAAACGAAGTGCTCAATGGAATTAAAGTCATAAAGCTTTACGCTTGGGAACCACCAATGGAGAACGTTATCAATTTCCTTCGTGAGAAAGAATTGTCGTTAATCAAGCGAGCTGCATTCCTTCGGACTTTCTCGGATATGCTTAATTGTGCTTCGCCATTTTTGGTATTTCGTATCAGAGTTTTTTTCAAGCGAATCTGTCGTTTAAGGTTGCACTCTCAACATTCGCAACTTTCGTGTGCATAGATCCGAAAAATGTGCTCACTCCGGAAATCGCTTTTGTTTCTCTTACTCTTTTTAACCAATTACGGTCGCCGATGTCACAAGTTGCCGAGTTGATCACTCAAACCGTCCAAGTCGTTGTGTCGAACAGACGACTGAAGGAATTCTTGATGTCAGACGAACTCGGTGGAAACTCAGTTGATAACACTGCAAGAGATAGTCAGTATTCACGGAATTACTATATAAAACTAATAATTACAGACGAGGACGTAATTTGTTTGAAAGATGCTACGCTATCCTGGGATCCATCTGATATCAATGCACCAATGCTCTCGTCCTTAAACTTCTCTGTTCTTCGGGGTCAGTTGATCACTGTTGTTGGAAGAGTCGGATCGGGAAAGAGTTCGTTGCTGCAAGCATTGATGGGGGAAATGGAAAAAGTTGGCGGATTTGTTGGATTGCACGGGCGCGTTTCATATGTTCCGCAGCAGCCATGGATGCAGAATAATACATTGAGACAGAATATCACATTTGGAAAACAATACGATGAATATTTCTACTCGAGAGTGTTGGATGCATGTGCGCTATACAGCGATCTTCAAATGCTCAATCTCGGTGACTTGACTGAAATTGGAGAAAAGGGAATTAACCTCTCGGGAGGACAGAAAGCGAGAATTTCTTTGGCTCGTGCAGTTTATCAAAATCACGATATTTATCTTCTTGATGATCCAATGAGTGCCGTCGATGCTCATGTTGGTGCCCAACTCTTCAACTCAGTCATTGGACCAGATGGAATGCTTCGCAACAAGACAAGAATTTTGGTTACTAACGAACTTTCATATCTGGAAAAGGCTGATCAAATTATTGTCATGAAAGGTAATACTTATTTCGAAAATCCATGTAATATCAATAATTTTAAAGATGGAAAAATTGAGTTTATTGGGCGTTATAACGAATTGATGAACAAAGGAGCTTTTGAACAACTTCTGAGCGAATGTGAGAAAGAAGACCGTGAACGTCGAGAGGCTGAAGCATCTGCAGATGAAGATGAGGAAAATTCTGAGCCAGGAGGAAGTAAGTTTATTGATGAATTTTTTTTAAATCAATTGAGCGTTTGCAGTTTCAATTCCTGGATCCGAATCAGATGTTGAGTACGATGATGAAACAGGCACGTCTCCATTTATTGATCACGTTCTTGGTTCGAGTCACATGTCAACCGTCTCTGGAATCATCAATCGTCGTCGAATCAGCTCGTCAACTGCAAAAAAACAACAACAACGCCGCCGTCTTTCTACTAACAAATCGGGAATGTTCACTCCATCGGAAGTATCTGCAAGCTCAGCCCGTCAACTGACATCAGCAGAACGTGTTGAAACGGGAAGAGTCAAATTGGATACATACAAAAAGTATTTCGGTGCAATGGGGATGACAATCGCATTTTTGTTTGTTGCTGGAATGACCACGAGCACAATTGTTTCGATGGGAAGAAACTTGTGGTTGACGGATTGGTCCAATGATAACTCTGCTGCTGCTTCCAAAAATGGAACTACTGCACAATCAGTTGTGATTCGTCTTGGTGTCTACGCTGGTCTTGGATTTTCTGAAAGTAACTTTGAAAATTGTGACAAAATGTAGTAACGTATTTTTCAGTTATTCTTCTGTTCATTGGTATGCTATCGTTGCTTTATGGAGGTGTATCAGCTTCGAGAAACTTGTATGCTCCACTCATGCGTTCGCTCTTCCGCGTTCCGATGTCGTTTTATGACACCACACCATTCGGAAGAATTCTCAACAGAATTGGAAAAGATATTGAAACTGTGGATATCCTCCTTCCGTTTAATGTTCAATTCTTTGCTCAATGTCTTCTCCAAGTCGTCTCGACTTTGATAATCATTATGATTTCCACGCCAATCTTTGGTATTGTTGTGCTCCCGCTTACTGTGATGTACCTTATGGTTATGGTAAGAGAATTAGAAAAATCTCAGAAATAAACGATGATCGTAATTCAGAGATATTACATTGCTACATCCCGACAATTGAAACGTTTGGAATCGATTACGAGATCACCAATCTACAGTCACTTGAGCGAATCTATCCAAGGTTCATCCACCATTCGAGCTTATCACTTGGTGGACCGTTTCTGCAAAGTGTCCGAACAAAAAGTTGACGCGCATGTGCAATGCCGTTATTTGAACTATGTTGCAAACCGCTGGCTCTCCGTCCGTCTTGAATTTATTGGAAACTGCATTGTTCTTTTCTCGGCTCTTTTCGCAGCTCTGACAAGAGCCACTACTACTTCGGGAGTGATTGGTCTTTCCGTTTCATATGCTCTTAATGTAATATCACCAGTGTTGAGTATTGACTCTGATAAGTTATTTTTCAGATCACAACTGTCTTGAACTTTGCGGTTCGTCAAATCACCAAGCTTGAGACGAACATTGTATCTGTTGAACGTGTCAAGGAGTATTCAGAAGTTGAAACGGAAGCTGACTGGGAATCCGAAGATGGAAAGAAACCTCCCAAAAATTGGCCAACAAGGGGTAAAATTACGATTAACAATTACTCAGCCAGGTAGATTAACATTCTGCAGAATATCTGTAATTCATTCATTTTTAGATACCGCCCAGGATTGAACTTGGTAGTTAAGCAATTAAACGCTGAAATTGGACCTCACGAGAAAGTTGGAATAGTCGGAAGAACAGGAGCTGGAAAATCTTCGGTTACACTTTCCCTATTTCGTATCATTGAAGCCGCAGAAGGTCAAATTGTTATTGACGGAGTCAACATTGCTGAAATTGGTCTCCACGACCTTCGTTCCAATCTGACGATCATCCCACAGGATCCTGTGCTTTTTTCGGGGTCCTTGCGCTTCAATTTGGATCCATTCGGGCACTATGAAGATAGCGAGATCTGGAAGGCCCTTGAAATGGCTAACCTTAAAGATTTCACTGCTCAACAAAGTCAAAAATTGGATTACGAAATCACTGAGGGAGGAGATAACATTAGGTGATCTTAAATGAAGTTCTTTAATGAGTAGAACACTTTTAGTGTTGGACAACGTCAGCTGGTATGCTTGGCTCGTGCGCTGTTGAGAAAATCCCGCGTCCTGATTCTTGATGAAGCTACTGCTGCTGTGGATTTCAACACCGATTCTCTCATCCAGAAGACCATTCGCGAAGAGTTTGCCGATTCGACCGTACTTACCATCGCGCATCGACTCAACACAATAATGGATTACGATAAGTATGCTCAATCAAGATCCTGTTCGTTTGAAAAATATATGTTTTTCAGGATAATTGTTCTTCACGAAGGAAAAATTAAGGAATTCGATAGCCCGAAGAATTTGATTGCTGACAGAAATTCAGAATTCTACTCGATGGCCAAACAAGCGGGAATAGTTAATTAATTTATCATTATAATAGATAATTAATTAGGTTAATTATTAGTAAACTGTGCCATGTTTAATTAATTTGTGTTATTACCTCGCTACTCGCACCCGCGCCCTTTATTAGATTATTGAAATACCATTATGCCGAAACAGACAATTCACCAAATTACCTCCATGTTAAATACGATTGATTGTTGTAATCATACGTAATAAATAAATTACGGGAACAAGTCATAATTTATTATACAAGATAGGCAGATTTGTAAAGCTGATGCATTCCAGACGATTTATTCTTACATATATTATCGTTGACTTCGCCGAAGTTCCTGGAGCTCTTGTTCCTCTATTTCTCGCATAATGATTTCTTCAGGAAGTTGAACTTTTTTTGATAAAAAGTAACATATTAGAGCAAACACGATAGCGAATATTTGGAAGAATCCGTTGATTCCATGGAACATTTTAGTGAAACTTTCATTGTCGTATAAAACGCAATTACCCCTCTCTGCAAGTTTGAGAGTAATGCATCAATTTAAGATATACCATTACCATTAGGACACTGGCTGTTCCATAAAATGCAACACATATCGATGAAGAACCCGTAAATAACCGGTGCAGGAATGAACCCTGAAATAGTTATTCGAGCTCGAAACGCAATTGCAATTTACCAAATATATTGGTGATGAATGATGCTAAACTTAAAGCAATCACCTTTTCTTCATCGAATACGGACCTATAATCGAATTTCAAACAATTGAATGCAATAAGCATTTACCTCAAAACAATCATCATAGTCACCATAAAGAAAAGATTTCCCAAAAACAATCCGATCAGCATTACTGCCAAGTATGCAAAGAAAATGTCACAAGAAGGATGCTCGAAACCACGTTGAACGCGTTGTTCATCGAGACAATAGCAGTTAGACCACTAAAATAGAAACACGTAACATATTCGCTAAAAGGATCGGATACCGTATTTGAGAAAACATCATAATCTGTACATCCTGCGTGGCACGGCGAATAAAAGTTTCTTCCAATTCCACTAACTCCGTCAAATTTCATGACACTGTGGCAGTTACAAGTTTCAATGCAAGATACTTCCATTTCTCGATTATGGTAAAATTGCCATGTTGAAAATTCGTGCCGATATGAAAGACCATCCACATGCGGTTGAGAGCAACCGAGATTCATTCCAATTATATAACTGACCTATCATTAGTTGAAAAATAGTTGAATCTTCCCTATTTGGAAAACGTACCAAAATAATAATCCATGAAGCCACTAAGCATAATAATGATGATCTTGGGGCAATATTGAATTTAGAAAGAATGTAACCTCCAAGAGCTGTCGAAGCCGCAATGGCGCCCACAGATATTATACCTTAACTTAAAACTATTTGTAGTTAATTAATTTTTTTTACCCGAATAAATGTCAGCTGTACTCGCAGATCTACCATACTGCGTTTCGATAAACTTTGGAAGGTATGTCTGGTATCCTCCAATTAGATAAGATCCGAACATCCAAGCGATGACCATTGTAATGTAAATTTTGTTTTTTATAAGTTTTGTGAGAACTGATGGAAATTCTAAACGATTCATATAAACTATGTGGACCTAAAATTGTGTTCGAACCTCTACAGAACGTTTCAAGTTTCTCTCTCACTGATTGTGGTTCCTCATTTTGATAATGTCGTTGCGATTCTTCAAGCATCAAATGGAAAGAGTCGGGATGTCTTAAACATGAAATCAAAAACATTAATCAAATTAAATCATACTTGTATGTTTTTGGGAATAAGAAAAATGGAATCGTTAAGAATAAGTAAGCAACGCCACAACAAACAAAACCTAGCCACCAAGCTCCAATCCAATGTTCATCATGCGTTCCAATGTTGTCAGGAGCTGAATATTTCAATAATTGAAACTCCAAACATTTTTTGTTAAAACCTTTTCCCAGAGTGGTATAAATGCCGGTTAAGAGTGAGGAAAGCAGAAAACCAAGGGCTGGACCAAATGCGTACATTGATGTTAGCAGACCTATATTTTCAAATAAAAAATGTTGGATTTAAAAATAATAATATCAACCTAAAAGAAACGGAGAATCTCTTTTGTGTTGCACGTTGCAATCTATATAAACATATGCAATTGTGTTAAATGGAGCCGCAAAAATTCCAGCACAGAGTTGTCCCAAAGAAAGTATGATAAAAGCCATCTGACAAAACATATACATATGTTTTGAGTATAACAATTATAAGAGTTACAATATGCTCCGAATGATCGCGATTGCAATCTTCACCCTGAGATGAAAACTCTCTTTCGTTTGAGGAATCGCACTTCATTTCCAATACGTACGCCTCCCTACGAGACAGTAATTGTTCTTGTGTGTAATCAACTGTCCCATAAAATACAACAGGAAGAGCTAGAGAAAACATTGAAATGGCACTGAGTAGGACACCTAAAGTAATATTAGTAATTTTAAAAATAATTTGTGTTTATTACCGATTCCTGTGATTCTTGGTAAGTGATAATGAGATCCGATATAACCGATTAATAGAATAGCAGCCGTATGACCTATATCGTATAACGAAAGAAGCCAGCCAGATTTCTCCGATGAAAATCCGAACCTTTTCTCAAGTGTGGTGAGCATACCAACAAAATAACCCAAGTAGGTGCCCTAAAACATTACTTCTGAAAAATTTGATGGAAATATGTATATGCAGAGCAGTTAAAACCATCGAAAATATACAAATAATATTTCTTTGAATATGGTTTTAATTTTTATATAACTAAAATCGAATTCAAATGAAAGTTTTGAAAGTTGAAAATTAATGTTCCAAATGTCTAGAAGCCAAGAAAATTGTGATAGTATTTGCTTGGAGCATTCATACATTTAATAAATAGTCGACAATAACGAATAAATCCAAGACACGTATTTACTTTTGGCAACCCTATAACAATTTCAAATCACCTACCTGCACAGCAATAACAAGCACCATCAGAAATACAAAACAATTAATTGAGAATGTATATTTCTTTCCAGGTAACGGAATTTGTTCAGTCATTTTCTGAAAAAAAAATGTAGCTATAATATTTCAGATGTGTCATAAAAAAGAACTTATTGACGCAATAAAAAAGGAGAAAAAGTTTTCTTACAGGTTTACATCATTTTTTTAATGTAAGCATGGAAAAAAGACAACAATGTAATTTTTACACATTTTTGAAAGAAAAAAATACACTTCATGAATAAACCCATAAGAATGGAAGAATGGAAAAAGAACTAATTTATTTTCGCTATAATTTATTGAATTCATATTATTATCGGTGAAGTTTCCAAAATTGACGATGTGAAAAATCATGCAGCTTATTATTAAACAAACTGCTATGATATTAAGAAAAAAGCTTGATAACGAAAACTGCAAAAAATAAATGATACAATCATATCATTGATTTTAAAGTTGATAAAATTTCGCTTTCGAATATTTTTAGTACTTTGGGTGAACTTGGATAGCATTAGTACCTTTAAATTTTCGAACTAACTTCGAAAAAATAATATGTGAATGTTTATTACGTATGAGGTCATGAATAAATATAAAAGTGCCAATTATACGATGGTATTCCTTATTTGTCAATGCTTTGAAATAAGTGATAAGAGCTTGCAGAAACGATGAAACTCTCATAGTGTGCCGAACAGAACTTCGATGACTCATCCAGCTGGTTTTTGACAGGTACACAAAAATAGTAGAGAGTGTAAGGCGGCGAGAATGGCATGACTCTTTCAATTTTTCAAGTAAAGTTCACACTTAAACAGAATAGCAAAATGGTCTGTCTATTTCTGTGGATGAAAATAAATATTGCGTTAGAGAATCAAATAGAGCTTGCCAATAGTAACATCGAAACAAAATAAGACAGAAAAACGGCGTAAACATTATGCGGGTAGACGGGTATAAATAGTATACAAGATTGTGATGTGCAGGTAATACAATGTCCTTGTACGGCACGATCCGAATGGCCAGTAACCATCATGAAATGACTATGAATACTTTCATTAATCGTACAATCGTTCGAAAACTAACCTTGTGCTTGAGGAAACAAACATTTATGAAGTTTGTTAAAAATTATAAAGAATATTCCCGATTACAAAAATAAAACTTACGTATTGCTTTTTCTTACGTATTATTTTTTACGTTTCTTGCGTATTTTTTTTAACTTACGGATTGTTTTTTCTAAAACTGAAAACAATAAAAATTGCAAGAACAACATTTTCTAGCGAGTTAGATCTTTGAAATAAATTTAAGTCGCCGTAATCGACAATACATTTATTTATTGGATCTAAAGTTTGCAATTATAAGAACCGAATTTGAGACTATATAATATTAGAAAATATAAGAAAATTTTTCTATATTTGTATTTTCAAATTCTTTTAAAACATTTTTCTTGTTTTGTAATATTCAATTATTTTTTATTTTTTTATTCTTATTTTTTTACATTCTTTTTTTTTACAAATTTATATTTTTACTGTAGGTTTTCTGCAAAACTTCTCTCATTCAAATGTCGTTGCTCGTCGTGGAAATGTCATTCAATTCAAAATTATATCGTATGGTTTATTTGTCATTCATCCGCCATTTTTTTCTACGAGGAAGTTAAAAATGGTGGAAAGACGATCTTCTGAATAGCATCATCTGATGAAATCAATTTATTTTCTTTTATTTCCTCCATGAACAATGTTCAGTTAGATTAATGTACAGATATTCATTCAAAACCTGTTTATTGTACTATATTAGTCTTGCAAGTAACCGAAAACCAATTATCATAATGAACTGAGTTTGTTGTTTGTTTTGTATGAAATTGTAAATTTTTGGAAAACATAGAGCAAACTATAATCGAATTTCTGACAATTCATTCTGTGCAGAATTCTGTCTTAAGCGGCGATTTGTCCGGACTGTTGTCGCCAAACTTCGACATCTTAGCGGAGATGGCTATCTGCGAATTTTGCAAAGCCTTTCTGAGATCTGTTCCGAGTTATCGTCAAACATTTGATTTTTATTTATCGATTCCACGTCTTCTGCCAAAATGGTATTAGGATTCAGCTCGGTTTGTTTGATTTCATTAGTTAAACTGATTTTCCGTCAATTGCAGTTCTCCATGACGTTTCGTCGATATCGACTACCATTTATTTTACTCAACTTTTTCATTTTCTTTTTGTTTTTGAGTATTTCGCGAAGAAAATCTGAATTTATGGATGATCATGATGTAGATGTAAGTTCATTCCAATTTTCTCTTATTCAATTCTTCAGCATATGCATTTATGCGTTTCAACAACTTATTTGGTTTTTTTTTAATTCAGTTTTTTTATTCGTGAGTTATGGATTCAAATATTGCTTAAAATTATATTATTATGACAATCGCAGTTAGTTTGTAGCAACCTTAATGAAAATAGCAGAGAATATATAATATACATTAAAGAATATATAATATATATTAAAGAATATATAATATATATTAAAGAATATATAATATATATTGACCGGATACTTACACGTTGAAATTTTTTACAGACTACAACAACAGAAGAGCCATATGAAATGACAAATGAAATGCGGTTTTTGAAACTTGCCGTTTCAAAATGGAGAACATGTATGGATGATCAAATAAGCGATACGAGAATATCGGCAAATGATATCGATCCATGGTCACCTAATGCTAAAGAAGCGTGGAAAGAAATTAATGAACAAAACATGAAAGCTGAAGAAGATGAAGAAGCTGCTAATAAGTTTGACTTGGTAACTATCCAAAAAAATTGAAAAAGTGTGAGCATGTGGCTAAATGTTGTATTTGATTTAATTTCCACTGAAAAGATTTTATAATATATTGCTAAAATATCGGTTTTTAGCGAAATAAATGCTTTACATGCAATATTAAATAGTATACTTTTGTACTAAAACTTTTAATTCAGTTCGCGTACAAAATTGATGAAGCAACGAAAATCTGCGCTCGAACAACTAACGTTTGGCATTTGGAAGCAGATACCATCCCGAATACTGTGTTGAAATACGTCCTCGCTGATAATCCCAAGGAGACACCAATAAATTTTGTTCGAGTTGGAATTGGAGCTAATGTCGCAATAGAAAATTTCTTCAAGGAGAAAGTTAGTCCGGTACGTTAATTCAATTTATTACTATTAATACAGGCAATTTTTCTAGAAATCCGATTTTTTCGGAGCCGATCCTTCGTATATGGTAAATGCGCCACTATATGAAAGTATCGGAACATTCTTCCCATTTGCTATCGGCAACTCAACAGGAAGAACTGAAGCTGTTGTACGTATAGCATCGGATAGGAAAAAGACACAGACAGTAGATCACATTGGAATTGATACGTTTTTCAAGCGTTTAGTTGGAAAAAATGTTATCGACTACTTGTTCTTTGAAGGTAATTCAATATACATGAGACGAATACGTTAAGATATTCAGGCGAGGGTAGCGAATATGATATGATGGCGCATTTGGGGAAGAATGGAACTCTTGAACAAGCTGGAATTGCAATCTGTCAAATGAATATTGAATACCACCGTCCGAAACATCTAAATGATCCAAGGAAGCGAACATTTAAAAAACATGTTTCGAAGTTTATAAAGTATTAAAATTTTCTAATCGCTGACAATTATATAAAATTTTTTACAGAGATGGAAAGTACGTTTTGCTGAACGTTAATAATGTAGGAAATCTCCGATTATTCTGGATAAACGTGTCTTCAATGGTTTGTGTGAAACGATATTTGGAACGCTTGTTCGCCAACGACGTCGTATTCTAATTTGTTTCACATACTGTCTCTTCTAACTACGGTAACATTTCTAAAAATTGTGATAAATATTTAATGAGGTAGATACGCAGTATTCAAATTGACGTGTTTATGACATAACTATCATCGGTTTAAATATCAATTTCCTTCGTTGAAAGCCAATCAATATGACATTGTACAATATGAGAAACATCGCGCGATTTGATGACCTCCGACAAAATATACACTGCTCTGTAATTATTTCACTTTGAGAAGCATATTATTCTTATAGTACCTTGCGTGATAAATATTATGTGGTAATGTAGAGAGTAGAAGAATGCAATAAATAAAGTCATTTTTTCCTTTAAAACTCCGTAAAATTTTGATAATTTTTTCTTTAGCACCACGCATTTGCCTTCCCCAGTTTTTCCTTTCACGAAGTTGATTAAATAACTGAAAATTAGAATATCACAAAATAGTAAAATATAAATTTTTAAACCTCAGTTAAAATTAAAAGAAGCTTTGCTTGTCGCACCGGTAAATCCTTGAATTCCAGTATTTTTTCCAACAGGAATGTGATAGTTCTTTCTACCCCGTCAATGTTAACAAGTAACAATGGAAGAGGCTGAAGAGCCCACTTGTTTTCTACTGAGAAACTTCTCAAAAATCTAAACAACATTCGCATCATTGTAGTTGTATTTTCAATTAGCCTACATTGTGCACAAACTCCATTGTAAATACGCAACTTTATCAATATCACGAATACCGCCGGCAAAACCTGAATAATTTATTATTTAAAATTGAAATTTTATAGAGTGGGCTCACATCTCATGACACACGCCATTGATATTCGGTAATAGGCTTTTTCCCTATACTCACATGGTTTCGTAATGTTATTCACAACGTATTCTGCAAGTAATCATTATCCAGAAAAAAATTATTTGAACTGGCCACATACCGTTAATTATTCTTACAAAATCTTCCACAAATGATATAGAATGACAAATAAGTTGTTCAATTCCTTCTGATAATATTTCCAATATTCTCTGGTTATTGCAATTTTTTAAAAGATATTTTACTCTCTGTAAAATCAATAAGTTTTAAGTATTAATAATTGTAACATAATCACCTCTAGTAGATGGGTTTTATATTTTGATTCATGGGACTCCTCCAGAAACCGGAACGTCACCGCTAACATGTAGTTACCAATGATATTGTTTTGCTGGTCACTTAAATAATTTTCAATATTATGAGATGAGCAAAAAGCAACAAAATTTACTTCATAATAACTTCTTTTAAATAGTCAACAATGTATACTGACACATATTCGGTAACATTTTTCAAAAGATCAAGTGAAAAAGACTGCAATAAGTATAAAATACCGGCCAATGTTTGAACTTTGTCTGTTATATAATATGAAGTCAGACCGAGCTCTACCTGAACAAAATATTTCACATGATACTTGTATTGTTACCAACCCATGAAAGCACCATTTTCTGTTTATCTGCGAGAGTCATGTTGAGTTCCACGTTTTCAAAACCCAAAACTGCAACAGATTTCAACAACAGGCATACAACAACGCCTTTTCTTCGCAATCCTTTTGCAAATCCACCATTAAAAATTATTTTCATTTGTTGATACAAAAAGTCGTATGTTGTCAAATCATCGAAAAAATCGGATAAATATTGTAGCTGTAAGTCAATCTTATTAATAAGGAAATTGACGTTAAATAACATACAGAATCAATCACAGCTGCAAGCAAAGTTGCAGGTAACAAATCAATTCCATGCGAGAACCAATGAGAAAAGATTCCTAACAAGCTACGAACATTAGACACAGTGTCGAGATCGCTTGTAGTGTCTAGCAAATATTGCGAAAGAGATGGGCGAATATTCTGCTTGCAAAATAAAAATAACAATATCAAATCATCAACTAACCATTGATCGACCCGTTGGCGATGGAGGCATGGGTTTTCCATTTTCTGACGACAATGCTCCACAAATTGTCCATAATGACATTACAGAAATTTGGCATAATCCGTATTTATTTGTGGTTCCATCGTGCTAAAATTTCGATAGTTAGATTGTCAATTTTTGTTTTTCAAACCACGTTTTTTTCGTAACGTTCAATATTCTGATTGTAGGAATTCTTTGGTTGATATCCCTGCAGCATTTTCATGATTGACAATTCGATCATTTCATTTGAAGAAAAGAATGGGTCATTTTTCTCTCGAGTTTTCAAAATAAATCTCGAATTGGGATCACCATTGTAAGGAAACTTCAGCGACTGGAGTAAAACTGAAGTAAACACTTCCACTGCCAAAGAGCTGCATTTTAAGCGCTCGCTAATAACCTAAGAAACCAAATTTGCAATTAGGTTTCACCAAAAGTAGAATTACATCTGCTAATGACTCATTCAACTCTTTTCCAGTTGGAGTTGTAGATAAAACACCAAGAAGGCTGACGCAGATGTCCTCAAATTGCGCTCGTGTCAACCAACCAACTCTGAAGTAACGCTTAGTAATACGGTCATTAAACAAATCAATTAAAAACAAACTTTTGGTAAAAGGTTTCAAATGTTTCATTTCTATTGTAAAAAAAAACTTACTGTGATTGGCGAATGTGAAAATCAAGAAGAACATCAGAAAAACATAAATGGTGTACTTTTGCCAACGGAATAAAAACACTTCCATCATTTTTTACTTGAATAACTGGTTTATATCCATGCCTGCAATTATCACTTTTTAATTTTAATAGCATTTTCAATCTTACTCAATAGCTGCTACTGAGGTAAGAAAAAGCTCATACAATACAGGATGACGCAGAAGAACTGGAATAATTAAAATTTCGGTGTTAATAGGATATTTCAATATACTATTTCGTGTTGCACTAATGCTGGAGGCCGGATTTTCATTAGGTCTTTTCAAAGCATGCTGGCATATCACAAATGCTTCTTTTAAGAAATCTGAAAATAATTAATTTTGTTCCGTTAAAAGATGTTAATAACGACCTTCTATGCTGCCATATTTGCTTAAAATATCATTATGTTCGACACATGCTTCCGGACTTATATCATAGGTGAAGTTATCAGCTAGCAACTTGAAATACATTTTTCTGGTTGGATTTTCGACAACCAATTTTGTCAATAAGTTAAAATGCGATAATGCAGTTTTCAAAGGCTTTCGTGAAATTGTCTCAATAACTGTACTTTCATGCAACAGCACACGAATCCCTCGTTCAACGTAATTCGGCTGTAACTTTTTTTGCTAATCACTTGGTTAACCACAGTTTCTTACCGATCTCATAACACCTATTTTTTTGGTGGCGAACTCGATTATAGCGTTTATAATTTTTACATTATCGAGTCCTTCAAATTTGAATTTCTGAAAACAATCTTGATAACATAACTATTAATCAATGAAACCTCTAAATTTGCAAGAACTTTTAACATTATTTGATAGTCTTCTGAGTGTTCACAATAGTCACATATCTTATCAATAAGTTCATATATCTTCACTGTGACTTCTTTTGCTTCGGATGTGCCTCGAACTGCAAATTAAAAGGTGTTCGAAATATTATATATTATTTCGATTACCCTCTGATACTGTTGTTTGGTGTTTCATTTCCGTCAAAAGACATTTCCAGAAGTAATCATCGATATAAAATTGCTCAAACTCAAGACACAACGGAAATAGTTCTTCGATATTAAATGCAGACAGAATGCGGACAACTAGTGGAACCATGCAGCGCTTTCGGCAAATTTTTCGTAAAATTTCTTCTATAGGCTTGGTCAAGTCGGGAAGGGCTCTAAATACAGAAATTAAAAAAATGTTATTATTTTGACTTACAAAACTTCTGCTGTTGGTAGGTTTTCAAGAGTTAGATCATCGCCAATATTTCTTTCCTCAGACATTTTATCTTTCCATTCAATTTGTATATTTGCATAAACAATAGGATATTGCTTTTTCAAAAAGTGATCCATAAATCGATCCAAGAATACTTTTTCTTGTCCCGAAATTGCTCGAAATGATCTATTGAGTGTTCTTCAAACCATCAAAGTTCGAATGCTAATTAGAAATAACTGAGATACCTTTCAAGCCATTTTGCTGGATCACTTTCCATTCCATTCAATCGAAGGTCTAAAACGGGTCCACTCAGTCGTGCTACTATAGTAGCGAGTAATGCACATGATTTTTCAGACGAATTTGCTTTTTCTAGGGCATTGTAGGCAATATCAAACGGATTCAACGCAGAATCTGCCATCTTTGACAACGGAAAAATTGCTTCTTCAATTTTACATTTGGTATGATTTTCCTGAGCCATCCAATGAACGTAATTTGTTAGGAATGTGATGGAAATTGGACCCCTGAAAATCCGAACTATGAATTCTTTTTAATACCCAATACTATACATATTAGATTTTTTGGTATTTCCAAATATCAAATAAAACAGGAAAAGTGTCTCTCTTGTTGCAAATTTCAAGCAAACAGTTAGATTTTGACCAAGATGGGTTGCGAATGGCTCAATATCCAAGTTTTGCTGAATTGTCTCTATGAATAGCAAAATCGAAGCCTTCATAACTGAAATAAATCCAGTTAAAACTAAAAACTCATTCACCCCTACCGTATGGAACTACAGTTGGTTTCAAACTGGGAACGCTTCGTATCAGTGTTATTCCGTAGTTTGACAAATTCACGTAATTATGTGTTTGCACCCGAGTAAATACAATCATAAAAACGATCATCTGAAATAGATTGTTTGTCTGAAATACATTGAAATGCATGTATAAATATGCTTACCTCTTCAAATAATTCCGGATATGAACATTCTTTAGGGTTGGATATTTGTGCAACTATTTCATTATGAATAACGTGATTGGGATCAGCCATATCATGTAGGATTCCTGCTCTCAGTAGCTCAACCATAACAAGAATTACCTAAAACCATGATAAGAAATGAAATTCATTGGAATATCGTTACCCTTCGTTTTTCTTCTGCACCCCTACACCGGAAAATGCAAATCATGATAGTAATGAGATCTTCAATTTTTCCCAGTGATTCCATTATTTTCTCAACTGGTTGTTTCCGCGGAACTGCTGAGCTGGCAGCTAGAAAACCCATTGTCCTAAAATGAAATTATGAAAGTAAATATTTAATATGGCATTTGTTTCAAGCAGGCTGGTTGATTGAGTTTAGCAGCCTACTTTTCTGTGCTTTACCTTCTCATTACTGATTTCAAAAACTCATCATCATTAGCTATTGCTTCAAAAGCATAAGGCCAATTAAGGTTGTTCAGCAATTCTTAATATTTATGGTTAAAATTTCAATTTTTGAGCTCATTACCGTAATCGATTTTCAATTTCGCCCACATTTCTGAATCGACTGCCAACAAATTTCTGCCAAAAAGAACTTTGACCGTTTGGTGCATAATCCTCAAAGCACAAGCTGGTGAAAATTCAATCAGGACCTGGTAAATTTTTGATAAATCCTAATTTTTTACAAAAAGCTTATGAATTTTCCAACCTTTGTATATGATATCACTTCGTCGAAAAAATTGAAATCTTCCAGCGATATGAAGTCTAAAGCTACACTTATCGCATTGGATGCCGCTTCACATATTTCGAGAAATTTGCTGTCAGTACTATGATTTAGTGATGACTGAAATATCATATTTTATTAAACATTTTACCTAGAAATGATTACCATAAAGTTATTGAACGCTCCTTTTGTATCATTATAAATTCCAGACAGGGATTCGCATTGATCAAAGCTAATATTTGCTTGTCGAGGAAAAGAAGGAGCATTGTCGGATGTTTTCACAGGAAGAAAAATGCTTTGTAACTTCACTACGCGCGAATCAACATGATCTGGAGTTCTCTTATCTGGCCTCTTTTCAAATGTCAGAGCTTGTATCATATTTAAGCATCTGAAAATTAAAACGTAATGCATAATATAAATAACATAATAGATACCGTAATCCGAATACAAGTAGCTCGTAAGCTTTTTCTCTGCAGTATGATTTCTTGTTCACCAAAATATTGGACCATAGTCCTATAGAATTTCAATCAATCATGTTTTTCACAAGTGATGCTTCTTACCGTATGACATCTTATTTGTTGCTTCAACACCAGCCAATAAAACTGATTTCTTCATAGATTTAATATCCAAAAATTCAATTAAAGTGCTTTCACAGATTCCAACATCAATTCCAGTCGGAAGTTGTTTGAACAAGGGCATAAAGAGTTGAATAATATTTGACTAAAAACAGATTTTAAGGATTTTTGATGTTTTGTTTACATCTGTATAATCGCCTCCTTGTGCGCTCAAGCTCCGCAATTTTCGGATCAAATTGTGTGCATTTGCTTCGCTTTTCGAGTCGTTTGATGAAGAGAATGGTGAATAGCTCAGATTGAGAACCTAAACGTTAAAAATATAGATCTTTAATTACTAGAAATATTCTACCATGTTCACTTGAACTGGAGGCCAACTATTCTGTGTCGATTCTTCAAATTTGAAATATCTAAAAAAAATTTGAAAACTAAAAAGCCGATAAATGCTTACCGAACAATATATTCAAAAATAGCCGGTTTAGAAGATATTAATGGATTCTTTAAAATGTGCAATAAAGATTCCTCAATAACACATGTCGGTAAAGGTTCCCCAACTTCATCGAGAAACATCAAACTTGATAAAAACTGTGAAGCAGCACTCTGATATTATAAGTTACACAAAAAAATATGAACCAAATTATACCAGATCGGCAAGATTCGATGAATAACAAAGATCACATGCAAGGCGAACGAGGGACATAAACTGTGCAGACTTCTTTGCATTTTTTATCTTCTGTTCCGAAAATGATTCGAGCAATGTCCGTTTTTTAATCAAATGTGCCTTCGGACGGACAATAATTGATAAAATAAGATTTGAAAAAGCTGAAAAATTCAGTTTGTTAATAAAGGAATCTTTAAATTCACCATTTCGATTAACGATATGCACCATTATAGATGCCAGAAACTGCAAGCCTTTAGTTGCTAAAGTTTCATCACTATGCGCTGCAAAGTGGGCAGCATCCGAAACTAATTGTTCCCTCTCATCTAAAATAATTTCATGCAAAACATTCATCATCTCGCACAAAAAAAACCTATCAAAACTTCCAATTTTAGTAAATCAACCTTTTCCGATATGACAACGAGGCATTGTAGAGCAAGAATTTTCATACTGTCTTTGGATTCAGTGTCATTTTTAAGAGTTCCAGGAATTCCGGTAAGTAAAAATGCTTTACTGAGGAATGCGGCAATGTAAAGATAAACATTATGAAACTTTTCTGAAACAACACATTGCAAATCAAACCAATAACATTTATCTTACGTTTTGATAACGTCTCCCATGCTGGCAAGTGTTCAATTCGGACGGGATTTGATATTTGTTGAATTTCTTCGTATTTTGAAGGATTCATAAGTGGATCTATAATTTCCTTTCCTGGATCAGCACCTTCCCCTTCAATAGAATGACTGTTGCAAAGTATGAGTTTATCCCGCTCATTCGCCACATATCCCTTCATAAAATAATCGGACGGTTGAAAATCGATTAGCTCCCTAAATATATTGTTTAACAATTCCATTTGTTTCAGTGTCAAGTTTTACTCGGGAATAACTTTTAAAAGCTCCTCTAGTACCGAGAAAGCGATGAACATGATTTCATTTGAACCACTTGCAACAAATATAAGCAATATTTCGATACACTGAAAATAAGCGATTTCATCTTATTTCAATATATTAGTCAAATTTACTTTTTTTATTTCATCCACTGAGTATGGTTCGTTTTTTTGAATTTGTAGAAGACTTCGCATAGTAATCAATGTTCCTACCGCTGGTTTTTCGCCATTAATGTAATTTTCCACTACATGGTTCAATACATACGTAAACGCCTAAAAGTATATAAGTTTTAACCAATTTACACTTTTCTGTCGTACCTTTGAAGATTTTTCTTCGTTAATTTGACAAATACCAACTATGATTTCCGACAATGCTCGTGAAGACGATCCTTTTACTTCTAATAAATAGCGCAATCCATTTTCAAACAACTTCTGAAAATAATCACACAACACTTATATTAATTGGAAAAAATACTCACGTCAACTAATAAGCTGTCAGGTTTTATTTTACATAGAATATTAGTAAAATGAGTCTCAAGAGCTTTATGCACAATAGCTTCAGGTCGATTCATCATTTTTAAAAAACAGCCACATATTGTATCCGACAATAATGCAAATTTTTGGCTTTGACTACGACTGTAATTCGATTGTCTTTAAAGATATTTTATTAAAATCACCTCGGATTCGGAATCAGGGAAAGAAGATAGTCAATTCTAGCTAAAAGCACTACTATTGCTCTTCCTGAAGAAAATCCTTGTAAATGGGTGACTGCTATTCTTGTGGCCAATTCTGGATATCTGCCAATAACGAGTTTCTGAAAGAAAACTGTGTTCTAAACACTATTTTGAAAAGCTTCTAACCTTTACAGTAAAATCATATTCCTGTTCTGCAAAAATACGAATATTTGCATCCGCATGATCCAAACTTTTCACTAAAAGTGACATAAAGCGAATGAATGAACTGGTTCCCTGTAAATAATGAAAAAAAAAAAACAAACGTTATGTTGGTCGTATTTTTTATACCGATGTCACATTTTTCGATATTTCATCAGCTTTGAATTTTGAAGCAATAACAGATATTTCTTTCAATAGTTCCAAATCGGTTTTTACAGATTTCTCATTTCTGCAAATGAAATGTAACAATTATAACATGAAACTTCACTTACTTCAATGATTTTACTGGTGTATTGCCTTTTTCTAATAAATCTAGAAGTTCTAAAAAAGTGTCTCGCTTACCCATTAAATCTGAAATTAAAGCATCTCATAAAAACATATTATTTCAAGGACATTTTTTGAAAATATTAATAACGCTAATAGTTACAATATTTTTTGACAGCCAAAATGTTAAATGATATTTGAAGAAACCCCTGGCACTGTACAATAGAGCACATTTGTCTTAACCACACGATAATAACAATAGAAAGTATTATGTAGAAGGTGTATCGTTTTTTTTTAATTTTAGTTCGAACATTATGAAGTTAAGTCGCATTAAAAAAAACAATTTTGAATAAAAACAAGAAACGAATGTCAACATTAATAATATATTTTCAAATCAATAAATCGTTTATATAATTATTTAAATAAATTATATACTATAGATTTTATGATACATATAGATTAAAAATACAAACAAAAACATTTGGTATGGAATTGGAATGTCCAATTTGCGCTCTATCGCACAGACCAATCTCAGTGGCATTTTCAAAAAAATAATAAATACGTATGGATTACAAACACGCAGTCACATATATGAGCGATATGTATAAAAAATGAGAAACTTTTTTAAGTTCGATACAATATAAAATGAAGATTTATTTGTGTGAATTTGAAATTCGTTTTTCTGAATTTTTCAAACCCGATCAAAACATATCAACTAGATTTTTTCAGAAAACACATTATTTTAAATTAATTTTATTTTATAAATATGGATATTGTTTAATATTTGATTAAACTCGACTATTTTGGACGATGTTTCATAGACTAGACTTCGCGGGAATTTCGGTAAGTTGTATGGTTCTAGTCAGATTTTCCAAAAACTGGTAAAAAAACAAAAAAAAATATAATGCATCTCAAAAAAAAAATTAATCTCAAAAAATGAGCTAAAATGAATTTGAAAATAGTTTCTTCTTCATCTGTTTTTTATGAGTTGTTTGCCAAAATTCATAAGATGCTAATTGCAAGAAATAATTACTTTAATTGATACCGATAGTTGAATTAATTACAGGGTAAACGGAAAAATAACGAGTGGGCGGAAAAGCAAAAAGAACCTATTTTATTTATATGGAAAGGAAGTGGTGCGCTCATATATTAATTTCTCGCTATACGCATTTTTAATTGGTTTGTTTTCAACATTTAATTATTAGTAGTATATTCATTCATTAGTCTATTAGTCTGCAGTCTTTCATAATTATATGCTAAAAATAAATAAGACATGAATACAGTTTTCCGCGTAAGTGTACGATATATAGTGTTTGAAGCATTGATCGCTAATGTGTACGGACACTTTTTTTACATACTTTTTAAAAATTTCGCGCAAAAAAACCGTTGCAAATGTTTGATTTTCTTTAATGAATTCTCTTTAATGTTTAGCAAAAAAAATTAAAAATTAACGAACCATATAAAGTAATAATTATAGCAATTCTTGAAACGTTTTTCTCAAAGAATTTAAATTTTTTTTGGCTCTTGTCATTTTATATACATATTAACCATTCTCAATTTAAAGTTGTATCAGCAATTTTTGTTAATTTAAAAGACGATAAGCTTGATTAATCCCTGTTTTAATTTCCTTTCTACACACGATTAATGGAATGAGTAAATGGTGAGGTCAACGAATTTTTTATTCTCCTGGGATTTTTTCTATTTTGTTCAATTAATGATTTTACGATTTATTATGGGAAAATTAATTTATTTTTGCGATTTTTTCTCTCCATAAACGGACACTAAACATAAATTTAATCAATATATAATGGGTGAGAAAAGTTAATTGAATAAAGAAATATTTCTTGAGAAATATTTCATTATTGCTTAATGTTATTTTAATGTTAACGTAAAACGTTTCTCATGTTTTATTGCAACCATTTGAAAACAATATTTATAGTAGTAGGTGATTAATTATATATTGCAATAAAATTCCCGCTTTTCGATCATGCATTTCTTTTTTCATATTCTGTGCTGACACCAGTGCAGCTTCCAGAAGGTTTATTATCCAAAACCAATAGCGCCTTTTTATTAGATTTGCCCTCAGATATTATTCGATTAGTTGCTCAATAATATATTGAAGAAATGCACATTCTGGCAGTTTATTTGATTACAAAATCCTATTTTTCTAGGATTACCGCAGAAAATGAATGCTTTTAATAATAGAAAAGACCAAACCTCAATTGTTTGAGAAGAAACTGAAATTGGTTCAGTTATATATTAGAAGAAACATAATTAATAAAATAATGAAAGTCGAAGTTTCGTCAGACGTATTTATAAAGAAGCTCTTGTATTATTTTATCTTCACACAATGCCTATCACAACATATTTTAATTTTACAAAATTATTATATTTTTATTATTTCGAATTTTCGCAGTATTATTTGAAAAAAAAAAAACATTAAGATATTTTTGGATAAACGAAAGAGGCTAATTCTTATATTTATTGAAGTTGTTGGTTTCCAATGTGCAGAGCAGCTACTACTAAACATTAACTCAACAATACGCAAGGTCAACATTCAAATCTTTCTTTCGTTTCAATATTCGTCCAGAAAATGCTGGCATTTCCATTGGGTTATAAGAATGCCGTGTCTACAGTTTCGCAAATCCAATTTCGATAGTGTTGGAGTGAGTCTCGCGCAGAACAATGTCATCCATTTCCTATGTTTTGAATACGTGGGTGGGAACAACGCCGTTTCTTCGAAGAGTGGTGCGAGAGAGGCCGAAAGGCAGGGCGGCCAGCGACTTTAGTTAGAAACGAGGACACTACAGCCGGCAAGCAAAACACAGCCCCCCGTGCTGCCTAAGCGACCAAACACCAAATGACGCAGAATTTTCCCGTGTGTGTGTGTGAGCGAGCGAGCGTGAGTGTTTCTGTGTGTTTCAATGTGAGTGAATTGTTTCTTGCTACGTTTTTTTTCAGTGAATATGTATGTGCGTGTATATATGTGTGTGTGTGTGGTTGTGCGACTGTGTGTATGTGCGTGTAACGAAATAACATCAACAATTTGATATGCTTGAATGATTTGCGCAGAAAGTGCTCATGGAACCGACAAAGATCGAATATTTCAATTATGTAATATGAAACAAAACTATTCAAAATTGTAAAAGGAAAAAATCTTGTGCACTTATTATTGAGTGTTACACCTGCTATTCTTGTACATATATTTGTATCTGGCGAAGGACAGTTTGGGCTTTGATCAGGCAATCCTGCGCGAGAATCGCATTGCGTTCTCGACCGCATCTTTTTTCGAACAATGTTTCGATTGTGTTCCACGTACTCTATAGAGTACACACACTGTTTGTCTGACGTTTAGATAACAAACTCTAAAGAGGGTCGAGGGGCGATGAGGAAATAATGCTGTTAAACAGACTGCCTGTTTTCCGCTATTTACTTCAAGTCGTCCAAACAGCTGAACTACAATTGTTTTCGGTTTTAGTTATCTTTTTATTGAACTAGTCCAATCAAATCTTGATAAGATATCCAACCTCGCTTTGAATAATTTTTGTTTATAGCGGTGTAAATATCCGTCACAAGACTTAATTTTTTCCCCCAGCACTTGTCTTGTTTTGATCTTCAGTTTTTTCTATCTTACAACTGCACTTTCGTTTCTTTTCATATAAAAAAATCTATAGGTTGTTGCTCTGCCTCTTCTCAAATCCCATTTTTTGAAGTTACTCATGTACTATAAAACTCCGACGTATGTTACCAAGATCATATGGTCTTTATGACATCTCAAACTAATCTCACAATATATAATATATAATTTACTTGATTCTAATCAATTAAGATTCATAAAACTAATCTGAAATAATTTATTTGTCTTTATAACCTTCCAACAATGAATTTCTCATATTGGATTTGCGTTTGATCAGCTTTCAAACCATTATTGAACTGAATCTCAATATCTAGTAAGCATGTGCATTTGACCCGTTTTTTGTTATTGTTTTCGTCTCAAATTTTATTATTAAATAAATTATTATTTCGCGCGCAACTCTTTTCGGTATTTTCAGCTATTCAGCTTCAATTTTTTTTAAAGACCAAATTAAGTTTCAACTTGACAGAATTCAGGCATGGTCTATGTTACTACTTGTTAACCTTGCAAAGAACTATTAACATTGAGATCGGGAACAAATATGCGCATTTTCCGCTGATGTCCTCCAGAAGACACTCCTTTGAACTACTGTACAGTTGAATGTAGATTACTTGACCTATTCTCAATTTTCGCACTTATTGTATGTTTTTGAAGAGTTGTTCGATTAAATGGTAGATTTGGAAAGAGTTTCGCTTTTAGCTTTTTATACAACGATTTGTACAATTTTATGATTTTATGCAGATAAAAAAATATGACAAAAAAACTACGAAGATTATTATATACCTTGAACGCGATTGAATCAACAATCCGTTTTGCGACATCTGGGCGCCGTTCATTAAAAACATTTTAATTGGGCGATTATCACCATACATCTGTGTCGTCGGATTTCTAATCTCTTTTCATACACTCCAGAAAAATTCTTTGCATATGAAATACGCCAAAATTGACTTAATTGAAAAATTCAAAAATACGCATGGATATTCAAAATTTCGAAGAAGTCCATAAATGTATTGAATGAATAAACACATATGAATATGAAATGTGTACATTTATGTTAATATAGCCCATATATCCATTTTTCTTTTCCCCTTCATATTTCCAATTTCGTAAATAAAAATAATATATAGAGCCGAGCTGCTTGCAAGCCAAACTAGCAACCTTTTGAAAAGAAACAATTGCGATGCGCAAAAGACGATGGAGCAAAGAAAAACATATACGTACACAACAATAGAGCGAGAACGCGCATAAGCACATCCGCAATACCGTTCACCAGACCCGCTGTGTTCAGGTTTCAAACAATCTCTGCGACATTGCTTGCCTACTATTATTTTTGCGCTGGTCTGCTCTTTTTTGCGCGTGCCAAAAATTAACAACGATATGAATACACAAGGCTATTTGTGTTTTTCTTTTTCTTTCTCTCCCACTTTTCTCTTTTTTCGCAGTTGCCTCAAAATCAATATGCAACGAGACGGCAGGCCCGCTAGTCGACCAGCCATCGCTAATCAGCATTCCACGCGTTTTGCCAGTTCGCATTAATCTGTTAGTCCAAAAAAAAAGTTTGTTTGGTCATTTTGTTTCGTTTTTTGTTGCCGAATTTCATGTGTGTCTTCTTAATATGACTATTTATCGGTTTGTTGTTAAATGACAGCGCTAAACTAGACTCGAAAATTGCCTTTTCTGAACACAAACATTTGGTTGTTGTACCACATTGCATTGTACCAGGGCAGTGGAATGAAAATCAGAATTTATTGGGAAAGAAATAAAAATTGATTCCTTGCTAGTAATCTGGCAGTTCTGATTTCCGACATTTCAGTGGCCAACGTGTTCATTAGCGAATCCTTCCAATAATTTATGGTTTTCACAAATGCTCCCCCTGTAATTAGGTTATTGGCCGCGACATGCTTCTTTAGTAGGCTTGATGATAGATCAGATAATGATACAAGAAATCTATATTAAGAACGAGAACTCTTATGATAATTTCTCTACAAAAATTTTCATTGAAGTAAATTAACTAAGGGAACAACCGATACATCGGCGGGATGTAAATTGCATTGTGTATTAGATTAACGAATCGATTGAATTCTAAAATAATTAATAGGGGTTATGTGTTGAATAAATCCAAATGGTTAAGATTAAATGTTCAGAAATAGTTTGTTTGTTTACAGACTACACGCCACCGTCCAATCTTGCCTTCTCAAAGTTTTGTATTAACTATGACAAAGTACTCTGGATAAACCGCTGAGTGTGTTTTTCTTTGCACGCACTCTAAAACAACTGTTCTCCGATCAATGAACGTTTTATGTTAGTTCGTGATTCTCATTCTGTTTTTTTTCTTTCATGCGCCGTTGAAATTCACTTTGTTTCTTGCTCTAAATAATTTAATGTTTGCCCAACCAATGGGGTACCTTTTTTTCGATTGAAGAGAACCTGAAGGTAAATAACTTGTGACAACATTGACTGTATTTATCGATTTTAAAATGATTGAAAGTGTAGTTCTGTGGTGTTTAGTTTCTAATATATGCTTTGAAAATAGATTTCCGGCTTACGAACGTGGCATTTCAGTTCTCAATTTTTATCACACAAGTGATTCTGCTTATGATATATTTTGCCGTCCGATTTCACCGAAAATGCCAAAAATCCCAATATTAATTATAAGAATCCCATCCTGAATCAATATTTTTCGATTAAAATCTACCGAAATGATCTTCTCAACCGTGAATACTTGATGCGCTCTCGGTTTTTGTCTAAAAAACCCTTCAATCTTTGTTTTAACTTAAAAAAATATTTTTTTGCATAGTTAGGTTTTCGAAATCTATGCAAAGTGTTCGATATGGCAATGTTCTATCGATCAAAACTGAACGCAATCAATAGTTTCGCCAAAATTATTTGTACGAGACGTTAATTTTCGCGTTTTCCTATGAAGATTATCATTTGGTCAAGTATCTTTCGGCGGGTTTACAACAGTTGCTACTGACTTCAAACATCGCACTAGGCTTCCGTAGCACCGACGTTTCTCACCAGAATATATCTGTTTTGCTCTCTTTTCTTCTGTAGTATCTCTTTGTTGATCTCGACAAGATTCAATGAATTTGGCGACAACGACTCTCTCTCTCTCTCTCCATTGTCTGACGTTTGTTTCAAATTGTTTCACCGCACTTCTAAAACTTTTTGTACATTCCACTTTTCTATTTGTTATTGAATGTGTGAAAGAAAAACGATCATGCTCTTCTGATCTTTGCCATTCAATGATTTCTGCTCAATACAAAGAATTGAAAAGTGCGCCCTGGATTTTGGGGTCATGTTCGTGTTATCAAATTACACAGCATATGTATCGCTTTCATTTATGCCACATTCGTGAATCCAACGTTTTCATATGTTATTTATTTGTTCACCAAAATATTTATTTATTTATTTATTATCTATATAGAGCAAATCAGAAATCAGAAGTCTTAAACTTTACACCGGAATTCTCGTAGTCTTCGTCTTATTTCTTCGATTTTTAAATTGTCTTCGTAAAACGCTTAAGCGCTTCCAATTGTTACTGCACTTTGATAAATGGCACCTCTCCTCCCTTTCTTTCCTCTTGCAAAAATTTGTCATTTCATTTCATTTTTATCTGACATTGTAAATAAATAAAGTTTAGTAAGGCATAATAAAAAAATATCTGGCAACATTACTTCAAAGAAACCGCATATGCCTCATTTTGGTCAATCGACGACCGATCAAATATTTTAATTGAATAATTAACAAGGTCAACCGGAAAGCGATTCGCTAATAATTTAAGGATTTAACGAAACGAATATGCTGCTCTCGCATTTCCGCATACACGTGTAGGTTGTATTAGGGTGAGAATTTTCACGGGCACATGCCAAATGAAGCCAATCCATCTATACATCGACGCATACTTGCTCATTATACGACTCGTGAAGCTATTCTCCCGAAATATTCAAAATTGCTAGAATCGCAGATTTCGCGACCTAATTAGGAATGCGAGTTGAAATGATTTCTGATCGTGAAAAATTAGTCATTCTAAGATGATCACTTTGCCTCACATTATTTCTTTTTCAAAAAAAAAAACGTATTCATACTTTTTTGGCCTTCTCCTCATTTCCGTATTTTGTTTCGTTTCATTTTTCCCTCTACAAACGATAAACCTGAAAAACTTGCAGGAACCCAATTGACGACGCCCGACTTTATAACGAGACTAATTGGATTCTCCATTTCGCCGAAGGTAATTTGAAATCGATCAGAATATGCATGAGACTATTATTCCGAAAATCTATAATCGGTGAATTCGGCCGTCTGGGTTACCAACAAAAATCATCAACAACTGTAGATTAATCCGAGCTTACTAATAATTTTTTTTTTTAATTTGCCTAGAAAATCTTATGTGTTCCACGTCGTTGTTAGCTGTGAAGCCATGCAATACATTATTTATCAAAGACGTGCTAACATTCATGTCGAATGCCAATCTTGTTCCATCAAATACATTTAGATACTATCCTCGAAATTTAAGAATAGAGTGGTCATGAAATTTGTACTGAATTCGCTTTTCCTTAATTCTTTAGAGCGGATATTTTAGATGTCAACCATATTCAATGTTAATTTTGACTAGCGTTGAAACTGAATAAAAAATAGTTTTATGCAAATAAAAGAGACCGTGGGAAACTGCAAACGCATAAAATGGCGAACTACGGTATAACACAATTATGAAGATATATGACACGTAGCATTCTGATTTCCTGTGTTAACGTCGTTTCTTCGATTCGTGAATAATTTAGTTAGATTTTCATCAAAAAATCTTGAAGTGCCTTCATATTTCAACGGAAGTTTTGAATTTGAAACCTAAATTCATTCATCTATATTTCCCTCAAGTAGTCGTTGGTTTCCCAGTGGTTTGCGGCCTATAAAGAAATGCAATTTCTGCGTGGACTTTGCGCTATGCGTTTCTCTTCTTTTTTCTTCTTTTCTTTCTCACTTCGCCTGTTATTGATGTATGTTTCTTTAGAAGGAGAGAAAAGAAAAAAAAACGCAACGTCGTCTTGACCCATGTGTTGTGCTTTTGGTGCTTTTTTCCCCGAGCTCCGCCCATTTTCTACTATTTCTGCCGACTTCTCTTATTTTTTTGCTCCACTTTCCAAGCTGACGCGAGCGCGACTGAGCGGCAACTATTCGACCAAGCAAGGCAAGACAGGCAGAGCGCAAAGCAGTCTTCGTTTGCTTTCGAAGTTCAGCTCATTCGCAAAAAATCTTTCTCCCTATCCTTTTTGTGCTCTATTCTGCGTTCTAGTGGACCATTGAACCGCTTCCACGGAGATCTTCAAGATTAGTCTCAAAGCTGTATTTGCATATTTGCAATCGCATTATTAACACGCTTATCGTCAACAGGCAACGTCGACAACAACTATTCGAAGAAATTACACCAATTTAGTGTAGATATTCTTGGAGCTGCAATCTGTCGACTAATATTCTAAATGCATATGTTTTATAGCATGAACGGTAGCCTGGCCGACCAGCTTCAGAACCATTTGGCAACGTATGTACCACAAATGCGGAATCCTCCGAGATCTGATGATACTCCATCATTTATGAATGGCACAACGGCGTCAGTGTCAAATTCGAACGGCAGCAATGGCGACCAGAAGTTTCCGTCGTATAAAAGAATGGCGCAGAGTAAGTCGGCTTTGTCAGCTTCCAACGAATGTCAAACTTTTGAACTCTTCTTTCGTATTCTCGCACTAAATTTTGGAATAAAAGAAGTTGGCTTCCGGACCAGCCATTTTTTGTTCATTATTACAAAGTTTAATAATTTTCAGGGCGAAAAGTCCCTGAAGGTGAGCTATGCGCGGTGTGTTCTGACTTAGCTACTGGTTATCATTACGGTGTCGCCAGTTGCAATGGATGGTGAGTTCAACGAGATTTTCGATTCTCATAACGGCGAGCATGTAGAGATAAATGTGGCAGATAAATATTAGAATTTCGCTTACTTGGTTCGCCGAACCAGTCGGTTGAACACAAGTTTATGACAGTGAACATGCTGCTTTTGACATATTTAAGGGATAGACTCTCTAAAACCTGCAACATCATTCCAACTCAAAAAAATGCGTCAGTCCAATGACGAGAACCTACAAAACCTTTCGGGTGTTTTTTTTTTTGTTTGAATGATGTGATGCAGCTACACTAGTTTTGCAATGCTAAATAGTGAATGAATGAGAAAAGAAAAAAAAACGAAATGAATTTCCGACATAAATCTTGTCGGAGAGATTGAAAGGAAATTAGCTGCTATAATTCAGGAGATGCAGTTTGAAAAATAAAATTGAATTCTTTCAGTAAAACATTTTTCCGAAGGACAATTGTGAGTGAGCAAACATTCATATGCCAATACAATGGGAATTGTGATGTTAATAAAAGTGAGATTAATGTTATTATTATTGGAGATAACGTATATATTTTTAGATATACGATGTGCATGTCGGCACTGTCGTTTTAATAAATGCTTACTTGTTGGAATGGATGCCAAAGGTATCTATTGTGGTATATATATTTTTTCCTTCATAATGATATATAAAAGAAACTTTATGTCGTTGTCGAGTTTTTATCTGTATTTCAATTATTGGCTATTCATGACATATGCAGAATATTTTGTGAAAACAATGTTTAAAAAAAAACAGCTGGAAATGCTGAACATCCTCGACGAAAAAATTCACTATTCGCGTTTGCAGCTATTCAAAACGATCGGGATAGAATTGGTCCGACGAAAAAGCCGAAAATTAGTAGCGGGTCCGATGATGAGCAGGCAAACACACCGCTCCGAATGCAAGACCAGGTTTGTGCAAATTTTCATCTGATCTCTGAATTGCATGTTTTCAACAAAATATATCATCATTGAAAAAGTCTCATGGAAATAAATAATAAATATCCTTCATAACTTGAGTGATCATAAAAATTTTAAATATCACGAGAAGCCATCCAAATTGTCAACATCTATCCCATATTTCTAAAAGTTCAATAATCATGTTAATATACATATGTATTTGATTGAATGATATCAACAATTGCCCTAACAAAATCAATTTATTCACATTTCTATGAATTAATTTGAAGCACCTATTCAGAAATCACACATAACTTAATAAAGTAAGAAAAACTTCCAATATTTTTTACGTTTTTTTACGGATGTGTGCACTAAAAAACACCTTCTCTTCAAATACATTTTAACGCTAGGAAATCGTTGTTCTCTGTTTTTCAAAATTCTAAAGAGTACTCGAATTTCTCTTCAAGCTTTTCGATCGTGAGAAAATTCTAAAATAAGTGAAGTGTATTCACTCGTTAAAATTTATATAGGACTTTGATTTGTGATAAATTAGCTAGAATTAATATAGTTGACGTCTGTTTAAGGGCTCAAAAAACATTGAATAAAATATGTATGTATTCTAGGGAAATTTGATAGTTTTTTTTGATAGTTTTTCCATTATGCCTGGTTTTTTTTAGGAAATTATCGAGCAATTAACTCAAGTGGAAGTATTGTGTCAAGAGCTCCGCAGATGCATAATTCCAGAAGTAACAGGGGTCACACAAGCACTTACATCGCCATGCTTACTTTTTGAGACAACGGAGCTCAAAATTGATGTTAGTTGTGCACTTCTCGTTAAGTGCACTTTTCAATTTGCGAAGATGCTTCTTATTCCGAACACGTGTGCTTTTTCAGACCAACACCGTTTTTAAAGAACTTTATCCGGCCTCTATGAACGACATTCGAATGTGGAATATTCGTGAAATGCGAATTTGCATCGAATGGGCCAAAACGTTCGACATTTACCAACGCCTGGGCTTGTTTGACCAGGTAATTGTTTTCGAGTCAAATAGCAATTGTTTTACCATCATATCTCGTAGTAAACGTCATTCATTTGTTTGCAAACGAAATAAGACTCTCATATAAAAAGTGTCGTTTTACAAGCAACTAAATTGATGTTTGAAATTAAATCTGCAGTAAAGTAGCGTTAAAAAACCCATTTATATAAAAAGAGGATTATTGTGCGGATTTCGAAATTTGAATTAATATCAACAAAACACGAAAACGCTTTGAGGAACATTTTCCAAAGATCCAATTTTTTTTGTCAATTAATAATTAATTCTTGATTTTAAATATATTTGTTTTCTCTCACAAAAATTTATCTTCCAGTTTGCTCTTGTGCGGAACTTTGCTTTTGCTTTCAACCTTCTAAATCGAGTATTTTATTCTCCGGATCATGGTCCTGACAAAATTGTATTTCAAAATGGTGCATTTATAATGAGGCAACCGCAGCAACAGGTATTAACATCTTGTGAAACTGTTCTAAACCAATTCACACCAGGTCCAACTTTCTGGATGTCGGCCAATTTATACTAGACAGATGGATGAAATTATGTTACCATTCAGAAAATTGCAACTTAGCGTTTCGGAATTTGCTGCATTCAAAGCTGCACTTTTCTTCAATCCGGGTAAGTGAGAAATCTTCAATTATTACTCTTTTTCTGTGCTTTGAAGCTTCCTAGCTTCCTAAGTTAGTATGGATTTTCAAAATTGTTTGTTCAGACGCTCTCGATCTTAGTGCCCCAGCAAAACTGGAAGTGTTTGAAGAACGCAATAAATATCTTGGTGCTCTGTTTACCTGCATAACTCAAAAATTAGGAATCCCAACAGGGGTTCAGAAATATGGAAGCCTTTTAATGATGACAGCCAGCATTCAGGTTAACATATCATATATTTTAGGCTTAATGCAACTTCATGTTTTGCAGAACATTCTCGCTCAAAACGAAGAAAATATGCAGGTCATGGAACTCTTCAAAAATTGGGAAGTCGATCCATTTGTCAAAGAATTGTGCATGAAGCGAGCTTAACCTGTCAACAAAACAGAATTGAAGCGCTCGTACACGATTACATATATACATATATATATATATATATATATAATATATATTGAGAAATCTTATTTTTGCTCCAAAGATCTCGAAAAAAAATCAAAATTATGCGTTTCATTTGGATATTTTCATTTTACATGGTGCACATCTCATTAGTTTGTTTCGGTAGTTATATTGCAGCCATCAATCGTTAGAAATCTATTGCTGGTTGTACATAGTTTATACAGAAAGTTTTGTGATATTTAGAATTGATTTATATTGTTTCTACTAGTATTTTAGCTCTTTCTCTTCGATTTGATGGTCAGAAAACAATCAGTAACACTTACGCTTCGAACCGCAAAACTTTGTCTTCCGATAAACTTGTTAGTCAGAAATTTCGGACGTTAGGTCAGAAATCATGTGATTTTCTTTTGAGCTAAAACCACCTTCTTTTTATTTGAAAACGTACAAGATTTAAAAGAATGGAATTAATCATAAAATTCCATTATATACCGGTACCAACTCCATGTTTTTCTTATTGCGTCTCGAATTGTTAACGTATCCGTAGTTTAATTATCAATCAAATCTATTTTCTATTTAATAGTTTGTTCATTTTCACCAATTATTAATTACCTCTGCAGAGATATTCGCCTTCTCAAAATCACACCAACTTTATTTAACGATTCGAGCACATTTCTGGTTTCATACTTTTTTGAAATTCATCAATATGTTTATTATGTGTCTTAATAAATACGTCAGTTTTTTTCTGTTATTTTCTTTTTTTTAATTTACTATTACTATCGCAATAATATGACTAGAATTCCCATTTTTATGTAATTATATATAAAAAATAACCTTGTTAATTATTCAATTAAAAAACATTCTGATATTTAGTTTTGAATTTCATTAGTATTGTACAAGTAGAAACGTTCTTTTTTTCAAATCTGGCACATTTTTTCAAAGATTTAGACAAAATTAAGTCTAGCTTAGAATTTCTGCGGAATTCTCACGGACCTTAATTTTTTATAAAACGAGTGCGTTAATTTTTTGGAGATTCGCACTTTTGATAACTATTTTATATGATACAGTAAAGTATTCTTGAGGATCGGATTGAATAATTGAATGAATTCGATATGCACGTATACATATGAAAATAATTTTACCGAAAAAATGGTTAGAGATATCCTTTGTCCTTAATAAATGTGGTCAAAAAAATAAACAGAAACGAAAACTTTTGTTTCTTTGAAGTATCTTGAGTATTTTTTAATCGTTTTAGTGTAAATATGCGGCACATACTTTTAACCAACGGCTACGGTTTCGACCTTTCAAGAATACATAATTTTGTTTTTATAGACCTTATGTTTGAACAAAAAAACTGTGACCAATTATACTTGATACATATAACGATTCAATTTTTTTGTTTTGACATAATAGCTACGGTTTTCTTTTTTCGTAGTTATAGGTGAAGGAAAACGGAATTATGCATACATAAATATTTTTTAAAGTGAAAAACGACTGTTCAGTTTTTCTGCATTAAGTCCTGCAATTTCAAAAGATCTCTCATTTTCGTATCTTCTCCTCCGATTCTTTTCTGTTTTCGTTTTTGCAAATAGTGTAATACTCCCTCGAAACATACGCAGACTCAAGCTTTCCACCCACTTGTTCCACCGATTGTTCGGAATGCAATTAAATTCAATCTGCTTATTCATTCAAATAATTTTTGTCAATTGTCTGCCGGATCGCAACAGTTTCTCATCAGCAATCGCGCATTTTCTTTCAGGAGGTTTTCGAATATAATTTCTTGAAATATACGCAATATTTCAGATGAGCAGCCAAAATCTGTAACCGCCTCTGTGATCAAACAAAGAATTGAAACTGGACGCGTAGTATTATTGATTTGTTCCAAGGTTTGCGCAAAACACAGATCAGAAGTAATTTTCAACTTGAATACTTGGTTTTTTAATGTCATTATTCAGATTCCGCAATGGATCAAAGAATTTAATCAACGGTATAATTATGAAATTCCAGAGCATATATCCTATTATTACCATACATATAGACAGGTATTCAAAATAATCATGCTTATATGTCGAAGATAATTATTTAAAAAATTTGACAACGTTTTTCGGTTTCTCCATTAATTATGAAGCAAACTAAATTTTAGACATATTTTTTTACCAAAATCTTACGTGAAATTATATTCTTCAGCCTGTCTCATTCATAAATGAGAGCGAAATTGTCGAATTTCCAAATTTGATTTACTTTATTGAACGAAAAACATATGTCTTCAATGGCCAAGTTTCATCAAAGGTACATTAATATTCCATCAAATACGTAAATTCTTTTTTTAGCGCGATGTCAATGAATGGCTACAAAATATGGACAATGTTCGAATTATGACCATCAATACATATGATTCTCTAAACAACATTCTTTCTGGCACATCGAATTGCTCAAATAAATATTTATTACTCGGAAGTAACAAAGAGAATTGTCCTCAAGAGAGTTGGCCAATTGTTGCTCGGTTAGTTTAAGTTCCGGTTTATGGTTGAAAAAAAAAACCGAACAATTTATAGAATTGCATTTAATTACGGAATTCAACCAATACGATTGGAAATGCCATTGGAGCCATTGTCTCATGTTCTTCTTTTTAAAAGATTACCAACTGTTATTCAAACCTCGTGTCATATAACGGTTCTTTTATATGAAAATAACTATTCTGACTTAAATGATGAAATCCTTCCGATTGTAGTATGTTTGAGAACCGCCTCATTTAATATTACATATATTTTCATTATTAAAGGTTGCCGACTGGATTAAGTATCTTTTACCAGAGGACGAAGGAAAGTGTCCGGCATTGCTTGATCCGTATTGGTTCCCAATTGGCGATGAGCTTACAGAGCTGGAGCAGATTTACTTCACTGCAGAACTAGAAATCACTGAGAGAAACAAGAGGCCAGCATTTGTGTTGGTCGGACTCGCCGGAGGATTGGCTGTAATTGTTCTGGCTTATAGCATTTTCTGGGGTTTGAATGGCTCTGCTTTCGCAAAATAATATCATCAGTTGTAACCCACGAGTAAAAGGTGTGGTTCTGTAAATATTGGACCAACCACTGATCTCTTTATGTTTGTAAACCGTTTATTGCTCTTAATAAAGTTTTGATTAAATTATAAAAAATCGTTGCAAAATGTGTCTATTTAAGAAAAAATTTTTGACGGAAGTTAGAGAGTTAGAGAATGTTTTTGTTGTTAAATATATGCGATTTTTGATTTTTTTTTCTAGCTCTAAAGTTATCACATTAGACCGATGATTAATAACAATAAAATTCAAGTTATGACAATTAAGGCTAACGAGAAAACTTAGTGTTTCCATTAATTTTTAAAGGTTAGCACAATGCTGGTTGCCCAACGGCAGGAAGAAGAGTGATTGTGACAGCTGTTTTGCCGGCAATCACTGATTGGACATATTCTAAACTTCTTCCTTTTACGAGCTCCTCATCCACATAGATGATTTCATCTCCAACAGTGAGCATTGGAGACAAGGAGGGAAGGGAAACACGCGATATGAAAATTCCTGAAACATGCAACTTCATGAATTTCATTAGAATTTTTAATGCGTATACCTCTTTGGCCAGCAACCATTCCTGTAGCAATGTAAAACCCGAAAGGACCTGGCATCATTTTTTCAACTAGCACGCGTCGATAGCCTCTTTGATCGAGGGCAATTAATTGAGCTCTGACTCCATCAGGGCTAAAACAAATTATGATATCAAACTCATTTTTTCTTTAAAATTACCCAAAATCTGCATTCTCATATGGTTTCTGCACTAAATTGTTAGGTGACATGTTAAACTGTTGCATGTTCGTTCTTCTCAGCAGAGTTGGCTGTCTTTCAAACGTAGGAAGCGTTTGCCTATAATCATATTAAATAAAATGTGTTTCCTAAATGTATTTCTGCTCTGCATATTGCATTTTTATGGACGTGAAATAAACATGAAATAAATGTCAACCTTGGATAAGTCTCTTGCATCATTTGATACTGCAAAGCTCGGTATGCTGTCAAGTCATCGGCATCATCGCGTAATTGGCAAGACGACCCCATTAAGGGTGCCGTCGGGAGTTTTCGTCGTTTACTTGCTCCCAGCTAGAATAAAATCGTCGGCATTAGTAATTAAAGAAAAACTATTACGGAAATATGAAGATTGTCAAGACTTCCTGGAAGCTGGTTTGCTGCTACCATTAACGACGGCTGAACATGACAAAGATGAAACTCATAATAGGTTTGATGATTTATACCTGAGCTGGTGGTTGAAGTGGTTGGAAATCAAAGGAATCAATTCCATCGTAATAAGACTTGTTTCCACGAGGAAGCGATGATGAACGCTGCCGGTAACGGCGCTGGAGAGTATCAGCTACATTTCGACGAATGTAGGCGTCGCGGAATGATTCTGTCGGTTGCTCGAACGTTCTAAATAATCTATTTGTTCTGAGCATTACGTCAAAAGCTATACCTCATTCGCTGCATTGCAATAGTATATGGTGGAGGATCTGCAATTCCGTTGAGCGATTCAGTAGCATACGTTGGCTGTGGTTGTGGTGTCGAACTATTAGGAAGGCGACGAATTGGATTTCTCTCTAAAAACCTTGATATGCGAAAAATGTTCATTGAATTGACGAATAAGTTCTTGGTCAAAGTTTTGGTTGTTTACATGCTTCACCAAAAAGGGGAAAAGAGAAACGAGAAAAACGAAAAGATGATATGCGGGTTTGAACAAATTTGGTTTAAATCCATATTTTCCGTACGTCTGTAACATGGAGTCAATTGGTAGTATTACAATGAGCTTGTCATTTTCATGCACTCATAAATATTTGTTAAAATATGAAATGTTTTGCGTTTCTCATTGAGCATAAAAAATTAAGCATATCCAATTCTAATGGTTCGGTATTTAGCTCTCTCCTAAAAATATATAAGGTCAAAAATTATACGTAAAGTTCCACTTCGTGGTTGTTGGACGGAGGAAGAACGCAACATTTCATTTGCTGGCAGAGGTTTGATTGTGTTCTCAGTGTAGCTTTGAGAATACGTTGACGGCAGAGCTACATGTTAGAATAGTTAATGCCAAATATTTGGAATATATAGCTTACCAGAATTTAGTGGAATTTCTTGTTGATCATTTCTTGGCGAAACGTGAGTGGAGGAGGCTCCGCTCGATGTTGATGCTCCACTGTCCACCTTTAATTACTTACTTTTACTAGAAAAATCAATATTAAACCAAATACATTGAATTGTTTGAAATTGAATAACAACTGGATAACTCAGTTTCTTTGGTTATTCAATTCTGTCGTTTTCCCACAAACACGGCAATATTGAATTGCGCGGACAAACTACCATATCAATAATTGGCGCCATTTCGCAGAATTATGATATTCAAAAGAAGCACTTTTTTTCCGATTGTTGCTTGATTTTGTTCAGCAATTAATATTTTAAGATTTTCTTATTGGTTAGAAGAAAACAATACGAAAATGACCAATTATCCCATTTACTATTGAATTTAAAATATTTACAAAAAAAAACAAATTTTTACAATTTACTACTGCCGCTTTAGTTGAAAAACAATGCTGCTCGAAAACCTTTAACGTTTCGAAAATTCCAATTTATTCAAGAAGCATCCGTTATTATTAGATGTATAGTACATTAGTATATTCTTGTACAACTGTGTCTCGCATTCATCAAAATGTTAGAGTGACATAAAACTGTAAAGAAAGTTTCAAGCGCAACTGCAAACAAGTATATTTAAACCCAAAATTTCATTAGGCCGCGTTCGTTTTTTAAGCTATGGATTCTCGCCGCTCAATCTGACACTTGTTGCTTACTTCATCGGCAAATCGAACGCGATATTTGGTTTTGCTTAGGGTGGGTGTGGCATGATGCGGTTGAAGAGGTAAACGTCGTGGCGTTGACAACGACGCAATTTTTCGCGCCGAATTCGGAGTCAAATAATCAGCGGTGGTTTGGTTTCGAATCGTGTGGAATTGATTGCCTCCAAACTCTGAAGGACAAACGTCGTTGTCAGCAAGTTCAAATTTTGCTAATTACTTGTGAAGTTTGAATTGTCTGGATTCCGACGGATGCTATTATTCACACTTCCAAATCCGTTTCTAAAATAGGTTATTTGGAAAATAAAACGAACTACATGACCAACTTTGGTGATCCTTGATCGCAATCTGCGCTGATACCACTGTCCGTGTCGCTATCTTGTGGGGTGAGGAACCCTAAAGAAACAGCATATTCGAACTCGTCAAAGAAAGGTGCGAGTTTGTTCTATGGCGCACATTTTTTGTTAGCTGAATTTTTGACAAGTCTTGCGTCGAAAAAAATAGTGAATTGTTAAAGAAGCAAGTGCATCAAGGCCGAAAAAAATGAATTGAAGCATTGTCCAAAAACTCAGAAATAGAGAAGGCAAAAAAGTTGTTTGCCCCTTGAAAAGCGACAAAAAAGAACAACCCGATTGAGAAAGGAAGAAAGGCAAAAAGGAAGAAGCGAGAATAGATAGTGATTTTTGCATGTGCGCATGGGAGTATTTTTTGAAACGACGTGAGCCAAAAAGCGAAAGAATATGCAAATTTAAACTATGCTAGTCGAAGAAGCAAAATCTATGGTCTCGTCTATCACTTATTTTTCTTGAGTACTTCAAACAGGTATTAATCAATCTTTTTTGCCATTAATTGTTATTCAAATGGTGATATTTCTTTTAAAGTCGAAAATATATATTGGGAGGTTTATTTTTTTGAAATATGAAGATTGAACCAATAAAACAATGGGTTCAATTTTGAAATCGGTGCTCACTTATTATCTATTTATTAATGCATTTTTGATGTGACAATATTTGACATGACGGCCTGTCAAATGAAATTTGCTGAAATTATAGATAACATGACAACATTCCAGAAGAGGTTAACGGAACGTCGTAGAACAAAAAATAAAACGGGAGCATAGGACGACAAGCGAAATGACGGCTTAGAAATGTGCTCTATTTCTTTTTTGTCTGTAAGCCAAATGATAATATTTTGGAGAAGCTTATCAACTGCTCGTTAGAAGTAATTAGACAGTTTCAACTAGATGGCTTTTTGAAATTATCACGGATACGGCTGTTTTTTTTTTAATATTTATATTTAAACTATGTTTGAATTTTAAAAACGACATTAAAAAAATTGGCTTTTGCAAAATTTAAGTTCTCCAATTAATTAAGACGGCGAAATTTTCTATAAATTGATTGTTCATTCATAAACCTATAATTTTCATTATTACTGGACAACCATTTCTTGAGAAATTAATGTTTCCACAAATAATGAGAAATGTTAAATGTTTGAACCCAACTCATGTTTGTAAATGACAAATACGATTATGGAACATAACGGAATATTTTTAACTAAAAAAGACAACGAGAAATGCTGAAGTGGGGCCAAACAAGAAGAAGAGCACGAATAAAAGAAAGGAAAAAACATCGAAAATGCTCATTTAAATATGTGAAAAAAAAGTTTGAAGCTGTAACAAAAAGAGCTGTTTTCTTTTTGTCAAGGAAGGCAAAAACGAGCACGTCTTTTTTAACTCGGAAAAACGCCGCCTTTGAGAAAAACAATCGCACTTTGGAAATCATCAATCAGAATGACTTTGAGCGTCTTGTTCTAAGACATTCGTTTTGAAGAGTCAAGGATGAACGCTCTTTGCAAATCGAACAATTTGAAGACAAACTTTGAAGGTGCTCGTGTTTAAAGAGTCTCAGTTGTCTTGTGAACAATAAAGTCTTCTTAAAAACTCATGAAACCAACAATAGTAAATAAAACTATTATGTTCCGATAGGCATCTCAATTTAAGTGGAAACACAACAATACTAATTCCAAAAAAACACTAAAAAATTATTGTTAAAGGGATTTCTGTTTTCCAATAACTTGTTGCATGGGTTAACATATTTTCGACATATAATTGCCATAGTTAACATAATTTGAGCCGCTAAATAGACCGAATTAATCATTAAGCTAATAATCACCCTGTTTTGATATTACTATTTCTTATTCAGATCGGGTATCGGAAAAGTAAAACCAATTGACATTGAAAACAATCTAAATTACAAACGCTGCATTGTGAAAGGCATTTCAATAGAGGCAGAAATTTGAAGAGGCAAAAAGTCCTCAGGCAAGCACCGCCTACCAAGTTGCTTGTTTGAAAGATTTGTTTCAAGCTCCATTGTTTTCGTTTCGAACGCTTTTTTATGGACACAACACACACAAAGAAACAATATTTTTCAGAATAGAATAACGAAAAAAATGCAGAGGAATAAACAATTCTCATATCTTTTAAACAAATATGATAAAAAGCAAACCTCCATGGTACATATTTCTTCCTCCATTACTCAAGCTTCTTGGCTTCGGTGGTGGCATCGGGGCAAGTCGATTTGAAGACATTCAAAATTCTGAAAACATCAGCTAAATTCACATTGTAAAAATGGTGAAGAAATAAAATAAAATAGCGACTTTGGGAATGCGATCATTTCGGTCAAGTACATACACACAGAAAATGTGAATTCAACATGATAAGAAGAAGAAATGTGATTAATTGACGGCCTATTTTTCACGACGCTAAGAGGAAACATGAGATCCTTCTGGATAAATTGGATGCTAATTAAAAAATGTACACTTACTAATGAATAACGTGTAATTGGATATGTGACAGTAAAACCACCGAGTGTCAGATTCTAATAGATCTCATAACTAAAGTCATTGAGCAAAAATATGAATATGAGTAGGATTAGACAGGAAAAAACACTTTTGAGGGAGCTAAAGTTGGCCCACGTTAAAACCCTAGAGACAAATTCATAACAGTTCCAAAAACCACAAACAGCAAAGGTCACACTGGAAAGAAACGAACATCCATCAAATACCGATTCCGAAAATATACATATACAAATGTGCGCTTCAAACAGCATTTGTGAAAACGAGGGTTTTCTAAATGAACTAATTTTCAAATAGGTATTTATAACGAAATATTGAAATTAATCGTTTTTTTTATTTTAACAAATGAATTAGGCTTCTAATGTAATATAGAAAAAATTGAGAGGACATGCTAAATAATTTATAGTTTGTTTATGCTTGTATTGTGGAATAATAATATAAAACACAAAACATGAAAGATGCTGGAATTTTACAAGAATAGAATGCTTACAAATAAACTATCGTGTTGACATCGCTCTAAATTCAAAACCGTGGCTAATTTGATTATTTTTTCGAAACTGTTTTTATAACCTTAGAAGGTTAAAGAATTTACAAATTTACCAATCCAAAAAAAAACAGTATATTTATGTATTTAAGAATCTACATACCACACAAAAATATGGACACATGGTTATTTTATACTTCGGTTACGAAATGGGCCACATGAATTAATCGACTGAGTTTTTTGAACTAATTTATAATTGAGTATGATTGAAATTGATACATTTCTTTAGCTAGCGAGAAAAAGCGAGAAGTACACCACCAGTGAAAAACATGATATTCCGCGCATTTTATAGTTTTTTTTTTTTTAAATTTGCCGTTAGCAAATACTTCTTATCATGCAATAAAAAGTTAAATTTGTGATGTTCCAGTAACAATGAAAATTGAATCGCGAGTAGTGATAACATTGAGATTTGAAACTCGAAAAAAAGTTTTGAACAGGAAATAGTATTAAAAATTTGCTTGGGTTTTTTCTTCACGTTTCGAAACATTATAGATGGTAACCGGAAAATAAAATAAAAGACTCAAAGCACCAAAACTTTTGTTGTGGGGAAGTATTTTCTTCTCAATGAAACGATTAAAAAGATTGTCGTATGTTGTTTTGGGATTTTTGTTGACGGCCCAACAAATGAAACTGGAAGTTACACATTTTTCGGCGAAATCATCATTCGCTTCATAATCCCTTGCAATATGTCTCATAGATTCTTCGATGTACTTTGTCTTTCTTCAGCAAAATTATGAATTCCGCACAAACCAAACATTATGTTGGTAAAACAATGGGTGCTCTTGGAAAGCAGGCAGCATTCTTGAATTTGAATTCGCATGATCCAAAACGTGAAACAGATGAATCACGTCAAGACCAAACAAAATGTCAAAATCCTGGGAGCGCCATTTGACAAAATATGTTTTATTTCCTTCCTTCTACCGCAAACAAGCGACCGATTCTTATTATTAATATGAACGACTGAGCAAAAATAAAGCTACTGCATTTAAGAATATGATCGTAAAATAAAAAAAGAAGCTCGGAGTTCTTTTTCCCTCAATGAACATACAAAACAACGAAAAATGAGAAATATTAATTTTTCGGGTGGTAAATTCTTGAGAATGTGGTGCCATTTTTGATTAATGTTACAGCTGGAAATAGATTTTCCAAAACAGTGACCGACAATTGAATAATTTGTATAAATAGAAAATTCGTTGGAATCTTAAACGATTATAAATTTTAATAGACACAAATATAAAATGATTGACAAAAATAGGAAAAACATAACGTTTCTTTAGGTACATACATTATTCACTAATTACTCTTTAAGATGCTCACATAATGACATTATTTAGAATTTTTAACTCAAAAAAGCCGGTGGATATTTGTTTTTTTTTTCTTTCTGCAATTTACATATGATCGTTATCTTCAGAATGTAAAAATTGCTCGCTCTTACTGGAAAAAAAATTTTTTTAATTGGAAATAAGGCGAAGAATTAATTATTGATGATTAAATAATTTTTAGTCAAGAAGACCATAAACTAATTAATTACTGAATAAAACAGTAAAAAGTGATTTGAATGTTTCCAAATGCGAATAAACTCGATTCAAAAAGCGAAAATGCAAAAACTCGAAAAACGAGCTATTTAGGGATTTGCGATACCAACAAAGGATGTTTGAAACTTTGGAGACCCCAAAAACGCAATACTTGCCAGTTCAACGGTAATTATACGTTCACACTGCAGATATTTTATACGAACTTGGCTTTAATAGCTTACCAAGAACGATGGAACATATAAATTTTGAATAGGTCTAGGAATTCAGGTGGCCGACGTTTTGATCGTGGTTTTAATCGGATAAAAATCGCGAGTCTATGAAGATTTTATCTTGATTTACACCGTTCATGCCACTAAGAATGAGGTGCGGCGAAAAAAAGCGTCTTTTTCTTATTGAAGCAATTGACCGCCCTATCGATGAAAATTAACTTTAAATGTGTTGAATGAAATACGCAAAATAAAATAAACAACAACAACAACAACAACGAAAACAAGGAAAGAGTTTCAACTGGGTGTTGATTCAATTTGCAATTGTCTCCGTGTGGTCCAATAAGAGAAGAAAACAATATACATACTTATCGCTTGGCGGTGCCCAACGAATAGTGAAGCTTGGATTCGAATTGTTAATACAATTCAACTTGTTGCTGGGTGTCCACTTATCGAGACAGTGAAGTGGTCAATTACTCCACAAGACAAGGTGAGTAATAACAATAATAAAATTACTATTATTGCAGCGAGGCGATTGTAGTGAAAGTCAAATTACGGTAACGGGTAATGGAATCTCGAAGGCTCATTTTTCACACATCGTGTTGTGGTTGATGAGTATCCAATTTTTCAAGTAAGTGAGCAATGTTCGCTATTCTTCTCTTCGGGATTCAAATATTATTTGATGAAAAACCAAAACAAACAGCCGATGAAATTTTAAAAAATACGGGGGGGGGGTTCCAATTTTTTGGGAATTAGATTTTGAAATATTCGGCTATGTTTTTAGTTTCTTTTTTAATATGTATGTATATAACATGAGGAAACTTGAAAATCTAAAAATAATGTCCAAACGTTGTTAAATATTTGCCACCAAACGCAGAATCCAAATTACAGCTTACGAATAATAAACGATTCGTTGTGTAGAAAATTGAAGGCTATATAAAACAAGTTAAAAGCTTTTATTTAGTCGAGAAGTGAATAACAATTTCAGGAATCGGCTCGAAATAAAAACTAAGTGAAAGTTTTTTTTAATTTCCTGAATAACGTTTAAACTTTACACAACAAATTTTCTTTCGAATTTTTTCAATTAATGGCTAGACGTGTAAATATGCGCGACAGAAAAACGTCTGCACTTTAATAATCCGAGTTTGTTAAAATTAGCACTTCAAATTCGAAGCAAAACGAGAATAAGGGTGAAAACGAAGAGATGTACTCAAGAATGCAACTGTGAGAATCCCATTGAGAGAGTGAAATCAGTAGCTCTCCGAGCCAAAAAAAAGTTGAAGAAATGCAACGTCAAAAGTGTGAACAAAACGGCCGATGAAACTTCTCGGAAACAGAACAAAAAAATGCGACTGACAACATATTGATCCCACGGGAAAAATACGTGTTGCGCACGCCCACGGTTGTCAAAATATTTGAGGAAAAATGTGTGTTTTTGTTTATCTTCAAATTTTAACATGTGATATTATAAATTTTGAATATTTGGAATATATTTTTAATAGAACTCTGATGCTTCATAGTTCAAACAATTACGAAAGAAGTTAAGAAAATTGTTCTTCGGCAATGGGCAATGAGAATGATCAATTATAAATTTGAGAAAATTTTTAAACCTATGGAATACAATTTTTAATAATTTATTGTTATATAATAAAGATTTGTAAATATGTGCAAACAAAAAAAAATAGCATTCGAATATACTAACAAAGACCGACTAATCAGATATTGCAAATGTGAAAGACTCGCGTCAATGAGAAGAATAAAAAACGCAAATTGAATGAAGAAGTGACCATTCCAAGTGCGACAATTCCATAAATGTTTGCGATTCACAAACACATTCAGTCTTGCTCGGTTTTGTTGTTGTTTTTATGTGTGTGGTGTGTTCCACCGGCACAGACTCGCTCTTTTCTTATCCTCCTTCCTACCGATCACCAACCAAATGTTTTCAAACAAATCATTCGGCTGTTATTGAATCCGCTCATTGTTTAACAACACCAAACTTCTGGTTTTCATTTTTCCTTTTTCTTCTAATGCATATGCGTTTCTTCGGAATCCATCTCAGCGGGTGCACGTTTTTGACACTTAAATTGTCACGTTGTTCTTGATGACGAAATGCATGCCACCAATCGAAACAACTTGTCGGATTTTACTCGAATCAAACTTGGTTTGAATGGAATTCGGTCGACACCACAGCAAACAAACAAAACAGGGCTACATGCGTATCAATGCGAATACGATTAGAGTTTGGCTAGTTTTAGAGTCAAATGGCTCAAGTTGTCTGAAGTCAGTAGCATTCGTTTTGACAGGTCGATATTAAAAAGCGACATCAACGAGGTTTAAATTATATATTTACAAGTCTGATAAGCTTTATGTATTCGTCAACAAACTATTTGTAGATATCAAATCGACAAACAAAGCCATCAGATGGTGATTCTTTCATCAAAACCTATTAGATGTGAAGAAAGTTTGCAACCTTGCATAAAATTTTCATTTTTCAAAAAAGTGCTTGAAAAATGAAATTTTAAAAACTAATTGGAAGTAAATTTTGCACGATTTCACAATTGACTCCGGAAGAGCTTTTTGGTACTCAAAAGTTTAAGGATGCTAAAATTTGGAAAAAAAAGAGCGATCGACAAAAAAGTTAAAATTTTACTCGATTTTGGAAAGGATGGAGAAACGTGAAGAAAATTTGCATAACGAATTGAGATGAAAAAGAGGGCGGGGGAAGTAAAAAGTGCCGTACGAATGAATAAATAAATCCCACCGATGTGGTAGGGGTCGAGATATACATATGATAATGATTGTACGAACATCACAATTTTTTTGAGTAAGCAAGAATGGAAACAGCGAAGAATAAGGAGAGAAAGGAGGAAATTTGGTATCTCATAGAAACATGTTCTGAAATTGGATGAGCTTAATAAGACGAGATTTTTTATTTCATCATTTTAAATATTATTATTAACTGCGATTGGGAGTTTAGAAGACATTTTAAGTGGTACTCAACACGATATTCAACCTCAAGATAACAATTTATTGTTTTTTCTTTCTCGTTCCGGAAATTGTTTTCTCCGAAAATCTGATGGGTTATTTTTTTAGCTAGTAACTCGTGAAAAAAAGATTACCTGCTAAAATATGGAAATGAAACATTTCTCACGTGCGGAACAAACTAAAAGCCGCGCAATACTATGAACGTTTCCAATTAGGCGTATCTTTGCAATTTCTTACTAGACAAGATGACATTGGCAAATGCATCCAGTTAGATAAAACAAGAAAAAAAAAACAAAAGCCGCAACGGTTGAGGTGAGGAAAGAGGAAGTTACATTGGCTGATTCATAACACAGTTAATTAGCGAGAAAGATGTACATACATATGTATGAAAACAACTCGAAGGAAAATTTCTCAGGATTTCTTTTCGCAAAAACACAAAGAATCATGAAAAAATTGCGTGTTGGAAATGCACAGAGGGACAACTTCCTTCAAAAGGAATACAGCAATTATTTGAGAAATGACTGCTTTGAATGAAAAAAGGAAATGATGACTATTGGCTCGACATGCTTACCATCAATGGATTACCTTTCACCTTCCATTTAATCAGTTGAAGTGTTTTAATTTGAGAGTTTTGTTTACAGTGGCCGGAAGTATTGAATTTCATCTATGATTCCATTGAATATTTTTAAGCAATGAACAAAAATTTGGCATTACACTACCTCGAAGGAATCAGATTTGAGCACAAGAAAAGATAATTAAGGAAAAAAATACGAATGAAAATTTATTTAAACTTGAGTGCACAGTTATATGTTGGAAGACGATTATAGAAATTTGGCGATAATTCTTACCGCGAGCTTCATATGCAGAAAGAAACCACTCTGTTTCCTTTTTGGATATGGAAACCATTTTTTGAGGAAAATGTTTCTAGAAACGGATTTTGATAGCTGTGATTCCAAAAGAAATGTCGAGTAAATTAAAATACTGTCGACTAATGAACGGTAAATGCCTACTGCAACAGGAATTGTTGCGTCCTTGGGTGAGGATCAGCGCTACCGTTCTGCGCGTTATACTTATTTATCGCCAAGAAAATTTCACTTGTAATAAACAACTAAAACTGTTGTTTGGAAAATGTATCATTTCAAGAGTTGGGAGTTGAAGCTGTCATTGTAAAGAATTGGATCAATAACTACTTCAAGAATTGTATGTGAGTGACATAAAAGGAATCCATTCTGCTTTTCGCGGGCAATCTACCAGAATAAACAACTTGTTAAACGTCAGTAGCTTTGTCATTCCTCTTTTCATATTTTTTTGTTACTGTACTATTATTTATGACAAAAATTCGTCTATATCGAGGATCATATATACTGTTCCAAAGATTGTTTTTCTAATTATCCAGTCATATTCTTATATATGCTTTGGTTTTCGAGCTTAAATTGTTGTTATTTTCTCATCATATGCATTTTGCAAATGACAGAACGGCGTCGAACGAAGGGGTGGTCCGACAAATGAGACACTAGGGATTATACGGAACTCTACTCAAAATAAATCGAACAAAAACATATTGAAGTAGGATACGATAACTAAGAAATACAAGCAGTATGGTAAGAATTTGAAAATGAAAGCAAAATAGGTTCATCAAGGTTGCGTAATCGGCGAACTATGCTAATCCTATTGCAATCATTACGATAGCAAAAGAGTAACAAAATGGGAGAAACTCTATAGATCGAATGCATAAATGAAAATCTGAAATGAATAAATGGCCACTTTTCCATTATATTTATAAGTTATGATTAGAATTTTTTAATTTATTATAGAATTGCTTTAAAAAAAGAAACTAAACATAAGCTCCTGTCATTTTATATTTCTCACCGAAATTAATAATGAATATACTAAAAAAATATGTAATTTTATCTGAATAAGATTTCTTCCTCATTTGAGAAACGCGGTAAAAATAGGGAATTTTTCATCGCAGATTCCAACTTTTTGTCGAGCTTTCGCGCACAAAACGGGGCATTCAAGCATAATTTACTACTCAAGGTTTCACACTTTGCATTCCGTCAAAATCTAGAAGTTGCATGGGACACAATATTTTTTAATTTTTTTAAAATATGAAATCAGAATTTTGTAAAAAATATTATTTTCTAGAACCTGATCATTAATAATTTAAAGTTTTTCTTGAAACGTCATGTGAGATTTTGTGATGACCTGTCGACTTATCAAGCTGCAAAATGTGTGAATTATTGTTGTGTAGTTGACGGTTAAATGCACCAAATACGAGACATTGTACCAAAATAAGTTTGATCTATGCTTCTTGGTAGCTTACAAACAATATATAATTGCTATGGACTGCAGAAAATAAAAGCGGCACCAAAACATTATGTTTTTTCAAGTATTTGCTTTCTATTAATTTTGGTCCGTCAGCTATTTACTTTGAAACACTTTTTTGAGTGGGAGTACAAAGCAGTCTGACGCTGCCATTACAATGTATATTTAGTCAATAGACGTCTTCAAAATTCATTTTTATACACAGAAAGAAAAATGAGGAAACATACGGTCTTTGAACAAAAGGCAAAGGTGTTATTCAAGAACAGATCCGACACATGGATAGCAAATTAGAAACTTATCGAATTTTTTATCTCAGTGTTGAATTCTACAGACAAAAGACAATAATTCACATCGGATGAACAAATTGGCCACCTTGACGAGAAATCTTTTATTTTAGGATAGCAATTCGTTGTTGGTCAACGAACATGCCATTTTTTAAGTTTAGCTGTTTTTTTCTGGCCCAAATTGATCAGATCTACAATAAAAGAAAATGAATTTGAAATCATAGCAAATTGTAAACATGCGACAAAATGTTTTTGAAAAGAAATTCTTGGTTATAGAAAATAGTGATTCACTCACCGCGATGGAATTCGAAAGCAATGAATTCATATACATGCTTGAACGACAAATATGAAGTTTCGAGGAGATGATTTATTTCGAAACAAAGTCACCATATTTATTTATTTTTTATTAAAAATTTGAATTAAAATATTTTGAGTCTAAATTGGTCAAATATTAAAGTTCAGAAACGAACATTCTCGTAAACTCTACAGGAATTAATTTTTGACCCAATTTATGCGTTAAGATAGGTAATATGTGGTTCAACAAATAAAATATTACTATCATTTCATTGCAGTTACTTGTTACTGTCGGATGTTTAATAAAGTCAAACTCATTAGTTGACCCAATCAAATACCTCACAATTTAGAACTTTCTCATCTGCTGGTTGGTTAAAAAAACAAGCTTAAAATAAGAAAATTCAGAAGTCTGCAACTTTCCGTAAAAATATCCAAGAAAAAGTTATTGAAAATTAATGAAGTTCATCCAACGGCTAATAAGAAATCTCGTAATAATTTGGGCAAATGTGGAACCAGTAATTCGATAGGAACATGAATTACCTGACCATTAAGCCAGCGGAGAATGAGGAGAGGAATGGGATCTTGACGAGGCGAAAAACTGCGACAACGAACGGCGACATGACCTTATTCTTTCAAGTAAATTGCTCGTATGAATAAAACAAGATGCGGCAAGTTTCATTTAATTTGACGGCCCTTTCTTTCAGTTCCTAATAATAGGTGACGACGCTTTTCAATAATTTTGGTTTCGTTTCAAGTGTGGCATGTATTACACAACAAATTGTTATTCACGAGACTAACAATTTTCCAGAAAATGTATTAAACGCACACACAACAATATAATGTAAGAAGAATTTATCAGTTCAATCCTAAATCAATATTTTCTCGTAAAACATCTTGCTCATTCAGAAATGTGATTCCAGGTTGTTGGATTGTCTGCAGATCGGGTAAAGCGATCACATCTAAAAAACGACAGGTTAAATTATACAAGGTTGAATATTTAGCAAGTCTCACTGACCAACTTTTCCGATTTCTTTTGACTTCGGTGACATGAATTGAAGAATTCGTTCAGTTGATATTGTTGTTAATACAGATTCTCGATAGTATTTGTTTATCTATAAATTAGGCGAAATTTTCATATTTTTTGAAACAATCATGTTCGGTCCTTTCTTGCTATTAGAAAATAAAAGAAGTTGCTGGCATTATCAGAGTATTGCGTTCGTCCGCAATTTTCTTTGAAAGCGTTTGTTAATTTTTTTTATTTAAATAAAACAGACTTCGGTCGCTTACTGTCATGTTTTGTTGCTGAACACTGTTTTTGGTCAAATCTGTAGAAATCAGAGATAAAGCAATTTCTGATGATTCTGTCGGAAACAGGGCAGGAAAGGTGGTTATGCTTGTGAGGGTGTCAGTTCTGAAAATATTTAATGAATATTTCGATAGATTACTCATTTCATCACTGCGATTGTGTAGTGGTAGATGGAAAGTTTGAAAGTGCGTGATATTCCGTAGAATGATGCACGATGAGGTTATACATGGCTGGAAAATCTATAGAATCAATTGAAGGTACTAAATCACGAAGGCCAAATAGTTGAGTAGAGCGTCGTCCAAATGCAATAGAATATCTGAGATATCATTGAAATTAACACAGTGAATTTAAATTTAAACTTTTCTACGTCGAGGTCATCATGGTAGGTTACATAATTAGGACCGGCATTCAATGCACCAATGGTTCCACAGTACTCAATTGTTAACACATAAGATTTATCTTTAGTTAAATTTGAGATTGGTATGTAAGCTTGTATTTGTGTCTGAATTTGTAATCAGTAATTCAACTTTCAATTTTCTATTACATTTTTGTTATACGCGCCTACGTTAGGTACTGATCGCTTTCCGTCGGATTTCTCAAGGTAAATCTGAAGTTTCGAAAAATATGTTATCAAAAATTAATTTAAAATTCACCTTTTCAATATTCAAATGCTCTCCACGGTGAAAAAATAAGCGTTGTGTAACATCACGAGCAGTAAAATTCATAAATAATTTTCCAGTGAATGTCTGAAAAAATGTGCGTATGGACAGATAAAACAAGTTTTTTGTTTTTTTGTTGTTATTCTCAATAAATAATTATATATATATATATATATATATATATATATATATATATATATATATATATATATATATATATATATATATATATATATATATATATATATATAATCACGAAAGAAGAGTCAGTTTTCAGATTATTGCTGCAAGTCGATTACACCTCTTGGAAGGCACTGGCCGAAGGTTTTTTTAGAAGACAGTACGATATCTTGTATTTTTAAATGTTACGCAAATTCGAATGCATAACAATCGCAGTGTTTACGTTTTAGATATGAACTCTTTTTTTGATAATTAATGAATTATTATGTACGCTATTCTTTTGGGTTGGTGTTCCAAAAAATTGTAAATAAATGTCGTAGCTGTAAGGAATTGTAATATATGGAATGATCTGCGGCACATTATTGGTCGGTAGAATTGTCTTGAAATTCTTTAATTATTTCGAAACGAGACAGTTAATTTCAAACCTTATTCACCATTGAGCCAAATACAACAACCGCATAAACAATGCTAAAAAGAAGCGTTGAAAGTAACATAAAATAGTTTACCATGCAAAACATGTCAATAGAATCCATGTAATAAAGAATCTTGGTGTACAATAAATGCACGAATAATATGACTTGATTGCATTTTTGTCAAGCATTTGCGAAAAAGAAGATGCTGACTGTGGCATAAAGTTGTTTACGTAGCACTTGACGGATGTTTTCAGGAACACAAAATGCATTTAATCGTAAAACATAAGGAGTGGTATACAAAAGATTGACGCTGGCGCACCTTTTGTGCACAAATGCCATTTTTATAGATTTTCAACATTATAAAACATTTTTTCATTGAAGATCATACTTAATCCCACCAAAATGGGCCATTTTTGAAAAATGACCAAAATATGTCCGGGCATCACTTACCCATTTTGCCCATCAGTAACTAATTTTTGTAAAAATTATGTGTTTTCAGAATAACAACAGAGAAGGGCTATCTAAAGAACTAGAAATATGGTAAGTCAAAAAGACCAAAGACTTTAAATGAATAAGATACATTTCAGCAGGAAATGTTAATTGAGCAATCGAAATTCTGCGAAAAAAAAGTCTATGTAACGACTTGAAGAATCTTCTCCGGAATGGGAAAAATGAATATTCATGTGATTGTTGTTAATTTTTTGTTATTTCATGTTTGTTGTTATTTTATCTTCTTATAGCATCAAATCTTATATTGGACTTAATGCTGCTCTAGAGTTAAAAAAACACATCATTGAAATATCTCAAGAAATTATGCAATTAGGTAATGTGGTAATTAGAAAATTAACTCAAAAAGAATGAACTGAATACAATGAAAACAATGAGTGTCCTAATTGTAAGATTGAATACAACTCTAAAGATATGAAAACTACCGAAGTTAGAGATCATGACCATTGAACAGGGCAATAAAGGGGTCCATTATGTGGTGCATGTAATTTATTAAAAAGAAAAAAATAACTTCATTCCAATATTCTTTCCCAATCTAAGGGGTTATGATTCACATCTGATTATAGGTTGTCTTGAAAGTACAAAATATTTGAATGAACATGAATTTGGCATCAAAAATATTTCTAGTAATACAGAAAAATTTATTAGTTTTGGTATAATAAAACAATTTATTGTTATGAATAATTTGATAGATGTTTATTACCTGAAAGTACTGCAACTGGATCTACGGCTGATATTAAAGTCGAGTAAAGAAGTACATCAACATAATTCAACTCGAAATTATAAAATGGTGTCATTGCGAATATGAAAGCACCTTACAATAATTATATAATTATTTTATCGTGTTAGAATTTAAACGTACCAATTAAAAAGATGTTCATGCATGTTCCGACGACTGCATATAACACAATAGTTGAAACATTGGAGAAAAATGCTTTACTGGGCATCGAAAAGCCAGCATCTAGTACTATTGGAGGTAGTAAGTAAAGAAAGAATAAATCTGCAATATAATTTTTTTTAAATCATTTTCGTTTCAATTTGTACGACCGATACAAAGCATCTTATTTTTCAAATGAAATTTTTGTTTTTGTCCTTTAATTTGAACTCAAATGAAAGTTCCTCAAAAAACCACATGACATATGCAATATTGCAAAAATTACAAGAATGCGCATCTTTTTCATTTTGTGTTGTGTAATGTTATCTCATTAAAGCACTGAGGCGAACGTTGGCCTTTGGGTTGGGTTGCATGTGAAACTTGGTTGTTCCTTGATTACACCCTATGTCTCGTTTCAATCTTAACTGTTCTTCTCATAACGGCGGATCGATATTTATCAGGTAAACTTGAAAACCAAATAACTTATTGAACTATAATATAGTATGTCACACGGCAAAATATCTTAAATGGCAAAGTCCTACAAAAACGCAACTTCTGATTCTTCTTTCCTGGCTCATTCCTTCAATTATTTTCGGAAAAATGATTTACGGATGGCAAGCTATGACTGGACAATCCAATAGGTTATTCATTTTCTAGAAATTTGAATATTATAATGCATTTTCAGCATGAGTGGTGCCGAATGCTCGGCTCCATTTTTGAGCAACCCGTATGTAAACATGAGAATGTATGTTGTATGTAATTTTTTTCATTTTTTAATTGCATGAATAGATTTTGTTAAAATTCCTATATACCCATGAGAAAGTGTTTTCTGGAAATATTTTACAGTAATATTTGCTTGGTCTGTCATACTTCCCGTAACATACGGTTTCATCAGCAAACCACATGTAATCAGCCTGCCATCAAATAATTAATTAATCAAACATTCAACAAACATACGCCAAAATTCCGGAAACATGAACAAATTCCGATAAAAGATAAGCCATGTATGGAAGAACCAAACATAAAAGAGGTTGCATAATTGGAGTTTCAGAACTCCATCTAAAATTAAAATATGTAAATCGTTTTTTCATATATAATTTCATACTTCGCCGATACCGATGTGAGGCATGTGAACACAATGCCAATGAGAACTCCACCACCAGAAACAAGCAGAAAATTATATAAAGATTCCATGAAATCTTGATAAATAAGATGAGCTTGTCCGATTTTTACCATTGAATGAAATGAGTTGTAAAGAACCTTAAATATTTTTTGATAGATTATTTTTGCAGTTTGTAAGTTTACAATTGTGACTGCATCGTTAAGAAGAGATTCTCCAAACACGCATATGTATAAAATTTTGTTCACATGAATCTCCTCAAAAACTGAAACAAATTTTCAACAATTTATTGTTATGAATAATTTGATAGATGTTTATTACCTGAAAGTACTGCAACTGGATCTACGGCTGATATTAAAGTCGAGTAAAGAAGTACATCAACATAATTCAACTCGAAATTATAAAATGGTGTCATTGCGAATATGAAAGCACTTTACAATAATTATATAATTATTTTATCGTGTTAGAATTTAAACGTACCAATTAAAAAGATGTTCATGCATGTTCCGACGACTGCATATAACACAATAGTTGAAACATTGGAGAAAAATGCTTTACTGGGCATCGAAAAGCCAGCATCTAGTACTATTGGAGGTAGTAAGTAAAGAAAGAATAAATCTGCAATATAATTTTTTTTAAATCATTTTCGTTTCAATTTGTACGACCGATACAAAGCATCTTATTTTTCAAATGAAATTTTTGTTTTTGTCCTTTAATTTGAACTCAGTATGGAAAAAGATATCTATTTTCGAAGACATTTCGATTTCAGTGATTATCCGGAAGATCATGTACTTCCTAGCACAGAGAATAAGAAAGTTGTCTGAAAATTTAAAGATGAATTGAATGGAAATATTATAACTGAAATAATTGCTCTAAAGCCTAAGAATTATGCTTTTAACACTCTAGATGGTGATGAAACTAAGAAAAGTAAAAGGGCTAAAAAGAATGTTGGTAAGAATGAGTTGACTGTCGATGATTATAAGCACAGCCTTTTCAATAAATAATTTGTAATAACGTATTAATATAAATTTGCGTGATTGTAAGGAAATTTTGGGGGTCGAATCAGTAACCTCTCTCAATCACCTTGATCTCCCCGATAGTCATACGTTGCCATTTGTGTTTAACCAACATTTATCAATCAATGTTTTCACTCTATACAACACGTCAGTTTAAAAAAAACAACTATCTGTTTTAAGGATTTTATCAGCGACCTTGATAAGGGAATTGAGCTAACTAACGAGGTAATCACGTCATTTTAATAATTCAAATATACTTCTTTAACCAGTTTAAATGTTGAAATTTACAATACATGATTTGACTCGTTTGCAATGGAACCATGTCGAAACTCCCATTCTTATTTTAACATGGCTTGTTTCTATTATGCTTGCAAAAATTGGTATCACATTTTTCTTATTTTCATCTTTGAACACTTATCTTTGAGGTTTTCACCGAACAAATTCACTTCGAAAACTGTTCCCTGAATCAGCTGTTCTTATCGTATTAGGCCTTATAGCAGGTTATCTTATTTATCAAGTATGGAACATCGATTTATATTTGCACCCAGGTATAATTTTTTCACCATCTAATCAAAGATCTTCAATACGTTTTGTATCATGATAGTCTCTATCAATTATCTTGTCTACAGTGCTTTGATGAGATGACATTACACAACACAAGATGAAAAAGATGCGCATTCTTGTAATTTTTGCAATATTGCATATGTCATGTGGTTTTTTGAGGAACTTTCATTTGAGTTCAAATTAAAGGACAAAAACAAAAATTTCATTTGAAAAATAAGATGCTTTGTATCGGTCGTACAAATTGAAACGAAAATGATTTAAAAAAAATTATATTGCAGATTTATTCTTTCTTTACTTACTACCTCCAATAGTACTAGATGCTGGCTTTTCGATGCCCAGTAAAGCATTTTTCTCCAATGTTTCAACTATTGTGTTATATGCAGTCGTCGGAACATGCATGAACATCTTTTTAATTGGTACGTTTAAATTCTAACACGATAAAATAATTATATAATTATTGTAAGGTGCTTTCATATTCGCAATGACACCATTTTATAATTTCGAGTTGAATTATGTTGATGTACTTCTTTACTCGACTTTAATATCAGCCGTAGATCCAGTTGCAGTACTTTCAGGTAATAAACATCTATCAAATTATTCATAACAATAAATTGTTGAAAATTTGTTTCAGTTTTTGAGGAGATTCATGTGAACAAAATTTTATACATATGCGTGTTTGGAGAATCTCTTCTTAACGATGCAGTCACAATTGTAAACTTACAAACTGCAAAAATAATCTATCAAAAAATATTTAAGGTTCTTTACAACTCATTTCATTCAATGGTAAAAATCGGACAAGCTCATCTTATTTATCAAGATTTCATGGAATCTTTATATAATTTTCTGCTTGTTTCTGGTGGTGGAGTTCTCATTGGCATTGTGTTCACATGCCTCACATCGGTATCGGCGAAGTATGAAATTATATATGAAAAAACGATTTACATATTTTAATTTTAGATGGAGTTCTGAAACTCCAATTATGCAACCTCTTTTATGTTTGGTTCTTCCATACATGGCTTATCTTTTATCGGAATTTGTTCATGTTTCCGGAATTTTGGCGTATGTTTGTTGAATGTTTGATTAATTAATTATTTGATGGCAGGCTGATTACATGTGGTTTGCTGATGAAACCGTATGTTACGGGAAGTATGACAGACCAAGCAAATATTACTGTAAAATATTTCCAGAAAACACTTTCTCATGGGTATATAGGAATTTTAACAAAATCTATTCATGCAATTAAAAAATGAAAAAAAATTACATATTTTTACAATGCAAAGTTGTTAAAACATATTTTTTTTCATTTTTTTTTTTGAAGAAAAATTAATTTCATGAATGAATCCATAAATAATCAATATTAAAGATGTGAAGCGATCATTTTTGTTTTCTTGGGATTCTCAACGTTTTCGAAGAAGCACGAATGGGATTTGGCATTTACATTAACAACCGTTGCAGCTTGTCTAATCTGCAGATTCATTGGTACTCTAATCGTTTTTTTTTTTTAAATTTTGCATTTAAAAATATTTCAGTGGTGTTTTCATTAACATACTTTGCCAATTTAAACCGACTGAACAAAATTAGTTTGCGAGATCAAATAATTATGGCGTTTGGTGGATTGCGTGGCGCAATTTGTTTTGGATTAGTTCTAACATTAGGTTCGTCATTTCCATTATAAACCTATATGTTCCTTTTAGACAATGATGCAATTTACTCAAAGCCTATTTTGATTTCTACTACGCTTGTTGTTATATCTGTTACGGTATTTATTCAGGTAACTTCTTTTGAACACCTCTTAATTAAAAAAGACATTTTATAGGGAACATTGATTAAGCCATTGGTTTTATTCTTGGATGTAAAAACAAATTCGGAATATCACAAAACAATTATTGAAAGTGTCGTATCTGATGTAATGATGAAACCAAATGTACATACGTAATCATAAAAAGGTTTTTTTTCAGTCGACCGATGAAATAATGAGAGGTGTCGAATCAATAATTGGAAGCAAAGGCACATATTTTGTAAGTTTTTCTCTGTTTTATTCAACGTATGGAAAGTAATTAAATCTCAAAAAAATTGTACTTTTTCTTGGTTATGCTTCGAGTCGATGTGAGGGTTTGAGCAAATCTCCTCTGCAAAAATCAGCATCTGAACATTTAATCTTTCAATAATACATTTCGAGTGTTAACGTGCCATTCTGAAATATAAGAAAAAAACGTTGAAATCGAATCTTGTTTTAATATTTCAGTGGAAAAACTATGCGGCCGATTTAAATCGTCGATACGTGCAGCCAGTATTGACTCGACATAGTGCAACTCGAGGAACAAAACTTATCGAAAAGTACACATTGATGTCAACGGAAGAACAAAAAACCAGACTATTGAGAGAATTCAGAGTTATTTAATATTTTTGAACTGTAAATTTTGCTGTTATGTGGGTTGATCAGAAAAAATCAGACAATGCGAAACATTAAAAAAACTATTTAATGGGTATTGGAGATATAAATTCGCACAAAACCTTAAGTTCATGTGAAAGTTGTACATTAAGCTGTTTTATTATTGGACTTATTCATGAAATAAAAATATATTTGATGAAGAAGTCTATATTGTTAAATATTTTCCTTTCTAGTTTTTTATTAGAAAAAGATAAACAGCTATAAAAATGACGACATTTAAAAAATTTTAAATATATATATATATATATATATATATCAACGAATCTCTTTTTTCCATCCCCTTAAGGTTTTTCTATTTCATTATGTCAGAAGTACATACGACACATTTACCCAAAATAACCGCAAATAATTAACCTTCATTGCTCAATCCTCATTTTCTGAGAAATCACGCAATAATTGAATCATCGAATATTTTAGCAAGAAATGAGATTCATATTAAACGATGACTCGAAATTTTGTCGGCTATGAATTTGAATGACTAAAAATACATTTGGCCGCACTAAATAGCTTGAGGCGAAATCTTGCATTCGAATAGTTGAATAAAGCTTTAAAAATTGTTTCATTTTTACCTCCTACAATCATCCAAATTGTAAATTTCTCTTCAGAATGAGCAATTTATTTCTGTTTCAAAATTGATTGCCATTATAGAGCTTATTAGAATTTCTTTGATTTCGTAAAAAACCAAAGAAATGCTTTTGGCATAAACCAGAATTTGCGGTTTATCACGTATATATTTTTTTTAGATCAACGAGAGAGCACATAGTTGTGCATTTAAAAGATCGTAAACGATAAAAGTATTGAACTGATTATCACTGTGTTACGATATTTTGGGGGACGACCCTCAAGAGACCATGAGTTTTCAAATCAGCACAAGGGTAAAATAAAAAAGAATACTGGTCCTATTGATTTAGAATGTAACGCGGAAAATTTTGATTCATTTCGATATCTGCAACAAAATCAATTTTTCAATTATTCCAGTGTAACATTTGTTTATTGAAAATCGATTTCAACTTTAATTGATTCTGCGAAAACTTAAGTAATGAACGTATAAAAGTTTGAAAAAAAATAGCGCATTAGTGTTCGAGCTAGTTGAAATGTTGTAGACGACAATTGTCGACAACATTTAAAACTACCTCAGACACATTTGCGCAAGGATATTCATCACCAAACTTGCCATATCAGCTACAGTAGCTGTGCAATGCAGTATATGTAGTAGTAGACGTTGCAGTTAACGAGTAATAATAATAAAAGTATAATTTTATTGGGGAACAGTGCAAATGACGAGCCACCAAATACGCGGCGCTTCGCATTCGAACGTCGCGCCCTCCTACTTGTCCCCGCCTCTAGTATGGCTTTTTCTGTTTTCACGCTGTCCCCGGGATATTCGTTGCCACAAGGCCACACCCCATGGTCGGCACGGTCTCTCGGCAAAAATGAACGGGAAAAAAGTGTTCGCAGACGAGAGAGTGAGAGCGCACAATAAAACAAAACTATTATCGATTTCGAGTTTTTTTTAAAGATGATATGTTGTAGCCAATTGTTGGACAAGTGGGGAATTGATGGTTTCAAATTTGTAAATTTGTATTGATTTGGTTCGAACACGGTACTTGATGAAGTAGATACTAAAGAAAAAACGCTGAGAATCCGCCTACAACGCTCACAAACAGACACACACCCGCACCAGCACAATCCAGTTCGTACGCTCTCTTTTCTCGAAAAAAAGCGAACAACGTTCAAATTGACCTATTGAAAAGTGTATTTGTGGGGACTTAGTCGCGCTTGCAGTCGCTGGCAGTCACGGTCACCCACCGCTTCTACTGGTTGCCGCCGCCCCGAGAGTGCCGCAAATGAGAATGCTGCCAAAGTATTTTTTTGCCTCCTACTTGTCTTTTTTCTGTCATCAGGCAGCCAATGAGAACGTTGCGGGGAGTCGCAAAGTCATTGAGTTCGAATAGGAGAGGAGAAGAGCGAGTATCGACGAGCGACTGCTCGGGTGATAATAGACATATTTGGAGAATGATACTGATGGAATGGGGTTTATGTTATTTCGAGTGAATGCTGACACGCCCCCGAACGCCATTTTCTGGAAACGATGCATTCGCTTAGGCCACGCCCTTTGTTGTTCGTGCACATACTTTGATAATAATCAGAAAATAAACTGCACCCAATTTTGTGAAGCCTATCCGGAATATTCAAAATGGAAAAACGGAGAAAATATTTTTTGTCCCTTTAAAGGCTCATTCGTAGAAATGGCAGCTGAATGACGAATGTTATTATTAGAAGTTAATAATAATATGCAATGATACCGGACATAAAAATGAATGAATAATTGAAATGATTTGCTGCTAATTCCAATGGAATCTACTGCCACTCAAACCAGTTTTATCGGTGTTTCATGAACAATTTTTAGGCGATTTCAAAGTAAATCAAAAATATGACAAAAATATCAAGTATTTAATTTCTTAGAAAATGTTCTACTTGATTTTTTAATCTTCAACTTCAGTTTTTGTTTACTAATTTCATGCTTGTTCCATTCGAGGAACCAACGAAACAAGCTAGAGATAAAAAACGCAAATAATTTTTTTGAGAACAATGGATTCGTCACTATCTTCATAGTTCTGGCGAACGCTGAGAAATGCTACGGCCGTTCTCGAATGTTTCTTGAGGAAGCGCAAATTTCAACATGCTAGCTTCTGCCTTTTTCTTCCTACAATCTACCACTTAAACTGGCAGAAAAGTACATTTGAACTTTTCGACATTTTGTCGTAGTGCTCGTGCTTGGCACGACTGCAATTTCCGACCAACATGATTCACTAGACGGATAATTATAGACTAGACATGCTGATATTTTAATATCAGCTTCTCGAATAAAGCATCCAGACCGAATAATGTGGCTGCGGATGAATATATGTGACTGAGGAACTCATAATTTTCAGGTGTCTGGATAATGTTTGAATTGAAACGAACATTGATTTGGCCCAATATTGACAACATTTATCTAACTCGCAGTTAACATTTCAGAAAGGTCCTCGATTACATTTTCTTGCACACTTATCAATCTGAATTTTTTATTATGAATTTCGCACATGCCGTAGACCACAAAAAATCGTTTGCGCCACTTGGATTTTTTGCGCGCCCGTTCCGGCGAGCGGCCGCTAATCGCTAAAGGGGGGTGTCGAAAAGGTGTTTTTCTCTGATTCTCCATATCATTCATTGTATTTATGAAGCGTTCCAAAGTGCAATTGTCTGAACATCTGCTCCTCCGGTGTCCGTATGTTCAGTACAAACCGCAAAAAAATGCGTTGTTCCATGCGGATCTGCACTTTCAACATAAACGCGGGGCGCGGCGAGTGAGTCAGAGAGGCTCTCTCTCCATTTTTGCGACATATTGGCAGCGAGACGGAAAGAAATGAAAAGAGACCAAACTTTATTTTTTTTTGTCATAGATATTCGGGCTCAGGAGCGTGTTGCAAGGTTTCGGCGTCCATATTAGACGCTCCATAAATGGAGGGGGAGCATTCCACGCACGTTTCGCTTTTTCTGTCTGCATTCATATATTTTCATGCACGAGCACGTTCGTGTAGCGCGTCTAAAAAAGTGCAAGCGGTCAGGAAAAGAGGCGCGGCGTCGCGGACAAACGTGCTGGCCCGTAACATACAAAGTGCAAGTGGTGGGCCCCTTCGTCGACCGCCTTCCTCTTTTTTCGCTCGCGCGTTACGACGCTCACTAAACATTCGTAACATGCACTCTTATTCGAATGGAACGTTGCCTGTTGACGCGTCGATTGTCGATGACGCTGATCGGGAAATAAGGAAGAAGTGATGCTAGCGTAGCAAAATTGTCGCCTACGCTCGAATTTTCTTCTTGTTCATGTTAATTTAATGAGGATGTGAGCGATGAGAATAAATACTGAATGCAATGAGAGTTGAATAATGACAAAGCCAATTTGTGGTCCGGAATGCATCAACAAAATATAACATTATGAATACTTCAAACGCAACAAATTGATACGAGATGCCCTTTAAGAAAGAGAGATTCAAGTTCAAAACGAACAATTATTTGCATTTTGCAAATATTTACGGTGTACCTTTGTTTTTTTTTGCTGCAATCCCGCACAATGCAGAGAAATGGTTTTTCTTCAGTAAATGTTTGCTCAATAAGGACATTTCTTCTACCATCGTAAATTTCAAAAATTCTTAATCATTGGGAAAAGTCATATTGTACTAACCAAAGTGCCACAATACACAAATTTACGGAAAATCTTTGTTCTTAAATATATATTTTGCGCCAATCTAAATGCGAAGTTTAAGAAAGAAAATAAGCTTATACAACAATTTAAATTGTTTTATTAACAATGAAAAGATGATTTGACGATCATCTTTTAAAAGTCTCATTAGATTTGTTGTACCTTTCAACGAAAATAAATGTTTATTTTTTGATTTTACGATCGACCATGTAAATTTAATCATTTCTGTCGGGTTTAAACATTTTTTTTCACGGTTTAAAAATTTATGAATGCTTTAAAACCATAAGAATCACTGGTTCCACTAAAAAATGTAATCTTATTCAGAAAAATTACATTGCATATAAAAAAAAGTTTTACATTGTAAACTCAGATACGATACTTTCAAATGCGTCTTTTCAGGGATTATATAACCTAGGAAAACTAACCAAGTGATTACACGTAAATAAATAAGTTATGATTGAAACAGGAAATGCGCGAAATGTTTATGTAATGATTGTTGTTACATGTGTATTTTCATCAAATTTGTTCGCACGTGATGTGAAAGAAAATAAAAAATAGAGACTGACATTTGACTATGTTAAATGTCAAATGAATATACAACACGAGAAGATTTTTCATGGATTTCATTCATTGTAATTTCTTCATAAACTTTGGAGAATTTGGTTAGTAAGATTACTGTAGATTTTGAACATTTTTTTGCGTCATAACTTAAACGCATTGCTTGTAATTATTTTTGCTGTTCGAAACTGAAATATAGTTTCAGAAAAGTTTATTATCGATGTTTGAAGCGGGTTTTGCGTGCGGCTCAATATTCAATTTTGATAGTTTTTGACACAATCCTATTACAACAGGATCCGTTTCGTTCGTACTATTTATTTGCGTTCTTACTACACACAATTCGCCTTGATCAACGAAACAACGAGTCGGCATGTTTGCAGTGATTTTTTATGCGATGTCCTCGGCGCCTCGATCAAAACGATTAAGAATTGCATGCCACTCAATCTGTTCACTTTTGCGGGGGTATGTGCGTGTTTCGCAATTTGATCCCACTGCAGATGTTTTTTTTAGCCCGTCGAGGGCGCCATTATCGCTCACCTTGCTTCAAAAAACCCGTTGAATGTCGATTATTCTCATTCGGTTTTTCGGGTGTTCGAGGGGGGAAATCGAGCGAGGCCGTTTTAAAACCAAACAAATGCAGCAACAATCGACGCACACGCGAACGCGAACGCACACAGGAACACACATACATATACACATTCACTAGTGCAAAAATTTAAAACCTGTGGTAGAAGTGCTAGAGTAGGGATCAAAATTCAATGACACCTATTTTGTAGATTCTTAGAAGCTATTTCAACAAGCATAAATTTCTGACAGCAGCATTTGACCATTTGATCAGATCAATTGAGCACAAACTGGACGAACATTACATTCAGTGAATTGATGATCTATCATTTTATAATACAAAGTTTTGTCATACGTTCAGGCATTCAATTATTGCATAAATTCAAACAATTATATGACTGAAAGTGTAAATGAAATATTTAGGATGTGCTTGCACACATTGAATGTACATGTGATATTAAACAGCAACTGCGGGTTTTGGAATGAATCTTCGGCAAAATGAGAATGAAGACATCATGCCTCTAACAGCTACCATGAATGATTTCCCAACCAATTTTAACGACATTGTCTGCAATTTTTTGCTTAAATCTGATCGAATGAAATATCCTACCACTCCCTCGAAGTCAGGTGTTGCAATTCCAGTAATTAACAATGAAATGTAAATACTGATAATGATTACTGAAAATCCATATCTTGGACAGACTTTATATACATATATAGCAACTGACTTGCTCCTATTAATACAAACTTGATCAAAAATCGAGATAAGATAGTTCCGAGTTGCATAAACAATGAGGACTCTTCAGAATCCTTTGAATCTTTCGGGTGTACGAAATAGTTACTGGGGAACTCGTATTCGCATAATCTTCCGCGAAATCTTTCTGGACAGTAACAGAATGGTTCAATCCAGCCAGTGACGCACACACCATCTGACATCATTTTTACAGGTCCAAATGATGAGACTAACCGTTTTTGCATTCCATATCCAAACAAGGGCTTCTATCGACGGAAACCGAATATGTTCTCAAACAGGCAGTACCATTTGAAACATGCTCCCTTTTACATTCGCACACAATTGACTCATTATTTAGCGGTAAGCCGCTCTCCGAAAATGTACGATTTGATGTGCACACCTCATTTTCGTTCGGACATTTACAGTTTAGTATATCGATTTCTGTTCAAAAAATCAATTTAATGCAAAAATTAGGATACAAAAATTACTTTCAGTGCAATTTTCACCTCGATACCCAAAATCACAGCGAACTTTCTGTTGCCAATCACATCGCATATTTTTCGGTAGAACATCATGATTAGAACAAGTTGGTTTGCAGAAGTGACCAGTGTGTAGCCTATAGTTAACGTTTTCCAAAATTTCACGTCATAATGATGATAAACTATTTTCTGTACCAAACGAAACTGAACTTACTGAGAACAGAAGAAATACGAAGTGACTTGAATAGCTACGTGACCAACACTGATGGTGTTAATATATTTGCGTCCAGGTATTAGATTCACAGAGAGATGGGTTGTGTTTCCAATTTGACGATATCGAGTAGAAATGAGTTTTATAGTGAACTCGTACGGATTCGTAAGTTGCTTGATTGGCTCAAGCAATGTCTGAGGACTGTAAGGCACGATTCGAAGAAATGAAGGAGCTTTTTCTAAACATGAATATTGTTTAATATATCTTTCTTTTACAATGACCAGATGGAACATTGTAAATTAATGTCGCTGTATCATTAGTTACAAAATTATGCAACAATTTTCCGATCACGTGTGTCGCACCGAGCTGAGAAAAGAGGCCTGCCAGATATACGAAAAACATACAGATTTTCATCTGAAAGTGTAAAAATATTTTAATGCAATTTTTGGTACTGAATACGAAATACATATTTTCATGAACGATTATATGTTGCAATGATAAGAAACCTTCCAGATGTGCCATAAAAAATAGCAACAACATTTGGAACATTTTTAATCACATGACAATTTGACTAGTATATGCATGTTGAACGCATGCCTCAAATACTAGCCGGTTATTTTTCAAATCTCAAAATGCATATATGTGACGAGCTTAAAAGCATTGTGCATTTCACATAAAACGGAATACGGTAAATAGAGCATCTAATGGAGTTAACTCATTTTGCGCTCTGAAGTAAGTCTAATGGATTCAGAAATGGTTTCGCGAGCTCGGATGTGTTCTCACAAAATTATTACTTTGTTGTTAATTGAATCATTTTTATTTTTTTCTGGGAAATGCCCCGCTGCTGGACTTTTCGCATGATATTATTTATCAAAACAATTTAAAACAAACAGAAGTTATTTTTCAAAAAAATAAATTTTCGCATTTCGTAATTTTCAATTGAGTGAGATATTGCTAAAAACGTTTGTTAACAATTTTTCTCTTATTCGCATTCTTTTATGGCTTTTTGAGCTCTATTGAAATATTTAAGGAAAACAAGAAGAAAGAACATTTTTATATTCCGTAGAAAATCTTTAAATACAATAATTTTCTCGGAATTTTTTTTGAATACTCTGCGGCAACTGCGATAAATTCATTTGGCTTAGGTCAAATTCAGTTTTATTTCTTGCCGTGAAAATAACAAAAATTTTTCCATTGGGTTTTTAAGAATACGGTCATTTTCTACATGTTTGATATTTAGTGTAGGCATAAATTATTACAATAATATATAACTTAACGTGAACAAATTTTTTTAAATATTGAAGTGTTGAAACATGTGTATATATGTACGACTGGGCCGATAAACACTTCAGATGTACGGCGGCTGTAGGAAGTCATTATATCTTCCATTAAAGGGGTGATTTTTTCCAATATTTTTTGTTTGCGCTTCACATTACAGTTAATTTTGTGAAAGGATAAAAAATGTTTATTTTTATATTTTATGGGTTTCCTTCAAAAAACTCTGCAGGAAAGCATTATAATGTTTACTTATAATTGAATAAAAAAATCATAAAAGTTGCAAAAATTCCGACTTAAAATTAATCAGATTAAAATTAAAATACCTCCGAAAACCTGCGCGATGACAACTATGATATTTATTTATAATTACCCTGAGCTTGGTCTACTAATCCATTCTTTTAGAAGGTGAAGAATTTTTTTTTGAAGATTAGCTTCTTTCTTCATTTCCATCGCAATGGGCTACAATTTGTCTTTTGTATTGTTTGTATTTTCTAGCCAGAAACTAGGTCAACTCTCGAAATTTTCATCTTGACAACGCGTAATCTATGAAAATCATAAAACACGGCAAGTCGAAGTTCAATTCAGGTTCATCTCCAATTCTGATCAATTTAAAGACGACTAAACTGGTCATTTCCACGCTCTGGTGGCCTAAATGGCCGCAACGCAATGCTTGTCTTGCATTCTCTGGATCCGAATTGTTGCCTATCGTCCTCTGATGCACCTCCCTCCGATCCTCATCTAGTCGCCGCCAATATATTCGAAGCGAGATTTAGCTGACCTAGTTGTTCTGAATCTCGCGCAGCGCAGGGAATGCGGAGGGACAAAACCCACCTCCCAATTTCACCTCAAATGATTTTTTCCTGATTTAGACAAATTTTTAGTTCTTCGAAGACGTTTTGCAAAAACTAGTTGGTTAATGCAAATCTTGAGACGATTTTATTCATCAAAACAAATGTGGAGAACCGGTAACATTTAAAAACCGCACCTCTCTTGTGTAATATCGCAAAAGTCAAACTATTTCTTATAAATGTATATTATTTATCAGACTCCGATTTCAATGTCATTTCTTAACCGGGTGGTTGATATTTGGACATAAAGCTACTATTAACTTATTTGATCACTACGATTTGCCATTCTCTCATCGCGTTTACTTAATAAATCGCTAGACATCCCTTTATTTCCTTAATATATATATATATATACTTATTTTTAGATGGGTTCAATTGAACTAGATTTGAAGCGGGAAGAAGAGGAAATTAACAATAATGTTGTCATCAAGAATGTCGCACCAACAAAAAGAAAAGAGTTCAAAGAAAAAATGTTCGCAGTTAGAGAATCCTTGTTAACGTATGTTTACATGAAGCTTCCTCATTTGATTTTGTTTTTCAGGACAGAATTTAGAAATGGTAATATGCAGATAGTGCACAATTGTTTTTGCGCAGTTTTTATTTTATTTTTTCTCAGAGCAACGATCGAAGATGTTTTTATTCATAAAATGTTAGCTAAATATCGAGATTATTAGTTTGTATAGCAGATTTTAGGCCACTTTACCATACCTGGTTAATCTGGTGGAATTTCGAAAAATTTATTCCAACAATGATGGTTTGGACCGGAATGTTCATCTCTACAATTGGTGTATTTTATGCATATCGGCTATGGTCGACAATTTCAACGAATTCGGACAATGTCAAACATCATGTAATTAGTTCAGTAATTATTCTTGCTTGATTTTTTTGTTCAGATTCCATTCATTATTGCTTACCTCGGCTATTTGACTGCTTTCTTTGTCTTTCCATTGAAATTTCTCTTCGCGCAACAACTCAATTGCGCGTGTTCCTTCATTATAACATGTGAGACGGTCAGTTTTTTTTCTAATGGTAATCCTTGCATTAATCTAGTGGACTGTAGACCAGAATTGCGATGAAAGTGCACTCGTTCATTCGAGAAAATTGGACCAGAAGTATGCAAAGAAAAATGGGCTTGGTATTTATTAATCCATCCGAAGTTTATTCTATCAAAATTAATTTTTATAGAGTAATGAATGGCCAACAATTCAACAATTTGTCTACTACCAATTTTGTCCTTCATTCATTTACAGAGACGAATATCCAAGGTATCATTTGGTCTCTTTCTTTATTAACGTGAGTAACTAAAGAACCGATACACGCGATCTCAAAAAAGCTGGATTTTATTTTGCGGAATGTCTAGCAATTATTGAGTTTGTAAATTTGGTCTTTACTCAGTGGGTTTTCCCATGGCTTCACGTTCAAGAGGTAACTCTTAGTAAACGTCTTAGTTGTATATGATAATTAAAGTACCACACGTTGTCTCTCCCCACAATCGCTCTCTCACTATTTACTGGAATTATTCCTGGTATTCTGTGCCTTGTCTGCTTGTTCTACGGCCTTCTACATTGCTGGCTGAATTGTTTTTCAGAGCTGCTACAGTTTGGAGACCGACAGTTCTACATGGTTTGTTTTCATTTCTTGTTTAAAAATTTGAAAACATCTAAACTTTAGAACTGGTGGAATTCATCGAATATGGCTGAATACTACAGAAATTGGAACTTGGTCGTTCATGATTGGTTATACGCTTATGTTTTCCGTGATCTCTCGGCAATGATTCCTGGAAGAAAGGGGCTTCGAATCGGACAGCTCGCCGTATTTTTCCTTTCCGCTGTATTCCACGAATATTGGTAGTTGATCGGGCCTATTCTGACTAATAACACAATATTCAGGTTTGGAGTCGCCTTCCGATGCTTTTATCCAGTAATGTTCTTATTATACTTTGTGTTTGGCGGTATTTTCTTTGCCGTTTCTCGACTTATCACAAACCGATCAGCGTGGAACACAGCTCTTTGGTTTAATCTTCTCATTGGCACTGGAATGTTCATAGCATTCTATGGACAGGAATGGTATGCTCGGCGAGGACATTGCGTAGCTTATTCTAATATAATTGCTGATTTGATTCTACCGCGACATTGGAGTTGTCAGAAGCCTTTATGATGATTTTTAATAAAATATACAAAATAATTAATGCATAGTGCCTTAAGAAACTACGAGATTCAAATAATAATTGAGGACTCAAATTATCTAAATATCGGTTTATGACTTTACAATTTTGACATATCCTTATTTGCCTTATTGATGATTGATCGCATATCAAGTAAAGCTCGTCCTAACTCTTTTGCAAATCTGTAAATTTTAATGTTATTCTTAATATATTCTTTCCGTCAATTACTTCTTTGAACTCGTTGATCCATAGCTTTTAAATGTTGAAATCATGAAATGAAATTCTGTCTCCTGGGGATTATAGCAAATTCCGTAGCAATCAAGGGCGGACGGGCCAAAACACATTTGAATGAAATTCTTTGTCGGTACTTGACTAGTAGAAATTTGGAAGTGCATCATTTGTTGATAAGCCTCTGATCCAAAAAGCTCAGGTGTCGGGAGATTGTTCTCGACGGCTAAAAGTTTCCAAGCCAACAAATGCCTATCCATTCCGGCAGCATTCATACAGTCAACCTATATTGATTCTTGATAAGTATTTTCATAGTAATATAATCTACCGTATATTTTTTGTGGCTGTTGCATGCATTAATAAGAGCATCGTTGACATCAGCAATTGGTTTGGGAGGCTTTGCCACCATCTAAAATACGTTTTAAATTTTTTTTTAATTTTTTCTTTACCATCTTAACAAATCGAGCAGCAGCGGTATTCGGTGATCTGATATTCTCGGTTCTTCCATCCACGAATTTTCTCAATGTCGCCGTTTCATATGTTGGTCCCACTAAATAAAAAATATATGAATTATTTTCCCGAAAATGAATATCTTACAAGATGAATGAATTCTATAAAATGCCAACTGGAAGGCCATCTGAATAAAGGAATCTGGAGAAACCTTAGACTTTTTCGGGAAGTTCTTTCCAAACGATGAGAAGGTGAAAGCAGTTATATCGAGATCCTGCGCAATTCTGTAAATTATAATCATATATATAAGCATGCTCCAAAAATGAAATTTCAGACTTGTCCATATTGGATGTGCTCTTTTTAATCGTTTTTCTAATTTCATCGTCAACTGTGAAATCAAGTTTTTCAACACTTCCGATTTTATCCTCACCATTTTCGACGAAAGAATTTGCTTTACTGAAAACTGCAATTAAGAAACGAAGTATGCATTTCACAAACATCTCATCGCAAACATAATCCATCAAGGCTCCAACGGGTGGTCCATCAGCAGGGGTGTGTTCATATGTCATTCCAGTATAACCGTTACTTCCAATCGTATACTTAACGGTATATTTAAAATAAAAATTTGTCAAGAGATTGGAATCAAATACCTGAATTGTTTTATCAAACCATCTGTTCAACGAGTTTGCTCTACTTCCTCCGCCATGAAGCGCCTGCCGACTCTGTTCATCTTTCTCCGTATAGCCTGCTGGTGGATCGGTCGGCTTATCAAGACAGACTACGAACAACGCTTTCTCAATTGTTTCAAGGTTCTTCGCATTTTTCGGGTCTTCTGAAAGAAGAAAGTGAAATAATATTTCTTCATCTTTCTTTGTACTTTTCAAAGTCGTGTAGACTTTCGCCCATCGGTCTCTTCCATCTGCCGATATTATTCCAACTGGATCCGGGTTGGCTGTCGAACTTCTTTCAATAGCCTTCAAAAATTCGATTAGGATTTCTTTGTAACAGCGAGCATACCTCTTTGAATTGCCGCACCAACACGTTTAGTGAAAGAAGTTTCTCATCATCACCAAGAATCTGTACACGGAAATACTAAATATTCGAATTTTAAAAATCTACATAAAATGTTAAATTCATACATGACCGTTATGAATGACAATGATATGTTTTAAGGTTTCGTTATAGTCACATCCATATTTAATTTCATCCGCACCAAATTTGGGTACCCGTGTGGTTCCGAACAGAAATTTATATTGACTCATGTCCAATGGGGCCCCTCCAGCCGTATCCGCCTTCAACTGGTTGCTGAAAGTAATACAATTCTAGCAGTAATAAATTAAAATTGGAACAACTTTTTTGCTAATAGATGATATTTTGTTGTTGCTTGCGCAATTTTCGCAGCATATTCAAGTTGTCCATCAAGCGTATTGTAGTCAAATTTTGGGAACAAAACACCTGGTGAAGTGACAACTGGAAGTGGTGTTCTTGCTGCCAAATATGCAACATTTAGCCACCAAGGAGACAACTGAGCAAATAAATAATATTAAATTTTCTTTCAACAATTTTAGGCTCACCCAATTTGGCATTTCCTGCGCTCGCTTCTCCAGAAGCGGCTGAAGATTTGGCAAATCATTTTCAATAAAATTTTTCACAATCTTCAAATTACATAATAATTAATTAATTTCTCTTATTGCATCTTAAACCGATTCGGTTGCCTGATATTCAGTCTTCGATTGCAAAGCTACTGAGAAATCTAAGAAATGCTGCAAGGTTTTTCTCGGATGAGGGACCGGAAGTCTCGGAAGTTGAATATCTGAAATTCCGTGAAATATTAAGGATATCTTTATATGTGCATACCTGATGATGAGTATCTTGACATGGTTGAACCAGCAGCTAAAGCTCCTCGTTTCACCAAAGCCTTAACAAAAAAAAATAAGTTTTCTTAACAAATACATCCTTAAATACTACATTTCTGATTAAGGCTACAATTTTAAAATAGAAATGAAAACAGAAATTTGTTTGCGACATCATTTTCTTATCAATTGTCTATCCTGCGCTACATTGTACCCTCTTCAATTATAACCGGTACAAATAAGGCAAATCGTATCTAGACGAAACTCACTGTAAGATGAGGTCGAACGTATGAGATGTACACCATCGTTGGGTTTCTTCTAAATATTAAACTTGTAACAATGCTCATAAAAATTGAAAGAGAAACTGAAAGAAAAGTACGGAGTTGCATTCCATAAAAAAGAGCAAAACAACAAGTGAACTCGAGAACAACAAAAATAGACAGGGTTGGTATTCGTTGAGTGAAAAGAGACGAAGTGCGAGACGAGAGTCACCACCACCAAAATGTTGTGGAGGGGGGGGGGGCGAGGGGGGAGGCGGTTGGAATGATGGAATGTAAACCAGAATAGCAGTGAAGATGCAAAATACGATTAGTTGAAAAGTAAATATTTTTAATGAAGCTCGATTATAACATCAAAATTGAGGAATACTTGATTCTTGAAATACGGACAAGATGTAAAATATTTCTGCGTTTTTTATTGCCCAACTGGATAGAACAGTTTGCAAAAATTTATGGATCAAACAGTAGGTAACATGTGAGAAATATTTTTCATGGTATATATTTTTGCATTAGCGTTGCATTTAATCTTCATTAATTAATTAGGAGCATAAAAAGGTTTTTTAAAAATCGTGAAAAAATTGAAAACAGTTTTTTTTGCATAGTTGTTTATCAGTATTATGCGTTAGCTATATTAATAAGCAAAGGAAGACTTTGGTTAAGAAGAAATTTGTAAGATTAATGTGTGAGCATCGAATATCAAGAAAAAAAGAAGAGTAATCCTAATTGAAGTGCACATTTCTCTGTGAATAATCGGCTCTTTTTTAATATAAAAATTAAAATAATTACCCGATTTCTGATTAAAAAAAAAGAAGTTTCCAAAAAAAAAAGATTTACTTGCAAATAATGAGTGTTGAAAATGACGGAAATCAAGAAAATTTAGTGTTTCAAACTCAGTAATACCTCATTCCCAGAATATCCAATAATAATTGCATATTTGAGCATATGATAAACCTTTTAACCAGTATACATATTATATGAGGGTGCAAAACTAAAAAAAAAGAAAGTGAAAGGGGAAACTCGTCAATTTTGTCAGAACATTCTCGAGGCGAGCCATGCATAAAATGATTTTCGAGATATTCGTAAATCTGCTACTCAGGAAACATCGCGGATAAATATATTTGAACGAATTGATTTGTAGTTACTGTTATATATGATTTTTTTTATGAACCAGTTTTAGACACTTTTGAAGTGAAAGTACAAAAGAAAAAGTGAGGTTTTGTAATAATCTTGGTCTTCTCAAAAAATGAATCCAAGTTGTCTTGTGTGATGAGAAGAAAATGAACGCGACCATTTGGAGATGGCTGCGAAGAAAATGGATTAAAAAATGCTCTAGTCCAGTCGCTTCTAATTGCCTCCACTCAAATTCATTGGTTGGAGAAGTTCATTTTAAATTAGTGTATTGTGCTCATAGTACGAGTTACACAATGAAGATAGTATTGATAAGGTGTGGGCGAAATAAACACGTCACTAGATATCTAACAACCATAGTATGATGCGAACAATTTAGACTTGAAAGTTTGGTTTGGTTTCGATATATAATTTAGACAACCTGAGGGTATTAAAAAACATAGCTTGCTAAGATATAATTATTGCTATCTATCAATAAAACGTGCATATGCCTAGTTAATCACGAATTCAACGAAACAAAACGTTTAAATCCTCCAAATGCACGTTCACATTTAGCCAACCCTTAACCACATATGATATGTCACATTTAAATTGGAAAAGTAATGAATAATAATATCGAAAAGCATTCATTTCAAAAACAAATTCAACTTTTAATTCAACTATACTGATATGTGCAGTTTTTGATAGCAAGACACGTGAGTCAAAACATTATTGACGAAAAACGTGAAAGGACCTTTGAAAACGGGGAAACGTTGCGTTGTTGTTATTGTCGTTCTCATGATTTTCAGAAAATAGCGTTGAGACCAGAACGGCGGAGAGAATTGGTGAAAAGAGTATTCACACATGAGAGTCAGTCACTCTACTGGTTGACCTCGCATTCGCAATTGATATCTGCACCCATCATGAACCTATTTTGATCTGGAAGAATATTAAAAAAAATCTAAAGTGATTAGGATAAATAAATAAATAAATAATTTTTATTTAAAAAATTTGCAAATATAACCAATTAGTTAAAAAAAAATCGAAAAAAAATTGTGAATATTTCTGTTTAAAAAATTATTGACGAAAATGTTATGATTTTTTTGGAAACCAAATTTATTTCAATTCTTCAAAAGCAATAAAACAAAAATTGACATTTCGGCCTTCATAGATGCGTTGGTCTTGCAATGTGCCAAATTGAACTTTTTTGCACCATCAAATCCAACATTGCTCCCACGTTTTTTGCGTACTTCAATCTATAGCGCAGATTCAATTGAATAAATCGAAAAAGAAATATCGTTTTAGTATTTCAAGAGGAATTTTCCAATTACGCACTTAATGAGCAAAAATATTACATAGATTGCAAAAATATTACATAGAACTGATACAAATTTTGATGTGCTATTGATTATGATTTTCAACTTGTACCAATTCTCAATTTCTAATTAAAGTCGAGTGTTTATAATTAAAATATATTATGTTAATTAATGTTTGCAAACATATTCATTTCGATGTTGCATAGTTTATTTGAATTTCCACCATACTTGGAATGAGTGGATAAACCTTCATTGTTTATATCCACTGCTAATCCATGTCCCGCGAACCACCATTCGTTTTTTAGAGCAAGATATACAAAAATATCCTTTTCGATCAGCTAGTTATCTTTGATGTGCATACATTTTAGTTAGTCAGTTGGCGCGAAAAAACTATTACAAACAATGTATATTATGCAATAAGATTTTCGAAAAAATTAACATTACAATTTTTTCATATATAAATAAATGTAATATTGAAACTAATATGTTTTCTGAATGTAATTAATCCTGCTTTCCAAAATAAGAATTTTGACTTTCAAGTAATGAATAAGTATATTGCTTTTTACTTGATAAATGGGTTTTTTTTATGTTACTGATAAAATACAATAAGAAGGCAACACATCAACTGTTCAAGTCGTATATATTTTTTTGCGCAATATGTCAGTGACTTTTTATTATTACAATAAGTGTGCTTAATATTTGAGATCTCGCCAGACTCGGGAGTCGTCGCAAAACTCGCCAGACACCACGCTTTCGCTGCAACTCGAATGGCACCGAAGCGGACCAATCAAGCAATTAAGACATTCGTACTACTTTTACTTGGCTCTCCTAATTTTGACGCGTCGTATGTCAATGGACCTCAATTTAGACAGATACGTTCTGATTTTTCTCTTGTTATTATTGTTGTTTCCATGCAACAGAACGCGTGCGTTTCATTTTTTGTTTTTTTTTTACGTGAAGTACCGAATATCTTACGAAAAAAAATATTATTAAACAAAACACAATAATCTCTATTTGTTGTGGTGATTTCGAATGAATATCACTATTTTCTATGATTATGATTTTGAATTGATTGATAATTCAAGTTTATTTTAATTATTGTAGCGGTTTTTTTTACATCAAACGCTTCATTGGTTTTCTCAAAAAAAAATATTTTTCGAAAATCAGTGAGCCGCTTTCAAAGCCACTTCCTGTGGAAAGCTAAATTCCATATATTTGAAAAATTGCTTCCAATACTTCTTTTTTGTTGTCAATTTCACCTTCGTCCCTTTCAAGTATTTGCCTCGTTTACCCTTTTGTGTATATATTTTCACAATCTAGAACTATTTGTGCTAATTTGGATCGAATAGAAAAAAAAGTTCGCACAGCGTTCTTCTAAACTATTAAAAAATTTTGTCCCTAGGCGCAAGAAAAATTAAATTTTTGAAATATTAAATTTAAAAAAATGAGAACATATTTAATGAGCAAATGTGTTACCCAAAATCTAATTTTGAATGCAACACCAAAACGTTTTTACAATAAAACATTCATAAATCATTTGATCGACCCTTTTTTCATTCTCATTGCAAAAATAGAAAAACTGCACTACCCAATGGGAAATACGAGAAGAGAATCTCAATTTTATAATTAAATACCAATTTTCTCGCAATCTGATAAATGAGCACTATTTAAAAGGTCCCAATGCCGCAATCTCATCCATCTATTTTCATTGCACAATTTTGCGGCCGATCGCCCGCCACAGTACATCACAATTCGGCCAGATGTTGTCTGTCAAAATGTGCTGTAAGTGCGCAGTTGAATTGGCTCACTCTGTGTTCTTTTGTCGGCAGCCGTCGGTGACGGCTAGCTAGCATCCAACATGTGTACCTTTTCGAGCGAAAAGACCCATCCAATTCATCTCAAGTTTCAGCTAAAGTGACGCATTATTTACTTTTTCTTCCAAATTTAGGTTTACTTTTTTCCGTCACTTTTGACTTCTTCTATATCCGAAAATTGTTTATCCTTCGCATTTTGTTAGTTGTTCTTACATTGTTGAGCAACACTCGTAGGAAAACGCCATTTGGATTACATAGCATATGCACAAAAGAATATCCTTTTGGCAATTGGTAATTGGCTCATATCCTTAGTTAATAGTTTGTTACAAGTCCCTTCTTCAGCAACAATTATGCCAATGGAGCCTTCCGGTCTCCAGAGACGAATGAATTGTCGAATTTGTCGTTTTGGAGAAGGAAGTTTGACGACGTGTGAAACAAAACTAATTTCTTTAAAAAGTTTTGAATGTCATGCTTCCATTTCCCAAAGGTAAAAACGCGCATTTTGCTCTCAGAGATTTGTCATGTTGTTTAGGTTTTTGCGTGAGGTTTTGCAAAAATCTTTTCTTCGCTTTTTATTTTGTTTTGCTAATACTTCCCTAAAACAATGCTCTTCCTACAGAGATAAGGCTTCTATGTTTGTCGATATGATTATGATACATTCATGAATGTTCCATCCGCCTATCAATATGTTCCATATTATCCCGCTAACTTTCAAAAAAGTTCAAATAATAACCTTTGATGGAATAGTCCATTTCATATATTTTCTGCATTATTTCCAAAGTTTTTTTATCGACGAAAGAGAATTGATTTTCTGAACACTCTAGTCCTTTTTTAATTTTCATCATATATTTCTTCTCGGATGTTTCGTTATTTAACGGCAATCATTCACCGTTTATTATTATTATTATTATGATTACGATTGCCGAAAAATTCATCATAATTTCTTAAATAAAAATATATAATAATATAAAAGACGCTTATGAACAACTGTTTTTATCAGGTATTTTCGGCGAATGTCATGAAAGCTCCAATTTTATTTTTTTACTGCTTTCTCAATTGCATTTCGGCATCTCAAATTGCCGTCGATGAAGAAATGGTAAAATATCCATAAAGAAGCCCTAAAATGTGTTGTTCAGAATTTAATTCATCAATTTACAATGAACGGAGAAATTTCTACACTGGAGCAGCTGCGACAGAAAATTGGTCGTTTCGAGGATCCCAAAGAATTCATTCATCGAAATTATTCAGCACTTACCGATTACATTCATGTGAGCAAGAGAAATTTTAATGATAAACAACTACAACCATTTAGGTTTTGCATCGACAATATTCGAATCTTACTCATGTTTATTCGGCTGGTGAATCAGTGGAAGGTCGGCAACTCTGGGTACTCGTCGTCTCTCGATATCCTAAAAAACACAAAAAAAATGTGCCGGAATTCAAATATGTCGCAAACATGCACGGAAATGAAGTGGGATACATACAAAACAATTACAGAAACAAATTTATTGAAAAATTTAGGTAACTGGAAGGGTGCTATTGATCGCTTTAGCAGAAGTTTTACTCAAAAATTATCACACAAACTTATGGATTAGACAACTAGTTGATAGCACGAGGATTCATTTGATGCCATCAATGAATCCTGATGGGTTTGATCTCGAATTCGACTGGAAACAAAACTTTGTTTCAGATATGAATTGGCTATTGAAGGTGATCATTCTGGCGTTCTCGGACGAGCAAATTCCAATGGGAAAGATCTTAACAGGAATTTCCCAAGCCGTTTTCCTAATTACTATCCAACCAGTGATATACAGCCGGAAACTATTGCGATTATGAACTGGACACGTCAAATTCCGTTTGTTTTGTCTGCTAATCTGCACGGAGGAACAACATTGGGTAAAAATGGACTTGTTCTCCCAAAAATTGCCATTTGCACTTTACAGTAAACTATCCTTTCGACGACTATCCAACCCGAAGCCGTCAAAGCCATTATTCTCCATCACCCGATAATGCGCTCTTTGTTCGGATTGCTTACTCCTATGCAAGAGGTCACGATCGTATGTGGAAAAAAGTTTGTTCTTCATTTTGTCTGTCGTCAAATTCATATTTTCGAAATTCTAGGGCCCTCGTTGCTTGAATGATGAGCTCAACTTGCCAATTGATCCAAAACATGGAATTATAAATGGAGCTGATTGGTTATAATTCACGAGTTTTCTTGAAAAATAAACAACATTTTAGGTATATCGTGTCAGGCGGAATGCAAGATTGGAATTATTTGAATACAAACTGCTTCGAAGTAACAATTGAAATTAATTGCGAAAAGTTCCCTAGAGCGAAAAGTTTGCGATATCTCTGGAATGAAAACAAATATGCTCTTCTCCATTTCATTTCTTTGGTTCATGGGTAAAGAAATTGAACAGTTGGTGACATTAATGAGCATTTTAGTGCTATTCATGGAACAATTAATGACTATGACACGGGTGAGCCAATTGTAAATGCAACTGTCAGTATTGACGAAATAGCGAAAATTGTCGTTAGTTACGGAGAAGGCGAATTTTGGCGTCTTGTCAATTTGGGAACATATGAAGTAAAATTATTAATTAGGTACAATTTAATTACATTCAATAATTTAAGCTCACGTTTGATCATAACGATTATGTTCCTCTGTCGAAAACCGTTCACGTAACTAGTAGAGACCGATCACCATTTGTTGAGGTAAAAATGAAAAAAAAAACCTATTTCTGAATCCAATCAATTATATTCAGGTACGACTGAAACGCAGGATTCCGCATGCAACGACAACCGAAAACTCTGATGTAGACATTACTAACACTTCTAGAGCCGGAAATAGTAATCATGCGTACATTTTGCCGGGAAAATCAGAGAAATACCCAGCTTCCAACGATATTCGAATTATCACCATGTCTTCCACTTTTGTTAAAACCTATGTTTGCTTTATATATCTCTGCTCACTTGTTTTGGTAATTTAAATTTTATCTCATCCTCTTTTAAGCATTCCAACACGATTTCCCTTGCAATTTGGGTGAGATCTACCGGTCTGTACACCTCTTGTTATGATTTTCGCAAACTTATCATAATAATTATCTATATCGAACTAATAAAATATTTTCGTAGGAGTTGAAATATCAAAAACGGAATACACTACTGCATTGAGATGAAAAAAAAATAATATCACCTGAGTTTTAGATGAAATCAGTTTCAAATTTAAATATTTTGCGTTCTATATTTTCCGAATGAATCAACTTTAAATTGTTTTTTTACACAAGTGAAAATTTAACGAGTACGTAACCTGTGAAAAAATCAACTTTTTATTATCACCTAGTAATACATATATGATCGACAAAAATGCAATCTCACCCTCAGTCGATCCAATAAGCAGGTTTCGTAACGATCCCATTATCGATCGTGTTCCTAGTGATATCGTCATTTCGCAATGTTTCATTTCTCATCGGTTTTCATTTAAAACTTTTTTCTTGCTGCCCAACATTTATTTCATTAACGAAATATTTTTTTATTGAAATTTCGAGTAATCTTGACAATTCTCCATTATTTCCTATTATTATATAAGCTATTGGTACTATGTAGATTCTACAGAAGAAAACAACTTTAAAACACGTTTGAACCTGTTAATTGAGGTTGAGGTTTTCACCAAAATCTGTAGAGTACCATGAAATTAACACAATTATCAAAAATATTCCATGTTAAAATTTTATTTATATAGAAGAAAATCAATAGAGCAATCATTAGAAGAAGAAATCTTGATCTTGGCATTTATATCCTGGATTTATAATTTTTCGGTGCATTCTTCAAGACATATGTAGATAATTGTTTGCGATCACTCTAATTTATTTCACAAGAAGTATTTTGAAAATCCCAATCAACGTATAGGAGGAATGAAACAAATAAATTAGACAGTTGAGATTTACGGAAAGAGACCAATTTAGGAAGACCGTTGTGTTGATACCACCAAATAGGTTTTATCAAAGGAAATCGAGCGCGTCACGTTCGGTTCGTTGCTAGATTTTACAAAAGAGGTTGAATGGTTTCATATAACACAATTAGGTGGTAAAATCATGAATCTATAAATATGTTTACATATGTAAGTTCAAAGAGTGATTAAATAAACTGCAATTGTTAGGAATGAAAGAATGATTGTTTTTGATTATATGGCTTATTTTCATCATTTTTGATCTTATAATTTAAAGCGATGGAATTTGGTTAATCACCAATTCATGCTAAAAAAAATTTTAAATTATAGTATTGGTTATCGTTAACGGAACTTGAAATTTGCATTATGTTATAGCATGAACAGGTCAATTGATGAACGCATAATATGGCACAAATAGATATTTAGATGATTTGGTATATGAAAGAAAATGTAGAACCTAAAATAAAAGTATCTTGAAATACGATTTAGAGAGACAATGGGCATTGAATTCCTAAATTTAGGCGGTGAGTGGAACATTAGGTGATGGATTAAGAATCATTCCATCGTAAATTTCAACAAGTTCGCTTATAGGGACCTGTTGAAGCACGATGAACTCGTCAATTCCTTGGCTGAAAACATTCGTTAGACGAGAATTTCAATTTAAAAAGACTTACGTTCTTGCGCAGTAAACGCAAAAGACGGTGAACTTCTTATTCACGTTCTCCTTGACAAACAAGATGTTGAAAACCTCGATCTCGCACGATGTGCAATAATGAGTGAATTCACCTTTAGTACGCTTATGCGGCTTCACCTGTTTACCATTTGCAATGGCATAGTCAAGAACCATTTTGAGAAAGCTCAGAGATCTAAAAATCAATTTGTTCAAAATCCTGCTTGAATTTTTGTTACTTGATGAGAAGTCCTCGCACTTGTGTGTACAATCCTTGATTAGTGAAGCGCACATTTTTAGCTAGTTGCCAAGCCATACATTGAATTGGAACAAGTGACTTGTAATTCTAAAAACATATGAGTTACCACGAGAAATTATTTTTTATATTCATACGTTTAACTTGTTGAATTCATAGCTTAGAAGCGACATAGTGAGTTGCGTACAGTTCATCGGTCCAACGTTCCAAGCAATATTATTGCACCATCCATTGGCTTGAACCCAATGCACGCATCCTCCACCAACATAGACAAGGTCACCGGCTTTTTGCGTAAATCTATAAATTGGCACGTTCGCACGATAAAGGTCATCAAGGTTCGGCCAATAAGATCCTCTAAGGAAGTCGATGCCGTTCCTAAATATGGGATGATTAAAATTATGTGATTTTGTTTTCGCATCTTACTTTCGACATAGCTTCTCAATTACACCCCAGTACTCGTATGGGCACGCAAACCACTCACAGTCGCCAGGACCAATGTTGATATTAATTGAAGCAAAACAGTTATTCTCCTGATGAGCTGGAGTTCTTGATCCCGGGACTTTCATATAAAGTTGAACGGTATTCATTCCTAGAATTTGGTGGCTGAAGTGAGAAAGCATATTTCCTCCAGATATCAAGCGGCAGAACGGTGGCATCTTGGAAAGTTCTTGGAGTTGAGCCTTCCATTTGACGTCGTCGGAGAGATCGACATTGGTTCCAAATTTGATTGTTTTCATTGGAACAATGAACTCATCGGTTCCGTTGCCTGAATGGACAGGTTTATTATTTAAGCGATTCCCACAGAAATGTTACTCACACTTTCTGCGCTTTGCGCCGTGCATTTCAGCTGCCATTTGCTGCGCATACTTTGCACCGGTTATGCGAAGTTTTTCTGCTTCCTCTGTAAAACGTTTTTTTTTTCGATAGAATTGTAAATTGACACACCAACCTTTCAATGATATTTTGAATGTCTCAGCCTGGTATTGTGCGTACTTGGTAATAGTGGTGAACGCTTGCATGCTATAGCACGACCAAGTTGGATTTCCAGCGGCATCGACGTTTAAATCGGATGGCATGCGGTATTGAGTTCGAACTTCCATCTCATCGGCACCAGCGGCATCCAAAAGTGCTTTGGTGGAAAATTTGGAAAGATCCATTTTCAAAACGGCAGTCAAGCCACGGACCAATGCTATCGGAGTTGTTTCACAGAATCTAAAGATGCGAAATTTTTTCGAGTTTTTCGCGAAATATAATTTTGAACAATTACTTTTGCAATTCGATCGATTGAACGTCTTTACGCGTGTCGCAAATTAGCAATGGAGTCGGACGAGTCAACTCTGCTCGAGAAAGTTGTCTTTCCGCTTTCGGCGCCTTTGGTGGAGACGGAGGACAGACATCTTCTTCGAAGAGTGGTTTAAAGTCCGTTTTATGTACACGTCTTCCGGCTAACTCCAGAATTTCCTGCGCACAGGTGTCATATGGAACCTTAACTGGAGCAAGAAGACTGAACGTATTAGGCAAATCCGACACTGGCTTATTCGGCATTGGACCTAAAATATTAAAATATGCACTACGTGTTAACAAGTATGTTACCTTTCTTCAATTCAAGTTTGAATCTAGGAACGGATTGGTCTAATATCTTTTGAATATCTTCATCGGTAAATTGCGGAAGGTGTTGAATCATTTGAGGCGGAAGGAGCTTATCTGTGATAAGGCGCTAAACAAAATAATTGCAAACAAACAGATTTGCCGAATTATACCGCGTTCATACAAAACTGGACGTCGCAATAATCGAGGAAAGCTTCTTCAATAGGATCGTTATGTCCACGATTGTGGTAAAGAACCTTACAAAGTTCAATTTGAGTAATGTTATGGTGGTTGAATGACTCAATTTCCTGAAAATGGCACTGTTTAGTCATGAAACATCATGAACTAGTCATACTTGTTCTCCAACAGGCGCAGCTAAGCTTCCCATTCTCCAAAGAGCACTACCGTCTCTATATCTTTGTTCCTTCACCTGAAAAGAAATTGTTTCAATTTTAATTGTATAAATAAAACGATAACGCAGAAATTTGCAACAACGCAAAATTACGGAAAAAAATAGAAGAACAAAGAGCAGTGTGCGTTTGCCATAGATAAACAGAGAAAAAAGTATTTGTGTATCCTGTTATCAGGGCTTACGTTTGTATTTGAAGGTTTTTAATTCAATTTCAAGGTTATCAATATTCAACAAAAAAAAAACAAACACAAGGTCGTCCTTATAAATTTTTCAAAAGATTTTGAATGTTTCATAGAAAACCTGATGTTCGTATTTCTTACAATTTTGACTGAAATTTCCCTTAGTCAAATCTCTCATAAATCAATGGTGACACCTCGTTGGTAGGCAAATAGTGTAATTTAAAAGTTTCAAGGAGTTATCTCAAAGGCAAACCGACACAACAAACATAAAAACACAAGGTGAATAAATTTTCCCCAACTTTCCGCTGGCCGACATAGTAGCTTTGCTGAGTCGCAATACACATACCCGATAGAATTCCTCTTGTCGTTGGCGAAGTTCCGATGGAATTGGTTGAGTCCAAGCGTCTTTCAAAGAAGGAAGAACCCTGTAAACGTTGTCGTACAGAAATTTGAGTATCTGATTGGCTGCAGTAGTAAATAATTTCCAATAATTGGCGTGATAAGCCAAATAAAACAATTATAGGATCTTTCATGTTTTAATCGAAGTCGAGAGTATGGGATGTACCCGCCTTTAAAAGAAAATTAGCTTCAGCGAATGACGTGACTATATCGAGAAATTGCTTTTATATTAATCTATATGTGGACTAAGCTAGATTATGTACTTGCTTTTAACCAGGTTGTCCTCATTAAAACACTAATGAGTGCATATGGACTAAAGCAACTTTCGATAATTAAATATGAGACGCTTGATTGAAAACAAATTTTTTTCTTACCAAAATTTAGACAATTTTGAGTACAATTTTTAGTTATATCTCAAAAAAAAATGAAAACTTACTTGCTCGCTGATTGGCCCGCCGGTTTTTGTGGAACTGGTAGTGCAAGCTCTTTCTCTAAAACTATTATCCTAGCCTTCAACGGTTCAGGAGAACCTGAAATGAAACGAAATGTGTATGAGGTCGAAAGGTCGTATTATCTACATATTGTTTTTTAGAGTGATAGCGAGAGAAAAATTGACGGCGGTATACGTGATGAAGGAAAAATGCCGCCGCTGAAGGGAGAAGAACGTATAGGATATAGAGAGCAAATAATATTATGAGACGCAGGAGGGAAGAGTCTGTAGAAAAGCAAGAGAGGGGCGAGAACAGCAATAGTAGGCAACCAGCAAGAAAAAGGAAAAGGCTACCACCCAGGGTAGCGCAGCTGACCGCTGCTAGCCATTCCGAACATTTGTGGAAATAGCACGTACCACAATGAGAGTGTCCACCCCGCTGCCCTCCTTTTTTATTCGTGACAAAGTCATGACTCAATCTTCAAATGATAGATTTTAATTATAAGCTTGAATATCACGTTCATTAGCACGTTTAATGACATTTTATTTAATTTAGAGAAAGAAGCCGATATGAAAAAGTATTTTTGAAGTTGGAAGAATTACATTGCATATATTAGGCGAAATCACAATTTCACATTAAACTATGAATAGACTGACTAGCGCCATTGTTCCTTGGAGAACGTGAAATGCGGGCGATTACGTGTTGGTGTACATTTGCATACAAATCAATAGGAATTACTACCGATACTATTATATTTTCTAATGTTTTTATATCATACATTTAATATAAAGTAACATATGAGTGTTTTATATTAAGACGAATGAAATCACGTTGACTATGCTGAAACTATGCGCATAAAGGAAAAACGCATTCAATGGTGTACGCATTCACGCTAATTAATAAGTTTTCATTGAAACGCATTGTCCCGAGGGGTAGAATTTTTTTGACGTGTATGCCACTATATTAACCACACAGAAACAATTATTAAAAACCTGTTGAATGACAAAGATTTTCGAAACGCAAAAACACGCAAAAGAGTAAAAATAAATATGATTGCCATCAAATCATTATATTATTACATACGAGTTTTATGATTTTCCTTAGTGTTCCCACACGCAGCCGTTATAACTAACCCCAGCAACGCCCTAAAAACGAGAGACAGCTGCATCTGGTTAAGGCGAGAAACAGCAATAAACCGAAGTGAAATGGATGACCCTTTTACTCTCTCACCAGAAAAAAAGCACGGCGCCGCATTTACGAACGATGCTGCTCAGTGCGCTGGCACATTGTTCGCGTTGGCATTTGAAAAATCGAAAGAGATATCGAACAGTTGTTTGCTATTCGCAATTTAATACAACTGATTGAATTAAATGCGCACAGAAGCCGCCATATGTGTTACTACTCGGTTTTTGCAATAATGGCGGCAGACGAGGTGAACGTGCAAAACGCAAAACAAATACAATTGCAGTTCCTTGGCTTAATATCGCCGTTTGATTATTGATTTCGAATGACAAAACCACGCAAAATTGTAGATGAATTTTTTGAAATTCTATAAAACGAAATACGAATTTATTGCCGAAATTTTTGAAACTCTATAAAACGAATTCATTTATCATGGTTGAAAAAAGTGGCGCGAATGCGATTTGCGTAACAACGAATGTGAGAGTAATATGAAATTCGATGGATTGTTTGATTAGAAAAACAACTGAATTTGTATAATGAACACCGCAATTTAGTTTTCGGAGGTTTCGAGCAGATTCGGTCGACCTCACTGGCGAACAACGTGGCTGGTCGCAACTATCGGGTCCACCAAACAGCACGTAGCAACAATAAACCGCACGCATGGCCACCACTGAGGCCAGAATACGTACGCATAGAGGTTTGCGATATAAAGTAACCAGACGCGTTGGCGGAAAGAAGGACGAACGTACGAATGCATGAATGAATGAGAACGGACGCAAGAGCTAAAGGAACGGCAAAAGTGACGACAACAGCATTCGCATGCATTCTCATCACTTATGACAATTTCATATGAGCCTATCGTGAGTTATCTCAAAGTAAGCCGGAAATTGCCAAAAAAAATAAACATGAAAACGATAAACCGATCGTTGAACAAATTTCGTTTTCAGATGAATTTAGTTGTAGGTATTTACAGATAAGAGTAAAAGGGTTAATTACTCATAGTCATATGCTGGCATTCATCGAAAGAGGAAGAGAGAGGAAGAGATAGAGAGAGAATTTATTTTAAAATTTGTGAGTTAATTATAAACCAGTTAATTTCTTATTAAACACATTGAGAACAAATTATAATATACTGATAAACTGTTGACGTTCCAATGTAGCCATTATTGTTATCATGATTAGCAATACAATTATCGACTCGCATTATTGGTATAAGAATGCCATGGCATGTCAAAATTTCGACTAGACTAAATGATGTTATTCTAAAATCGATATCTCCATGAGAATAAACAGTTTTAGAGGGCGAAGCTAATCTCAAACATTTTGCGGAAAAACGATACATATCTTACGTTTTTTCTCAAACTCATTTTGATACGACTACTTACATGGATTATGCTTCACAGCATTTTTGTAACACTCCAATGCATCGTAAAATTGCGCGTGTTTCTCATACAATTCTCCTAAATCAGTCCATGCTGCTGAATGCTCAGGGTCCAATTCAACGGCACAAATAAACGCCTAAACGTTACATTACATAGTGTCAGATAAAATATGATTTTACCTGAAGCGCATCCATCGGCTGCGTTTGTTTCTGATAAAGTGCACCAATCGAGCACCACGTATCCGCATTTGCCTCACTTTTATCAATTGATTGCCGATAATTCACAAAAGCGTCATGAGCCTAAATATTTCAATCAAATTCTCTCATTTCAGTTGCTGTTCTTATCAAATTCCATTCTCATCAACTTGAAATTTTTTTAAAAATGTATTTAATGATTAAAAATTTAGCTGAAATATGATTTGAACGGCGACAATAAAGCGGCGAAATAGTTAAAATTTTAACACTTATTTGATAACTATGTCTACGTTTGATTACCTGGATGATTAGTAATGTATAATTATTTATTCGAAATAATATCATCAAGAAGACCACCCACGAATATTTATTTTACCTAATTTTGGTAATTCAAACTCGAATTTTTATTATTGAGCCATTCCATTGACAAAATATTCCCAAGAATTCAGAAATTTTATTTTTTTTTACTATTGCAAATAAAATTTCCAATTTATAACGATCAAAATTTAATTTATTTTGCTAGAAATTTTTTCGACGCTTAACTAATAATTTTTCAAAATTTTGGAAAAATATTTTATTTCCAGATAACACAGTATCAAAAAAATATTGAAAGTTATTTTTTATGAGTAAAGATGAGAATATGGATTGAACTGATTAAATTACTCTTGATTGGAAATTGGACGCATGCGTGACGAGAAATAAACCATTTTCTTCAAAACTTTTTGAAACCCGGTACAATTTCAGGTAGGAAAATTATAACATGTTTGTTTTAACCAACTTTAGATATGATTATTCATGGGTACCGACGGGGTTTTTCTTTATTATTTCATACATATACACTCACTTTATCTTCTATTTCTCCAAAACATCGTCCCAAGTAGTAATAACTTTTTCCATCTGTGCTGTCAATGCTTTGCGATCTCAAAAGATGTACTCGCGCATTTTCAATGTGGGTCGTCTTTTCCGCATCATCTTGGCAACTACGACGATATTCAATCCATCCTTAAAATAAATTCTCTTAATTTTCCAATTAAGTTCTTAAACTACCCAATTGACGGAATATGGCAGCTTGTAGCTTAACTTGTTCAGGCGTGGAAACTTCATTTTGTTTCTCTTTGATCAGCGTTTCGATCTAAAATCATATTGTTCCAAAAATGTCCATTTTTATCATCTTACATCTTCGGCAAGTTTTTTATACTCTTCTTCTGCTTTACTGAGTTCTTTGGAATTTTCGTTCGCCAGTGCAATATTGAATCGGATGACATATTTATCCATAAATGGGGTGTCTGATTTATCCAGAAGGGCTTGATTATACAGCTGAAATAGGTTTTTTTCAGGCATAGGGCTCAAATTCTTCTGGCTAATTATTTTTTTCAAATATCAACAAATTACCTTTATTGCTCTTGAAAAATCGTCGATATTGTGATAACACACAGCTAGTCGAGCTTTTGCTTCCACGACATGATCTCCTATTGGAAACGAATACAAAAGTCTGGTGAATGCATCAATTGCACTGAAATGAGATACTCATTCTAGCATGAATATTTTTCTACTTACAATTTATACTCTTTAAAATGCAAATATACCAACCCCAGCCCATAATAGTTTTCTGGATCGCGCCAGAATAAATCAGAATTAATGTTATATGCATTTTGATAGGCAGAAAGAGCTGAAACGAAAGCAATAATATTTTAAAATGTTTCCAGTTTACCTTTAGCCCAATCTTGTCCAAGAAGGCTTATATGACCCGATTTTACAAATGCAAAAAACAAACGGATTCGGACAATTTCAAAATTGTGGGTTTTTTGAATTTCGAGCATATCATCAAGATATTTTTCAAGTAATCGATTTGCCTGCAATTTATTTTACTCATTACTCAACTTTCAGTTATAATTTAATTTTACTTTGTATAAAATTTGCTTTTCCGGGCAGAATCGAACATCTCCATTGCAATAAAATTCGTTAAAATTGAAGCTAAAAAATAAGATGTTTGCATTTTAAAAAATTCAATTCACCTTGTCAACTCCAATATTCTTAAGCGCTCGCTTTCGTTTAGCGTAGGTTGAACGTCGAGTTGTCGAAATAAGTACGTCTGAAACGAATTAGCGTGAGGAGACTCTATTGATTTGTAAAAATACCTCGAACATTGATTCTGGAGGTGGTGTTTCAAGTTTCGAGTGAATTTTGTTACAATTGGACCACCAAAAGTGATCTTATTATTTTCGGAATGCCCTGTAAAAACAAAGTTATTCAAAAAAAATTACAAAATGGCCATAAAAAGGAACAATCATATGGGAGAAAAATCAATATGCAATGAAATTATATTTAAATAAATTTAAGAAAAATAGGCACGGCAGTAATATCGGTTTTTTGATTACCTACTCCGAATTCACATATAAAATTTGAAATGTTTGATGCGGCGCTGTGTACATTGCGGAGCGTCGTTTGACCCTTACCAATGCGGGCAGCGTCCCATGTAAACGCGCATCAAAGTGGTGGTGTTTGGCAGATGGCAAAAATCCAAAAAGGAGAGAATTATCCGATTCTCATGAGAGGGATCGATATTTCGCAATACATAAAGTTGCTTAGGCATTTCCTGTAGGAATTAATAACGGACGAATGTCAGGAGAATGAGGTTTTTTGATAAACAATGTAACGAAGAAAACACAATATCATGTCGACAAGGAAGCAATAAATGTATGACAGATTATTAGAAAATCGCAAATGTTCCCTCAATTAAATTGTAAGCTTGACTATTGAAAAGTAATGAACGTGCCATTTTGAAATGAGTGATTTTTTGATACAAATTGCAGATAAGAAAGGATGCGACAGATGAACTAGCAAAAAGGCATTTAAATACCGACCGACCGACTCAATGTCATTAACAAGAAATCGCTTGATCAATATTATAAAACTGCATAACGCGCTCGAAACATTCTAACGTCCGAAAAGTGCTATTTAATAGGAACTGTGCAATTAGAAGAGAGTATAAATGCTCCTAGGAAGATTACGTTGTACCCTAATATGCCAATTGCGTTGTGAAATGGGTTAGCGTAGTGTGGTAAAAAAAAACACTTTCATAATTTAATACTAGCTTGTGTATATTGGAAAATGAAAATATTATTACAATACTACAAATAAATGGCATCAATTTCAATACCAGTTTAAAACGTTGATTTTTATTCGATCGAATTCGCAAAAGCATTGGCAAAATGGTTGACAAAAGTAATTTTTCGAAACAAATCCCATTTTACAATTTTCGGCGTTCTTTAATTGCAAATTTAACTACATTCAAAAGAAATTTAAAAAAAATTGACAAATGTGTTATATCATTTTGGTGTTTGTTTTTAAACGTCGGTGAGATGAAATCTGCTGAAATGTAGCTCGCTAGAACATTTATCGAAAAACGGAAGTGTTCTGATATCTTTTTTTTTCACATAACGATATTTCTCTGCAAATCTACTAAATATATATGAAATCGGTTTACATCTTTCCCTATTCTGGGATCATCTTGAGAAATTTCCGGAAATTGCAATTCCTGTCGTTTATAGCTGATAAAAAAGCGCATCTCCTGCCACACAATATGCGGACAAAGAAACTATTGCTAATTATTATGATATAATGATATTTATCAAGCACAGAAAAAAATAGTATTGGAATTGATTTCGAATGCCTTCAATTGTAATAGGGCAATGCTGAGAAAAAAGAAGCAAATTTGAATGAAGAAAAAGAAAAAAAAACATAATCATCTTTTCTTTTTCCTTTATTTTTTTTTTTGCATTTTCAATTTCACTGCCTTAGAAGTTCTAAATTTCACTGATGTCTTAGAAATTTTTAGGGTAGTACTCACTAATGAAAATACGGTCATCTTTAAATGTTTTTTTTTTTCCTAATAATATTTTTTCCAAATAACTTTTTTTGGAATTTTTTGGATCAATGATTAGACAATGAAAAGAAATTAAATACAACTTTTTTGCATTATTTCTTTTCTGTGAAACTGTCTTGGGATGTCATAATGTTTATTTCGTATTTCTCAACTATAAATAATCATTTATTGTGAATCGTATCTATTCTACTACTTAGCAGAAGAACTACATAATCAAATAATGCTCGAATTGGAAAACAGAAGATCTGTTTTGAATGAGAACTCAAAAAACACGGGCAATCGCTGAAATTCGACAACATAAAGTTTAAGTTACAACTGACAACAAAAATTTCATTGGATTGTGAATAGTATACATAAGGTAAAATGATTGATGCTCAAGAATAGTGGATTTAATACGATCGGACTTTTGGTGGAACCCAGTCGGTTTCGCTCTTGTCAAGAGTAGTATCAATGACTGGACGATAGTCAAGAGTAACATCTCCGGTTTCGATGTTCGAACGAATGATCGAGTGCTTGCGCCAGTGATCCTTGATATCTTTCTTAACTTGTCCCTCAAGTGGCTTGCTGTAGTCCAACTCGTCAATTCTGTCTGGGAAATCGTCTCTAGCGTGAGCTCCACGAGATTCCTTTAAGATATGTAATTTATCTATTATACTTAACTAGATCATTATACCTTTCTGTTCTCAGCAGCAACAATAGTCTGGGTTGCGTTGATAAGCAAGTTCTGGAGTTCGAGAGTCTCGATGAGATCCGAATTCCAGACAAGTCCCTTATCAGCAACTTTAAGATGAGCTTGCTCTTTGTACAATTTTGAGACAATCTTGACTCCTTCCTGAAGAATATCTCCACGACGGAAGACAGCAGCGTGCTTCTGCATGGATTTTTGCATAGTTAAACGAAGGTCAGCAGTGGCGATATCTCCCTTATTGAAGCGAAGTTTATCCAAGTTGGCAACAGAAGCCTCTCCAGCATTCTTTGGAAGGTCTGGAACCCCGACTCCAGGCTTGTTGTTTGTAATGATACTGTAAACACTATGTTATCCAATGAACTATTTTCAGGGTTTTACTCGATAGCGCAAGCTCTTCCGAAAATGACAAGATCGAGAAGAGAGTTGGCTCCAAGACGATTGGCTCCGTGAACAGAGTGAGCTCCGCATTCACCGGCCGCATACAATCCAGGCACGACTTGGTCTCCTTTTTCTTGAGTGTAAGAGATGACCTAAACAGTTGCCATAGGTTTGGTTTATTTTCCGTTTAACTAATTACCTGTCCCTTGTAGTTAGTTGGAATTCCTCCCATGTTGTAGTGAACTGTTGGGATAACTGGAATTGGTTCTTTAGTGACATCGACTCCAGCGAAGATCATTGCGGTCTCAGAAATTCCTGGTAATCTTTGTTGCAGTTGCTCAGCCGGCAAGTGATGAAGTTGAAGGTAGATATGATCTTTTTCTGGGCCAACTCCGCGTCCTTCCATGATTTCCATAGTCATTGAACGCGATACAACGTCACGAGAAGCGAGATCTTTCGCATTTGGCGCATATCTCTCCATGAAGCGTTCACCTTGAGAGTTGACAAGGTAGCCTCCTTCTCCTCGTGATCCTTCAGTGATAAGACAACCAGCTCCATAAATTCCAGTTGGATGGAATTGAACGAACTCCATGTCAGAATTGTTGATTCCAGCACGGGCCGTTAAAGCGGTGCCTGTAAAATATTGTTGAATTCGACATGCAGAATTATACACAAACCATCTCCAGTGCACGTGTGAGCAGAAGTGCACGAGAAGAAAGCGCGACCGTATCCTCCAGTAGCCAAAACAGTGTTCTTGGCTCTGAAGCGGTGAATGGTTCCATCCTCAATATTGAGAGCAACAACTCCCACGCAAGCTCCCTTGTCCATGATCAAGTCAAGGGCGAAATACTCAACGAAATAATTGCAGTCATACTGAAGAGAAGCTCCATAAAGTGTATGGAGAAGTGAGTGTCCAGTTCGATCAGCAACACAACAAGTTCTTCAACAACATATTATTTACTTTGTTCAAACAATTCGTTGTACCTATGAGCCTGTCCTCCGCGTCCATAATCATTGGATTGACCTCCGAAAGCTCGCTGATAGATTTTCCCATCAGCAGTACGTGAGAATGGCATTCCATAGTTTTCCAATTCGATTACTGCTCGCTCCGCTTCACGAGTCATGTAGTGAATGGCATCTTGGTCTCCAAGCCAATCGGATCCCTAAATCATTTACAATGCAAATTGTTACATTTTTTTGATAATACCTTAACAGTGTCGTAGAAATGCCAGCGCCAGTTGTCAGGATTCATGTTTCCAAGGGCAGCATTGATTCCTCCTTGAGCAGCAACAGTATGAGATCTCGTCGGGAATAGCTTGGTAATCACAGCAGTTTTGAATCCGCCTTCGGAAAGTCCCATGGCAGCACGAAGACCAGCTCCTCCAGCTCCAACAACGACGGCGTCATAAGCATGGTCGATCACATTATATTGTGCGATTCCTCCTTGCTTCACATCTCTAGAAATGAAACCATACATTAGGCTATTTAAGCTTGGTCGAACCCATTAGTTTTCGCAGTAAGAGCAATGCAGCGAGTAGAAACAGCGTTACGAAGGCCGCGGCCAGCAACACTAAGCATTGCTACCTACAAAAATACATTTAATTAAACACAATCATTTTTATGAAGCCATTTGAGTGGCTCAAGAATATTGAAAAACTGAAGAAACAAAGTGAACACGGGCGTCTTATTGTGTAAACGTGCAGAATAGAAATGAAAATTTGCTTGTTAGTTGAACGAACCGCTCGTGCATCAAGAAATGCGTCAATAGACTCTTTGCGCTTTAGAAGTGCAACATGTTCAAAGCAGAGAGAAACAAGATGTTTATGCTATGTTGCACGTAGGACACTCAAAAACGGTTACAAAATCATTGGTGTTTAAAAATAACAAAATGAATAATTATAACTAATATGGTATTTTATATATGATTACATAATTTGCTACAGCATCGAACATTCTGTGGCCTTTTTGATATTTTTATAACAATTATCTCAAATTTTTGTTGTCTAGGTAGAATGAAGAAAGCTAACAAAAATGACAACTTCATCAATTTTGCAAGCACTGAATAGTCCCTTTTCTCATTCCATGATTATCATGACATTATTCCATTCGTCACCAATATTTATTCGCAACATTCAATAAACCGATAAATAATGACAAAATCTATATTTTTGATAGTGGTGGAGCAGCAACAACATAGGCTTCTTGAATGAATGTCAGAATACCGTCTTTATTGCTATTGTAAATATGGCCAGTTATTTTTGCTTTATTTCCGCTCATCAACTCAGTTCGTGATTGCACCAAAAACCATTGTGAAACCTATCAATTTAAATGAAATTCAAAATTTTCTACTTAATATTTACCTCAACATTTGAAACATGTAACATAACTTTGTGATGAAGTGAGGCACCCGATGCAAGTCTATATCCGGAAGAATTAATAATATTTTGCGATGACTGCAGTGAAAAGAAGTCGGACAACGCAATGACGACAGTTAATCCATCATCAGCTTTCGCTTTTTCTGGAATAAAATAAAGAGTTTTCCTATAAATTGCTTAAAAACCTAAAGCCGTTGGGTGCAGCCTTGCATAGTAATTGATCCGGAAATCTCCAGGAGCAGGATTAGTTACAAGGTGATGAGGCCGAATATCAAATATAAATTTGTTTTGAAACAATGAATATCTCTTTCGTAAACGATCGGTAGGCAATTTTGAAATTTGCTTTGTTACTTCAAGAAGTTCAATCAATTGGGGAACATCTTCAACGTATTTTGGTGGTTCGAGAAGCTCATTCCCCAGTTTCACGTGAGCCAATCCGATAATTTTCTTATCATGTGACGCAATAACTCTAATAATATCGTCGGTTCGACTCAATTCGAAATGAATTGCTTTTAATGGGTCGCCTGTGGTAAACGATATTGTATTGGAAATGCGACATTCATTGTTACCTGTCGACACAAAATTATAATGTAAACTGAAAACTGTTGTTTCGTTTTTCACAAACTTTTTAACTGCGTCATATGTTTGGGCAACAACGTGACCTCCAAATAAACGATTTGGACCTACTACTCCACCAATATGAGGTCCGTCTGATCTTCAAAAAAATCAATCACATGCACGTGATTATATTTTTATGGTTACCGAAACACGTTGTCATCAATCTTTTCAAGAGATAACATGCCAGACAGCAATTTACTTCGGTTTTGATCCATCTTTTCTGTAATAATAATAATGTTTATAAATATTTTTAAAAAAAATTCGGTTAAGTTATACTGAAATCGTTTCGTTGTGATTAAGACAATGAGGGAAAACCTTGCATACGATTAGACTACAACGTACCTTATCAATAGATGTCCCTGACTAGATGATCACTACATGCATGGATTTGATAGTAGAAAATTACAGAACCATGTTTATATAAAATCAGAAAGACATAATTGAATAGTTGTGGGATTCGCTTCTGGAGATTATCAAATATGTTTTCTAGTACATTTCAAAATATTTTCATTCACGATAATGAAATTTTCTAATTAATTTCGAGTCCAAATTGCATTACAAATCAAAGATATTGTTCAAATTAATTTGGTAGGGTACATTCACGCATTGTTACAACGCTTCGTTTCACTTTTCACTTTCAGTTACCGTTTACTTAGCTACTTCTTTTCGAGATTAGATTTTCATTCCGATAACCGTGAGTTTGCTAATGTTGAAAGCCATTTGTTCATTAAAACACCTGCCTTCGTTCGACGATATTTTAAACTTCGTCTCAGTTGACTCATTCCAGTTTGCGCAATAGCATGTAACCGACTTTGCAAACCCACTTTGCCAAAAGTTTACATTTCTATACGGTTTCCGGATGAACAGACTGCCGAATTTTTCGCGCGTTCTCCATTTCACTCTCTTTTCGTACGAATTTAACCTATTATAGTGAAAAAAGTTTGTTCTGCGCAGTTGGCGAAAGAAGGGAATTCGATTTTTAGTTTTCTTTTTACTCCATCTCCAATGCGCTCTCGCACATTTCGCTGATTTCCGCGAATCTCTTCACATATGCCAAGCAAAACACACTCTATTGTTTGCATGAGCATCAATGGAGCGCGCTTGCTTTATTCTTGGGCTCGAGCTTTTTTGCATTATAACACACTCGCCGCAAATCTCTCCATTACCTGAGTATTCTTTATGAACCTATTCCGCGAATTGAATAAATGCTTTTTTTCATTCAGAAACATTAAACTTTGCTTAAAAAAGTAATACTTTCAATTTTCAAAATAAGTCTTTTACAATTTTTGGTGAAACGCAAAGAAAATTATTGTTTTGCAATGAGTCACGTTTCGCCGAAGGTCACTTTTATAATGTTTTTTTCTACATAGTAGTTTCCAAACCGTGAATTAGCATTAATGTTGGAATTTAGAAAATTTTGGGTTTTCATTTTATTCAAAAAAAAACTTTATCCAGAAATGAATTCTTTCAATCAAAATTTAACATAAACATTGCGATATTTTTTAAAATCTATTTTTGGTATTAAATTTCGTAATCGCTCAAAAATGCATGCTCTCTTTTTAATGAATTTAGCTATGACACTATGAAATATTTTTAGGTAATTCCTAAAAAAATGAACGAGTCACCGTCGGAGCCTCAAACTCATCAGCGTCAGCAGTTGAATGACATCCATTCTGTCATTACTGCTTGTCAGCACGGTCGTCCTGCTATTGTTGAAGAAGCGCTTCGGCAAGGTGTTTCAGCAAATGCGGCTGATGAGGTACCCAGTTTTTTGTTTATAATGAGTACGATTCAAAAACCAACACTTTGTTTCCTGATCGTATCTTTCTCAAAAATTCAAAACTCAATTGACTATACTCTCAGGATGGATGCTCCCTTCTTCATTGGGCAGCTATTAACAACAGAATCGAGGTCGTTAAACTGTACGTTCGTTGACATTGATGCAAAAAGCTATTTATTCTTTCAGCCTATTATCTTATAATGCCGATCCTAATGTCCTTGGAGGAGTTTTGGTCTCATCGCCGCTTCATTGGGCCGCGCGAAATGGTCACGTTGCCGTATGCGCATTGCTTGTCAAAGTAGGAATGAATGACATTGCGAAAGTGTAATAATACTGCTTAGGCTGGAGCCGTGTGTAATGTGAGAGATGCTCAAGGTTACACACCGATGCATTTGGCAATTCAAGGATCTCATGTTCCACTGGTTGCGTACTTTCTTCTGAAATTCGACTATGCGCGTGATATCACTGATAATAGCGGTGGGTGTAAATTGGAAATTGAATGGAACTTTGAAAAATTGGAGAAACAATTGCTAATTATATACTTTTAGGAATGACTCCAGCAATGTGGTGCGCATATCGCTCTTTCACAATGTTTCCACTTCGACTCATCGTAAGAAGTGGTGCTGATTTGACATTGAAAGAACATTTGATGGGAAACACTGCTCTTCATATTGCGGCACAAGAACGCAATCATTCTGCTGTTATGTATGTTGCTTGCTCCATATTAAAATTTTTTTAAAGTCACATTGTAGTGAGTTGCTGGAAGCTGGAGCAAGTGTTGCCATTCGAAATAAGCAACAAGAGACTCCACTGGATATTGCAAGAAACAACAAAAATCCACGAATTCTTGGTATTTGGTGATAGACGATATTTGGTGCCGTATTGAAGATGTTTCAGATGCTATTGAAGAAGCAGCAAGACGTCAACGAGTGGTTCGCACAAGTTTTGTTCAAAATTTGTTCGTTCCTCCAATCAGCACTTACTTCTATTTCTTCGGACCAACTATTATCTTTCTCTTAATGTGGCAACTTTTCACACACGTTCCGGTGTTTTTTGCTACTGTGATTGCTCTGATTTTCTGCATTACTGCAATGGTTACTTTGCGATTCGACTTCCACGATCCTACTTACAAACTCCTTCCGATTGGAGTAACTGTTTCAGAAGCATTAGTGATGATGATCTCATGGTAATAATCTTGTTCGTTTATTTTTTAACTATATACATTTTAAAGGGCCACTTATGCTCATTGGTATGTGCCATGGTGGGCGCAATTACTATTTGTCATTGCTTATTTATCGCTGGTGTTTTCTTTTGTCAGGTGATTTAGATTTCAATAGTTGTTCATTCAAAATTCATTTGCAATATTCAGAATTCTTCGAATGGATCCGGGAGTAGCTAGGCCAGCAAAAGACTGTCATGAGATGTATGTTCGTGAGGCGGAAGCTGGAATACAATATCAGGAAAAGTATTGCTTCTCCTGTTTTATTCGCAAGCTTGAGCACACAAAACACTGCGCAGTGTGCAATCAGTAAGTGATATAACCCTCAAAGAAAACCAATAATTTTTTTTTTAGCTGTGTGAACAAATTCGATCACCATTGCCCATGGCTTCATAGTTGTATTACAAGAAAGAATATGAGAGAATTCATTCTTTTTATTATTTCGGTTGCTGCTTCATCTGCTATTTACTTCTTCGCGACAACTCATTTTGCTCTAATTGAGATATCAGAGCATGGAACAGGTTATTTTATTGAAAAGAAATTAAATATGCAAAATTCGCAAATACATTGTAGTTTAGAGATCAATTTTCAATATTTCTGAATTAATTATACAAATTTCGCGTTGGGTAAACTATTCATACTTTCAGAAAAATTCATTGAGACCCATGCTTTTCTCATCGTTACAATATTCCTATCTGCCATGCATGGTGTGATGCTGACGGTTTTGTTTTTCGTTCAAATCAATCAGGTGAATCTATTTGATTGTCAATTGTTTAAAATCATATTGAGTTTGCAGATCTCAATGAATGTTACTACTCATGATCGTATTAAAGCAAATCGCTCCCATAGCCACACTGAACGCAACAAGCATGATCGACACAGTATAATTCACCAGCCAATCACTATTTCGCAAAGATGTCACAATCTTCTTGAGTTTTGCTCATCGAATGGGGATCCCAGTTGGTAAAAAATACCAACCTTTTTTTATGTACATTTATTAACTTGTCTAAATTTCAGTATAATTTAAGGACAAGTCTAATCAATTCTTATATTTAATGTATATTGTGTGTTTTTGTTTACAACGACTACTATCCGTGTCAAATACTATCATGGTTGTGGGAGACCCGGTTGTTTCATCTTCCCCGTTGACTCTTCGGACCATTCAATTTGCGCTTTTCTTTTCACTCGACTATTTTAATTCTTACTTCTTAATTTGATCTCTCCTATTGGAGTTTTCTCCCAACGCTAGAATAAACAAGTTTTTTCAAATAAATATGTATATTTTGTTTTGATTTTTGATATATATGGGAAACTTGCAACTCGAATGCTCATAACAATCTACTCAAGCACAACATATTATTACTTTAGCTACTCCCTATTGTTATCAAGATAACCCTATATATATATATATATATACATATAACATTTGTTCATTTCTAACTATTCATGAATCGTCTTAGTAGTAGTTACACCTGTTCTATTTCGAGCATTGTACCTTGAAAAATCAAATTATAAGCACTTACCAGAAACATTTTTAGCTTTGAACATTTGCTTGTCGTTTGAATCAGCTGCTCATGATCTCCTACATGGCTTCCGTTTTTGTGAAAATGAACTCTACTTATTTATTTCCAAATTTATCAAATGTTGAAAGGTTTTTGAATTGAGCTCAACATATGAAATGAGTTATGAAATAGGATTGCCCAATGTTCTTTAATAATTTACTTTTGATTCATCATTTTGAGCATCCATAACTATGATTAATATTATCGTATTTCCAATTATTTAAAAGTGTTTAGATATTTTTTTGAAATCTTTAATAAGGTTTAAAAAAATGAAACAGAGCTAATGATCCAACTTGAAAATTACGGCGTGATTCTGATTTTTGTTGTATTATCACGACAAAAGACACCCTTATATATATTTGTATTAAAAAGTAATTATGGTTTTTAAATCGGCGGCACCATTTATTCAATGCCAAAGAACCCATTAAACTGTAATGTTCGATTCGCTAATCTCTTATTCTGATCTCTGCAATCCTTTTGTTTTTTTTTGCAAACGACTGGAATGAGATTTTAGCATCTTTACACTGGTATTTATAAATGGTTATTTGTAGATAATTCGACAATTGCCGCTTTTTTCAAAGAGCATCAAGGTGAAAAGCACTGTTTGCTCAACAATTATTTAAGAATGTTGAACAACATTTCCTCTTACTGCATGCATAACACATAGCATTCGTCCACAACATTTCAACAGCATTTTGGCTGAAAACAATTGAAGGAGTGTCAAACAAACGACATTTCGAGATAACCTGATAAGGAATGCGGGTTTTAATGGTTTTCTTTGCGAGTGTTTGCCAAACCCTTTTCACGCACGTTCGTTGTATTTTTTGCTCATCTCTATACATGAGTGCTCTTCCACGTGAGATTAGTGGATTTTTCATTCGAAATGTGCTAATTCTTTTTTCATCGTAAACCGGAAGATTCGATCCTTCATCGTCGTTTCGGCACAAAATCTCAAATAAGCACATTTCTTGAAATCATCGAAATGCAATGAATCATGACCGGAAATTTTTACTCGAAAGTTTTGTGCAGATTTTTTCTTTTTCTTTCAAATTTGATGAAATATTTTTGTGTTTTATTATTATGAAAATTCATATCAATTTGTGATGGACACTTGACTCTAAATGATAACGATAACCAATCTGGAAACCCCCTTATATGCTGATGAAACACATTTTCGGCAGTAAACAAAATCTGTTGCATTTATCACCAACAACAACTTGATACAATCTTCGAAATCTGTTTATCTAGAACATAGTCATTCGTAGAATTTTTTCTTTTCATGGAAACAAATGAGAAATCCATAGTGCTAATTGAAAATTTCCTGTTGACACCTAAACATTAGAGAATCTATTGAGAAATATTATTATATTGAACCGGTTTTGAACTTTTGAATGTTATCCTTAAAAATCTAACTGTTTTCTTGCCAAAATATAAAAAAAACCGTTTTTATTATTGATATATATATATATATATATTTATATATGTGTATTTAGTTAATTCTCCGAGATGCGTTTCTCTACATGACGAGAATTTATTGACTTCATTCTCTTAGCAATAATTTCTGTTAAATTGACTACCTTTTCCAAATTGTACCAAAATATTTTGTTATTGTCAATAGATAACTAGAATCCTTATTTACAGAATATGAGAACAAACGCCTACATTTTTTTGCGCACATTTCATGAGATAATTATTTCTAACAATACCTTTGCACCTCCTTTTTTGAGCCTTTCATCTTCTGTTAATGACGTGATCTCGTGTGAAACGAATGGAACGAAGCGGAAGAGATAATTTGTGTGCGAATTTCTTTGTTCAACACAAATATATCAACCTTTTTTTCCGCAGTTTGTGTGTGATCCGTGTCGATGGAACGCTGACTAATTGCTTTGCTTTATTGTTGGTAAAACAAACGTCATTGTTAGTTTTCTGAAAGGACTGTTTCGATAATTCAGAAATATCGTTCACTATACGTTTGTTTTGCTGTGCTGCTAATCTATTATTCCTTAGAACCCATTTTTTAAAGTAAAGTTGCATTTATAATTAAACGATATAACGTGAGCATGATCTACGAACTTCTTTTCAGTGTACCTTTAACATATCGTCGGCATCCGGTGATTAATGTATGAGGGTAGATTTACGGGCTTTCGCTACGATCACGCAAAAAACCCCATTTTTGGAATTTTTTGATTTCAATGACATTTGAAAATAAAGGAAATGACAAACTTTCCAAAAAATTCTACGTTAAAATGAGTAAAAAAAAATATTCTCGAATCATGAAAAATTACAGAATTAGCTTTAATTTTTTTTGAACTTAAGGAAAGTAATAGGAACATTTATAGGCTATTTGATTTTACTTGAGTGTTCGCTCTTTAACCTTGGTCAAACGCGTTAAAAATTCGCTAAGACGTGAATGCCTAAATGACTTTTTCCCGCGAAATTAACACTGTTCTTGTTGTGGTTCTTAATTTTTTTTTTGAATTCAACCGTTTTTGAAATTAAAAAAAAATTAATTGTTCCAAGCAGAATAAAATCTTGAAAAATGTAGAGAAAAATTTCAAAACAAATAATAATACTTTTTTTTTCTTTGCTGCATTTTTTCAAAATTTTTTTGGTGGTAATTAAATGAGCCAACAATGAAATACGTTTATAAATATCCGAAATAAATTGTGGTTAATTTCGCAAAATAGTACGAATGTTGATCAGCATGTCTCTTTTGTGGGGTTTCACACCTAGATTGCAAAAACGCTTATAAAATCGTTAATTAGAGACACCAGAATGAAATTTGGAGTCTTAGCAGCACGTTTCCCTAATATCTTTTGTTTATTGTATTAATTTTGGAACTACGGTATTTGTTATTGAAAATAAACGACGAATATCTACAACTATTTATCACATCTTTATTAGCTGATTGTGTCCATTGTATACGTCTATTTATTTATCTATATATATATATATATATATATATATCCTGAGAGCGTGCGTATCCTCTATAAATTTGTCTTTTCATAGTTACTCTGAAATGAAAATGCGCTGCGTGTGGTGGTAAATACAAATCTTGAGCACAATATCCTCTCATTCCTGTTGGAAATTCAAAAGAATTCCTTTCACATACACAATAATCGTGATTGCGGATAACGAAAAGAAATTCTTGTTGCGAAAGACGGGACAGATTAAGAAATAGTTGTGATGCCATACCGATTGTTTGTTCGCCAATTCATTCGAATATCTCTATTATCGCTATTGTCAAGCCACTGCGTTTCACTTCTATTATTTAATCCTAGTCGACTAGCACAATGCCAATTTTTCATTATCCTCTTTATTTAAACCTCCACACTTCTTCCCCACTTCACATGTTATAATAGCTTATCCTAGCTCAATTCATCGTTTTATCCAGAATACATGTTACTCTCAATGCAAAGTTCAAACAGTTTGGGTTTATTTTAAATTTCCTGAATAAAAATAGCACGTGCTATGTAAATCAAAAAAACAATTTTTCTTTTTAAAATTTTCAATTAAATATTGAATGTAACACATTTCAGCAAGCACGTTAATTTTTGTGAATTTATATTTTCCGAAAACAAAAATTAATTTCGAGCTTAAACGGAAAACGTTTAAGAAAATAATTTCTCCCGGCATTTTTTTTGCACTTCCAAAAAAAATTGAAGTAAAATATTAATTTATCGGTTTTTATTGATATTTTCTCTCCTTTTTAGGCGATGAAATGAGAACGAAAAACTACCGCAATTTCCTTATTACCTACAATTACGATTCTCGCAATTTTCAAAAAAGACCCCATAGTTTCCCTCTTCCGCCTACTTTCAGTTTAGAATTTCACAATAACAATGTTTTAAAAGAGTATTTTCAGATTTTCTCCTTTAAAATATGGTAATTCTATATTGCAATCGAGTCTCTGAATCTTTTTAGCTTATTGACATTTTAGGATACAATCATAAGGAGAAAAATGATAAGATCCACGTAAATTTAGTTGTGATAATTATCGGTCGACATTGTGACACACTACGCTGATGGACAGGAAAATGAACATATTTTCTTCGAAACCCAGACATAAAAATTTTGTGATATTTGTGAGGAATCTGCGTTTAGAATAGAATATTATTTGAAACCACGATTTAATAGGACCGAAACCTTATTTGTTTCATTACATGATAATCTCACGTTCTCTTCGTTTCGTCATAATTTAAATTAGTAAACCGAATTTCCACATTCATTTTTGAATGTTTTTTCATGAATATAATATATTTAATTTTTTATGTCTTTTCAATTTGCACCTCGTATATAAAAAGGTTAATTGAGACGAGTATTATTCTATAACAAAAGCAGTATTGCTAAGCTCTTATTAGACGATATTTGTTCAATAGAAACGGATTATGACAAAGTTAGACTGAACCAGCTCCTTCGGTTTCACAATTGTTATCAGCCTTACTTGACATCCTTCATTTTTGTTGCATTCCCTTTTGAGGTTTGCATGTTGACAATAAATTTGTCGTATTCTCAAATGAAACTACGGGCAATCACAATCAAATTTCAAGGTTTTTTCTCAAATTTTCGTACGCTTTTGATATCCTAACATTGAATTATGTTTGCGGCGGTCATAAACTAATAGAGAGTTGCTTTTTGGTTGAAAAATGAATGATTAACTATCCAATAATAAACCGACAATCCAATTTTGTTGAATGTTTAAGAATAAGTAGTTGCCTTTTTCCAATTGTCTTTTGTGTTTCATGCGGCGAATAAATACATATATTTGCTATCAGACTAATTTTGTTATTATTTCCATTTATTATCCATATATTCAAAAGCTATTCGAAACCTTGTTTTCCATTCAATGCTAAATTGAAAAGAAATTGTTATTATAGAAGGTTAATGAGCACCAATTGATATTCTTCACCTGCGCGAGTCTCCTTTCGGATTAAGATACTTATGTGCATACATAGACAAAAGCGCGTGTGCATTTCCCAAGTATTCTAAAATAGGAATTCAATAATAAAAATCCTTATGTCGTTTTGCTCATGATTTCATAACCAGTTTTCAGATGTCCTCCGAATTGGTCGCCGATCATTTATCAATTCATGTTGTTCCATTAAATAAATCGCCCGGCAAATCAACCCCAACATCGGTGAGCCCAGCTTCTATTGAGTCGCCTAAACCACCGAAAAAGACTTCGGAAGTCACACCCCGTATAAAACGGCCAATGAACGCATTCATGGTAATTTAAAATAAAATAAACAAACATTTCGAAACTGTTTTCTTTGCAGGTCTGGTCACAAATTCGGCGACAAGAAATTTCTTCAACTGGCGGAAAATTTCATAACTCTGATATTTCTAAAATGTTGGGAGCCGAATGGCGAAAAATGGCTGATGAAGAAAAGCTTCCGTTTGTTCAAAAAGTCAATAACTTCTTTTTACAATAAGTAATAGTTGAAGTTAAGGCTCGAGAACTACGTGAGGAGCATTTCCGCGAGCATCCCGATTATGTATACCGACCACGACGAAGAAAGCGAGCTGTGAAAACTGCAAGCACCGAATCGACAAACAGTTCAACCGACGAGTTTCCAGTGGATGCTTCAAACTTACTTCCATCGCTTCTACTTAATCAAATAATTTATCAGCATCTGATTAATCAGTTGAGTCAGCAACAGCAGCAACCAACGACGGTACCGCAGAATGTTACGACGAATACCAATGTTCCCACTAATCAACAACCATCCCTCTCCCTTTAAAGCTCATAATTTAGTTAAAATACCAATTTTAACCAAATATTTATTAAACTATTAAGTTACATTCCCCAATTTGAAACACATTGTTTCTACCTACTCATGATGCTTCGCATTCGCATTGTTGATTTAACACGACAACGTTAACCAAATTTCAGGAGAGACTAGTGCGTGTTTTCCTTTGATCTCCTCGCAATTTTTATCAATAATTAACTCACCCTCTCTATTTATTAACTGCTTAATGTTATAAAAGTAAAATCCATACTCTATCTGTTAAATAAAATTTAATAAAACGTTTTTTGATAATTTCTTAAGGATTATCAATAACTTATTTTGAAATTTTAAGTTTAACCCAAAATCCTTTTCATCAAATAGAATCCTCATTAATTTTAAGGTACAAACTTTATAATTCATTTTAAACATGTCTCCGAAAAAAAAATAGTCATTACATTCAACTTAGAATATTGATGCTATGAACGCGGCAATGAATGGAACGATCAAACTAATTGTAGAAGACGATTCAGTTGTTGTCTCATATGTCGTCGTTAACTCCGGGGTTGTCATTGGTTTTGTTGGTTTTGTTGGTTTTGTTGGTTTTGTTGGTTTTGTTGGTTTTGAAGTTGGCTGAGTGGTTTGCGTCGGTTTCTCAGTTGGCACCGAAGGCGACGTTACAGGAGGTTGCGATGACTGTGAAGCTGTCGACGAAGGCACTGTAACGCATAAGTATTGATTTATATGTATCACCTTCTATATTTTTCTTTAAATACCATTTTGTGTGGTTGAAGAACTTGATGCATATTTCGTTGGTCCAGTAGATGTAACAACGCCCAAAGTTGTTGTCACAACTTCTGACGTGGTACTAGGGGAAAGGGAACTAGATGGGGTGGTTTGAAGAATTATTGGTTTGGTTGTAGTTTGGGTGGTTGGGTTTGTAGAAGTTTGCGTTGTTTTAGTTGTAATTGGGATCGTTGTTGTTAATGGAGATGGGGAATTGGTAACTGTTGTTGCGACCGGAGTTGTGATGATTCCAGCTGTTGTACTAGGAGATTGCGTAGTACTGCTAGTATGAGGTGACGTAGTAGAAGCTACTGTAATAACCCAAGGATTCGTTTTTGTTGTTAAATATTGCGAGGTCAAATCTGTTGGAAGGGTGGTTAAATTATAGGAGAATTGAATTAGTTGTGGTTTCAGTTTCATAGAGGGGGAAGTAAGCTGATTTACGTCTTCATAGTAGAATTCGGTTAACATTTTTTTAAGCTGATGTGATCGTTTAATCATTATATGAGTTTAGAAAACTCAAACATGTTGTGCTTATGGGTGTTTCCTTAACTATTGTAACTAAAACTTACGAATTGATACTGAGGATTGTGGGCCTACAGTTGTCGAAACAGTGGTTGGCAATGAGCTCGAAGAAGTCACTGACTGAGTAGTAGTAAAATTTGGCACATTTGTGGTTTTCGTTGGGGTACTGGTCACTTTTGAAGTAGATGTAGCAGCTGTGTTTGATGTCTATAAAATTATATTTTATGTTTTTAGAAAATTGTAGTCAACATTACTATTTTAACAAAACTATATTTCTTTTAAATAATTTTTTTTCCAAAACTAACCTGTGTGACTGGATTTTCTGTTGTGACCCGGTTAGCTGTTGTCGTTGATTTACTTGGACCATTTGTTGTAGATGTTTGAGGCAATAAGACAACAGTTGGCTCTAAACGCAACATAAGTGATAATAATCTTCAAGCATAACAATACTATTGCATCCTCCTTCGTAACCATAAGAAAATTGACCGTTTTTACCGCTTACAAAGTATGTGTAAAATCCGGTCATAGTTGAATTCGAATGTAGCAAATGATATCCGGAGGTTGCAACTGTTTTTGCAAAAAGGTAATATTGCATTCCATTCATTTCTTGAGTGGACTTAGCATCATTTAGATTGAAAACTTTTTGATCATCAAGCATTAATTTTGAACAAATCGAGATTGTACAGTATATTTCAACTGTGTCGTTTTGATTTAAAGTGTAAAACGCCGATGATGTGGAAATGTATTGTGTTGCAGTGGGAACAGAGGCAATGAAAGCTCCAATTGCTCCAATGTTATTATAATTCAACCCGTTATAATAACGAGCAATGTGAATGTTGGAGCCACTGTAGTACCAGGTTCAAAATTATTTTCATAGGAGAGATAATACCTGTTACTGAATACAGTTGATTGTTCAGAATCAACAGTTGTGCGAACAGTGAACAGTGGAGATTCCATGTTATGCTTAATTCTCAATGTTACTGCAACATTATCGTTTAACGTGCTAGTGATCTGTAAATATAAAACGTGGAAACTATTGACGAACATGCGCACATTTTGATCGTAATTGCATGTTCCAGGAATATCAGTAAAATATTGCTTGGATGTCGCCAAATATGTCAAGTGGCTATCAACATAAAAATCGTAATTGTAACAATCTAAAAGCTTGTGATTTTATAGTTTCATAAATTTTTCTAATACCGCTGGCTGCTTGTGGATGAGGCATATAAACAACATGATCACATCTCGATGGATCTGCTCCGGCGCATGTTACTCCCGCGACAATCTGATTTCTTTAGTTTTTATTGCATAACAAATTCAACATACCAATACTGGGGTATCCGAAAGAATATGGTAAGTTCGAGGAATGTTATCAGTAACTCTATCACCAACATAAACAGCTGGAACATTTCCATATTTAACCTGAAAAATAGTACTTGTAAAAAAAATTTAATTTATACTTATACCTTAAATGTTAATTCGGAATGAGCATTTCCAATTTCGAAAAATTTCACATTTGCATCGGCCTGAAAGTATTGCGTTTATCATTTATTACTAATACTACAACGAAATAAGTTACCTCTGTTGGAAATATAAAAACTTGTTCGTAATGGTTTGCAATTGCTGAACGTGTTGATGGAGGAAGCGAAAATGTAAAACTAGTTGATCCCCATGTTTTTGGAAGAACTGAATTCAACAATAAATTCATCATACGCACATTTTTAAACCAAGATATGAATCTCCTTGAGAAGTATTGTTGTCATAATTATGGGCAATAAGTGTAACAGGGCATGAAGAAGTAGCATAAAGAGCCAGATAAACATCATCTTGTTCTCCATTTCCTGCATAATTGTAACCATACCAACTCGGGATTTTCATCTAAATGTGATAATTTATTATTTTAATTCATATTTTTTGCATTTCTTACATCATAAGCCAAATTAGGTTGAACAATAACATTGTTTTCTAACGGTAGAGTAGCTTTATGATAATCGGGTCTATAAATCAGTGTAAAGTTACATCCAGCATCATTTCGATTCAGAACTAAATATTTTTTTTTCATTAACAGGCGAATATTGAAAACCTGTAATCCACAAGGTTTGATTTGAAATATCAGGATTTGCGTTTCGCACGAATCCAAAAACAAACGATGTTCCTTCACTATCAATAGCATAACTGTAGCTCACAAGAGCCGTCAAAACTGAAATTTAATGTAAATAGGTATGATTCACAATTAGTGTCAAACCAACATCATTATGATGTGTCAATACGTATCGATCTAACGTGATTTCTATACATACCGCACCCAAAAATGATAAGAAAACAAAAAACCGTGTTAATTTTAGAAGCTGAAGTGTAATATTATGGGCATAATAATGTTTCAAACCATTTGTATGATTGTATTATGAAACCTAAGCGAAAATAATATTGATAATTTTAGCATGATTCGTGTAGACTCTTGGGATCATTCTAATTAAATTCTTTTAGAACGACACTATATAAAAATAAAGCTTCATTTAGTTATTGAAATAACTTTTATTCGAAAAATTGCGTTACAGGTTTTAAACTATGCAAAGTGATGCACTTTTATAACCGTTATAAAATGTTTAATAATTTGTGCTTCAGAAATTTTATGTGGTGTTTTACTACCCGCAAACCAATTCCACGTCAAATTAAACTTTAGTGCTTATGCCGTACACATTGTCTTTTGATCAGAAAATGCAAATTGGATAGTGCTATCACATTGTGATAATTTCTTTAATGCAGTTTAATTGCAACAGACATTCCGATAAAGGTGGAAACACAATGATGTGGACGTTTTAACAGTGTTAAAAAGCGAACTAGGAATTTGTTAAACAAATAGTAAAAAGATCTTTATGACACCTAAAGAGAAAATGTCACTTTAATATTTATTTAGGAAAATATTTTATTTCAAAAATTTTCCAAAAGAAATATGTAATACACAAAATTTCTCTCCGTTGATAGGTGGAACCAAATATTTGCAGCTTATTGTTCTTTTTGCCGTAATAAATTCTTACCATATAAATGAATTGTAAAGTAGTTTCTTTTAAGAGAATTTCAGTTTTAATGTGTCGACTTAAAAATTCACTCAAAAATTGATATTTCTAAAGATATCTATAATTTCATTTGCTTTGTTGTAAAATGCTAAAAATTTTAGAGCATTCCTGGAATTGGAATATTTCTTTAAACCTATATTGAAATAACACAAAAATGAAACTCCTACCTGCCACTGCCTGCAACGAACGCATACTGTGCCAATGATAAGAATGAAGCATCGTCTCGCATACGCCTTTGACAATTGCCGACCTTGCTCTCTCAAATTTTGAAAATGTAAAAATTTCTGCATTAACTTTATTTTATACTGTGAATAACTAAGTAATTGGTGACGCGGGAATAAATTTGGGTAATAGGCAATTCTATAAAGGTCAATTACAATGAAACAATCATCGGGACATTTTTTGAATCATCGGGATATTGTTAAAGTTGTTTGTGGAAATTGCATAATTTTCGATAAGCCTACCGTTGGGGAATAATATAGGGAAGTTATAATCTGGGGAGGGTAAACTATTTATTAACATCAATGATGGAGTTTCTCATCATCAGTCGGCAGAGCCTTGTAAACGGCCAATGGGCGTTTTTCGTCGGCCATTACTAAAATGCAAATACTGATTAGGAGCATTTTTTATTTAATGAAATTCACCGATCGAGTGGCTTCTAGTAGCAGCAGCGATGCGATCGTGGTTTTCGAGATCAGCCTTCGAATAATGGTAGACGATGCCTGCACCCATAGCATCACCAAGAACGTTGATAGAAGTACGAATTCTGTCCCTAAATAACCCAAAATCAATTTTCACTTCTTATAAACATAACGAACAAGAGCCAATCAACAGCAACAATAAGAGAAACGTCCTTAACCGGAAGTCCAACAGCGGTAAGAACAAGAAGCATAGTGACCAATCCAGCTGACGGAACAGAGGCAGCTCCGATTGAAGCAAGAGTAGCAGTCAAACTGACAGTGACAACTTGTCCAAACGACAAATCAACTCCGTTTATTTGTGCAATGAAGATGGCAGCGACAGCTTCATACAATGCAGTTCCATCCTGAATCATCGATTAGAAAAATCTAGTCGCGTAGAAAAAATACCATATTAATTGTGGCTCCAACAGGCAACACGAATCTCGTAACTCTACGGTCAACACCCAAGTTTTGTTCAAGACAGTTAAAGGTAATTGGCAAAGTAGCCGAGCTAAAAGTATGGATTTCTATGAGATGTTTTAGGTTCTGGTCATACCTGGAAGCTGTTCCGAGAGCGGTGATCCATGCTTGAAAGAGACCTTTCATGAAGAGATATGGGTTCTTTCTTGTGGTGAGGAAAAAGATCAACGGAATTGAAATCAAGGAGTGGATAGCTAATCCAGAGAGAACAGTAACCATATACATAGCAAGCATACGAGCAGTATCAGCCAAATCGTGAATTTCAAGAATTTTTCCCATGATCATACAAAAGATTCCGAATGGAGAATACCTGTGAAAATATGTCACCTATAAAATGTTTCGAAATATGATATTACCACATGACAGTCATGACTAGCTTCATGATAACTTTATCCATGATGACGAAGAATTGAACCATAACATTGGCCTCTTCTCCAAGCTGAGAAAGACTGATTCCGATAGCAATGCAGAAAACGATAACTCCTTAATATAATTTTTTTTCAAAAAAAAAAATGGTTATAATATGTTTTGTACCAAGAACATTCATTCCACTCGTGTATTCAACAGAAGCTTTGACATAGTCAAGACTTCCGTTGTTGAGAAGGGCTAATGTTGCCGAATCATTGTTTTTTACTACTTTCGGACGGACTTTAATGTATTTTGTTTGGACTTGCTGGAAAGTAGCCTGGACGACATTTTCTGGGAACATGTTCCTATAATGCAATACAAAAAACAAATATTTTCAGTTTTTTTCCATTCTACCTGAGAAGATCAAGAAGAGTGTCAACAGTGCTCACAGTTTTTCCTTCCGTTCCGGTTCCAATTTCCTTCTTAATGGTTGGATCTCCTGGGTGAATAATGAGAACCAGCAGGATTCCAGTCTGTAATTATCGATTGACGACTATTCAGTATCGTATTATAGCGTACAATGACAGCAACGATTGTGGTGATTACGTAATAGCTCACAGCAAGAGTTCCAAGTTTTCCAGATTGTTTTGCATCAAGTTGAGCAAGGCCTAAAGGGTAAATTTTACAGGAATTTTTATTTATGACCGAACCAGAGATAAGCGAACTCATGATCAATGGTAGAATCATCATTTTGAGCATATGCATGAGCAGCTCTCCAGGAAAACTGATATACATAATGTTCTGTAAACGATTTATATAACTTTGACTATATTTTTTGTGTTTTATCTACCTGGGGGCTGAGCTCTAATCCTCGAAGAGCAAATCCGCATAATGCTCCAAGGACGACCGATGCAATGGTCAACACCAATAGCAAGTTTTTCCGTAACCAGGAAATCATCTTGAAAATAAAAATTAATAGAAAATGGTAGAAAATAAGAATCTAACAATAGCTCAACACAACAGAAACAAATCAAAAATTAATGTTTTCTAACGACATCAAAACCATATTGAAACAAGTGTTCTAAACAAAAAATGATCGGTAAATGCTTAACAACAAAAAATTGTTCGTGCATTTTGCTTACGACTTGTTTATTTATAGGCATATCTGGAGGCATTATTCAACTTGTCCGACCTATAATTGTTTGCCAGTTGATATTGGGAAGAGTAAATACAGTGATATTAAAAGCTGCACGTATTGACTTTCCGGATTCAAACACGCTTTTTTATGTGATGTTTGTCAGTAAAAGATTAGGCTTTTCGGTTTTTTTAAATGAAATATTGGAATTAGTAACCGAGGTCATGAACAACCAACCCGAAACAACCTTGAATTGACAACTGATTTATTTGGGGTGGGGCTATACATTTTTGCGCAACTTTTTAAGTGAAGAGATGATTATGGCGTGCGAGGTTGACATTGAATCGCATTGACGTTTCGAAAAAATTATTTGACGATTTTCATGGCGCATCGCGTCTAGCTCAGAAGGTCATTATACACACTCCAAAACCGAAATTGGCCCAAAAAAACTGCATATAGCGCCCATCATTTAAAAACACAAATGAAAGAAAACTGACGAAAAGCTCTATTTCCCTCCGACATTGGATAAATATCAATTAGCATACTTCACCACATAATTGGATGCTCAAAGAAACGTCGACATTTAGAGAGAAACCCAAAAATATGTTTGTATATGTTTTGCTTCGATTTTTTTTTCGGAATCCAGCAAACAGATAATTTTCCTTAAAACAATTGAGTTCATTTCAAAGAAACAATTAATATACGTTGGGTTTTTAAAATATTTAAATTGTTCCAAATGTAAAAATAATATTACTCCACCATCAAATTCGTAAAAAAATCACTACCGTTTATTGAAGGTAATCATTCTAGTTGATGGTTTGGTTAAGATGAATAAAAATTCAAACTTTCATAAGAATTGATTTTATTTATTTTGACAATTGAAAAAAATAAAATTTTTGACGAAGGAAATATGATTTGTGAAAGAATTGAAATGCCAGAATGGGAGAAATGAAAAGAATTGGATTGAATTTATCAGAAAACTTACATATTCAAAAAGCATTCCGCCAAAAAATATTTTAACATTTCGACTAGCATATTTTCGTGCATTCCTCTTGAAACGCAGATATTTTAAGATGCTTCCTTTTTTTGGAAAACTGTGAAAAAATTAAAACATTGAAGTTCAGCAGAAGTCATTTTGGCGCATGTTTCAATTCCTCAGAGAGTAAATATAAAGTACATTGTTTAAAAAAAATATATTGACTAGTCATCAAAATTATCATCGAGCTTTCTTTGCTGATTAATTTGATAATATCAATTGAATTATGTCGGAGAAATGTCTGAAAACGAAAAGTACGAAATGACTAAGCATTTCAAAATAAGAGTACAAACCTTCTTTCTGAATGGGTGTCATATTATCGCGATCAATGAGCAAAATTCTCGTGTTACTATTCATGCGACATTCATAAGAACTATATTTCGATTTTGGTATATCTAATGGGGCATTCTCTTGATGCGCCATTTTTCTGATTTGTTTTTTAGGACGTATAAGGAAACAGCCAAGTATTGAAGACGTTTTAGGCTATATATATATATTTTTTTTAACACCTTATTCAATAAAAAGAAAGATGATTGCCGTTGATGACAATTGGCTGATGCGTTGAGTTTGTGCGATTTTTTTTCAGAACAGCTGCCGTCCGTGGACTCTCAGAAAACTTGGAGATGCATAATGAAAGAATGTAAGGACCGCTTTTCATGAAATGTCACGCATGTTGAAACAAAAAATGCGCTTTATTACTACTTATAAGTGGGCTTGGCATCACAGAAAACAGGAAATCACATGAAAAAGAAAAAGAAAACATGCACAGAATTGGTCGGAAAACAGAAAACGCAAAAATTGAAATTTTTTCATTGTCAATAACCTTATCTCGTTATCTTGTCACTTTTGATTGTTTTATCAAAAATTGCTCGTTTTTTGTTTATTGAGATGATATATATATATATATATACTGGCCATAATGATGTTCGCCTAGTGTTTTTTAAGCATAACTTGGCTCAAACGCAGCCGAGCGGGCTGAAATTTTTACCATATCTTTAAAACGCGTTGAAAATGCGTTTGAATGATATCGCATACTGCAGAAAAGTTTTTTTTTCGAAAAATCACAAATTTCATAAAAATGCGGAAAATAGAAAAAATGACACAATGTGATTTGAAAGTCTCAGAAACCCGAAAACGTTACAAATGTGTAGAAAACCGGTTTTTAATTCATCAAAACATTGTTGCGTATCCCTTGGCATCAATAACCGCTTGACATCTGCGAGGCATCGAGTCCAAGAGGGTGTGGATCACTGCATCGGAATGACACTCCATGCGGCTTCGAGTTGAGCGAACTTCTCGTCGGCGATTGATGCTCGGAGCCCTCTAACCATGCGTACTAGTTCTTCCCAGAGATGTTCGATCGGATTATGGTCCGGAATCTGCGATGGCCATGCAAGAATATCAAGTCGGCGTCGCTGGAACCAATTCTTTACATGTCCAGACGTGTGCTTAGAGTCGTTGTCTTGCTGGAAAACGAATGTACGTCCGACGTTTGCCAATGCCCAAGGTCTCATTGTGATTTCCAGGATAGCCTTGTACTGGTACCGGTCCATGATTCCATTTACACGTCGTAGCGGTCCCATGGCGGCGTCGGAGAAGCAGTCCCAGACCCTGCAAGATGCTTTACCGTTCGGAGCTGGTACTTTGGCATGAATCAGGCTCCAATAGGTCGACGAATCCACTTTATTCCATCAGTTCCGAACAAGTTGAACTTCGATTTATCGCTCCAGATGTGTTTGGCCCATTCACATCGTCCCCAGTTCAGATGATCCTTGAACCATGCCACCCTCGTCTTTTGGTTCTCCTCACTGATCAATGGTTTCTTCACCGGGCGTCTTCCATGAAGTCCATTCTCCACCAAACGACGTCTAATTGTTCTTCTGGATGGCATTGAAGCATTTGGCGTTGCCACAAGTATCTGGATATCTGCTGATGTCCGTCTAGGATCTTCTCTTGAAGCTCGACAGATGTTCCGATCTTGGAGCCTAGTAGTTTTGCAAGGTCTACCATGTGATTTCTTAACAAAAATGCAGCCCAATAGATTAAAAAAAGTCCAGAATGATTAAAAAATTGTAAATTTAGTCGTAATCGTTGCAAAACTTTTTGGATTCCTCTTCGGGAGAACAAGAACTGCTGAGCCAGAGAGCTTCTGGATGACCTAGCCTTATGACCGTTGACGATCGCTTTTTGAACGTCCGCCGTGAAATTTTTCTCTCCAGAAGGTTGAAAAATTACAAAAAACATGTTTCAAGTTCAAATTTCAAATAAAAAAAATTTTATGGACGAAGTTTGAAAAAAATGAAAAATTGGTAAAATCGAAAAAAACAAAAAAAATGAAAAAAAAAATTTTTTCAAGATGATGCAATCTTGTCGTTTCCAAGGTTGCGCAACTGTGTTTAGCGTTTACAGTAAAAAATTTCAGCCCAATCGGCAGCGTTTGAGCCAAGTTATGCTCAAAAAACACTAGGCGAACATCATTATGGCCAGTACTGTATATATATGTGCTATTACTAATTTTCAAAAAATAGGCAATGGAATTGTTGGGATATTGGAGAAATTTTATGAACGATATAAGTAATTTTATGTTGGCTAAGCAAAAATATTCTATTTTAATATTTATAATTACATTTTTTATATTGCTTTGTTGAATCATAACGCAAATCATCCAGGACATATTGAATGGATCCATAATATTAACTGATGAACACAGATTCGTGATTCATTGATATGTCTGGTCAATATGCCTTGTTAGACGCGTCATTGAAATTCGTAAAAAATGGAAAAAAAATTATCACAGAGCGACTGTTTCAAAATTTATTTCTCGACCAATTTACTTTGTAACACATACTACAGACCAAGAACAAATAACTGAAATCCAAAGCAAAAAAAACGCATTATATAAACAAAATAGAAGCAAAGTTTGTTTAATTTATTTCAAAGAATGGCTCAGTCTCTTATAAATAATTAAGAGAGGGTTGTGAAAAATGAAAATAAAACACGAAAAAGCTTACTGATACCAGTGGTAAAAGATACAATGTCAATAAACAGAGATATGTTTGCATTTTCACTTCAGACAGCTATTGGACAATATCAGTAAGATTTGAAAAGAAAGACGTTCTTTAAAGAAACTAGTTCCAATAAAAATCGTTGCGCCAGTCGTCATTTAAACATATATAATTTTTGGTTAAAACTTGAAGTTTACCCAAAATCGCTCATTCCATTATTTATCGCATTCTAGTAGCCATAAATGGAGAAAAAAAACGATGAATGCCCAAAAATAGTAGAAAAAGCATTCAAAGCAAATGTCGTGAGAAATAATGAAATATTTGAAGTTTGGGAATTTCTATGCCATCCACAATTTGAAGATTATTGTGGGCAAAATTATGAAAAGAAATCATTCAATGCTCTTCGTAGTTGTGGAAAAAAAGTCGAATGCCTAACTTTTTTTAATTAAGAAATTTACAATACCATTATTAGTATATGGGACAAAAAAATCTGGTATGAACGTAAAGCAGCCAGTATAACTCTTTCAAACGCAAACCAGAAGAATATTTCATAACAATCCAATTTTGTTGTTTTACTGCTATTTTTACAGTTGAACCAATTCATCGGAAATGTTCAGACGTAACAAAGCGAAAGTACGAACAAAAATGTTCTCGAACAAATGAAAAGCGTTATCGTTCATACTTGTACATTTATACCCATTTCTATCCTTTTTTATTTTTCACTTCTATTGATTAAAATTAAAACTATACTGAATGGCCTTGATAAAGAAAATTGAACTAATTTTTTTTTTAATATTAACTCTTTTTGTATTTTTCTATTCGCCTTCAATATTTCAAAGAAATCTATCATAAACCAGACCAAGGTTACTTTTATCCGATTAAACATTCCAATGTGATTGAAAATGACAGCCGAATCAATTGTCAAAATTGTCGGTCTCTTTTTGAAATGCGACGTATTGGTAATTTGAAGGCAGACAACAATTTTTTGTGTCTGTATAC